ATGAAAAATTCGGCAGAATTATATTCAAAAATATTATTAAAATATTTACAAACAAATAAAGGAGATTTAGAAGGGGTTAAAAGATATTCTGATTTAATGTTTTTATTTAATGCTATTTTGGCTACTACAAAGGCGGAAAGGGAAATGAATATATTTAAGGTACATATATTATAAAATAATTAAACTAACTTTTGTTTTAAATACCCAATGCCTAGGCAATTTTAATCCTTAACTGTTTGGGACCGAAACAAAAGGCTTAATATATCACAATTCGTGGTCCTTCAAAGCTTTTGTCTGAAAAAATTTGGAGTTTCGTGCAGGTCTATTCCGAATAGGTCCGCATAACATAAATAATCATTTTAATTAAATTATAACAGTAAAAATTGAAGCTAAAACCGGATCTATCCAATGAAAATAATTTAAAAAAATATTTATTATTTATTTATTCCAAATAATCGAAAAATATATTTTTTATTTAATGTAAACATTTACTAAATATTAATAAAAAATAAATTTTGTATTTAATTAATAATTTACAGGAATTAATAGAAAAACAATTTAAAAATGAAGAAATGGAAGAAGAAGGACAAAATTTAGCTCCTTTTGTTTGTAGTTGTTTAGAAATAAAAGATTAAACGGGTCAAGGAACTCATGTAATTTTTTGAAAATTCAGAATTTTTCGGATTTTTTTTAAATTGACTTTTAAAGTATTCTAATTTTTTTAATTCTTATTTTTTAAAAATGCAATTTCAGATATTTCAAAAAATTCCTATTTTTAAAATGGTTCAATGATTTGTCTTCCTTGATTTGTCTTTTCCTTGGGTTAGCCCGACACGATTTTTAACAATTAAATTATTTATTTATTTTTCTTTTCTTTTCTTTTTCCAATTTTTGTTTAATTATTATTAATTTATTTTCTTCTTTAGAAATACAATAATTATTTGATTGACATTTAAATAATTTACTAAACAAATATTTTTTTGTTTTTTGTTTTTTCCACAAACAATTTTTATTATTTAAACATAATTCCTCTGTTTTTAAATATAAACATTTATTTTTATTTATTTCTTTTAATTCTTTTATTTTTAAACAATAATTGGTTGAAATTAAATAAAAAATTAAAATAAATATTATTTTAATTAAAATATTTTTTAGATAGGGCATTTTTTAATTTAATTAATATTTTTAAATTAAAAATCTTTTAAAGTAAATTAAAAAATTAAAATACTTTTTTTCTTAATGTCTATTTAAAAATTTTTTTAATATTTCTTAATGTCTGTCTATTTATATTTAAAAAGTGCATTTATTGAAAAACATGTGAATCTTTTTATTTTTAAATTTATTTAAATTATTTCTCAATATAAATTTTTAAAAATTTTAGAAATACATATATTGAAAATTTGGGAATAAAAAATAAAAATGGAAATTGAGAGTTATTTTCGTATACCCCCCCCCCCAATTGAATATTCTTTCTCAATTCTTATTTTATCTAAACCAAAACATCCAAGTAGATTTTAATTCTGTATTGAAGTTACTTCTCAATTAAAATTACACAAACAAAAAACTTTCCACTTAATTTAATTTCAAAAATTTCAATTCAAACATTGTATTTAAGTGATTTTTAAATATCAATAACATTTATCGATAAAATTTTGATTAAAAATTTCTAAACAACTAAAACCATTGTTGAGGTAGAAAAAAACAATCCACAATTAGCTTGGGTTTTTATAAATATAATTATTGGACTTGTGTAGTTTCCATCCCATAAGCCACGCCCCTTTCATTCTCTAAAAGGACGCAGAAAAATGATTGATTTCTTTCTGCAATTTATATTTTTTTAAGTTTTAAACACTAAAATTTATTTAAAAAAATTTAAAAAACAGGTTATTTAAATATTTTTTTTATATTCTTTCTTTATAAAATTTGTTCTTCTCGTATTTGATTATAACAATTATTTAAATTAAAAATATTTTTTGGTGTAGAATCATTTATTTTACGTCTTTGCTGTATTTTTGTTTTTATAAAAATAAATAAAGAAATTAATGAAAGTATTGAAAATATTATAAAAATTAATAAAACATAAATTGGAGAAGTTGTTTGTTGATAATACATTTTCTCCTTTTAATTTAGAAAAAACATTTAGTAGTAAATTCTAAATAAAAATTAAAGTAATATTTAGAGTTTATAAGAAAATTATAACCACGAATTATTTATAATTATTTTAGATTTTAGATTTTAAATATTCCAAAAATTATACAAAAATTTCTGTAAACATTTCTATATATTGATTATGAAAATAAACGAGATTTTATAATTAAATACTTGCTTCAAATCAATCACTAAAAATAAAATACGTCAAAAATATTTTTATATAAATTAAAATTTAAAAAAATTTTTGTTTTAAATTTTTTAGAAAAAAATATTTTAATTTCTCAATTTTATTTAAATTAAAAGAGAATAAGGGATTTTTTATTTAAAAGTTAATTCGATTTAATTTAATTTTAGAAATTTATAAAAATTAATTTACTTTAAAAAATAAATATTTAAATGAATTATTTTAAAATAAAAGTATTTTTTATAAAAGTTTGTGAAGTTTGAAAAATGAAAAAAAGGGAAGTAAATAAATAAAAATATTAAATAATTTTAAAGAATTAATTCTTCGATTTTTTACCTTTTTTCCACTTAAATTCTTATTGCCCTTTTTACTTTTATTTTTTTCTCTTTTTTTTAAATTCATTGCTTTGACAAGAAATGAAATACTTTTTTTATTTTTAAATGTCTAAGTTTTGTCATTTTAACTTTTTTTATGTTTGTTTACTTTTTTTTGAAATAATTATTTTTAAAAAAAAAAAGTTGAAAATTTAAATGAGGAAAAATAAATATAATTTTTAAAATTATTTTTGTTAAAAATAAAAAAAAATTAAATTAAAAATAAATTAGAGAAGCAAAAAAGGAAACAAATTTGCTTCATTTATCAATTTAAGAAATTATATTTATCCTAAAAATTAAAAAATTAATGTGTGTGTAAATATATTTATTAAATAAATATTATTTTAAATTATGGAAATTTTTGAGTTCGAATTGCTAAGAAAAGGTAATAAATTTACACATTACATACGAGAGAATTTAAAGAAAAATTACAAATTATAGCAGAATTTGTGTTAAGAATTACGAAAAAAAACTTACCATTTTAGAAGAAACTCTGATAGATAAACAAAATGAATAATACTATGTATGTATTATTCTTAGTCGTTAAATAATTTATTATTAGTACATTGTGTGGCAAATTTGCCGCGCGTTTTGTTTTTGCCATTACTCACCCATCTTTGTCCAACCAAATTATTTAAACTCTCCACCCAAGTAAATTAAGGAGGATATTAACTAAACACAAAAACAATTAAACAGCAAATTCTTTTACAAATAGAACTTTTATTTATTTAAAAAAATTTTTTCATAATTTATTTCATAAAAATATTCTGGAATAAAATTGTCTGGGCACTTCTACTCTCAACTACTAAAAGCCCGTCCATACAGCTAGAGCAGTACATAAACTGTTTTTCATGAATGTTTATTTGATCGAATCTTCATTTAAATCATTCAATCTGAGACTTTGATAACATCTACTTATCTCGATACCATTAAGCTAAATTAATCCATAAGTAACCACAGAAGCTCCAAAAATGAACGTAACTATTACTAAAGTTTTAATAAAAAATTTAACATTTCTTTAAAATAATTTCTTTCAAATATTGAATGTTTCAATTAAATATTAACACAATTTTTTGAATATTTTTACTTCTTTTATTAAATCAGAGATTCTTTATAAAAAACAAATACAGGGTGCGGCAAATTTTCCGCCCCTTTTGTTTTTGCCATAACTTTTTTCAAAGTCAATGAAAATTGATAATTCTTTTTTTATTTTATTCGCAACACTCTAAGAAAATTTTTGGTAGCAAAATATTCTCAAATTTTTTAAAATTACTTTGATTATTTTGTCTTAAACTTTTGGCAAAATTTTTTGGACCAAAAGTCGTCTGATTTAAATGCAGTCTGTCTGATATGGGGGAAGTTTATTTCATTCGAATAAGCTTTTTAAGCTGATTCGAATAACGTCAAAACAAAGCGATTATCTTGTTCTTGAGCTGAGATATGGGCCTTTGAATGATAAATTAGGAAATAATGACTTTTTTAGGTGAAATTTTCAAAATTCTAATTATAGACTATTTCGATGCTCCTCGTCGAGACAAGTCGATTGGTACCAAAATTAGTCAGATTGGGTGACTTTGAGCGAAGTTATGGCAAAGTAAACTTTGTCATGAAAAAATATTTCTTGATGCAATTTATAGACATTTTCGGGCATATCTTTATTGTCTATAAACCAAATTTCTAATATTCGGTACCAAAAATTTTCTTAGAGTGTTGGGAATAAAATAAAAAAAGAATTATCAATTTTCATTGACTTTGAAATAAGTTATGGCAAAAACAAAAGGGGCGGAAAATTTGCCGCACCCTGTATTTGTTTTTAATTTTTATTTAATTTAAACTTCTCCACTAATTTACAACTGTTTAAAAACTTTTAAAAAATACTTAAATAAATCAATATATCCCTATTTTCCCTTAATATTATTTAGCAGCCGCTTTTGTGGCTAATCTAAAAAAGAGAAACTTGTGTCTAGAGGATTTAAACTAAAATAAAAATTTTTATTAGAATGTTTTTGATTTTGTCTTAAATTACAAACTAATCAATTAAATATAAATTTACATGAAACAATCCTTGGGATCAAAGAATTACAAACAGAGAAGGGGTATTTGGACATGTTACGGGTATTTGGGCTCAGTTTATTTAATGACGAGCTTTTCCTTAAAATTTAAATAAAAATAAACATCTTCTTCCTTTTTTGCTTATTTAATCACATAATAATTTTAAAAATCTGAATAGAATTTCTCGATTTTTTTAAACAAACTTTCAATACTTTATACACATAAATTTTTAGAAAAACTTTCCCCTTATTTTTAAAATGATTTTATTTCAATCACCATCTATACTATTATTATTATTTTTTCTTTTATTTTTTTCTTTATTTTCTGTTAATTCTAAAAAAATTAAAAATCATTACAAAACAACGGCAGCAGAAGATCCAATACCGGCACAGGAAATTAATACAAAACAATTAAATAAACAAATAAAATCTTCTAATATTTTACAAAAAGTAGGGGAAAATAAAAAAAATAAAAATAAATATTTATTTAAAGACTAATTTTTCCTATAATTTTTAATTTTATTTTATATTTAAAACTTTGGGGGAAAATAAAAACTAATTTAAAATCACCCACCCCCCCCCCTTCCAACAGAAATTTTTTTAAATTTTCAAAATTTTCTAAAGCAACCCAACCGACAACCCCCATCACCATCTTCCCATTCCCCTTCCCAAACAGAACAACAACATGAATTTTCTATAGAGGATGTGGATGAAGAACAAATTGATGAAATTTTAAGGGATACTTCCAAAAATCTTGTTATATTTTTTTGTAAATAATTTTTATTCAAATTTAATTTAAAAAAATATTTAAAAAAAGATGATGGAAGATTAAAATGCCCAGAATGTAGTGTTGCCCTCTCAGAGATTGAAGAAATTGATGATGATATTGAAGTAATTAAATTAAATTTTTTATAAAAATTTAATTAATTTATTTAAAGGCTACTGGATATATTGAAGTAAGTATTGTTGTGAATTTTAAATTAAATTCGAAAAAAGGTTGTAAAAACTGATGACAGAAGGGTGGCTCGTGAATGTGGAGTAAATACATTTCCGGCATTGGTATATTACAGACGTAGCAGTCCAATTCTTTATGATGGAGATTTTAAAGATTCTGAAAAAGTTTTACGTTGGTTACGGGCACACGACGAAGTGGCTACTTGGTAAGGAATTTTTTGGGAGGGGGGGGGGGGTTTGCTTGAAATTTTGGGGGTTTATTGTTAGTTTATTAATAGTAGCCTTTTTTTAATTTAAAATAGGGACTTGAATGACGATAACTTTGAATGGAGAACACATTCCCATTCACCTCCAGAAGGAGCTCTTCAATGGCTTGTTATGTTCTATGATTCTGAAGAATCTGATTGTAATGCTTTTGTTCCAATGTTTGAAACAGTTGCCCATAAGTTAATTGAAAATAACTTAAAAATAATTTTTATTTAAATTTATTAGACTTCGCGGTCTAATAAATGTTGGAAAAGTGGACACTTCTCTTAGTGACGATGTTACAGAACGTTTTAGAATTGATGAAAGTCAATGTCCAACGATTTTATTTTGAGTTTTTTCTACTTAAAAAAAATATTTTTTCTAATTTCTTTTCAGATTTCACAGAGGAAAATTTTTTCGTTATAACGAGGCGGCAAAGGACGTTAATGGAGTTGTCTCCTTTGCAATGTATAAATTCAAGGAACAACGCGGGCATCGAGTACCGGAGCCACCAACTGCTTTGGAACATTTTTACGAACATTTCAAAGAGCGACTAACTGATGCTATTGTATGTCTAAAGTTTTGAAGTTTTACTTAGGTTTCACTAAAAATTTGTACTCATAGAGGGCATTGGTTATATTAATTTCAATTTAAATTATTTTGTAAAATATTTTCCTTTTTCCTAATTTTTAATTTAAAGGAAGATAATCAAAAGTTGACGGCAATCTGTGTAGGAGGGGCCATTTTAATTGTTAGCATTTGTCTCGCATTTAAAGCATATCGGATACGTTCAGAGCAGCAATCGACTATTTCAACTAGCAGTAGAAGAGCAACAAATACACAATAAATAATTAATTAGTAATTAGTTTTTTAAATATTATTTAGTCTTGAATCCCGTTATTTTTATTGGTTTCTCAATTTTTAAAATAAATTTTTATTTTGCCATTCTTATTTCTAGCAAATATAAAAATTACTAAACAATTTATTATTAGGTATACTTTTTTCAGATTACTTTATTAATATAATTAATCTTTTAATATTAATTAATTAATTATGTTTCTGATTTAATTATTACTCGTCCCTCTTTATTCTTCTTCCTCTTCTTCTTCTGCTCTCCAAATATCAGCTTTTATTGTAGTGTTACTTGATGATTTAATTTCTTCGTTCTAAATAAATTTATAAAAATAATTTTTTTTAATATAAAATTATTTTATTAAAAGAAATTTTTGTGTCTCGAAGAGTTCTTTCGAATGATGTATAATAAATTATCAAGTAAATATACTCAAAATGGTTATGGAAATAGGGAAAAAAGGAGGGTCAGCCAAATTATTACCAAATTTTTTTTAATTTTTAATTCCAAACAAACATTATTTCCCTCATCATTTTCTCCATTTTCTTTTCTCTCCTTCTCCTCCAATTCCCTCATACGACGATTTGCCTCCTCTTGCATTTTTTCCAATTTTTCCAAAGTAACTGACTTTAATGGACAAATTTTGGGTTTGCAATAAGCTGGCAATAAAGATTCTTGTTCAAATACATAACCATTAGGTGGCCATAATAATTCTTTTGGCTCTTGTTCATGTTGAGGTTGCTGGTAATTATTTGAAATATTTTCATTCATTTTTTTGGAGATTTTAATTAAAATAAAATTGTAAATTAATTAATAAAAAATAAAAGAATATTCTTCTTAAATTTTAAATAATATTTAATTAAAAAATTTAAGAAAAAGTCATCACTCTGCACAAAAACCACAAAAAACACATTTTTTTAAATTGTTTCTATCATTAAAAATTTTTTGCATCTACCATTTTTCCTTAGCAACCAAACAAAAAAATAATTTTATATGTTTAGCGCCTACCCGACTTTTGTGAACCCGACATTTAAAAATATTGAACATACTACTAACTTTCTTTTGTCATGAATAGCAAGGTATTTTTAATTCAAAGAAAGCCTAAAAATTGCTTAATTTTTAAAACAAGAAACATCAAAATCTGTCAAATCTTGAAAAAATACGGCCAAATTATTTTTAATTAATTATCATAATTTTGATTATTTTGTGAATAATAACATATTATTAGCTTGTTTTTTAATGAAATTACTAACTTACCTATTTTTATTTTTCTTTTTGGATTCAATATTTTTATCAAATTTTATTTTTAATTTAATGGACTTTGGGAATATTAGTAGATTAGTTAACTGTATATAAAAATTTCGAAAGGATTGAAAAAATTTTAGGTGGGTTATAATTTTGAAAGAGTCCGAAAATTAATTAAAAATTTTAAAAATAAAGTTTTCGACGTTCTTTGACTTATTTTGTTCTATTTTTCTTTCAGTTAAATTATCATTTCCATATTTATGCATTCTTAAAAAAATTTTTTAACGAGTAGTTAAATGAAAATAAAAATGTATTTTTAAATGAATTTTGGAAAATTTAAATTTTTATGACCCAGGAACGGAAACAAGAAATTCCCTTCCACGGTTTCATCCCGGCCTTTTCAAAAAATCCGAAAAAAAAGGACCGGGAAAGTGAACTGGATCACGACAACACTCCAAATAACTTTATAAAATTTAAATTTTACCAAAAATAAAAATTATTTATTTATTTGGCGTTATGCTCTTTATATTGATTTTACGTCTCTACCTCTCCGTTTTGCGCTTTCTCTCTTTGATGTTTTTTCTTTTGCTAAAAGCGGTTGTTGCTCTTTGCGTCAGACAACAATTTTCAGCATTTTTACTTGACAAGTTTTAACTTCTTAAATTTTATTTAAGCTTTTCTTAAATAATTTTTTTATTTAAGCTTTTCTTATTTTTAATTATTTTTTTAATATATGTACATTAAATTCTCATGCACTTGACTTTTTTTTCTTTTTTACATATTTTTTATTCTTTTATTTTCCAGGCTGTTTATGCTCTTAACGTTTTTTCTCATTGCTTTTTCTTTCCTTTTCTTGCGCATTTTTTATTTTTTAAGGAAATAAATTGCTTCAATCCCCATGCCGGGTTCGGGGATTGAAGCGAAATTTGTTTGAAAATTGTAAAAATAGGTTGTGAATAAATAGGAAAAGAATAATAATCTCGATAATCTAATCTCGATTTTCCCCAAAATTTTTAGGGAGCTCGTAAAGACTAGTTGTATACTACTATGATGAAGTCTCAACCGGGGGAGAGAATTTTCTTTCTTTGACGGCTGTCCATTAAAAAGCACATGCCCCTTGTATCTATTCTAAAGCTTTTATAGAGAGGCAGAATGGACAACAACTGTGTTTCTTGGCCTGCTAGTCCCAAATAACGCCTCTGGCAATGACTTGTCCCTTTACTTCACAGCAAGACAAGAATGAAAAAATGGGGAAATTGTCTGAAGAACTAAATAGTAGAAAGACTGGAAAAAGCTGAGAGAGAGAAAAATGGTGAGAATAAATGAAGCTTTATTTGAGGTTTGTATATATGTACGTGTGAATGAAGTCTGTTGAGGACATGCTTCCCTCCTTTTTTATATTTTACTTCATCGATCTGCTAATAAACAATAGACAAAATTCGTAATCGAAAAAGGCTGATTTTACAAAAAAAAGAATATTTGAGTTATTTTTAGAGATTGTAGGTAAAAATAAGGGGTATCTTTACTTGTTTTTGGGTTTCTTTTTATTTTCTTAATTACCTATTTAAATTTTAATCTACATATTAAAATGTCTAGAAAAATAGTAGTATTTTTGACGTTTAAAAATCTGCGCAATACTGCTTTTTTTTAATTTTTCATTTAATGGTCTCACTAAAAATTAAAATTAAGCACTTTTTAAAAAATGCATTTATATAGCTTCTTTAATATATAGTACTTTTATAAATTCTTAAATTTACTATGTTTTAAAGTATATTTTATTAAGATTATAACCTAACTACTTTTTTTCTAAATATTTTTAGACAAAGCAACAACAATATCCCTATTCGTTTAATATTCCTCTGTTTTAATTTTTTAAAAATCTTTTTTCTCCCAATTCTGTTTATATTTTTTTTGTAAATTCCTTCATTTATTTCAAGCATTTTTATAATAAAAAAAGAAAGAAAAGGGGAGACTTCCCCCACTTTTTATTTTCATCATCAATTTTATATAAGTGCCATCCACAAAAAATCCCAAAAAGCCATCTGCTTCCAAAACATTAAAAATAAATAAATATTCAGAATATCCTTCATCTAATTTTTCTTTTTTTTCTTCCAAATAAACTAAAATACTTTTGTGGAAAGAGAACTCTCCGAAAAAGATCGATTCTTTTTGTTTGTTGTGTGCTTTTGGGTGCGCTCTTTCTTCTCTACTATTTTTCTTTCTATTCCCCCTAAATATACCTATTTTTACCCCTTTTTATATTCCTTAACCCACTTGTTTCTTTTTACTGTTAAACCGTAAAAATTTATTTAAAAAAATTTTTTTAATCTAAAAATAGGTAATTTATTTAAATTATTATTGAGGTTGGGTAATAAAAATTAGCTTAGATTTTGATTTTAAATTCTTTTGGAAAATTTGGTTATTTTTAATATTTTTTTCTTTAAATTTTAGAGACTCATCAATTAGAACGACAACAAAAAATACTCTCTTTTTTTCTTTTGTTATAATAATATTTGAATATTTTAAAATAATGAAACGTTATCGTGCAGTAGATGCGCCGCCAAAATTTAGGCGTACAGCTAAAGGACGTGGTCGAATCGGAGAATCAGTTTATTTTACAAGGTTTTTTAAATTTAATTTTATATTAAAAATGTTTTGGGGTTATTTCCTGGATGGCGATTTTAGTTTTTATAATTTAAATTTATTGCTTGATAATTCTATAAGATTTTTTTCTGTGGTTTTCTCGGTATTTCTCGTTCTGCGAGCCTTTTATTTTTTTCACTTATTTTGTCAGTTAAATTAATTGTGACTTAATTTTGTTATTCTTTTATAATTATTCTTTTCTTGAAATAAGCTTTCTATTTTTAGAAATTTTCTGTTTTAGATTTCAGAATTTTAGACAATCTTCATTGATTTCTTCTTTGATATTTTTATTTTTCTACTTTTATTTAAAGCGCGCGTATTTTGTTATTCATCTTATATTTTGGGCTCCAATTTTTCTTACTTTGGGATCGGAAATTTTAAGATGCACTGGTTCAATTCCTTGTTGTTTAGAAAAATTAATTTTTGTTTAGTTTACTTTTCAGATTCTTTAACGCTTACAACCTCGTCTACTTAAAATTTTTTCTGATGTGGGTCGGATGTATTACACTCGATTTTCTTATTGGTTTTCGTTTTGAATTGCTCTGGCCACTTTGGCTTCTGGTTCGCCATCTTTATGAATCCTTTCGTATTCACGCCTTTTCCTCTTCTCTTCAGTACTCAGTAATTTTTTAAATTAATTTTTTATTTAAAAATAGATTGGATAAAGTAGGAAATTTATAAATTTTCGGTAAATTTTGAAATTTTCTTCTCCTAGTCAAAATCTTTATGTTTTAATTTATTTCATGGTCCAGAACGATTTTGAATAAATTGGACTATTTTCGTTTGGAAATTCCTTTCCCGATTTCTGAGATGAACTTGTGTAAACTTTTAGGGAATATCTTCAATTATAATTTTATTTGTTGGTTAAGGTTTCTTTCCCTTTTTAAAATTTCTTTACTAGTACGCTAAAATGGGGGGTAAAGCGTTTTTCATTTATCTTTTTAAGGCTTTTTCCGTGTTCTTTGTTTGCGTCACTGCTACTTCAGATCTCGTCTGCTATTTATTTATCCCAATACAAGTGTTGATTTTTCTTGCTAGCACCTATGTTTGGGTCCAATTTGTTTACCAAGCATGTATGAAAATTTTTTTTATTGTAAGCTCGCTGATATAAACATTTCCCTTTTTTACCCAAGATATACCCTAAATTTATTCTTAATTTTTTTTTCTAAATTTTTATTTTTCTTAACAGCTGATAGAGGCATTTGTTTGCCTTCAATATTTCTTTGGGCTCTCTTCATAATATTTGAATACTCGGTTAGATACCGGTTCGACAACGCAACATGGTATTTAACAAGAACATCTTGGGTAACTGCTGGACTCTTTCCTTCAACAGCAGGTATATTTTTGTTTTTTAATTTTATAGTATCACTATACAGATAACTTTTGGGGTCGGTATTATCCGGTATCAACGCCGTAGCCACGGGGGAATCCCCCCACCCCGAAATGGGAAATTTCTCAAAATTTTCGCCTGCAGCGCTAAAAATTATACGGCCCTGTTCCGTATCGGTTATTTTCGGTATCTAATGTTCTCAACGTTCTTATTACTTTATGTTTTTAATAACTTTATATTTTTCAATTTTCTCTTTTTCAGATAGCGTTTCTGTAGGATCACCTTCATCAGCATCATCTACTTCATCACCTCGCCTCGAACTTTATAGACCGTTTGCGGCACATTGTATTGGTTTTCCTGTTGTTACATTAGGATTCCGAGTCAAGTCATTTTTTAGGTTTTTAATGTTTTTTTTTATTTTAAACATTTGGGCATCCCCTCATCCACCTTACTTTTAATTTATGGATTTCACACATCTTTATAATAATTAATAAATCATGGGGAAAAATCGATGGAAAGAGGGCATTGCACTCTTTCCTTTCTTTTAAATTTTAAAGAAAAAAATATGACAGGCCATGTGAGAAATTTTATTAAGAAATTAATTAAAGGAATTTTATATAGCTATGTAGAATTATTTTTTTAGCTATATGTATATTTTAAATAAAAATTTATATTCTGACTGACATGAGTAGTTAGGAATTTTTGAATTTAAATAATTTTTTATCTTTCCTGTTTTGAATTTTTAAGCATGCCTTTTGAAGTTTTTGAATAAATTTTGGATTAATTTTGGGGAACTTTTAATGTTTTTTGGAGACTGTTCCGAAGTTTTACTCCAGTATTGAACAGAATAGCATTTTTTGTTTTATTCATTTTTTTTGAAGTTACTGAGCAATATGAATAATTATTTTTTAGTAATTGGAGAATGAGAATTAGACGTGAAGAGGTACGTAGACAGAATGAGTTCTACGAAAGAATTTTGTCAGAGCTCTACCTGCTTCCTTTGAAAATCGAAAGCATTTTATTTCTTCAAGGAGCCATTTCTCCATGGAACAACATGAAATTTTTGGTTTATTTTAAAGTTAAAATTTTTGCTTAATTTTTATTTAGATTTTGATTCGAATGGTGGATTTGCTACAACTGAATTTTTGAATGGATTGGATGGTCCACAGTCAACACTCCCCCGTTTATCTTCAAATTCGTCAACTCAATTTGCTGCAATTTGTGCGGCACCGTTAAATACTTCAACATCGGGCATTACCTCATCATTATCTTCGGTAAATTTAAATTTTTATTATCACTCTCGTTATGTATCCATAGTAATGTTTTATTCGAAAGTTAAGAAATGGAATCCATTACGCTAGATATTACTTGCCAGTAGATTTTAACTTTGCTTTAAAATGAAGTGTAAAAATCAGTGCTGTGTATGTATCTGGTAACTATCTCCAGAGCCGGTTTGATTGAGTCGTAGTTAGGATTTTGAAACCCCGGAGAAGTAGTCACAAAATGCCCAATACCCACCACTGATGAGGATGGATTTTTTACTTCTACTCACGGCTCTTATTACATTACTGTCACGTTTGTCATTGTAGGGTGCATAAAACTGGAATAGGATTAAAAAGTTGAAATGTGCTCCTTCATGTTTGTAGTATATTTTCCGTTTAAATATTCCATTTAGATACCCCAAAACACTTCAATTGGAGCATCTAACACAATTATGACTAATTTACCAAAGAAACGGCAGTCCAAACAAACAAAGCAACAAAATGGAACTCTAAAAAGAGGGGGCGTTACTAATACAACGATAGTAAAGTCATGGCGTGGTGCTGATAGTGCTATAATGAATGGTAGTGGTAGTATAACTAATAAAGGTTTGTTCTTATTAATTGAATATTTAAGATATTTTTTTGGTCATTGCTTTTCTAATTTTAGAAAAAAATTTAGACTATTTTTTGCTTAAGCTTTTAGTATATTAAAATTCTTTTTTTATTTAAGTTCGAAAATTATTCATCAATGCTTTTCGACTTTGTTGCCTTTTTGTGCTATCTACAATTGGATATATTTTTAGCAGTCTAACGCCTTCTATGCAACAAACACTTGAAAGATTAATGTCTAAATTGAAAGGAAATTCAAATTCTGTTGGCGGACAAGATGATATTATTTCATCTAGCGGTGATGGGTCAAATATTGCTGAAGAGGATGATTGGGAAAGAGATTCTAATCATTATCAAACAATTAATTTAGGTTTATTTTATCTTCTTTTTTAAGATTTTGCAAATTCATTTTTAGATTCTTCAAGTGTAAATTTAATTCAAAGTGGAAAACGACGAGCTCGAAGACCAAGAGGTCTTTCTACACTTTCCTCTAATTCTACAACAACAAATGAACAACAACAACAAAGTTCTTCTTCGGCAAAAACTCCACCAACTTCATCTTGTTCAATTTCTTACGCAAATGGTGATTTGGCTCTCACACCGAATGCTGGAAGCAGTGGAATTTCTTTTTTGATTGGAAATGATTTATCTTTAACAGAAAATGGGGAGCAAATACGCGATAATGCAATGAAAATGAGTGAATTGAAACATTTATTGAAACAAAAACAAATGTTTGGAGAATTTTATATTTTTTTAATTTTTGTTTTAAGGTTGGAGCAATCAATGGAGAAACTTCGAAATGAGCTTAAAATATCTCGTCATGGTGAGAATGATTTACGTTCGCAACTTGCTTCTGCACAACAACAAGAACAAACCACTCGATGTGAATGGCGTCAATACGAGAGAGAACAAAAACAAAAATTAGAACAATTGGAACAAAAAGGCCGTCAATTAAACAAACAAAATGAACATTTCAAAACAAACATTCAAGCTTTGGAAAAACGTGTTGGTGAATTACAATTGAAGAAAATAGAAATTGAGAGAGAATTAGCAAACGAGCGACTTGCAAAACAACAACAGTTAAATGCTGCTGTGGATAATTCTAATCGGTAAATATAAAATAATCAAAAAAGAATTTTTTATTCAATTTTTAGTCACGAAAATGGTGAACTACAAAAACAAAAGTTAATCAATATGGACAAAGAATTGAAACATTTGAAACGAGAATTTAAAAATAAAGAAGAATTTTGTTCGAAACTCGAAGAGGAAATGCGCCGATTATCTACAGCTAGAAATGACGAGGTTTTTTTAAAAAATAAAAGTTGAAATTGGTTTCTGGACCAATTCCCATTGGAATTTGGAATTGGTTCCATTGAAATTGGTCCAGAAAAAAATAAAAATCATGAAAACGAAATTAAAACGTACTGATGCCTAATCTGAACGATTTTATTTTTGAAATTCAGATCCTAAAAATTTAACATTTTATTTTTTAGAGCAAACAAATTGAAACACTTCGTCAAAAGAATTTCTTGTTAGAACAAACACTTTCAGCTGAAAATAGATTAAAACAAGATTTATTCCGTGCATTAAATGATTCAAAAGCTGAAATTGCTTCAATGAAAGGTATATATAGTTTAAAATTATAAATTTGAAATAAAATAATTTTTAGCCCAACTCCGGGCAAAACACACAAAAGATCAAGCTGATATGATGAACGCGTTTACCTCTACTCCAAGTGAAAATTCTATTTTCCAAAATGGATTCGTCACAAAAAGTTGCGGAGATAAAGAAAATAGTACTTCATTGTCGACTGGTTCTTCGCCAATTCAACATCAACAAAATTTTTCATCGCAAAATACACAAAAATCATTAACACCGCCACCTTTGTCAGTTGCTAGTTCAACATTAAATTTGGAACAATTATTACAAGCTACGCAAAATATGTTGGTTTTTTAAAATATGTCTTATGATTTTTGTCAGTTTTTTTTATAAATTTGCTTTTTAATTTTTTTAGAAATACCCCCGCATAACCTCTCAAATCTCGACTAAAACTCTAATTATTTACCAACGATTTACTTTTTTAGGTCCTATTCTCTCGGCCCTATTGTAAATTCGAATGGAATAACAAGTTGCTGCTCTGGAACACAAAATGGCCCAATTTGTACAACGTCTTCGCCATATATTAATTCGGAAGCTTCTGAAATGTTAGCGGTTGGTGGTCATCGAGGTGGTTCTACAAGTAGTGGCAGCAACACAAATACTGCCTGTAACAACAACAGAAATTGCGGAAACGGGCAATAATTGCCTACAATTCTAAATTTTGTGAAGTTTTTGGTTTGAGATGAGGAATGAATGTGAAAGTTTTTTTTACCTTTTAATGTATTTTCCTCGTTTTTTGTGTTGATTTTTTTCTTGCGCATTTAAAACACCAAAAACGATTTGAAAATTAGGTGAAAAGTAGTCGAGAAGTTAGAATTGTCGCACATACTTCCCGCGTAAATTCTTCACCCAGCTATACTTTCTCATTTTTTGTTTTCAAAATTTTCAGTTAAATGAAGAAAACTTTTTTATTTTAATTAATTTGGACGCTATTACACCCTATAACTTTGGTCAAAATTTCAACAATGGCACAGAAAATTCATTTTTTAATTGTTGAGACCTAATTGCCAAGATTTATATCCTCGACGTCACTACTAACATGAAAAACATCCATATTTTTATTTAAAAACTAATTCTAAAACAATCTTGTGTAACAAGAAAAAAAGGAATAGGCAAATATTGTTTCATACCAAAGAATTATTGTTGAATTGATGATCTTGTTAAAGTTCCTTCAGCAGTAATTGTTGTACGCTTTTTCCGTGTCTTTAGATTTTTTTTAATATTTTTAAAACCATTTATTTTTTATTTACCTGTGTCACAGAAATCGGATTTGTTTCAATCATTCTTGTAATCCTTCGAGAAGTTACTGGTGCTAGTTTTGGTAATTGTTTTTGTTGTTTACCTCCCTTCCCTCCAGTTTTCCCTGAAGATTTTCCTTCCCCTTCTATTAAATTTATTTCGTTTAAACTAGCTGGATTTCTAGTAAATTCTTCATAAAATGCTTCACTAACTCTAAGTCTTGGCTCGATTGAAAGTTCCTTAAAAACATTAATTTTTAAAATAAAATTTAAAAATTTTTTTACAATATTTTTTTCTGTTCTCAACCGATTTGACAATTGGTCAAGCTCTTGTTCTGTATTATATACCGCTGTTTTAAGTTCTTGTAAAAGAACAATATTTGAACGAAAATCATTGTAAAGTTTAACAATTTCTTCTGTTGCGGGGGGATATTCCAAACCAATTGAAACTTTAAAATAAATTTTTGTTTGTTAGAATAAAAGGAATTATTTAAATATTAACCAATTTGTAGTGAAGTAACAACCATTCCAATATTATTAAGTTTTCGTTGTGCTAAAGAAAATATATTTTATATTTTAAACTAGAAAATCTTCCAATTTACCATACCTGTATTGCTAGGTAATTTCATTTCCTGTGTACGCAAATGAGGACCTGGTTGTCTATATTCAGGCCAACGAATATGTGGTTCAGACTAAAATAAATTTTACTAAAAATAATTTAACTAAAATATACAGGCATTAATTGATCAGAAGCCAACGAAGCTTGGGTCCTAAGCCGTTTGAGAGATCGCCGATGTGCTGCACGACTGCTGGTCGAAGTTCCACCAACGACAGAAGGAGAACCACACGTTGAACTTCGGAAAAAAAATTTTTTGGACATTCAAAAAAACCTGTCAGGAGAAACGGAAATTCTCTCAGCGGTTGCATTAATTAAACGTTGTAAATCGTGGGCTTTCTTTTCACGCTCTTTACGTTTTGCTTCTATTTTTCTCACAGCTTCTTTAAGTTCTTCTTCCTCTTTAATCTGAAAAATAATTGAAATAAATATTGTTTCGGCTTGTCTCTAATCCTTTTTTAAATATTTATTTTAATTTATTTTACTGCCTGTTCTTCTGTTCTGTTCCACAATTTAACCAATTGTTCCTTTCTTCTCCTCTCATGTTCAGCATCATATGCTAAAGGTTCAGATTGTGTATTTCTAGCAACATTTAATTCATTAACAATTCCATAATAACGTTCCTTCATGTCTTCAACACTTTTTCGATCTTTGAAACGTTCACGGTCAAAACGATCTTCCACAATTGGCCAACTATATTTAATTAATTAAAAATAAAAAGAAAATAAACCGAAGGTCAAATCTGTGGCATAAATCGAGTAAATGAATTGTCTCTTCTTTATTCCAGCGTTCATCATCCAAATATTCATCATATTCCGTATCAATGAATGTAACTGTATCTAATTGCTTTAATAAAAAATAGAAATTTTAAATTAAATATACATATTAAATGATTTCTTAAATTTCTATTTAAAACCCCTACCCCAGTTAAAACAAAAAGGAATGGTCATATGTAATTAGTTTATAAAATATAAATTAATATTGTCATCCGACCAAAAATAAACTCGCCGACAAAATAAGAATTTAGTATTATTTATTTTTAAATCTTTCAAGTCAACCCCTTTACTGATTGAAATAAAAAATAGATCCGTTTGGAAACTTTTTACTTTATTAAAACGAGCAAATTGATATGGTTGTCCAATCAAGTCTTCTCTCTCCCAATGAGAAAGTTGTAATCCATCTTCTCTAGCATCATTCAAAAAAGGTTTCCACATCCATTTACGAACAATACGTTTACCAAACTAAAAATTAAAATAATTATCATATTTTCTAAAAAAACAAACATCTGCTTTGACAACAGAATAACCATGTTTTGTATTTGTTGGTGCTAAAGATTCGATTTTTTCTAAAAAAAATTTTAAAAATAATTTGACATAAAAAACAAAAATTACAAACCCTTATTATTATCTTTTCCCTGATGAACAAATAAATTAAACAATTCTCGATGCATACCCGCAGGTCTTTTGATTTGATCAGATTTTTTAATTGTCTAAATTCAAAGTAATTTTGGATAGGAAACATAAATTTTTTTAAAAGATTTTGTTAAAAAACTAACAATACGAGGGACTCAATGGAAAATGTTATGTGAATTAGACAAATCCCAATGTTAATTACAAATGAGGTATTTCAAAGTCGGCATGAAACTTTAAACTGAATAACCCAAAAACAAACTGAAGCTATATTAGTCCAAAAAAATAAATGAGAAAAATATTTTTTGAGAGATTAATTACACCCACAATTTAAATAAAATAACCTTTTTGTCAACATTTGTTAAATTTAAATTAGGTAGTGTTGAGGATTGTTGTCTTCTTGACATAGAAGTTGCCCCGAGAATATCTTGAGCATCGCCTGTCATCATTTCTAAACAATTAAAAAACTAAATTTAATAATTAAAAAATATTTTTAATTAAAATATTATAGCAAATAAAAGCTTTTTATTTATAAAAAAACAAAAAAAGAGAGAAAATAATTTACTCGTAGTCCAAAAAATAAATAAGAAAAATATTTGAAACAATGATTCCACGAATGTTTTTTAAAATGTGTTTACAACACAAAAAATTATATTTTAGAGAGAAGTCAAAATATATAATGAATTTTAAAGGATATCTCAAAAATAAATAAATTGGACATTACAAAAATATTTTTAAAAAACTCAAAATTATAATTGTCACTTTCAATTCAGTTAACCTAAAATCGCTTCGGTTTGGCGGATACTTTAAATAATTCACAAAACTTTTTTCTAATTAAAAAATGCTTTTCTGATAACGTATTTTTTGGTTAACGTGACTCTTTTAGAAAATAAAAACTATAAAAATGTAAAATCAATTAGGTGGCCAAAAAATTATTTTACTTTTATTATATAAACTTTGTTTATTTGGATTTCTTTGATTATTTATAAATTTTGGAGAGAAAAAAGTAATTAAACAAGGAAGATGATTGATGTTACCAGTAATTCCCAAAAATTGTAATGTCCAATTGAGGGAAATGATTAAAACAATAATCGGATATCAAAACATAAACCCATACCTAATTTAATGATTTTTCAAAAATAAATAATTGACCAAAACTTTAATATAAATTTTAATTCTTTCTCAAGTAGAAACATCTGATATTTCCATTCCTCTCTCACGAAGCATATTACAAACTTTAAACAAAAACTTGAAAATAAATTGATTGACCAAATTCTGAATTTTAGAAAAAAAATTAATTTAAAAATTATTTAATTATACTTGATGAGCATGTTGACTAAAAATACTGAGAGGAACCCATTCATCAGCAAATTGCTCTCCCTGATATTTAACTAACAGCTCCGGTTCTTTCCCATAATCAACACGCATACGAATGATACCTAAAAGTTGAAGAATTTAATTTATTTAATTATAAACAAACTCAAAGGCATAGCACCACAAGTAACAGCATAATCTAAATAAATTAAAAATATAAGTATATACATGTCAAAAACAACTATCCTTAAATTTTCTAAAAATATGGAAAAGGTCTGGCTTATAATAATAAAACAACCAAATTTATTCCCTTTTCTGTTATGCCGACAAATAACCGAAAAAAAGACACAGATTTCCTTTTCCCCACAATTTCATCCAATTAAAACTAAAACAAACTTGTCGTTTTCTTTAAAACAGTTTGTGTTCCTTCATCTCCACTAGTTTCATCAGGAATTGACGGAATCTCGGAAGTCTGAGATTCCGAATTATTAGCCAATCCATTCGTCTCCGGAACAACTTCAGGTACTTCAACATCTCTAACCTCCGAATTTTTAGAAGAAATACTAACAAGTGATGGTCGTCCACGTCGTCTACCAGTCCTCTTTTTTCGTTCAACAATTTCTGGAAAAGACTTTTTGTCCTTTCCTTGTTCTGGCGTTTTTTGCAAATTTTCTTCAATTTTCTTCTTCTTTTCTTCATTTTGTTTTTCTTTTTCAACTTTATTATCCGAATCCTCCTTCTTTTTCTTAATAATCAATCCTTCGCTTCCACGCCTTGATGGTGGAAGTTCAGCAGCAATAAAGTTATCTTTTGATTTTCGACTATATTTCTGTCTTCCTTGCTGCATAGAAGATGAGATTTCCTCAGAAACTGATTCATCCATTTTTAAACGTTTTGACTAAAATTTAAAAAAATTATATTAAAAGAAACAAATAACCTCAGATTCATCATCCTCATCACTGTCCAAATAATGCCAATAACTTCTTTTTGCACGCATTTTTCGTTTTTTAACATTTTTATCAGATCCCTCCTCTTTATTATTCGAATCATTCAATTTATTCTTTTTAGCTTCTTGAAATTCATCAATAAGTTTAGTAAATTGCTGAAAATGACTAGCCAATTCCCAAGTTTGATCAGAATAACCAATCCATTGAATCTTAAATTATTTAAAAGTAAAACAGTAAATTAAAATCGGAGAAAATATTTAAAAAAATTGTGGACAGAAGTTAATAAATCTTAATAATTAAATCTAAAAATAATCTAAACAAACCAGATATTCCTTTCTCTTTCCAACTCCACGTTCATCAAGAATTTTCTCTGCAATATATTCACCATCCAAATATCGACGACGTTCTTTCTTCGAATTTCGCTTTGAGCTTGCTTGAGAAGTATTGAGAATATTTGAAGTCTCGTGAACATTTAAAGTTTCTTTCGGAGTTTGAATTAATTCTTCATTGTTTGCTGCTAATTTACCCTAAAATAAAGTTTATAGAATAATATCCATCTGGTTATTTGAGTTAACCGAAAAGTACCAATTTTGAATTGAAAATTTTTAAAAACAAACCAAATCTCTATTCTCTTCATTACTTCCAGAAGATTGCATTGGAGCAGTAGAAATTTCACGTTCATCATTATCAGAGTCTTCTATACCAGTATCATTTTGACGTTTTTGAGCCTAATAAAAAATATTGTTAATATATTCTGAAAATAAAAAACTAGGGGGTGAAAGCCTAATTAACAGCAACTCTATTAAAAACCTTAAGAAAATCCTCTTGTGACAACTCCGGTTGAACAAAACCGCTATTCCCTTCCTCTTCTTCCTGCCCATTTGAAGTCATTAAATCATCTTTTTTATCAGATAAGTTATTCGAAACTTCTTTATCTGAATTTGTAAAATTAGCAGGAGAGCTACTGCTAAAATCAAGCATCTTCCCAGATTTTCGAATAATACGGCTACGAATGTTCAAAAATTCATAAGATTGCGAAAAATGACGGTCTTTAACTCGAGAAGAACGGCGCAATTCTTTTTCCTCATTGCCGTCATCATCAATAAAACTACCAGATTTGCTCTAAAATTAAATGAAATTGTTAAATAATTAAAAGGAACGGGGCAACTTTTTGCGTACTTCTTCCTTATTTCTTCCTGAATATTTTCGGCTTTAATCAGTTAGAAAGGATTAAAAACTAGTAACAAAAAATAAAATCGGACAAAGAAATTTGAGAGTAAAATATGATACCAGCTAAAACCAACAAAATTCCCGAAAACGGAGACAGTGAAAAAGTCTGCAGGAAAGGCCTGTCATCCTTCAGTAATGCTTATAATTTTAAAAGTTTTTACATATAAGTTAATATTTATAAATAAACAAACTCTAATTTTAATAGAACCATCACTACTCATAAATCGAGTTTTGCCATCAGAATCAGGCATAAATTTAAATCCTTGGTAATTATTTTCATATTCATTTGAACGGCCTCTTATTTTGTTGTTTTCAATAATACTTTTTATAGCCTCCATAATAAACCTAAAAAAAGTAATTTAAATTAAATTAATCCATAAAAAGAGAATTTTGGTATAATTTACAGAATAAAAATCTGTATAAATTAAAATTAAATAATTTGTATATTCAGCCACAAGAATGAGATGAAAGCAAAGCCAAATTAAGGGGTGGAGGCTTTAACACCACAAAAGGGCGCGCACACGACGGTAAAGCCCGTTTAAGAGCAGGGCTCAACTGGCCTTTTCTTTAGTGTCGATCTTTTAATATATTTTCCCCAATCTACGTTATATTGCATCTACCTTTTAAGGAATCGACCTTTTATAAGGAGCCAAGTGAAACAGTTCATTAGAGTGCTGCAGTTTGAGAGCGAGCCACAGAGTGTCTGTTCTCTTTTTTACATTTCGCCAAATTTGTTTTATTTTAAAATTGAAAATTTGTTCTCAGAAACAAATCTCAAAATTCTAATGTTGACTCTTTCTTGTTTACGTAAATTCGTTTAAAATATATGTCCAATTTTGCGACTTCCATTTATATTTTCGGCATTAGAGGGGGTTCGAAAAATCCACAAAAATTCCAGTATCGACATGACTAGAAAGTATAAAATAAACAAAGTTCTAACATGTTCCCATCATTCGATATCTCAAAACTCAACAAAAACCCGAGTTAAATATTTAAAAATATCCCTTAAATATTTATTTTTCTTAGCACTTTATTTAAAAATAATTATTTTAACTACAAATTCTCCTCAAAAAAATTTAATTTATTTTAATTTTTACTAAAAATCTTTGGCAACCATTATTTAAATAAATCCCCCTACTAATCCCTTATCTTTCTCCATTAAATATTCACGTAATTTTAATATATTTTTTATACTTTTAGTACATATTTTTATGTAAATATATGTCCATTTAATGTAAAAAGAATTAATTAATTAAATTATTCTCAATTAACAACAACAAAATAAATTGCCTTTAAATAAATATGTGGAGAAGAATACCTTTACAGAATAACACAAATGATGAATGTTGTTCTAATGATAATAATTTATCTCAACAATCAAAGGAAATGTTTTGGGAAGGTTTGCTTGTTTTTTTTAATTTTTAAATATTTTTATCACCTAACTTCTCTTTAATTCAAAAAAAAATAATTTTTCTAAAAAATACTAACAAGTCTATATCTAAAGATTTGATTAAAATCTTTAATCTCTCCTTTTTTTCAAGTTCCACATTTCTAAATTTTTATTTTTTGTTAATTTAAATTAATTAATTTTCTTTAATTATTTGTTCTTTATGTTAAGGATTTTACTTATTGTGAGGTTGTAAACTAACACTAAGTTTTAAGCCTCCCTTGAATTGAACTGATTTTTTGGCAGAAAATAGGCAATTCTCTTATGATCATAAAAGAATAAAATTTGATTCGGATTACATTTTGTTGAATTTAAGGAACATTTAATCCGAGTTACGAATTTTTAACTCAAAGGGGCCTAAAACTTATTGTTAGTTTACAACCAAATTCTAATTATTTACTTTTAATTATTTACTTTTATATTTAATTTTAATTTATTTCTACTTCATATTTATTTTAAAAAATTCTTTTTTTTTATTTGTTTTATTTTAAAAAGCTTTTTTACTTTTATTTTTCCAAAAAATTTTTTCTTCCTTTTGTTTGATTCATTTATTTTTGTTAGCTCATATTTCTTGCTTGGCAAACTTTTAAAATTGTAAAGTGGAAGGAGGAAGTATTTTACAAAGTTTTTATTTAAATTAAAAATTATTTTTTAGTCTCTTTACTTTCTATCAAGTTTTTCTCTTTAATTTCTTGATTTTTGCTAAAATTTTTGTCTAAATTTATTTTCTCTATTTTACATTTATTTTTTAAAATTTAGACTTGTTAATTTATTTTAAAATTATTTTTCTCCTCTTTTTTTCAAATTTTTAAACAAATACTAAAAACTAAAATATTTTAAACAAAAATTTGTTTGTTTTTTCTTAAATACTTTTTTTTCTCAATTACTTTTCTTTTTTCAAGAATTTTCTTTTTTTCTTTTTATTTGGACTTACAAAATTCTTTTAAATTTAAAATTAATACTTTTTTTTGTTTATTTTTATTGCCTTTGTTTTTTTATTTAGCATCTTTTCCTCCCTTTCTTTTTTTCCATTCTCGATTTACTCCAAACATATTCTTTTTTTATATATTTATTGATTGTTCTTCTACTGGCATTTTTTCTTTTTTTTCTTTTTTATTTATTTAATATTTTATATATCAAAGTCCCCCAAACCAACCAGCCACCTTACATTTTTTTATTTAAACGTTCGAATTAATGTAACGCTTACGCCTGTCATTTTCTCGGTTAATTTGAGTCCAGGGAATTAAAAAATGTTTTTTTGTTTTTATTTGTTTTTTACTTTTAAAAAATTAAGATTATTTTTTAATTCCTCCCCGAATTTATTTTTCTTTTAATTAAATTATTTTTTACCTTATTTTTAAATCATTTCCGCTCCCCCCCCCCCCCCCAATTTTTTTCATCGCATTAAAAGATTTAATGATTTATCATCTTTTTTCTGTTTGGAATATTTTTGTGGGGAAAAGAATAAATGACAAATGCGATTAGTAGAGAATAAAAAAAGAAAAAAAATTATTTTTAACTAAAGATTGAGGCAAAATTCATTTTTCGTTTATTTTCCCACCTAGAATTTAAAAAAATTTTATTTTATTTTCGGATGATCAATTCTTTTTTAGAAAATTAAGTAAGTCTAACATTTGTTTTAAGTTTATTTTTTTAAAGATTTTTTATGAAATTTTATACTTTTTTTTAAATTTATTTTTGGAAATTACTTTTAAAATAATCATTTTAGTAATTTTTAATAATTTTTTAGAAATAATATTTCCTTGTTTTTATTAATTAGGTATTTTATCTTAACTTAAAAATAAGTGATTTCTTTAATTAATTTCTTCTTTCAATTATTTTACATATTTCTCTTTTTACTTAAAAATAATTTTTTTAAATAAAAAAATTAATTTATCATTTATTTTTTTTCTCTAAAATAATTATTAATTATCTCTTTTTATTTTTCTAATATTTTTTTGTCTTTTTCCGGCCAATTGTGTTATATTAAATATTTTGTTCTGTCTCAATTATATACCTATTTTCTATTAAAGTCTAACGAACATTTGTTTTTTAAGCTCGTTAATGTTTTTTGGGAAGATTTATTAACCAATTTAGATTTACTCTCTAATTAATTTTTCTAAAAATCGGACAAATATTGTTTATCTTTTGAGATTAACAATAAAATATTTCTTAGATTCCACACTAAACGAAAATAATTTTTCTATAATTTCTTAATTTTTATTTTTAAATTATAATTCTTTTTTAGAATATTTTTAGTTTTTTCGAAGATTTCTTTAAATAAATTATTTTAGAGAAAATGTCCTTTTTTAAATATTTTTATTAAAAACATCCTTTTTTATTAAATCTCTAACAAAAATGTAATTCTATATCCTTTTAAAATGTTTCAAAAACAATTGTTTTTAGAATTGTACTTTTTGTTATTTGCAAAGATTTCATTAAATACTTGAAATAAAAATAAATAAATATTTATTTATTTTAAAAGTACATTCATTTCTTTTATTTGCTCGGATTAATCTTCATCCTATATCCCCTTTTTATTTTTAACAATTATTATATTCATTGTTCTTTTTAAGGGCTTAATTTTGTTATTATTTTAGTATTCTCATCTTCACTTTAATTTTCTCTTTTGTATTTTTAACTACGTATTTCTTGAGGGTTTTAATTATTTTTTAAAATATTCTCTTTTTTTTGACGTTCTTTTTTAATCCCTTTTATGTCGACAGCAATAAATAAATATAAATACTTAATTTTAAAAAATATTTTAAATAAAAATAGTTAGGATAAAAAATGTATTTTCTCCATCCCGCCTATGATTCATTGTTGATTTGTATTATACTTAAATTTTGAAAGTAAAATTGCGATTTTTGTTTGTTTTTTAGATTGAAAGAAATATTTTTTGTGATTAATTTCTTTTTTGGTTATTTAAAAATTATTTGAATATTTTGAATTTTGTTAAGTTAAAATATATCAACAATTATAAAGTTGACCTTTTTCCTAAATTAACAACGTTTTTATTTTTATTTTTTTCGCTTCCAAACCAATTTATACCTTTTCTTTTTTCAAAAAGCCCGCGTTTCTTTCAAGGTTAAATTGCGCAATAAATTAATTTTTTAAAAGTATTTTTATTGTTTTTAATTTTTATTTTAAATTGAGGATAATAAAATTAACTAAAATTAATTTTAAATTTCTGAAATGAGAATTTCTGATTTATTTTTTTAAAGTTTTTTTAAATTTTTTCCCTTCATTTTCTTTCTCTATTTTTATTACTAAAATCTTTTTAATTTTTGTGACGATATTAATTTTTAATTAATTTATTTCTGATATAAAAAATATTTTTTTAGAATTTCTTATTCGCTCATCTCGCCCTCTTTCACCAATGTCAGCATCGCGAGCAAAGATCAAACAACGAACAACAACACCTCCCGACAAAAATAATCTTCAATCACCTCACCCAATACCGGGACTTTCTTTTGAAGAACCAACATCTTCAGAAATGGCTATGCTTTTGAAGGAATTAAATGAGGTATCTATTTTAAATTATTTTTTTAAAGAGAAGGGATAATTAAATTAAATAATTAATTCTCTTCTCTTTTGTTAATTCGTTAAAAAATCAATTAAATTTAAAAAAATTGTCAGTTGTTAACTCTTTTAAGAAAATTTATTTTTAATCGATTTTATTTTAAATATTTTTTTCGTTTTTTAATAAAAAAAGATTTACTTTTACATTGGTCAGATTAATTATAGTATTTTGGAATTTAACCATAAATTTTTTAAAAAGTATTTCTTTAATGTCCCAAAATCGCCAACAATTTTTGTTAGAAAATAATAATTTGGTGAATATTTAAATATTATTAATTACTTAATTAATTAATATATTTTTTAAATAATTTTTATTTTTCAGAGAAAACAAGATCTTGAGTTGGCAGCTAACTTAGGAAATTCTTTGTTGCAAGAGAACAAGGAATTATTAGAAAAGTAATTTATTTTAAATATTATTTTTAATTAAATTTTTTATTAATTTTTATTTTTTAAAATAATTTAGAAATGAATTTCTCGAAGAATCTCTTGCATCAAGCAATGAAACAATCTCTCAACTTCAACGCCATTTAAAACAACGTAGCAAACTTTTTCGTACAATTGTGGATTTAGAGAATGAATATACTGAAGAGGAGGAGACGGAGAAGGCTTGTTGTAGTAATTCTTGTTCTGCGAGGTTTTTAATTAAAAATTTTTGTTGAGATAAAATAAAAAATTAATATTCTTTTGTGAGGGGGGGGCTTCATGTTTTGTCCTCTTTTATTTTTTTGTAAATAAAATATTTGAATAATATTTTTTTAAAGGTCGGTAGATTTTTCTCGAATGGAAAAACAACTTTCAAATCTGGAGAAAGAAAATACTCAATTACGTATTAAGGTCTAAATTTTTTAAATAATAATTATTTAAAAAAAATTTTTGTTTGAATTAGGTTGATGATTTGGAAGAACAAAAGAAGACTATTGAAAAGAGAGAAGGGAATACTGTTAGCGATTATATGTCACAATTGAGGACGGCGAATTTAAAGGTTTTTGAATAATTTTTGTTTTTAAATTATTAGAATAATTTTAAAGATTGCACAAATTCAAGTTCAACTGGGTGAGAAAGCAAAACAATGTGAATCCCAAACAGAGGAAATTCAACGACTATTGTCTGATATTTCTGAAAGGAAGAAACGGGAACGTATTGTATGTAATTTGTTTTAAATAATTTTTTTTTATTTTATAAATTGACAGCTCTGGGATGAAAATGAGGACATTCAAACACGTCTTGACAATGAAATACATACACACGAACAACTTCGTTCTGAAATTGAATTGCTCCAAGAACGCTATTTAGATCTTATTGTAGTGCTTAAAGACACAGAAGATGAATTGAGGGAACACCGTCGAAAGGCGGAAGTTCCTCCACCACCCCCAATTAGGCGAACAAATAGTGTAGACTCGCTTTATGATTCTTTAGCGTCAGAATTGGAAGGAGCTGATTCTGGTGGATGTTATGGAACTCCCATGTTTTCTGCAAGGTTTGGAAAGTTTATTTTGATTTTTTAACCCATAGGTTTATTTATAAATTGAGCTGGGTTCTTGTTTTAATTATTTTTTAAATTTATTTTTTACTGCTTTATCTTACGATAAATTTAAAACTTCAGATATGGTCCATCAGCACATTGCAGTTCTTTGGGTTCTGGGGGTGCTATTGATCAACAATCACCATCTCACCAACCATCTACTTCAAATGCTCATGTTGATTGTCACCCTCAGCAAGAAATGTCTGTAAATTGTCAAAATTTTGATGTCCCTTCTCGTGCCTTATTAGAAGCTGTTCGTAGTACTCTTGAAGATAGAAAACATTTACAAAGATTAAATAATATTACTTCAAAACAACAGAAAAGAAAAATTTCTAAAGAAGAAGGAAAAGAAGGGCAACCACCAATAATTGATTCTCCAACTACTCCAACTTGTATTCCTTTAAATAATGGAGGGCAACAAATATCTAGAAAAATCTTTCAGGTTAATAAAATAACTAAAAAATTCAAAAAAAAATAAATTTATTAAAGGATGCATGTTGTTCACCAATTCAATTCTCTCCAAGACAATCAAATAATGAATGTGCTGCCTCTTCTTCTTCTTGTTGGAAATTTTCAACTCCACAAAAAACCAACAAAAATATTTCCCTGCAAAATAATTCTGGTTCTTCAACAGAAAGTATTGATTCACTTTCTAGTTATTGTCCACCAAAATTAGGAACTCCTGGAAGGCCTGGTTCTAAAGATTTGGATTTTAGTATTAGACGATTGTCCTTGCGGAAGGAGGTTGGAATTTAATTATTTCTTATTTCTTTTCAAATATTGTATATTTAAATTAAAATTTCGAGTTGTAAGTCTGTGTGGTGTAGTGGTATCGTTATTGACTTTAATTGTTTAAGGTTTGGTTCGAGTCCTCGTACAGATAGTTTTATTTTTTATATTTTTCTAAACTGAAAATTTTATTTTTTATTTTCTATCGCTTTTTTAACATTTTTATTTTTTAAATCTCTGTTTTTAAAAAAAATTTGTTTTGTTTTTTGTGTAATTTAAGGAAAAACAAATTCTCCTACAAGAGAAGAAATGTGAAGAAGAAATTGTCATCCATCCAAATTTGGTTGAGAAATTTTTTTAAATTTTTTTTTGTCCTTTGTTTTTTATTTGTTATTTATTTATTTTTAAATAATTTAATTAAAAAATTTATTTAACAGATAAATGAAAGTTATGCCCGTTTTCGCAATTCTAAAGGACTTCCTCCTACTCAAAATGGTTTTTATTCTCCTAATGGAACGGTAAATTTTTAATAAAATATTTTTAGATAATAATTTTTATTTTTAAATTAAAGAATTGTCAATTTATATACAAATCCGGATTTCCAAGTTGTTGTCCAACAAAGCAACTTAACCGTTTATGTAAAAATTCTTCAAATAATAATTCTCCAATAATTAGTAAAAGTAGTCCAGAATGTTCCAGATTTTCTTTAATTAAAAAAGAAGAAGGAAATAATTTATTTAAATCTTCTTTTGGAGAAGGAAAAATAACAAAAAATGGAGGAATATTTTGTTTAGCTGATTTATTTATTAAAAATAATAGAAAGGAAAATAATGGAGGAGTGAGTTTTTTTAATTTTTTAAAAATCTAAACTTAAGCTCTTAAAAGTATTAAGAACATATAATTATTAGAGGTTGGCAAAATCGTACTTCCGGGATCCGGAGTCGGGATTTTTTTTCTTGACCGATGCCGGGACGGGATCCCGAGGGATAAATCCCGAAAAAATCCCGGATCCCGAAAGATCCCGAAAATCAAAAAAATCTAGGATTTCGGGATCCTGGAAAATCCCATCAGGATCCCGTCCCGCGCCGACCTCTAATAATTATATTAATTTTTCTAAATAAAATAATTTATTCTTAGAATTCCCGAACAATTGTAACAAGTGAAAGTTGTTCTTCAGGTTTAGAATGTTATGGAAATAATTCTTCTAAAAATGAAGACAATTTGACACTTAAAAATAGTAATTCAGAAGAATCCCCTCCAAAATCTTCAAAAAATATTCAAAAATATTTATTTGCTCAACAAAAAATTAATGAACTTGGAATTAATTTACTAAATTCTTCCAATAGCAATACAAGTGTGATAACAGCTATAGAAATGCAAAAACAACAAAATATTTTGGGTGTTTTACAACGTTTTGGAGGCAACTAAATTTTGTAAAAATACTAGCCAGAATTTTATTATTTTCTGTTGTTTTTTATAGTTAATAGGCGAAAATAGCTATTAAATTTTCTTTTAGAGATTAAGATTTTGATTAGATTCGAAAAACATTTTTTTGTGTTTGGGACTAGAGAAAAAGATTTTTGTAGAAATATCAAACTCGAACTCCAAGGAGAATTAAATTATCTCTTAGAAAATAGCTATTTTCACCACTATATATCTAGAAATATTAAGCATTACTTTACTCTTTTTTATAAAAGAAGTTCGGAGTGCAGTAATGCTTTATGTTTTTTACTAATTTTCCTGTAACATTTAAATTATAAAAAGATGCCCAACTTTCTTAAAATTCTGTATCCCTTTTCTGTTGCTGGAGTTGAAATCTCGTTCTTTCATATCTTAGCCCAAGAAAATTTTATTAAAAATATGTAATACTTCCAAATCACTTGTTTATTATTACTCGATAAATTTTAAATTATAAAAAATGTTTTTTAATTAAAAAGCAAAATACATATACAATATTTTGGTATAATTTAGAAATACATATAACTCAGTTTTTCTGTATACAAAAACCTCACTTGCACGACACTCCTCATCGAACACGGGGTTCCTGTCCAAAAGTTGACATTAGTGAGATCTTACTACGTTTCAAATTCCTCCTGCATGTACGAGAAGTGTCGTATACAAATAAAACTCTGCTATCTAATAAAAAACAAAAATTCAAATTTAAAAGTAAACAATGTGAAAATTATTTTTATAAACAAAAACAATTTCTAAAATAAAATATATAATGCCTCCTTTATTTCTACTATTATGTTTTTATTTATTAGTCCCATCAAAACGGCGTCTTATAACATTTTGTTGTTGAATACTTTCTGGCTGACTTCTCAGAATGGGCATATTTTGTGTGTTGTTGTATTGACTTTGATGTTGGGAATATGTTGAAAGTGGAAATTCCTTTAAAAAGGGAAAAATTTTTATTTTGTTTAATAACCTTTTGTTTGCCTAATCAAAATTTAAGTATTTATACATCCAATCATTTCTTATAAATTAACAAAATAATTTATAAGCTAAAATAACACGTCAAAGATTTTGTGATTATTCACAGATTAAATCAAATATATTAGATTTTTAAAGGACTTTTAAAAAACGGTTAAATTGCAAAATTATTGACGTATAAAACAGAAAAAGCCAAAGGAAATTTTATTTAAAAATATAAAATTATTGCCTTGGTTTTGAAATTAGTCAATGGACGATCAAACCATTCCAATATTGCTTCTATAAGATTAATGAATGAAAATATACTATAATATTTATTTTCTTTTTTTTCTATTTTTTCAAAAAATTTAAAATAAAAGACAAATTCACAAAAAATTCCCCGTGATAATTTATCAAATTATCACAAATTCTGACCTAGTATAAAAAAAGAAAGTTCATTAAACCCCTTTTTAAAAATTTCCTAAAAAAACCTTCATCTTCAGTGTCTGGATAATCCACCATTTTTATTTCCTTCTTCTTTTCTTCTTCAATTTTCTCTCCTCCAAACTTTTCCCACAAAAACTCTTCATCATCCATTTCTTTAATATAATCCAAAAATTGTTTTTTATGTTTAATATTTTTAATTGGATTTGGTTTTAATTTAATTCCATTCCATTTTACTGTTTCTAAAACTTCTACAATACGAGCAATTCCTTTAGTTCCCATTTCTTCTTCATCATCATCGGAATCATTTGGTTGGTTATTCTTTAAATAAAGACATTAAAGTCCCTTAACTTTTATTCTGTGGAGAAATATCGGGATATTTTAATTAGAGATGAAATCCGGTCCGAATCCATGTTCGGATTTTCATGATTTTGATCAGGAAAATCCGGCCCGGATAAAAAATTTAAATCCCAAAACTGGATTCAGCATTTTCCAAACTTTCAACTCTAATTATAATGTATGAAAAGGGGTTTTGGATTTTATTTACATTGCCTTATTAAAGAAGTTTTTGTATTTTAGAACCAACATAAAAGCGCAAGGGGTTAGTTTTCTCTCATGCCAGCAACCCCGATATGTTCTCACCAGTGCTTCGAAATTTCAAATTTGCTCGTACTCGTACTTCGTACCACCTCTTTTTTTGGCCTCGTACTCGTACCTCGTACCACCCCCATTTTTTTGCTCGTACTCGTACCTCGTACCACCCCTATTTTTGGCCTCGTACCTCGTACTTACTCGTACTTGAGGAAAAAGCAAAAAATCAAAAATTTTTATGATTTTTTGGACCCAGGGCATCTAGTTTTAAATTTTAAGCGTTATACGTTATATTTAAATCTTGGAAGGCCTTGAAGTTATAAATCCTCCAATTTCATCCATTTGCTGCGCCGCAGGCGAAATTTTTGAGCATTTTAGAGTGCAAGGAGAAATATTTCCTCCAAGATGGGTCGTGCTACCCGAGATCCTACATTTTTTCATGCGATTTTCATTTTCTTACATGAAGCTTTTTATCTTTTCCACTGAACTTTTCACATTTTAATCTCCTTATATCCCTCTTAATCTCAAATCCTTTTTTTCAAAAATTTTGAGAATTTTGGATGTCCTTAAGTCAGATTTCTTCTATTTTTGCGCCGCAGGCGAAAATTTTGAAAAATTTTGAAGGCCGTGAAGCCAGATTTCTTTCATTTTTCACCGCCGAAGGCGAAAATTTTAGAATTTACAAGCCAATAAGTCACATTTCTTATTTTTTCAGCGCCGCAGGCGAAAATTTTGAAAATTTCCGATTACCGTAGGCGAAAAAAATTCACTTTTAGTGTGCAAAAAAAAAAATAAGAATTTTAGATGGTCAAAATCTCATAATTAATCCAAGCAAAATTACAATAATTTAAAAAAAAATTAAAATTATAAATAAGTTATTTATGAAGAGAAAAATATTAAAAATCCTTGTCCAGTGAATAGGAAACGAACCCAATATTAAATCATTATAGACTTTGGTGCAGCCAAGCACCTTCACCAATCGCTCATATAATGAAAAATGAAAGGAACAAAATAATTTTCTTTCATTTTCCTATTAACACCAAGTACGAGAAGTACGAGCTCGTACTTAGGCCTCGTACTCGTACTTATTACTTTTTTTGGCCTCGTACTCGTACTTCGTACCTGCCCAATTTTTTTGCTCGTACTCGTACTTCGTACCAGGTACGAGTACGAATTTTGGTACGAGCTTCGAAGCACTGGTTCTCACCACACATCTGGGATTATTCCAAGAATTACCAGCGATTAAAAATTTTTTACAAAAGAAATATTTTAATTTTAAAAATTACCGATCCTTCCTCATTAAAAACATTAATTATTTCAATATTGTGTGAAAGAGCAAATTTATTTAATTTTGCAAAATCAAATGGAGTTGAATTTAATTTATTATCAAAACTTCCAGAATTTGTCCAATTTTTTATAATAAGTGTCTAAAAATATTAAAAAAAAATAATTTTTTTAAATAAAATTTCCAAAAAAACCTTAACATCCAAAGACTCAATTTGTGAAATTTTAGAAAGTTTATCCAAAAAAAGTTCATTTATTTCAACAAGAAAAGCACAAACAATTAAAGCAAGAAATGAATTTTCGTTTTTTTGTTTTGATCGACTTTCTGTAAAATCTTCAAATGAATTAAAATTAAATACTGGGACATCACAAATATAATATTTTGTGTTTAAATGAAGAATTGTTGATGAACTTAAAAATATTTTTATAGATTTTTATATTTTCCGTTAAAAAGGTTAAACAATTAAATATTTAATTTAAAAAAATATTTCCTATTTGGCTATAATATCTCTAGTCCTTTATTGCTCGGGAGCTAATCCGTGTTGGGTTCCAAGAATGGAAACCCACTCTTGGGACGAGCCGAATTCAAATTGAAAAGAAAACTATTTTTTAATTTTTTATCCAACAAATATATAAATTCTAAAGGGGGAGAGAGAGACTCGGCCAACTTTTGGTTGAATAAGAACTTTAAATTTTGGCCAGTCCTTTCTCGCGTTTTGAGCATCAAAATTAGGCCGTAAACCATTTCCTAAATATAATAGCGGCTATCAGAACGTCAGTTCATCCATAACCACGCAAAAACAAATTTAAAAATAATTAAAAAACCTATATTCCTTGTTTTCATTAGAATTTGCTGTCAAATGTTCCAAAACCTTTTGTAAAACAAAATTATCCTTGTCATTAACAAAAGCGCAAGCAGTAATTAAATTATCTTTTGACATTATTTTGTTTATATTTTCAAAAAAAAATATTTAAAGATTTTAAAAATTAAAAAAAAACTTCAAAAGAATTATAACCTTTTTTACAAAAAAAACAAACAAATAACAAAAAGTCAATTTATTTTTACCCACAAATCTCAAAATAATACAAAAAATGTTTGGTGTATTTAAATAATAATAATAGATATTTTTATGTAGGTGTCTGAATGAATAGATGTGTGAATTATAAAAAGTAAAACGGTAGATTTTAATTGTTGATTTTGTATACACCAAAAAATTTCAAAAAAAACTTTTTAATCCTTTTACAGTTTTTCAAAAAAAATTTTTTAGTATTTACAAAACCAACAATTTCCAGAAAAGAAAGTCTTTTTATTGTTTCATTTTTTCGTTTGTTATCCAAAAAGGAAAGGCTAAAAATAAGAGCACATTAAATAGAAAGGATATGATGGTTGTTAGGTTATTTTTAGGTTTAGATTTGCTTAAAAAGAATTTTTAAAATATTCTTTCCAAAATTTAAAGAAAAAACAAATCAATCCCTTTAAACGGTCAAATAAATAATTTAATAAATTTTAGATTATTTGTTTACAACATAAGGAGAAATTGGAATTTTATTCTCCTTGAAAGAGAAAATATAATTAATTAATATTTATATACTTTTCTTATAGCTATATTAAAAGATTGGAGCAATTAATTAGAAAAAAACAAGATAACCTTTATTTATATATTTAGACAAATGAAAATTAAAAGAATTTTAAACAAATGATTTTTAACAATTAAACTTTAAAAAATTCTTTTAATTCCCCTTTAACCAACAATCGATCACAAATAAGAACAAAAAAACATACATTGTATAGTAACCATAAAATAAATATTTCGAAAAAAGAGCAAACAGTTAAATACGTCCAGAAAATTTATGAGAAAGAGTCAACAGGAAGGGCGAAATTTTAAGAAAAAAAGGTCCAGAATCTGCCAAATAGAATAATTCCCCAAAAAATGTCACAAATATGTCATCGCTCAATAGACAATTCCAAGGTCCTTAATAAAATTAAAAAAACCCTTCAAGTCTGTTTAGAAGTCCCCGTCTTTGTTTGCTGCTTCTTAGAAGTGTTTGAAGTATTTCCAACATTACCACGTTGTTTGGGGGCATTCCCGTTAACAGCATTCCCACCATCAGTCGAATTTCCAGGAGTGAGTTGTTGTCGACGTCTTGGAGCCACAATTCCATTTGAATTAATATCAGCGAGCAAAGCTGGGTCAATGCCCTTAGCCTTTAATGACTCGAAAATGTTGCGTTGAATCTCAGCGAGTTGGTCAGGAGCGATGGAATCAGATTTGAGCACAATTCCATTTTCCTCTACTTGAGCAATAAGTCCCTTCTCTAAAAAAGAAAGAAAATACCCTCAAAATAATTCTAAAAGAAACCTTGGTTAACAGGACTAATTTGTCCTCCCAAACCAGAATCTACAGAGCTAACTAAACTCGAAGGACTGTTTGAGCGTCGCACAGCTTGGCGCACAGAAGCTGCAATAGAATTAACATTTCTGTTGTCATTAATTTCTTTTCGCTGTTCCTCTAATTTTTTGTTATTGTCAATGATGTTTTCAGTCGCTTTCACAGGAATTACTTTAAAAATTAAAAATAAAATAAACTTTAATCAAAATTTAATTAAATACCACTTCCAAACTGATTCAACGACTCAATCAGTGATGTAAATGCATTAGTATCGCATAAAAAGCGTGTTGTCAACGCTGTTTCCAAGTCAACAGTTTTGGCCGCTGAATTACGTTTCTCAAGGTCTGCGGCGATTTTTACGTTTTTAATTTTAGCAATTTGTTTAATGTCTTCGGTTCTTGAAGCAAAATATGCAAGTCCATCACGATGGCATTGAGAAAGTTCAGACATCAATTCCTGCTCTCGTAGAGAAATTGCGTCGCGAATTTGCTGTAAAAATTAAAACAAAATTAATGTCGGACAAACAAAATTTCAAGTCAAAAACCGTTAAACACCGCTGAATATTCTCGCGAGCATAAGTAACTTCGTTTTCAAAAAGAGTTCGATTTTCGTCCAAATAATTTGAATATGTACTGCCCGTCAAAGGAATTGTAGCATTATTAGCTTCTGCAAAATAGACGTATTTTAGAGTGTGAAAGAAACCATAGAAATACCTAAATTCACAGAAGCCAACTTCTTAGGTTGAAATTGTTGAGCATCCGGCATGAAAGAAGTCATATCACGTTGAGGAACAAAATTTTGAATGGGACTTTTAGCTATGGCAACGGACGAAGGTGGAATTGTATGTCGTTGTTGGCCGTTTTCCACAAGCTCGTTATTCTCGTCATTGAGCAAAATTTGTTGTGATTGATGCAAAACAGGCGTGGCAAACCCAGTAGAGTTTGCGGGAGAAGGTAAACTTGAAACAGAACTTGTCCCAAGACGTACTCTAAAATAAGGCATCAATTAATGTGAATATTCTAAAGGAAATTAAATAAATACTCTTTGGTCATCTCGCCATTGTTACTCCCTCCACCGCCCTTTGCCGCCTTGGACTTCTTTTTGTTGTTTCGCTTTTTAGTGGTCCCAGTCTTCTCCCAATCGCCGAGAGCGATTTGAGAACCGCCTAAAGTTTAGATATTAAAATTAACAATAAAGGATGAAAGAAGGGTGAGTGTATACAAAAACAATTTTAAAAGGTAAAAATAAATTTAGAAACAATTCCAAGAAATTAGATAAAAAAACTGATTCCCTTAATTTTAAAAATAATAAACCTTCACAAAATGCATGAATTGTCTTTTCAACGTCCAATTCGAAATTGTGTAAAGCCAACACAATGTCATTAGTGCTAACATTTTTAACAACTTCTCGCACTTTTGAAATCTTCTCATCCATAAGCTTTTTCTCAATTTTTGGTTGAGAAGCAGCAGAAGCGATTGACGATTGTGGTGCCGTTTTCATCATAATAGTAATTAAAAAGTTTTAGTAATTAAAATTGTTTTTAAGAAAATATTAAAGAATATATATTTGTTGCAGCAAGCAATAAAAGGGTTGAACTTCTCTGAAGGAAAAATAAAAAGTAATTATTATTTAGTTAATATTTAAAATATTGCCACATAAAGAAACAAAAAGAAAAAACTATTTAAAATGTCTATCAAAAATGAGAGACATTAATTGACAACCAGCAAAAAAGGCAAAAAAGGTGTGAGAAAAGAAAAAGCTTAGAAACTGTCTGGACTGATATATACAAATTTTGATTGCATATGAATAGTTGTATGTGAATAAGGGGGGAAAGGAGAAAGAAGAGAGGAGGAAATAACAAATAAAATTTAGCAAGGAATTAAAAAGCAAAGAATGTGTAGAAGAAGAGGATAATGAAAAAAAAGATGGTGCGATTTGTGTAAAAAAACGCGCAACCAACCAACAGAAACTATTGGCATGTACAAGCAATCGAAAAGTATATTGAGCTACATACATCGCTCTCTTCTCAAAAACTTCCACTATCCATTTATCGGGGTGTAATAGGTAGAAGGGATGGAAATAAAAACTAACAGTACTAATCTGGCTCCCACATATTTTGCCAATCCCATATTTTGTCAACCAATGTTTTGCCAATTACCAAAAGAGGCAAAAATGTCCAGAAGAAAATCCCAAAAAATTATTTAAATGTTGGCATTTTGTCTAAAAAGTTATTTTCCCTAATTTAGTCTGACACGTCTTGTCTGGCGCCAGACGGGTGTCACAACTACCTAAATTTGTTTGGAAAAGAGAAGTGCAAGACTCAATCATAATCATTAGGCAATTATTGATTGATTGACATTTCTGCGACTTTTTGGAGTAAAGTGCAAAATGTAGAGTGAATAATTGTGACTGCAAAATAATGAATGGAGCCGTTACTAACTAAACATTCCTTTAATTTTTTCTGTAGAATCTCTCTCGTTCAGTTAAAAGTGTATTATTTATCCTTTAATCGCTTATTGCAGTAGTGATTCGAGGGGACAGACTCCCGTACCTTGAAAATTTTAATGCCTGTTAAAAATTTCTTTATTTTTAAAATTTAAATGCAAAAATTACATAATAAATGAGATGATTTGGCATATTCAATATATTATACTTGAAAAGAAAAGCAAAAAAAGATAAAATTAAATCAATTATTTTCTTAAAAATTTTCAAAAAAAATTAAAATTCAAAAATCAATCATGAGCAACCAATTTTCCATAATAAGCGTGCAATGCTTTTACTTTTTCTCCCAAAAGACTTTGCTCTAATTCGACTTCTCCGTCAGATGCTGCCAATGCAATAATCTAAAAAAAAATAATTTTTAAATAAAATTTTTAAGGGAAAAACCTGATCGACAGAAGTATTTTTAGGTAAAAAATAAACAACATTTTGTGAGATCTTTTTTGCATAATTAAATATTTTGACACCATCTAAAATAATGTCTTTTTGTAAATCAAATTCTTCTTTTCCTGATTTTGCATAAGAAGGTCCACCCCAAGGTGGGCTTAAATAAACAGCATCTATCGCAAATGGATAAAGATCGGTTGTGTAAGGATATGAACTGAAAAGGAAAAATTAATGGAGTGTTGTTGAGAATAAATAAGTGGTTTTTTTAGCTTAACAATTTTGAATACTTTGATAGAATTATTTAAGATAATATTTTCTAATCAATCAAAAAAACCTTTTAACAATTTTATTTTCCTCCTTATATTTCCTTGCTCCAATTAATGATTTGCAAATATGGAAAAAATTTCCACAAATAAAGTTTATTCTGTCGCGGGCACCATAAATTTGTGCATTTCTTGCTGAACAACGCAATTTCACTGGATCAATATCAATTGCATAAACTAAAAAAAGAATTTTCTTTAAAATTAAAATTTTTTCTTTAATTTCTTACCGAAAGCACCCTTCAAAGCAAATTGAATAGAATTTCCCCCAGAACCAGCAAATGCATCCAAAATTATACAATCTCTAATTCGGACAAGACGATCAGCAACATGTTGTGCAAGCATTTCTGGTGTAACCGAAAACCAGGCTTCACGATCCAATAAAATTCCCTCATCCAATTTAGTAAAGTAACGATAACGTTGAAACCAATATTTCATCATTTCCTTTAAAAAATAATTTTATAACCCTTTGATAACCTTATTATAAAAAACCTTATCATCAGAAAAATATTTGCGAGCCCTTTTAGCAACCAATTTTCTATCTCGTTTTGGATCAAAAGCAAAATCAAAGTTTAATTTATCCTCAAAATTCAATTTTTCCATAGAAATATTTATTGACAAAGAATCTTCTGAACCTTCAATTAAAGAAGTATTTGATTCTACTTTACTAGCTGTGCCAGATATTTGTAAAGAACTTGTAGTTGCCGATAAAGATGATGATGTTCTTGCCTTTGCTTTTTTCCGTTTTTTCCCTTCAAATCCTGAAAATCTTTTGCAGTCTTCATTTTGCCAAAATTTCGCAAAATCAAGAATTCCAGCACTGAATTTACTACTTTCACTAAAATTTTAAATAAATTTTATATTTACTATTCACTAAAACAAACCTTCCATCTTCACTACCATTAATTTTTTTCTTATAAGTTTCTCCATTTAAATCAAAGCCAGTTGCGAATCCAAAACTACGAACCTGAAAACAATTTAAAATAAAATTATTTTAAAGATTACATTTTTTTCAAAATCTTTGCAGAATTTTTGCTTTTTTGTCGGTGCTTTATTTTTAACATTTTCAGCATTTGAACAATCAATTTCATTTTGTGATTTTTCTTTTTTGACGACATCTTCGTCCTTTTGCATATTTGTTGAAACTTCTTGAATTTGCTCTTCTAATAAATCCTCTTTTGATTCACTTTCATCAGCAACAAATTCACCTTCATCATCGCCTTGACGTAACAGATCCATATCGCTAAAAAATTTAAAGTATTAAAAATTTTTCAGCTAGAGAATTCGTTTTAAACAATATTTAACAGTCAAGATTATAAAACTACACATGGTCCACATCAATAATTGCCAGCGGTCAGTAACGAAAATATTTTAACAGGCCTATGGTTCAGGATATCGAGACAGTGCAAATCAAATTTTAATTAAATACTCACTCAATGTAGACACGCGAAAAGACACAATGAATGTGGGATTTTTTCTTTACTTCCGGATTAATAAATTCAAGATCTGCATCAATCAAAACTGACCAATCGAATGCGTATTCTTGAGAAGTTTTTGTTTCGTTTAACACTGAGGAATAATCATTAGAATTTTCATACATCTAAAAATTAAAAAAGAACCGGCAATTATTTAATAATTAAATGGTAAAAACCAAAATAAAAATAAATAACTAAAATTTATTAAAATTTTATACAAATAACAATTTGGGCAGTCAAAAATTATGTAACTTTGTCTGTTAGAAGGAAATGAGATCAATTAATGTGGGTTGACTTAATATTAAAAACAACAGATTACCTCTATATTACCTAACAATAAGTGAGAATAAAAATTAACTAAAATATACAAAACATTTAAAATCATTTCTTTCGCTTCTTCTTTTCCATTAACATGCTTGCCTTAAAATATTTTTATTTAAATAAAATCTAAAAAAACAAACAGTATTTCCAAGGATAATTCGTTTCTTCTCCTCATCATCAATAGGTTCAGCCAGAAATCTCTCAATTCCAGCTTGCCGAGAATTTCGTAAAAATTTTTGATTAATAAATTGTTGGAGAAGGACCCGTTTACATCTTTGTTTAATTGCTAATGCTAAATCTAACCATGTCCAATTCTTGTCGTGATATTCACAATTTGGGAAGGTCAAATTGAAGCGATCTACATCCTCCAGATTTTTCTCTTTATTTCCCTAGAATGGTAAATAGTTATAATATAGTAAATATTACATTTACATCCCCGAATTTAGTGTCAAAATTGCTATAACTCCAAAATTACAATTTGTCAATTTGCAAACAGAAGAGGAACAGGACATTGGGATTAGGAAATAAAATTTTAAATGTAAACAAACCTTATACGAAACAAGAAAGGGAACAGCTGGGATGATTATGTAAACGAACATATTGTTTTTCTCTGAGCGTTCCTTCATTTTATCAATTTCATCTCGAATTGCAGCATATTGTGCAGCTTTAGTTTTTGTACTTCTAAATGAGTGATTAACAGCACCACGAATACGTTGAGCGAAGGAAAGTGGCTAAATTAAAAATAAATTTTTTAATATTAATTAAAAAAACCTGTTGATTATGTTGCTGTTGGTCATCAGAAGTATCCAAATTTTGTTGATCTTCCTTCTCAATATTACGTCCAGGAAAGAAATATTGCATCATTTTTTCGAAAAAACGATAAGTAATTTGAGCATGCATTGGGGCAATATTAACTTTAAAATTAAATTTATAAATGTCTATTCTACAATAAAACCTTCAAAATGCTCTTTAATACTAATTCCACCAACGGCAGGCAATTCTCGACAAATAACACGCATAGCTGGTGTTACATCAACACTAGTTGTAGTTTGTAGACGAGCTAAAGTCTCCTAAATGATAAGAAAACTATTAGTATGAAAAAGAAGATTATAGAATTTTTAACTCAAAGTAACAAATTATAATTGTTTTACAACTAGTACACATAGGAAAAATCTCCCATATGCAAATTAAATTTATTTTGCATCAATTAAGAATGATATAGTTATCATATATAGGCGCTAGGGCGGCTCCCCTTGTCAGCATCTTTTAATCTTAAACAAAATTCTAAATTATAAACATACCTTGTATTTGCTGTTGGGTAATAAATTCAATACTTTAACAACACCAATCTCCAACAAATGATCACCAGAATTATCAATACGCGCTGTTCTTGTATAAAGAAAATTTCTAATTTGAACTTCGGAAAGTGAAATTTGACCATCATTCTCTGTTAATCGCCATATGCAATTTTCGAAGCAAACTAAAAAAATATTTTTATTCATTTTAATTTCACAAAATCTTTATAAGGTTACCTTCAAACAGTCTAGAAATGAATGGCTTTTGTTCATCATCTCCATATACTTCTTCACTACCAACACGTAATTGAGTTATAAATTTTTGTGCTCGTTCCTCAACTTCTTTCTCTTTATAACAACTTATCATCATGACAAGCTCATCAATAAGCAAATTTTGTCGTTGTTTGTATTCATCAATGTCTGTTTGTAATTGGTTATTTTCTAATTCAAGTCTTTAAAAAATAAAATTAAAATATTTAAAATATTTGTAAAAGTACTTTGGATCCATAGGATTCAATTGCATCTCCTTATTTAGAAAAAATGCTTGTCGTTCCAAAGCACGTACTAAAGAAACAAGTTCACGAAGATCACTCTATCATTAAAAATATATGTTAAAAATAGAAATTAAATAATAACCTGCATTTTTTGAATTGAGACACGAACACTTTGCTTTGGTCTTTTGAGCAACTCAAACCACATTCGTCTCCTATTTTCTTCCGATTGAGTTTTTCGAGGATCGATGAACATGATTAGATTTTGTAGGATATCAATACACATCTAAAATAAGAGAATATCATGCATAATATTTTAATTGTATTTTGAAAAATAACAAGCCTGATATTGTTCTGAATTTGTACAAACTTCCAAAATATTGTGCTTTAATGTGAATGTGTCAACCTCCTCACAATGTCGCACACCCAAACTGCCTCGCTCTTTTGTTGTATTAGCCTAATTGTACGAAAAATAATTTTTTAAATAACAAAAAATAATCTCTCACCGCTGGAATTGTTATTTCCAAATCTTCCAATTCTTCAGTGCCAAGCATATCAGAGAAACAACAAAAGAAAAGCTGGCAGCTGCATCTTGAAGCAACTCTTTGTAATTGAATAGAGGAAGATGAATCAATAGAAATTGTGCTATTATCTAAATTAATTGTAAACAGCATTAGATTGATAATCACTAAAATCAATAACTAACCTACTACAACACCACCAACAGCCTCACCAGTTGTTGAAAAATCTTCTACTTTGCTTTGTTGCTGATCAGTCGGCATCTGTTTCTCTTCAATTATATCACGATTAAGCCAACGGAATTCTGTTGGTTTAAGGCTGCAATCGTCTTGGGCAATAAATAAAGGTGCAAAATACTAAAAATTTTCTCTAGTAATAGAAGGAAAGAAAAATAAAAAGAAACCTGCATCCCTGAAAGTGTTGTAATCCAAGATTTCTTCAATAGTAATTGCTTCCTTCTCCAAACAGGCACATGTAACCTTTGCGAAACAGACGCTCGTGCTGCCGTCACCAGCATAAAGCCACCAACCTTTTCTGAACTTTTTAAAACCAATTGACTGTTTAATAGATCAACTATTAGAAATTAAAGATAATTATTAAAATGGAGAAAAACATTGTACTTTGCCAGTTTATTAAGATAACATCTTCCATTGTACATATACCAACACCATTGAGTGAATCAGTTGGATTTTGTGCAATCTTAAAAAGAAAGAATTACACAACTATATTTAATGTTTAAAAAGAATGTGGATTTTTTATATACTACTATAGTTTAACACAAGAAGAATAGGAAACAAAGATCATTATTTAGAAAAAAGAAAATATGCTAACTTAAATAAAAGAGTTTAATATAAATTAAAACATTAATATTAATACTGAACTAGCATTTGTAAGAAGAATATAAGAAAAGGAGAAATTAATAAAATAAAGAAAAAGGGAAATCACAAAGAATAAAAGAAAAAAACCTCTTCGCTATAAGCAACCAAATTAGTTTCTGCTTCATCTACTAATCTCCAAAGCATTTCACGATCGTCAAACAAGCTTCCAGCATCTCCATTTTCATGACGCGGGCTTCCAGAATTGACAGCAATTCCTCTCTTGACAGATGGATTTCGAGTAGTTCGTTGTGATGATGTACTGTTGGAATTCAAGCGACTTATTCCTGGGATATTTGACGAATTAGTGCTTGTGGTTGCTTCATCTCCAAACTGGAAAAATGAAAATAGAAAGTATAAAAATTCTATTTACATTAAACATTTTCAATGCTTCATTTGTCAGAATTTTTCGCAACATATGTGCTTTCTGTACCCCTTCAGCAATAACTAAACAAATATCACGGTTGTCAATTGTCCAGGATGCCTTCAAATCAGTAATTGTCAAACGATGTACTGCTGTTCCCAAACAGGTAGATTGACTAGATTCATCACTATTTGGATTTGAGGAATATTCAGTTCCATATTGAAAAGAATTTTTCTGAAAAAAAATTACGGATAGGTCAAAAGGAAAAAATTTAAATTTATTCTATTACCTTACTCTGCCTTGCTTCACGTATATAAGTAAGACGGGAAAGGCCAACAAAGAATGAAGAATTACTGCTATCTGTTGGAATATGCTCATCACGAAGTAAATCTTCATCATTTGGTTTAACCTTATATAAATGAATTTGGGTATTTTCGAGATGAGCAGTCACATGAGATATTTTCCAATCAATTCTTGATCGTCTAGAAATGCGATCCTAAAAATCAGTTTTAATTATAGTAAATAATGAATATTAAAAATACATTAGAATGATGTTGATGTACTTGTAATTGAGCAGATAATGTAAATTTAAGATTATCACTTATCACTCGGAACCCGTGTGAGGAAGAGAAAGACATCCAATAAGAGATTGAAAATCTTTGCAAAGTTGAACTGAGATTCATATTCCTTAAAAAAATTTTATTAAATAAAAAGATAAAAATAAACCTAAAATGTCTACTTAATTGATAACGTTTTGTTGTTTGAGTTGAAAAAATAGGTCCTCGTTTGACTGGTCTGTTTACAGTCATAAGTGTTTTCTGAAAAAGCAAAAATACATAATGGGAATATAAACAATGTTCACTGTTTTTTTCATTATATAAAATAACTATTTACTTTTGTGATGAAAAATTAAAAACAAACAATGAGAAAATCAAGGCATTTGAAGGTATTGGCATACAGTTGAATCTGTGGGAACTGTCGTTTGATGTTATTCTCATCGCACTCACTAATTTCAAAACGAATATTTACATCAACACAAGAAGAACGAAAAGCTCGATAAGAATCATGACCCTTAAAATTGTTTCATTCATTTAAAAAATAGAGTAATAATAAACAAACAATATTAATAGAATATTCTGGCAATTTATCAGGAGCACAAGGCTGTACTGAATGGTGGTCATGTTGATCACCAAGACAAATCCAATCTAAACTTATAGCGCAAATTAGGCGGGGGAGATGCAAAAGTCTAGAAAGAGAAATTATTCTATAATTGTTTAAAACAAAGTCAAAAAAACCTTCTGTCGTCATATTTACTGGCTGTTCGAATATACGCATCAACATCAGATCGAATATTGAATTCACCTAAAAACATAATAAAAAACGACCAACACAAAATCTGAAACCAGTTAGCCAATCAAATTCAAAATCCTCCCAAACAATTTCCACCAATTCAGTATCATTATAAGGATCAGTAGAAGCAAGCATAGATGTTTGTAGCCGAGTACAGGACATAGCAAAACGTCCATGTAAAAGTAGTCTTAGTTTGTCCCAAAAAGGAAGAGGTTCTGAAGGATCTTTAGAAGGCGCATTTATAAGACTCCAACAAAGACTAATCATTGAAAGACAAGGCTCCCAACAAGGGCCATAAGTAACTTTTAAGTCAGAAATTTCTATAAAAATAATTATCAATTTTATATAGAAATTCTAAATCAAACCGCATTTAAGATCATAAAAAAATTTGAGTGGGCACATGCTTCGTTCAATAATAAATCTTCCCCAAGGCTCTGGAGTATCAATAAATTGGTGACGAATTGATCTGCTTTCTAAATTAAATGGTAATATTTTGGGACACGCCCGAAACGGCGCGGGCCAAAACGGCGCGACCGAAACGGCGCGACCGAAACGACGCAGGCCGAAACGGCGCAAGGCCAAAACGGCGCACGGCCCAAAACGGCGCAAAAATTTCCCATAAGCTACATATTGTTACGTGAGGTTTAGCTCGAATGGTGATCGTATCTTTTGGTGGAACAAAAAATAGCAGATGAAAGGTCGCATTTGGACAACACCTTGTGATAACAGAGTGATAACAAAAATTAAGAGTGATAACAAAACTATTTAGATCGTATACTTACTAGTAAGTATAACTGCGAGAAATAACTGCGGGATTCAGATAGTTCCAATACTACTAGTTAGTTTCCCCTATAACTACATACCGTAAATGCTCTAATTGAAGCACATGTGCTTCTATTTTTCGATCCCCTCGTAGGGTGTGCTTCTATTAGAGACTGTGCTTCAAATAGAGACTGTGCCTTTATTTTTCGATCTATTTTTCAAATTTTTAAAGAAAATTTTATACCACACATAAAACAAAACAAAAATTAAATTTCAATAGAATTATCGCTGTCAATTCCATTTTCATTATCCTCATTGAGAAACCCACTCGTATGACATCAAGGGATCAAAAAGGATATGGTGGATTGGAGGGATATCGAGGTTTTAAGTGATTAAGTAGGATATCAGTAGATATCAAGTGATTTAGAGGGAATAGGAAGGATATTGTGGATTTGGGCGGTTGGTAGGAATATTAAGAGAATTATAATAAGTTTTCAGTGGCAATTCTCAAAATATCTCTTCGAAAAATATCTTCGATATCTGTCCAAATCCTCGGATTTGGACAAATCCTCGGATTTGGACTGTGCTTCAAATGGAGCCTGTGCTTTAATTTCACCTGATATCCCTCTTAATTCCTAAAATCCCACCCTCCCCAATCTCTCGATATCTCCTTGAATCCTTTATTTACTTGTTAATGCCCTAAATTCCCTCTTAATCACCTAATCACTCTATATCCATCAATGGGGATCAGTTGAGGTATATAAATGGGGGAATGTAACTTTTTTAAGAAAAATGTAACTTTTTCAGTGTATACTAGGGGGTGTGCTTCTATTAGAGACTGTGCTTCAATTAGAAACTGTGCCTTTATTTTTCGATCCCCTCGTAGGGTGTGCTTCTATTAGAGACTGTGCTTCAAATGGAGCCTGTGCTTTAATTAGAGCATTTACGGTATATTACTAGTTAGTTCCCCTAGAACTATATAGTTATCCCCATATTACTACTGTAACCATCTAGACTTTAGTTATTTTTATTCTGGTCGTTGATGTCGGAACAGCCTTCACCGTTGTTGTAACAACTTTTCTCAACGTCTGAACGATCTTCCACAGTGTTGAAACAATTTTCCCGTAATGCGCAAAACCTTATTGCAGATTTTAAATAATTCGAAGGATCAGTGTACGCAATGGTGGCTAATGATCGATCACTAAGGTCAGATCGATCACAAATAGGTTGATCATAGAGATCAATTGATAAATCTCACAGTTGATCAAATGATGATACACGATTAATCACTATCACTGTGCAGTGTTTAGAGTTTGCGCCGTTTTGGGCCTGCGCCGTTTTGGCCTTGCGCCGTTTCGGCCTGCGTCGTTTCGGTCGCGCCGTTTCGGTCGCGCCGTTTCGGTCGCGCCGTTTTGGCCCGCGCCGTAATGGGCTGTACCCTAATATTTTATTGCAAAACAAATTTACCCATAATTTGTTCAGCTCCAACCAAAGTTCCCCAAAAATGGGCTTTTTGTAAATTCATATAAGGAAGAGGATAATCACGAAAATTCATTCGACTTTGGACTGCTTCTAGCTCGACAACACGAGCCCAAAGTGTGGAAAATTGAGGATCATTGATAGAGAAATTACTTGAAATTAAAGATTTATTAAAAAAATAATCAAAAAAACTAACGATTCAGAATTAAAAATATGAATATAATCAAGAACATTTTCTCTTCCATGCAAAGACAGATCAGCAAAAGCTCGCAATTCTAATTCATTAATTTCCCAGTGAAAAAGACACCGGTCTAGCTGTTGTTGTCGAACTTTTTGAATTCTTTCCATGTAAAGCTGACCATCTTTCTTTATTAGAGATTGATATAATGCATCAATTTTATTACCTGAAATGAATGTAAATTAAATTTACTAAACAAAAGAATAGCCTATTTTGGACAATTTATCCCAAAAAAGTATAGCAGGGGAGTGCAATAAAAATATTAAATACTTGGAAAGAAAGGATCCTCCTTCTTAAGTTGAGCAATTTTTGCATCTAAAATTTGCTTCCTTCGTTCTCGTTCAAAAACTTCATCCATTTGGACTTCATAAATATTTTGAAGTTGAATTTCAAATGGATCATCCTCGATGCGAAGAGTAACAATCTATTATTAAAGAATAAATTTGTATAAAAATTAAAATAATCAAAACCTTAAATCTAATTCTAACATCAGCAGGCAATGGAGATTCTTTTGTGAATGGGCGACTCTTTATATTATGAACTAGTTTAATCCATTTGATACAATTAATTAGCTAAAATTAAAAAAACATTTCAATTAAGTTAAAAAATTCTATAAAAATTTCAAAAATTAACATCGTCAAATGAATCAGCAAAATTATAACCATATGGAAAAACAATTTGCAATTGTTCTGCACTCCAAGACCATAAACGATTTGTTTCTAATTCTAATTGAGAGAATCCACTTCGAAGTAATTTTAGAAAAATATCTTCTTTTACACATTCCAATTTTGGTGACTGAAAATTAAAAAAAAATTTATCATAAAGATTCGCTCGAATGTACAAGATTCCCTTGTATGTACAATAAAAATCGTTAAAACCAGGCATAGTCACCTCAAAATCCATAATTATATGCCCATCCATTTCTACTAATAAATTTGGAGCAGCAAATTTAGCGAAACAAGGAGCTGTCCGTTCAAAAGAAAATGAAGGCGATATTAAACGTATCCTTAAAATTAAACAATAAATTTATAATAACGTTAGAAAAAGTAAATTATGATTTATAAATTTTTAAGATTCCCATATGACAAGCTCAAACTTTCTGTACATTCAACAGTCTCAAAATTAATATAAATAATAAATAGCCTACAAATGATTTTGTGGTAGACGAAAGGCCAATTCAAATGAATGTTCAGTTTGGACATCAAAAAGTAAATTTGAAGAGGTAGAAGGTTCTGCATTGTAAGCGGAAGAAAGCGATTTAAATAAATTAGAAAATTTTGAAAGTTTGGAATAAAAGGCTCTAAAACATTTAAATTTAATTAATTAAAATTAAAAAAAATAACTTGATTAAATCATTTAATTTTAAGTGTAGAACAGGAGACCAAGTAAAATCGACAGAACTTCCAAACTTTATAAGAAGAATAAAATCACCTTTAGAACGGTTGAAGGTTATATCAAGTAATTCAAAATTTCCCTTCTGAAAGATTTTTAAATTTTTATTTTTATAGAATAATAAAAATTATTTCAAGTAAAATAAACTTTTAGTAAAACCTACGTATTCAATTGACTCATTAAAATCAAAATTTCGCATACAACCATCCATCTCAATTTTTCCATTTTTCAATTCACCAACTCGAAAACTTTTCACAAAAACATGCAAATTTAATTTTGGCCATTTCCATGAACGCCAAACAAAAATTTTATCAATTCGTAAATTTTCCAATTCAAGGCAAAGCCCGTTATGGAAGAGAAATTTAATTTGACCAAAACAAAACCATCCAATTCCATTTATTTTAGCGAAGTAACAATTTAAAAATCGACGAAGAAACCATGCCAATAAAGTGCTGGGATATCTAAAAAATAATATAAAATGACAAAAAATAATAATCATAATTAACCTAAACAACTGTATAGCAATAACAATTAGAATAACCAAAAGTGTTAAATAAAATCCCATTAATGTGCTTCTTTGCAAATTTAAATGTTTTTTACACTGAAAAAGTAATTATGGATTAATATGATTTTGAATATTATTTTTTTTATTTTTTAATCATTAAAATTTCAAAAATATTCTTAAAATATTTTTTGCATAATTAACATTAAAATAAACAATTAATTTTTTTAAAAATATTTAATACTAGTTTATATAAAAAAATAATTTACAAAAATATTTTAAAAGGCACATATAAAAGCGAATCTACCCGGAGGTAAGGAATGTAAAAATAATTAATGTTTATGTAGAGATTGAAGTTTTGAGATAAGAATTGAGTTTTAATAAGAAAAAATAAAAATTTTCAAATATTTTTTAGAAGACTCTTTCAGAGCCTTCCAATCAATAAAAATTAAAATTGTTTTGGAGAAATTGGGGACTGCGGATTTTAGTCAAAAAACAGACAATGTGAAATTTAGAACAATTAATAAAAATAGATTCAAGAATCAGAATCAGGAAATAAAGCAATAAATATCGAAATTAAAGCAAAACCTAAGACGAGAGATAACATTTTTTGCGGAATATTAGAATCATTATTCAATTCATGTGGAAGAATTTCAAATGCTGTTACATAAAGAAAGGTACCACAAGCAGTTGCCTAAAGAAAAAAAAAATAAAAAATTTTTTTTTGAAAAACCTGTAAAATTCCGGATATAAGAAAAATTAAAGGGCTCCCACTTAAAATTTTTAAGACAGCCAATCCAGTAAAGCCACCAATACAGACTTGTAGGGAAAAAACTGCACAACATAGAACAACGGTTGGAGGATGAAGACGGGATTGAACCAAACGTAGGCCTAGACTGAATCCAACAATTGTTTTGTGAATGAGAAGAGCAAAGAAAACCTTAAAAAATTGAAAATAGTATTTGGTGATGTGCCCTTTGCGGCTCTTACTTTCGACTACCAACCTGCAGTTTAGATATTTTAAGCTCCCCCCTCATTTTTTACGGGCTGAAAGTCAGCTAATAGATTATTTAAATATAATCGTTAGTCCTCTAATCCTTTAAATAATTCGTGCAAAATATAAAGATAGAAACCTGCAATAATAAATTAACATCAGTCATCATTCCAACAGAAAGCCCTTCAAAAACAGCATGTAATGATAAAGCAAAGACCATTAAAAGTATTCTAAATATAGAATAATCTTCATTTGATTCTAATTCATTATCATCATTTTCCAAAAGATGAGCATTTTCCAAATTTTCATTTGAATTGGTTCTTCTGTTTAAAGTTAAAATACCATGACCATCCTCACGGCGGGAAAGACGCTCCATAAATGAATTGCTTAGCCAATTGCGTTTATTAGCATAAATAATTGTCTATAAATTGTCAAAATTATATAAAATATTAAATAAAAATAAAGACAATCATTCTTTACTTTTTAAAAGCAAGACAACCTACGCTACCCCAAACTAGAAAAATTTATAAAGTTGGGTGAAAAGGATATCATAGATGTAAAATAAGGAATTAAAAAATTTCTGCTGTGGCACCAAATTTCAGGTGCGTAACTCGAAATCCAAACTCTGAATATGTCCATGATTGTCAGTAAATGTAGAAATAATGACAAATCGTTTAACATAAAAGAAAAAATAAAAGCATGAACCTGCTCTAAAATTAAAACAATCAGAAAACCAAGCGAAACACAAAACGCAGGCAAAGGAAATTTAATTTGATACCCAAGTCGTTTCTCAGCACTTTTGATTCCGTTAATTGAGTCAGGTAATAAATCAAGTAAACAAGTTGCTAAGAAAACACCGCCACCAAAACAGGAGATTAAAGAGATTAGTTTTCGTCCAAAATGTGAGGAATGATTGCTTTCAGCTCCTCCCATAATATATTTTTTGATCAAAAGAAATGACTAAAAAATTCTTAAAAATATATTAAATATAAAAAATAACCGTTGATGCCAAAAACGTTCCAAAAAATAGTAAAATTAGAAGAACGGCTTTAAAAGCATTAATAGTAGTTATAGCTGAATCTGAAGTTAGCATAATAGGAGAAAAAAATAAATACATCTAAAATAGGAAATAAAAAATTACGAGAAATTTAAAACGTTTTTGATTGTTATTCAGCAATAAAATCGCAAATATTGACTGTATTGTAAACAAATTATTCAAATTAATTACTCTCTTATAAGCAATTTAAATCGAAATATGTATCAATTTTGAATCAATCAATCGATATATCAATTTTGACTAAAATCTTTGAAGGGCAAATTTATAGGTGATCTGTATTCTCTGATTGGTGAAGCGGTTTTCGGTTGTTTGCGAATAGCAGGGTCAACTCGCCATCCTTAAAATAAAGAAATATACCTATATGTAAAGATCAATTTTCTTGGCATTTGTTAAAAACAGCGAGCCTTTTATACTTACATTAGAGGATTAGAGAGGAGGGGGGGTACTAAAAGAAATTTCATGGCTAGAAACAAGAATGAACAATTATTTTTCGGAAGAATAAAATACAAATTTTTACCCTCTGGAAGAAATCCATAATTAGACATTTGTGTGTTGCTACTATATCCGCTTGTTGCCAACGAACTTGTTGGAGGTGTACCACTTACTCCATAACGAGCAGAAGAAAGGACAACAAGTTGAGGAGGCTGTTGTTGTTGGGGTGTTGGTGGAAGATAAATTCCAGAAGAATTATTCGAAACCGATGAATGAACTGAGGCGCTAGCTGAAGCTAATGGGGAAGGTTGATGATAACCACCAAAAGAAGGTGTTGATCGACTACAAAAAACTTGTTTGAAATTTATATTGTGGATCAGTTTTGGTTAGAATTTAAGAAAAGTTTCATTCTTAAAACAGCTAACAATAAATTAATTTACATAAATTGAAAATTTAAAAACCTCGAAATAACAGCATTCTGAGGCAAAATTGGGTTTGAAAACCCAGTACTTCTACTTTCTTCAATTACTACCTAAAAACAAAAATAAAACGATTTATGATGAAAAAAACCTCAAAAGCTTTTTTCAAAAAAGATGGGTCTTTTTGAGCCATTGTCATAAAAGCAAGCACAAATTGAGGCAAGGAAACGTCTTTTAAAACGCTAAAAATATTAAAATTAATTTAAAAAATTTTTAAATTTAATTACTTTTCTAATTGGGTATCCAGATCAACAGTTGGTAATTCTGATGGTTTTGCGATAGATTTACTTTTATTTAGAGCTGTTTTTAGATTGTTCATATTTTCTAAAACTGTACGCTCCCAATTACGGAATTGATCAACATAAATGCCAAATTCTTTGTGGTCTGATAGAGCAGCATGCTCTTCTATAAAAAAATTAATTAGATCCTAAGGGCTATTCAAAAGGAAAATAACTTCCAAATAAACTTAAAAAAACCTCTCCATTTGTCAAAAGCTTCCTTCCTCGTTTTGTACTCATTTTCCAAAACATGGATTGCTTTCTGAATTTCTTCAGACATTAAAACTTTAAAATATCTAAATAAAATAATTTAATTTTAAAAATAATTTACAGATATTGTAAAAAATAAATAATCTATTTAATGATTAATAAAAAGCTAGAAAATGACCAAATTTTTATCGTTAAAAGAAAAACCAGATAAAGAAAATATTTAAAATTTAAAAGTTGTAAAGTAAAATTTGTGTATATAATTTAACAAGAAAAGAGAGAGAAAGGAATTCCAAAAATAATCAAAAACAATTCCATTTTACATTTTTCGAAGAATTTCCGAGACAACAAAATATATAGATTTAGGCAGAACCTTCATGTGTCTTTTTAGGCAACAAAACAGCGTGAATGTTTGGAAGAACACCACCTTGAGCAATTGTCACGCCAGAGAGTAACTGAAAAATATTTTTAGAACTCTTTGGAAAGTTATTTTAATTTAAACAGAAAAAACTTATATTACTTGACGCAAACTTAAATTAAGAAAATTTCCAGACCTTATTTAATTCCTCATCGTTACGCACAGCCAGCTGTAAATGTCTCGGATTGATACGAGTTTTTTTATTGTCTCGAGCAGCATTCCCAGCCAATTCAAGAACCTCAGCGGCTAAGTACTCAAGAACAGCAGCCAAATAGACAGGAGCCCCAGCACCGACACGTTCAGCATAATGACCTTTAATTAAAATGTAATAAAAAAAAATTTAAATAAAAACCTTTGCGAAGTAAACGATGAAGACGGCCAACGGGAAATTGAAGTCCAGCACGTGATGAACGTGATTTTGCCTTTCCTCCAGATTTTGCTTTCCCACCTTTGCCTCGACCAGACATTTTTCAATACGTTCTAAATATAATAGAAAAATTCCTGGATGAAAAAGTGTGTTCTTGAAATAGCTGGGGTATAAATGTATTGTAGTCGGAGCGTTTTATATTGCCAAAAGCTTGTAATGCCAAACCCCCAAAAACTGTTGAAATGCCAAAGCGTGGAAAAAAGCTTGTAATGCCAAACCCCCAAAAGCTGTTGAAATGCCAAACTGTGGAAAAAAGCTTGTAATGCCAAACACCCAAAAGATGTTGAAATGCCAAACCGTGGAAAATAGCTTGTAATGCCAAACCCCCAAGATATGTTGAAATGCCAAATGTTATTCCAACACAACGGGGGATGTTGTTCCGATGATGGGGGAAGTTGTTCCAATGACGGGGGATGTTGTTCCGACGATGGGGGAAGTTGTTCCAATAACGGGGGATGTTGTTCCGACGACGGGGGAAGTTGATCCGTCAACGGGGGATGTTGTTCCGATGATGGGGGAAGTTGTTCCGATGACGAGGCATGTTGATCCGTCAACGGGGGAAGTTGGTCCGTCAACGGGGGATCAACATCACACTTCCCCCATCACTGGAACAAACGTCCCCGTCATTTGAACAACATCCCCCGTTGTTGGAACAACTTTCCCTATAGTCGGAACAACTCCCCCAACCGTTGGAACAATTTTCCCCACAATTTGAACAACATTCCCCGTAGTACCGGCCCCTCCCCGCATTCCCGGCCTAGAGTTTTTCCAGCGAAAATTCAATTGGAACAACAACATCCTTGTTGTTGGAACAAACAAAAAATTTTAACAACAAATTCTATCAGAAATAACAAAAAATTTCTAGTTTTGTATTTATTTGGCATTTAAAGCTTTTTTCCACGGTTTGGCATTTCAACATATCTTGGGGGTTTGGCATTACAAGCTATTTTCCACGGTTTGGCATTTCAACAGCTTTTGGGGGTTTGGCATTACAAGCTTTTTGCATTACAAGTTTTGGCATTACAAGCTTTTGGCATTACAAGCTTTGGCATTACAAGCTTTTGGCATTATAACATCATACCATTGTAGTATTACCCAGCTAGAAGCAGAGTAAATTCCCCTAAGTTATTGAAATGTTTTAACAGGAGTAAAAACGGACCGAATTAATCTGGGCTTGTCCTAAGCGCGAATCGAAAATCTGCACGCGGAAAAATGATTTTATTAAGCAGGAAAATATATTCGACCGATTCGAATATCATTCGAATTGTCTTGAGATTCGACATCGTTTTCAAAATGGCAAGATCTGATAACATAAAAAAGTTACAGCGTGAAACCCGATTTTTTATGCTTGTGACGTCGTTTATCAGTGATAACTTTTTGTAGAATGATTATATCAGATAAGTCCAATTATGAAAAAGATGCAGCACCCCAAGAGGCCTATCAAATCATATATAATAATTTCTACAATATTGATCGAGCAAAAAGTTATGGCCAAAAAGCCCAAATACTGAATCGGCGATACTGAATCGTCCCCCAACCGGTTGAGTCCCCGCCAAAATGTGCTGTTGTGTCCTCGCATTCTCTTTAAAATTTTTTTTATTTTTTTAGTTTTTGTTCCTTGTTTTTGTTTACGAGCGTTAGGACGCCGCTTCGCGGCGTCCTAACGCTCGTAAATCACCTAATTTTTCCAGACAAAACTTAACCATTGCAGGATCACCAAAATTTATAACTAAAATCCATGATAATATCCTTTAGTATGATCTGATATCCATCTTAACCTCCCTAAATCAAAGATACACACTTTATCGCCAAATCCATTTCCCGTCACCATCTTAATACCAACCCAAATCCTTTGAAATGTCATTTATTACACAATCAATCTCAGTTTTCACCATTTATCCATCAAACTCACAAATCCATTGGCGTGTCGACGCAGAAGACCCACAGACAGAAGACCCAAGGACAGAAGAACCACAGACAAAAGACCCACAGACAGAAGACCCACAAGGACAGAATACCCACAGACAAAAGACCCACAACTATTTTTTATTTCCCTTTTATTGTGCATTAATGTTGGCGCGAGGGATGTAGTAGTTCTATCTGTTTTTTACAATAAGAAATTGATCCAACAACGGAAAAGTTGTTTTAATATTAGGGAAGGTTGTTCCAACAATGTGGGATGTTGTTCCAACAACGGGGATGTTATTTTAACAATGGGAATGTTCTTGCAACACGGGTTAAGTTGTTCCAACGTTGGGAATTTTCTGGATTTTGATCAGGAAAATCCAGTGGTTTAGTCAAAATGTACTAGATCCGGTCAGGGTCCGATATAAAAATAGTATAAAAAATTGCTCATTGGCCTTTCTAAATTCAAAATTCCCGACGATGGCAGCAAAAATTAGATCAAAGGGATATTTAGGATTAACTGGATTTTAGTGAGTGTCATTTAAGCCCACATGGAAGGATATAGGATTAGAAGTGATCAAGAGTATCTGAGATAAGCAAGGATATTGGGGATCTCTGGGATTATCAGAGATTAGTCATTATTTCTCAGTAAATGGAGGTGTATCAGAGGATAAAAGCGGATTGGTGGGATTATAAAAGCTTAAAATGATTAAAGCCGTTACAACCTTAAAATCCCGGAACTTATATGGTTTGGGTACTCTTTTTTTAGCCACGCCCTTTTTTCCTTTTCCTTCATGAATCAACCTTAATATGGACAGAATGGTCAGCCTTTCTTTCTTCCTCGATTTTACTTAACTTTTCCTGTGCCATTTTCAGTGAGAGACATTAACAAGGAAAAGATTAATTTTCCTTTCCAATTTCACCAAAATAGAATTAACATTTGAATAAAAATTCTTATTTTTATCTATTTTAATTATTTAAATGGCAATAGGACCGTTTTACCCCTTTTAGAAATTTTTGGACCCCTGTAATTCAGCTCAGAGACTCACGGACCGAGTTTAGTGCCATACGTCTCAGCACAGCTCGATGAGTCGTCTGAGGCAGCTCTATTTCTCTCTTTATTTTAAACAAAAAATTGACCTCAACTCAATTGATTGATGGTTGAACGGGAAAAAGAGTAAAAGAAAAGGAAAAAAAGGCGTGGCTAAAAAAGAGTACCCAAACCATATAAGTTCCAAAATCCCCTAATATATCCGATTTATTGGTTAACAAGGGAACATTTCGAACTGTGACCAAAAATTTTTAAATAAAAATTATACCATCGTGTAGAGCGTAGTCGAAAACGTATTGTGGTGCCCGGCTTTTCTTCCCCTGACCCCCATTTCGAAAAGTTATAGGGCTTCAAAGTTTTAGACTTTTAGAGCGGTTGAGTCACCCTCATAAAGAGAGATTTTGAATTTATTGAGGAGAAAAATAAGACTCCCATCCTCCTTTTCTCCTTTCCTTTTCTTTTCAATATTAGTTAAAGAAAGAGAAAAGGAGGAGAGAAAAGAAAAGGAAAGGAGGCATGTCTGCCATCTCCTCTTTCCTTTTTAATTGATATTAGCCGCAAGGCAGAGATGCTCTTTTCCTTTCCTTTTCTCTTCTATTTTTTTCTTTCTTTAACCAACATGGGAAAAGAAAAGGAAAGGAAAAATGGAGAAAAGGAGTCTTATTTTTCCCTTTAGGAAGAGAAATAATAAGAAAAGTGGGGGTGACTCAACCGCTCTAAAAGTCTAAAACTTTGAAGCCCTATAACTTTTCGAAATGGGGGTCAGGGGAAGAAAAGCCGGGCACCACAATACGTTTTCGACTACGCTCTACACGATGGTATAATTTTTATTTAAAAATTTTTGGTCACAGTTCGAAATGTTCCCTTGTAAGAAAAATATCGTGGTATTCCTTCTTCATATTCCTGTTATACCCATTTTATTATAAGAAATGATTTCGTTGGATTTGAGGTTATACACCTATATCTTCTAAATCCAACGGTATCCCTACATATCCCAATTAATCACCCGCCTCTTCAAATCCCTTTCCAATCTAATGACTTAATCTCACTGATCCCTAAAATTTAACTAAAATTTTATCTATTAACTTTAGATAAAAATTTTTTTTATAATTTACAAATATTTTTGTTAATTTTGTGCCTTGAAAATTGGAAACTCATTCAGAAATTTAAGAAAATTTTTTCTAAAGTTTTAGTTAAAAAATTTTCTTGTGGGTCTTTTGTCTTTGGGTCTTCTGTCTTTGTGGGTCTTCTGTCTGTGGGTCTTTTGTCTGTGGGTCTTCTGTCCTTGGGTCTTCTGTCTGTGGGTCTTCTGTCACTACGCCATCCATTGGTATCCCTCAAATCACCCCAAATTCCAGATATCACTAATACCCTCTGTTATTCCTCTACAAAGCCCGAATTCTGAGAATCACCTATAGCCCTTAAAACATATTAAATACCTCTTAATCAAACAGTCACAGATATCAGAATTTATCCTGGAAATCCTCAGAGATCTCTTTTAACATTATACTCTTAATCACATCCAAAATCTTCTGGTATACCTCTTAAGCGCCACAAACCGTTTATCTCCTAACTCTCTGATTTTACCCTCACACAAATCCGCTAATATCCATCTTAATCGCCTCCCAGATATCACACTCTATAATCCAAAACCCCACATTTTCTTTCATATTCATCATCTTAATCATCTCAAATCCTCTTCCAGATATCCTCAAAAACCCGGATACAAAAGAATTCAAGTCCTCTATTATCCCTCTTTTTCATCTTTTATTCTCAAAATTCTCTGATACATATCTCTCTTATCACTCTCTAACCTCTTTTTCGAAATCTTCTGATCCTCAAACACCCTAATTATCAGCTAGCAGCTTTTTCCTAAAATCACAGATATTATCCTTTACCCCAAAAACCTTTGTTACCCTCTTAAAACATGTATATAAAATCTCTGATATCTCTCTTAATCCCCTTCCCCACCCAAAATACCACATATTCTTTTTTATCACTCCAAATCCTCTTATATACGTCTTTAACACCCCCACCCTCCACACCTCTATATCGTTCGTTACTCCTTACTCCAAAACCCATTCTACCACCCTATATCCTCCAGGAAACTAAAGCAATTCCAACTCAATTCTTCGATTAACTATTATTCCTCCAAATTACCCTTTTCACTTTTCGCTTAACATTGTTCTTTTTCGACTAAAACTTGTTTTTTTAACAAAACCTTAATCATCGATTAGTTCACGTTCCAAGCCAGCTGATATCCTTACTAATAACAAACTCCTCAATTCGAACTACTCAATTCCTTTTATCAATCTTAACCCTCACTCAAAACTTTCCCTAGCGATCTCCGAATTCCCCTTTTTCACTCTTTTCAACTCTAAATACCAATATTCCTTTTATCCTCAAATACTCTTTTTCAATCATAAAAGTCCACTAAATTCCCCATGTATCCCTCTTAATCCTCTCAACACCCTAATATTCCTATTAATCCCTATATTCCTATTAATCCCTATAACTCTTTATATTAGTTGTTATTAAGGGATAGTCGTTTTTTCTTAGTCGCAAATATTATAGTTATTTAGTCATTACTCTTAATCACTCCAAAATCCCCGAAAACTATTAAACCTCAAATACCCCTATATCACTCTTAATCATTCCCAAAATCGATGATAACCTTAATCCACATATCACCTTATATCACTCTTAATTACCAACAGATATATCGAATCACCAGAAACAGCCAAACTTACTAATCCCCAAATCCCCTTTATACCTAGTAACCCCAATATCCCTTAATATCATTTTTTGCCCTATTAATCCTCAAGTACTATTTTTACAGTGAACACTCAAAAATTCCCGGTAACTTTCTTAATACAAACAACTTCACAATATCCCTTTTTTCACCCAACTTCGACGATTCAATTTTGACAGATAATCTTAATCCCTTAAAGCAGCAGAACATTTTAATCCCAAATACCATCTTAGCAATATCATCTTAAATCCAAATACACAATATCATCTTAATCCCTTAAAGCAGCAGATATCCGTCATAATAAACATCTTAAATCACCTGATCCCACATATTTATTATACCATAATTCATTTTAAAAATCTTTAAACACTAAACCCCGTTTTAACTCTTAGTCATCAATATTAATCACTAAAATTCTCCTATATCACTTATAAGGGATTAATTAATCCAAATCATCGGGATTTTTAATCCAAAATTTTTAACTACAAACCGAAAACAATCCTCATCTCCTTCTTAATAACTTCAAAATCGTCGATACCCCCTAAATCCTCGCAAATCCCATAATACTGTAATAATCCGTCTCAACCCACAATATCGCGTTTAATCATCTCAAAATCTTTGATTTCCATCTTAATCCCCAAGCTACCCCAAATCACCGCTATCACATTATTTCCCAAAAAACCTGTTAATCCAAAAATCCGCCTTTCATTTTCTATTTGCAAAAAAACACGATATTTTTTAAGTTCGCTCAAATCCCCGATTTACCTTAATCACTCACACTATTAATTCCAGAAAATCCCATAATATATCCATAATAATCGCCAGTTACTTGATATTCCTCACAACCCTCATATCAAATCCACATATATCAACCCATTTATCACCCTTCAATTCCACAAATCCCCGAAATACCCTTAATCACTCATACTTAATTCCATAAAATCCCATAGATTCATATTAATCGTCAGTTAATAATACAAATCCCCGGTATTATCAGTGTCTATTCTCACAGATTCCAGATATCTCTTTTTTCCCATATATCACTCCCCAATCTCTTAATTCCTACAAATCCTCGATAGTCCTCTACGATATCTCTTTTAATCTCACGAATCGCCATACGTCATTTTCCTCTTGAATCATATATCTTTTAATCCCCCGAATCCTCATATATCACTTAGCTTTAAATCCCTGATATACCTCTTAATCAACCAAAATCCGAATATCACCCGATTTCTCATATCACCTACTCTTAAACCCCATACAAATTCTCTCGTTAAATTCATTACACAAATTCACCGATATCTCCTAAATCCGACACATCCAATTAATCAACAAATACCCTTTAATATTTTCTAGCCATCCTCGATATTACTGTTTGTCTCTAATGGTGTCCTTTAAAGTTTAAGTTTGCGACTAAATAGCTGCGATTAATTAGAAATTAACTGCCTGCGAATAAAAGGCAGACGGCTGGTAGCTGCCGCGTCTAAATGGCAGATGGCTGGTTGTTTTTGTTTACACTTATATTTTTATGAAAAATTAGAGAAAAATAACTTTTTCTCTATTATTTTTAAAAAGAAAAATTTATCTATATATAAAAAAATTTACCAACTCATAATAATTTGAAAAAATTTTGAAAAGTAGTGGTCCGATTTGGATGAAATTTTTTTTAAAAAATTTGATGACCCAAAAGCTACAAAAAATGTTCCCACGACGAGTTTCGAAAAAGTTCGGAACCCGGATTTTTCGAAATTTCGAAAGTCGAAATTGAGGATGAATGTCCAAAAACGAAGTCGGAGCGTTTCGGACCTGGAAGAAGAAATGTACAGCGTTCAATTCTGCACCGATTAACCGAAGCGTTTTTTCGATTTGAACTTCCCTAACGGGAGTTATTCCCGGGACAAAAAGGTACTACCCCATTTTTTCCACTTTTTCAATTTTTTTGGTTTTTTTGACATTTCGACATGAAGACGAAATGAAAAATTTTCGAGTTTTAGGGTATTCGAATCTACTTTGAATTCTCTATCGAATGATATAAAAATCATTGAAATCGGATTTTCCGATCGGGAGTTATTGTATCCCAAACCTGCTTTTTGGCGTTTTTTTGTGATTTTTTTAGGTTTTTTCGATTTTTCGATATGAAGTCGAAATGTATAAAATTTAATTTTTAGTACATTTAGACCAGTTTTTAATTCTCTATCAAATGGTAAAAATTTCGTTCAGTTTGGAAAATCCCTTCAGGAGTTATCATCTGCTAAAGTGCCAAAATCGGTTTTTTTTATCATTTTAGCAAAAAAATTTTTCGGGCACCCCCGACAAAAAACAAAAGATCTCGACTCGAAAGTCGGATCGAAACAAACTTTTTTTTGTTTGATAGACAATTAACGGGACCATATAGGAAAACTCTAAAAATGTTCGAAATGTTGACTTAAGTTGGTCAAAAGTCGATTGCGACCAAATGAAAAAAACGTTTTTTCGACATTTCGACATGATCCCGAACCCGGCCGATTTCGACCCTTCCCGAAGGTTAAAATTTCACTGAATTTCGCGTCGATCAAAAAAAAGTTCATGCAAATCCGACTTTCCGTTCGGGACTTATGCGTGATACAACGAACCGGGGTAGGGGTAAATTGGGATTTAGTAGGGGTGAATTAGCACAATTCGTCACAGCAACAAAAGATCACTTTTTTTGTTATTATATAAAAATTCGGAACTTGATGCTATATTAGGTAATCGAACATGGAGAGTTCGAAAAAAAAGTTTTAGGTCGGACACTTGAGGTTCAAAAAAGTTATTTGAGTCTGAGCGCAAAAATGCTGATTTTTTTTATTTTTCTTCGATATTTCGACATAAAGTCGAAATTCGAAACATCGAAATTTTGATCATTTAAAAGGGCTTAAATTTCTCTATCGAACGTCGAAAAAATTGTAAAAAACGGATATGCCGTTCGGGAGTAATGGCATCGTAAAGTGCCAAAATTTGTAATTTTTATGAAAAATCTTTATAAACGAACAAAAAAATTTTTAGGTACCCCGGGAAAGAAAAAATAGGGCTTGACTCGAAAGTCGGATCCGGACAAACTTTTTTTCGTTTGAAAGGGGATATATGGGGCCATAGAGGAAAATTATGGAAAAGTTCCAAAAGTCGACTTAAGTGTGTCAAAAGTCGATTGTGACGAAAATGTCGAAAAGTTTTTTCGACTTTTCGATCTGATCCCGAACCCGGAGGATTTCGACCTTGCTTGGAGGGCACAAACCCATTGCATTCCCTATCGAATAAAAAAAAGATCATGTTAATCTGACCTTCCGTTATTGAGTTATGCGTGATTAACCATTTTTTGGGGTGGGCATTTTTGTTATTTTTGTGAAGATTTTATGGGAACTGAAGACAAAATGCCACGGGACAAAAGGGTCAATTTTATGTGCTGATAGGCAATTTTTGAACTTGATCCTATAATAGGTAATCGAACATGGGGAGTTCGAAAAAAATATTTTTAAGTGGGACACTTGAGTCTCAAAAAAGTTATTTGAGTCTGAGTGCAAAAAAGTGGTGGAAATGATCGGAAAATAACTATAAACTTATCCGAACGTGAATAAAATTATTTTTGCGTAAAAGGACGTTTGAGTCTCAACTTTTTTCTACCGAATGGTGAAAAAATTGTGTATGCAATGATTGCAGCAATGATACAAAAAACTGCAAATTATGCGTAGCCCTCGGGTAACCTTGAAACTGTGGTTATATTAAAAGGACATTTGAGTCTCGAAACTTATTTTCAGTCTTTAACATTAATTTTTATAAAAATTAAAGTTAAAGATTGTATTTGAGGGCCGAAGGCCCTCAAATAGACTTCCAACTATTAAATTCTTAATAAATATGCGGGCCGAAGGCCCTCATACATTAAAAATGTTGTATGTTCTGTTCTTTTCTAAAATGCATAACTTTTGAAGTATTAGTCGTACAAAGATGATTGAGGTGCCATTCGATGGGGAATCAAGTGACGAATCGATAAAAAATATTTTCAAAGGTGTCACTTGAGTCTGAGAAGAGATATTTGAGTTTTTAGGTGAAAAATTCCTATTTTTTTCAAAATTTTTACGTAACCAACTCAATACCAAAAACGCTAGAGACAGCAGTTTCGCTCCATTAAGTGGCAACGCCCAGAACGCTAGTTTTCGTTTCAAAATAAATTCTGTTTTCTTTTTTAAAAAGTGCAAAAAAGCGTTACGGAAAATGCGTTTTAGTATAGTGAATTTTGTTTGATTTTCCTTTTTTTTTATTTTTTTTCTTATTATTTGTCAATTGTCAATGAAAAGCTTATTTTTCTGTCAATTAAACAAAAAAGCTTTGACCTTTAATTTTAGATAATTGACTTTAAAATTAAAATGCTTTCTCTACCATCTGAAGTTCAACTTGATGTATTAAAATCTCTTAATTTCACTCAATTATTCTCGTTAAAACAAGCCAATTTTTATTTTCGCAATTTAATTAATAAATATGAAGGAGAACTGGCACGAATGGAATTTTTTAAAATTGATATAGTAAATATTTGTTAAATACTTAATTTTTTTAAATTTAATTTTAGGCTGATATCGACTCTCCTCAAATTTTACGTGAATATAAATCCATCGATTCTCAATCGGGAGTTTTTGAATTTACTTTAAATGATCAACTCAAGGAGAAGGTTAATTTAGTTTTTAATTTAATTACTTTTATTTTTTAGTGGCAAGAAGCGATAGACAAATCAATTCCGTTGTTTCTTCATGAAGAGGACAGCAAATTTGCTTTAATAGGTATAACAGGTTTAAAATATATAAAATAGTGACGTATTTTTAGATAATTTAAATTAGATTAGTTATTAATTTTTTAGATCAAATATTTTGATTTTAATTCACTCAAACAATTTTTTATTTTTCTATTCAGTTGCCAAAAATTCCGTTTTTTATGTATTAAATTTGGAAAATTTCCCAAAAAATATTGAAAAAATGATTATTGTTCGTTGCTGGTTAGAACAACTATTTAAGTGCGCTTTTGAGTATTGTAATTTTCGAGATGTAGTATTTAATCCAGAAATGATCAACATATTATTTGATAATTACAATAAAATTCCAACCCAATTTAATATTAGACACACCTATCTTTCTCCTAGCAATAATTTATGTAAAAATTTGTTGGACTTAGTTTTAAATCATTGTGCAATTTGTGAACTCTACATTGATTTTATGGATGTTAAAATTAAAGAGCAATATACAGATATTTTATTCAATATTTTAATAAATGAAGGCAATAAATTCCCAAAAGTTTTTTTTCAATTTTCATCTGAATTTCCAGCACTTTGTGATCTTATTGTTGAAGTAAGTTATTAATTAAGTTAAATTTTAATTTATAAATTGTTCTAATAAATTTTAGCATATAACAACAAAAGACTGTTCAAAAATAGTGCCTTATATTCTTTTAAGATTTAGTTACAAGACAAATTTTAAATTAAGTGAAAGAGCAGAAAAGGTTGAAATTGAGCAATTAGATGATGTCAAATTTACAGATTATCAAATTTCCAATATTTCGAGATTTTATTTTTATTATAAAGAACCTAAAGCAAAATTTGATTTAAATACTTTAACAATAATAAAAAAGTAAAATTTTTAATTTTAAAATTTTAAATAATTTTTTGTTCTGTACATAGTTAAATTTTCATAAAAAAATTTTATTTATAAAATTTATTCAAATAATTTTTTAAACTGAATCCTAATTTATTTTTAAATACTAGCGGGGTAGGGCGGCCTTCGGCCGCCCCACCTCGCTAGCAAAAACAATTTAGCAATTCAAAAACCCTAATACAATGGCAAAAATCATATACCTAATCAAACCTAACTAAACAGCGTAATTAAAAAACACAAACAAATTTAAAACTTTATTCACAACAAAATAATAAATACATACAATATAAATATCAAAATCGGGTGAGTTTGTGAGTAGAAAAATGGGGATTATACAATAAAAATGGGTCAAAACAAATACAATACATATCTAGTACTTGCGTATAACAATACGCCTATTTTCTAAGAAACTGGGAAACTCAATCTCTCTCATCTAAGATTTCTTTATACACTACATTTTTGATCTTTCGATCACTATTACTATTATCTAACTTGACCCTAATCATATTCCATGATCTTGCTCTCGAAAGAGCCACATACAATTGTCCATGTCCGAAGACCTCTTTTCTTAGATCTATTCCAACTCGCTCAAGGGTTTGGCCTTGAGCCTTATTAATTGTCATAGCAAAAGCTAACATCAATGGAAATTGATGTCTATGCAAATCAAATGGATACTCCTCAGAACAACAAAGTGTTATCCGAGGGATATACGCAGTTTGACCTGCCTTATCTCCAGTAAGAATCCTGCAAACAATTAAGTTTGCATTCATCTCCTCAACACTCATTCTTGTCCCATTGCAGAGACCTTTTTCTATGTTCAAATTTCTAATTAACATGACAATTGCATGTTTCTTTAATCTAAGCTCATGCACTGAAAACCCATTGGGTCTCAGAGCATTCAAATACTCATCTAAATACTCATTGACACGCTGTCGATTTTCATCTTCAGCATGATCAATGCTAGTGTACAAAATCTCTTTTCCAGGTAACATACCCAGAACTTTACTATTTATCTCAGACACATCTATATTCTTTGGTGCTAAAATGGCACTATAGGCCATTTCTTCAAAATTCTCAGAATCAATACTATTTGCAAAAATCTCTTCTGCTAAGTCTCCATAACTAATACACTCGGAAGGCAATTTAATGGAATCATTTTCATCATTCCAATTGCCATTCCCTATTTCAATCAAATCTCTAGCAAACTCTTTCTCTGTTTCCAGAGCTCTCATATTTCTAGACAACTTATATTGCTTAGCAATATTCCAATACTCACTTCTCTTTATGGTCGAATTGACCATCTCAGCTCTTGTGGCATGTTTCTGAATTGGCAGGGTTTGACGAAAGTCACCCGTCCAAAGCATAACTTTGCCACCAAATACTAAATCATTGTTCATAATCTCTCTTAACTTTTCATCTAGTGTTCGCAATGCGCGCTTATTTATCATAGGCGCCTCATCACATATGAACACCTCAGTCTCTTTCAACTCGTTCCATGCCCTATTTCTAGGGCCAATGTTAGAGTTGCTCATATCTAAAGCTAAACAGAATCTATTATGCATTGTCCTACCGGCAGGCATCAAAGTAGCTGCCATACCGGTAAAGGCCATAGTACAAATTCTCTTTTTATCACCTCTAAGCATATGAACAATTGTATTGTTCACATGCGTCTTACCTGTTCCACCTGGTCCACTTAAAAAGTAGAACGCAGGTTCAGGAACAGATCTATTTACTCTATTCAAAATCTCATCAACTATTAATCTCTGCTCATCGTACATACTTTCGTATGCACTTAAGCCTAATTCTCTTTCTTCTTTAGCATTGAACGTCATTTCGACGTCCTCAGCTAAATCTATTTGTTCCATGGTAGGAAAATCAGCAAGTGATTTCCCACCCTTTACAATACTCAAAGCTATTTCTCTGTATGCTTTCGCATATGCTAATTCTTTTGAAAAATTTCTAACAAAATCTTCCGCTAAGAAATCTCTAAACATCAACCAAAGCTCCTCCGGTTGAGAAGGATTGCAGTGGACTAAAATCAAAGCAAAAAAATCTCTCAATTTTCTGGGCATCTCAAAACTCGCTGCCTCCTCCAAGGCCTTTTTCCACTCTTCATCATTTCTAATTAACCCTCGTTCAAGACATGCTTCAGAAAAGGTTGTACAGACTTTAACTGAGCCGTCTGAACTACTAATAGTCTTGAGCTCCTCATAAGAGGAAGCTCCTACCACATTCAACAACAATAGCCGTAGGTGGTATCGTTCCGGCTCAGCCGGTGATACTTTAACCATACGACCAATTGCGTTAAAATGTGACTTTCTCTCAGTCCACTTTCCTTTACTAAAACAAAACTTTTCAGGCAACTGATGATACAGTAAAGCCTTCGAAGTATCATTTCTCTTATTCAAATCAAAATAAGCTAATAACTCAGAACAATTTCTTGTTCTCTCTAAGATCTCTTCTTCATTCATTGTCTCATCAAAATAACAAATTTGCTCGCCCTGCAGATGAACTGGCAAGGCCATAATACTATGACTTCTATCATACATAGGCAATTCTAAGATTCGCCAGACTGCCTCCTGAGGACAGACATATCTAGCGTCTATGAACTCTTTTACTTCATCATAATCATTTCTAGTCTCAAGTTCTAATCTTGCTCTATCCGGTGGTTTATGCACATACTTGTGCAGGTATTTCACCGAACTAATGCTATTAACTTTTTCAAGGTTAATATGGCATCTAAATACTTTTAATAGATAAGGATTGTGAGGCACAACCCATCTATTGTCTAATTCTACTCTGTTTCCAGAGACTAAGACTTCTACTTTTCTACCATCATCAGGTCTGGCGTATAACGTCAAACCATTCTCTAAGACCAAAGTCTTCTCTTGAAATGCTTTAGGATAACCCTTAGAGCATTTCCTAATCTTTTTTCCATTTTCTAGGATCTCTTCCATGCATGGGGAGTTTGGATTCAAACTTCCACATGGACCATGGATCATAAATCTCTTTACTAAATCAAAAATCTCAGTACCTTTTTCTGGTATTCTAGCACTAATACCTCTTTTATCAACATCATCAGATGTCAATAACTTGTCCTCTTCGGAAAGAGTCAAAAGCAAGTGTATATGAGGAAGGCCCCTGCCCTGATTCTCCACAGGATACATCCAGGCAAGAACATTTCCAAATATTCTAAGCTTAACTATTTGCTGCATAACAGCCTTTACTTTCAAATAAAACACTCGAACGACCAAATCTGGCCGATCGCTAGTAACTTGATCATGAAACAAATTATCTACAATCTCAGACCACATAGGGTTACATGTCATAGTCAAGAAAAGGTCTGGATTTCCAAACCTTCTGACTACGGCCATAGCATCTTGAAAATGCTTCTCAACATATCTAGGACTATTTGTCACACTTGGAGGAAGGATAACCTTCCGACCAAGTGGCAAACCTAATTCTTGCGATCTAAGAAACATCATATTATCGATGTTCTTATACGCCTCAGCACATATCTTCTTTTGATTCATACGAATCCATCTCAATCTATCTCCTTCTATCTTCACATACTCATCAACACAATACTGCTGAAAGAGTTTTCCCCCATATAAAATAGGATTGAACTCTTTCCTAATGGCCAAGCTGTAGCATACATACTGCAGCCTAGTCACTCTTCTAATACTATTACTTTGCTTCAGCTCAGGATGCCAACCTAGAGTACCACTTGGATAAAATAGTGGATACGTCATAGGAGTCACCATCGCATCAGCACTATTCAAAATCTTTAACTCTTTACCTCGTTGTCTCACGACAACCTTAGCATCAGGTACTTCCCCGTCAGCGCCGGGTACATACACTGCTGCTACTTCATTTGCTCGTGGTACATTGTACCCTGATCTTCTATCTAATTGCTTTCCGGTTTCAAACAAAAGTTTGATCTCGGCCGGCTCTCTATTTTCTAATTTAGCTTTTTCAAGCTCTAAGCATTCCTCTTCTTTCATCATCATATAAGCCTCAGCAAAAGGGTTACCCCTTCTAATAACATCATACACAGTTCTAAGCAATTCAGGGTCGACTCCGGCATTAGCCTTCGTCATCGCCCTCATTGCCTCAGCAGTATCTACTATGAAGATCTGCCCGTAGGCAGGATCTTCACCTAAGTCTGGATTCAATGCCACATTTAATTTGTGGTATACTTGACCGTATATGCGAAAGCAATACGGCCCTCTTTTGCTAGGATATCTATATCTAAGCGGATTCATCGAAGCAAAGGACACGCTACTATTCAAATGACGAATATTGTCAAAGAAATTCGCATGCCTTGCATCTAATTTCATAAACAAATCTCTCAATTCTTCAGGAAAATCCTGCTCAGGTATATCCAATCCAACAACTTTGCCATGGTGACAACAGTCATTGAAAGAATAACCTCTAGTCTTTTCTTCTTCAAAATGCAATGCACCGCAGTGCATACACTCTACACTAAGATCACTAAGCTTATTCTCTTTTGCTAAATCTAAACAACCGGCTTGGTACTTTTGTACTACCGGTTGTCTTCTATACTTTTTTTGTCTAGTCCTCTGAACTCGAAGCCTCTCTTCTCGTTCCTCAGCAGATTCAAGCGATCTTTTGACCGCTCTCCTCTGCCTCTCATTCTCAAGTCTAAGATTTCTAAGATTCTCGTCCTCAAGGGACCTCAGAGACTGCTGTCTCTCTCTTTGACTATCTAATCTAACATTTCTAAGATTCTTGTCCTCAAGGGACCTCAGAGACTGATGTCTCTCTCTATCACAAACTAATCTAAGATGTCTAAGACTATCACTCTCCGCAGCGCGGCTTTTCCTCTTCCTTTCGGCAGCACTGGAGCAGCACGGTTCGTCAGATTCCATGAGCAAAAGGCAAACGATCTAGAATCAACACCTTAAAGTTAAACAAAATTTTAACAAAACAAACTTAGAGCAATGACAGGACTCCAGCAAACGTTGACGTCGTACAGGACACCGGCAAGCGTTGACGTTGTACAGGACACCGGCAAAGTTGAAGAGGACACAGGACTCCAGCAAACGTTGACGTAGAACAGAGCGCAGTAAAGTTGAGAATGTGTTGGTATCAGTTGAGGACTGACCAAAATACCCTGCTTTTATACTATCTGCTTACCCTCACAACTTTTTTCAACAGGCAACGCTTTACTATAAAAACCCCCATTTCCTCACTCCCCCAAATCACTTTACTATAAAAGCCCACTTGTCTATAAAAGGACAGACAAACGGACAAACTCTTCTCAATTATATATTTTTAAATATTTTTGCTGATGACATTTAAATAAAATTTAAAAACCCCTTGAACAATTAAAAAACTAGGAAAATCTTACTTTAATGGAGAGAGATGTAGACGTTGACTAAATTAAAAAAGATTTTTATTGATAACTAAGTTAAAAATTATGTTGCTTTTATAGGGATATTTTGAGGTAAAAAGGGGATGTCAAGAGTTAGAATACATGCATAGGTTAGAAAAAAATTAAAATATTTTAATTTAACTAAAACAAAAATTTTATTCAAAAAAAGGTTTTCTACAAACAATTAAATTTTCATCATCCAAACTTCTCGTTACAGTATTCTGTGATAATTCTGCCTGAACAAAAAAGTTATTTCGAACATATGCTGTAAATGAATTCATTGATGGAGTTCGAAATGTTCTAGTCCCCTTTAAACCAATTTGGTGTAAAGTACCCAATGCTTGTATCATCTAAAAAGAGAGAGGGGCTTTTAGAACTAGAGAGACTTTCATTTTACCCTTTCTCTTTCTGTACTTAATGATGATGAAGTAGATAATTTTTTATTATTATTTAATTGTTCTATAATATTTAAATTATTTTTTGTTGAATTTATTTGTTTATTAATTTCTTTAGAATTTCCATTATTTAATGTTGCTAATTTAGTAAGTATATCTAATTCATCCAAAACTTCTCGAAGTCTTTCAGGCGAAGCATTAAATTGATTAGATACTAAAGTAACCAATTCTTTAATTGAAATATATCTTCCACTAAACCAAATACAAACATCTTGACTTCCACTAAAATTTCTTCCCAAATAATGAATTCGGCGAAGATTTTCACCTAATGCACTTTTAAATAATAATTTAAATTAATTTTTGTTTTTAAATTTACCCAAACATTGTAGACATTATTGATATTCCAGAACTTAGATAAATAATTATAGAAATTGTTTCGAGTAAATTTTTGGGTTGTGGAGAAATATCGCCAAAGCCAATTGTTGTTATACTTATAAAACTAAAATTGAAATATACAAAAAAAATATATATGTATATCTTCCACTAATTTTTAAATCTTCTGTATCCATTAAATATTTAAAAAAATATTTTAATTTAATTTTTACCCTGATATTTCAGACTAGGTAATGAACATGGATTTTGGTATCCGTATCTGGATATTTACGGCGGATACAGCCGGATATCCACAGGTATTTAAGACTTATCTGTATCCGTATCCATTACCAAGCCTGGGATATTTACCAAAAAAAACTATTTATTTATTTCCTCACCTAAAATAAATAGCTCTAAATAACGGCATATTGTCAAAAACAAAATGAAATAACAATCCACCAATTAAAGAATGCAAAACAATTAAAATAGTAATTATAATAATCGGTAATTGTTGTTCTATTTCCGCTAACTATTTTTTAAAATTAATTTATTTTTAAAGAAATTTTTATTTTTAAAAACTTGCTCAAAAATCTCATCTTCTTTCTCTCCTTCATTTTCCTCTTCCTCCTCTTCTTTCTCTCTTTTTTTCCAATTTTTAAAAGAAATTAAACAAATCCAATATATTTCAGTTATTAATTGCCCAACTTGTGTTAATGTTATAAATGCTAAAGGAATTCCAAAAACACAATAAAAAACACAAAATAATCTTCCTAAAGGACTTTTTGGGGCAATATTTCCATAACCAATTGTTGTTATTGTTGTAAAAGAAAAAAGAAAAACTTCATAAAAAGGCTTTTCTCCAATAATTGAATCTATTTGAATAAAAATAAAAGATCCAAATAAAATATGTAAAAACATAAGCAAAAATACACCAAAATGTGAAAAAGAAGCCATTAAAAGCTTTAAAAAAATATTTTTTTATAAAAGTAAAAATTCCCAACTTCTTTTTTGAGATCGTCTTCTGAACATTGATAATCCAACATAAATTTAGCTTTCCACAAAGAATATGGAGATGATCTAGTCCATTGTTTATTTCTTTTAAATCTTCTTTCAGGGAATTGTTTGCAATTAGGCAATTGACCATTTTCTCTAGACTATTAAAAATAATTAGTGGGAGGAAATTAATAGGAGATTTTAAAGATTTATATTTGAGACTTTTAGATTCAAGACCTATATTTTTTTCAAATTTTTCAGTCACAATCGACCATTTTTCTAAAAATCTCATCGTAGATGGGTTAAGCATCCCTTGAATAATCGCTGCGGTTACAGTAAAGTATCCACAATCTACCCCCAACCCTTTCCTTTAACACCCTTTTATCTTGACAGAAATCCCCTAAATCTCTTCCATACAAAATAGTTTTGTGTTAACATTCCCAAATCCTTAATTAATTTAATTTCCTTTCTTACATTATTTAATTCGTCTTTTTGACTTTCATCATCAACAAAATATAAATGTTGCCTCGCTTTTTCAGAAGAGATCAATTTTACCGCTGCTCCATGGTTAATTTTCTCATTATTATTATTATCAATTAAAGAAAATAATTCGTTGGAATTGACAGCTGCAATTGTGGGGGTAACCATTTTTATGATATTCCCCCCATTAAATAAATGATTAATTGTTGACTTTGGTTATAATTAAAACATTCATTCTCTCTCTCTTTCATTCACCCCTCTAAATGAGCGCAATCTTTCCCTCCTTTTTTTAAACAAATTCTTCAAAGAAACAATTAAAAAATACAACCAACAAGAAAAGGAATCAGCTACTCTTCGGTAAAAAAAGGAAAGGGGGGAAATCAAGACAAAAGACGAAAAAGTTAAGGTGAATGAACACACGATAAAATCAATTTAATTTGGGCAAGTCTTTCTTAAATTTTTAAACCAATTTCCCTCCAAAATATAAATTAGGTGCGCAATTTGTTTTAAGCACAACACACTTTTTCAACAAGAATTAATTTTTTTAATTCAATTTTTACAACATTTTGAGAAATTTAATGATATCAAAAACAGCCTTTTAATTTTATATATTCAGGTTAATTTTATCTTAATTTTCGAGCAAAAGTGATGTAATTCAAAATTACTGATTCGAATGACATAAAAGTGGCTCTCTAAATATTACTTAAAATATATGGGATTAATTTAAAATTTGTAGGGTGAAATTTTCAAAAATTTAATTTTAAATTATTTCAATAGATCCCATCAAGACGAGCGAATAAAACCAAAATTCAAAAGTTTGAATGGTTTTTGAAGTTGTCACTAAATAACTAATTTATCCCCCTCCCCCCCCTGCCACCATAATTTTAATTTTCTACATAAAATTAAAATAAAATTTTCAATAAATTTTTATACCAATAAATAATAATCCAAAAAAATTCGCAGTAATAAACGAGTGTTTTGAATTTAATTTTAAGTTAATCACTTCCAAAACAATAAAATATCCCAGAATAAATGAAAGCAGAAGAATATGTGTACTTTGAAACAATTCTCTAACAATTCTCTCCCAAAACAAAAAAGAATAATTTAAAATGAGCATAATTTTGTAAATAAAAAATTAATTTCTTTTCTAAATCTTTTCAAATTAAAATTCAAAATAATTCCAGAAAATTGTCATTCAAAAAAAAGAAATTAATTAATTATCTACTCCTTAAATAACTTTACAATCCAAAAAATAATAATTTACGTAAAAGCTCGAGAATGTCTTGTTTTATAGCAAAATCAACCAATCAATAACTCTTTTACTCATTTTCCTCCTCAGCAACCTTCTGTTCAAATTTAGCAATAAGTTCAGCAATTTCACGTTTCATAGTAATTGCAATCTTCTTTGGCATTTTGTCAAGAACACTAGCAATATAACGACCTGAAAATAATAATTTAAATTTTTGTAAATTAAAATATATTTAGATTTTGAAAATAAAAGAATAAAAATGAGCAAAAAATAAAAAGAATGCTCGACTTAAAATGTAAAAAAAGTATTTTAAAGCTAATAAATCAAGCACTATCAAAATTTAAAAAATTGTAAAAAATTCCAAAACTACCATAATATCCATTTCCACTTTCTGCTCCACTATGAAAAGCAGGCTCAACAAATGGCATAGGATAATAGCAGAATTGCGAAGAATTAAAAAGAGGCTTTTGCTGTTTAAACATTGTTGAAGATAAATTATCAATTTTAGTTTCATTAGAAGTATTCGCAATAGTAAAATGAGACGGCTGGTTATTCGGAAGTGGAGACTCCATTTGAACACGCATCTCTTCTGTACAATCACCATTTGAAGGACCAACGTTGAGATTCGATGATTTCTTAAAAGTAATCTTTAAATAAAGTCTTTATATAAGATAAAGGCCATATGAAATAGCGGTATTGAGGTGTGAGGATTGTTTTAAAAAAGCTTAAAACTAATTCAAGTCACAACTGGAAACTGATTTTTACAATATACAAAGCAGCGCCTAAGATTTTTTTAAATACCCGAAGCGGAGCTCAACATTTCAATTCGACTCAACTCTGTCTACATACTCCTTAAAGAAATTTATGTGAAAAAATGGTAAGTATTTTCCTTTGTTTATTCGAAAAATGGATGGTTAGCTTTAAATCCCTTAATATTTTCAAAATTTTCGATGCTTATTGTAAGGAATTTAACTTCTCCGTCAATAAACATTATTTATTAATACCGGGAATAAAATTATCAGGCTCCGAAATACTTGTATTTATGATTCTAAAATATTTAAAACCTGAATTTCCTCCTCATTTTCCGCCATAACTTCAGCATTAGCAACCGCATTTGCCGCACCATTCAAATTTTTGAACTTATTCTTAATCATGTTACCCTCCTCTTTATTGTCTTTACCAATAACCTTTTCCAATTCAGAAGCCTCATCAATCTTTCCGTCCTTCATATCATCACCTTTTACACCATTCTAATAATACATAAAATTATTGAAAGAAATTTTTGAAAAATAAAAACCTGAACTTCCTCAACTGTATTCGCCACTAATCCAATATTTTCAACAATGTCCCGTACAAGAGGAATCGATGGAATACTTGACACATTTCCATTGATTGTCTTCTTTTCATGATCCTCCTTCCTTACAACAGCCTCCACATCCTTAACATGCTCTTTAGCTCTAGTATTTTGCACATGAAAATGCTAAAATTTAAATTGTAGTAAATTAAATTATTAAAAAAATACCGCTTTAGCAAATGCCTCAGCCTGATCTTCAAGCCCTTGTCGATGTTGACTGTGAGAAGTTCCACCATTAGTTGCTTCAGTAGAGGAAATAACATTAGAATCCAGACGTTTAACCCGAACATGCAATTTACAAGTGGTTACAGGAACTTTCCCCTTATCAAAGCTTTGCCAAAATTCATCAGCTGTTTTTGGAGATTTGTTGTCAACAAAAGCAGACTAGAAATCAAAAATTAAAGAATATAAATTTAAGAACAACCTGAATCATAAAGCGATGATTATTCTCTTCAATAACATCCAACGATTTAGCAGAATCATCATGAGGTTGAATGATAACCTTGACTTGACCATGAGGCTTAATGGTTCCAGAGGAAGGCCTCACACTGTAGAATTTACTAGCAGTTGATTTAACCTCAAATATATATTTTGAGATTAAAATCTCTTAGAATTAAAGTAACCTTAAAGTAAATCTCCTCAAGATTCTTATTTCTAATTATCAGCTGAACACCAGTAACATGACCAAGTTTGTCTAAAATAAAAATATCAAATTCGTTGAAATGACTAGTGTGGATATAAGATATTGGGGCGCGTGGTATACCGAAGCTATTCGAGGAAACAAATATTTTTATTTGTATTTTATATTTATATATGTACATAAAATACAACGGGAAGGGAACCACATAGAAAATTTTTAAGGACATTCCCTCGAAATTCCAATTGATTTATTTTTTAATTTATCACAACTATCAAAATCTACCTCTAAATACAAGCTCCTCCTCCGGCTCAAAAACAATCACCGGAAAACCATGCGTCATTTTCAACGTTGAAATGAAAAGCAAAATATGAAAATATTATGATTCTAAAATAAAATATTAAAAAATATAAGATAAATAAATGCAAAGATCTTATTATTGATCACTTTCTTGTTGATCATTTACAGTTATTTGGGCCCTATCCTAAAAAGAGGGCGCCTTGATTTTTTTCCATCATTTTTTTTCCAACCTTAATATATAAAAATGGTCAGTCTTTTCTTCCTCGTTCAATTCCACTCTTTTTACCTTTGGCATATTCAATTGAACAGAAAAGCACATACACTACAGACAAAACACGGACGGACAAACACAACCTTGTTTCGTCTGTCCGTGCTCGTCCGTGTTTTGTCTGTCCGTGTTCGTCCATGCTTTGTCTATCCGTATTCATCCGTGTTCGTCCGTGTTTTGTCTGTCTGTACTCGTCCGTGTTTTGTCTGTCCGTGTTCGTCCGTGCTTTGTCTGTCCGTATTCATCCGTGCTCGTCCGTGTTTTGTCTGTCCGTATTCATCCGTGCTCGTTCGTGTTTGTCCGTGCTCGTCCGTGTTTGTCCGTGTTTTGTCTGTCTGTACTCGTCCGTGTTTTGTCTGTCTGTATTCATCCGTGTTCGTCTGAGCTCGTCCGTGCTTTGTCTGTCTTTGTCTGTCCGTGTTTCGCCGTGATTGTCTGTCCGTGAGTGTATTTTTCTGTCGTCTCATTTGAATATGCCACAGGTAAAAAGAGTGGAGTTGAACGAAGAAGAAAAGAATGACCATTAATTATATATTAAAGTTGGAAAAAAATGATGAAAAAAATTCAAGGCGCCTTCTTTTTAGGATAGGGTCGTTATTTGCATTAAATAAAAAACTTCAATAATTTAAAAATAAATATCCGATCGAACAAACGGAAATCAAATACAAATATACATCCTTTACAAATCTTTACGCGTAAAATTAGAAACAGGAAAATCAGATTTGCTGGGCGACAGGTTAAAATATTTTCCAAAAAAAATAATTAAAATAGAAACGGGGTAGGAAAGGTGAGTGAATTATAGAGTCTCATTCCTTTTTCTATTTCCTATAATCAGCGTCGACGCTTGGGTGGAGGGCCAGACTTTACTCCCTTTCTCTTAGTTTGATGATGACGCTTGTCATGCTCATCCTCTTCGCGTGCTTTTACTCGATCGGCTATAAAAGAAAAAAAATGATTTTGTGAATCATTTTATGAAAATAAACCTTTAGCAGCCTCCTCTTCGAGATCACTCCAATCCTTTCCTTCCTCCTCTTCACTATCAAGTGAAGCTTCGCTTTCTAGAAAAATAAAAAAAATCAACAAAATATTACATAAATATCCTACCCGATTCTTCTTCTGAAACACCTTCCTCTTCTTCCTCGTCCTCATCACTACTAGCAGAAGTTTCGTCTTCAGATGCATGGAAAGAAGATTCATCAGATTCAACATCATTTTCTTCTCCTTCATCCGATTCAGCGGATAGGAAATTCCAACCACCATCCTCAAAAAATGCCTCAGGATCATCATTAACTGTGCGCATAATATTTGCCCAATTCAATGACATAGGACCTTCACTGTAGCGAATGTCACAAGAGCTTAAAAATAAGTGTCATTAAATTTAAAAATCATTGTCTCGTTTAGCTTACTTAAGCCAATCCTTAATACCATCAAGAGAAGATGAAGGTATTTGTCCAATACTATGTGGTTTTCTCGAATAGTCTTTGAAAACAATTACAGCATCAAATGTACTTGTATTTCCAGTCACGCGTTCAAAATGTACTAATTCAACTTCGTCAAGGGTGACAACAAACGGCGGCTAAATAAAGAATATTAAAATAATAAAAAATGGAAACAAACCCATTCAGTAAGATGTACCAAACAGGAGGAAGTTGGTTGCAACTTAACAGAAGATCGATGTGGCGCCCCAATAAATGCAAGTTCACTAAATGGAGTATCAAAATCAACATGTTCATTTGTCATACGGAAGACTTTGTCGCAAAAACTTTGAAAAGCAAGATTGAGTTTTTTACGCATTTCACGTTCCATCTAACAAAAAGTCAATTTTTAGAAGACTCAAAACAAAAATTATAACCTGTTCACTTTGCATATCATCACGATCCTGCATATGGTGGTATTTACCCAAGTCTGTGGTTATCTCTCCAACTTCGGTGTAGAACTGCACATCGAGGTATTTCTTTTTCCCCCAAAGAACAGGATTCTTAATTTTTCAAATAAAATTTTCATAAATAGGAAAAAAACCTTCAAATGAAAATGCAAAAGAATTATCATTTCATTATCGCAAGGTTGAAAGAAGGCATGTTTAATATTGTTATATAAAACATCAATTTTGTCTCCTCGTAATGAAGTATAGCGAAAGCCATTAACATGTGCCTCCAATGACCCACTAATTCGTTTTGCGATGATATTTGGACGAACATAAAGATCCTTCAATTTTGGATTTCCTTTGCCATTTTGTGATATAATTAATTTGTCTTGTTTTACAGCCCCTTCTTTTTCGCGCTCTTCAGCCTCCAAAGTGCGAAAACGTTTCTGCAATTCTTTAATCATTCGTGCAGCGTTTTGAAGATTCAAGCTAGGTGCATTAACCTCACCCGGTTCACGGACATTGCTACTCTTGAATGATCTAAAAATTTAAGAAGAAATTAGACTTTAAAATTAATTAAACTCCTTACAATTCTTTCAAGTATTTTGCAAGAGCAAACTGAGGATTTTCTTTTCCAATTTGAGAACCAGGATGTGTAAAGTTGATACGCAAGTATGAGAAATCACCCTCATTTGCTAAACTGGCATTCTTGACCATTGATATGTGAAAAGGAACAGGAATACCAAATATTGGGACAATTATAGTGTCGTGCTTTTTATCTGTCAAATTTAATAAATAAGTATCATTATTAAATCAAAATTATCCGAGTAATTAAAGACCAAAATTACCAACCAACATAAATCATAAGTTTCTCAACTTCATGCTCATCAGGAAACTTTTCTTCGGTTTTGTAAGATGTATTTGATTTCTTTGCTCTAAAAATTTGAAAAAAATAAAGTGTGTAATTAATTAAAAAATACTTTTTAGCTTCAGCAGTACCAGACTTGTTAGACAATAAACGTTCCTTAGCTTCCTTATTCATTTGTTCAGCCAATTCTTTTTGACGTTCTTTACGTTTCTCTTCATTCGTTTGTTTATGCTTTAAGAAAATAATTTTATTTAAATTAAAATTTAAAAATTAACTCTAGTTTGATCTTGTAACACAACAGAACGTTTAGTGCGAGTAGACAATGTTTCTTCCACTTCTTTTGAAGATTTTGCATTTTCTTCGCGGAATCTGATTGAATTTGAACGCAGACGATTTTTTGCTGCAATAGTCAAAATATCATTTGGGCCATCCTAAAAATAAATTAAAATAATAAAAAAATTATTTTCCCTTTTTAAACCTCGCAAACAAGAATTGTATCGCTAATGAAAATTGAACAAGTCTTTTTGTCATCATCTTTTGCTTCCTTATTAGGGAAGTTTTGAAGTCCAACAGCAACAATGAATGTCATATTCTTTTCAACTAAATGATTACATCGTTCATTGATAAGCAATCCACTTTCACGAAATTCAATTCCAGTTACAAAACTGAAAAAAGAAATTTTTTTTTGGGAAAATAGAAAAAAAACAAACCCAAAATTCTTAACAAGATATTGAAGATAATCAGGTTTTTGTTCCTTAAAATGATTAATTCCAGCTTCATAAGCCTCAGAGATAGGTCGACCAGGTTTTAATGCATCAATTATAGCTGCTTCTGTTGTTAAAAGAAGTTCATATAATTGCTCCATTAATTCTGTTGGCATAACCATTAAAGTACGGGCAACATTAGTACAATAAGACTGAAAACAATTTTAAAAAATCGCTTGCAGAAATACTTACGCTATATCGAGCACCAAGTGTACTTGCAATTGAACCAAAGTGAAGGAGCTTATCCGGGCTAAAATATTTAAATTCTTTAAAGTAATGAGAAAATAAAAAGACACACGAAAATTTTTCCCAAATACTAAATTTTTTCTTGGCTAAATGCGTGTAGTAAACAATTTTATTACCTCTGAGCGCTGAATTTCAAAGCACAATTCTCTCCAGATTGAATTATTGGACAATAGCAAACTTCCAAAATATTCTTTTTAGCCAATTCTCCTTGAACTTGTACATTAACCATTGATTTCTCCAAGTCTTCAGCCAAACGGCTTTGCTTGATGCGCTAAAAATTAATGGAATTAATAAAAATATTAATTAAAACAAACCTTTTCTGTATCAACAATGTCAACAATTTTACGCCTCAAGTAATTCCAAGCATTGACTGTTGCGTGGGCAGAATGTTTAAGTAATTCAATTTCTTTGTCATCTTTAACGGCAAAGATTTTTGCGAATGGAAGAGAAATGTCTTCAACAGACTATAAATTGAAAGTTTATAGTTAACAATAAATAAAATAAACAGTTCCAAATATTAACTTTTTCCGAATAATTGACAAAAAATTTAAAAAATTACCAAATTCTTAGCTTTCAAACCAGCATCCCAAGCCTTAGCAAATGCAGAATCAGGTTTGTCCTTTGTGAAACAACCAACATGACGGCCAGCATCAATCAATTTTCCAAGTAACTTTTCAAAATTGTCCTTATCCTTGTCCGTCTTATTTCTAACTAATGTAGAGAAAGGTGGAACAAAAGGATTTAAATTCTCTTTAGATTCAAGTGGAGAGAAGAATTGGGCCTTTTTGTCACTTCCAAGAAAATAAATCCCATTTTTGGTCAATATCAGAAGAGTATCTGGAAGTGCACAATTGAAAAGCCAAGTCTATAAATTGAGAAAGTTTATAAATAACAAAAATAGAAGGGGGTAACAGCAGTGGGTAAGCAATGGGTAACAACAAACAAAAAAGAATAGACACGAGGAACTTTGTCACTACTAAACGCAGACATGCCTGGTTTCTACAAATTTTTCACAGGAAAACAACTTCGAGTGAAAACACCCAAACAAAGAAAATATAAACAGACCTGAATCGATTGAGATTTTGAGTAGGGCAATTCATCTTGATTTGTTCCAACACAAAAAACAAGACTATCCAAAGATTTAAGGTCGTCATCTTTCTCCTTGAACAAAAATAAATAGACAATAAAAATATTATCAAAAATACCCAAGCCGAATAAATCCTCGTAGCCCGATCAATAAAATATTTTTTGTCAACAGTTAAACTCATTATAGAAAATAAATAAAATTTCTAAAAACGAAAAGGAAATTGAGAATGTAAATAAATGTGAAATGGGAAAAAACTAATTGTTAAATAAGTAGTTTCTTTATATTGATTTTAATTTTTGTTATCAGCTAAAAAAAGATTTGTGCAACACCAAAATTAGGTTTGCAACTGAATAGCTTGGGTTTTAAAACGAGAAAAATAAGAAATGGGATAATTTGGCGCGGGCAAAGTAGTACAGGCCGGTCTAACGCAAGGCAAATTTTGCTCGGTGGGTTTGGTGCAGTGTTAAAATTACCATACATTTTTTGGGGTTTTTGGTTATTTGCAAAGTACAAAATAAATAAAATAAATAACAACTAGTTAAATTTTTAATGAACAGCAAAGAGTGATACTTTCAGAAATGAGTAGAACCCAGAATTTAGTCCAAAAATTGAGTAATAGATTCCAATTTTGGAAAATTAAACTACCAGAATAAGGTTCTTGGTTTTCCGGAGATTTCATTGGGAATGTTGTGACTTATAGTTGGCTGGATCAATTTGGTCGAATAGAGTTTAATGCCACCAAAACCACCTTGTTTGATCAAGTTTGAACTAGGGTTCAGCGGTATCGGGATCCCGACCGGTATCGGGCGGTATTATACCGGTCTCTTTGAATACCGATACCGATTTTACTGATACCGATACCGAATGCTAAATCCCGATACCGTTTTTTCTGATACCGATACCGAGGCCGGTATCGGTATCGGTATCGGGATTAGCGTTGGATACCGACAAAATACCGATTTTGTAAATATTTATTTTTACTATTTTTATTGACTATTTTATTCCATATTTTTCAAAATTTTCGCCTGCGGCGCAAAAAATGGAAGAAATCTGACAATGGGTCCTCCAAAATGCTCAAAATTTTCGCCTGCGGCGCAGAAAGGGATTTGATGGTAGAAGAGGGATTCGGGTCGGGGTTTGAAAAATTCACAAATAGGGGGTTCGGGTTAAAAAATAGACCAATCTTAGGTAGAAATATTGTCCTTGGACATCAAAATGCTCAAAATTTTCGCCTGCGGCGCAAGGAATGGAAATAATAGATTTTGGCGCCTTCGGTGAATAAAATTTTTGCATAAAAATTAAGTAATGTTTATTAATGAACAGGTGTTTTGTTAACGAATGAAGCCTAATTAAAAAGTTTTATGCAGGTCTAGTCCCCATATTGAAGGATATCAGTCGATTATCGGAGGTATCCCTAGTACACCCAAAAAGTCTACCGATATCCCTCCTAATTCCCAAAGATGATTTGAGGTATAAAAAGTTGAATTTGGAGTATAAATTTAGATCAAGATGATATCGAAGATTAAAGTGGATATCGATGGATTTGGAAGGTCTTCTATTGGCTCCTGAGATGTTTTTGTCTCGAAAATAGCTTTATAGTGCTAATTTATCATTTTACTACTGATTAAAACCTTTTTCAAAATGCAGAATGAATTTATTTATTAAAGATTAAAATTAATAAAAAATTTTTTTAGGAAATACCGATACCGATTTTTAAATCCCGATCCCGAGTCGGTATCGGTACCGGTATCGGTATCAATAACTCAAATCCCGATACCGATTTAGGCTAATCCCGATCCCGAGTCGGTACCGGTATCGGGATCGGTATCATCAATCCGAAATACCGATACCGTTTTTTTCTCGGAATACCGGTACCGCTGAACCCTAGTTTGAACAAAGTTACGATACAAAAGAAGCCAAGCAGTGCTGGGTATTTGCCATTTGTTGGCTCCGGCTCCGGCTCCGGGCTCCGGCCTTTCAAATTCTTGGCTCCGGCTCCGGCTCCGGGCTCCGGGGTTTCAAAATCTTGGCTCCGGCTCCGGCTCCGGGCTCCGGCCTTTTAAAATCTTGGCTCCGGCTCCAGCTCCGGCTCCGGAGCCGGCGATTTTCGGAGTCGCTCCATGTTGGCTCCGGGCTCCGGGTGGAAAATCAATGAATTATTTTTTATTGGGAGATTTAGGTAGATAAAGGGGGATATCGAGTGATATAAGAGGATTAAGAGGGTTATCAACGGATTAAGCGGGATTTGGGTGGATTATCGTGTTATTAAGGTGGATTAAGGGCGATATTGGGGGGATTAAGGGGATTTGTATCCAAAAATCTTCCTTTTTTGCGCCGCAGGCGAAAATTTTGAAAATTTTGGAAGATCCTTAAGCCAGATTTCTTCCTTTTTTGCGCCGCAGGCGAAAATTTTGAAAATTTTGGAAGATCCTTAAGCCAGATTTCTTCCTTTTTTGCGCCGCAGGCGAAAATTTTGAGAATTTTGACACCCAGGAGACAAAAATTAATCAATTCGAAAAATTTATCCAGCTTCATTTAATAGAAAAAAATGATTATAATAATTTATTGTTGAAATAAAAACAATAAATAAGTCTTTCATTACGTTCGGGTTCGAACCTAATACCCAGATAAGTCCTCTAAAATACGAACCAAACACACTATCCATTCAACCGCACCTCATTGCCAAGGAAAGGAAAGAAAATCTTTTTTACCCGTCTCAATTTCCTCTTCCTTTTCTTTTCACGCCTACCATCTTTGCTTACTTCTTTTTCTCTAACCCATCTTTAGGGGTGTATAGCCGGAGCCGTGGGGAATTGGAAAACCTTGGCTCCGGCTCCGGCTCCGGGCTCCGGGGTTTGAAATTCTTGGCTCCGGCTCCAGCTCCGGCTCCGGGGTTTCCAAAATCTTAGCTCCGGCTCCGGCTCCGGCTCCGCCGGAGCCGGCTCCGGAGCCGGGCTCCGGAGCTAGCTCCCGGAGCCATACCCAGCACTGAAGCCAAGTAAACTCCGCGCAAAATGCGTGGGGGTTTTTGCGTCACATGCCTCGCGGGGAGTCAACAGTCGCTGGGTTTTGCACTAGTAACATAGACCTATTCCTATCGCAAAATTCCAGCAAGCCGGGCTTCCTCATCAGCAGCAAAAACCTTCACGGAGACCATAGGCAAGGAGCTAAAACAGCCGATCATACAAGTAGGATTTCATTGATTTTGGTGTCATTCGACTTAACTCAATGAGCTCTTTCGAATGACACATCATTTGATCAAATCGGTCCAGCCAACAAACCAACGAAGGGAGATTTCTCCTTTTGAAAATAAGAATTCCAGTCTTCTGGCCTGGCCACCTGGCATTTGAAAATCCAAAAATTTCCCTGCGACGCCATTTTGACTGTAATACTAAATCTGCAGCTCTCTTTTAACTGGAGAACTTTTGATAATTTTTAAATTGACATAATTTAATAGATACAAAAATTAGTAAAAACCGGAACAGATTTATTTATATATATTAGAGAACAATTAATTAATTATATTATTTACAAAATAATAATTCCTTTAATTATTTTCATCTTTAATTAAAAATTCCCAGTCATCTTTTTCATTTAATTCCAAATTATTTTTATTAAAACAAGCAAATAAAATTCCTTTATAAATTATTCCATTTAAATTTAAAGAAACATTTATTGAAGATTCTTTTATTTTCCCCCTTTGTTTAATTAAAATTCTTTCTTTATTATTTTCATTAATTGCTTAAATTTAAAAAAAAATTAAAATTAAATTAAAATAATTATTTTCTTTTACTTTTATTTATTTTTTCTTCTTTATTTAAATAATTAATTGTTGTATTTACTGATTGTGAACGTTTTTGTTTTTTAAAATTATTTGTTGTTTTAATTATTGAAGGTTCTGATTTTTCTTTATTTTTAATTAATTCTTGTTCTGTTAGTATATGTTGATGAGGGGTTGATGAAAAAAATGAAGAATTAAATTCTTGATCATTTCTTTGAAAATTTTTTTTTAAATTTTATTGAAAATTAAAAATTTAAATTTACGGACTTTTCTTAAATTAAGGAAAAAATTATTTTCGATTTTGTAAATCTATACATATGATATATTATTCGATCATTTCTTTTGTGAAACTTATGTACTAGCTGCGAACTAGTATATAGAGGCCAAGTTTTTAGTAGTGTTTTTCCCTGTCTTTAATTTAAAATTTTTATAAAAAATTTTCTTTACTTGATATTATTTAAATCATTATTAGAAGAATAAAAAGCAGGTAAATTAAATATTGTTGGTGTTAAATTTAAATATTGTTGTTGTTGTTCTCCATCATTTTCTTTTATAAAATCTAATCCAAATTTATTAAATACATTTTTTGTAGAGACTGCATTTAATACATTATTTAATTGTTGCTGGAAAGTTTGTTGTTCTTCTAATTAAAAGAGAATAATTATTAATTTTTATATTTATTATAAAGTTTCGAAAAAAAAATTTAAATCAAAGTTTATTCGTTTTCAGTAATTTATCGTGATTCAACTGATTCTAACGTTTAAGGGAATGACAGTTTATACTTAGGCATATAAAACAGAAAATTATGCAAATACAAAGAAATTCAATTTTTGTTTTGAATTAATCCAAATTGTATCTATTGTAAAATCTTTTATTTTTCTCTAAACTTTTTAAAGGTTTAATATTAAATTTTTAATGTTTTTTAATTGGTATTAATGTCTTAATTAATTTTTCTTATTTTAAATAATTAACCATTATTAATATTTAAATTATCCCCATTATCTCCATCATCCTCTGATCCCAAAATATTTTGTTGTAAATTTAAATTATTATTTAAATTTCCAAAAAGATCAGCAAATGATGATTGAGAAGGAAAAGTACCAAAAGTTGCTGCTGCAGCTGCCGCGACCATTATTTGGGCGGTTGTTACACAGTTATTTGTTGATGGTGGGGGAATTATAAACATTTGCGAAGAATTTGGTGATTGTTGTTGTTGTAACTATTTTAAAATTAACATAGAAAAATGTTAAAGACTCAATCAAATTTCTCCTAAATGGCACATATGCAAGTTTACGGTGATATATAACCTAATCGTAGCTGATCAGAAAAATAATTCTACATTTTACCAAACCATTAATATCACACCTCAATTAAAAAAAGGTAAATTTGAGGTAAATTCTGGTCAGTGCCCCCATGCTTTGCCTATCATTTCTATATTAAGCACACTCTTATTATGTAGTAACCTCTCTAATAATTTCAACCTCCCAATTAATTTAAAAATTGAATTTTATTTTTTACATTTTGTTCTTGTTTTTGAATAGATGGAGGTGTTGAACTAGAATTTGTTGTTGTTGACGTTCCTGGAAGAGGATTTTTACGTCCTTCTCGTTTATTTCCATCTACAGCTGCTTGTAAATCTGCGATATTGCTAAAGTTGTGTCGATGACATTCATAATCAAATAAATATTTTGAATATCTTTTTTTAAATAAAAAATAATTATTTTTTGTTTTTAATTAAAATTTAAAACTGTGTTCTAAGTGTAAATGCAGCAGAGGTTATTGATGGAGGTAAGTTTAATCCTTTTGTTATTTCCCGCCAAAGTTTTTTATTAATAACTTCAACAAGCCCCCCATGTTGAACAACAAGTCGATATAGCTCATAAAGGTCGAGAACTTGTTTAGCCATTATTGGAATTCTAGTTACAGGTTTGCCTATTTTATGCATAAATTGAAGCCAATCATTAAGCCATTCCTTTCTTGATGTATCTTCAGAGAGGTCATAAAGCTTTAAATTTAAAAAATTATTTTTGTAAATTTTAATTAAAAATAAAGTAAAAACATTAGGAATAAGCCAGAATTGAGATAACTTTTCTAATAATAATTTTTCTCGATCTACTCTTTAACAACTAAATGGTCCATTAAAAGGTTTTTTTATCAAAAATAGTCAAATATCATTAATTTAAAGTTTTGATTTATTCAATCCCTCTCTCTCTCTCATAAATACAGTGAAGCACCACAAAAGGGACTCAATGTAGAAACAACTTTTGGTGTTGGAACAACCGTGAATGAAGATCCGACACAAAATTTAGAAAAAATTTAAGCCTGGACACTCAAACGTGTTATCCCTTTTTTGGTTTATTCAACTACATATTTTTTAATTTCAAATAAATATTATCATCGCCACAGTAATCTCTCTCCCACGCTTCTTCTCTCTCATTTAACTAACCAATAGAGGAAAAAATAAATTTATTTTAAATGAATGAAGGCAAGCGAAACAATTAAAAATTAAAAAAATATTTTTCTATTCTACAAAAAGCTACAGCATTTTAAGTAAAATAATGGGGACATTTAAATGGACAAAAAGTTATAATTAATAAGTAATAAGTGAAATAAAAAAAAATAATTTGGATCCGCAAACTTAGAAATACATAAGCACAAAAAATAAAAATAAATGTATTTTTATGGCTACTATACTCAAATTAAAATTGTATATAATTTATTAAAATTCAATTAATTTTAATCCACACATTTACTCTTTTGCTTTATTTAATAATCCAAAATGTCTCCATATAAACAATTTTTTAAGTCCTTTCTTTAACATAAATAAACAAACTTAAATTTACCGCAAAAAGATTTTGTCTCAAAAAATTAAAAATTATCCTTTTAAATTTATAAAAAAGTTTCCCTCTTTTCCTTTATTTATTCTTTTTTTTGTCGGTTTATTAAAATATATACACACAATTTTTGCCAAAAATATAAATAAATAATAATCCTTTTAAAATTTTCTCTTTTTCCTTACTTAAAAATTAGGAAAAAATTATTATATTTATTTAGTGTGAAAATATAAAAATAATACCTCTAAATACTTTTTAAAAAATCTTTTTTGTTAAAGAAATAGTTTAAAATTAAATAAATAATTTATTTTAAAAGGATTATTATTTCTAAATAAAAATTATTTTGTTTTAACTAAAACAAAAAGAAATGTGAACATTAGCTTTGCACCAGAGATGTAAATGTTGTAGAAAATAAACAGAAAAAGCTTAGAAATATATAAAATGTTTATGTTTAAATATTAAAATTGTTTTTGCATTAAATGGAATAATAAAATAATTAAAGTTAAAACAAATTAAATAATTTTTTTCTAAAACATTAATAAAAACATTTGGGAAAGGAGAAATCTGACGATAAAAACAAAATACAAAAAAAAACATTTTTAAAATCAAAACAATTCCAACACAACAAAACATTTTAACCCCAAAATAGAATCGACAAACATTTTTCTGTTCCAAATAAATATCCCAAACAAAACATTCCAAACAAAACATTCCAAACAAAACATTCCAAACAAAACATTCCAAACAAAACATTCCAACAAAACATTCCAAACAAAACATTTCAACAAAACATTTCAAACAAAACATTCCAATCAAAACATTCCAAACAAAACATTCTGAACAAAACATTCCGAACAAAACATTCCAAACAAAACATTCCAAACAAAACATTCCAATCAAAACATTCCAAACAAAACATTCCAAACAAAACATTCCAAACAAAACATTCCAAACAAAACATTCCAATCAAAACATTCCAACAAAACATTCCAAACAAAACATTTCAACAAAACATTTCAAACAAAACATTCCAATCAAAACATTCCAAACAAAACATTCTGAACAAAACATTCCGAACAAAACATTCCAATCAAAACATTCCAAACAAAACATTCTGAACAAAACATTCCGAACAAAACATTCCAAACAAAACATTCCAAACAAAACATTCCAAACAAAACATTCCAAACAAAACATTCCGAACAAAACATTCCAATCAAAACATTCCAAACAAAACATTCCAACAAAACATTCCAAACAAAACATTTCAACAAAACATTTCAAACAAAACATTCCAATCAAAACATTCCAAACAAAACATTCTGAACAAAACATTCCGAACAAAACATTCCAATCAAAACATTCCAAACAAAACATTCTGAACAAAACATTCCGAACAAAACATTCTGAACAAAACATTCCGAACAAAACATTCCAAACAAAACATTCCAAACAAAACATTCCAATCAAAACATTCCAAACAAAACATTCCAAACAAAACATTCCAAACAAAACATTCCGAACAAAACATTCCAAACAAAACATTCCAAACAAAACATTCCAATCAAAACATTCCAAACAAAACATTTTATTTTATTTTCATTCCAACATTCAAACAAACATTACACAACTTGTTTTAATCTTTTACCTGTTTAAATTGATCTTCATAACTCCAATTTTGTTGTTGTTGTTGTCCATTATTAATTAATTCTGAAATTGTCGTTGTAGAAGATTCTCTTTCATCTTTTGTTGTTGTTAAATCTTCTGGTCCATCAATATTAAATATTTCAGAATTATTTGAAATTTCTTCTTTATTTAATTTTTCAGAAGAAAATTGAAAAAAATTTTTTTGTTGATGCCATGGGGGAAAGAAAAAAGGATTATTTTGAAAAGAAGAATCAGAAAATAATAATTCTGTTGATGTTGAGGATGTTGATTGGATATTATTATTGTTGTTATTTATTGTTTCTAATTGTTGTTGTTGTTGATTTGTATTATTTAAAGCTAAAAGAAAAGGTGATAATTGGTCAGCTAATTGTTGTTGGAAAGGTAAGGAAGATGGAGAAGAAGTAGGAGGAAACATTTTTTGATGACCTTAAATATTTTATAAATTAATAAAAATTTTAATTAAAAATTGCCCCAACATTTTTAATTTTGTTTCCCAAGCTTCTTGGATCTGGAGATTCATGGGATTTGGGGGATTATGAAAGATATAGTGGGATTTTGGGGATAAGGAGGTATATCAAGTGATATCTCCTAATCTCTTGGTCTTGACTCTCGGTCTCGGTCCGAGACTCGGTTTCGGCGTTGATTCCCGGTCTTGGTCTCGACGCCCGACTCTCGGCTTTTTTTTAACTCCCGACCATCACTACAATATATGTAGGTATTTAAAATAAATACCTGATTTTACTTCAATTAATTTTAAAAAATATCTTTACCAACAAACTGACTAAACATTCTTTCAAGTGCTTTTCGAGCTTCAAGAAATTCGAGTAATTGTGAACGTTGTCTATTCAAATCATTACTACTATTATCTCCATTATTTCTTTCTTCTTCTTCCTCCTCGCCAATTTCTAATTTTCCATTAAAATCCTTTTCTTCATTATTTTTATTTTTTAAAGCCTCACATTGTGCCAAATCAAGAATTGTTTGTTGAAATGAAATATTTGGGGAATTTACTAAATTACTATTTTTATTTTCATTAAAATCATCAAAATTTGTTGAAGAATTTAAACTTAATTTTCTTTTTCTATTAATTATTTGTTCATTCTCTTTTATTTTTTCTTCTTCATTTATTTTACAAAATTTAAAATTATTATTTTGATTTTGTTGTTGTTGTCCTTCTCTTGTATTATTTACATCTTGATTTTGAACTCCTTCAAGTAATGACTCTAATGCCATTGGAGAGATCATTTTTTGACAGATGGTTGGAAAAAAAGATTTTTTAAGGATTTTAAGCTATAAATTTAAAAATTTATTCGTAAATTTTGGGAGGAAATTTAATAATTAAAAAAATATGTTAATGATTTCTTAGCTAAAAGATGAACAAAAAATATTTGATAGTCAAAGAACTATCATTTTTAATGGAAATCTTCTAATTAAGCTTGCTCGGATCGGATATCCCGATTCGAAAAAAGGCCGGATATCCGAAGATTTCCAACTATCCAACAACCTTACTTCTCATTAATAATTGGAATATTCAAAAATATTTATTACAAATAAATTATGGCATAAAATTTATGACAAGTTTTAAAAACCACAAAAATAATAATTACTCATTTTGGGAAATTTATTTTTTTAAGAATTGTTTTTAAGGAAAGACATTAAATTATTTCTATATAAATTATAAATACTTTTTTTTAAATAAAATAAAAAATATATAATGGATAATTTGGCATATAAAAATAAAAAAAAAGATTTTTCTTCTCTTCTTTTTTAATTTCTGCATTGTTTTGCGGCTGTATTGGCCAATAAATTTAGGCACAAATTATGCTTAAAATGAGTGTTTGATGCAGTAAAGAATATATTAAGGAGGGGGAAAGCTAATTCCGCTCATTAATCATTTGGGGAGGAGGAAAAGGCCGCGGAATAGAGAAAAGAGGGGGAGGGAGGGATGGGGAAAATAAAGAAATTCGAATAAAAATAAGGGAAGAATTATTTAGATATATTTATTGTCCTTAGAAGAGATTGAAAAAATACACAGATGAAAGTGATTATGCTAAGGCGTGGCAATATTTTTACAATCAGAGGATGCAAAAAAAGGAGGAAGAAAAGGAAATTAAATGCCTGTTGGCCAATAGAATTACAAAAAAATTAAAAATTGTTATATTTATTTAGTAGAAGGTTAACAACAAAATAAGTATTATTTTAAGTTCAAAATAAAAAATTTTCAGTTGGGAAAAACATAATGAAAATAAAAACACTAAACAGAGCTTACTAAAAAATTTTTTTATTTTCAAATTTTAGAAAGGAAAAGTAAAATATTTTAAAGTTATTTTGAATTCATTAAAGTATTAATTTATAATTTAAATAGGTTAAATAAATATATTTAAGTAATTCAGGATAAGGTTGGCGAATCCGGATCCGAAAAAGACCGGATATTCGGAAAGTTTCGGTTCGGATATCGGATCCGGATATCCGAAGATTTCTAACTATCCGCCAACCTTAATTCAGGACTATTTTAGGGTTTTTGATATTTTTTCGTTTTACTCCTTCTATAGTTTATTAGAGGCTAAAAACCTGTGTCTTTTTTGAACAAAAAAACTTTTTAAACTTTTCTGAAATCATTATAAGTCTTTTTAAGATGTTTTAAAAAATGAATTTAAAATTTTCGAGGAGATTTTTATAAAAATTATTTAAAAAAGATCACAAAGTAAATTAAAAAGGGCGTTCTCCAAATATCTTCTTAATTTTTCGGTATTTAAATTAATACAGTAAATTATATTTTTAAATAAAAAATAATTTTTTTCTTTTCATAATAAACAAATGAAGTATATAATGAATAAAACAAGAATTTAAAGAAAAAGTAATTGGATGGGAGAAATATATATAATAAATATTGAAGTACCTAAATATTATTATTATTAAGTGGAATATGTATATAACTTTTAAAAAAATAATTTAAGAAGAAGTTGCGACTAAAATAAAATAAAGGAAATACAGTAAATTAAAATTGAAAAATGTGGATGAAATGGAGAAAAAATTGAAAAAAAATTTTTACGGATAAATGGATGGGGTAAGGAAGGTAATTTAAAAATAAATAAAAGAGAAGAATAAGCATATGGTGGGAAATATTAAAGTAATTTGTTTTTTAAAAGAAAAAATAAGAGAGAAAGAAGGGATTTTACTAAATTTTATAAATAAATTTAAAAAAAAAGTTGGAAGAATTTGGTGGTAGTTGGATATATTTATTTATAAATAAATAAAAGGAATATGATGACACAAAACTCTATGTAAATGCACCAATCCCCTCCTCTCCTCCTCCCTTTTTTCCCTTCTAATAAATAATTTTGGTAAAGAAAATATTTAAGTAGATAAAAGCAAAAGGGAATAAGAAAAGTGGATATTTACAGTATGAAATAAATAAATGAAATGGAAAATATATAATTTTTAAATTAGAGAAGAAGGGAGAGAGGAAGGAGAATATTTTTAAAATAATAATTTAAAAGGAAATTTAAAAATTATCCCCCAAAATATTTTTATCAATTAATTTAATTTAATTTAAAAAATATTTTTAAAAAATCATTTTCACACTTAATTATTCCACGCTGTGAAAAGAATGAAAAAAAAAGATTTTTTTCTTTAAACAATGGAAAATGAAAATAATATTTTTATTTGTTTTAAAAAAAGTTGGTAAATTGTTTAAATAAATAAATGACCACCAACTGTGTTTTGCTGTTTTTTCTGATTTTATTAAATTCTCGACAAACACCTTTATATTTAAATAAATTTTATTTATTTTTGTAAATTAATTATTAAAATATTTTTTTGGAAAATAATTTTGGCAAACAATTTTATTTAACAATAAAAACAAAAGAGAGGATTTTTAGGTCAATCTGTTTGTTGCCATTGAATAAATTTTTGTTTCATTTGGTTGGAAATAATTTGAAAGAATAGAAGAACAAAAAAGAGAAAACAATTAAAAATTGTACCTATACCTTTTTATTTTATTTTAATCCAATAATTTATTCAGTGAAAACAAAATAAATATTTTGTGGATATTTATTTTGAAAATAAATAAAAAATACAGGATTTATTCTAATAGAACCACTGTGGTTTTATTTCCAACACCTCCATTTGATGTGGACTGTGTTTCAAGTAGAGATGTGTTTCTATTAGAATAAATCCGGTATATAATATATTAACTCAATAAAAATTGAAGAAAATATTTTAAAGGAATAAAATAATTACAGAAATTAAAATTCTTTAAAAATACTGACAGGTTCATTTTAGTTTAAATGACTAGTTCCCCCCTCCTCTCCCTTCTCCTCTAATATTTTTTGCCATTATTCTTACCAAAATTTACATCTGTTTTTGGTATAAACAATAAAAATGTTTTCTATCTAGAAATAAAAACTTTAAATATTTCTAATTAGCCATTGTCTACTTCTCTCTCTTTCTTTCCAGAGAAAATCATCTCCCGAATTAACTATCTAAATATATTCTAATAATTAATTGACTGGAAAAAACAAAAATATTTTTAGGAGATAATGGAGGAAATTAAATAAAAGAAATAAATTGTAGAAATTGTATAAATGAGGGTAAGTGGTTGGAGAGAGGTTGAGGAGAGGGTGGGGGAAGAGGAGGTAAGAAGGCGCTAAATGTGGTTAAGTTTAATTTTCCTCTCTCTCAATTAATTTTTGGGAATAATAATAAAAAAACTTTTTTAAGGAACAATAGAAAAGTAAGGAAAATGGAGGGGACGGACTTGTGAGGACACACAAAAAATTAAGTAAAATGCCATTAACAGTTATAAAAATGAAAGAACAATTAATTCATTATTTTGGATAATTGGAAAATAAAATTGGAAAAAAATAAAATTATTTTAAATTCAATGAAGAAAATATTTAATTTATTATTTTAATTTATTGTTAAATTTAGTATTAAAAATTATTTTCTTATAATAATAACTAAAAAATCAACTTTTTTTTATTAAATTCAATAAATATAGGGGCCATCAAATCATCAAAGCCTTTAATTTCATTCTTACTTTTTTTTCATAAAATAACTTTTATTTTTATTAGCCCTACCTTCCTTTCATTTCTTTCCCTCCCCAAAAATCTTAATTCTAAATTTTTTTACTTAATATAAATTTCCTTCCCTCAAAATCTTTTTTTCTTTTAAATAACAATTTTTAATGGAATATTATTATTATTATTAAAAGCAACTGTTAATTGCTCAAAAAATGATTGAAGAAATAAAAAAAGGGAAAAGGAAAATTATGATGAAGTAAATAAAGAAAATTAAAAAAGAACAATGATATATTAAATATATCGAGAAAGGGGGGGGGGGGAGAGGAGAGGGAAATGATTTGATTGAAAATAAAATGAAAGTAAAGGGAAAGAAATTAATTTTTGAGGATATATTTTAGCTGCAAAACTTTAAAATAAAATAAATATATATTAATTTTTGAGAAAAAATCTTTAAAAATAATTATTTTGTGATCAATGATCAAATTGAAAATAAATATTACAATTTTAGATTTCTTTTTCTAAAAAATTATTTTTGAATATTAAATCAAAAATTGGAATTCTTCTTAAAAAATTAAAGTTTAATAATTTAAAAGAATTTAAATAATGATAAGAAATTAATTTTTTAAAAATTATTTAAATATTTATTTTTTAAAGAAAAAAATTAATTTCTAAAAAAAATATAAAAACATTTCCTTTTTTCATTTTAGTTATTTTTATTTAGCCCTCTTTATGTCTGTCGGGATGGATTAATAATAAAATTGAATGAGGGAGGATTATTAGCTGCTGGGCAAAAGCGGTGAATTAATATATAATAAATATATATTTATAGAAGGAAAAGCATCAAATTAAAAGAAAATTTTTTATTTAAATTTATTTTAATTAAAAAGTCAATAAAAATTTATTTTTAAATAAAAAAATTTTTTTTGATTTTCAAAAATATTTTTGTTAAAAAATAATTCCAAAAAAATTCCTCGGGGAGTTAAAGTACACTTAAATATAAAATAAATATAGAACATAAATCATTGCTTAAACAAAAAAGAGTTTTATATAAAAATAGTCAATATTAAAATTCTACAATTTAAATTTTAAAAATTATCTATAAATATCAAAAATCATTTAAATTCTCTCATAAGAAGTTTGAAAGAATTTGAAAAATATTTTAAAAAATAATTCTTTTTTACAAGAGATGTTGTAGTCTTGGCTATTATTAAATTAATGTTATCTTCAAATTTGTGATTCGGATATTAGAACTGGATATACAAAATTTTAACTGTCTCTGAGAAACAATTCACTCAATTATTTTAACAACCAATTTAAATTATTACTAAACAAAATCCCCAATTTAATTAATAAACAATATCATCCAATTGTAAATAAAGAAAGGGATAGGCAAAATATATATCCATTATATATTTTAACTAAAATCTTTTCTAATTTCTTTTATATTTTCAAGTGGATATATTGGGCTAACTAAATATATTAGAAAAAGTAATGAATAAATAAATAAATCTACATAAAACACAAGCCCCCCATTTCCCGCACTCATTCATTTATTTTTAAACCTCTCTCAAATCGAAATGCCGCTCCCCCATCATTTCTTTCTTTTCTTTTAGCTAATCGAGAATTGGAGAAAGAAAAGCAGATATAAACTAGAAAAAAGAAACAATTTTTTTGAAGATGATGATATTAAACAATAAAAATAATTTACAAATTTTGTTAGCTTTTTTAAAGTAAAATAGTAGTTAAAAGTGAAAACGAATGAAAGGATTTTAAAAATAGTAAAGAAAAATAAATATTAACTCATTTAAAAGGGTATTAGAGATTACAGTAATAGTTAATTAAATTTTAATTTAAATAGGGTTTTGGATAAATTGTCTAAGAAATTCATACAATTCTATCATAAAAGGATTCAATATTTCTAAAGGATGTTTTACCTCGTTCGGATAAACCGGAAAAATCACTTAGAAAATAAAATTACTTCCAGAATAAGTACGGATCGGAGCCCTGATTTAAACCTTTTTTCCTTTATATTCTCAAAAGTCTGCAAGTTTTATCTTCAATTCATACTATTTTATCGTAAAATGATTTGTGTGAGAAGAGAAAAGGATGGGGATTATTTTAAAGGCTTAAAACCAAATTTATCCCGTTTGTACCGTGCTTCGCCATTGATTTAAAAAATTTAAATCAATGCCCAGAGTACACCGCGAGGAGGTGCACGGTTGTAAACGGGCAAACCTTGTACTCCACCACTTCCGTAGGACTAGGTTGCCCAAGCCCGAAGCAGGCAGTGGCTAGCGACCTACTCAACCAAGACAACAATTGCAACAATTGTGGCAGTGGTCGTAAGAAGCGGGTTAGGTTCAACTAGGTTGCCCAAGCCCGAAGCAGGCAGTGGCTAGTCTAGCCTAACCTAGCCGGGTAATAGCTAGGTTGCCCATGCCCGGAGCAGGCAGTGGCTAACTATACCCAGCCCTTTGGTTAAGGAAACACCGTCTGCACAGTAGTGTCGACTAATGAATACAACTTAACACAAAGGGGCCACGTATCGCAATAGTTAACGTAGACATAGCTAGGTTGACCGTGCCCGAAGCAGCCAGTGGCTAGCTAGAACTACGCAACTACTGCTATCAAACTAGGTTGCCCATGCCCGGAGCAGGCAGTGGCTAGCTTGACCGTTGTCTGGCCAACTAAACTGACTTTAATGGGTGCTTTTATACTAACATTGTCAGTGAAAAAAAAATGCGCCGAAAAATGGCGCCCAATCGAATGAGCCCATTTCTGCGCGCCGAATTGTCCAGAATTAGAGAATTTAAAATTTTTTAAATTATCAGTTCCTGCAACGTCAAGATTTCGATTTTCCTCTAACTTACATGCAATTAATTTTACTGTCCAATTACCCAAAGTGTAGGATTGCTCTATTAAATTTTTTTCATTATTTTTGCTAATTCAAATTAAATTTCCAACCTTGAAGAATTTAAAGCTTCCCTTTATTATAACAATTTTTACTATTTGTTTGATCACATCCTTGTCTTTTTACTTTTAATACTATTTTTTATTAAAGTCAGTCTTCTAGATTCTGCTCGATTTCCTATTTATTTCTCAATATTTCTTTTTCTTGATTATGTAAACTTGTAACAATTTATGCACACCTTTTTCCATCAAAAAATCTTTTTTCTACATTTATCCATTTTTTAAGATAAACTACAAAAATCTTTTCTCATTGCTTCTCATTGCTTTGTTTATAGATTGGATCCATTTGTATCAAAAAAGAGGTTTCCTTACGCAATACTTTTCTTCTTTTCCTATTGTGAATATTCTATTCTATTTATATTAAATGTCAGCGACGTCTAAAGGTTTTTTTAAAATTCTTTTAAATTAATTTTATTTCTTTAATATTTGTAGCTAGATTCCAACAAAATCGCCGTCACAGTTCTTCAACGTCATCAGCTACGCCACCATCTGTTCATAGCCAATTTGGTTCAATGTTCCATTCTTGTCAAGAATCTGCCTCAGTAAATTTAAATTTTAAATTAATTTTTAAATGCTTTTTCAAAGTTATATAATGAATTTGTTCGACGTAATATTGACTGTTTTGAGCAAAAGAGACGAGCAGAATATGTTCGTTGTCATCATATGGCAGCACAACAACATTTGTCTTCACCTCCAATTGGTAGCCTTCCTCGGGTAAATTTCTTTTTAAAAAATCACTTTTAAATAACTTTTATTTGTAGCAAAATATTCCAAGCAAAGTTCGTCTTACAATGGAAGTCCAAAACAGCGATTTTTGTAGTTTACATAATGGACGAGAAGCTTGGGCAGTTAATGATTCGTTATCTGATATCATTAAAGATACTGATTGTATGCTACAATTTGCAAATCAACAAGATGAATCTTCAGAAGAAGTTGGGTTATTCAATCAGGTATTTTTGAGATTATAAGTGAAAAATACTTTAAATTTTAGGTGACAATTATTGGGGAATTGTCCAATGTCGACCTTGCAATGAATCGAATTCGAGTTTGTTTTTTAATAAAGTTTTTAAATTTTGATTTAAAAGGCTCTCTGTCCAATAACGATTGCTACACCTTTGAAGAATTTAAAAGATGACATTGAATGTAAGGATTTGGCTGAATTAATCCGTCAATGGCAAAAATGTGATGACCTTCGAGAGTTCTCGCGTGTCCAGTTTTCACTTCTTTATCCACCAAATCCTTTTTCTTCTATGAATAATACAGAGGTATTTTTAATTTATTAAAACCTTTACTTCCTTTTAACTTTTTTTAAAAGATGAACAATCCTTCACTTGTATTTCGTGCATCACGAAAAGATTCCAAAATGTTGGCAGCTGCATGCGAGGCAATGACTAAACTTCTTTTTAAAGAGGTTTTTCTTTTAATTTTTTTTAAAAATTCTTTAAAATACTTTAGCGTCCTTTGTTTTTTGCCTATTTAAAAATTCCTGTCTCGCAACGTCGTATGATGGTTGGCTCGCCTGAGGGTGTTTTAATTAGTGCTATTTCTACCCAAACCAACGCTACAATTCACTTTCCATCGTCAGAGAAATCAACTTTTATGAATTATTATTTGAGTGGAACAGCTATTTCTGTTGTACATGCTGTGAGGGCTATTCAGGTTTTTTAAGGAAAAAAAATATTCTTAATTAAAAAAATATTTTTAGGATATAAGTCCAGTTCATATTGAATTTGAAGCAGAAAATAATCATTTAGTTAGTGCACTTTTACAAACAAGTGAAGACCATCGAGAATTAGACCAATTTGATATTGAACGTGCAGTTATTATTCAACTACGAAAAAGTGTATATGAGGGAGGATTTCGACTTGAATTGGAAGAAATGAGAGTTGGAAGCTTTTAATTTTTATAAGAAAAAAATATTTTTTTATTTTAAAGCATTCACTAACTTTAATGACTTCTGAAGAAAATATTCAAAATTTGTATAAAGTTCGGCAACAATTATTGATTGAGCCTTGCTGGAAACATGATCGACTTCAAAAAAATAGCAAATCTGGACCAAAATATTTGGAATATTTGAAGGTTTTTTAAACGAAAGTTTTTTTTTGAATTTTATTTATTTTTTAGGTACTTGTGATGGAATCCTCTGTGCGTGCATATATTGGACAAGGCAATAAAGTAATTTCTGTTTGTCGTTGCCGTAATCAGCGGCTCTTGCAACAGCAAGCACAACAAAAACAGGATATAATCATAAACAATGGTGGGGGCATTGCTGACAAAAATAACAATAATGGAGGTGGGAAAATGAAACGGCAGCACGATACTGTAGACGAATTAATGCCGTTGCCTTGAATTATATTTTAATGTTTTTAAGAAAGAAAGAAAAACAACGACAATTATTGCCGCCTATTTGAGGGAAACATCAAAATTATATTTTGTGATTTGTCTCTCTCTCCCCCCTTATTTTTTTATTACTATTTTAAAGAGAAGGGAAATTTTTAGAAAAAGAGGTTTTTTAAAGGATTTGCTACCTTTTTTTCGAATTCTCTTTTCTTTCCATTGCTTTTGCTTTTTTTATATATAGAGCACATACATAAAAAATTATAACTTTAATCGTTGTTTAGTCCCTATATACAATTAATTTAGTGACAATGTCGACAATTTATTTTTGCATTGTATACTATTTTTGTTTATTTTGATTGTATTTCTTAAAATCAAAATATATTTAATTGTAATATATTTAATTATTTGTAATAAAACTAATTTTCTAATTAAATATTTAAATATATTTGATTTTTATTTATTTAAAATATTAAAATATTTTTTAACATTTTTTTGTAGTTTTGAAAACAGACAAACTTTTTACTTAATTTAAATATTTTTAAAGATCAAAAGATTCTCTATGAAGGAGAAGTTTCTAAAAAAATTTTAGAATTAGTTTTAGAGAAGTTATTTTAATTTTAAAACTGAAGAAATTTAAATTAATTTTATTGTCTACCTAAAAATATTCTTTTAGATTTTTAACAGAATAATGCTTAAAATATTTATTTTTTCTATTTTCTGTGGTCATGTATTAATGTTGGGATTGAAAGATGGTCTTCAAAATACTCAAGGATATTGTATTAATCAGGAGCATGTTACAACATTTAAAGTTTTTTTATTTCCTTCCTTAATCTCCCCCAAAAATTATTTTTAAAGCATGGTAAACTTGGAGAAATTTATTACAAATTTTTGCTTAACCAAACAGCTGTAACAGAATCAATGGAAGAATATAGATTACAAGAAGAACAAAAAGTAGATTGGGGAATGAGTAGTGGAAATTTTTTGATTTTGTTAACATTATTTCCTTTTGCGATGATTTGGATTTCTGTTTGGATTGTTTTGTATATTTTAATTACAAATACAGACAAATATTTGTTGTTAGAAAATAAAAAAAGTGATTAGAAAGAATTTTAAAAATAATTATTGTTCCTAATTTTTGCTTGAGTTTTTGTGATAAATAATTTTTAAAAAAAAGTTCGATTTTGATTTTACATAAATATACCCAAAAAATATAATATATACTTTAAATTTAACATAAATTTTCAAGAGTTTATAGGGAAGCGGATAAACAATAAATACACAAATTTCTTCAATACCTCAATTTTACTTTTAATTTTTCACCTCCAATTAATTATTTAACATTAAAATCTGTTTGTACTTAATTTAAAAATAATTATTTGTTTTTGTTTAAATTCTCCTTCTTAATATTTTTTTCATCAATTTTTCTCCTTTTTAAATAAGAAAGAATTAGCAACTAAATAAATAAAAAGGCCAAAACTATTATTTTTTGACAATTTTCTAATTTATTTTTTTTGGTTAAAAAAGACTTCAAAAAAATTCTTTTATTTTTCCCTTTTAAATTCCCCCCTTCCCCCCCTCCCTCCCCAAAATTTAATTCCTTATATTTTAAATTTCTTTCCAAAAATGTTTTCCTTTTAAATTTCTTTTAATCTTTTTATTATCGGTTAAAAATAAATAGTAGAAACATCCATCAGTCAAAAATTGTCACAAAAAATCTTTTAAATTTTTCTAATTTTATTTTTTTTAAATGAAATAAACGACAAAATAAAATGCTTAAAATATTTTATTTGGCTAGATATATGGAAATTTTTACTTTATTTGTTACATTTTCAGGTAAAAAGAAATATTTTTAAAGGAAATTTTTAAAAATTAATTTTATTTTAAAAGAAAAATAAACTCTGACTTCTATTAAAGGGAGTATGAAATTACCGTAAAGCTTTGAATAATTACCCTGGGTAATTATTGTTTCGATCTTCCTATGGAGGGAGTAATTAATTGAGAGAGGGTAATTATGTATATGAGGTTTTATGAGGTTTAAAATCTGAACGTGTTTTGGGGCATTTGATGGGGGGGTAATTATTATTTCAATCTATCGCTGAAGGGGGTAATTAACTTAAGTGGGATAATTATTTGTGGGAGGCTAATTTAATTAATACAGATTTTACGGTAATTTAGTTATTTTAAAAATTATTTTTTTTCTTTACAAAATTAATAAAATATTCTCTTTAATTAAAAAAACTTTTTAAAATTAATTTATATAAATTAATTCTAACTTTAATATTTAAAATTCTTTTTCATTTTACTTTTCAATGCCAAGAGGTTTTTTCTTTTTTTTGCGCCTTTAATCCAATTGTTTTGAATTGCTATATTTTTTTTATTTTAGCCATTTTTCATTGTTTCCCTTTTTTCCTTTTATTTTTTTTCAATTGTATTTTTATTTATTTTTTTTATAAAAAAGTTTTTCTTTTTTAAAATGATAAAAATAAATTTATTTTTTATTATTTTATTACAAATTAATTCTTTGGCAATTAAAATATTACCTGAAAGGAAGAAAAATATAACAATAATTAATAAATCGAAAAATTTAGGTAAGGAAATTTATTGTTTACTTTTACGGTGTTTAAATTAATTTTATTCCAACCAATTTTCTAAAAAAAATTCGTTTACCGTATTTGCTCTATTAATCCCCCAGTCTTTATTAATCCCCCAGGCTCTATTAATCCCCCATCCTGGAGATGGGTTGAAACAATAATCCCCCTCTTTCTACCCCACTCTAATAATCCCCCAGGCTCTATTAATCCCCCACCCTAGAGATGGGTTGAAACAATAATCCCCATGGGGGATTACTAGAGCAAATACGGTAACTTTATTTTCCCTGTTTTGCTTTAAATTCAGTAATATTCGGAATCTAAATTGTTAGAGATTATCACTCTCTCCCCTCTAGAACCCTTTCTCCTTTTACTTCCACATACCATTAAACTTTAATTAACTACCCTGGGTAATTATTGTTTGAACCTTCCGCAGGAGAGAGTAATTAATCGAGGGAGGGTTGGTTTGAAATTTGAACGTGTTTTAGGGCATTTGATGGGGGGTTGTTTCAATCTATAGCTGGATGGGATAATTAATAGAAGTGGGGTAATTATTTGAGGGAGGGTAATTAGGTAATACAGGTTATACTGTATTTATTTAAATTTCAATATTTTCTTTTAGATCAACTAAATAATAATTTATTTGTTGATGATGAAGAACGTTTAGCAATAAATATATTTAAAGGATATAATTCTTTAATACGTCCATCCCCTTGTTATAACCAAACAATTATTTACGTAGATTTTGGTATGGCAATGATTTTGTTAATTAATGTTGATGAAAAAAATCAAGTAATGCAGTCAAATGCTTGGTTAACAATGAAATGGAATGATTGCCAATTTAGGTGGTTGAGGGAAAATAAAAAATATTTTTACAATTTTTTAGTTGGAATCCAAAAGACTACAGCAATATTGAAAGTATTAGAGTCCCCGTTGACAGAGTTTGGGTACCCGATATTGTTTTATTTAATAAGTATTTAATTTGTTCTTTAAAAAATTTTTAAAATCAAAATTTAAGTGCTGATGGTAATTATGAAGTTAGTTACCAAAGTAATGTTGTTGTTGATTATCAAGGAAATGTTAGTTGGGTACCCCCAGCAATTTATAAGAGTTCTTGTAGAATAGGTAGGGAGGGGGGTTATTAAATGATTAAAATAAATTTGGAAATTAATAGATGTTGAATATTTCCCTTTTGATGAACAAACATGTATGGTAGGGAATTTAAATAATTAATTACATATTTTGGAATAAATAAAGAACTTTAAATATCTTAACTAAAATTTAAATAAAAGTTTAAATAGTTAATTCCCTTTATTTTTAAAGTTATTATTTGGTTCGTGGACATATTCCTCTAAAGAAGTCCAACTTAGATGGTATGGAAATAAGCGTTTTGTTGATTTAGAGGATTATTCCCCTTCCGGCATTTGGGATATAATGGATGTCCCTGGAAGAATGTCTTTAGATAAAAGTAGAGTTGAATTTAGAATTGTTATTAGAAGGAAAACTTTGTTTTACACAATTATTTTAATTATTCCAACGGTTTTAATGGCCTTTCTTTCAATGCTTGTTTTTTATTTACCTGCAGAATGTTCAGAGAAAATAACTTTAGCTATAAGTATTTTACTTGCTTTAGTTGTTTTTTTACTTCTTGTTTCAAAAATATTACCTCCAACATCTGACACTATACCTTTAATGGCTAAATATTTATTAATGACTTTTGGTAGGTTTATTGAAAATAAATTTGATATTTAATAAAAAGAATTAATATTTTTTAAATTAATTTAAAATATTAATTAAAAATTCCAAAATCATTTAATTCACCTGTTTTTATGATTAGACGTGAGAAAACTTAGCCGTATAATTTTCTTAATCCCAATTCCCTATTAATCAATTAAAAAAGCAAATTTACCCCAATTTTCTAGTAATGAATATAATAACAATAATGTCAACAGTTTGTGTTTTAAATGTCCATTTTCGTTCTGCATTAACCCACCAAATGCCTCAATCTGTTCGAATTTTATTTTTAAATTTTTTACCAAAACTTCTTTGTATGCCACTTCCACAGCCCCTTCGAAGAAATTTTGGGATTTCTTCTATTCGTCACCGCCCATTAAACGTTAGGGGAGGTAAAAGATTGGCAGAAGTTGATCAACAAAATACAGAAATTGGAGTTGATAGTAGTAATACTCTTCCATTTAATATTACTAGAAATTTATCTTTAAATAATAATACAAAATTAAAAAAGAAGCAAATTATTAGAAGAAAACGTTTTTTAACAACACAAAGTCAAAAAGAGAGAAGGTACCGTATTTCCTAAAATAAAGCCCCATGGGGCTCTATTTTTCAACTATCCTCCAAAGTGGGGCTCTATTTTAGGGTGGGGCTCTAATTTAGCATGGGGCTCTAAATTTCAACCTATTTTTCAAATTGTTTCAAATTACAAAAATGAAAAATAGATTCTTTTTATTTACAAAATTTAGGAAAAATTTCCGATTTTCAGTAATTTTTGCAGACGTAAGATTTTGTCTATCTTTCCAAAAGTTTCGTCTGCGGCGTTGAGAATAAAGAAATTTGACTCCTTGGCCTTCCAATGTTCTCAAAAATTTCGCCCTAAAATACCCTAATGTCCAATAATACTTTATTCCCTCAAATCCCTTTATCCCTCCTAGACTCTATAAATAATAGTAAATCGTTTGGTCCCGTTTCCCAATGCTTTCTAAATGGGGTTGTTGGATTAGAGTTTCGCAAGCGTCCTTGTGTGAGCTCAGCAAAGTATAGGACATTTTCCCTCCGAATCAGACACTCAACTGACTGACATACTTTTTCGGACAGAATACACACCCAAATATTACAATCACTTTTAATCCCTTTAAATTTGCCTCATTCAATATCCCCCGAATGGACACTTAAATTCCTTCACCGGCTTTTCTCAGACTGGCAGTTTCTGCTAAACTCCGGATTGCTCTGGGAACTTCCGTTACTTAGCGCAAAATTTAGAGCGCAATTATTCTTCAAGTGATTTTGGTGGTCTCGGCCTTACAATATTAAGGAAGGTCTAGCTCCCCCAACCCTCTTAATTTTAATCTCTCAATATCCCTTTTAATCCCCAAATTCACTAACATTCATTTACTTATTCTACCCCTCTCCTCTTTTACTCACCTCTTTACAATTTTGTTTACTAATTTGGAATAAATTAGATTAAAAAAGTGGGGTGGGGCTCTATTTTAGAGTGGGGCTCTAATTTAGCATGGGGCTCTAAATTTCAACTATCCTTTAAAGTGGGGCTCTATTTTAGGGTGGGGCACTAATTTAGCATGGGGCTTTATTTTAGGAAATACGGTAATATGTATACCACATCCCTCCCGATCAGGGGTGAGCGCAAGATAAAATAAAACAACGGAAATAACGCAGAAATGGGCAAAAAATTATCTTATTAAGTGGAAATCTAGGCTCCCGATCTGGAATCAAGGTTTTTCTGAGTCGCTTTATTATCGTAGAATATTGGTATTCAGATATAGGGCTTCCTCATTTTAGTTTGCTCCACAGGCGAAATTTTGAGAATTTTGGAAAGCCAAGAGTGACGCAAGGCCAAAATTTAATGCGCTCATCCCTGCTCCTGGTATTTTGCAGTAATTCTCTAAAAGTTTTTCTACTAATCGAAAAATAGAGAATCCCACTAATCGAAGGGACTGGTTTTCCTTTATGGAACTTAGTTTTAAAGAGGGGAATAATTTAATAATTTTTTCTTTTCCTAACTTTTATATTTTTAATTTAATTTTTTAAAGATATTTTGATCGTTCTCCCGGCTCTCCACTTCCACAATTAAGAAAATTACAAAAAGGAATATTTAATAGTAATTCCTCTTCTACTAAATATTTATTTTTAAATAAATTTTCTCAAAATTTAATTGAAAAACAAGAAGAATTAAGTAATTTAATGGCTAAAGGAGTTTCTGGTGTCCAATTTATTTCCGAACATATTCGAGCAGAAATGGATGATAAAAAAGTTTTTTTAATTAAATTAAATATTTTTTAATTTAAAAAAAAGGTTCGTGATGAATGGCGTTTTATTTCGATGGTTATTGACCGTTTACTTTCTCTTTTATTTTTTGGAATTACTTTAGGAGGGGCTGTAGCTATTATATTAACTGTTCCACACATTTTTGAACAAGTTGATCAACAAAAAGTTATTAAACAATTAATTGCCAAAAATAGAATTGAAATTTTTGATGATTAAATTTAAATTAATTATATTTTTTATTTTTTATTTTTTATAAACCTCTTGGCATGAAAAAATTTTTTTAATAAATTCATAAATATTTTATTATTTTATTATTTATTTCTCATTATTATCTTTATGATTATTGGCAACCAGTTATTAACGAGTCTCTCGGTTTTGAGTTTTAATTAAATGACAATTTTATTTTGAAGATTCAGAATTTTCAGTTTTTAAATTTTATATTAACCGATTAATTTTTGGTAAGAAATATCAAAATTTTTGGTTTCATTACCGGTAGCCAACAACCTCTTAATTACTTTCCTCTCTATGTACATATTTATTTTGTATTTTTTAAATTTATTTTTATTTTTTAAAGTTTTTCTGGCAACAAAATTTGTTTATTCATCATTAGCAGAAGAACGTTTAATTAAAGATTTGTTTCGTGGTTACAATCATTTAATTAGGCCTGTTGCCAATTTAAGTAATTCTCCGTTAGAAATTCGTTTTTCGTTGGCTTTAATTTTGTTAATTAATGTTGACGAGAAGAATCAAATAATGCAAACAAATGTTTGGCCGACAATGAAATGGATTGATTATCAAATGAAATGGTTATTTTTTTAAAGGAATTCCTCATATATAATTAAAAAAGGAATCCTTCTGATTATGAAAATATTCGAACAATTCGTGTTCCTCCAGAAAAAGTTTGGTTACCGGATATTGTTCTGTTAGTGATTTTGATTTTTAAAATTTAAAAATATATTTTGTTAGTTTTAATAATGCTGATGGTAATTATGAAGTTTGTATGTTTTTTCTTTGTTTTTAAATTTAAATAGTCATTTTTTGGAATAATATTTCCCTTAAATTTATCGTCAACTTGATACAAAATAATTATTAATTTAAAGAATATTTTTATAATTTATTTTTCTTTCAGCTTTCTACTCAAATGTTGTAAGATAATTTTTAAATAAAAGTAAAGAGAAAAATAATTTTAATTTAAAGGTAATAGAAAGTAATGGAGAAATGCTTTGGGTATTCTTAATTAAAAATTAAAATAGTCTCTATTTCTAAATATTCTCCCTGGAGGGGGGGGGGGATTGTTTTACAAAATTTATATTTTTTGTAATAATCCCAATAATTTTCTCTTTTTTTCTTTTAAAAGGTCCCTCCAGCAATTTACAAAAGTTCTTGTATAATAGATGTTGAAGTATTTAAATAAATATACTTTTTAAATAAATTTATTTTAAAGTTTTTTCCTTTTGATGAACAAACTTGTGCAATGATATTTGGATCGTGGACTTTTAATAAAAATGAAGTAAAAATTTAATTAATTTTTAAATTACCGATTAAATTTAAAAAAAGGTAATAATTAGTTATTTGGGGAATAAAAGGCAAGTAGAATTAAATGATTATTCTGAAAGTGCTATTTGGGATTTAATGGAAGTACCTGGACAATTAATTCATCAAAAAAGTAAAATATCCTATCAAATAAAAATTAGAAGGTAAATTTAATTTAAATTTATTAAAGTAAATAAATAAATAACGAATAAAAAATAATAATTAAATTATGGCACTTTATTTGAGTCAATAATCTGTCTTGTAGAGATCTAACTGGGTCTGATCAAAGCCTGGGTTTTTTCTGTACCTAGAGCCCTGGCATCTTTTGATATCGATGAACTTTAAAGTTCTAAGTCATATTTTATTTTTTCCAATTTTTGTCAGAATTAATTGTTAGTAAATGTCCAATTGATGTTCTACCTGTTTGCTTTTGCAGACAAATAGGACATCAACTGGACATCTACAATAATTGTTAAAATTAATTTAAATTTAAAGAAAAACCCTCTTCTACACAGTAATTCTAATTATTCCAACTGTTTTAATGGCTTTTCTTTCAATGCTTGTTTTCTACCTGCCTGCTGAAGCTAACGAAAAAATAACTTTAGCTATAAGTATTTTACTTGCTTTAGTTGTATTTTTACTTCTTGTATCAAAAATATTACCTCCAACATCTGACACTATACCTTTAATGGCTAAATATTTATTAATGATTTTTGGTTTTTAATTTAAATTATTTTCTTCCCTAATTTCCTTTTTTTAAGTTTTAAATATAATAACAATTATTGTGACTGTAATAATTATTAATATTTACTTCCGAGGGCCAACAACACACAAAATGCCCCCTTGGGTTTATTCAATATTTATTTGTAAATTACCCCTTCTTTTAATGATGAATAGACCACAAAATGTTTTTAAAGATTTTAATTCAAAAAAATTTTCTTTAAATTCTTCGACAACACAAACTAAACAAAATTTTAAGCCTGGAAAGTTTATTGAAATGAATAAAACTAAAAAAGTACCTAAATCTTTATTTAAAAATAATTATTTATTTAAATTTAAAAGTATTTTCATCATCCAAATTGTTCAGAATTTATAGAACCATTAATTTATTTACAAAAACAAGAAAAACATAAACAAAAATTACGTAAGAGGAGAATGTCCCAACCTGTGGTATTTAAATTTAAATTTTCAAAAAATAATTTCAAAAAAAAGGTCACTCCCGCCCCTTTCCCTTCCCATCGAGAATTGGGAACTGAGGATAGTGAACTTCTAAATGAACAAGTTTTAAAAGCAATGGATGCTGTTGATTGTATTACAGAACATTTACGAAGAGAAAATATTAATAAAAAAATACGTGAAGAGTGGAGATTTGTTGCTATGGTATGGAGGGGATATTTAAATTTAAATCAGAAATTAGAAATATATACATATAAATTTAAAAAATAACAATTTGAAAAAATTATTATTAAAGTTTTTGGAAAATCAAACTTTTATCTATTCCTTAATATCAAACTCCTCATTATTTTCGACTCTGGATGATAACACCGAATATCCCCTTAATCTCTTATTGTCGGATACCTAATTTTATTTCCGTCTAAATTGTAGCACTTCGGAATAAATTAGCTTTTCTTGAAAAATTTAAATTTAATTTTAGGTAATTGACCGTTTACTTCTCTATATTTTCTTCGGAGTAACTGTTGGTGGGACAATTGGTTTGAGGATTCTTTTTTCTTTTAATTTATTTAATTAATTATTTAAAGGAATTCTCTGTTCTGCTCCAAATATTTTCGAAAATGTTAATCAAACACAAGTTATTACACAACTTAAACGTTCTGCTGAAGCTGAAATGAAATTTTAAAAATTTAAAGAAAATATTTTTTTAATTTAAATATTTAATGGCAACATTTTTAAAAATAATTTAATAAAAATTTAATGGTTATTTTTATTTTTCTAATAAAAATTTTCTTTTCTCCATAACATCCTTTTTTCATTAATTTTCAGCTCAATTCTTTCCTCGAAAATAACTTTTTAAATAAACTAAAAATATTTAACAGCTGTTGTTAGGAATTATTTATTTTTCTTATTTTTGCTAGAAAAGTTTAAAAATTTGAAGAAAAATATTACAAAAAAAAATTATTTTTGATTTATTATTATTTTAATTAAAAAATAAAATTTTTTAATGTTAATTTTTCCTCCCAAAATATTTACTATTTATTTTTTTATTTTTTTAATTAAATTTTCTTTAATTTTTGGAAGTGATGAGGAAGAAAGATTAATGGTTATTAATTTAATTTAAAATTATTTTAATTTTAAATTTAAAAAAGGTTGATATTTTCCGTGGCTATAATTCTTTAATTTTGCCAATGAGAAATTCAAGCCAGCCACTTACTGTTAAAATGGGGCTGCAACTTTTACTTTTAATTAATGTTGATGAAAAAGATCAAGTAATTAACTAACAAAGGAGAGTGCCTGAGGTATGAAATTTGGTAGACAGATAGATCATACCCTACTTTAGTACCTCTGACACTTCAGGCACTCTCCTCCTTTGTATGTCTAAATTTAAATTTAAAAAGATAATGCAATCAAATGTTTGGTTAACTTTAAAATGGCATGTTAGTTAATTAATTACTATTTAATTTTAAAAATAAATTTTAAAAAAGGATTTTCAATTGAAATGGAATCCAGTAAATTATGGAGGAGTTAAAGATTTGTAAGAGAGAAAGAATATTTATTTATTAAAGAGATTTCTAATTTCAGGCGTGTTTCTTTAGACAAAGTTTGGCTTCCAGATATTGTTCTTTTTAATAATGCTGACGGTAATTATGAAGTCTCTTATATGTCAAATGTTGTTATTCAATATAATGGGGATATGCTTTGGGTACCCCCAGCTATTTATAAAAGTTCCTGTATTATTGGTAATTTTTAATAAATAAATATTTTTTTAATTAAATTATTTAAAGATGTTGAATATTTTCCTTTTGATGAACAAAGTAAAATTTTTAAAAATAAAATAAAAATATTTTTTTAATTTAAAGTTTGCCATTTAATTTTTGGTTCTTGGACGGTAAATTAAATAAAATAATTTAAATATTTATTTATTTAAAAGTATAATGAAAAAGAAATTAAAATGGATTTTGATAAATCAGCCGGGATAGATTTATTAGAATATGGAGAATCTAAAATATGGGATGTTGTTGGTAAATAAATAATTTTTAAATAGGGTTGTTCCCCGAAAGTAGGGGAATTTGAGAGACCCCCCCCCTCAGACGGGGAACAACCCTATTTTTAAATAAATATTTTTAAATATTTTTTTAATTTAATATTTGAAAGGAGCCCCAGCAACATTAGTCAATCAACGTTCCAGAATTGAATATCAGCTTAGATTACGTCGAAAAGCTCTTTTTTATACAGTTGTTTTAATAATTCCAACAGTTTTAATGGCCTTTCTATCAATGGCAGTATTTTTTTTACCAACAGATTCTGGGGAGAAAATGACTTTAACTGTAAATGAAATTATTTAAAAATAATTTAAATTAAAAAAAAAAGATTTCTGTTCTTCTTTCTATTGTTGTATTTTTACTTCTTGTTTCAAAAATATTACCTCCAACATCATCTACAATTCCTTTAATGGCTAAATATTTACTTGTATTTAATTAATTTATAATTTAGAAATAATTATTTATTTTTTAGTTAACTTTTGTTTTAAATGTTATTACTATTTTGGTTACTGTAATTATTATAAATATTTATTTTCGGTCTCCAATAACTCATCAAATGCCTGGATGGGTTCGCTCTGTTTTTCTCAAGTATGGAAAAAATGTTTTACTGATTTTCTCTTCATTATAAGATTTATTCCTCGATTACTTTGTATGCGCCGACCAAGAAGACATCCAATAGTTTATAGACATGCTGCTGGTTTTGGTTCTAAACTTGCCCGTTCAGGACATACAATTTCAATAAATAATGGAATAACCGGGAATTCCTCAGCTAGAGGATTGGCTTCAGCTGCAGCAGCAATTCTGCCAGGGATTGGTCGTTTTGCCTTAACAGGGCCTTCAAGACATCATCCACATTGTATGGAAAGTAATGATCAAATAGAGATGTCTTCTCGAGAAATTAGTGGAAATTGGAATAACAACAGAGAAACAAGGGAAATATCTTCTGAAGCTTTTCCTTTAAGTTCTGATGCTATAAGGGCAATTAAAGCAATTGATTATATTACTGATCATTTAAGAAAAGAAGAGGAACATAAAACTGTAAAATCTTAAAATTAATCAAACAATTTATGTCGCACGGAAATCCCTAATGTTTATCCAAAACTTTTATTTAACTTTACCAAGAGTGGGAGTTAAGGTTGGGGAATAATCAAACGTAAAAGAGCTACGTGTGAAAACTTGTACATTAAATTTAAAATAATTTATTTTCAGCATAGAGATGACTGGAGATATGTTGCAATGGTTATTGACCGACTTCTTTTATTAATCTTTTTTGGCATAACTTTGGGTGGTACTTTAGGCGTTTTACTTTCTGCTCCCCATGTTTTCGAATCGGTTGATCAGAGAGCAGTTCTTAGACGTCTTGTTCAGCTTTATCACAGTGGAGGGCAACTTTTCTGATTTTTTAAAGATAAAGAGAGTTAAAATAATTTTTGTTTTATTTTGTTAATATTTTATAAAATGCAAATTACCAATTCTTTTAAACAAACAATTAAACAAAAGCGTCAAAAGATTTTACAAAAATAAATCAGAAACAATATAAAAATTTAAATATTAAAAATATAATTTAGAGATCAGCATTATTTCTTCTCTGAAATATTGTTAATTTATAATTCTTTATAATACAAGAAGAATAAAATGAAGTAACAAAAAGTAAAGCAAGTTGAGATAATAAAATTTTATTTGGTGAACTTCGTAACCAGACACTCTAAATAAATAAATATAATTTTTAAATTATATTTTTAGTTACCAATAAAGAATTAGTTCCATGAAAAATAAATGTAAGAATAAAGATAATTATCAAAACAGTAGAATCAATTGTATTATGGAAATATTTATGTAATCCATCCCATAAATTAATTGTCCAAAGAACGTTGAAAAGAGTTAAAAAGGAGCAAGAGAGTGAATAATAAATTGGAAAATAAGCATCGATGTCGTGAAGTTTTACGGTTTTTGTGCTCTGAAAATGAGAAATACTTATTTTTAAACAAATAATTTCCAAATTTACCCCATTTCCAAAGATCTCTGATGGCAAACCAACAACTCCGTCATCAGAATAATCAGCGAGAATATTTGTTAATAAAAACAAAGAAGCCATTACACCCATACCAAGACCACAAACAATAGCAAGGACATGCCTAGATGAAAACATTAAACGAAAGCCAGAAATGTCCGTTCCATCAGAAACTAATTTAGTTAAACCACTAAAAGTTTGAAAAGAATTTAAAAAAGTAATTCACATTTTACCTTTGTGCCTTGTAAAGTAAAAAATAATAAACGGATCTGGCAACTTCTTGAAGCAATATAGAACAAATAAAAATTGCACATAAATTATTTGAGACTGTCCAAAGTAATGAAGTAAACAAAAGAGAAAGTAGCCAGAAAAATGCTCTAAAATTATTATACATATTAATATTTTAATACGCGAGTCTCAACAAGTAACTCCAACTCTGATTTTGTCAAACTCTTGAGGCTCACTATGTTTAAAAAATTAAGAACAAACCCAAGAACAAAAAGAATGATTCGCAATGGATCAGAGACAACCAACCGTCTGAAAAGCATCATTGAAGGAGTAAAAGATATTGAGAAGCAACAAAGAGAGAAGAATAAAGTCATTTTTCTTAAAAACAATTAAAATAAATTAATAAAAAATTAAAAAAAATTAAAAATGGTTCAAAACCAAAATAAAAAATAATTCCTCGTTGAAAAATGTTTTTACTCGCATAATTATATAAAATTATATTTTGAGAGTTTTTATGTATATTTTGGAGAAATTAAAATATAAGTGTATGTGCATTGGAAGATTAAAAATTTTTTTAGTTATAGTCAGAGCAGGGTATTGCAACTTCTAGTGGAGCCGGCCCCGGAGCCATACCCAGCACCGGTTATAATAAACAGTAATTTTTTAAGGGGATTTTAGAGTATTAGGAAGGATATCACTCATGCACATATCGGTCAATGTATCAAATAATGGTATAAAATGAAAAATAAAATAAGGATATCATTAAATTAAACAATTTTACGAAAGGAATGTTTTGATTTTATTACTAATTAATATAATTTTCATTTCACAAAATTAAAAAACCTCAAAAAATCAAAACAAGATAAACCCGAGACAATTGTCTTTACAAATAAAAATGATTAATTTAAATTAATCACCTTTCAAAAAATAATCTAGTCAATTAAAAATGGAAATATAAAAAAAGGAAGTTATCAGTATATTCAGTTATTTAACACTCTTCTATGTTAAAATAAATCTTTTCAATCTTCGTCAATTAACTTTTGCATAAGAAGGAGGTGAAAAACGTCTTCGCAAAAATTTAATAACATATAAAGGCATACAAGAAATTAAAGTAATTGCTGTTGTTTTAACAATAAATTCAGACGAGAGCACAAACTGACGGTCAAAATATCGGTCAAAAATTACAAGAGAAGCCCCATAAAGACTCAATGAAAGTGCCTAATAAAATTTTAAAATTAAAATTTTCTAAATATTAAATAAAAACCTGAGCCATTAACATAGCCCAATGCCATGTATGGACTGTCATTGCTACCATTACAAGTTCAGTTATAATAAGAGCCGAAAAACTAATTGAGACAATATGGATAAAATCTTCATCGAATGCATAAAGTGCCCCATACATTATAATTGAACCTTTAAAAAATTTTTTTACAAGTTAATAAAATTCTTTTAAAAAATACCTTGATATATACTTATCATAACCCAAATACAAAAAGTTTTATACGAAAGAGAACGCCCTTTGCCTAATTCTTTATAAAGTTCAGGATAAGTTAATGCATTCTGTGCCGTTACATCCCTATCAACGACAAGTGAAAAAACAGGAAGCATTGTATAAGCAGTAGAATAACTAGGGATATAGAAATTAAGAATTGATATATTTAATAAAAAACTTACGCAACCATAAGAACACCTTGATAGAGCGACACAGATGCAAAATAAAAAACACATGAAAATATTGCCTGCATCGTTGAAATAATTAGTCCTCGGTGCATAACGAACTGTGAAAGCGCACAGGAACGTTTATAACAGAAACGTCCATGGACTAAAAGCAAACGACAGATATGTGAAAATTGTGTTATAGAAAAGTCGGCGGCTAAGGAGGCTTGTTTTCCTATAAAATACTTAACATATAATTGAAATTATGAATTTTTTTTACCTTCATTTGCGTCAATTCCAATTCCTGCATGTGCCGCTTGTATCATTGAGACATCATTACCTCCATCACCAATAGCTGCAACACGAAGTGGGTGTCTATACTTTTTTAATAGATTGACAATTTGTGCTTTTTGTTCAGGGGAACATCGACATGAGACAACTGCTTTACACGAACAAACTAATTCAGCAACTTCAGCCTCATAATACTGAAGGCAAATATTTAAAGATGCGCCAGATATTACAAGGGAAACGTCGTTCTTCCTTAAAAAAAGTTAAAAAGATGCAAAATAAGAATATCAAAGTACACATACTTTCTTAAAGCATTCAATTCATTATGTGCTTCTGTTCTATCGCGGACATGTCCAAAAACATGAACACTATCTGTTTTAGAAAAAAGTCCAGAGGATTTAGCAATGCAAATAGCAGTTTCCATTTTATCTCCGGTCAACATCCAGATTTTGATGCCAGCATTACGAAGAAGTTCAAGCGAAGTGGTTACTTGGTCCTATTGAAATAAACATTTAAGTAAAACTAAAAACTAACAAGCTAAAACATGAGATTATAAAATAATAGTTATTCTCGGTTCACGACTTTACTAATATGTACTGAAAAATAAGACAAACTTGAAGCCTATCCTCGACACCAGTTAAACAAAGTAATTGCAAGTCATTCTCCAAAAGTCGTACAACTGCTGCCATATTCTCCATTCGATCAGTAACTGTCATTTTGGCACGATGGTATTCACGTTCAAAATCGGCAAGTTGTTCTTTGCTAAGAACCTTCTTTGCTACAACTAATGTTCGAAGACCTGTATAATTTAAATTTAGAATTGATTACCTTAAGAGAACTAACCTTCTCTTGCCATGTTGGAACATTCCTCATCTAGCCAATCGTTGTATTGAACCATTTGAGCCATAACTGTATCGGCACCTTTCATTATAAGAGAAACTTCATCAGTGTGTTCATCTCGGACAATAATGCCCATTCTTTTAGATTCAGACGTGAAGGGGAAAAGATGGAGAATTTGAAAGGATTTAATCCTATTTCCGCTCAATTCAAGGTGCATAGAAGCTAGATCACGTTTAGCAAGCTTCACCCCAACCTGTTCTGTCCATTGTACCAACGCAACCTGAACCAGATTAGATATTTAGACAATTAAAAAACAATTGTAAATTAAAAACCTCATCTGGTGAAGCAGCTTGGTAGAATGTTGCCTTCCCTTTCTCATCAATTGGTGTAACATTATGGCAGAGCGCAATTGCTTCAACAGCGGTCTGCAGTTTAACGGAAAATGAATTACGAGCAAGTTTTCCTCCGTAAGCTGACTCAACATGCATTCTAACATCAGAAAACGTTTCTCCCCCAAAAGAAGTACTTCCAAGATGAATCTAATAAAATAGAATATATTTAAAAAATAAAATAAAAACTTTTTCCGACCTTTTTAAATCTCATTTCATTTCGAGTTAAAGTTCCAGTCTTATCAGAAAGAAGAAAAGCTATTCGTCCCAATTCTTCAGGGATCGTACTTGATCGAACAACAGTTTCAGGAATATTTTTGTCTCTACCAATCTGCCATGTATAGAAAAGCTTCGCCATATCCAAATTAACCCGAAGTGAGATAGGAATAATGTAGGAAAACAGAAGAACAAAACGCATCAAATATCTATACCAGTAGGTGTCTAATCCCTTCATCACTACCATCACAGAGGCAAGTGTAAGAACAAAAAGGAAAAGAATTTTCGTCAAATTGTTCACCTAAATTTACTTAAAAATAAATTACTTCTTTGAAAAATAACAAAACCTCTCTATCAATTAATCCAACTTTGCTATCTGGTAATGTTGTATTCATAACAGAACGCGTTTCCCTTCCTGTATAAACAACTAAACCGATAGCCGTTCCACTAGCCAACACAGTATTTGCCCACAGAACATTCTCAACAGATAAAGACCCGTCATGAGAACAATCTTCGGCATTTATCTTTAAAAAATTAATAGAAGAAATGATTTAAAAAATAAAAACCCTATATGTTCCGACAAACGCATGAATATCCTTTTGTGGTTTCTCTGCATAAACTTCACAATTTAAATCCAAAATTAAACGTTCCTCGACCAAATTTTGAGTGTATGGAACAGCTACTCGAAGTTTCCAATCAGTTTCACCATCCAACTAAAAATTTAAAAAATCGGCCTTACAAAATAATTTCTATAAAAAACCTGATCGGTCCTAATAAAACAAGCGCCAGACTTTTCAGTTGTCCGCAACAATACAACATCCGCAGGAATTCTTCTATCTTTTTCAATAACAACCAAATCGCCCACTTGAATCTCTCTTAAAAGTCATAATTTAAAAATTAAAAACAATTTTAAAACTAACGCGCTCTTCACAAGTATTTTCCCTGTAGAAGTTATCTTTTCATATTTTTCACTGTTCACTTCTTTATCACGAATTAACCGAACCATATCATCGGTAAATTCACGAATTAAGGTAATAAGGAGAACAAATCCCTAAAAATAAAATATCTAAATTAAATAAATTTAAAATACCAAAGGTCCCCAGTAAGTAATTGGTGATCCAATTTGGATAGGCGGAAAGAATTGACTACAAGCCATGAGCAAAAAGTAAAGATTGAGAAAAAATTTGAATTGTTGGAAAAGAACCTTAAAAATAATAATTAAATTGAAAATAAATTTAAAAAACCATTGGAACAAAAGTAAATATATTATATTTTCTGTTACAGATGACATTTGGTGGGAACGAATGACCCCCAGTACAAACAGGGCCATGGCCAATTCTAATTGTGCGCGCGTGCCGAACACGTTTGCGGCGAAAAAGGCCTTTGAAGCACCTGAAAAATGATTTTTTTAAATATATAAAAATTAATTTAATAGCTATTTTGGGTCAAAAAATTTAATTTTTAAAACATAAATGAAAGAAAAAATACTAAAGCTAATCTTAAAAAAATTCCAAAAGTTTATTACTTTCGAAGAGAAAATTGCTGATCATTTACTCGATAAATTCTACAATTTCTAAACATATTTAACAGTAAAGATATATATAAAAGCATTAACATAAATACAATAAAAGGTCTATAAGAAAGAGAAGGGACAACAAAACAATTGATTGTATTATTTATAATTCAATCGTTTTTGTTGTTGATGGGGGGTTTAAGGGCGCAATGAAACACAATGCAATGGTAAGTGGTTAAACCGATTAGCATGCATTCCATTGTTTGGGGGAAAAATATATAGAGCACTTCTTTCGCCCACAAATGCTCGTTTGTAACAAAACGTGGCATAAGAAAATTAAAAATCAATTGAGATAATATTTTGTTTTTTACAAATAAATTCATGGCAATATTTAAGTTTTCTACTTTAAGAAATACAAAAAACAAATAAATCCAATTTATAAATTTTTTTAATTCCCAAACCTTATTGTTAGATATATATGTACTTGAAAACGGATTCATATGTTAGATCAATTAAGTGTGTCCAAGTGATAAAACGAAATGAAATAATCAAATTAAAAGAAAGGAATAAGAAAAGTAAATTGGAATAATCAGAAAATATACCTATCAAACGACAACTCTCACCCACGCACTCCCCCCATTTTTCATATTTAATTAGGGTTGCCGGCCCGGTCCGGTCCGAAATATTGGCCCGAAAAAAACTCGATGCCCGACTCGATAAAAATGAAGCCCGAAAAAGACTCGGTCGGTCCGGTCCGATAAAAATGAGGCGCGAAAAAAATGACTCGAACGTCGGCCCGACTCGAAAACAGCAACCCAAATTATAATTTCAGTTTCATGTACTTGTTTATAAAATTAACTTACTGTAACATATTAAAGAATCCGGACCGGTTTGACCCAAAGCTGCTTCCGCCTCCAACACTGCTCTGCACTGACGGACACAGAATTGGAAGCAAATGAGCGTTATCAGCTGTATTCAAATGATGATGTTGAGGCGATGTCCCACTTACTCCTTGTTGATCGCTGAGCATCAGTGGCGTATACTCGTCTAACGAGTCGTCGTTTGTAGCCAGTCGGCTATATCGCATAAACTTGCGTCAAAATCAGTCAACGTTTTTATTAAAGCGAGAAAATGTGAAATCAGTAGCTTAATTAAAAATTAAAAATCTAAAAATAAAATTAAATGTAAAATTAAGTTTGAAATAGAAAAATTTGCATGCTTGGATATAACTTACAATTAGATTTTTTTATTGGTTGAAAAGTAAATTGAGGAAATATAAAAGGAATAAATATAATAAAATTGCGTTAATTGATTTTTTGCAGTGGAAATAGTATAGGTAATATTAAATGGCGGTTTTGAAATCGTTATCTTTTTTATTATGTAAAGCAAAATAGAATGAAATATAAACTATTAATCGCACGACCATGATGATACAAGAAAAACTTAAATAAAACACCTTCAAAAATAAAAACATTCACCCAGCTGGCATTAAAAAATGCGTCAGCCGGACGTTGAATAATTCTCACAAAAATGTTCAATATAAGGGATGAATTGTAGCAAAATCTATTTTATGGACATTTCGCCAAATTATCTTTTGCCCGTTTTTTTCTCTGCAACGAAAATTTTATCGATTTTGTCTAAAAATTTTTTATTCTAATTAAACGTCTTTCCCTTGAAGAATACTAACTTGATATTCTTTATACTTTAATTATCCCAATAATGCGTGAGCCTTATGACGTTGATTGGTGTCGAAGAATACGTTTTCCTATTACAAATATTCATCAATTACTTGTCATTCGGGAACTTGGTACAAGAAGGGAAGGTTTGTTTGGCTTTTTCTCTTAGAAAAATTTTAAATAAAAATATTTGTTAGGAAGCAATTTTATTAAAGGGTCTCGTGAATTTTATCAAAGTATTTCATTATCCAGGAATGAATATGCTGTAGATAGACCTCAATTCTTTCCACTTCGCTTCACACCAGATGGAAGTAAATTAATTGCGATTTCTCCAAATTTTCGTGATATATTTATATTTCCTTATGCTGGAGTGCAATTTGGGGTAGATAAAACTTGGAATAATCTTTTTTGGGTATTTTTTATTTAAACATTTCTCTGCATATTCTAACAAATTAAAAAAATATTTTTAGGCAATTTTTCGAAAGAAAATTATTGTTCAATTAATCAATCCTCTTGGAAATCCGCGCTCTTCTGAGGCATTTTATTTTGGTATAATTTCAAGAGAATGTGCTTTTATTACTCCTGATTCCCGCTTTTTGATTGTTTTATCATCCTTTCCTGTTCCAGAAAATCGTTCAACTTTTAATGGAATTTTAAGAGTTAATTTATTAAATATTTATATTAATTATTTTTTTAAATTTAGAATCAGGAATCACTGCCACCAGATTCTCATCTAATGCATTTTGTGTTTTATTCAATTGATTTAGAGGTTTTTAATTATTTTTATAAAGTTTAAAATTATGTATTATATCCTTCCTTCAATCTCTATGCATTTATGTCTTATCTTTCCACCTTTGCTAGTTTTAGGTTCCTTTTAACTTATGGGATTTGATTGCTTTTCCCTGACCGTTCATTTTTTATTAGGTTTACAATTTCTTAGTGAGTTGTCAGAAATCTTATTTTATACAATTCAAAAATTTCTTTGTTATTCATATCTTATTAATTTAAACATATAAAAATATTTTTTATTTATTAAATATACTTACAATTACTAGAAAGGTCAACTTGTTGAGAAATATAAATTCGATTTTGACGAAATCAACGTACATAGCGGTGTTTACTTATTGGAATGGACACTCGCAATTCTCTCTGTTCAACATCAAACAATTCACATTCTTGGCATCAATAAACATTCTGGTTCATTTATTCCTCTCAGGCAGATTGGTCCTTCAGTTTTGGATGATGATCAATTATGGGATAATAGAATGAATCTTGGTGATGATAGAATTGATGGAGTTTTTACAGGTGAAGTTTTATATATTTACATGTTTTATAAATTTTAATAAATTGGTAGTCATGGGTTCATTATCCTATTTATTCTCGTGAAAGATTTGAACCATTCACTATTTCCGCCTTTTTCCTTCTTAATTTTACACTTATAAATCAGTTTCCAATTTTCAGCATTTCGTCAACGTTTTCTAACGTTTTTATATAAACAACATGCTACTAACGGAACTATCAATCAATTTCTTTATGAAATGGATTTTTATACTCAATTAAAAATGCAAAAAATTCAATTTGTTGGTCCAGATTTAATTTTAATTCGAATGGATTTACATCGTAATTATTTTAGAATTTTTCGTTATTTAATTTAAACATATTTCAAGCTAGACATAATGATTCTCATTCTGGTCATCAATATTTATTTGTTCTTTTTCTATGGAGAGTTGGAGAAATTTCTGGAGTTTTTGATAAAAATTCGCAACTCCTCTTTGATGCTTTTGAAAAATTTACTGAAAGCTTTAAGAATGGACATTTAATTTCTAATTATTTTCCAACATCAATGGAGCATTGTAGGGCACTTAAAAAACAGCATCAAGCAATTATTAAAGATCAATTGAAGCAACAAAGTTTTGAACAAACTCGTCAAAGGTTGGTGAATTTCATTTTAGCCACTTTAGCATATAATTTTTTTTGAATTCTTAATGTAGAGAATATTGATAGGCCCTGAAAATAATTACAAGCGTTTATCGAATTTATCCTTTTATAGTATATAACTTGTATTGAGTTCATTCCTGAATTCAAGAAAGGTATAAAGGTTAGCTAGATATTACTTTTTATTTTTATCCTGTACATACAAATAATATAATTAAAATTCTTTTTTTATTGCTTTTGTTTTCAGGTTTTTGGCAACATTACCGTTACCAAATACTCAACATATGATTTCCTCCCCTTATTTGGATCCCAATCTCTTCAGTGTAGATGAAAGGCAGATTTATCAAATTGAAAAAGGACGTTTTCAATTAGACCAGCCATTAAAGTTTGTTTAGAGAATGTTTTTATTAAATTAAAAGAATTTTCAGAATTTACAATCTCAAAACAAAAACTTGTCATGCAAAATTAGAATTCCATTCAGACTCTATGAGAGCCCATCCATCATTTTATGCACGTGTTCTTTTCCATCCAATCGATCCTTTCGTAATGTCTGTATGTCGTGGAATTCAATCAGATTCAATCTCTATTTATATGCCAAAAACGCCAACTAAATGGATTTAAGGAAGTAAATTTTAAATTGACATGTTTGTTTTCTTAATTGAAATTTTTATTAGAAGACTCGTCAATCATTTTATTTAGTTCTCAATTCTTATGTTAGTTTAATAAATAATTTCTTATTTCCCTAACTTTTTGTTTATATTAAAAAATCAAATCATTATTGTCCTCTTTTTGTTTTTAAATTTAAATCTCAAAGTGCATATATAAATGAGAAATTGCGCATGACTACTAAAACATTAACTCACATTAATTTAACAAATAATTTATTTTCTTATAAAACGTAACAGAAAAAAGGAGAAATGAGTTCATTTCTAAAACAAATTTCTCTCTTTAAAACATCCAACATTTTATAATGTTAAGTTTGAAATATTTTCCTGCCCAATTTCTTATCACTTTATTCTTTCTTAACTCGCAGTTTTTTACGGGCAATTAATACTTGTGACAAAGATTTTTTTGTTTGCTTTAGCTCTCTACATATACATATTATGAAATATTTATTTATTGTATTTTTGTGTTTATACATGAATATATTTTTATTAAAAACCTTTTTTTAATTTAAAAAATATTTTAGACTTTTTCTTCAATGTTATCCAACCATCCCAAGAATTTAAATATTAACAATTTATCTGATATAGATAAAGAAAAGATGAAAGAAGATATAAATAAAGAGAAGTACAAAGAGCAACTGGTTGGAGAACAATTTGAAAAGGAGAAAAATTATATTCAAGTCTACAACAAATTTTGGCCTTTTCGTGTTCTTAAAATTACAAATTTGGTGATTCTTTGATTAAGATTCTTTTAAAATATTTCTAATAGATTTTGTTGTTTATTTTGGCTGTTGGATCATGGTTTTGTATTTCTTACACTATTGATTGGTCAAAATATTGGACTACAGTTTTGTATGAGGAACCTTATCACATGGAAGGGGGATATGCGTTCAGCCGAATAATTTTATTTATTTTCGCTTTTTGTTCTTTAATAGCTCATCATTTTGTCAAGTATAATACATTTTTGGCTGGGGTATTTTCATTAATGGTAAATTTTAGAAAAAAATTTGAAGTCTTGGTAATTGATATATTTTTAGGATATTTGTTTCTATGCATTAACCATTCCAATTTTAATTATTGCAAGTATAATTTTCTCGATAAAATGTTTGGCTGAATATCGTTGGTTTGGCCCAAAACTTGCAAATTTCAATTATACCTTTGAGGGTTATGCTGATCTAACTGAAATAGAATCTTATTATTTGAATTCCTACAGCAACGATTATTTATTGGATAGAATTGCTGATCGAAAAAAACAATTATTTGTAAATTTGTTACTCGATCCAATTTGTTTGGTTGGTAATTTTAAATTATTCAAACATTTTTAATTAAAGAATTTTTTTGTATGGTTGTTAGTTCTAAATCTAAGAGCCGATAACAAGTGCTGGGTATGGCTCCGGGAGCTAGCTCTGAAGTCCGGCTCCGATGGAGCCGGAGCTGGGATTTTGAGAACCCCAGTCGGATCAAGGTTTGAAAAAGGTCGGGGCCGGAGCCAACAAATACTCAATACCAAGCACTACCGACAACCATATATTTGACAATAAATACTCGGCTCTGTATATTTATATCAATTTTTACAGGTTTTGGCCTCTTTTGCAATTCTTGTCAACTTGTTACTAATTTTTAATCTTTATAAAAAGATGCGGAAATCACAATTTTGGGCAGCTGGCTTAAATAATTATAAAACAAAATTTCCAAATTGTTCATTGATCGAAAAAATATATTCTCATCATTATCCTTTTGGAATGTTAAAAACTTCACAATGGGTATTTTAAAAATAAATTTTAAAAAAAAATTTATTTAATTTTAAAGTTACTACAAACACTTCTTTTATTTTCTGCAATGTATTTTCCGTACTTTGAACTTCATTATATATCAGTTGGTTGTTTTTTTATACCAGCAATTGTTAGTTTTATTCACTGGCTTTTGTATTATTGCACAGTTCATGGAAGTCAAAATAATAATCCAAAACCAATTAATTTGTCTTCTCTTTTCTTTACTGTTTGTTTCTTTTTAAATTAATTAGTATATATCAGTTTTTAAAAGAATTTGAATAAATCACATTCAGAAATAGGGTTTTAAGTAGAGAGTGGTACGGGATCGGAACCTGTTCCCGATACCGGCTTCATGGACCGGGAAAAATTCTAGCAGCTAATTGTAGATATTCTATTTTTGCTTGGTTTTTTGATTTTTGACTTAATTGAAACGGAGAAATTTGTAGGTAAAATTGAGAGAAATTAGTGTATAGTGCGATTTTATCAAGGAACCTGGTGATTAATCCATCTTTATCCCTCTAAATTCATTATATCTACCTTAATCATCTGATATCATTGCCTTCCAATTGAAGGGATTTGAATAGATATCAGGTGATATAGGACGATCGGAGGTCCTTCTCCACAATCTTTCTTAATCCTACCGAACAAATACTTGAATCTCTCGATATCTCTTTTAATCCCTGATATCAATATTGCACGGAGTAGATCATAGTGAATTTGGAGTGATTAAATAAAAATTAAATAAAATTAAATCAGCATCAATGTGAATTTGGATGGATTAAAGGGAATTAGATGAGGGTTCCCGTTTCCCGATCCCGGTTTTTTCAAAATTCCGCTCTCTAGTTTTAAGGATGGAAAATTTAATTTATCTATTTAATTTCAACCATTTAATTTTTTGGAATTAATTATCAAGACTTTAATTATTTTACATTAATTTTTAAAGGATATAATCATTTCATATTCATTCGCTATGTTATTTTTTGCACAGTTTATATCATCAAGAAATGGGGTAAACTAATTTTTATAAATTAAAAAAATAACTTTAAATTATTTAAAAGGCATATTTGTTTCTTTTTGGATTAATTTTGTATGGTGGTTATTCTTTAATTTTAACTTTTGTTTATTTACGTAATAATGGAGATGGATCCTTTAAATTCCCAATTTCAATAAAAATAAATGTTGAAATTATTCAAAAATCGGATAAAGAATTAAAAGAGGAAAAAGACAAAAATAAAGAAGAAATAAAAAAAGTTGAAGAAAATAATTTGGAGAAACAAGAAAATTAAATGAAGAAGAAGAAAAAAATGTCTTGAAAAAATAATTATTTTTTTGAAATACATATTTTTAAAATTTTGCGAGTATTTTTTCACTTTAGATTTAAAAAGTTTAAATGTAAAATTTCTTTTTGAAATTATCTTACATAATCTTCATTTTTAACCTGTATGTATAGTTTTTAACTTTTTATTTTTTCTCGATTAAAGATTTGAAAACATTAATTGGTTTTAAGACTATTTTTTAGTTAACTAGCGGAGGCTCGTTCTTCGGGCGGGCTCCTCCGCCAGCTTAATTCTAAATTTTAACAAAACTTAAAAGTCAAATCAACTCATTTCCGGACGTTCTTTTCCGTTGCCGAAAACTTTTTCCTTCCGTTGACCTTTCTCTGAAAAACACAAGTTATCTAATTCATCTAAAAACATTAAGAAATGTTTAAACCTTTATTTTCCAATAAATATAGGTTTAAATTTTAAAAACATTGAAAAACTTGAAACAAAAAACAATCATATAAACAAATATTTAAGGAAGAATGTCTAAAAAAACTAACAAAACAAATGTTTAAATATTGCATGATTTGAAAATAATAGAGAATGTAACCAAAAAAGAAATTTAATGTAGATTTCTAAAAGAAATTACAATAAAATAAACTAATTTATAGTTTATTTTACCGTAAATATAACCGAGTTTTGGAGCCATACTTTTTTCATGTGCTAAAAAAATTTTAAAATTTGTTTGCGTTTTAATTTCGAAATATTTTCCTGTCAATTTCTTATCGTTTTATAATCCTCTTCTTTGACGGGCAATTAATACCTTTTTTGTTTACTTTACTTTTAATATGAGAAATATGTGATGAAATTTAAATATTTTTATTTTAAAATATACATTTTTATGTTTTTATATTTTTATTAAAAACTTTTTAATTAAAAAATATTTTAGGATAAATTTTTTCTTCAATGTTATCCACGCCGACTAGTAATTTAAATATTAACAATTTATCTGATATAGATAAAGAAAAGATTAATGAAGATATAAGCAATGAAGTTATTTTTCAAGAGTCTTATAATGACACAGAGCAATTGGTTGGAGGACGACGTGAGAGGGAGAAAGATTATATTCAAATTTACAATAAAATTTGGCCTTTTCGTGTTCTTAAAATTACAAATTTGGTGATTATTTATTTAGGAAAAATTCCGTCATATCACCCGGAAACCGATTCAGACAAATGATATGTCATTCGAAAGATCTCGTCGAGCTGAGTCGAACGACACCAAAATTAGCTTCGGGACTCGCCTATGGGCCGAGATATGGGCCCTCGAAAATCGAAAAACCATAGGGGGGAGTAAGCTCGATTTTGGGGTGAAAAATTCGATTTTTTGAGTGATAGCTCATTCGAAAGAGCTCCTCGAGCTGAGTCAAAAGAAACCAGAATCAGCTCGAGATCATGATTTTGAGCCGAGATAAAAAGCTCAAAATGTCAACGTAAACCTATGGGGCATCGGCGAGGCGCTTGTGCAAAACTCCGCGCTTCGCGCGGAGTTTTGCGGCACGCGCCTCGCGGGGAGTCTACGGGCTCTGGGTCTGGGCTCGTAACTTAATCCTATTCCTATAATCGATGAGGTGGGCATGCCTGGGTTCCTCCGCGGCAGCAAAAATTTCAATGGAGGCATAGGTAAGGAGCTAAAATAAACGGTCATAACTTTGCCAAATCAAGTCAGATTCCGTTGATTTTGGCGTCATTCTACTCAGCTCGACGAGCTCTTTCGAATGAGCTATTATTTGCATATTCGAATTTTTCACCCCAAAATCGAGCTTACTCCCCCCTATGGTTTTTCGATTTTCGAGGGCCTATATCTCGGCCCATAGGCGAGTCCCGAAGCTAATTTTGGTGTCGTTCGACTCAGCTCGACGAGATCTTTCGAATGACATATCATTTGTCTGAATCGGTTTCCGGTTGATATGACGGAATTTTACCTTTATTTATTTTAAAAATATTATTTTTAATAGATTTTGTTGCTGATTTTGGCTGTTGGGTCATGTTTTACTACTTCTTACTATATTTATTGGTCAAAGTATTGGACAACAGTTTTGTATGAAAAATCTTATAACATGGAAATGAATCATACGATTGGCCGGATAGTTTTATTTATTTTTGCTTTTTGTTCTTTAATTGCTCATCATTTTGTCAAGAAGGTAATGCTCCGGTTTACGCCCCAACTTCTCTGTTTCCGTGACTACTTTGAACCTTTAAGGGATTTTAAACCTTTAAGGGATTAAAATAAATGGGCACAACTTTGTTCATTTAAGTCAGGTTTCGTTGATTTTAGTTCATTCGACTCAGCTTTTTTCTCATAAAAAGAAAAAAATACGAAGTAAAAAAGTGGGCATAAACCGAAGTATTACTATCAAGAATAATACATTTATGGCTGCGTTCTTATCATTAATGGTAAATTTTAGGAAAAATTTAGAGCCTTAACAGTTGATATATTTTTAGGATATTTGTTTCTATGCATTAACCATTCCAATTTTAATTATTACCAATATAACTTTGTCGGTAAAATGTTTGGCTGAATATCGTTGGTTTGGCCCAAAACTTGCAAATTTCAATTATACCTTTGAGGCTTATGCTGATTTAACTGAAATAGATGATTCTGATTATTTGCAATTTTACCCAAAGGATTATTTATTGGATACAATTGCTAATCGAAAAAAACGCTTATTTGTAAATTTATTACTCGATCCAATTTGTTTGGTTGGTAATTTTTTGTTCTTAAATTATTTTTTGGGTTTAATTCAAATATTCTTTTCTTTAAAATTAAAGAATTTTTTCTGTATGTTTGTTAGTTCTAAAGCGAAAACTAAAAACAACTACTTTTCATTTTTGATTTTTTGAATTTTATCCATTTTTACAGGTTTTGGCCTCTTTTGCAATTCTTGTCAACTTGTTACTAATTTTTAATCTTTATAAAAAGATGCGTAAATCACAATTATGGGCAGTTGGATTAAATAATTATAAAACAAAATTTCCAAATTGTTCATTAATTGAAGAAATATATTCTCGTCATTATCCTTTTGGAAAGTTAAAAACTACACAATGGGTATTTTAAAAATAAATTTTTAAAAATTTATTTAATTTTAAAGTTATTACAAACACTTCTTTTATTTTCTGCAATGTATTTTCCATACTTTGCATCTAATCGTGCATCAATTTATCTTATTCTACCAGCAATTGTTAGTTTTATTCACTGGCTTTTATATTATTGTACTGTTCATCTCGAAAGCCAAAATAATGCAAAACCAATTCGTTTGTCAACCCTTTTCTTTGCTGTTTGTTTTGTTACTTTTTAACAATAAATTTCTAATTTATTTTTAAATGGTTTAGGCTTGTAACATCGGTTTTTAAAAGAATTTGAATAAATCACAATTCAGAAATAGGGTTTTAAGTAGAGATCGGACCGTACCGTACTACGGCCGTATTTTTCGGTATTTATCGGTATTCCGTATCGGTAGTACGGTACGGAATACGGTACCGATGAAAAACATCGGTATTTGTCGGTATTTCTCGGTATTTATCGGTATTACAGTCGGTAATACGGTACGGAATACGGTACGGCAACATTTTGAATTTCATCGGTATTTTTCGGTATCGGTATTTTTCGGTATTACGGTACGGAATACGGTACGGAACAAAATTCCGATCTCTAGTTTTAAGTAGGGTTGCGCCCCGAGCCTTCGGGGTTGAAAAAGTCGGGGGTCGGGGTTTTCGGGGTTGGGAATGTCGGGGTCGGGGTTCTAGGTCAAAAAATGTCGGGGTCGGGGTTAGTCGGGGTCGGGGCGCAACCATAGTTTTAAGGAATGGAATAATTTAAGTAAAGGAATAATCTCTATTTAACTTTAACCATCTAAGTTTAATGAAATTAATTTTCATAACTTTAATTATTTTACATTAATTTTTAAAGGATATAATCATTTCATATTCCTTCACTATATTATTTTTTGCACAGTTTATATCATCAGGAAGATATGGGGTAAACTAATTTTTATAAATTAAAAAAAAGAACTTTAAATTATTTGAAAGGCATATTTGTTTCTTTTTGGATTAATTTTGTATGGTGGTTATTCTTTAATTTTAACTTTTGTTTATTTACGTAATAATGGAGATGGATCCTTTAAATTCCCAATTTCAATAAAAATAAATGTTGAAATTATTCAAAAGTCGGATAAAGAATTAAAAGAAGAAAAAGACAAAAATAAAGAAGAAATAAAAAAAGTTGAAGAAAAGAATTTGGAGAAACAAGAAAATTAAATGAAGAAGAAAAAAATGTCTTGAAAAAATAATTATTTTTTTTTTGAAATACATATTTTTTAAATTTTGCGAGTATTTTTTCACTTTTTTTTTAAAAAATTGAATTGTAAAATTTCTTTTTGAAATTATCATACCTAATCTTCATTTTTAATCTAATTTTTAACTTTAGATATTTTCTCGATAAAAGAATTGAAAACATTAATTTAAAACTATTTTTTAAATTATTTCTTAAACAGTGCCTGGAAATTTCAGAATTGTTCGCACTCGTACTTCGTACCACCCCTATTTTTTAGTCGTACCAAGTACGAGTACGAATTTTGATACGAGCGTCCAAGCACTGTTTATTAGGTCTTTTAAGGAATGTGTTTAAAAATAATATACTTTAATGAATTGATATGATTAATATGGTATTTAAATTCAAAAAACGCGAAATACTTTGGGAAAACTGGATTTAAAAGTTGAAACCAAATAAATGAAAAAAGAGAGCGTTTTAATCAAAGGTTTTTAGTAGTTTACGATAGTTTCTGTTCAAAAAATTTATTTTTGGCACAAATTTATTTAATTATCTGGCATAATGTATTTAACGATTCTTGCCGCTGGCACGAGTTGTCTTTTTGTTCACGTGCATTTTTTCTATTTTTGACTAAAAAGTTTAATGATGATTTTTAGTTTAAAAATTTTTAAATTAAATATACATTTTATTTGTTCTCATTATATGTTTAATTAACTAACAATAAATATTTAATTTTTTAGCCACCTCATCCAATTGATTTTTGGCAGCACTTAATTTTTGTGTCTTTCTACTCTTCTACATTATATAAACATTCGCGTATTTTTTGGAACTACATTATTAATCAAATAAACGGGTTAATTCTTTGACGGGTCAACGAGATTTAAGAAATAAATACTTCAAAATAATGGTTATAAATAATTTTTTTAATTTTAAAATTTTTCTTTTAGCCTAACAATTCTTTGACCTCTTCTTCAAACACGAATGCTGCGGCTATACGTGCTTTGCAAATGGAATTAAAATCATTGCAATCACAACCAATTGAAGGCTTTAAAGTTGTTTGTGATGAAGATAATTTATTTAAATGGACCGTTGCTATTTTTGGGCCGCCTGGAACTCTTTATCAGGTTTTATATTTACTATACTCATGTTAGTCTTGATTAATTCATTGTGTACGAGCATAATTTATTCTAATTTTTATTATTGATAATTGTCTAAATTGACTATTAATTGGTCGTTTTAATGATTCTTGCCACGGGCATGAGCCTTTTTTATGTTCATTTTTACTTTTTTAAGTAAATTCTAATGATAATATTTAATCATACAATTATTTAATTTTTCAAATTTCAGGGTGGCTACTTCAAGGCGGTATATAAAAATTAAAACTACTTTTCATTATTTTTGTTAAGGTTCTCACTTTTCCAACAAATTATCCTTATTCACCTCCTTCGATGAGGTTTATACAACCAGTTTACCATCCAAATGTTTACCCGGTACCTTTTAAATTGAGATAATTTTTAAATATTTATTTTTAGAGCGGTGAACTTTGTGTTAGTATTCTTCATCCGCCAGTTGATGATCCACAAAGTGGAGAGGTTTTTTAATTTAAAAAATTATTTTTTTCTAAACAAATTTTTAGTTATCAAGTGAACGTTGGAATCCAACACAAACAGTTCGTACAGTTCTTCTTTCAGTCATTTCTTTGTTGAACGAGCCAAACACTTCTTCTCCAGCTAATGTTGATGCTTCTGTTAGTTACAGAAAATATAAAGGTATTTTTTAGATATTTTAAATTTAAAATGTTTTTTTGTAGAGGAAGGTGATCAGGAATATGCGAACATAATTAGGTAAATTGAAATTTTTTCACGGCATTCTGTCAATTTTTAAAAATTAGAAAGCAAGTTGACAAGTCAAAAGAAGAAGCACGCAAAGATAAGGTTGTTGTCCCTGAAACAATTGAAGACTATGTTGTTCCTACAAAAATAGCTGCAACGAATAATAATGATGTTATTGATATGGATGGTTAGAAAATTAATGAATATATAAAATTAATATTTTTTTAATTTTTTTTAGAAGATTATTACGATGATGGAGCTTCTGGTTTATTTAAATTTTAAAGAAAAATATTTTTATAATTATTTTAAAGACACAACGGATGTACCAGAAAGTGAACACGCTGAGGATAGTGGGCAAGGTGATGAAGACTAACAAAGTAAATTGTGAGGAGAGGGAGGTATATATTTTGGTGATATGTATGTGGAAGGTATGTACAAAATTAAATTGTAAAACAAAAAATTGTTCCACTTCTTGACATTATCCACTCCATCATATTTACAAAAATTTTAAATAATTTTTTGGTTTATTTCATTCATAAAAACCATCTCATAATTAATGGTTAAATTAAAAATTATTTAAACCAAAAAAATATTAAGACTTGTTAACCTCCTGTTTAAAATGATTAATTTGATTATTTACAAGATTTTAATAAAAATTGATATGGTAAGGCATTATGTACTTTATTTTAAAAGATTTATATAAAGTCGCCCTTTAATTTCAAAGTAATTCTTTTATGTATTATTTTTTCTCATTCCATTTACTCGGAAATTTGACAAAATAATGTCTTCTATTATTTAAATATATTTTTTAATTTCAGAAATAAATATATTTAAACTCTATTTCTAAAAGTCCTGTAACGTTCCAGATTCAAATATTCGATTTCTTTCTTTTATTTTTGTCAGTTATAAAAATATATACATTTTGTAATAGTTTGATTTTTCTTTCTTTTTAGAAATTGAAATTTTGTCTTAAAAATATTTTTTATTTTTATTCAAAAATTAATTTGTTTGTTATAATTTAGCTAAAGTAAAATGAATATTACTAGACGACAAACACCGAGTGAATTTCTCAAAAAAATTGTTGGAAAACCAGTTGTTGTAAAATTAAATTCGGGTGTTGATTATAGAGGTATTTGAAATTAAAATAAAATTTGAACGAAAAAAATTATTTTTTAAAGGTATACTTTCTTGTCTAGATGGATTTATGAATATAGCATTAGAACAAACGGAAGAATATAATGGTGGTCAATTAAAAGCTAAATATGGAGATGCTTTTATTAGAGGTAATAATGTCCTCTATATAAGTACACAAAAGCAATGAAAAAAGAAAAGAAAAATGTTTTTATGACAATTTTTGAAAAATTTACAATGTTTTTTTGTTTTTATTTTTAATTTAAATTCTTTTCTTGTTATATTAACTAATGTAAAATTGAGCTACTAGCTTGTGAAGGCCTTTTAACCATTAAATTAGGATCTGAAAATGTGGGGTTTTAGACAAATCGTTAAAGGTTTTTAGATTAACTTATTGTTAGAGGGGAATTGTAGTCTATATTGTGGGGGAGGAGGGGGGCCAACAAAATTAAGTGTATCCAATATTTATGGACCACCATAGTGAATACTGTTACTAAATAAATTAACTCTGTTGGTATCTTTGCCTCAATTCGATTTATTCGAATGCACCCCGTTCAAACGTTAGACCACTCCATCGCAGAGCTCATTAAAGAATTTAAACAAAATTATAGCTTTCCGATGGGGTGGACATGCGGTCTATCCTTTCTTACAAATTAGGTAATTTTGTTATAATATTTAATTTATTCTGATACTTTTTTATACTTACCCAAATATGCAATTGCCGTAAATGAGCTTCTTCGTCTTTTAAGACGATTGTAATTTTTAAGAAAATTAACACCTCTCACAACTAGAAAAATTGTATAGAAAACTACCATACTTACAAACATCATCAAAACCATTAAAAAAACTTTAAATATTTAAAAATTTAAGTATTTATTTATTTAAATACCCAATCTTAATGTAGTTGATGCTTCTTCCTAAAAATTTTATTGTCTTTAATTAAAATTTTTTTTATTTTAATTACTTGACTCGCAATTTTTCTGCCAGAAATTCTATTCTTTCCACGTTTTGATGAACTTTTAATATCGTCTAAATCGCTAGCATTTTCATGACGGACAACTCCTATACTAACGCCAAATACCTTTTTTAATAAGAGAAAAGGAAATTCTTATTTTATTTTAATTACCGTTACAAAAATTACAAGAAGTACACGGGCAATTATTGTTGGATAAAGGAGTTTTTCTTTACGTTTCCGTACACCAATAATCATTAAAAGAGAAGTAATTACAATTAAAAATGTAACGAAAGCAAGAGAAGCATAAAAAACAACAAAATTTCCATTCTAAAATTAAAAACAAAAAATCAAGCTTAAAAATCCCCCCCCCCCCTCTACATTTCCGGATTGAGCATTTTCATTCATTTGATTCAAAGCAAATGGTATTACAGCAGAGGCACTAATCGCCTCAACTATACCCATAATTTGTAGACCAGCCGTTACTCTACAGCAACAACATTGCCATTTTTCGTGATTAGGGTCAAATTCAAGCATTTTTAGAATTTTTCTATTGAAATAAATAAAATTTGGAGAAATGTTAAGAGTTTCTAAAATAATGGCTTTTTAAAAGATTAATTTTAAAGAATTATAAAATGATTTTAATTGTAATAGATTAATCAGGATATTTTTGACAACAAACATGAAAATAAATTCTTTACACAAATATTTTTAATTGGATTACTAAAAACTTTAATATCAATTAAAAGCCGATAACTGAAAGGCAATAAATTAATTGTGAATAGGCGGTAAAATCTAAAAGGACAATTTTTATCCCATTAAAAAGTGTTAATCAAAAACAAATAAAATATTCTTTTAAATATTTTTGGACCAAATGCTTCTTTTCTTTTGATCAATTTTCTATCACTTTTTTATAACAAAGAAATACCAATATTCAATCAACACTTTAAAAATGATTTTATTTACAACTTCTGTTGCAGGAAAGTGTTCTCATCTGTTTTTTATCATGTTATATTGTGGGGGGGATCAGGCGGTTAAATTCGCCCTTTTCAAAATATGCCAGATCAAAAATAAAGAAAAGTACAAAAATAAATTGAGTAAATAAGGAAATAATTTTAAAAAAAGTTGAGAGGATTTTGCTATTAAACTAAAAATAAATGTAATATGAGAATAAATAGAAACAAATGATGAGCAAAGAATAGTAAAAAAATATCTAAAATAATACTGATCAATTTTAGTATTGTCAATAACTAAAAATAGAATAATAGTTGTACTAACTAACGCATAAGAGATTGAAAAACGAAAAAGGAAGAAAAGATTTTGATTATTTAAGGAGGGACGATTAATTTAAACAGGCAAAAATAAACATTCAAAACACGGGTTTAAAAGACCAAAACTTAGCGGATCGACAGAATGGCATGCAATCAACTCAGTTTTTTGACGATTGTCCCATAAATATTTCTAAAAACCGCAAAAAACTCCTTAGGGCCGAAAAATCCGAGAAAAGTATACTAAGAATAAATACTCAACGAAGACTCATGATTATGAACAGCTCAATGATTATTCAATGATTATATTATGACTCAATGATTATAAACAGCAAAATGAATAAATTAAACAACAATAAGGAACTCTAAACAATGAAAATTGTATGGAATAAAAAAAGTCAAGGTGCGAGGTGAGACTCAAAATTAACAAAACCTAAAGGTTTAGGCTTCTAAAGGTTTAGGCTAGGAATCACCATATGACAATAGAGTCTCAAAAATATATTTTTTAGGTTAACTTTTTGGGGTTTAACTCTTTTATCTATGAATCAATCCAAATAATTTTTACATCAATTTAAAGCTCTAAATGTGCTTTTCTTTTTCGACAAGAATTGTAAAGTGTTTATTTAATCTTTGAGAAAGTTACAGGACGTTAACTGGGGACAATCGTGATTTACCCTATTTATCCGGGTGTAACTTTTAAAAAGCTGATCGGATTAGATCTTAAAGTCTGTGAAAAGAATAAAATTAAAAAGAGAATTAAATTTTATGTAAGAAGTTTTCGGAAATTATCAAAATATAAAAAGTTATGACCCCAAAAACGGTGTTTGGAGATTCAGTTTTCGAGACTCTGTTGACGAACAAGCCTAAACCTTTAGGTTTTGTTTTTATCTGTAAAATAGTGTAAGGACATTTGAGTCTCAAGAATTGTAAAGTGTTTATTTAATCTTTGAGGAGGTTAAGGACGTTGACTGTGGCTTAGCGCCATATTGTGAAATAAATAATGTTTTATAATAATCTTTACAATGAGAGAGTCATTAAAATTTTTTTTGATAATTTATTTTAAAGAAAATTTTTTTATTTTTTAATTTTAAAATTTATTTTCAAAGCATTTAATTAAAAAGAAAATGCCGCCTGCTCGTAAAGTACCAAAATTACATAAAAAAGCAATTGTCGTTAAAAAAGGAACAGAATTTTCTGATATTTTAAAGCAACAATTTGTTATTGGGAAAGAAATTGGACAGGGAGGTTTTGGAAGAATTTATGAAGGAATTGAGGTTTTTTTTGTTATTTTATTGAAATTTTTAAAAAATTTAAGAAAACTACAAAAAAATCTGTTGCGATAAAAATGGAACCACAAGGAAATGGACCTTTATTTACTGAAATGCATGTTTATATGAGAGTATTGAAAGTGGATATGTTGGAGGAATGGAAACGATTAAAAGGTTTTCTTTTAAATTATTTAAAATTTTTGCGGGTAAATTTAAATATTCTTTTTGTTATCATTTTTTGTTATTTTAAAAAATGAAATCTGAAGGCCTTTATTATAAAAGTATTTGTCTGATATTTTAGTTTGTCGATCAAAATAAGGAAACAAATTTATAAATATTTTTTGAACAAAGTTCTCCTAGTAAATATTTTTTAATTTGATTATTTGTTTTAGGTTTAAAATTCCTTGGACTTCCTCACTATATTAGTTCTGGCTCTTTTACTTATGAAAATACAGAAATTCGTTTTTTGGTTATTCCAAAATTTGCAATTTCTCTTGAATCCATTCGTGAGTCGAAACCTGGAAATGTTTTTACTTTTAATGAGACAATGTTAATTGCTAAAACAATTTTGTATAGTTTGGCTTATTTACATGATCAGGTTTTTTAAATTTTCTATAGCAATGTGTTATTAATTGATTTGAAAATTAATTTACTTAGATTAGAAAATATTTATTTTTTTAATATTTTATTCTGAATTAGTAATTATTTTTGAATTTTGTTTTAATTCTTTAGTCATTCTTCCCAGTGTTCTTGGTACTTTTAATTCTTTATTTTTCAATTTAAAATTTAGAATTACGTTCATGGAGATGTTAAAGCTTCAAATTTAATGTTAGAAAGTAAAACTGGTTCTGATCTCTCTCGTGTTGTACTTATTGATTTTGGACTTGCTAGGAAATTACCTGACGAAATTATTGAAAAAGAAAATAAAAAACAAGGTTTTTTAAATGTTAATTAATTTAAAAAATATTTCTTTTCCAGCTCATAACGGGACTCCTTTATTTACTTCTTGTGATGCACATAGGGGTTGTTTGCCTTCATTTAGAGGGGATTTGGAGATTTTGATTCATAATATGCTTTATTGGATTATTGGATCTCTTCCATGGCAGGTAAATTTAAAAAATAATAATTGATATTTTAAATAAATTTACTAACAAGGAACCATCTTTTACTGTAACTGAAAATTCGATATATTTTGTTCCACTCGATATAGGACCCTTGACTTCCTAATTATTTACTTCTTGTGATAATTATTACTTCTTGTGGTCATGCAAAATGATTTTGGGCCGAGTCATGGCCGTTCAAACTTAAACGCTAGAGTCTGAATTCATAGGGAATTTATTTTTCTATCGAATGATACCAAATACCAAATTCGCAGTTATAGTAAAAGATGGTCCCTCGTTAGTAAATATTTTTGGGCTGATTTTTATTTTGGTTTTGTGTTATGATAATTATTTAAATTAGAAATTTTCAAAGTTTTACGGAGATATAAAATTTAAAAAATACATTAGGATGTTTTAATTCATTGTTAATGTTGGAATTAAAAAATAATTGAGAAATTTTAAAATGTTTATTTTGTACACATTTCTTTTTTTATTTAAAGGATTATACTGATGACCCAGAGAAAGTATTTCAACAGAAAAAATTATTTATTTCTAATGCAAAAAAGGAAATTTCCAAATTAATACCCGAAAAGAAAATATCTTCTTCAATAGCCAATTTATATTTAATTTCTTCCAAAATGGCTTTTGGCGATAAAATTGATTTGGAACGAGTAATTAAATTATTTACAATTACAAAAGAAGTAAAGGAAGTTGAAAATAAATAAATTTAAATTTGGGACTATACATAATATTTTTTCTTTCAGTTTCATTCAACGATCTTTATTTTTGATTATTTATTTTAAATAAAAATTTTGATTTTTTAAAAATTATTTTTATAATTTTATTTAAATATTGAAAGTAATCTTTTCGGTCCGATCATAATTACCTAAGTATTTTTCCTATATTGAATATGAAGAATAAAAACAGCTTTTTTCACTTATGTTTGTGGCCAAGATATAAATTAATTTAGAAATAAAATTTAATAAATATTATTTAAAGATATTCTTTTACAAATATTGTTTAAAAATATTTTTTTTTATTTATTTTAAAAAATAAGGTAGTATTTAAAATTCAAATTAAAGTAAAATTAAAAAAAATTCTTTGAATATTTCCTAAAAATATTTAAAATTCCAAACATTTTTTACAAAATTTATTGCTTTAAAATCTGACAAATACCTTTTTCTTTGCCATTTATTTTTATTTTCTTTCCCTTTTTTGGCCATAGGACATTTAATTTCCTTTTTTATTCTTTAAATTATTATAAAAATATATTCAGTTTTTGTTGCTTTTTATTTAAAGAAAAAGCAAAATTATTTTTAGAAAATTTTTTAAATATTTTTCTTTGTTTTTTTTTCAATTTCGAACAACTTTACAAAAATGTCTTGCTTAATTAAAATATTATTTTAATATTAAAAATTCTTTTAGTTCTTTTTAAATTAACAAAATTATTTTTTTATAAAAAATAAATTCTCGAGTCTGATCCATTAGATTTTAAATTATTCTCCAAAAATTATTTTTAAACTTTTATTTGTCAAAATTATTTTTCCAATAAATATATTTATTTTAGAATGTTCTTTTCTTTGAATTTTTTAAAATAAATTTTTCATTTTCCAATATTTAACTTAAAATTCCAGGTCCACATTCAAAACACAAATTCAATTTATTTTACTCCTTTTTTGTTCGTTGCTGTTTTTTTCCAAGAAAATTTTTCGTTAGAAATTTAATTAAAAAATTTTTTTTCATTTTTTCAAATTAAATAATTAATTTTATTTTCCCAATATTTTTTTGGAAAAACAAAGTTATTAAAAAGAATGTTTTTTAAATAGTAAATGTATTTTAAATTCGTCTTAACAATTTTTTGAAATTATAATTTTCTCTTTCAATTTATTTATTAATTTTCGATAATTTAAATTAAAAAAACCTAAAAATAAAAAAAGAATATTTTTTTTATTTTAACAAAAAAAGTTAACTTATCCATTTTCTAATTCCCAAGAGTACTATCATCTACAATAAATATTCTTCCAAAAAATATTATATTTCCTAAAAACAAAAATTCTAAAAAGAATATTTGTAGTATATATTTCTCTTTAAATTTTTTTTTATTTTTTTTTATTAATATTTAAGTACATATTTAAAAATTATTTTCAATTAAAGAGTAATAATTTTTGTTAATTTCTTTTTTTTATTTTCTAAAAATTAAAAAATAAATTAACAGATATGAAAAAAAAGTTTTAACAAATAAAAATTTTTGAATGCATGTATCTTTGTTTGACGTTTATATTAAATTATTTGCTAAAAATATTAATTTATTTAAATATTTTATTTTTTGTTAAAATAAATTCTGATATTGAAAATGTAAAAATGAGTGAAAATAAAAAGGTAAAAAAATAATTAAAGGATTTTGTTTGGATTATTTAAGAGGGGGGGTAGAGAGTAATAAATAATTAAAATAAAAATATATTTAATAAAAAATTAGTTATCAACATCAGCTTGGTCAACAAGTTTAAGTCTCGGTTGGAGTAGTTGGTCTGAATGGAGTGAATGCCCCCCACAAATTAATGTTTGTTTAATTATTTTTAATTAAAAATATCCTTAGGGGAAATTTAAAAAAGAGAAAATAATTATTTTTTTAATAAATATTTTTTTCTAGTCTGATTTTGTTTTTTTTTCAGTTAATAATGTTTTTTTTTGTTTGTTTTTTTATATTTTTGTGTTTAATAATTAGATATATTTAAGCTAGTTTTTATTTAATAAAAAATTGTCTGTAAATTAAAAACTGGATATATTTAAATAAATAGATTATTTTTTGTTAACCCTTAATTTGTTAATATAAAAATAAACAAAAATATACTAAATAATTATTTTTAAATTATATTAATTCCATAAAATGTTTAATTTACTAATTAAAATTTTCTTTTTATTTCTCTTTATTTTAATTGTAAAATCATCTCCACAATATTATTATTATTCTTCAAGCAGCGAGGAGGATGGTTGGCGTCGACCACCTATAGGAGGTAATTAAGCAATATTAATTAACTAATATAGGTTTGGGTTAGGGTGGGCAGTTTGGGATATCCGAAGGTTTCCAGGAACTAGTACTACCAACCCAAATTTGGAGTATGTGTATATTTAAATTAAAGTATCAATAATTTTTGTAAAAAAAATATTAGGAAATACATGGTCTTCCTCAATAATAACAACTTCTTCTTCCTCTTCGTGGCCTTGGAAGGAACGAAAAATTTAAAATAAATTTTTAAATTATTTTTTTAATTGACGAAAAAGCAATTTCTTTTGAAATAAATATTTGTTTGTATTGCTTAATTGTATAAATTTTGTGTTTTGTTTTTGTTTTGTAATTTAAAATTAAAATCCTTTTAATTCTTTTTTTAATTAGAAAAACTGTAATAATAACCAGCCTTTCAATATTCAATACCAACTTCGAAGATGTTTAGACAATCATTGTTCTGGCGGTTCTCCATCAAGATATCGTTTATGTTCCTTTAATGAGAATTGTTTTTCTTCCTCTAATTCTTTAACAAAAACATGTAAAATAAGCTCAACAAATTTAACACAAGTTTTTTTAATTTAAAAAAATTAATTTTTTTAAAATTAGCCTTCCTTCTTTCAAAATAATTTTCTTCCAAATGGCTTTCCCTGTCAATTGCCTTCTTCGTTTACAAAAAGTGTTTGTTTTCAAGGTTATTGCCAACCTTTTGGTTGTGATAAAATTATTGGAAGTTTAACAAAAGAAGATCAATGTGGAGTTTGTGGGGGGAATGGAAGTAGTTGTTTTAATAATTTATTTAAATGGAAGGAAAGGGAAGGAGGAGGAGGAAGGGGAGGATATTTTAGTAAATGTAAAGGAAAATGTGGAAATAAAGGTATTAAATAAATAAAAAAATAAATATTTATTTATTTTAAAAAAAGGTATAAGTGTCTCAATTTCTGTTTGTGTTAATAATTTAAATCAAAGAATTGTACCTGACAGAATGTGTAAAAAACAGAAAAGGCCTAGACCGAAAATAAAAATATGTCCAACAGTTATTTGTATATCAAAGTAAGTTTTCTGTTAGTTGAAATAAAATTAAAAAAAATATTTTTTTTATTAAATTGTTTTTTTTTGTTTTTATAGCAATTCTTTAGTTTAACATTTCTCTCACAAAAATTGTTTTGAGAGAATTTATTTATCATTTTTAATTTTTTTTCTATTTAATAATAAAAATATATTTACTAGATCAAAATCTTTTTAAGATCAAATTAAAAATTTCTTTTTGATTTTCAATTTCCCAACTTCTTATTAATTTTCATACTTTTATATTTTTTTATATTCTCTTTTTTATTGTTTTTATTTTTTTTGTATTTTACTTTTAAAATTCCCCCAGAGGATAATCATCATCTCATCCATTTTTAAATTTGCCAAAAAGTACTACTCTACTTTTCTCCTTTTCTCCTTTTTATTTTTTTATTTTTTTAAGAAAAGTTTTTATAAAATAAAAATATGTTTTTAATATTTAAATTATTAATAATTATTTTGATTGAAGTTAATAATTGTTTTTATTTATTTTTAAAAGAGTAAGTTTTAAAAATTAAAATTTATTTTTTTAAATATTTTTTTTTGCACATACATAAGTGTCCCTCTTCTTTTTTTTGTAAAAATATTATTTTTTTATTTAAAAATTTAAAAGATGGCAAACAACCAATTGGAGTGATTGTTCTGTTAGTTGTGGATTAGGAGAACAAAAAAGAAATGTTTATTGTGCTGAAGTAGATGATAAAGGCCAACAACAAAAACATTTAAATGATCAACATTGTTGGCATTCAAAAAGACCGGTAATTAATTTAAACTATTTAAAGTATTGACCGGAGCCTGATCGGACTCCGGCCGGATTTTCCGGAGTCCGGGTCTCAAATCCGTGTTTTATCAGGAGCAATCCGGCTTGATTCGATCCGGCTCAAGTTGTAAATCCGGATCCAGAAAAATAAATTTTACCGGGCACTAATTTAAAGAGAATTTACGTGATTCAAAAAAGAATCACTTCCAAAAATTAGGGTAAACCCATAAGCGTCCCCCTGCACGGAAATCTTTAGTAAAAGGCGAAAGATTTCTTCGTCCGAATACAAAGGAACCAGGGATAGTTTAACTTGAAAAAATAATAATTTAATATTTAAAATAAATACAAATAAATTAAATAAGGTGTAGTTCTTCCCTTTAATTAAGTAATTTTTCTGCAATATTATTTTCTTCTTTCTTTCACTTTCCTTTACTCTTTTATTTCCTTTTTTTCTCTCTTAGAAGAGAGAAGAGAGTTGTAAAGTAGGTATGGTAATTAATTATAGGCAGTCCCAAAATTTTCATATTCCACTTAAAATTTGGAAATAATTAGTTTTAAATATTTACTTATGTTTTTAAAAAACTATTTTGGTATTTAATATGTAAATGAAAAAGAAATTTAAAAATTTTAGACCCTTTTACACCAAAATTTTCAAAATAAGGATTTTAATTATTTTTAAGGACTTTTAAAAATTTTCATTCTTTCATCCCTCCAATAAATAAAGAAAAAAATTTATAAAAATTTTGTTAAAACATTTCTATCTAAATGAATAAGAATAGGCTTAAACGATCCTTCTAACACTTCCCAAACCCCAGATTTATTTCTAAAAATGTATCCTTTGCTTTGGAATATGAAAAATATTTTATAGACTTGATTAAAAATAATTTTCAGGTAGAAATACGTCAATGTAATATTGGTGCTTGTCCGGAATGGGCAATTGGTGATTGGGGTCAATGTAGTAAAGCAATTTGTGGTAGAGGTATTAGAAGTAGACCTGTTGAATGTAGAGCGGAAGGGAAGAAATTACCTGATTGGCATTGCCTATTAAATGGAAAACAACAAAAACCGCCAAAAAGCCAGCCTTGTTGGACGGGAATTCCATGCGGGGAATTGCAAAATGAACAAATAAATAATAGGTAGGTTGGGGGGGGGGGGGGGGTTTGAAATTATTAAAGTTATAAACCGGTGAAAGTTTAGAATATATCTACATATTTTTTTTGTTTTTTATCTCTTTATTAGCCATGAATGAGAGCATTTTATGGTCACTCTGTATTATTGTAAGGAACTAAATTTTTAGGATTAATTTTATATTTTGAGTATTAAGTTCAATTCAAATTTTAACTATTTAAAAAATCAAATTTCCAAATAAAATACCAAAAAATATTTCCTTAACTAATATTTTCAAATACAATCTAAAATTAAAAAATATCTTTTTTTGGGGTTTTCTTTTTAAAAATGATGCACTTTTAAGTAAACAAAAAAAGGTTGTAGTTTCTGGGTTTTTGATGAATTGTATTTGGAGATTTGGGTATTTCTTTACAAAAATATTCCCTTAAGAATTAATTTTTATTTGACCATTTCCTTTGGTCAAAAGGTTTTTCTCTACAATTTTTTACTTTTTTTAAATAAAAAGAAAATTAACTTCACTCTCTCCTTATTTACTTTTAATTCATTAAAAAGCTACTTTTCCAAAAAAATTTTGTCCAAAAATAGTCTCTAAATATACTACTAAACTACCAGAAGTTTAAATTTTAGAATTAATTCCTCCTTCTCCGCCTGGCAACAAAATAATTAAAATATGTAACTCTTTTTGACTCTCCCTTCCTTTCTCTCATTTTTCATTCATTTCCTCATTTTTCATCTTTTAATTCTTGGGTCTTGGTCATCTTCCCAAAAGTCTTGGGCATCTTCCTCCCCTTATTTTACTTTAAAAATTAAAAAATAAATAAATCATTCAATTATTCATTTAATTTTTCTTTTTTTTCCCAAAAATTCTTTAATTTAAAAATCCCAAATAAATAATATTTTTAATTTTTCCATTAATGGCAAAAACACTCAATCTTTTTTTTAAACAAAACACTTCTTCATCTTTTATTTATTTTAAATCTTTTATTCTTCTCCAAGTACTTTTATTTTTATATTTTTAAAGTTTAATAATTAAAAATGTTTAATTATTATTTATTTATTTTACTATTTATTTTTATTCTCCCAATTTTATCATCACAAAATGATTGGAGACATCGGCACAGTGAAAATTATATAAAAGAACCAAAAAAGCAAAATATAAATAAGAATTATGCAAATAATAATGGGTAAAAGGAGGGGGGATTTATTAAAATTAATTGGGATCTAATGTCTCTTTAAATTTTAATTTTTAGATTAATTGAAGAACAACAAAGAATAACAAGTTATTCTGAAGAAAGGGAAGAAGAAGAAAGTGAAATAAATGAGAAAAATGGGAATAAACCGAGGTAGGGGGAATTTGAAAAAAATTAAAATAAATATTAAAGATTTTATGTTGGTGGGTGGAGTGAATGTTCAACAAGTTGTGGACCTGGTATTAGATCTAGACAAGTTGAATGTATGGCAAAACAGATTAAATTAACTGATTATGAATGTCAGGGTAAATTTAAAAAATATTTAATTTATTAAAAATTTAACAAAAAATCAGAAAATAAAGAAGAAACGTTCTTTAATAATTTTATACCTACTAAAAGAAAATAACAAAACAATTTTTAATAATATTTTACATAAAATCAAAATATTTTCTGCTAAATTCCACTGAGAGATAATTCTCAATTTAATCTTTATCTTTTCTTCTCTTTTTCTTAATTTTTGCCAATTTTTCTTCTTTTTTGTTTTCTTTTGTTTTTTTCTTTTTCTTCTTTCCTAAACGTGTTTTTGGTGATTGTTCTTTTTTAATATAAGTAGAATGGTTATCATTTTTTGTTTTTTCTTCCTCTTCATCCCCATAATAACTTCTTGTTGCAATCCAAATTGAGGATTTGGAGGTTGCCAAAGATTTTGTTGGGGGAAGTTTTTGTTGATAATCTCTTTCTGTTCGAATTGGAAATACTTCTTCTTTGTTTATACCAGAAAGTGTATCATACCCAACTTTATCCGGATTTACATGTTCTTCAGGCCATTCTTTAAAAAAAAGAATTTAATTTTTAAATTAAAGGGAAGCTTTTTTACTTTTAAAGAATCTTGTATTTTCATTTTTCACATCAGCCCTTGTTTGTTTTGATGTTGGTGCTTTATTTAACTTTCTCTTTTTCTAAAAAAATATTTGAAAATTTAAAAAAATTAAATTGTATAAAATACCCTACAACACAAAGAAATAGTTGAAAATGTAAAGAAAATAATTGTTAAAAATATATTTGAGACAAAACAAAAATTGTTGTTGAGAAGTAACGACATTTTTTGATAACAATTTTGGTGGAAATTAAAATAAATAAATAAACTTTAAATGTTTTTATAGCAATAATTAAACATTTAATTCAGGACAATCTCGCCCAATCCAATTTCGTCACTGCCAACTTAAGCCCTGCCCTCCTGTTGTTTCACACAAAAACGGCAAACCTTCAATCTCCCCCTCATCTTTATTGGAGTTAACATCTACTGCTTCTAAACAAAATGTTTATCGATGGAAGCATGGCAGATGGACTGTTTGTTCGGCATCTTGTTTGGGGGGTAAAATAAAGATTTTTTAAGAAAAAATATTTTTAAAGAAGGGGAAGAATAAAAAAGAACAATTATAACATTAAATATGGAGGGGGTAGCTAAAATAATATCTTCACATAGTACATATTTAGTAGCTGTTTTCTTTCCTAAACCTTTAAAATAAATTGTTTATCAAAATAATAATTTTTTTTCTATTCTTAAGGTCATCAAAAATTACCATTACTTTGTATTGAATTATCTAGTGGAAGAGCAGTTCCTTATTCTAAATGTGAAAACGAGACTATTAATGATGGTAAAAAACCAGAAGAGTTAATTCGTCAATGTAATCAACAACCTTGCCCTCCTAATTGGGATGTTTGTTTTTTTAAAGAGAATATTTTTCTAATTAAAAAAAAAGATTTCTGATTGGTCTGTTTGTTCACATTCTTGTGGGGGAGGACTCAGAACTCGTCAAATAAGATGTATTCAATTAATTGCAAGGAAAGGACCGGAAACAACACTTTTATTGCCTGATATACAATGCCCTGGGGAAAAGCCTGGAGATGAAGAGCCTTGTGGAATGGTTGACTGTGCACCTGAATGGAGTGTTGGAAATTGGGTAAAAATAAATTTTAAAAATCCTAAAAATAATTTAAAGAGTCAATGTTCAACAAATTGTGGATTTGGTGAACAACAACGTTCACTTTCGTGTATACAAAGAGATTCTTTTGGAAAAATAGAGGAGAAAGCAATAGAAGAATGTATTTTAGCAACAAATAGTGAAAGACCGATAATTACTAAAAATTGTAGTAATTTAGGTAATAAAATAAATAATTAAATTTAAAAAGAAAATATTTTTATTTAGTTAATTGTCCTCAATTGGATATTGATAAAAATAAAGAAAATATACAAAATTCTTCTCCAAATAATTTAGTTCCTTTTATTTATTCTGAACCTTTTATTAAAGAAAAATCAGCGAAAGACCAACCATTGGGTGATATTGAAAATGAAGAAGAAGAGGAGGAGGGAGAAGAAGAAGGAAATATAGAGGAAGAGGAGGAAGGGGAAGTTAATAAAAATAAATATCCAAGAAAATTAACTTTACAAATTGGGGGGATTGCTAATTTATATGAAGGGTAATTGAAAAAGAAAATTAATTTAAAAATCTTTATTTAAAGTACTTCTGTAAAAGTAAAATGCCCAGTAAAGAATGGCGGTAATAAAAGAAAAATTATTTGGACAGTTAATGGGCGCCCTCTTTTACAAAGTTGTAAGTTTAAAAATATTTAAAAAGATTATTTCTTCTTTAATAAAAAAGCTCGTCTAAAAATATCCCAAAACGGGGCTCTCAGAATTTTTAATTCACGTCAACACGATGCGGGTATTTATGCTTGTTATAATAATGAAAATGAACAATTGGGGAATGTAACACTTAAATTTAAACCGGACAAAGAAAATGAAAATAATAAAACAAAAAATAATAAAAAGAAGGCAACAAAAAAGAAAAAATTACTTCAAGTTTGTTGTTGAGGGGATTTAAAATTAAATTAATTATTTAAATTTTAAAGAGAATTCGTAATTCTTTATACAATAACGGTCAATATTCTTTTTATGAGAGAATAGCCTCTGCAACTAAAGATCCAAGCCAAATTCGTGTTGAATTTGTTGTGTCTGATTGGGGGGAGTGTGAACATTTAAATTGTTTGGAAGGAATACAAGTATTTAGCAGTTATTTAATTTTTGTCTAAAATTAAATTAAATCAAAGACTCGTCAAATTTTTTGTAAAATATTTTTTGGAAATGAATCTGCAAATTTAGAGGATTTAAATATTTGTGAAAGTTTTGGGGCTATACGTCCTTTAATTAGTAAAGAATGTGTTGATACAAAATGTGCTAGGTGGGAAATTGGAAAATGGAGTGAATGTAATTCTTCTAGGTGTGTTAAACAATGGACAGCATTACAAAGAAGAGAAGTAATTTTTGAGGGGGGGGGGGAAGGAGGGAGAAATAAATAAATAATTTTTTGTTAGATAAAATGTGTTTTTGGGAATAAAACAGAAGCTAATCCAATGCTTTGTTCAAGAAAAACTCGACCAAAATTAAAAAGAGAATGTCAAAATGGTTGGTAGATAAATAGATAGATTAATTAAATTTAATTTAATCTTAAAGTAAATTGTTCGGCTGATTGGCGTCCTTCTGTTTGGGGTAAATGTAGTAAACAATGTGGGGATGGAGGTGTTCAAATGAGACTTTTACGTTGTGTTTGGAGAGGAACTAAGAAACCTGCAGGGCAAAATTGTAATCAAACAAAGAGGCCAATAGCTATAAGGGCCTGTTTGTTTAAAAGAAAATTGCCTGAATGTGGAATAAATAAAAATGAAGGGGAACGAGAGGGAGAAGGAGAAGAAAATGAAGAAAAAAGAGAAGAAAAAGAAAAACAAAAATGTAATTTTGAATTAGCAAGAATTTTAATTAAATTTAATTAAAGTTTTATTGCCTTTACGTTTGTGTGAAGATCAAAGCCGTTTTTGCGATATTCTTCGTTTATTTCAAACGTTTGTTGTTTTTGTGATATTTAAAATAAATAAATGATAATTTAGATGTGACCAACCTAAAATTAAATTACAATGTTGCTATAGTTGTAGAAAGTTAATTGAAGAATTTAATAATAAATCTTTTGGAAAATAAATTGAAAATAAAAAAAATATTTTTTCTCTTCTAAATTTTTAAATTAACTAAAAAACATCTTCTTTTTCCTTACCTTCCTGCATTTCTCAATTAGTGTAAAAACAAACTTTATATTTTTTAATGTTAATTTTTTTTCATTTCATTTCAATGCGTAAACTGACCATAAATATTATTTTTCTTTTAAAAAAATTTTGTAAAAAGATAAAATTGTTTATTGAGATGGAAAAATATACATATTTTTAACAGAAAATTTGAGTTTTATGTCTTTTTTTCATTTTTACATAATTAAATACATAGGTAATTTTGGTTATAAAAAAGTAAATTAAGATTTCTTTTTTGCAGAAAATTTTCTTTAAAAATAATTTTAAATTAATTTTTAATACATAGTCATTTATTTTCGCTTTCGTCATTAAAAATTACGTAAAAGAATCCCTTTTCTTTCTTTTTTAATAATCCTCTTTAATTTTTTGCTTATTTTTCTCTCCCTCATTTTTGAAGGTGGATGGATATTTGAGGGTTTGGGTGGAGGTGGCGAGTCTCGGAATTTCGAATCAAAAGGAGTTGGAGTTGTCGGTTTTACTCCATCTAAAATCTTTTCAATTTTTATTTAGAATAAAACTTTTTTATGTGTATTTATTAGATATTTATAATGGCAGGTGTTTGTTAATAAATATGTCAAAAATGTTTTGTCATTAAAAAATACATTTTTAATTTAAAAAAAATTTATTATTAAATATTTTAATTAAAAAGGTATATCCATTAATTAATTAATAGATTATTTCTTTTTAAATAATTTATATTTATTAAATATTTATTAAGCTTATTCTTGCTTTTTTCTGTCAAATATATTTTTTGTACTTTTATTTCCTCATTTTATTCCTTCATTACTTTATTTCCAATTAGGCGGATGAAAAAATGCAAAAAGCGTGGAGAGGAAAGAAAGAAGCATTTACTTACTTCTAAAAATTATTTTAAATATAAATTTATTTTTTTCTAAAAAAATATTATTTAAATTTAAAATAACAACTAAAAACCAATTAAATTTTAAAAACATCAAAAAAAATATTTAATTTCTTTTTTTAAACAAAAATCCTCTCAGATTTCAATCTTTTTTCCCTTTTTTATCTCAAAAAAATATAAAAAATATATTTTTTGCCTTATCGAGATTTTCTTTTTTTTCATTTTTCTCTCATTAATTTTCCCTTTTGTCTTTGGCACATTCCTGTCATTCATTCCCATAACAGCAATTATAAACAAAAATAAAAATGTACACAAGGCACGCTCATTTTCAGTTATTTATTCTTTCAAATGGATTTCCTGTAAGATAAATTAATATTTTAATTTTTAATTATTTTCTCTTGAAATAGTAGGGAAAAATTATTTTTCTTTTTTTTTATTTGTCAGTTCTTTAAATATTCTTAATGTTTCCATCTTTATTTTTTGTCTATTTTGGTCTAAAATTTGACATTATAATAGTTTAATCCCATTGAATGATTTTTTTCTTATTTTATTAAAATAAATAAAAATTAAATAAATTTTTGTTGTTTCCGTAATCGTTGGATGTTTGTGGTATGAAGTTAAATAAATTTTAAATAATAGTTGATAGTTTTTATTTTTTCCTTTCCATGATAGTCTAATCCACCTCCCCTCCCACCCAACGAATTATTTACTAAACATAATTTTGTCTTAAAACTCTTATTATTAAATTATTTGAGACATCTTGCATTTTTTTCAAAGAAATGCAAAAGATTGAAGGATGAAAAACTTCTTTTTTATTTATTATCTTTAATCTACCATATTTTTAAAATTATTATTTTTTAAATAAATATTTTTAGTTATTTAAAGTAAATAAAAAATCTTCATGATATTTTCAACAATTAAATTATTTTATTTAATTATTTTATTTTTATCAATCACTATTTCATCATTATTTTCATTTAATTCTGTATGTGATTTCCCTTTATTAAATGACAGACTTGGATGTCAAAGGGGACAAACATTAAAAGATAAAGGAGGAGGAATATTAATTGAAGAAGAAGATGAAGAACAAAAACAAAAAGAACAAAAAATATTTTTAAATAATTTTGATTGGTTTTGTGATCCAGAATCGAGTATTTCAATGAGTGAAGGTTTTTTGTGTGAAATTTAAACAAAAAAATATTTTTTATTTTAAAGTTTTTGCATTAGAAGAAACAATAAATAAATTAATAAACATTTACGGCAAAAATTGTGTTTGTAGTAAAGAAGAAGAAGATTTAACTTTTTCTAATTTGGATGAAATAAAAAGTGAAAATAATTATTGTTGGCATCGTTTTGGATTTGGATTTTTGAAAAAATTAAATTTAAATAATGATGTTAACAAGTAAATTAACAAAGAGAAATTAGTATTTAATTATTATATTTAAGTGCCAATCAATGTTTAGAAAAATCTACTAAAAATAATACAAAGGATTTTGAGGAAAATAATGAAAATTTATTTAAATTGCCATTAAACTGGGAAGAGTAAGTTTAATATTTTTAAATAAAATTAAAAAAATATTAGAGAAACGTGTTGAATATTAAAATTTCTTAAGCATTTTGGAGCCTAAAGATTAAAAAAATTCCCGCGGAAATATTTACCCTGTGGATCTTGAGTTTTAAAAATTTTAGTTTTGGGGCAAGTGTTGATTTCGAGTATTGGAAAATTTTTCGTTCTCGCACATCTCTAAAATAAAAATAAAATTTAATTATTTATTTTAAGCAATATCAATTTGTGGATTAATAATTATGGAAATAATTTTGTAAATATTCTTCGTGAACGTTGGGGAATGGGTAATTGTGGAGAAGATATTGTTATACTTTTTGTACAAATTCCATCTGTAATTATTTTTTAAAATTATTTAAAAAAATTATTTTTTTTTCTTCGAGATTATATTTATTTCTGCTGGCTCTTTAATTAAACAACGTTTGGGAATTAATAAAATTAATCAATTAATTAATCAAACAAATATTCAATTATTAACAAGTTCAAAACCCCCATTCAGAATTTTATCTAATTTAATTGAAAATATTGGAATTTTATTGGAAGAAAAAAATAATTTAGTTGTAGATAATAATAAATTAATTAATAAACAACAAATAAATTATAATCAAATAACAACAACTCGAAGTCATATACCTTTATGGGCCTGGTTTGTTTTTATAAAAATTATTTTTTTTGATTATTAAAATCTCTCAAAGTTTATTTCATCTTTAATCTGATTTAAAATTAAATTTCCGAATTTATTAAATATTTCTTTATTCAGAACAAAAAACCCCCCAAAAAATATTAAAAATTAATTTTAAAGGGCAGTTTTTGGAGCATGTGGAATTGCTTTTTTATTAATGGCTTTAGGTCTTTTTGCTATTACTAGAACAAATACAAGAAGGGGTTGCACTCAAGGAAAAAAGTTTAAATGTCAGGGGCATGCAGCAATGGTAGCTAGAAGGCATTGGAAAGAAGGTAGAATTAATTAAATTAAATAAATTTATTTTCATTTAAAGAAGAGCAATTACAACCAGCACAACAAACATATGTAAATTTAGTTCAAATGCTTATGCCTCATCCAAAGGCCCCACCATCAAATATGCCACAACAAGTTTAGATAAACAAAAATAGAGAATATTTAGATTATTTAGTATTTAATTTTTAAATTGTTTTTATTTTGCCTAACAAAATTTTTTAAATTAAAAACTATTTATTTCAAAAATTCTTTTATTTTATAAAAACAATTTTTTAATCAAAAAGGCTTTACTAAACTTTTTAAAAATAATTAAATATTTTACAATTTATTTTTAAAAAATAACAAATTATTAGGGGAAATATAAAAATATATTAATTAATTAATTAAAGAATTTTAGATTTTAGAAAATAACGGTGAATATTTATTTTGAGCAAAATTTCTTTTAAAAAAATATTTTTTTCTTTTCTTTTTTCTTCATTTTTTATTGTAATAGTCTAGCCATTGTTTTAAATTTTCTTTCCAAAACATCAACTCTTTGGTCTAAACGTTGACATAATTGCCGTAAATCTCTAGATTCTTTTTTTAATTGAGTATTTTGCTGTTTTAATTGTTCCATTTCCCAACTCATTTCATTTCGATTCTTTAAAAATTAAAAATAATTTTCTTTTTATTTAATTCCTTTACTTTTTCTGCTTCCCTTTCAACTCTACTAACGCTACTTTCAACCAAAAAAGAGTCAATTCTTTGTAAACGTTGTTGTGCCGATACTCTATAAAGTTCACTCATTCTTTTTTCGGCTTCAGGTTCAACCCATTGTTTGTAATGCAAAACGGCCTTTTTTGTAATTTCTGCTAATTTATCCATTAAATTATCTGCCTTTATAAATAAGATAAATAATTTTAAAAAAGAATTTTTAAAAATTAAAATTAACTTCATTATATTCTTTTTCTTGTTTTTCTTCATCAAAATAATTATTTTCAATCATTAAATCTATACGAGAAAGTAAAGAAAATGCTTGATCAAGAAAAGCACCATAAGGAAAACATAAAACACCTTTTGAAAGAAAATAAAAAAAAATTTAATAAAAATTAGAGTAAAACTAAAAAGTTTTTAAGAACATTTAAACTCCCCTTCGCCTTGTTACAGATTTATTATTTTATTAACCTGACTAAGGACGCGAATCATCGAAAACTATCAAAATATAAATTGATTACCTTCATCCATAAAAGCACGCATTCCATCAACAGGATTTAATGCGTGAACATGTAATCTAGTAAGTAATTTAACTGGTTGGGCCATTCTCGGCTCTCGAGTAACTCGTCGTTGACAATCAGTTAATAAATGTTGGGCTCTTTGAATTAATCGAAAATGTGCTACATTTAATAATTGTCCAGCAAGTTCATCCCAATGAGGGTGAACACGTCGAAGTATTCCAATCTTTTTTAATTATTTTTGATAAAAATAAATAATTTTTTATTAAACACCTCTTTAAATGAAAATAATCCAAGTATTTGTTGTAAAGCAGGAACAGGCATTCTAAAAGTGCCTAACATACCCCGAACCATTTGAAGATTATGAGAGGCAGCAGCAGAAGGACTACGACTTAAAGCTCCCCGACTTCCAACACTTCGACTTAGAGCTGACTAAAATTAAAAATTAGGAAAAAAATTTTTAAAGAAAAAACATTTCTTAGTGGAGGACTAGGTGAATGTCCAATATTATTAAAATTATTATGTTTTCCATGTCTCCCTCTAATTATTCGATTATTTCCATTTAAATGTTGATGATTTCTTGTAATATTCGAATGATAATTATCACGTAAAGAAAGATCTTCTCTAATTGAACTCATAATAGTTAATTCATCTCCATCATCAGCACTAGCACCTCTACGTTCTTTATTTAATAACATTAAAGTACTTTCATCCTCATCTTCTTCATCATCGTAATAACTACGAGAATCGGTGCAACTAATTGTATTTTTATTATTAATGGCTTTATCAAAGTCCTGAGAAAAATAAAAAGATTTAAGAAATGTTATTAAAGGAGTGTGTCTTTGTTATAGGAACAATACCCTAAAGGAGTAAATGATATGTGGATGGAGTTGTATATTCTCGTAGTAAAGAGTTTACTTTTCTCGAAACAAGAGGAATTCTCCTCTAAAAAGAATCTTCCGTCCTCCCATACAAAAAAAACCTTCCGGGCACATTTTAAATAAAATTCAATTTTTAACAAATATTTTTTACTTGTTGTCCTTCCACACTCCCACAACTGCTAATTGGCGATAAATTGCTGCCTAAAGGTGTAACAAGTCTATGAATAGGGCCATTTATAATTTGATTTGTAGGAGTTATAGAGGCAACATTTCTTCTAGCATTTTGTAATATAAGGGATGTTGAAGGCGATGGGGCGTCTTCCCTTCGCCATGGACGTCGATTAGAAGAATGTATTATATCGGCATGTGCTGAGACATAAGATAAACTATTAGGAGAATCACTATCTGCGGTAGAGCGAGGTGGTGGTGATTCAGTTAAGGAAGCACGGCGATGAGAAGGATCTTCAAAAAATTATTTTTAGAACAGAAAAAAAGAGAAAAATGGAAGGAGGGGGTGGAAATAAGAGGGAGAATTTTTATAAAATAATTTCAATTAAACTAATTACCATCTTCATTATTTGTCAAAATATTTTCAGATAAATTATTGTGATTATTATTTTCATTTTCTTTTGTTTGTGTAGGAGATAAACTTAATTGAACAGGAATTTCAAGATAAATTGGTTGTTGTTGATGATTATCTGCCAATTTTTGTTCTGAATAATCCTCCTAAAAAAGAAAAAGAAAATAATTTTTTAAAATATTTATTTTTTTTTCTTAAATTAAATTAAATCTAAACCGTTAATTCCTTTGCAATTTCAAAAGCTAATGATTTTTTGACAAAACAAAAAATACTTTTAATATTCATTTTTGTAAATTTATTTAAAAGGACTAAATAAAATTACTAAAAAGGCCTAAAATTTTTGTTTTCAATTAATATATTTATTATTCAAAATTAAAAAATAATATTTTCTCTTAAAAATATTTTTTACAAAAAATTCGAACATTTAATATATTTGTTGGATTGCTATAACGCCTATTTTCAGCAGACGAATTTGATTTAACATTTTCATTTTGTTCTTTTTCTTCCAAAGAATGACTTCTAGAACGCTGATTAATTGAGGAAGAAGATGAATAATTATTTAAATTATTTGAAATATTATTTTTTTGTTGTTCTCCACTAGCCATTCCATTAAATTTATTAGCTATACGGCCAACAGTTCCATTAGTTAAATTTTCTGTTTTTCCATTTTGAATTGAAAATTTTGAATCTTTAAAAAATATTTTTAAAATATGTTTGAAATATTCTATAAAGCTTTAAGACTTTTTAAGTAGACGCAATTTTAAAAAATTATGTCGCCAATATATAAGCCACAGGGGCGTTCAATTTCTTTATTTTTATCAAAATTCTTATTTCGATAAAATAATGGGAGGAAACAACCCTCCCACAATTTTTAATTAATTAATAAATTACCTCCATTTATTTCATTTTTATTTCCATTATTAGAGATTGATATTTCTTCACTAGTAGTTGTTTGTGAAGGTGTTTGTTCTCTACTTTCACTACTATTACTTTCGTAATTATTTTTTAAATCATTTTGTATAATTAATCCATTCTTGACTGACTTTTTTGGAACTTTACGTAAAACTTTTTTCTTTACTTTTTTAGGAATACATTGATTTACTGGAGTTAACCAAACCTTTTAAAAATGTTCAAATAAATTATTTATTTGTGGAATTTTTTGGAAGCGTAAAAAACTATTACAGATAAAAAAACTTTTGTGATAAGAGAGTGATGCTTGGGTATCCCGAATCGGGAAATTTTCCCGAATTTTTGGCCTCCCAATCCCGAGGTCATTTCCCGACCCGACTCTAGCTTCCCGGGTTTTTTCTTCTCCCTAGCATCATTTGCATGCTTATCCGATTTCTATTTAACATTCCCCTAAGAACAATTCTAATTATTTATTTAATTACCTCAACTTGCTTTTTCTCTTTATTTTTTAATTCTTTCTCATCATCATTAATATTTTCTTCCAATTTTTGCACTCTTAAAAGTCCAAAATCTGTAGTTGCTGGACTTTTACATTCAGAAAAAGATGAGGAACATTTTTCAGCATAAACCATTTCCCAATTTTCATTTCCAAGAAGTTTATTTAATAATAATTTTACAGGTAATTTCCATTCAATTATATCAATTAAACAAAGATATATTACTTCTATTGCTGGTCTACCATCAGTAAAAATATGATAACCCTTTAAGAGATATTTAAAAATTACTATAGATAGGAAGTGAGGGAAAGGGTGGGGATATTTGAAAAGAGGGTGAAAGGGGATAATTGAGGGGGAAATTGTAAGATTAAAATTATTGAGGATGTTTGGCCAGACAAATTATTATTTAATTTTAATTTAAAATTAATTAAAGTATATTTATTTTACATCTTTAGTTGTAAGTAATTGAACATTTCCTGTTAATTGTTTTTTTGCTTCTTCAAAATTAAAAGAATCTGACACTAAAAAATATAAAATTTAAATTTATATTAGTTACATATTTTTAACTAATATAAATTTGCTGTCCAAACCGAGCTGTTTCTAAATTAAAAGACGCCGAATTTAAATCGGGTGCTGGAACTAATTTACAACTTTTTGGTTTAAGAGCGGCCAATAATTCTTTAAATATTTATTTTTGAATAAAAAATTTTTCCTAAACTACCTGGAATTAATTGCTCATTATCTGGTTTGACTAGATCCAAAGGCATTTTTTTATATAAAAATATAAAAGAATTATTTTTTCTTTAATTTTTAAATAAATAAATGTGTAGTGTTAAGGTTTTTGTGGACAATAAAAGTGGACACAAAGGGAGAAAAAATAAAGAAAATCAGCGAGGGAAGAAAAAAGCGTAAAATTTCTTCAAAATAAAAATATCCATCCAAGTCCCCACAAAAAATTGATCGAGAAAGAAATACTTCAAAAGAATTTATTAAATACTGGAAAGTTTTTAGGTGACGATCAACAACATATTTACTCTCTCATTTGGTTATAAAAAGTGATAGAAAAAGTGTTTAGTAGGAAAGAGAAAAATAATTTGTGGACAATTGGATAGGGATTTTGTTTAAGGGGTTTTTACATTTTTTTGAGGATTTTTTTGAGGGTTTCTTTCACTTTTAGAGAAACTTTAATAAAAAGTTTTTAGAGTTGGAGATTTATTTTTAGAAGAAAAGGACAAAAAATTTTGGGGCATAGCTGACCAATATTTTCTTTTGAAAAGAGACAAAGCTAAGGGATTAATTGAGTATTTAATTAATAAAAATAAAAATTTAAACTTTAACTTTAAAATTAAAAATAATTAAAATATTAAATGAATTTATTATTTAAATTTTTAAAATTTAATTTAAACAAATATTTTTATTTAAAAAATTAAATTTTTAATTTAATTTTAATAAAAATATTTTTGGACTCAAAACGATAAAAAAATATCCCACACTCGTTTTATTATTGATGTCCCCGAGAAAAGAAGCTTTTGATCACTCAACTTAACCACTAAAAGTAATTGTAAAGTGGTAGCAATGAGAGAAAAGTATGCAAAAACAAACTAGTTAAGGATTACATATACACACTAACTAGCAACTGTCTTTAACTTTTTTTTAGCTTTTTCTCGGCCATTTTAGTTACCTCCCTCTCGTTTCTATTATATATCCACTTGCGTGTTTTTAACTAGATCACTTTATTCTCTCTTTTACATTTTATGCTACAAAATATTAAATATAATGCTACTAATTTGTTGTTTTAACTGTTAGGGACTAAAAATTTATAAAATATATGGAATAAATATGTAAATATTAAATATGTATGATAAATAAAGAATAAAAAGATATGTAAATACTTAAACAAATTTAAGAATAAAATACATAATCAAGAAAAAAATAATAAGCAAAGATACTATGTATACATAAGTTCAAGCATATTTTATCTCAACAAGAGTGATGGAATTAAGTGCGGAACGGATGGGATCTTGTACTGGATGTTACGTTATCCCGTGTCCGAAATCCCAGGCTTTAATCAAAAAATGGGCATCGAGTTTTCGGCCAGTGGAATCACTTCTCGCAAGACATTTTGAAACTCAATCCCGTTACAGGACACCAAATTATGATTTTGCCCACCCTACCTGAAATCTCTTTTTTTCTCCATATAACTTATTCCAATAACTTATTCCAAGAGATAACCGAATCCATCCACCGTAAGAAAGTGACGTATGAGAGAGATACACCATTGAAGATGTTTCTATTTTTAAAAAATTTTTGGTACAACAAATTCGGGAATTCCCGAGTTTTTTTTTAAATTCTCGTTTTCGGTAATCGGGAAATCTGTTGAAAATAAACCGGGTTGCTGGTAGGATCACAGTCATTTTTGGCAGGGCCAAATTAAAACCAGGAAATCCCGGAATTCCCTATCTTTTGTCCATTTCGGTCTCTTTCAAGTTCCGTTTTCCGTTCCCCTAACTCATTTTTTAAAAGTTTAACTTTTAATTATAATTGGTCGAGGTCGAGGCCTCGCCGAGGTCGAGGATTTTTCAACCTCGATTTTGCTGACCTCGACCTCGAAACCGTGGTCTTCGCAAAGAACCTCACCGAGGACCGAGGGTAAATCTACACCCCCTAATAATTGCCTTTTTTGTAAGAAATAGAAGAAATCTGGCTTTTTGATTTTCCAGGGTCCTTGACCTCGGTCTCGGGTTCATATTTGCCCCTCGACCATATTTGCCCCTCGATTTCGGCTTTTCCAGCCTCGGTATCCTCGGTCTCGGATTTTTCAAAAAAATCTCGACCTCGACCAACTCTACCTTTAATACATGCTTAAACAAAAATATGTACTTAAACAGATAAGGTTAGACATGTTGTTTCTCGCCAAGAACCTCGCCGAGGAAGATATACTGTACCTCAAAATTTTGTACTCTCATATGAAAGGAGTGTGTAAAAAAAGGAGAGTCAGAAAGTTAGAGATTAAAATTTAAAGGGAGAGAGAAAAGAAAAGCTGATATAGTGCTATAATGGAAAGACAGTGAAAGGAAATTTTTCTTAAGCTTTGTTATGAAATAATCACTTTTGAAATCACAAGCCAATTGTTACAAACTTTTTTCTAAAAACATTTTAAACCCTTGTATTGATTTTAAATTTACAAAATATTTTTTAAAAAAATTTTCAAAAATTTCAGTTAAAATGTTATTAAATCGATTTATTTCTCGTCAATTATTAAATCCATCTTCATTCTCCCAAACAAGCAAGTTTTTTCTTTCTTCTTCAAATGTCTGCAGTAAAGAAGTTAAAGGGGACCCTGGAATTTCATATCCAGACCCTGAAGCAGGACCTAAAACAGTTGAAGAGAAAATGGGGTTTCCTATGAAGCCGGCTTCGAGTTGGGGGGAATATGCAGTTATGCGTATGGATGATTTAATGAATTTGTGTCAAAAGAATTCTTTATGGTTTTTTTAATTTTTGAAAAATTGATTTTTATTTAATTCTTTTTAAGGCCTCTTACTTTTGGATTAGCTTGTTGTGCTGTTGAAATGGTAAATAATTTGTAAATTTTTTACATTGGGGTTTAAATTGAGGTGGAAATTATTTTTAATAATTTCAATTTTTAGCACTCAGTCAGGCGAATATTTTGATAGTTTAAAAGGCTGTAGTAAAAAATACTGGTTAAGTGCCTGCTATAAGTGAAGTGTGTTTATCTAAAAATCAGGCCCGTGACCAGGGGAATTCCTCCCGAATGTGAAAAAGGAAAAAATTTGGAGAGTGAATGGAAGAAAGAGTAGTGAATTATTTCCGCATACAGCTACTAAAATTCTCAATTTTTGCCTGCGGCGCTAAAAATTCGGGCGCGACCTCCCGAAAAAATCAACTATTAAATTCTGATATTATTAACTCTAAAAAAATTAAGTTTTTAAATTGTGTTTCGTTTAAAATTTTAGAATTCATTTAACTTTGTAACTTTCTAGATGCATTTTGCTGCTCCTCGTTATGATATGGATCGTTATGGAGTTGTCTTTCGTGCTTCTCCAAGACAAGTATATTTTAATTTAATTTTCTTTTTTTAATTAATTTTTTCAGGTTAATTTAATAATTGTTTCTGGCACTGTTACAAATAAAATGGCCCCCGCTTTGCGCAAAATTTTTGATCAAATGCCCGACCCAAAATTTGTAATTAGCATGGGATCTTGTGCAAATGGTGGTGGTTATTATCATTATGCATATTCTGTACTTAGAGGCTGTGACAGAGTTATTCCTGTTGATATTTGTTTGTTTTTTTGGGGGATTTTGGATTTTTAAGGAATTTATTTTTCTTATAGATGTTCCTGGATGCCCGCCATCAGCAGAAGCTCTTCTTTATGGTGTTTTACAATTACAAAAGAAAATGAAAAGAATGAAAAGGGTTCAGTTATGGTATAGAAAATAGACATTTAAATTTAGATAAATTAGAGTTGTATTTTTGGTTAAAAATTGTTTAAAAAATTATTAATATATTCCCTTATGCAAAGAATTTGTAATGGATTTTGTCATGTTTGAATTTTAACTGTTGAATTATTTTTGAAAAATAATTTGTCTCCAAATATAACAAAATCCAATTAATTATTTTTGCTTTAAAATCTTTTTTAAAGTTGTCCAAGTCAATTGATTAGAATATACTTCTGAATGCTCACAAATTAAATAATTCTTTTAGGTGTGCGAGAAACAACAACTTTTTTTATAAAAACTTGAATGAGTGGTGGAAACATTTCATTCTCTAAGAGTGAAATAGAAGCTTGTCAGGTAAGAAGTTTTCGTGTTGTGTGTTTTTGTTGATAGGGTTTGTCGGTTCGATTCCATTCTGATTTAAAGTTAACTGGCAGGTGAGTTAACAGGCGGCGAAATGTCCGTTTTTGCCTTTTGTGGCGAATTGACTTAGGCGGGGAGTGTGAAAGTCGGTGTTTTTTGACTGGTTTTTTATTTGTTGAAGAGCAATGCTGATTGTTTTGCATTTTAATGTTTCTTTGGAATTTATTGTTTTTTATTCGCCCTATTGATTTATAAAATAACTTTTTTTTTGTTCTTAGCCATTCTAAAATATAATTAATATTTCCTATCGATTTTTACATTAATTTGTTATGAGCTGGCTTGTACATATTATCGCAAAAAGCAAATTTAATTATTTCCTTTTATTAAAAGTCAATTTTTGTTAACCTTATTAAACCGATAATTAAATTAATGCTCTTTCAACTTCTAGTTACATTAACTTTTTTAAGGGGCCACGATCCCTAATTGGCTAAGAACTTTGTTTTAATCCTCGATATTTCTAACGATATTTAATTTCAGGAAGCAGTCAGAAATTTTCGTGTTCAAGAACTTCAACAATTAGTCTCAAGTTTTAAATATCCAAAAATTGGAAAGAAAAACGAACTTATTAGTCGGGCAGATTCACTACTTAAAAATCCAAGATTTCAAGCTAGCGCTGTAGCAAAAGTTCACGAGATCCAGGCATCTAATCGAATTCGTGACAGTTCACAACCATATCCTTCTCAACCCGAAAGAGGACTTGGAAATCAACAACTTAACGGAACAATGCCTAATAATCGTATGTTTAAATAAATGATTCTTTTTTTATCAGAGATCATTGTATTATTTCTAGAAATGCATCCATCAAATCAGCAACCAGGAATTTATGGTTTTAATGCTGCTGCTCCACCAATGTCTCAATTTCCAGGGGGATTTGGAAATTTTATGAATTATGCGGCTGCTTATGGACAGCAATTTCAAGGAGGCCCTGCCTATCAGCCTAACAACTTTAGTCAGTCATTGCCACCTCAAAATCAGCCTCACTACATTCCTCCGCAGCATTCTCAGGGAGGATTGGTTCGCAATTTGCGTACAGTTGAACTTCCGTTTTATGATCTTTTTAAGGTTTCAATTTTTAACTTTTGTTTGGTCTCTTTTATAGTTACGTTTGCTTCGTAACAACATCATATAAACATATAATTTTTCGTGTCGTTTTTAGGTAATTGTCCCGATGACAGAACTTCCATCTTATCCTGTTCCAACTCGTCCTGGTGAAGGTCGTTTCTCTTGTACTTTTGGTGTCTCCGCAGACGATATCGGTAAATTGTCATATCCTGAAGACCAAAGACTGCCGAGATATGAGCTTCAGTTACGAATGTTTCTTTTGGAAAATTCCGAGGAACAGCCCGATGCTTTTCCTCCAGGCTCTGCAGTTCGATTGGATGATTTTAATGTTAATCTTCCTGTTAGTTTTTGTGTTTTGAATTAATTATAAATGTTTGTTTTAAGGCAATTATACCAACAAACAAACCAAATGCCGAACATAAGCGTTATTCTCGACCGGTGAATATCACCCCTTATTGTAGACCGCCTCGTAGTAAAGATCGTCCACACCGTCTGAATTTTGAGTGGAATGGCGATAAACGTGCTTGGGCTTTTACGGTTCATACTTATACATGGGTAATTTTATAATTTTTTAGGTTTTGCTTGTTAAACGGGTTAATTCTGATATTCTTCTTGCACGTATTCGTGAAAATCCGAACGCATCACGCCCAGCTTCTACCACTAGAGATAATATTATTCGACGTCTCAGTGGTGATGAAGATGATGTTCAAATGGATTCTTGCAAGATTTCTCTAGTTGATCCGGTAACTTATTTCTTAGATTTATTTTGATATTTCTGTTGCCTAGCTTGGTCGTATGCGCATTAAAATTCCTTCTCGTGCTGCCGATTGTACTCATTTACAGACCTTTGATTTATACAACTATTTGATGATGAACGAAAAGCGACCTGGTTGGAAATGTCCAGTTTGTGACAAGAATGCCATTTACTCTAAATTAATTATTGATAAGTGAGTTTATTTACAATTAATTTTATTTATACGAATTACTGACCTCCTTGACTGGCAATAAATAAGAAATTTTTTTCTATCTAACCCCATTTTGCTATTTGTTAGTTGTATTTGAGGTTTTTAATTTATTGAACATCTTTTTCAGATACTTCGAAGATGTACTTAAAAGCGTCAGCAGTTCTGTTGAGGAGATTGAATTACTCCGTGATGGTTCATGGGGTCTTCCAAAGGTCAATGATACAATTTCTTTGTGTAGTGATGAAGACGCCGCAATGGCTGATGCGGACGATGATGATATTATGATTGTGGATCCTGCTAAAACTAAGCCATCCAAAACTGTTGATAAGAAAAAGACAGACAGTGTTTCAACTGAAAGTGTCGCTCATCAACAAGAACCACCGCAACCAACTGTGATTATTCCAAAAACGTCGGTTATTGAACCTAAACAACAACGAACCTCATCTTCTAATACATCGAATGCGCCAAAGAAGAAACCGGTAAGTTTTTCTAAATGTTAAACTTTGGGCCCTGGTCTAGTTTATGCGTCCAATGAATCTTTACGAGTCTAATGAAATAAATGGTTATAAGTCCAATGAATATAATATATAAGTTAACTCGAAATTTTATGATCCAAGTTTTTATAAAGTAAATTCAAAAAATAAACCAGGGCTCTCATTCGTACTTTATTTGAAAGTACAGTACTTTAAAATCGACCTCCGTACTTACAAAATTGAATTTGTACTTTATTGAAAGTATGTACTTTAAAATCAACATTTTGGATTGAAAATGATATTAGGGAAGGATTGGGCAAAAAAGTGAATTTTTTTGGCCTACGGCCTTAGAAATTCTCAAAATTTTCGCCTGCGGCGCTGAAAAAGGAAGAAATCTAGCTTCTTGGGTCTAAATTTCAAAAAATTTTCGCCTGCGGCGCTAAAAATGGAAAAAATCTGTCTTAAGAACCCCGAAATTTCCCAAAATTTTCGCCTGCGGCGTTGAAAATGGACGTAAGAAAGTAGCTTGCTTGAGGTTAAGACTGTCAGGGCTTTACTTCTTGTGACAGCGAATTTTGACATGGCGTGTATGAAATGCACAAAATGCTCAGTGGAAACAAGAGATTATTAGAAAAATTCATTTAGCAGAGAAATAGTATAAAAGATTTGAGGGCGAATAAATATTTTGTAATTTAATTTTGAGTGTCCTTTAAATTTGGAAATTTTGTCCCTATGTACTTTAAAATCGAGATTTTTGTACTCTTGATTGGTATTTTGTCGATGAGAGCCCTGAAATAAACGATTAAACTGTAAATAAATTTTTACAGGTCATTCCTGAGGAGGATATCATTGAGCTAAGCAGCGATGACGAGGATGACAGACTGGCTACCGCAATTAGTGTCTCGCAGCTTAATGATGCCTCTGCTGCAGCAGGTACGCCAAACAGCAATGCTTCTGGTGGTGCTGGAAGTGGTGGAGGAGGTGGAGGTGGATCCGTGGTATGCAGATCCTCTTCCGTATCAACATCAAAAAGAAGGGAAAATGGCCAGTTAGAGATAACCAAATATTTCAATCGGATTGTTCACTAATTGTTTTTAGTCCAATTATTTTACGACGTGGCATCCCAATTTTTAGAAATTTTATGCAAATTGAAATGCGTGGCCATTTGCCCTTTATTTAATTTAACACAGAATCCTTTTTTGAGATTGGGATGTTGTGTTTTTAGTCTTTCATTTTTGCCAACCATAATATTATCCTCCATTTATAAAACTAGATTTTTACTTTAATGTTTGAGAATTTTGAGGTAGTTTCCCATTTTACATTTGACCCAAAAACCTTCACAAAAGAAACCAGATTTGGTATTTCAAACAATTTATATTATTTATTTTTGCAGAATATTGGCCAATCGCCGCAGAGCCACGCTACCCGACGAGGTGGAGTATCAGGAACAGGGGGAAGCAACAGTCACAATGATACTCGCCAATCAAACGGTTATAATAGCAGCACAAGTAATACCAGTACCTCATCTGCCACACCTCCTTTTCTTCAAAACAACAACGGACAACTACCGGGTATTTTCCGACCATCAATTGACGAAGTGGCACGAACTAAGGTTGCACAAAATTTGGCCAATTTTTTGCAGAATGTCTACACCAAAAACAAAAGTAGCCAACAACAATGTAGCCCTCCTTTCCGAAGCTCTTGAAACCCCATTTATGGAAAAATGCCCGTAAATTTTTTAAAATATTTTGTTATAAATTGTTTTGATGTGTCTTTATAAAATCCTCCCTGAATCATTCCCATCCTTTATTTTGTCCGTAGTTCTTGTTTTGAAAGGTTGATATTTTAATTTTATTCTTTTAAAAACTGCCTAAATGAATTGAACGTGTTTTATTTCGGAATTTATCGTCTACATTTGAGATAAAACGCATATAGTTTTTAAAATATCTTTTTTTTTAAATAATTCGTTCTTGCTTTTGTATGATTAAGACGACAATTTTTCTTTTACAATAAATACTTGAATCTTCATCCGCACTTTTATTATCGGATTTTTCCTGTTTATAATAAATGATATTTGGTTGTATTGAAAATGCTAGTATTTTTAAATATAATCCTTATAAGATCTCTTGAGCTAGAAAAATAGGTTGCCCCTTCAACTGCGGTGAATAAATGCATTTTAAATATAATACTTTTAAGATCTCCTGAGCTAGAAAAATAGGTTGCCCCGTCAACTGCGGTGAATATTTTTTCGAGTATAGGGTTAGTTTTGGATAAATTTAGGTAGTCTATGAATATATTTTTTCTACATAATTCTCAATTTATATTAAAATGACAAAAAATACATACATTTGTAAAGAAAATTTTAATCTTTGTAATTTATATTTATTAAAAATTTGTCTATCACGAATTGATGATTTCTTTTTGGTGTTTTATGTAGAGTAGAATTGGAGGGGAAAAATAAAACGGGGATCAAATTTCGGTTGCGAATCGTGTCGATTTGTTTATGTTGACTGATAGGGAAAAATGCAATACTATGGAAAGAACAGAAATCGAAGGTTTTTAAACAAAAAATATATGGGAAAGGGAGATAGTGTTTGGCCGTTAAATAAAGATTTTAATTATCTTTAAAAGCACAATTTAATCCAGAAAAGAAAATAAAAATTTCAACTTCTCGTGCTTTTAATAGCGAACAAAAAATTAAAAGTGGATTAAATAATTGAGCTCTAGTATAGTATGTAGGAAGAAGACCGGCCTAGCGATATAAAAATGAAGATGATAAATGAGGAAATTATAGTATAGAGGGCTCTGTTTGTTGCTGCATTTCTGCAGACTTCCAGTTATTTAATTGTCCTTGTTGGTGGTGATCTAACCGCAACCGTTTTTCAGGTGGTGGTTCTGTTTTTATATGCTGTGTGTCACGTTGTTGTTCGTGTGAAGAAGGTTCTGATTTGAGCATATGTTGCTGCTGTTGAGGGTATTTGTTGCCAAGTTGTTGGTGTTCATATAGCCATTGTTCCATAGAACCCTAAAAGAAAGAAAATTTTTTTGCTAGTCCTCTAAATTAACAAACGTGATGTCCTCCTCCTCCACTCATCATCATTTGAGGTTGTGGTGTTAATGATTGAGGTGGCAATGACGAAGGAGGTAACAACCCGTAAGGCGTTGAAGCTGGCCGTTGATGTCCACTACTATGTAATTGTTGGTATTGTGGACTACTATCTCTACTTATTAATTGTTGTTGCTGTTGATGAATTAATGGGTCAACAGTTCCGGCGGTTAAAGAATGTCCAAGAACGGGAGCAGTCGTTGTCGATGAATTAGGTGAATATGCACACGTATTAGGTACTAATGCACCGGAAGAGGAACCAGAGGAGGAGGAAGCAGAAGTTGAGGCGAAAAGCTAAATAAAAATCTTTTAATTATTCTTAAATTTTTTAAATAAAATTTTGAAGTTTATATTGAATAATTTGTAGTTTTGGAATATTTATTGATAAATTAATTTTTTAAGATCTGTTTTTACTACAATTTAGCACTTAAATTTTGATAATTACATAGCTTCTTTTTAGTTTAACAAATTTAATTAGGCTGTAGTGTAGTGTACCGGTGGTAAAAGTTCGAGACGTGATATATGTCTTTCGATTCGTCTCGACGAGCTGAGTCGAACGGTACCACTCCCTATTTTAGGAAATAATTCTGGACCGAGTTATAGGTCCCGGAAAATTGAAAAACCAAAGGGGGGGAGTAAGGTCGATTTTGGGGTGAAAAATTCGAATATGCAATTAATAGCTCATTCGAAAGAGCTCCTCGAGCTGAGTCGAATGACACCAAAATCAACAAAATCTGACTTGATTTGACAAAGTTATGATCGTTTGTTTTAGCTCCTTACCTAGGGTCTCCATGGAGGGTTTTGCTGCTACGGAGGCTCCAGGTATGCCCAGAGCAAGGGAGATAGGAATAGGTTTATGTTACGAGCCCAGACCCACCGCCCGTAGACTCCCCGCGAGGCGCGTGCCGCAAACCTCCGCGCGAAGCGCGGAGGTTTGCACAAGCGCCTCGCCGACTCTCCATAGGTTTATGTTGCTTGTTTTTTGTGTCATAACTTTGTCTAATCTTGTTCAATCACGGTGATTTTGGTGTCATTTGACTCAGCTCGTCGAGCTCTTTCGAATGAGTTATTATTTGTATAAAAAATTTTTTATTCCAAAAATCGTCCCTTTGTATCTTCGATATTTAGGGGCCTATATCTCGGTCCAATCAAGTCAGATTTTGTTGCTTTTGGTGTCATTCGACTCAGCTCGAGGAGCTCTTTCGAATGAGCTATTAATTGCATATTCGAATTTTTCACCTCAAAATCGAGCTTAAACCCCCCCCCCTATGGTTTTTCAATTTTCCGGGACCTATAACTCGGTCCAGAATTATTTCCTAAAATAGGGAGTGGTACCGTTCGACTCAGCTCATCGAGACGAATCGAATGACATATGTCACGCCCCGAACTTTTACCACCGGTACACTACACTATATCCTTTAATTATTGCTAGAAAAGTTTTTCAAATTTTTTTCAAAATTTTTTCTCTAAATTTTATACTTTAACCTTTTTTCACTTTAAAGACTTTTTCTCTCTCCAAATATTTAATATATGTATAATTTAATAATATTCCTAAAAAATGTTCTTTCCCTTTTTTAATACAAATTGCCAAAAACGAAGTGAAGAAAAATGAAACAAATGATTAAATAAGGAATAAAAGAAAAAAAGGAAAATAGGCCAAAGATGGAAATTAAAAAATGCTTCCCACTGAGAAAAATGTAATTTTCTACAAGCCGGAAGCCTTTTTTGCTATTTTCTTTGAATAAAAAAAAGTTAATAGAATTTTTTTATTCCTAGAAAATAAGTGTTCTCATCCTTTTAAAGGTTTTCACCTATTTATGTAAATCTAAATTTAGATAGGAAAAAAGAGATGATTAAATACGGGAAGAAGATAAAAGTAAAAAAAATATTGAGAAATTGGGTATTGTGACTTATAGGGGGTTTTTGTTGGCTGGACCGATTTCGACAAATGAGGTGTCATTCGAAAGAGCTCGCCGAGCTGAGTCGATCCCGCGGGGGAAGAAGTCGATCCGACAATCAGGGATCGAGTTACAGACCCCTGAAGTTTGAAAAAGAGAAGGGGGGAGTAAGCTCATTTTAGGATGAAAAATTCGAAAATGCAAATAATAGCTCATTCAACTCAGCTCGTCGAGCTGAGTTGAATGACACCAAAATCATCGAAATCCGACTTGATTGGACAAAGTTATGATCGTTTGTATTAGCTCCTTACCTATGGTCATTGGTGAGGTTTTTGCTGCTACGGAGGCCCCAAGTACGTCCAGAGTAAGGGAAATAGGAATAGGGTTATGTTACTGACCCAGACCCAGCGACCGTTGACTCCCCGCGAGGCGCGTGCCGCGAAAGTTAATAGAATTTTTTTATTCCTAGAAAATAAGTGTTCTCATCCTTTTAAAGGTTTTCACCTATTTATGTAAATCTAAATTTAGATAGGAAAAAAGAGATGATTAAATACGGGAAGAAGATAAAAGTAAAAAAAATATTGAGAAATTGGGTATTGTGACTTATAGGGGGTTTTTGTTGGCTGGACCGATTTCGACAAATGAGGTGTCATTCGAAAGAGCTCGCCGAGCTGAGTCGATCCCGCGGGGGAAGAAGTCGATCCGACAATCAGGGATCGAGTTACAGACCCCTGAAGTTTGAAAAAGAGAAGGGGGGAGTAAGCTCATTTTAGGATGAAAAATTCGAAAATGCAAATAATAGCTCATTCAACTCAGCTCGTCGAGCTGAGTTGAATGACACCAAAATCATCGAAATCCGACTTGATTGGACAAAGTTATGATCGTTTGTATTAGCTCCTTACCTATGGTCATTGGTGAGGTTTTTGCTGCTACGGAGGCCCCAAGTACGTCCAGAGTAAGGGAAATAGGAATAGGGTTATGTTACTGACCCAGACCCAGCGACCGTTGACTCCCCGCGAGGCGCGTGCCGCGAAAGCCCGCGCGAAGCGCGGGCTTTCGCACAAGCGCCTCGCCGACGCTCCATAGGTTTATGTTGACCATTTTTAACCGGTTTATCTCGGCTCAGAATCAAGATATCGAGCTGATTTTGGTGTCGTTCGACTCAGCTCGACGAGCCGAGTCGAATGAGCTATTATTTGCATTTTCGAATTTTTCATCCCAAAATGAGCTTACTCCCCCCTTCTCTTTTTCAAACTTCAGGGGTCTGTAACTCGGTCCCTGATTGTCGGATCGACTTCTTCCCCGCGGGATCGACTCAGCTCGGCGAGCTCTTTCGAATGACACCTCATTTGTCGAAATCGGTCCAGCCAACAAAAACCCCCTATAAGTCACAACATTCGAGAAATTTTGTAAAGAAAATATTTTTTTAAATTATTTATTTATTCCCCTCACCTGATGTACAATTCTTGGTGGTTGTTGTTGCTGTATTTGTTGTTGTTGTTGTCTTGCAACAGATGCTCCTAGAAAAACATTGTTTTGACCAAAAATGTGTTGTGCAATGTTTTGAACACCATTAAAGTCTGAATAGGGAGGGGGTGGCACTCCTGTTGGTGATGGATCGCCTTTAAACAAAGGAATTTTTAAAGAAAATTATCAATTTTTCACCTCCACTCCCCCCTCCATTTGCATATTGAGCAGCTGCTGCTAAAGCATTAGCAGCAGCAAATCCCCCTCCTCCATTACCATTTCCTCCATTATTTTGTTGTTGGCCTAACATTGCCATTTGTTGAGCTAATACAGAATTACCTCCTCCCCCGTTATGATGATGATGGGCAGCAGCTAAAGCAACAGTAGCTGCTAAATCAGCATTTGAATTAATTAATCCTGTTGGGGTTGGTGGAGGAGAAAAATCGTCATCAGAATCAACACCCGCTCCCTGTTTACATTCTTTTCGTTGAAGTGTTTCCATTATATCGTTATTTGTGCGACTTTCGTGTGGCTCATTATATTCTGTATACCTTTAAATTAAAATTTTGATCAGTCTCTCATTTATAATTTTTTTTTCCATTTTTAATATTAATTTTTAAAAATGGATCAAAATTAGTATTTTTAACAGATAAATCTCTTTAAATTTATTTTGTTCACTACCTCAACAAAACTTTATCCATATCTGTACTGGCATATTGGAAAAGTCGATTAGAAGAATTAAATATAATTAATGCAATTTCACAATCACAAAGAACAGACAATTCATAAGCTTTCTTCATTAATCCAAACTTTCGTTTTGTGAAAGTTACCTTTAAAAAATTTCCAAATTCATTTCTTTCCTCCACCCCTCCCCTTCCCCTCCCATCTACCTGTCTATTCCGCTCATCCGCAATCCGTGTAATTTGAATTTTCTTTCGTCCCATTCTACGCTTGTTTGGCTGCTGTAAAGCAGCGGCAGCTAAAAAAAGGTTTTTATTTTTTTGAGTCTTTTTTAAATAAAGTTTGTTTTAATAAGGATGTTTTTATTAGTTTAATTTTGTTTTTTAATTAAAATTAACGATCAATTTTTGATTATTTTTATTTTTTACCTGCCGCCGCCTGATGGGCTGAGCCTCCGCCCTTCAGTGGATGTGGATGGGAGGCCAACGACTGAGCCGGGCCTTGTAATGGATGTTGGTGCTTAAAAATATATTTTAAAAAATTATCCTTTTTTATTTAGTCAAAGAAGTTTATCAAAAGTTATGTATTATTTTTGTGATCAAGTGGTTTAGGGAGTTTAATTCCAAATAGATAGTTGGAGAAAGTTTAGGTGGAAAATAAAAAGGAGTGCGGCAAATTTGGCCGCACGATTAATTTATGGCATAACTTTTCTCAAAGTTGATTTCACAACACCTTGAGAAATTTACCAATTAAAATAAAAATCTTCACGGATAATTAAAACAAAAAAAAATATATTAAAAATTATTTTTAAAATTCAAAAAAAATTTACCTGATACAACGGTTGCCCACCACCTCCGACGTTAAATTGTTGTTGTTGTTCAATAAAGTGTTGCTGTTGTTGTTGTGGAGTTAAAAAATGAGAAGTAAAAGAAGAGGAAGAACTGCTTCCGCTGCTACTTGGTAAAGAAGAAAACAATTTTTGATGTTCTAATGATTGTTGTGATTGAAATAATGATGGGTGGACTTTAATTAAAAATAATTTTGTTTAAAATTAAGTCACAAATTTAAAATTTACCAGAATGCTGAAGAACGGGAATACCTCCACCTGGGAATTGGGCCACTGCTGCTGTTTGATGTTCCGAAGTCTCAATTGCTGCAGTTAAATATTAAATGCCTTTTAGTGGCTAGCTAGTTTTTGAATAGCTTGGCAACAATTTTTGGGGCTTTTGTTGGGAGAAAATATGTGGATGGAGAAAAAAAACCTCTTATTTTTTATAAAGGTTTTTAGGGAATGGCAATTTTTATGGCCAAAAATGAAAATAGAAAGAAATACGGCTTTTTAACTTGTAGTGAACGATTAATGATTGATTGATAGCCGTTTAATGAAGATGTTTTTTAAATCTTAAAATCATTTTAAATTTTAAAAATATAGGAAAAATAAATAAAATCTTTAAAAAACAAAAAATAACATTCTAATTAATTTTATAAATATTTATTTATCTAATTTTGAAAACGATAAAGTATGTATATTAAACAATTAACGAGGGAATGTAATTTTAGGGTAAAAGATTACTACTCGCTTTTCTTGGTTCTTCTGCTCTACACGATGGTATATGTAAAGTTTTTGGGATTTGAACTAAGAAGGGACTGGGACTGTCCTAGAAGCTTTGGCCATAAGAAAAACAAAGAATTATAACTTAATTTAAAACACTGAGGATCCAATACAATTAACAATTTAATGAATTTATTTAATTATGATTTTGCCTAGAGACGCATATCCTACAATATTTATTTCCCTTTTTCTTCTTTTTAATAAGTAGATGGTAATTGAACATGCGGTAAAGGATAATTTAAAGAAAGTGAAGAAGATTACAAGTCCCTAAAGTAGCAGTTAAAATAAAGTCACGCGAATATTTAAAAATAAAAGGGGAAATATAAAATGCTTTGATATATTATGAAAGTTAGAGGGGGCACACGGTAAAAGGGAAAAATAAAATCGATTGACACGGAGAAAATTATGAAACACACATGAATTTATTGGGGGATGATGAAAAAAGTTGAAATTTAGAAAGTCGAGATTTCGAAAAAAAATAATTATTTGTTTACTTGTTAAATGGTCAAAAAGAATTTTTTAGTATCGAGGTTTACATACAAATATTTGCTAAAATAATTACCCAGGGTAATTATTGTTTTAACCTCTCGCTGGAGGGGGTAAATAAAAGGGAGGGGTAATTATTTGTACTTTGTTCAGAAAGGCTAATTATAACTATATTTAAGAGGGGTAATTATTTTTTCGATCTCTGGATGTAGGGGGTAATTAATAAGGCGGGGGTAATTATTTAAGAGAGTAATTTGTCTCTTTTTCTTCTTTTTTAGAAAAAAATTTTTTTAAGGAAATAAAATTTATTTTTTAAAAGGCCTCGAATATCACAAAAAATCTTTTTTATTTCGAGACTCTCGACATTCCAACTATCCAATAAATCATTGGAAGTTTTTTTTAAAAAGTAGACACGAGTGTTTAGAAAAGATAAAAATTAAAAAGGAAAAGGAATGGGACCGCCCGGCTGGTTCTTCTTCTTAACGTTTGCCTTGATTTCGTCTTTTCTTTTTTTTTTATTTTACTTAAAGACTGATCGAAATGAAGGTTATAAATAAAGAAAGAAAAGAGATCAAAGTTCAGTTTTTAAGTGAAATTGAAGAAGAAAATGAAGATTTTGACAAATAAAAAATGATTATGATGATGTTCTCTAATGAAAATTAACGGGGGGGGGGGGAGAGAGAGAGAGAGAGAGAAAGTTTTTGGCTTTAAAAAATTAAATTTTGAGAAATATTTAAAAAATATTTAAATTAATATACATATAGACCGACAAATTTATTACTAATTTAGAATTCTACATATGTACTATATTTCAAAAGTTAACTTAAGGAATTGTTTAATTTATTAGGTTAAATATTCGATTGATAAATTAATAAATTTAGGCAAAATTAAATAATAAAAATTTAAAAACAAATATTAATAATTATTTTATTTGAATTTTAAAATAATTTTGGTAGAGATCTCCAAAAATAAAAAAGGAAAGATTGGGGTAATAGTATGTGAATGTTTACTTTTTAATTTTATGTAAAAATTAGTAGAAGTTTATTTTCTCATTTATTTATTTTTAAAATAATTTTTATTTAGCTAAATTTAATTTTTATTTCAAATAAAATTTAAAAATTCTTTTAAAAATTTATTTAAAACAATTTTCATCGATTTAAGCATAAAAAAGGAAATTAAAAAATAGAAAGTGAAAAAAAGGAAAGGATGAAAAAAGAATTGTGGGGGGAAGGGTGTGAAGGTCGAAAAAAGAACACGGCTGGCTGGTTGCTTAGGCCAACCAAAATGGAAGGGGAAAAAAGAGACAAACGGCATTCATTGCCTTTATGTTTAGAAAGGGTTCTGTGTAAGTAGAAAGTGGCGTGTTACGGAATGTTAAAGGGGGGAAGGGAAGGAGGAGGTTGTCATTTATTTTACAAGTAAAAGATGATTAGTAGATAAATAAATAGAGAGGGAAGGAAGGGAAAAAATAAATAATTATATGTATATATTTAATATTTTAAAGAAAAATTAAAAGGATTGTAAAAATCATTTAGTAATTAAAAAATCCATTCAAAAAATACCGGAAGAAGGCCAAGGATTGCTTTTAATATACAAACATGAAAAGAAAAAAAGTTTATTTTATTAGAAAAAGCCTCTTATGTTTTTTAAAGAAAGGATTATGTATAAATAAATATATTGGAAGAGGGGGGGGGGTTTGTAAGAGATTTTATAAATAAAAAATTATAAATGTAAAAAGTAAATATATTTAAATATAATTAATCTTCATGATGTTTTAATGTTAAATATAATTAAATATAATCACGATGTTAAATATACTCTTTATAATCCTCATTTTTTCTGATTTTTTAAGAAACTTGTTTTGAATGAAAATTAGAATCTTAATACTTTAAATATTCAAATTAAAAAAAGATTAGAAAAATTCAAGTAAATTTTTGTTAATTTGAAATAATTATTTGAAAAAATATATATAAATAATTTTATTTTTAAAATAGGTAGTTATTATGTATATATGTATTATTTAATTAAATACAAAATATTAAAAAAAATATTTAAAGTAAATAAATAAATACAAATTTGTTTATGGACAATAAAAAATATTATAAATACTACATATAATGTCTTTACTATAAACAAATAAAATAAAATAAAAAAATTTATTAATTTTACTAAAAATATTTAAATGCTAATTTGTTAATAATTGAGAAATAAATTGTTTATTTAAAATAAAATTTAATTAAAGTTTTTTCTTTAATTTTACAAAAACATTTGAGAAAAAGCGACGCGCGCTTTCAATAAAAAATAAATAAACTTAAGCTTTATTTACAAACATTATTTTAAAGAAACTAAAAAATATATTTGTAAATAAACTAAAAAAATAAATATATTTAATATTATTTTTCCTCTCAAATATTTGTATTTTTCTCTTGAAAATTTTTTTTATTTTTGTTTGAATAGCTGTCGCGACGTTTTTCTTTTTTTATTATATGTATATACGCTGGCAGATCAGAAGGAAAAAAAGAGCGCGAGAGGCTTTTTAAAATGAGGGATTGAAGCAAGAAATGAATAAGAAGAGAAGAAGAGGAGAGAAAAAGATATGCTCAAAATTTGGCCAAAAATTCTTCTTTTTTTTCTTTGCATACTTTAAATTTATTCCCCCCCCCCCTTCCTCACCTCTTACACATTCTATAACAAAAATCGTGCGCGCAAATATTAAAAGAAAAAGCTTTTTTGAATTGAAAATACTTTGGGAGAATCTTTTTCTTTTTTTTTCTTGTCCCCCTTATATTCAATCACTACATAGTTTAGCCCCTTCGACTGGTCAGAAGAGGCTCTCCTTTTTCTAAATATTTATTGGTGGTTGTGTTGCTAACAAAAATGTAAAGGAATTTTTGTATAAAAATAAATAAATGTACACGTATTGTGGCTGGCCTTTAAAAAAATTGAGGATCGAGAGTAGAGAATAAACAATAAATATATAAGAGAATATTGGGAAAAAGAGGAATTGAAAAGCAAAAAAAAGAATGAAGAAAGAAAGAATTAATCAACAAACATCGATTTATTTATTTCATTAAAATGATGAAAAAATGAAATTAATTAATTAAAATTTTAAAAGATTTATAGAAATATTTGTGGACATGCCTTTCTCCCCTAACTTTTGGAGGAAGGTGGATTAAGCAAAGCAAAATCCCCAAAAAATATTTTTAAATTAATTTTTAGAAATTTAATTCTCCATATTTCAATTCCAACTTTGCAATTATTTTCAGCTCACAAACTTTATCTGTTTGCCACGTCCCAACAATATTTACTATATTTTGAATAATAATTTTAAGAGAGGAGAGAAAAAAGGGGAAAAGTGCAAAGAGAATTAGAAACAAATAATTTAATATTTATTTGTTTATATGGAAAGTGTTTAGTTGCCGATGGCTGAATTATAGCCATTTAATATACTATTTTTCTTTAATTTTTATTTCCAAAATTTCTGCAAAAAAACTTTACTATAATGTTTTTAAAAAGAAATAAAAATCTAAAAAATAAAATTTTTTAATTTCAAAAAAATATTTTTTAATTAACAATTTTGCAGAAAATGTTTATTTTACTGGAAGTTTTTTTTAATTTTAACCGTTGAAGAATTAATTTTTAAAATTAATTAATTAAATAAAATTATTTGGAAATTTATATTCATGTTAAAAGGAAATAAAAAAATTTTTTTCAAAAATTTTTTAATTTTATTTGGTGAAAAGTTAAATTAATTAATAGAAAAACAAAATATTTTCTTTTAAAACTTTTTATTTAAATTATTTTGTTTTCCACGATGTGACAAAAACAGAAAAGAAAAAGCTTTTAAAAATGATAACAAGTAAATAAAGTTTTGATTAAGTTGGCAAAATGTTTTTTTCTTTTTATTTATTGCAAATTAAAAAAATAAAAATACAAACAAAAAAAGGCAAAATAAAAGCTTTAAAAAAAGGAGAAAGAGGGAAAGTGTGAAGTATATTTACAGCTATATAAAGGAAGGGAAGTTGTAAATGAGTGAAGGTATATTATTGCCGTTAGAAAATGGAATGAAATTCGTAAGGGAAGGGAAGAGAGTTCTCTAGTATTAAAGGTTGGAAGTTCCTGGAATCTCCGGATAACCGGAACCGCCAACCCTAAATTGTATTTAGGTTCAATTTTTGTGTCTATTTGTGGTATTGAAGGGAGGAAATGAAAACAAAATTCTTACAAAATTATTTTTAAAAATATTAAGTATAATATTCGGCAGGACTGAGTACACCATGAAATCCCGACAAATTTGGGTCGGTCGGCATTGGATGGATTAAACCAAAATTTTCGGCTTGGAATCCATTCCCAGCTCACTTTTAGATAGTTAATATATTTATGTAACTCCAAAGTTTGAATTAAAGCCTCGGGGTTATAATATGTCTGTAAATCTTGAAAATATAAATTTTGACTTTCTCCATAGGGCTTCTACTTATTAAAAATATGATAAATGAGTTAAATTTCTTTAAAAAATTCTGACAAAAAATTTTAAATTGATTTCTCTAAAAAACGAACACAAAAATATATTTTTCTCAAAGAAAAGTTTTAAATTTAGAAAAAATGACAAAACTTCCCACTATGTATAAAATAAGATGAAAAAAAAAAGAATTGAAAAAATGGTTGAAAATACTAGAAGATATTGGGAGACGTGCGGAGTTGTTGCCGGTCATAAGAAAAAAAATACATAGAATATTAAGAGGGAAGTATATATGTAGAAGTAAGCACACGCTCGCCCGGTTGTCATTGAAAGAAGAAATAAAAGGGGAAGAGGCCAGTTGGTTGGCCATAAATTTTCTCTTTGAATGTTTTTTTTTCTAACAATTTATTTTTTTCTCATTTTGGCCAAGCAACAAGGGGCGACCGTCCTCGCGATTATCGGGAAAGGATGGGAAGGGGGGAAGAGGGGGATGTTTATTCATCCAGGCGGATAAAGAAATGAAAGAATGTTGCTATAGAAAAAATAATGTTTTTAAGAGAAAAAGAGAGAAAGATGTAAAGAAAATAATGATTAGAAAAATTTTTAGAAAAAAAATAAAAATATTTTTTAAAATATTTTTTTAAATAATTTAAAAATAAATAAAAGCTTTTTATTAAATCTAAATTAATATTTAAAAAAAAATAATCCTTAATTGGTTGCTAGGGCAAATGAGAGGGTGTGAATGAGGGATTTATTCTTTCTTTTAATTTTAGTTCGTTCGTGCTTATTTTGTCACATACTAACTACTATAAATATTAATTTAATTTTTTTACTAAAAAATAGAATGCTTAATTTTGTTCTTTTTCTTTTTTTTATCTTCAATTTAATTCTCTCTACAATGCCAGTTTACCTCCCTCCCTCCCTCCCCTTTTTTTGCCATGTATTTTTTACTTGTCACCATTTTTTCTTTCATTTTTCTGGCAACACTCATTGCCAGTAATGACGTCAATACGAAGGCTTCACGAAGGCTATATCTCTTCTAAATATATATCTGCCCTCTTTTTAAAAAAAGATTTACTTATTTTAAGAATTGTAGAGGTAGAAAATTAAATAGAGAGAATATTTTTTAGAACATATTTAAATATTTTTTAATTCCCTTTGCTTTATTTGACTAAATTTTATTTTTAACTAATTTTACTACATATGTAGCTGGCTGAACATAGCTGACTGAACAAGAAGTGTCATTTAAAAAATACATAGAAAGGAATAAGAGTAACTGTTATTACCTACATAATTTGTTTTTAATTTTAAAAAATTTAAAAATTAATTGTCGACTAGTTTAATTGTCCTCACAAAAGAACATTTCTAATTCGACCAACATATTTAAATTGCCTTTTATTTAGTTTTGAAAAGTCCTGGTCTGGATTAGAGATAAAATTTTCGTTCTAATATTTTTATACACACACATATATTTTTATTACATTAATTAACAATATTTACAAATAATTTAATATACACATATGTACAAACAGAATAAAGGGTGAATTTTTGTTAAAATAACAGCAACAAAAGGAGGGAATTATTTGTTTCCTAATATTCCTAATTATTGTCTTTATTCTTTTTGGTCCTATTTTGTTGTTCTTAGACAGCCGTTGTCTTTGGCACATTCGCTTTGGCAGACGGCTGCTTGTCTTGCCGAGTCGAAGCGATGTTGAGGACTCTCGCAGTCTTCATCGGGAAGGGTTCCATATCCACAATCAAGCACTCCATTTTGCCCATCTTTAAAAAAATTAATTTTCTTTTCAAAATTTAATTTTTAATAAAAACAAACATCATCAATATCATGGTTGTGTGGACGTCCATCAGCCTTAGCAACAGAAACAGCGCCGGTCACTGCCTCAACAATAACACGCAGAAGTGCTGGACATTTGTTGTTCTTCCTTTTCTAAATAATTAAAAAGATTTCAAACAAAATTATTTCTTATTAAAATCCCCCCACCTTGCAGTAGTAGTATTCAACCATTCCTTTCGAATGAGGATGGCGAGAATTGATCTGCCAGTTATATTCTTGTCCTGATTGTTTCCACCAATTGAGGAAGGAATGACGATTCTTGAATGTACAGAAATCCTTGTATATTGCTTGTGCTTTCCCTTTGCGTTGATGTCCAACAATGTTTTCCACGACGAGTTGTGGACTCGACTCTTGTTGATGACTGCTGCCAGAATTCTGTTGACTGGTAGACTCCTGACTTCCACCAGAATCCATGTTGTTGATATGTCGCTGTTTGTGCTTTAAAAAACAAGTTGAGATAATAAAAAAAGCGGTTGAAAACTTACAGATTATGCAATGAGTTGTCGGTCTGTGATAAGTTAGACATTAACATTTTTGGTCTTTTATACTAATAATTTTTAACGAAAAAAGTATATGATCCATAATAATCTTCGAGATCAAATAAAATGTCACCAATTTTTCCAACCGCCAATTTTTAAAAATTTTAAAACACGCTCAAAACGCCAAAAAACTCAAAACGCCAAAAAGGGGGACACGGACACTTAGTCGCGGGCCACTTAGTCGCAAGCCCACTTTGTAGCAGGCCATTTTGTCGCGAAGTAGACAAACTCCTAGAAAATGTTCGATTGGTCACCGATAGTGAACGACAAATCAACGTTTTCGTTGATTCGCGGCGAATATCAACAATTATTCGCGAACAACTTTTTTTTAAATACATAACGCCAGAACAACGTTAATATCAACGTTTTGCGCCAAACAACTGCGAATCAACGTTTTTGTATCTTTTTTTCTCTGCTCTGCCATTATATTTCTCTTCTTTTTTTCTGTTAATTTTCGTTCGTGTAGTCTCTCCTTTGGAATTTGCAATTTTCCATTTTTATAAATGTTCAGTCTTTTTTCTGTAATTTTTAGGGATTTTTCCACATATATTCTTACTAGATGGATGAATTTGAAAATGAATTAAGAGTCGCATTCGAAAGCGGCGATCTCGAAGAACCTGTGACACCGTCATCGAAACGTCGAAAATCCGATTTCCTTAAAGGATTAATCTAGGAAGTCCGAAGAGTAGACGATCATGGAATGAATGTTTGTACTTTCGTGTCTTCCAATTCCTGGAGACATTTCCAAAATCAGAAAAAATATATCTGATTTAGTCAACAAAAATCTTACCTATCTTGGGCTTGACATGTCAAAAATCGTTTTTATTACTGATGAGGGATCTAATGTAAGATAAAGAATCGTTTAAAGAAATTGTTAACAAATATTCTGGAAATCACACAGAGAGAATGGAACGAATTTTTTCCAAGCAAAATCTTTTTGAAGCTTATATTCAAACTGTTTCAATGTTGGAAGCACCTTTGAAAATACTTGAGGTAAAAAATAATATTGAAATTTAGAAAATTTAAATTTTAGGCCGAAAATAAATGTACAATGAACAGATTAATGATAGAAATGATCAAATTGGAAAATGCTTGGAGAGGAGAAGTAAGAGGAGATGATTTAGTCAGAGCAGCTTTAGCCAAAAGTGGATTCTGAATATGATTTACAAGTATGGTTTGATTGGATTCTTGAGAGAACAAGAGAATGTCGAAGTACTAAATTACTCAGGTCTGTATTTCATGAAGAATTTTTTAAGGTATTTAATAGGGTCGTTGGCGATTTTAAAAACCGAAAACCGGGGATACCGGTTGATAATCGGTTGCCAACAACCCTAGTATTTAAATTAATAAGTATAAGTAATATTTTTTTCAAGGCTGCATGGGATGTACAAATTATTTGTAAACCAAAACTTCGTCGTGATTATTCAAAAAGTTACAAACAGAAATTAAAAACGATGATTTGGCCGAGAAAGGACTAGATTTTGAGATGGAACAGTATGAAACTGGATGTAAGAATTTGGGAGGACATAAGCTAGATTTGCTAAAATTTTGGAAAGAAACTTCAAACAAAATTCCACTTCATTACAATCATTATTTAAAGATGGATAAAATTTTGTTGTTTTATATATTTTTTCAATTTTAATAAAAAAATTCCTACTCGTAAAATTCTTTTAAATTCCAAAGGAGAGACTACACGAACGAAAATTAACAGAAAAAAAGAAGAGAAATATAATGGCAGAGCAGAGAAAAAAAGATACAAAAACGTTGATTCGCAGTTGTTTGGCGCAAAACGTTGATATTAACGTTGTTCTGGCGTTATGTATTTAAAAAAAAGTTGTTCGCGAATAATTGTTGATATTATTAAATCAACTTTTTTTTCTTAAGAAAACGTTGATATGTCGTTCCCTAGTCACCGATCACAGTTGCTCAACAACTGGTAAATTTTATAGTGCCTTATTTTCCTATACTAGCACCTGGCGCGTTGCCCTTTTCACCATCATTCAACAATTATTTGCTTTTATTAATTCTACTTTCATTTTTAGATTTAAAAGATTTTTTTAATGCAACAAATTGAAATTGAGCCATCTTTCTCTGAAGGGATTATTGCTTGTTGTGAATGTGGTGCTCCAATTGCTCCAAATCCATTAAATATGTGTTTGGGGTGTGTTCGTTCGAGAGTGGATATTTTGGAAGGAATTGTTAAACAAAGTTTTTCTTAAATTTAAAAAATTAAAAATATTTTATTTTTTCAGTTCAACTAAATTCTTGTCGTAATTGTAGTCGATATTTAGTCCCTCCAAATGCTTGGATTTATGCTCAATTAGAATCTAAAGAATTAATGTCTATTTGTTTGGGGAGATTAAAAGCAGCTACAACACAACAAAAATTGCGAATTATTGATGCTTCTTTTATTTGGACGGAGCCACATTCTAAAAGGTTAAAAGTTAAAGTGACTATACAAAAAGAAGTATTTGACAAAGCTATACTTCAACAATCTTTTGTTGCTGAATTTGTTATTGCTAATCAGGTTTTTCTTTTTTAATTTTTAGAGTTAAAACTTAAGTCGATGGGAATATTTTTAGTTGACTTTAAAATTCCTATTAAAATTCTTGACAAAAATTAGAACAAAAATTAAAGAATATTTTTTATTCTCTTTTTAGATGTGTGATGACTGTCATCGTCATGAAGCAAAATCCTATTGGCGTGCATGTGTACAAGTAAATATTTAAATTTATTTTCTTTTTAAATTTAAATACAAAAAGGTTCGTCAACGTTGTGATTACAAAAAAACACTTTTTTATCTTGAACAACTTTTACTTAAAAACGGAGCACACTCGAAATGTAGCAGTATTAAACCTGTTTTGACTGGAATTGATTTTTATTTTCCAAGACAACAAGAAGCACGTAAAATGGTTGATTTTGTTACTGCTGTTTTACCAGCTAAATTTCAACATTCTCAGGTTTCTATTTTTTAAATTTTTTCCTTCAAAATTATCTTAAATATCAGACAGAATTTTGCTAAAATTTTAAACCTATGCCAAACGGTCTTGCGCCATATAGGTCGTGCCAAACTGTCTTACGCACCAAATAGTTCCATGCCCTATCTAAAGAATTGTTGGTAATAGTGTCGTTTCCATTTTTCCTCACCAAGTTTTTCCTATAATTTGTATAGAATGAACCCATTTTCTCCTTCCATCACATTTGCCTTTCTTTCTTTCTAAAGAACTGAATAAAAAATAATCATTTTTGATGGTTTGTAGGCAGAGTAAAACAATTGTGAGGGAAGAAGGATAAGTCTTACCATTTTGTACAAATTATAGAAAAAAATTTAGTAAGGAAAAAAGGGGGACTGGAAACGACTCTATTACCGAATTGTTTATCTCCTTATTTAATTTTTCAATTCTTCTAGCAACTTGTTACCCACGATGTTCGAAACAATTTTTATGACTACAAACACACTTATTGTGTTGATATTGTTCCAATAATTAAAGATTCTCTTATTTGTTTGCCAAAACATTTGGGACGTCAATTTTCTTCAATTGGTCAATTTGTTGTTTGTTTAAGGGTTACAGAAGTTGTTACTTTAATTAATACACAAACACTTCAATTATTTGAATTAAATTCGTAAATATTTTTTTGAAAATTAATTTTTTTATTTAAAGAAATATTTATTGGAAAGAACCTTTTGGAATGCTTATTCAACCAAAAATGTTAACTGAATTTTATGTTCTTGAAGTAGAAGAAATTGAAGATTCTGATCAATTAATTCCTTTAGGGCATATTTCGAAAAGACATAAATTGGCTGATGTTTGGGTTGTTAAAAGGTTTTTTTTATTGGAATCAAATAATATAAAAAAATTTTTTAGTGATCAAGTTGGACAATCAAATGCTAATTCTATTTGTTGTAGAACACATTTGGGACATTTACTTAATCCTGGAGATTCTGTTATGGGTAAATATTTTTTTTCGAAAATTTTAATCTTTTTTTCATTCCTCTGGTTTGAGAATAATTAAAAATTAGTTTATTTTTAAAGGTTATAATATTTGGCAAAGTAATTTAAATGACCGGATTTTTGATTTAGTAAAAGAAGAAAAGGTGCCTGATGTGGTTAGTAATTATACCTATAAATAAGTTAATTTAATTAAAAGGTTTTGGTTAGAAAAGTTTATGACAGAACAAGAAGAGCACGTAAACGTCAATGGAAATTAAAAAGAATTTTGGATAATGTTGAGTCTGAAAGTGTTGAGAGGGAATTTGCTGTAAATTTATTTTTCCTTTTTTTAAATATTTTGCATCAAACCTTTCCCCTGCTATCAATTAATTTATTTTAATTAAAAGGTTAATTAATTAATTAGTTAATTAATTAGTTAATTTTAATTATTTTAATTTAAAAAAATTTTTTTAATTTTACACCAAACATTTCCCCTCTGTCAATTAATTATCGAAATTTATATCAATTTACAAAGTCCCATGATATAAAATAATGAAATTATTTTTAAAGGAATTTATGGAAGACGTAGAGGAGGATGCCAAACTTCGAGAAAAAATAAATATTTATAAAAAATCAAGAAAAGGAGGACAACCATCAATTTCAACAATGGACGATGGTGAAAATGATGAAATTGATGGGCCAACATTGGAAGAAATGTTGGAAGATTTAGATATTGATGGGGATGGAAACAATGATATCGATATGGATAATAAATAAATTAAATTGTAATATTATTTTGTTGAATTTTTTATAAAGAATTTAAAGAGAATAAAAAAATTTTTAAAAATATTTGTATTATTTTTTGTTGTTATTTTCAATTAATTATTTTTTAATATTTATTTTTTGTCAGTATATTTAATATTTTTAGTTTTTTTAATTAAAAATGGATTTGGATATTGATACAGAAAAACTTCAAAAATTAACTCCAGAGGAGAGAGACAAGGTTTTAAAAACATTAAAATATTCAAAAAAATAATTTAAGGCAATAAGTACATTACGTCAACAAGCTATTTTGCTTAATCTTCAAAATCTGGTTTCGGAAGTTGCTGATAAATGTACTCGTAAATGCATTACGGCGCCTGGAACTAGTTTAAGTAATGGGGAAAAACAAGTTGGAAATACTTTTTTATCTTAAAAAATAATAATTTATTTTTAAGTGTCTCCAACGTTGTATGGACCGATTTATTGAAAGCCACAATTTGGTATTGAAAATTGGAAAATAAATTTAAAAAAATATTTTTTAATTAAAGGTTTCAAAGACTTGGTTGAATGTGCAATCATCACGTTCAAGTGGTGCAGGAATGATGTTTAATTCAGAATCGCCTTCATTTTCGTAAATTTTTGAGATTACTTAACAATAAATTGTTTTGAATTTTTAAATAAATTGTTAAAGTTGAGGAAATTAAAATAAAATAAAACTTAAATTTTTTTTCATACTTTTAATGAGTAAAGGGGGCATTACTGTGGGGATTTTCCCCGCCCTAAATTATTTTAAAAATGTCATTGTATAGTAAATGTATTTTGGTTATTTAAAAGTTTTCTACATAAAAAAGTAATGTAGCTTAATTTGAATAATTGGCTCTACTCCAGTTTATGCGTCCAATGAAAGTTTATGCGTCCTATAAAAAGAAAATTGGATTTTTCTTGGTATTGCACAGTTGGGGTATGGGTCCACAACATTTCTTCATGTTCGGGACCTACGTCCACTGGTTCTGGGACCATTCCTTACCCGACCCCTCGAAATTTCTGAAAGTTATAATCGTTTTTCTGAAATTTTAAAAAATTGGCTGTAACTTTAAAAAATTTCTAGGTATAGAAGAAGGAATGGTTCAGACCCAGTGGACGTAGGTCCCGAACATGAAGAAATGTTGTGGACCCATACCCCAACTGTGCAATACCAAGAAAAATCCAATTTTCTTTTTATTGGACGCATAAACTTTCATTGGACGCATAAACTGGAGTAGAGCCGAATAATTAATCTTTCCTCCCTTAAGTATTCTTTTGTTAAGTATTTCGTTAGTATATTTATTGTAATTAACATTTATTAACACAATTAATTTATTACAAAATATACATATTTAATTAAAATAAAAATATTTTTCCTAAAGACACTAAATTGAATAAAGAAATTATTACAGAGAAAAAACATTAAATAATAAATTACAAAAAAATATATTTTTTTATTTTTCAACAAACATTTTTATTTCTTCGTTTGTTTTTGTAAACATAAATTAATTAATCGCCTAAAAAATAAATAAAAATATATTTGTATATTTTTTTTACCTTAATTGTCCAGATTCATGTAATTCAAAAAGTTCTGTGCCTCCACCAATATATTGTCCACAAACAAAAATATAGGGGAAAGTAATTGCCTTTTTAAATAATTTTTTTAAATTTAAACTAAAATTAAAATTACTCCAGTTAAATATTGTAATTGAATTTGTAATTGTTGTTGCCAAACTTCATTTCCAGAAAGTTCTAAATAATGGGCTCTAACATCTGGGTAATGAATTGCAAGTAAATGTTTTGCTCTTTGACAGGGAATACAATCAGCCAAAGTATATATCATTACTCTTAATTAATTTTGTTTTAAAAGAATTTCCAAAAAAAATTAAATGTTTATTTTCTATGAAAACACGTTCTTATAGAGAGGAATTAATAAATGAGAGAGATATACAGTGCTGGGTGTAAAATGTTTGGGGCTTTGTCTCAGACCACGTTTCTTAACTTTTTCTAGCTTCATTTTAAAAATTAAGTACCAACTCCTGCAACTCCCTAAGTCACGCTTAAAACTGGAGTTATTTAAAGAAAAAACTAACGGATATGTATTTATTTGTTTCTGTAAATAATTTAAATAACTTCCATCAGGCATTCCTCCACTTTGTTGCCCTCCTATATATTGTCCATAACCAGAATATGAAGATCCTTGTTGAAAAGCCTAAAAAAGTAAAAACAAAAGAAATTAAAATTTGCATACTTGTGGTTGTTGATGAAAAGAAATTGAAGGCCCTGAGGGGGAGGAGGAGGAAGAGGAGGGTGTTTGTTGTTGTTGAGAAGAAGAGGAAGAAGAAATACTTTCACTAATTTGTTTATTTTCTATATTTTTATTTATTTGTTGTTGTTGTTGGATTCCACTTCCATAAGAAGAAGTTGGGACAGACCAAGTCTGAAAATCTGGTCCTTCTGGGGACATCCAATAAATACCAACACCTCCCCCTTCTTTGGGAACTTCTCTTTTTTTAACATTTTTGTAAATATTTTCTGTTAAATCCTTTAACAAAAATATAATTTTTAAAAATATTCTCTAAAAAAATTTCTTTGCCTCCTTCGAAACAGCATCCATTGGAACAATTTCAAATTGTGGGGCAAATTGTGTTTTAATAGATTCTTCGTCTATTCGATGATTTTTATTAAAAGTAAAAATTTTTGTAGGTTTTTGTAATAAAAACAATAAAATAATTAGAAAAAATATATTAGACATTTTTCTAAGAAAAATAAATATTTTTTTAAAAATAAATTTAAATAATTAAATATTTATTTAAAAAGACAATCTCTTTTTGAAGGCATTTTTCTATAAAATTTTCTCGAAGATTTTTTTTATTTTGTACGTTTATATTCTTCTTCTTATTTTTCTTCTAGTAAAAAAAATAATTTTTTCTCAATCTTTTCTTTGTCCAAATATCCATTGTTTTATTTATCTACACGCGCAAAAATTCGTTGTTTTAGTTAATTGTTGTTGACAATAAAAAAAGAGAAAATAAAAACAATTGAATATTCTCTCCCTCTTTTTTTTTGTTAAAAATACTTGTAATACTAAATAAAATACAAAAGAAGAGACAAGAAGGAAAAAATTTTTAAAAATAAAAATTTTATTTTATAAAAACAATTAAATTAGACACTAAATATATATCACAAGATAAGTACGAAACTCGATCAGTTTTTGAAAATCTGATCTGTAACTCGAATCATTTCCGTATATACGTATTAGAGAGAAAGATTAATTCTGGCTTCTTGTCTATCTGAAATTCTCAAAATTTTGTCTGTTATTAGGTGGGGGAGGTTAACTAAAGAAAAATGGCAACTCTAACAACTTACAAACAAAAATATTTTTTTTTCAAAATTTTAGACTAAATAATTACAACGCGATATAAAATGTAAAAATCTAACATTTTATCAAACATTTTACTAAATCCCAAAAAATAATTTGTTTTAAACTAAATAAGATTTGATTTATTAAACATTTAAACTTTATATGAAAATTGTTTTTATTTGTTTAATAAAACACAAAATAATTCTTTTTTCTTTCCACCCATAACAAATTTAAATCAAAGACAACCAATAATCCAAAATTTAAAACACATTGGATGCCATATAATAATTTAATTTTTATTTATTTTCCAAGGTCGATCTTCTACCGAACCTACTTCCAAGAATCTCTTTATTATAAAGTTTACACTTGCAGGGCAAGTATTTCGTACGCTACGAGCAATATCCGCTTCTTTCATCTTATCATAAAAATACATTTTAATTATTTTAGCTCTCTTCTTTCTCTCCTTTAAATTATTTTATATTATCAAAATAACTACTTAATTACCTCATCATCAATTGTTCTTGTTTTAGAAAACCCTTTATTTTCCATATTTTCATATTTAAATATATCAACACCAGAATATAAAAGATTTTCCTCAATTGACAAAACTTTCACAGTTTCTAAATCTACTTTATCTTCAATATATTCTTTGATTATTTTAAAAAATTTTCCTTCAACAATTTCTTCATTAATCATATTTATTTTTAAACAATTATTTAAATTATTTACACATTTTTTAATTTTAGTTAAAATTATTTTTATTTGTTTTTCATATTTATAATTAAAATATCCCAATTTTTGTGATAACGGTTTGTATAATTCCAAAAAAACTCGAAAAATTAATAAAATATTTAAACGACTAAAAATAATATTTTTGGACGAAGTGTCATCATCTTCACTCAATTCAACTGAAAAATTACTAATATTTATAATTAATTTAAAAATTATTAAAAGGCTAGCACAATAGTATATACTCTATTAATTACCCTCCCTCAAATAATTACCCCTCCTCTATTAGTTACCCCTTCCAACGAAAGGTTGAAACACTAATTACTCTCTTAAAATTAGTTATAATAAGCCTTCCTAAAATAACCTCTATTAATTACCCCGCCTCTATCAATTACCCTCTCCAGAGAGATCGAAACAATAATTACCCAGGGTAATCAATAGAGTAATTAATTGAGTTTTTATATATTAATTTACCTACCTAAATCTAATATTTTATTACTTTCTTCCTCCAAAATTTCAAATAAATTTTTTTCTTCATTTTCATTTATTGCATTAAATTTATTATATTTTTCTTTCAATATATTTAATATTTTTAAATTATTTGTATTATTTTTTTGATAAAAAAAACGTATAATATTATAATATCTTTCATTAAAATAAAGTGTTGTTACTTTAATAATATTTACAATTTCCACAAAAAGCCAATTTGCTTCTCTAACACCCAAACGGAAAATAAATTTTTCTAAAAATTTAAATTTTTAAAATTTCTTCTAAAATAAATTAGAATCAAGGTCTCCATGTCTTTTTTAACTCGTCTTTTATGAACACAAAATCCAAAACTTGCGAATTTTTAAAAACCTGACTAGAAACTCTGATTTTTCCCTCATGGAATGCTAATTTGAAACGTATAGTTCCAATTTTTCGATCTTCTCGTAGGGTGTGCTTCAATTAGAGACTGCTTTTATTTTTCAATCTTTTTCAATTTTTTAAAGAAAATTTGGCGCCTGCCTAATTTATGCGTTCTGTGAACTTTTATTTTTACTTTTTTTTTAAATTGGACCATGAATTTAATAAAAGTTCATTAAAACTAGAACAGAGCCGAAAAGTCCCCGGAAACCTATTCAGACAAATAATATGTCATTCGAAAGAGCACAGCGAGCTGAGTCAAACGACACCAAAATTAGGCCCACTCATCTATGGACCGAAATAGAAGCCGCTGAAAACTGAAAAACCACCGGGGGACCAAGCTGATTTTTGGGGTAAGAAATTCGATTAAACGAATGTTAGCTCCTTCGAATACCAGCAGTCGGTATCGGTTTCAGGTCCGGTATAATTATTTCCAAACCCCGATTCTGATTTTATTTGATACCGGACAACTCTACTACATATGAACTACATAAATGTAGACGTTAAAAATGATGATGTGCTTTTTAGCGGTATACTAGGGGCGACTTTTATTGGAAATTGTGCTTTTATTTTTCGATTCTCTCGTAGGGTGTGCTTCTATTAGGGAATCTAAAACCTTTTAATATTATATTATAATTTTCTTTTATTTCAGATTTTAAAATTAATTTTTTGTCAAAATATTCTCCTGGCATTTTTTCCATTAAATAAAATTTTCTTAATTTTAAATTAATTTCCTGCCATATATTTTCTTTTTTTATTTTATTATAAAAATTTATTTTTTCATTAATTTGTTCTATCTGATTTTCTTTTATATTTAATTTTGTTGGAATATAATTTGGTAAAATTGATATTTTATATTCTCCATCAATATATTCATAATTATTTATTGAAAATAAATTTCGACAAATTTTCTTAAAAAACATTTTTAAAAGTGCCGAAGGGGAAATTTTTTGGCCTTGTCCATACACTATATAAAAAATAAATTCCCTATTTCGGAAATTTTATTGGTACAATAATGGGAGTGAGATTAGAACAAGTTCAGACAATGAAAAAATTAAAACATTACTGTGTGGCAAAAGCTTCAAAAAATCTTGACTCAAGATTTATGAGGTTCTTTCGGTTTTGGATATTGAAAAATAGAAGTATATATGTACATGTATGGTAATTAATTAATTAAAAATATATTTATTAAATAAAATACATATTTACTTGATTTTTAGCTAAAGGAATTATTTCTAACAAAATTGGATTATTTAAAATCTCAATACAAAATTCAGCATTTAAATATTTTTCATTTTTTCCAATAATTTCTCCTTTTTTATTAAAAATATGAAGATTTCTTTTAATATTTTCAAATAAATATTTTTTATTTTTTTCTAATTCAATTCCTTCTTTTTTAATATTTTCTTCCTCAAATTTATATAAAATAAAACATTTAAAATTTTGTTGATTAAAATTTAAATGGGAATTAAATGAACGATTTTGAAGATAATTTTCATTAATTTCCAATTTAATATCAATTGACAAACAAAAAGAAGAAATAAATAAATTTAATAAAAATTGTTTAATCATTTTAAATAAATAAATATTCTTTTAAATTTTAATAATTTATTTAATAATTAATTTGACTGGCTAAACTTTCGTTCATAAACACGTCGAAAAACATGTTTTTCTAATGTAATAAAATGGTCGAGTCCAAATATCACAATAAAAGTGCTTCGGCAAGTATATTTTTCTAGGATTTTCAGACCTCTGGAAATTAAAATTTCAATACAAAATTCAGCATATTTTCATTTAATTATAAACCATGAAAATTTTAGGTTGTAGGTTCGGACCCGCGTGGGAAACACTTTTATTGGGATATTCGAATTCAACACATTTTATTACATTAGAAAAACATATTTCTCGATGTTTTTATGAGCGAAGGCCTTCCTTACACATTAATTTAATATATAAATAATCTCGTTAATGTTTAAATTTCCATGTAATTTTTAAAATTAAAAATATACATATTAATTAATTAATTTTATTCTCATTTAATTTTAAAAATTTTAATATTAAATATAAAGAAATAAAAAAATTATCTAATGATTTTTAAATTAAGCATTCAATCAATTTTGCAATGTTGGCAAGTAGTATAAATTAATGCACTTTTATTTTTAATCTACTGTATTTCTCTAAATAACTTCATAAAGGGGGGGGGCTATTTTAGATTCGGTTCGGTTTGAAACGGGAAGATATTGGGTATTTTTTCTTTTCCTTCATCCTTTGGAGTTGAATAAATTTATTATTATTTTTTAGAAAACTGGGAACGGGAAACGGAAAATTGTAGCAGAAGAAACACAGTCGGGACCATGGATGATCGAAATAAAAAATTTTTTAATTCGAATCGAAACAAAATAAAAATTAAAATGTCAAGATCAAAGCTGAGCGTCATGGAAATTGGCGTCCATTTTTGGCCGATTTTTGGTGTTATGCGTTTGGCTTGTTTTAAAAAATTTAAATTGGCATTTGCCTTTTGGCATTGCGCGCGATGTTTTGAGCTTTTTTCGTTGTGTCGATATTTTAAGAAGTCGGTGTTTTGTATAGGAGCCAATTGTGGATGAGGGGCAACTCATGGAATTCCAAATCTCGGAACAGACATTTATTAAATCACGAAGCAATCAAATCACGGCCAATTATCAGAATAGTGAAAAAAATCTGCATTGAAAAAATTCATATTTTTTCTTGGACCGTGTGTTGGTCGTTCTATGATTTGGTAAGACTTTGACTTGTCCGACATTGATTTGCCGTTCCTTGACTTGTCTGTTCCTTGAGTTAGCCCGACACGATTATTTTATCTTTTTTTAATTTATTTTTAGATATTTAATTTTTAAATTAAATAATGAGTGGTGGTATTTATGGGGGAGGTTTGTGTCTTTTTTTGTTAATTTTTATATTAATTTAGATGATGTTGGGGCTATTGTTTTTGATTCTGGTTCACATAGGTTTTTTTAAATCGGCTTTTTTAAATTATATTTAATTTAGTTTTCGAGTTGGCTTTGGAGGAGAGGAAATTCCGAAGGTTTAAATTAAATTTTAATTTAAGATGTGCTTTAGGTTAAGCTAATTTTGAAAAATAAACTTCGCCTCCAGCAAAGTTTATTTATGTGTTTAATTAACTATTCAGTCATTTTTTTGAATATCAGAAGATTTTCTATGAAATTTTGGAATATTTTTAGAAATTAAAAAATTTATTCAAGTTTGAAATTCCTGCTCGTGTTGGTGTTCGTGAAGTAATTGAATCAGCTACGGATGAAACAATTGAAGAAGTAGCTTCTGGAAGAAAAGGAATTAATACAACAAAAAAGAAATTTGAATATTTTATTGGAACTTCTCAAATAAATGTTCCGAGAAATGAAACAGAAATTGTTTCTTATATGAATGATGGAATGAGTTTATTTATATTTTTTTTTAAAATTAATTTTAAATATTTTTTTTATAGTTGAAGATTGGGATATTTTTGAAAAAGTTTTGGATTTTATTTATGACAAATGTTTAATGGCAGGTTGTGTTTATTTTAAATTTATATTGAAAATTTTTGGCTATTTTTCGGTTTTGTGATCCCGACGAAAAATAAATTTGTCCAGAAAGCGGAGAAAAGAAAATTACCCTATAAAATATTCTTACAAGATTTTAATTTATTTTTCGTTGGGACCACAAAACCGAAGGATTGCCAAAATTTTCTAAAATATTATCTTTAATTTCCGTAAATATTTTCGAATATTTTAAAAGACTTAAAAATCAAGAAAAATATTTTTAATTGTTGACAGACAAATAAAATTATCTTTTGCTCAACTTTCTCAACATCTTTCATTGAAAAATAATTAATTTAATTAATTATTTTTATTTTTTTAAAGAAAGTCAACATCATTCTGCGCTTTTTACTGAACCGCCGGTTATAATTTTTAAAATTTAATAAATTAAAATTATATCTAGTGGAACAAAAAAGATAAAAGAGAAAAATTGGCAGAATTAATATTTGAAAAATATAATGTTCCGGCATTTTATTTATTTAAAAATGCAGCTTTGGCAGCGTAAATAATTTTCGATTTTTTTTAATTTAAAAATTTTTTTGTTTAAAGTTTTGCGAGTGGGAGAACTGCTGGTTTAGTTGTTGATAGTGGGGCAACACATACTTCTGCAATTCCAGTTTATGATGGACATTGTATTACTAACGGTTTTTAATTTAAAAAATATTTAATTAATTATTTAAAAAAATTAAAGCTGTTGTCCGTTCTCCCGTTGGAGGTGATTTTTTGGTAGAACAATGTAGAAAAATGTTGATAAAAGAAAATGTTGAATTAGTTCCTTACTACAAAGTTGCTTCGAAGGTTTAAAAAATATATTTTTTAATAAAGTTGGATTTAATTATGTATAAGAAGATACTCTTTTATTAATGAAAGGGGATGCCTTACATGAGAGGAATATTTCTTACACAGCTCTCTCCCTCTCTTTCCCAATAACCAAAACGAATTTAAAAATGTATTTTAATCTGTCTTTAATTCTGAAAATATTTTATAGTTAAAAATCTGACTTTATGAAATAAATAATAAAAATAATTTTTTTATAGAAAGAAGTAAAAGAAGGCGAAGAACCCATTTGGACTTCACGTAAACTCCCTCCATTAATAACTAAAAGTTATGAGAAATTTATGGAAGATGTTTGTTGTTTTTTATTTTTAAAATTAAAAAAAATTTTTTTTAAGCAATTAGTTGAAGATTTAATTCATTCAACAATGCAACTTTGTGAAACGCCTTTGGATGTTGAATTTATGGATAAATTGCCTGCTGTTAGTTTTGGATTTCCATGTAAATATTTTTTTAAATAAATTATTTTGATTTTTAATTTTAATTAGGTGGGTATTTGAGAGATTTTCATGCAGAAAGGGCAAAAATTCCAGAAGCTCTTTTTGATTTAAAACACGCAGATTTAAGTGAAGAAGAGCGAGCTTCACTAATAAATGTTGCACAAATTGCTTTAATGTCTTGTGGAATGTGTGATGTTGAAATACGTCCAGTAAGGAATTTTTAATTTAATAGTAGATATTCTTCTTTTATTTAAGTCATTGTATAGCAATTTAATGGTTACTGGTGGAAATTCTCTTATAATGGGATTTACAGACAGATTAAATCACGATTTAGCTCAGAAATGTTTGAGTGTAAGTTTTTCTTAATTTTGAAGAAATATCCTTAAACTTTAGACACAAAAAATTCGAGTCTCCTCTGCGCCAACAACAGCTGAAAGACGTTTTGGGGCTTGGATAGGGGGATCAATCGTCTCGTCACTGGGAACATTTCAACAGTTGTGGATTTCAAAAGGAGAATATGAGGAAAGTGGCCGTCAAATTGTTGAAAGGAAATGCCCATAAATTTTTGAATTTTCTCCTATTTATTTGTAAATTATTTTTTATTTGTAATCTCAAAATAAACTTTCTTTTACATTAGACAAAAATTGATAGAAATATTTTTAAAATAATTACAAAAAATATATAATAACACAAATGATTGAAAGAAAAGATAGAGAATATTTTAAATATTTTAATTATTATTTAGTAATTATTTTCAAATTCTCACATAAAGATATCAGAATTCCAAAAACTCGCTAAAAAATTAAAAATCGCTTTAAGGTAAACAAAAGAAAGAAGGAAAAATAGCAAAGGAAACAATTTTTAACAAAAAATAGTTAAACAATTTCTGCTGGGCGAGTTGGCTGTCCATTTTGAGGGACAGTTGGTTTTGCCTGTTGTTGTCTCTTCAACATCTAAAATATATTTTAAATTTATTTTTCAAAATTAAAAAAAACAAACAGAAAAGAATGCCCATTTTGTAAAATAATTTGTCATTTCTTGTGTATTATTCCATTTACAACGCAAATATCCATATAAATTAGTTAATGTCATTCCAGCCCCAATTGTTGCAATCATCATCCATTGCCATTGTAATGTGAGAAAAGCAGTACATACTAAAAGAACCCAAAAAAGTGGTACTGTGACTAGAGCAGCCCAAAATATTTGTCGTTCAAATGGATCATATTTATCTGGCTGCTAAAAATTAAGAGGTTTTCTTTCCGTATTAAATTTAGAATTTAACGCTAACCAGAACAAATGTTCAAAATTAGAAATAAACTTTTCCTCAATAATTAGACAAAAACCTGAGTAATTTCAAATCGCCAATGGTTTTTCCCTTCAGAATCAACCAAATTCCACCAACGATGGCCAACAAGATATCTTCCAGTTATATTCTTGACAGTCCAAAGGTCAACGGAATGAAAGAATAACTAAAGAAAATAATTTTTAAAAATAAAATACAAAATTTACCAAAACTAAGAATTGGATTATAAAAGAAGTCGAGAAGAAATTTGCGAGAACATAAAAAACAATTGCCCCAAAACGAAAGCCCAAATGAGCCAAAACAATGAATGGATGCCTAAACAAACAAATTTACAAAAAATTTTAAGATTTCCATACTTCAAAGAGCCAACAAGCGGTCGAGATTCTCCAAAATCCATTTTAGCGTCAAAATTATGGGCCATACAAAAGAAAATAAAAATCTTAAATTATTTAAAAATTTTGTCAATTTAACCAATAAGATAAAGAAGTAACTTTTAAGTAAAATATGTATATCCTTCAACCCATTTAATTTTTTATTCAAGAGCTAATAAAAGTTAAATTATAGACAGAAAATTACATAAATAAGTTGAAAATTAAAATGAATACATTTTCGCTCATTTCCTTCAGATGATAAATACAACCAAAGACAGTTTTTACCTTAGAGGATGATACATAATGGGTATTTAAAAAGAAAAATAATAATAGCAAAGACAGATTTTTAAAAATACGTACTGATGTTTTTTCGATATCTTTAAATAATAAATTATTTGATTCTTAATAATTTTAAAATAAAGAATATTTTTAGATATTTCATCTTAAATCTACTTAAAAATATTCATATTAAAATGTTTATTATTTACTATTAAAAACATCAAAATCGCGCTTAGCATTCGAATCAAACAATATTTTCTGTAGTTAAAAGTCGAACTTCAGCATCCAATATATATTTGTTCAATCCATGTGTGCCAATTGCTCCATTCAATGAAGTCAAAAACGAACTTTCAGAGACTGGTCGGTTTCGTGCCGCTTCAAATAGGAATGCCTTACTCCACGGGCAGAGTTTTTGACCAACCGCAAATACCTTTAAAATAGAATTATTAGGAGATATTTGAATGATTCATAAATGGCTTCGAAAACAATATCATTCTCCCTTTAATATTCGAAACGAGTTGAGCAATTAAAATTCAAAGTATCTATCAGTTACCTCATCAATTTTTTCAAAAGAAATGCTTTCTCTCCCATCAATCATTATTTTCATCAAAATGAACCAAATATAATCATCAGGAATTAGATTATCACTAAAAAAATAAAAACACGAAATGAAAATAATTATTAAATCAATTTACCTATGTTTTTCTGCAATTTGTTTACATATACCAATAAAACGTTTAAACATTGTTGTAACATCCTTAGAAGTCCAACTAACTGTGTCCCCAGATGCTCTCAAAAACTCAGCAAATTTTGCTCGCTCAACATATAGACGACCACAATCACGTATTAAACGAGTTAATTCATCTTTTAATATTTTAATAAAAATTATTTTAAATAAAAACAACAACCTCCATTAACATTCTTTGAAAGAAACTTTCGCTGGTATAAACTGTTATTCACATCCAAAAGCGTCTTCAAAAGGAAAACACTATGCGGGAAACGAAAAACTTGTTTCTCAACTAATTGAATCAAATTTCGAGGAGTACATTCTAAACCTTTACAAGTATGAGTGATATGCTAAAAGACAAAAATCATACTTTAAAATATAACTGCGGAAAAAAACCTTCAAAACGGCAACTCGAACTTCTTGAACAGCTGGGGAATCACTCAATGATTTAGCCAAAGATGAAGTAAAAAGAGGCTTATCTTCTTGGAAAAATTTGTAGCGTTGAGCATTAGAACGGAATGGATATTCATAACAGAATAATGCAGCCAATTCAAAAATAAATTCATATTCATTTCCAATCCACCGAAATTTCAGGTCATCAAGTTCTCTTGGCGCCTCTCTTAAGAGCATACGTCTGACCCTTTCGCGCGCTGCATCAATATTAGTAGTATGACCTTCAACCTGAAAATAATTTTTTTAAATAAAGTTAAAAGATAATAAGAACGCATGTTTTAAATAAATGTTTATCTGCTACAGCCAAAAAAATTAGATATACTGTAATAAAACAAACCGGAGAAATTTTTCCTGTCAGCCAAATGCTCAAAAGTAACTCCTTTTTTGTTTGTATTCGCACAGTTGCAGCTCCAGAAATTTTAACGTTTTTAACCTTCGTATAGCAATTCTCTTCATCCGAAAATGGCAAGTTGCGAACAAGAAAAATAAGAAGGCGAAGATAAATTAAATAAGTTCTCTTTTTCGAGATTGGATCATTAGTAGAAGGAATTTTATCAGCAAATTCCCAGATTGATTGCCCATGCATGTCTAAGTTTTCATAAAGTACTTTAATACAACATTCAAGAGGAAAATTATCATCAGCGTTCTCTTTGAGTAAAATGAGCTAAAATATATGAAAAAAATCAAAGTAAGCAAAAACTACTAATAATAAAGCTTACCTCCTCAAAACTAACCATCAAAACAGGAAGCACAATGTCTCCAGTAACATTTTCACCAGACTGACGTTTCTCATTATGAAAAGATCGAACGAGCATTTTGAGCTTTCTTGACTTCTCAGCACGGGAAAACGAAGAATTTGATATGCTTAATAGAAAATTTTGCTTTAAAAGAATTTAAAAATTTTACTTTGATACACGAGCTGGATAAATCCGATGCATATCCATTCGTTTCGAATCAGCCATTAAATTGATAAAATTGGCAATAAAATTAGGAAAACGCTCGAGTTTCAATGTACTTGGATTATATGAAGGAAAAAGTTTTCGTGAAAAAGATCGTAAGATATCTCCTTGTGAATTTAAAGTCTGAAAATTCAAAACAATATTAAATTATATCAATATTTAAAATATATTACCACTCCTGGGACAAAAATGCCGAACAAATGCAATAATTTAAAAATTAATTCACGAGCTATATCATCATTATCTATAGGAAAAAGGATTGGCCGAAGATCGTCGAAAGAAACATAACGGGAATCATACTTAAGTTAAAAATGTTTTTAATATTAAAGGGTAAATTGGGCTAACACTAAAAAGTAAAAATAACCTCATATAAATCTTTTCCTTCCTCGTGTTTAATGCGAACCGGCTCCCAATAATACTAAAATTGCAAAATGAATAAACACTAAATATTTGTAATACCCGTGCTCGCAATTTATCTAAACGTCTACGAGATTCTATAAACGAAACAGACTGCCTTTTCAAATCCTCAACCTCAGCATTTTCCGCAGAACGAATTTGCGTTTTATCACCCTCAATTTTGTCACCTGTAAGAAATTAAAAGTAGGGAAAGATCGAAATCAAAACCCCACTTTCACAACTCGTATAATCAACTTTTCGATCGTGATCCTCGTATTCCATTGGCTCGATATTGCACCAACCGCTAGCATCCAGGTCTCCAATTCGTAAAAATCCACTGTCCCAAAAAATGCGGAAACTTCTTAACATGTCCTCCCATGCTTTTCCAGACTTTTTATCACAATTGTCGCTATTAAAATCCTCATTCATATCATTGACTGGATTAAAGAAGTGGAATTCGGCCAACGCTTGCAACATCACAACTGCCTTATATTTAAAAATATTACTTTAAGTAACTATAAAAATACTCGATCAATAAATCCAGTTGATATGAGAAGAGCACAATAGGCAACAAGCAGATCGACGAGAAACTCGTCAGTCCCCTCCATTGGTGGATGGCTACGAATAATTCCAAGCTTGATTTGAACAAGTTTTTCAATGCATTTGGAAATTGAACCAAGCTTAAAATAAAAAGTGAAAAGAATAAAAATAATAAAACCATTCTCTTCAAAGAAAAAACTGTACGATCATTCATTCTCATTTTTAAGTTATCCTTCCACATATTTAGATTGTTTATGAAGCGATTTTCACAGCGAAGCCATTCTTTCTTAACTTCATCAGAAGTACGGCCCAAATATCCTTCCATCACTTTAAGCTTCTTAATTTGAATCTCAGGGCTTGTTTGGTTAAATCCTGTAGCACGACGAATAATTTCCATAACACGTTCATAGTAGGCCTTTTCATTTTGGATAGGTGCATTCGGATCGCCACATTCATTTTTGGCGTGGTAAGGCCTCTTAAACAAAAATCACATAAGAAGTAATAAGAAAAATTGGCAATCCTAAATTCTGACCCTTCTTTCCCAAAAATGTATATAATGGTTGGCCAAAAAATTTTCAACAAATTAGCCTTACAGTTTTGTTACGCACTTATTAAAAGAAAATCAACCTGAAGATCAATAAACTCCAACCAAGATTTCACATCGTGGCGATCTATATTTACAGAATTTTGCAAGACAGAAAATTGTGCATCAATGTCAAATTGAGCAGCTTCCGCATGACTTACTTCTTGGCTGATTCGGAAGTGACCAAAGTCGTTTATATCGATTTTATTGAGAAGTTCTTGATCAAGCACTGGGCCGACAGAAGCCTAAAATAATACTATAAAAGATTTACGTTTTAAAGACAAACCCCTTCATCATCTTTCTTGCGCGGTTGGTGTGATAATGTCACAAAATTAGAAAAAGAGCCATCCGTATTACGTCGAAAGAAGCGCTCAACAGGAAGTCGATTCCAATTAAAAATATGAATTTCAGCGTAGCATTTTTCGTCAGCGGAAGCCAAAAATTCCATTGGCTTATAAAGAAGAGACGCAAGTGTTTCAGAAACAGCACGAATTTCGTTCAATGAAGTATTATTCATAGGAAAAACACCTCGATAATCAGCAATTTCACTTCTATAGGGCTGTTCGTATTGAAGATTAGCAAGATCTGAACGGCGATCTACAACCATATGTGACGGAGTATAAACATATTCGTTTCTGCGTAAGAGACGCCATGGATTGCGTGATGAGTCGAAGGCCTAAATTAAAATAATAGGAACTTATATGATTTAGGTCAGGGTTCGGATTCGTACTTATTTTGGATTAACGTTGATTGATGACGAAAGGAGGAAAAAGGGCTATGCTTAAAAAAGTACCTAACCCATATACCTATTTTCCAAATATCCTTTTTTTATATTTTCCATATATTTTCCAATAACCGTTTCTGAAGATTGCATAAAACGTCTCGAAGTCCCCTCGGCATACTCATCAGCCTGAGATTCGGAATCTGACTCATGTCTGCGCCTCTTGCGTTTCTTGTGCTTGCTTGCTCCAACGGATTCTCCCTCTGCAGAAGATGAGGAAGATGAACGCCTCTTATGCTTCTTCCTCTTACGTGATTTTTTCTCAACAACAACAACTTGAACCGTAGGTGGCTGTCGATCAAAGGCAGAACTGGATTCACCCTTAAAGGTTACTTTTAAAGATAATAACATTTATTTAAAAAATATATACCATTGGAACAAAATCTGGATCGTCATCATCAAAATTAACTTGCTTTGTACCAACCCAACTTCTTTCTTGCTCAAGTCGAATTCCAGCTTGGATTTGGTTCTGGATATATCGATCAGTCGTTTCTCGTTGTCTTGATTCATAAGCTTGCATCAAATGATCCTGAGTCGTAGTAAACAAATTTAAGTCTGATGGAGGTTCAGAATGACCGAAGCTATCAAAAGGCAAACGCTGGAAACGCTGCCCATCTGGAAAGCCAGAAGACATACTATCCCGTGATCTTCTACTATTTCTATCATTTCGACTATTTCTATCATTTCGACTATTTCTATCATTTCGACCATTTCTATCCTCTCGACTATTTCTACGATACGCAGGGAATATTGACGACATTTTTAGTCTAAATAAATCAGGAAGGTGATTAGTATAATGAAAAACACAATAAAACAATAAAATTGGGACATGCCCAGCTTTGCGACCATAACGACGCAAAGCCATAACTGGCTGTGGCTCTCATTAATTTTGGTCCCGATCTCTTTAGCTTGATGAAAGGAATCGCATAATACTAAATTAACGAAAAAAACCGGGTTCGAGGGTTAAGAAAGTTATGGCTTTGCGCCGTTATGGCCGCGCGCCTACCTGAGCTGTACCCGGTTATAAGAATTTCCCTCATTGACACTCAAACTCTGCGATGAAGTTGGCACTTAACGGAGGCTATTAATTATTGGCACTAAAACTACTGCAAATAAAGTAAAAAAGTTTGGGTGGGGACGATTCAGTACCGCCGATTCAGTACGGCCGATTCAGTATTTGGGCTTTTTGGCCATAACTTTTTGCTCGATCAGTATTGTAGGAATTATCATATATGATTTGGTAGGCCTCGGGGTGCTGCATCTTTTTCATAATTGGACTAACCTGATATGTTCATTCTACAAAAAGTTTTATCACTGATAAACGACGTCACAGGCATAAAAATCTGTTTTCACGCTGTAACTTTTTTGATCATCAGATCAGATCGGGCCAATTATGAAAAAGATGTCGAATCTCGAGACCTTTCGATTGATATGAGAATTATTCGAATCGGTCGAATATCAGGAAAGTTATGACCATATACTGAATCGGCGGCGATTCAGTGATACTGAATCAATTGAGTCCCGGACCCTATAACTTATGAAGGGATGGTCACTTTTTGTTACTCTTAGTACCATTGGATATGGCATTAAATAGGCTACAATATACCAAAAAATCAAAATTCTTGACCGACTGGTAAAAAAGTTATGATCGATAAAGTGCCGAAAAATCAGATTTTTTTTGAAAAAGTTAGCTTTTAGATCATAACTTTTTTATCAATCGGCCAAAAATTCTGATTTTTTGATATTGGTAATTCCAAGGCTGGTCCCCCCCTTTTTTTTCTGTTCCCCTGACCATTTTGAGATTTTTTTCTTGAAATATAATTTACAATATATTATTCGAAAGAGCTGTTCGAGCTGAGTAGAATAATACTATGATCGGATAGATTTGTCGATTTTGAACCAAATTATGAAGCTAAATCCTCGGTGGACATGCTTTTTGTGATGTTGAAAGGGATTAAAACAAATGTCATAACTATGTTTATTTAAGTCGGATTTCGATAAATTTAGTACCGTTCTACTCAGCTTGAAGAGCTCTTTCGAACGATATATAATTTGCCATAAAAGTTTAAAAAATCGAAAAAAATAAAAAGGAAAATAAGGGGGGGGACCAGCCTTGGAATTACCTTGATATTTTGTAGAGCTTTTGATTCTCTATCCAATGATACCAAAAACATTAAAAAGTGACCATTCCTTGCTGAGTTATAGGGCCGGGCTCAGTTGAGCCGGGACTCAGTTGAACTGCTCCGCCATTTAACCGTGTTGTAAAACTTGTCGATTTTCCATATTTTTTACTTTTTGTTGTTTTTATTTAATTATTAAAATACAAATTAACATTTTTTATAGATGGACAAGCTTACTGAAGGTATGCAAGTTGAAATAATAAGGTCGGATGGTCGCGTTCATGGAGCCATTATTTGTCAAATAAACCACAAAACTTCTAGCGTTTCTGTTGAATGGTTTGAAAAGGTTTGCATTTTAGAAGTTTGTATCGCATTTTCAATCTTTAGGGAGAAACAAAAGGAAAAGAAGTTGATTTTAATGCCTTAGTGAAACACAATCCGCTTATTTTTCACACAAAAACGGATCCACCTGAGGTACCTGTTGCTAATGGAGATATTACAAAAGTTGCTACCGCCAAAAAACAAACAAACTCTAATTTGATCGAGCCAAAAACAAAGACTAATAAAAGGTTTTTCAATATTTGTTAGTACAAAATCCAAATAAATTTAGGAATGGAAATGTTGGTCTTTCTCTTCAAGAACCAACTCCCAAAAATAATCGTCAAAAGAGTTTTCCAGTTGCTCCAATTAAAATAAACTTTCACGATCCAGAGCATTTTGAGCAAAAAGAAACAAGAACGTCAAAGCTTGGACAAAATGCAGTTAGTAAAGATACTGGGAATCCTCAACAGACATCAAAAATTCAAGGTTATTATTGCTAGTTATATTAGAGTAGATTTCACTTTTTGTTTCTAACGTCGAGCGGTGTCGAACGTCACCATAATTTATGGACATAGTTTTGAGTCACGACATAAGCCTTTGAAAATTGAAACCCATAGCAAAGACTACGCTCATTTTTGAGTAAAAAATTTGATTATACAAATCATGACTCATTAGATACTAAAGTTGGTACTAATTTAGTTTCCCCCCCCCCCCAGTCAGTTTTTTCGAAAATTATGTAAAAATGGTCAGTCTGAACAACAATTGTAGAACCCATCGAGCTGTGTCGAATGACACCAAAATCAACAAAATCCGACTTGATTTGACCGAAATACAGACCCCTAAAGCACAGGGGCACAAAATCATAAAGACCAAAATCTATACAATTGATAGCTCATTTGAAAGAGCTCGTCGAGCTGAGTCGAATGAGACCAAAATCAACGAAATCCGACTTGATTTGACAAAGTTATGACATAAGTCATCGACTCCGGCAGGTCTAAATAATGTCGTAACTTTGTCAAATCTTGTCCGATTTTGTTGATTTTGGTCTCATTCGACTCAGCTCGACGAGCTCTTTCGAATGAGCTATCATTTGGGTAAACTTTTTTTATTTCAAAAAATCACCCCCATGGTTGTTCAATTTTTAGGGGTCTGTATTTCGGTCAAATCAAGTCGGATTTTGTTGATTTTGGTGTCATTCGACACAGCTCGATGGGTTCTACAATTGTTGTTCAGACTGACCATTTTTAAATAATTTTCGAAAAAACTGACTGGGGGGGGGGGGGGGGGAAACTAAATAAGGGGGGAAACTAAATAAAAAAAAAAAGTTTACAAACTTGACTTAATCGTACAAAGTTAATATAGGTAATTTATTCTAGTTAATAAAATGGCCATTCGAATTTAGATTAGACTCATGAAGGGAAACTAGTCCTTATATTATTCTATTTCATATTTTTGTTTTGCAGACATTGATAAGCTTGTTGTTGGGATGAATGTCAACATTAAGCGTTCTGATGGACGCATCCATGGTGCATTAGTTACACAAATTGCTAGACTCACTGGAATGATTTCTGTTGAATGGTTTGAAAGGGTTTGTATTTTATTTATCTTCATCGATTTTTTTTAAATTAGGGTGAGACAAAAGGAAAGGATATTGAGCTGGCCGCAATTGTTAAGAACAATCCTGAACTGTTTACACCTTCGGGTCTTCATACATCCCGATCTCGTCAATCCATTTCATCATTGAATCACGGTATTTCATTCAATTCTGTTGATTTTTGAAAAGTTCAAATTTAGGACAAACTCAACCTCCAACAACTGCTTCCTCTTCTGCAATTAATACAACTGTTGCCTTTGTTGACAATGATAAGGTTATTGGTGAGCGAAGGTTTGAATTAATTTTTATAATTTTTTAAACATTTAATTTAGACGTACACATGCCATCCCTAATGTCAACAATAAGTCTGATAAGAAAGAAGTTGCAGTACTGGTTGACATTGACGAGGATGTTATTATTAGTTCAGAACCAGTGCATTTTACGGATGGTTTTTTTTATATTTTATGGAATTATAATAAAGATAAAAATTTAAGAGAATCAGCCTAATAACATTCCTGCTTCCTCTGCGGCACAATTATCGAGACGGTCTAAATTACTAACAAATATTGAGGATATGGAGAGGAATCGTGAACAAAGGAGGGTTCAACAGGTTGATTGTCTTGCTTTTATTAAATCAAATTTCTAATTATTTTTCTCTCAACGTTTTTTTATTTCTTAAAATTTGTAAGGATGTGGCACGCAAACAACGAGAACTCCAAATGCAAATCGATCCAGGAAATCCTCATTGGGAGTTTCTTTCCATGATCCGCGATTACCAATCTCAACTTGTCTATCGTCCTCTTCGAATTACAGATCCGGTTTTAGACAACCGAATTTGTGTCTGTGTTCGCAAAAGACCGTTAAGTAAAAAAGAATTGATTGGTAAAGAGGTGGAGGTGGTTACTATTCCAAACAAGGATCGAGTTATTGTACACCAGCCTCAAACAAAAGTTGATTTAACAAAATATCTGGTTAATCAACAATTTAAATTTGACTACACCTTTAATGAAAATTCTTCAAATGAACTGGTTTACAAGTTCGTTTTTATATTTTATTTTACTTTTCTCATTTCATTTTTTTAGATTTAGTGCACAGCCTCTTGTCAGGACTATTTTTCAAAGAGGTTTCGCTACTTGTTTTGCATATGGTCAAACAGGCTCTGGAAAGACACATACAATGGGCGGTATAATTGAGGGAAAACATCTTGATTGTAGTGCTGGCATTTATGCAATGACTGCTAATGATGTCTTTGCTTTATTACATTCGCCTGAATATAAAAATGAATGTTTAATGGTCGCCTGCAGTTTTTTCGAGATCTACGGGGCAATGGTCAATTTTAATTATTTTGATCAAATATATATTTTAAATCTTTAGTTATTTAAAAAATTTGTAGGTTTTTGATTTGCTCAACAAAAAGGCAAAGCTACGCGTCTTAGAAGATGCAAAACGCGTCGTTCAAGTTGTTGGTTTAAAGGAGTTGAAGGTTAACAGCGTTGAAGATGTAAATATTTATTTTTTGAATTTTATTAAATTAAACAATTTTTAGGTATTAAAAATAATCAAACTTGGCTCAAATCAACGTACCGCTGGACAAACTTCCGCTAATTCTAATTCGTCTCGTTCTCACGCTGTGTTCCAAATTATTCTTAGGAAGCGGTATTTAATTTCAAAAAATTATTTTTATTTCAATTTGTATAGTGAAAAAAATGAAGATGCTTTATATGGTAAATTTTCTCTTATTGACTTGGCGGGTAATGAACGTGGAGCTGATACAATTAGCTCTGACAGACAAACTCGTCTTGAAGGAGCTGAGATTAACAAGTCTTTGTTGGCATTGAAAGAGTGTATTCGGGCTATGGGACGTGATGAACAACATATTCCCTTCCGGGGCTCTAAGCTCACTTTAATTCTTCGCGATTCATTTGTGGGGAAATATGCTAAAACTTGCATGGTTAATTTTATTTTTGTATTATATGCTTATTCTCTTTTTTATTTAAGATTGCTATGATCAGCCCTGGAATTAGCTGTGTTGAAAACACCATGAATACACTCCGATATGCTGATAGGTAATTAAATTTTGTGTATTTCTTCATTTAATGTCGTCTAATTTAGAGTTAAAGAACTTGGTGGTGAGAGGGATGATCAAGACGAACAACAAGCAGAGGACGATGAAAACTTTTTGTGGAGCGATGACGAATAAAGTATAGATTTTTCTTCTGCATTCCTTCTAATTAATGACATTAACTTTGACGTTAAATTCTTTCAGATATTAGGCTTTTAAATACAGAGCTTTCCATACTCTATTATAATACTATTCCATGTATACTCACGAAACAAAAAATTATTTTGTAAAATCTTGCTTTTTCTTTAAAATAACTTCAAAATCTACTAGTATATATCTTCTGCTTTCTTTAAATACTCTTGTCTATATTGACTTGCTTCTATATAATCTCCACATTATTTTATGGCAATTATTACTATTTAGTATTTTTATTGGGTAAATTTTGGAAAAATAAATTTTGTATGAACGTGTATTTTTCAATTTTAACCAAAGTATTTTAACATCTTTCAACTATTTCGGTATTCAATTATATTGGTTTTTCTAGTATATGATCTTTCCAATAACGTTTTTAAATTTGATTGCAGTTAAAATTGTTTAGTTAAGGATCTACAAATTTTTAGATGGCTCCCAAAACTCTTCGTCCATATATTAAATCATCATTTAAATCTGTTTTACATATTGACTATAATTCTAATATAAATTATAAACAAATATTGGAGGAATTGAGTAATTATTTAAAAAATGCTGGATTTGCTAAAAAGACAAAGAAAGAAATGAAAATAAATTCTTTAGAACAAAAAGGGAAAGAAGAATTAACTTCTAATGGTAGGTATTGTTTTTAATTTAGATAAAGACATCTAACAATAAGCGTCCTCTAGAAATGAAAAATATTTGAGTTTTCCAAGACACAAAGTATTTGGAAAAAATTTAATTTCAAATAATTTTTTTCAAAGCTTTTAAATTATTTGCCTATAAAATGAATATAATTATTTGTTTAAACTTGTTAGAGTTAGTAGATTATTTATATAAAAATTTAAGATATTTTAATGAATGAGGACCACAAAATGTTGGTGCGTATTGGAATTAGATCTCTCTTTAGAGAGCTTAAAAATAAAGCAAATTTAGAAGATAATTTAATGTTACTAGATGCAATTGTTCTTTTTGATATTTGTTTATTTAATACTTCATCTTTGTCACAAATATTTTCATTTTATGCATTAAAGTATTTTTTAAAAATAATTTAAAAATAATTTTCTTTTCTTTTTAGTTTCCCTTCAATTAAATTTTTTGTTATTCCTCAACTTTCAACAACATTATCTTCAAAATTAAATTTTAAAAGTTTTTCTTCAATACTTATTTTTAATAAAGAAGAAAATAAAAATATTAGAGAATTAATTTTAACAAATTTAAAACCAATTGAAAAAGCTGGTGAAGAAAAAAATATTTTTAAAACCCCAAAATTGGTTACACCGATTGGAAAGAATTTTGGAAAAGAGAAAAAGAAAGGACAAAAAAAGAAAAAGAATTGAAATTTTAATTTAAAATTATTTTTTAAATTTTGATTATTTTATATTATTAATAAAGATTTAAAAAAATATTTTTTTTCCGATTATGTGTTTTGTCAAAAAATCAACAAAGGTGGAACAAAAATAAAAATTAGCAAAGTTTGTTGCCTCTAGGCTTTTGTTTTTATATTTTTTACACTTAATTTACAAATTATTTTCAATTGATTGTTGTTATTCTTCTTCGCGCGTCCTCTAATTTTTACCTAATTTTAAAAAAATGGTTATTTTTCTCTAAAAATATTTTTATATAAATGTACTCCTCCATTTTTTAATTTAATTTAAAGTTGGACAGAAAAAGAAGTTTTCCTTTTTATTTTTTTAAATCTTTTCATTTCAAAAAATTAAATCAATTAAAAAATAAATATTGTTTGCAAATTTTTAAATTTATTTAGGTTAATAAATCGAAATTAATCCAAAAATTATTTTCTTCTTTCTAATCAGAAAAACCCCTTTAAATATTAAAATCTGTCTACATAAAAAATATTTAATTTAAACAATTATTTCCTATTTTCTCCTCTCCTTTCTAAAAAATTAAATTTATTTCAAAATGACCATCTCTTATGAAGAAGAGGTAAAGATAAAATAGTAAATTTGTTTTCAAATTTAAAAAATTAAAAGTTTTCCTCGTCAATGCTTAGATGGCGAGGGTCTATATGGAAAGCTGTATTGAAAGATTTAATTGGATTTTATATAGCATATTATGTTATTCTTTATGTTCAGGTATGGGGAAAAGACAAGAGAACTTTTTTGGGGATTTTCCTAAAATGAATGTTTTTATTCCAAAATATTATTCTCTAATTTTTTTAAATAAAAAAAGAGCATGTCTGTTCATAAAAAATTAAAAAAAAATTCAAAGTGGGGATTAATGGACGAAAAACAAAAAGAGTATTTTACTGGATGGATTAAATGGTGTGAAATAGGTACTCAATATATTCCCCTATCTTTTCTGCTTGGTTTCTTCGTAGCTGTTGTTGTTGCTCGTTGGTGGGAACAATTTAATTGGATTAGTTGGCCAGACAAATTAATGATGGTTTTTGAAATAAATTAAAAAAAATATTTTTTAACAAAAACTTGAAGACAGTCTCGACTTGTTTACCCGGAAAAGAAAATTTAGAAGTAAGAAAAACAATTGCTAGATGGTCATCTTTACAATCGGCAATTGCTTGGACTGGAATTTCTGTTAGAACATTAAAAAGATTTCCAACAGAAAGACATTTAGTTGAAAGTAAATTAATGACTGAAGAAGTATGTAATGGAGGGGAGGGGGAAGAAATTTAAAAATAAATAATTTTAAAGGAATATGATTTATATATGTCTGTTAATGCCCCTCATGGTAAATGGTTTGTCCCCCTTCTTTGGATTTTAAATTTATTAAAACAACAATTACGAGAACGGAGAATAGATACTGTCCAAATGCAAATGTTGGTAGATCAATTATATAAATTTCGTGATGGTTTTGCTATGTTATATGTATATGATTGGGTTAAAGTGCCCTTAGTTTATACACAAGTAATTAATTGTTTTAATTAATTAATAGAGGAGATATGAAGAGAGGAAGAAGATCAAGAATGGTTTAGAGGGTTCTAAAAGCTCGTTAATACGATATTTCGGCACTTCGTTTTTGAAAACCCTATCTAAGTTTCTATCGAAAAACTTTTTGGATTTTTGAGTTTAATTTTTTTTAATTATTCACAAATTCTTCAAAAACAGGAGGGAGAAATTATTGTTGACTTTTTTTTAAATTTAACTGCAATAATTTATCCTTATATAATTTTTTATTCATAAATTAAACAAAAATATTTGAAAACTAATGAAAGAATTATCAAAATATGAAAAAATTTAAAAATAACTAAAAGGTTGTTGCAATAGCTACTTATGGTTATTTTTTTATTTGTTTAATTGGGAGACAACCAAAATTAGATTCAAAATCTATGGAACAAGAAATAACTATTTTATTTCCAATATTTACAACATTCCAAATGCTTTTTTATATTGGGTGGTTAAAAGTTGGACAATTTTTAATGAATCCATTTGGAGGTTTTTAAGGAAAAATATATTAAATATTTTAAATAATTCTTTTAGAGGATGACGACGATTTTGGTTTGTTTTTAGAAATAAAATATTTTTTTAAATTTTTTAAAGAATTAAATTATGTACTCGATCGAAATACTTATATTGCTTATATGATGGCTTCTGAATTAGCCGATCAATTACCTTCTAAAATAACTGATGAAATGACTGTATTATTACCCCATACTAGAGCTTCATTTAAAATACAAGTAAATTAATACAAGTAAAATACAAGTATTTGTAATTAAAAAAAGGATATAATTCCAAAAGGAAGTTTGGCTGATTTTCAAATAACGGCAAAAGAAATGCAATTAATTCGAACAGATGAATTAGAAGGGGCAATGAAAGAATTGGAAGAAAGGGAAAAAAGAAGTAGAAAAATAAGTATGCCAACAGTTTTGAGATCTGGGGGAAGGAAATCAACAAAAAAGTAAAAAAATATGAGAAAATAATTGTTTAAATAATTATTTTAGTTTAAAAACTTCAAGTGTTGATGGAGGGCATGTTGATGAAAGAAAACAAATGATGATAGAAGAAGAGTTGGAGGAGGAAAGAAGCCAAAAATAATTTTTAAAAATATTTTTAATTTAAAGCGGATAAAGATATTAATTAATAGACAAAAATATTTATATGTAGACTGTATGATAATAATTTGTAGAATTTTTATCTGCTTTTGAACTTTGTCTACTAAAAATATGTTTGTGATAATTAAAAATATAATAAAGTATTTATTATTTGGGTATTTTATAATAGTAAATGTTTCTAAATTAAAAATTAAAATAAATCAGCATTTAAAAAATGAAAAAAACAAGAGAAAACGGTGCTATGAATGGAAATACAAAGTAACTCTATGTATCAAATATTCATTTGAGAACAAAAACTTTCGGCCCAGTTAGTATAGTGGTTAGTACTTCTCGTTGTGGCCGAGACGACGCAGGTTCGATTCCTGCACTGGGCATCTTTTGGCTATTTTCATTTTAAATAAATGAATTTAAGAGTTGTTTATAAAACATTATTTTTTAAATTATTTTAATTACAAATTTTTAAATTCAAAAATTATTTTAAATAAAATCAACATTATCTATGTCTAAAAGCACCTACAATTTCCTACTATATAAACAGTTAATATTTCCCCCATTGAGAGAGATTTTTGTGTTCAGTTAGTCTTCTCAAAGAAGATCAAAGGATGTCAGGTTATATCAGCAGTCCTTCTTTGGCTTCTTCCAATATCCGTCCTCCAGTTAGGCGTTCACAAGTTATTTCTGCAAAAGATGCTGAGCCTCCTGGGTAATTTTATTAAAATTTAAAATAAATTTTTGTAAATTCTCTTTTTAAGGGCGTGTGCCAATCTTTTGGTTTGCTTTGCTGTCTTCTTGTTGATCTTAACATTCCCAATCTCCATCTTCTTTTGTATCAAGATTGTCAACCAATATGAACGTGCAGTTATTTTTCGTCTTGGGAGATTGAGAAAGGGAGGGGCTAAAGGGCCGGGTTTGGATTGTTGTTGATTCTAAAAGAATCCCCCTTTTTTTAATTTTAAGGACTTTTTCTTGTAATTCCTTGCATTGATGAATACCAAAAGGTTGATTTGCGTCTTGTTTCATACTCCGTTCCTCCTCAAGAATTGCTCTCAAAGGATTCTGTAACGGCGAGTGTTGACGCTGTTAGTAGTTTTGTTTATTTGTTACTAAATTACTCTTAATTAATTTAAAAGGTAATCTATTTCCGTATTTCGGATGCCACAATCTCTGTTGTTAATGTGGAGAATGCTGAAGCTTCTACAAGATTGTTGGCTATGACTACTCTTCGAAATATTTTGGGAACCAAAACTTTGAGTGAAATGCTCTCCGATCGTGACCATATTTCACAAGAAATGCAGGTAAATATAAAAAAATAATTTTTAAAAAAATCTAAGAAAATTTTTAGAGATCTTTGGATGAAGCTACAAATGATTGGGGAGTTCAGGTGGAACGAGTTGAAGTTAAAGACGTTAGACTTCCTGGGACAATGCAACGGGCTATGGCCGCAGAGGCAGAGGCCACACGGGAGGCTAAAGCTAAAGTAAGGAGGAAAGAGAAGGAATTTTTGAGGCAAATGAAATATGTTTTTAATAGATAATTGCTGCTGAAGGCGAACAAAAAGCCTCTAGTGCTTTGCGTGCTGCTGCTCTAGCAATTTCTGATACTCCAACCGCTCTACAGTTGCGATATCTTCAAACTTTGGGAGAAATTAGTGCCGACAATAATTCTACAATTGTTTTCCCGTAAATTTGTCGGGAAAATTCTTTTTAAAATTTCTTTTTTTTTAAAGTTTTCCGGTTGACTTTATGTCAGTTTTTGGTAAACATTCTGTTCAAAAATCTTCGGAGAGTACAGTTAAACAAAAAACCAAAGAAAGTGAAAAGGAAAAAACTAAGGAAGATACGACAAAAGAAGAAAACACGAAGGAAGATAAATCTGGAAAAGACAAAAAGATTGAACAAGAAAAAAGTAAAGCTGTTGAGCAATACTTCAAAAAAAGTAGTCCAAGAGAGAAGAAGGAAAAGCCTAAGAAGAAGCAATCATCAACAGGGAAGAAAAAGTAGTAAGAAAGAGGAAATAAGCAGGAAGTAAAGAATAAATATATAGTAAATGTAGTAGGTAGGAGGTCGGTCGGATAGGACGAAGGTGTCGGAAATCGGAAATGGCTCAAAAATCGGAAATCAGCCTAAAATTTCGGAAATCGGAATTCCGACCGACCCCTGGTAGGAAGTAAATAAAAACAAAATGTAAATAAATAAGTATAATTTGTATGTTTTTGTGAGAAATTTTTCTCGTCGTATATATGTAGAATAAATGTTTTGGTTAAAGCTTATCTTAATTTTTAAAATTCTTTAATTTCTAGCAAGAAAAATAAAAAACTTTATCCAAAAAATATAAATTTGTTTTTTAACTGATTATTTTTAAAAAATAAAAATATTTTTTAATCAAAAATATATATGTAAATGTGTGTGGCAAATGTCCAGTTGATGTCCTACCTGTCCGCAAAATTGGATGCGTACTTTTCTTCCCTTCTCTTGCATTTTTCCCTCTATGAGCGGCGCCCGATTGTTCCTTTTCTGGTATAGTATACTTTTTGGCACTTAGAAAAAAAAGGAGGAAAATAATTGTAACAATGAAAATGTAACAATGAAAATCTATTTGAGAATGTTATCCCAAATTTTTCATCCTTGATCATTTATAAAATATTTATTTTTATTGTTATAATTAGAGTTGTACCCCGACCCCGTACCCCGAACCCCGACCCCGTTCCCGAACGATTTTTTCACGATTCTCCCCGACCCGAACCCCGCCCCGAAACATTTCGAAAACCCCGTACCCCGACCATAAAAGTTTCGGGGTTATCGGGGTTTTATACCCCTAAAAATGCCATTTTTGTGAGAATTTTAAGAGAAAAATTTTAAAAATTTCCTCACAATTTACTTTGCCTTTATTATTTTTGAAAGAAAAATGAATGAAATATCAAAATTTTCTTTCATTCTTAATTAAGAGACTTGTGGTTGAGTGGCTTAGTTGTTGGTTTTAGCCTATATTTCCATTAATATAGGATTGGGTTCGGATCCATATAAGGAGAACTCTTTTGTTTTTATATTTCTTTACAAAAACAAATTATTAACGAGTTAAATTTTAATTTTAAAATATTAATTTTATTTTTAACTGATATCCCTTGAACGACCCTTAATCCTTCAAACCCCTTGTATCACCAGTAAGGGGTTCCCAACCATAACAGTTGGAAAACTATCGAGGTCCTGTTAACGGGAATCAGAGATATAAAGGAATTTGTAGTATATCGAAGAATTAAGGAGTTATAAAGGGATTTAAAGGGATATAAGGTTTAGATTAAAATGGATTTGAAAGAATTACGTGAATTTAACGGAATTAACAAGGATTTCGTGGGAGATTTAAGGATTAATCCAAGATATCTCCTGATATCCGTCCAAATACCCTTATCCGCAATACTTCAATATTCTTATTAATCACTGATATCCCTTGAAACAACAAAAATCACTCCAGATCACCTTGCACCTCTAGATATACCATTTAATCCCTAAAAATCCCGCTTAATCCCTCCATATCCACTTATATCCCAAGTTATACACTTTAATCCCTTCAAATCCCCTCTAATTTCTCCAAATCCTACTTAATTTTTGAATAAATTAGCGAAAATATACCGAGATCTGATTATTTTTGAGCATTTTTTTCTCTAAAAATTTTTTCACTAAAACCCCGTACCCCGACCCGAACCCCGGTCATATTTTGCTCCCCCGACCCGAACCCCGCCCCGAAACAATTGGAAAACCCCGTACCCCGACATACCCGCCCCCGAACGTTCGGGGTACAACCCTAGTTATAATTAGGGTTGTTCATTACCGGTTATTAACGGGTACCCCGGTTTTCGGTTAATCCAAATTTTAAAAACCCGGGTTTCGGTTTTGAGTTTTAGACAAATACCGGTTTTATTTTGAGGAAATTTTTAATAAAATCGTTCATTTTCACAAATTTCCGGTTTTCTGTTTTTAAAATTTTCTAAAAGCGGTTAATTTTAGGCAAAAAATTTCAAAAATTCCGGTTTTAAAACCGGTCTGAAACAACCCTAGTTACAATTACTTTCCTCCTTTTTTTTCTAAGTGCCAAAAAGTATATGTACTATACATAGCAGAAAAGGAAAAATCGGGCGCCACTCATAGAGGGAAAAATGCAAGAAAAGAGAAGAAAAGTACGCATCCAATTTTGCGGACAGGTAGGACATCAACTGGACATTTGCCAATGTGTGTATATAAAAATTCTTTTAATTCTTTTTATGCTGTCTCAGGCATCAATTAACTCAAAAAATAAATTTATTTTTTAACACTTATTTTTAAATACTTAATCAGGTACAAATGCTGGATGTTCACTTTTCTTTTCCATTCCCAAATCTCCACAGAAATTGTTTACCTTTATTTTATTTTTAATTTAAATAAAATAATTATTAATTTAAATTACATGTTGGGCAGTTTGTGATGAATGACTTTGTTGATTAGAATTGTTCCCAAAATGATTTTGGACAAACATTGACATTAAATCAACGGGGAACGGAAAAACAATAGTCGAGTTATGTTCAGCACTAATTGTCCCCAAAGTTTGTAAATAACGTAATTGTAGAGCTGTTGGAGTGTCAGAAATTGTAAGAGCAGCATCGCGCAATGCACGAGAAGCTTTTTGTTCTCCTTCAGCAGCAATTATCTATTAAAATAAAAATTATATTAAATTAAAGTTCGATGGAAATGTGCTGGGACTACTTTGTAAATCTAAACTAGGCACAAATAAATAATATTCCCTAAGGATAACTTTTGGGTTGGCTAGACACAAGCTAATACTTCTGCTAACCAACAGTTCAACAGGTGTACTTCAACCGGTGTGCTTCTCCAGTTGGGGCAAATATATCAAAGAATCATTAACTGCGAACTGAGTTATTAGTATAACTACGAGGAGGTCGAATGTTCGAATCCTGCCCGGTAGCTAAACTTTTGCTAAACTCTTTCCCATATCTTATCGACCATTTAAGTGTTTATTCCTTCATTATTTAAATAATAAAAAATAATTAATTTACTTTAGCCCTAGCTTCACGTTGAGCCTCAGCCTCAGCGGCCATAGCTCGTTGCATTTCACGAGGAAGGCGAACATCTTTAACTTCAACTCTTTCTACTTTAACACCCCAATGTTCTGTTGCCTCGTCAAGAACTTCCTTTAAAAATAATTTAAAAAATTTCTTTTTTAATCATTTTCTACCTGCATTTGATGGGAAATATGGTCACGGTCAGAAAGCATTTCACTCAAAGTTTTAGTTCCAAGTACATTTCTAAGGGTTGTCATAGCTAATAATTTTGTTGAGGCTTTTGCATCTTCCACATTAACAATTGAGACTGTTGCATTAGAAACACGAAAATAGACAACCTTTAATTAAATTTAAATTAAAATAATTAAAATTCCTTTATTTAACAACTAACAGCATCAACATTTGCAGTCACAGAATCTTTTGAAAGTAATTCCTGTGGAGGCACTTGAAATGACACAACACGTAAATCAACTTTTCTATATTCATCAATACAGGGAATAACAAAAAATAAACCGGGCCCTCTCGCCCCTCCTTTCCTTAATTGGCCTAAACGAAAAATAACAGCACGTTCATATTGGTTGACAATCTTTAATTAATTTTTATTAATTTTTTTAAAAGGAATAAACTTGCCTTAATGCACATAAACACAGAAATTGGGAAAGTAATTATTGTAAATATATATGAAATTATAATTAAAATTTGTGCACAAAGTCTGAAAAATTTAAATATTTTTAAAATTTAATTTTAATCATTTCCGCCCAAAATTTAGTTAAAAATAAAATTAAAAAAATTTAATTAGTCTCCCCTACTGAGTATCTTTAATTTACCCCAAAAATTTGAAGAGCTTCATATGAAAAAGAAAAATATTTTTTACCCATAAGGTTCGGCCTCAGCGGCTTCTTCAGTTATTCGAGGCTTTCGAGCACTTGGAGGCGAATAATTCTGTTGTCTATTATCCCCAACAACATTATTTTCTCCCTCAACAATAATTCCCGTCATTCTTCCATTATTATTGTTGTCCATTTAAAAAAAACTTTTCTTTGAAAAAAGAATTCTTTGCTTTTTTAATGAGAAAATAGGTATATTTTATTTTAATGAAATAAAATAAATAAATGCTACTATGGAGATAAATAAATATTTTATGTTCAAATAACTTTTAAAAAATTGTAGGTAGGTTGGCTTTGTTAGAGAATAAAGAAAAGGTAAAATAAAAATTAAAAAAGAAAAGTTTAGAATATTTAATATGTATAAAAATAAATAATTTATTTAAAAAAATATTTTTTGTCAATATTTTCACTAATCAATTAATTTATTTGGCAATCAAGAAAAGGAAATTAAAAACAAAAATAAAGTATTTCCAAAAATAAATAAATATTTTTTGAGGAAATTCTCCAAATAAAAAACCTGAATTTGTTGTTTACATTATAAATCTATTTAAAATTTAAAAATATTTAGAAAATTCCTTTACTAAATTGAATGGTCAAATACATGTAAATTTGAAGAAAAATTATTAATTTAGGTATTTAAAATTAAATATATGTACATATTTTAGATAAAAATAAAATCACAAAAAAAGGAGTGGTTGGTGACCAATTTTATGTATTTGAAAACTATAAATAAATAGTATATTTATTTAAAGGTAAACAAAAAAAATGATGAGCAATTCGATGATGAAATTTTTATCTAAAATAATTATTAGCTATAAAAAAACTTGTGATTAATTAAAAATGAAATATGTATTTTTTAAGCAAATTAAAAAAAATTAATTTAAATAAATTATTAATTTACTAAAAAATTGGCAATAAAAATAAAATAAATTTTTGAATATACAATAAATTAAAAAAATTTATTCTATATAAACTTTGAAAAACACATAGTCCTAAACTATTAATTCTAAATAAATTTTGTCTGGCAAACTTATAGGGTTTTTATTTAAATTTCCAAATAAAAGAGAATTAGAAAAATCAAAAAAAAAAATAAGAAGATTTAATAGTTTAATAATAACAATTCTTTTCAATATTTCCCAAAATAATAATTTTTAAAAAATCAACGGAAAAAGAGAGGGGGGGGGGGGAGAATTTTAAAAAGACTACCTATATGTAATTGATCAAAAAGCTGGTAAATAATAATTTTTTCTAAATTTATTGTAAATTAATTAGAGCCGATATATGATTCAAAGGCTTTATTTCTTTATTTCTAATAATCCAGATTTTTAAATAAATAATTATTAATATTTTTACAAAAAAGATTTTGTAATAAAAAAGTCTTTTTTGGTTTTAATATCGAGAAATCCTGTTTTTATTTTATTTTCTTGTTTTGCTTCGAAAAGATTTGACTGACACACATATTTATTATGTAATTATTTATATATATTTTATCTTCTTTTCATTTAAATCATTGCCTAAAGCAATTATTAGCAAACATTTTTTAATTAAACGAGATATTTTTGAGGGAGATGGGAGGAGAGGGAGGGTGTATATGTGTATAGGGGAGGGAGTATATAAAGGGGAAGTATATAAGGAGATCAAATAAGATAAAACGTTAGTTAATTAAATAAAATATATACAAAATAATGTTGTCCAAAGAATCTAAATTTTTATTTTTATTCATTTTATTACGACTTTGTTGTGGACATCCACGTTTGTTTTTATTTAAAAAAATAATTATTTATTTATTAAAAATATGTAGAATATCGCCAATTAAAATGTGCAACCCCTGATGGCCAATTAAAAGCTGGAAAGGAACGTGCTCGTTGTCATATGATAATAAAAGATACGGAAACTGAAAGTCCCGGAAGGCCTGCACCTGAGGGAGATGGCTGCTTTACTGTAAGTTTTTGAAGGAAGTTGAGGATTTGAAGCTAAAAAATAATTTTAAAATAAAAGGAACAACATGGAGATGAAGAACGTGTTTATTGTGATTTAGTTTGCCCCAAAGCCCATACTGTATTCCACGCTTCTTTTAATCACGGACATCGTGCCTGTTTTAATTATTATACTTATCAGTTGGAAAAACGGGAGAATGATTGGTAAATTAAAAGAAAAGAATTTTAAATAATTTAAAATAAAAGGTATATATGGAGATCAGCAAATTGTTTAAATTCAACCGGGACTTGGACTATTGGGTGTAAATTTGATGAACCTTTTAATAAACAATTTGCATCTGATCAGGTAAAAAGAGAAATAAAAAAAATAAATATTTTTTTTAATTTAAAGGAAGTCTTTGCACGTTTGAGAGCTCGGGCAAGAAAAGCACTTTAAATAAAAAGAAAAGAAGAAATAAATAAATAATTTAAAATAATTTATATATATTTACATAAATAACAATTAAAAATAAAAAAATAAAAATATTTAAAGAGCAATTTTCATTTCTTGTACAGTATAATAATCAGAATTATTTTGTGAATATTGACTTTCAGAAGTTGCTTTAATAGAAGAGGATAATTGAACAATTAAAGGTGTTGGTGGTGGGGGTAGAGAAGGGCGCCTAAAAAGAGGCAAAATTAATATTTTAATTTAACGAGGATATGTGTCCAAAAAATTAATTTAAAATTTAAATTATTTTTAAAAATTATTTACCATAAATCAACAATTCCATAAGAATGTGTTGGCGGTGGAGGAGGTGGTGGTGGTGGTGATAATATAAAATGATGTAAAGGAGGAGGGAAAGGTTGTTGTCTACATAAAATATCACAAAAAGTATCTGATTGGGAAGAAGAAGAAAAATTATTATTTTTTCTATTTAAATTTAATTCTTCAATTTGTTTTTTAATTTTTTGTTGCCTTTTACGTTGACAAATTAAAACAAATAAAACAGAAATAATTATTGAAAGTAAGAAAAGAAAAATAAATGAAAGGGGTAATAATAATTGAGAAGAATTTGTAGTAGATGTTGTTAATGTTGTTGTTAATTGTTGATTTAAAATTGAAGAAGTGGAGGAGGAGGAAAGTAATAAATTCTATAAAAGAGTTATATTTGAATAATTATATATTTGAGTAATTTAACTAAGGTTGGCAGTTCCTAGGAGATCTTCGGATATCCGGAACGGAATTTATTAAATTAGTAAAATAGCCCAGTGATGGAGATGGTCAATGGAATAACTTCTGGGGAAGCAATGTCACTATAGTGGATAATAGGCAAAATTTTGATATTTTTGGAAGGTAGCGAACCGAAAATTTCCATATTTCTTTGGTTTAGGATATCCGGAACCGTCAATCCAAATTTAAACAAGGCTATCAAAAAGGGGTTTAAATTACTTTATAAGGAATTCATTTTATTAAAAAAATATATTTCTTACCCTTTCAAAGCCAATCAATCCCTCAATATCCAAATCTTTAACAATTTTCTCAATTTCAATATAATTAATTAATTTAGTTCCATTAAAGAATATTGTTTGTAGAAGTGCTGATTTTCTAGCAGGTATTCCATCCAAATCTGTTACCGGTTTATATCGAATTTCTTGTAAAAGTAAATTTAAAGGAAAAATTGCTTCGTTTAATAATCTTTTTTGAAAAAATAATTAAAAATTAAGAAATATTTTTTTCTAAAAATTATACTTTAAATATTCCAAAACTTTTAAATTATTTAATTCTACAGGACTTTTATCAACCAAAATAGAAACAATATTTGAACTTTCAACTATCCAAATCTTTAAAAAATTAATTTAAATTATAAAAAGAATTTTTTCTTCAAAAATCCCCATCACCCCTTCCTCCCCTTCTATTAATTTAAATTAATTCCCCATCCTCCCCTTTCATATTAATTTAAATTATTTACATAAACAAAAGAATTAAAATCAGCTTTTCTCCCGTCCAAATTCTCTGCCGACAATTCCAAAGTAAATAAACTTCCAGGTGAAAAATCTTCCACTGGGGAATTTAAAGAAATAATTCCATTTTGGGAATCCAAAGAAAATATTTTGTTTGGAGGATTTATTTGACGAGATAGACGAGAAAATGAGTAATTACAAGAAATTAGTGAATAAATTATTTGATCTAAATTTTAAAAATTATTCTCCCTTCCTCTTCCCTCTCCTACCATTTATTTCTTTATCAAAAGCATTTATTTGTCCAATAATATACCCAACATAAACAATATCCCTTTCTAACACAAAATTAAAATATTTTCTTTCGAATATTGGATTATTATCATTTCTAAAATTTAAAGGAAGATTAATTTTTAATTTTTAAATAATTTAAAAACAAACAAATTATTTATATTAATTAATAATTCTAAATTTCCATCATTCCTTCCCTCTCCATCCAAATTATTTTCATTAATTATTAAAAACCGTAGAGGTAAACTTTCTTCTCCAAATTCTTCAAAATCAATTTCACGTAAAGTTCTGATCTGTTTAATTTTTATGAAATTTTTTATTTTTTTTTATTAATTTTTTTATTGTCGAAATTATTGTTTTGGGATATTTCGATAGATCTTTAATTCTATAGTCATAAGCTCGAGAGAAAGGAAGTTTATATTTGTAGGGGAGAGGTGGGGGGAATTAGGAAGGAGGGAATAGGGATGAAGGGGGAATATTAGTGCAGGGTATCTAAACCTGTTTTCTATTTTTTGGTGTAAAGTCGATCTCGGGTTTAAGCCTAAGTTTATCTTTATTTGTAATACAAGAATGAGGGGGGGGGGGGGGGGGTAATTAAATAATTATTAATTATTTCCCTCTTCCTTACTTCTCCATTATTTTTATTAATTTCAATTAATCCTTGTTGCCTCTCTTCTTCTTTAATAAAATAATTATTATTTCCATTATTTTTAATTGTTGTCAATAAACTTCCTTTTTCAATTCCTTCATTAATTTGTAAAATTAAAGGAGAAATTCCTCCATTATTCGGAATTTTTAAATTATTTTTAATTGTTTTATTTTTATTTATTTGAATAATTAAAAGAATTTTTGAAGAAATAAATATTCCACTTTGTGCCCAACAAATTAACTAAAAAATAATTTTAAAAATTAAATTTATTTTAAAAATTATTTACAAAAATTTGTTTATTATTTTCTGTTAAATTATTTAATAGAGAAATTGAAATTAATCCAGTTTGGTTATTTAAATTAATTAATATATTTTTATTTTCTTCTTTTTTATTTTCTAAATAATAATTAATTTGTTGACATCCTTTAGCTTTTGAATTTATATTTGCAGAAATTGAAGTAATTGGAATTAATTGGTGAGAAGAAGAAATTAATTCCTAAATAAATTTAAATAAATATTAGAAATTAGATGATCAAGAATATCTAAATAAATATGGATTCCCGATACAAGATATAGTAAAGCAGCTGGGCTATAGCTATTTCTCTCCTTCAACTACTAGTGCAAAAGGCATTCAGCGGCTGGGAGCAAGCCAGCATATTCAATATACCGGACTGTGTGTTATTTATCCATTACACCACGTTACCTACTGCAAATACTGCTTTAGGAATTAAATAGCTATATTAATTAGCTTTAAATAGAATTAAATAGCTTTACAATATTTTTTATTCAAAATCACGTCTCGATTAATTTCTAATTAATTTAAAATTTAAATTACTTGTTCATTTAAATTAAAATATAATTGTTGACTTTCATTTAAGAAAGGTTGGCAATTGGAAATTGAAATTATTTGAATAGAAAATTTATATAATAAAATTTCTTTGTTTTCAATAATTGAAATTAAAGCAAAATTTAGAGGAAGGAGGAATTCTTCTTCATTTTGATTTTCTTTTAATAATGATTGGTTTGTTCGGATAACTAAAGAATTTATTGTTCGACGTTCAATTCTTTTAAAAAGAAATCAATTAATTAAAACAAATTAAAAATTACCCAAAAATTGAAGACGAAGAAGAATTAGACAAAGATTTAATAAAAGGTTTTGAAGGAGGGAAATTAAAATCTATAGAAAGAATAAAAGTTCCAATAGGGGAATTTTCTGGTAATCGAATTATTGGAATATTTGGTATTGGAGTTGTTGAAATGTTGCTGTTGTTGGTATTTAAATTAAATTTATTTTCAAAATTTGAAGGAAATGTTAACTAAATAAAATAAAATAAATTTTTTAAAGGGGAAATTTCGAAGACTCAAAAAAATATTTTGTAAATTCAATAAACTAAATTCCCTCGTTCTTCAATATTTTAAAAATATTTACTCTAAAAAATACTTAAAAATAATTCCTTTTTTCTACAAAATTTGGACATTCTTTAATAATAAAGACAGAAAACATTCCCCCTCCTCCCCCCTCCCTCCTCCTTCTCTTAAATTATTTTTAATTACCGGAAATGTTGTAGATATATGGTTATCAATATTTTCAGTTTGAATAAAAAATAAGGAAGGAATAATATTATTTTGAATTAATTTGTTGTTGTTGGAGGTTATGGTGCTATTAATTATTGTTTGATATAAATAATCAAAAGAAATATTTGAAGTCTTTAAAAATTAAAAAAATATTTTTTTTTAATTTAAAATTTACATTTTCCCAATTTAAAGGTAATTCAATAAATTCATTTTCTTCTTTTTCTTTTTTAATTAAAAATAATTTTTTAGTTAAATTTCCAAATTTATTTAAATTTTCTTCTTCTTTTAAAAAATAATTATTATTATTTTTATTTAAAAAATCTTTTTCTTTTTCTTCAGAAATTATTTGAATTGAAAAAGGTATTTTTGTATATAAAGTTGAATTTAAAGAATTAAATATTTGGATAGTTAAATTTTGAAAAGAATTTGCAATATTTTTAAGAGGAAAGACAACTGACAAAATTGCTAAAAGAAATTTTAAATTTAATTTTTAAATATTTAAATATTAACCATTCTCTTTGTCAATAAAAAAATATTTATTTTTTAATCCAGATAAAAAATAAAATAATTTTTGTTTATTATTATTAATTCCAAAAGAATAAATAACAGAATTAATTGGAGTTGAATCTTTTATTTTTAATAAAATTGGAGGAAAATATTCTTCTTTTTTAATTGTTAAATTATTATTTAAATTGATATTTTCAGAATTATTAATAATTTGGTTTTCATTTTGTTGAATAAATTTAAGTAGAACAAGTGCTTAAATTAAATAAATTTTGTTTTTTTATTTTAAATTTTTGCTAAACAAAAAACACAAAAAGATTTTTAGTAAATTTTTATATTCAAAAAACAGAAACGATTCAATGAATATTTTAAGATTGTCGGGTCGAAACCGAGTAGAATCGAGGATTTTTTGGTAGGGATCTTCTAATAACCCTCAACTCTCTAATAATAATAAAAGAAAACTTACTAGAACCACTAGATTCCAAAGGATGTGCTTCATCCCTCACAGAAATATTTAATAATGCCTCTCCTAAACTATTTTCTAATTCAATCTAAAATTATTTTTATTTAATTTTAAATTAATTTTTAAACTTTTTTATTTTCATTTTCTTCTTCTTTTTCAACCAAAGAAAGTATCCATTGGCCAGTTGTTCCATTTGGAGATAAAGAAAATAATTCAAGACATTCTTCTTCCTTCATTAAAATACCAGAAATTGTCTGACATTCAGCTCCTCCCAATTCATAAATTAAACGAGCATCCGGGTCTGAATCTTCAGCAGATAATGTAAATAAACTATTATTTTCTGTTATTATTTCCTCATTTCCATTGTCTTTTCCATATTTATGTACAATAATTCTTTGAAAAGGCATTTGAAATGTTGGGGAAGAAGAGCCAATTCCAGGTATTAAAACATGAACTAATGCAGAGTCGATAAAGTGATCAGAAAGTAAAAGGACCTTTAAAAGAAAAAAATATTTTTGTCTAAAAATTATTTTATGAATTGTTGGTTATGTATCGGGCAGAGGTTTCAGTCTTCCGTAAAATGCCGCCTTTTTTAGACCTCTCCGCGTTTTTGCTTCATAGGCATTTTATAAATGCTTCTTGACTATCTCAATTAAGCAATCACGTCCTCGGCTCCAGTTATTTCCAGAATTTTCAACTTTTGGAATCATTCCCAACTATAAATCTAATCTGTTAGAAATTAAGATTTCCAACAAACCCTTTCAAAATAATTTTAATTTAATTCAATATTTGATTTATTTTTCAAAAAAATATTCTTCAAAATACCTTTAAAGTATAATTTCTATTAAACTGTCCAATAGGTCCATTATATATTAAAATTCCAGAAGAATTTCCTCCTTCCCCTTCTTCTCTTTCAAAATTAAAAAACCCTTCCCCTCCTTCAGAAAGTACAAATTTAGGTTTTAAATAATTATTTGTATTTTTATTTTCTTTAATTTTTGTTTTATTTAAATAATTTAAATGGCCAATTAAAAGTTTTCTTCCTTTAAAATAATTATTTATATTAAATGGATCAACAGCAAATGCATAAATTGGCTTTAAAAAATTTAAATTATTTAATTAATTTTATTTTAAAAATACCCTTTCAAAAAAATAAAATATTTCATTTTTCTTTTCTCCTTCTTTTCCTCCTCTTCCTTCTTCTTTTAATTTCAATATAATTAAAGCTTTATCATAAATAATTGAAGAAGATATACTCTTTAAAATAACATTAAATTCAATAATTCCTTCCTCATTCTTTCCCAATTCTTCAATTCCAACATTTAAATCCTTTTAAAAATTAATTTAAATTCCCTCTCTTTTAATTCCTCCAAAATTTTTACCTTAAAAATCAAAGCCCCACTCCTTCTATTTATTTCCAAAAATTTTTTTAAATTTTTATTTTTTTCATTTTCTTCAATAAAAAATTCAAATAAATTTATTTTATTTTCAATTGTTGGGTGAATAAAAGAAATTAAAATTGTTGTTGGAGGGGAAATTGTTGGTGGGAGTTGTTTTGAAGAGGAAATTATTTGGATATTAAATTGGTTTTTAATAAAAGAATAATTTAAACTTTAAAAATTAATTTAAATTAAATTTTAATTAAAATTTTAATTTAATTTCACCTTTCTTTCCCTTCCTTTCCTTCTTCCTCTTCTTCAATTATTTTAAAAACATTTTGTTTTGAAATACCAAAATCTCCCTCATTTTCAATAAATAATTGAATATTATTATTTAAATTAAAAGGGAAACATTCAAAAGAATTATTTTTAAAAGAAATAATTAATTCTGAAGTGTTCTTTTGTAAAATTGAAAAACTAAAAATTAATTAATTAAACATTTAAATTTTTACTTTTCAGCCATAAATCCAAAAAGTTTAAATGAAGAAGTATTTTTTAGAATATTTTGGGGGATATTAATTAACTAAATTGTAATTAATAAATTAAAAAATAAATTTATTAATTTACTCTAATTTTATTGCAATCCTTTTTAGCAATTAAAATATTATTTTCTTTTTCTTCCTCTTCTTTATTATTATTTTTATTTTCTTCCCCAATTAATTTAATTTGTAATTCTTTTTGTTCTACTCGAAGTTGTGAAGTCTTTAAAAAATAAATTTATTTACTTAAAAACTCTACTCCCTCTTCCCTCCAGAGATGGGTCGGAACAGTCAGAGGTGTCGGAAATCGGAAGAGCCGGAAATCGGAACTGGTTCAGAAGTCGGAACTCAGAAATCAAAAATTTTTTCGGAAATCGGAAGGAAAAAAACATCGGAAATCGGAATTCCTTCCCCTTCCCCTCCTTCTCCTCACTCACTTACTTGATTATTATTTTCAATTAATTGTGCTTGTAAAGTTATATTTAAATAATCAACATCCATATATTGTTTTAATTGTTGGGCAAGAATTAATTTAAAAGATTGTCCTGCCCGAAGAGGTGTTGGAGGGGAAATATTAAAATATTTTCGAAGTAAAAAAGGCTCATAAACAAAAACATTAATTAATTGATGGTGATTCTTTTAAAAGGGGAAATTAATTTAAAAAATATTTTTTATTTTATTTTACTTGTTCTTTTAAAGAAGGATTAACTTTAATTGGCCCATCAAATTGTATTGGTGTACCAATAACAGAATCTTTTCGTAACAACCCTTTATCATCAAAAATCCACAAAAGAGGTGTTGAATCTTTTTTTGTTAACAATTTTTTTTAAATTTCAAAATTTTTTCAAACCTTCCCTCCTTTCATTTTCAACAGAAATTGAACAATAAACAAATAAAAACAACAAAAATATTATTTTATTAATTTCAAAAGCCATAAAAAAGGGTATTTTCCACGAGATAATGAATGGACTTTTATTGGGATTTACGTGTGAAATAGGAAAAGGAGAAAAGAACTCAAGAATTGACAAAAGAAAAATATACTTTTCTTCCATAAAATTGGGTCGTCCCTTGCCGCGCCCTTCCAAAAAATGACAGCCGCTGGCCGTTGCAATGGCGAGAAAAATTTATTTTGGGCGCGCAAAAAGAAAAACAAAGGTCATTAATACCAAAAAAATAAAAATAATTTAATAAATTAAGAGAGAGAGAAGATATTTAGGTATTTATTTTACAAAAAATCCCCCCAAAAAAAGATTTGTAAAAATTAGGTAAAAGATAGAGGAGATGCGCCGCTGTTTGTTTTTGTTGCCTTAAACTTTTGTAAATTGTCATACAAATAAACTCTTAAATTGTTTTTTTTGTAATCCAATTATGGTAGAATATTTAATAGTTCGCAAAAAATTATGGAAATAAAATTAATTTAAAAATAAACCAATTTTTTTAAAAATCTTTTACTACAAAATTAAATAAAAGAAAAATATTTGAATTTTAAATTTTCAATTGTAAAACCCGTAAAAATAAATTTAAAAAATCTAAACAGCTACCCCAACCAATAAATTTTCCAAATCATTTAAAGTTGTTTCTGGAATCTTCTCAAAATCAAAACTAACATTTTTTTCTTCAATATTTAATAAAATTCCCTCAGTTTTTTGTTCTAATAATAATTCACAACATTTAAAAAGCAATTCCTCTACCTCTCCTCCTTCAATATTTTCATCTCCAAAAGCATTTTGTTCTTGTAGTGAATCAAGTTTTCGACGTAAAATATCAATTCGATTAATGGGGACGCTAAAAAGTAGTTTTAAAAAATTGATAAGATTTTTAAAATAAAGAAAACTTTTTGTAAAAATGTAAAAAAAAATTTTGTAAAAATCTTTGCTAACCCAAACCATTAGAGTACGGAAAATTTGGTGATTTAATCCTTTTTGAAAAGGATTTATTCTTTTTGCATCTGTTGCTGCTCCTATGATCCGAATTCGTTTTTCTGGTTCGGGACCTATTCCCACTGGGCCTGGGTGAGTACGTAACCCGGGAAATTGGCCCTTTCTAGTTACTTCAAGGAAAAAAGGAAAAATACGAAGGGGCACCTCATTTCAGAAAGTTCCAATTCTTTAAAAAATTAAAACAAACAAATTATCTTCATTGAATTCCTCAATTTTATTAACGACATCAGTTTGTTGAGAGGAAGAAACAGGAAACATATTATCTTCATCATTCTCTTGACTTTCAATTTTGACAGGCGTTTCTTCAACAACAGAAGTAGAAGTTATAGGGGAAGGTGTTTTTTCTTTTCTAATTTCTCTTTTTATTTGTTCAAAAGATTTAATTTTTGTTGGTTCATTTATTTTAATATTTCCATCTTTTGGCATTTTTGGAGGCCTAATTGGAGAACTTGAAGAAGATGATGAGAGATATTTCCTTTTATTTTCAATAACTTTCTTCTTTTCTATTTTTGTGGAGTCCTCAACAGGGTTATCACTTTTTCTTTTTTTAACTTCCAATGATGAGGAAATACTGACATTAAAATAAAAAAAAAGTTAAATTATATCTTATTATGCAGACTAATTCTTTTTCAAATCCAAAAAGTTATCTAGACATGTCTTTACTGGGAGCGGTCCGGAATCAAACCGAAGAACAGGGGATTTTTCGGGTTCGGATATCCGAAATATTTTTTACAGAAACGACAACCTTACAGATTCGTTTTTACAATTGAAAGTCAATTTAGAACCAGAAATATAATTTAAAATCTAGAATATTCAAGAAATCCAAGTAAAATAAAAATCTGTTAAACAGTCGTTTTATGTCCCAAATTTCACATTCACAACTTTAAAAAAATTAAAAATAACCTAGGCGAAATAGCTCTTTCTTGTATTTTCTCAAATGCTGTAGGAGGTGTTTGTTTAGCAGTTTGTTTAATTTTTAACAATTTTGGAGATAATATATGCCTTTTAGGTTCTTCTATAGTTAATTTATCTTTGCTAGAGTTCGGCTTTTCACTTTCAGATTTTTTAATTTCTTCAATTCCTCCAATTTCATCATTTTGTTTTTTTATAAAATTTTCAGTATTTGTTTTCTTCTCAGATATTTTATTAATTTTGAAAGGATTAACATCATCTAATTTTTCTTCTTTCTTTTTATCATTTTCTTTGTCTTTTTTCTTCTTTTCTGTTTTAATTCGTTTTTCTGAGTTCTTTAAATTTTTGTTAAAATTTATTTAAAATAATTTAATAAAAACCTCTTCCTTATCCTTCTTCAATTCCTCCTTCTTCTTTCTCTTCAGTTCCTTTTCTTTATTTATTTCTTCCTTCTTTTCCTTCAATAATTCTTCTCCCTTTTCATTAGCCACTTCAAAATTATTATTTTTTTGTTTTTTATCCTTTTCATTATTGGATTGTTGTTTATTGATGTTTATTTTGATGTTTATTTTTTCATTTATTTTCCCATCAATTTCAGAAATTTTTATTTTAATTTTCTCATTTTTCTTTTCATCTTTTGAAGACTTTTTCTCTTCTTTATCTTTTTTAGATAAAATTGTCTCCTCAATTTTGAATTTTTTCACCTAATTTTTAAATAAAAAAAATATTTTTAAATTAAAAAAACCTCTTCTCCATTTCCTTTCGTTTTTTCTGTCAAAATTTTCTTTGGTGAATTAATATGCCTTTCTGTCTCATTTTCAACAATTAATTTATTTTCATTTTCCTTCTTTTTGCTATTTTGTTTTTCTTCCTTCTTTCCTTCTTTATCTTTTTTAACTTTATCCTTTTTATTTTTTTCTTTTTTATCTTCAGATGAGTTTGAAATAACTCCATCCTTGGATGTTTTAACTATATTCTTTTCTATAATTTCTTTAGTTTTTTCCTCCTTTTGGGAAGAATCTTTGCTAGTTGATGGCAAATTCTTTAAAAAAATTTGTTAGAAATTTAAAAATAATCTTTAAATTTTAACCGCTTCAAAAAGATCACGTATAGCAGAATCAGACTCGCAATCAGTACTTGCTTGTATTCTCTTTTTGGGGGCAGTTACTGGAGTAGTCTTCTTCTAAAATGATTTTATTTAAAATTAGTTTTTTTTTGCAAAATCATAAAATGAGCAAACTAATAAGAATACTTCTTTAGCTTTTCTAATCTATGTAATTTAAAGACTTTTTAATAAAATTTAATCATTTAACAAATATTTTAAATAACCTTTTTGTTACTTCCTTCAATTATTATATTTTTTTCTTTTCCATCCAATTCTTTTCCTTCTTCCTTTTTTGATTGTTTAATTGGAGAATTTTCTTCATTTTTTACTTCCTCATCCTTTTTTGATATTTTTAGAGAATTTTTTGAAGAAGATCGATGTTTGTGTTCCTTTTTTTCATCTTTACTCTTTGAAGATTTTGTAGTTGAAATTTCTTTACTTGTACTACTTTTTGGTTGTTTTGTAACTAAATTTTAATCATTAGAACATTTCCCCTATCAGAATCGAAAAAGCTAATCCAACATTTTCCTCAAGGACGATAAATGTTGAGAATTCGCTTTTTAATTTGTAAAATAAAGTAAAAATATTTTTTTAATTTAAAAACTCGGTAAAAAATTTGGTACTTTATGGATATGTCACCCCCCTCCTATTTTGAGTCTTAGAGTTTTCCTTAAACGTAGAAAATGGTCAGAGATTATTTCCTTCTCCATGTCAATCATTTTTCTTTCTTCAAGCAAAATAAGTGAAATGAGGTAAATGTAGAAACGAAATGAGTGAAACGTAAGTACAAAATATGTGAAAAGGCAAAATAAACAAGCGAAATACTTGAAGTATAAGGAAACGTATAAGGAAAACTCTGAGACTCGAAATAGGAGGGGGGGTGACATATCCATAAAGTACCAAAAATTTAAATTCTAATAAAAAATTACTAAACCTGTACAATTATCAGGATTCGAAGGAAAAAGTGCAGGTGGTGGCCGAGAAGGCAATTTTTGTTTCACTTGTGGACGGCAATATTTTGGTACTAAAGATGCAAATTCGGGGCTTGGATTAATTACTTCAATTTTGTATTCGGCTTCATTCTTATTATCACTTCCTAAAATATTTTGTTTAAAAAATTTTTAGAGAAAATTAAACAAAAATTATTAAACCTAAAAGAAGTTCAAGGAAGTAGTTAATTTTGTAACTTTTTTTCTGTCCAGCAAAATAAATTGTAATAACCATATCAAATGAACCAAAACCGCATTCAGATACTTCAAATGGAGGCTAAATTATTTTTTATTTACTTTTAAATTAAATGATATATTTTGCAGAATATCCAGAATTTGAAATATTTTAATCGTTACGTGTTACTCACCAAACAGAAATTTTAAGAATTATAAAAGAAAACAAACATTCGATATTTCTCTCTCAGGATTTGTAAAACTTTCATGCAGACGAAAAACAACCTTTCTAATAAAAGATCTGTCAGTAAACTGCTCAGGGCCCACAGCACGAACATAAACCTAAATATATTTTTTAATTAGAAAATCATTTTAAATCTAAACCGTCCATTTATGTGTGAAGTCTGTTGAAGTTTTTTCAGGCAAAAATTTAGAAACATTTCCAATCAAAAGACGAACAAGAGAACGAGATTGCGGTGAAGTGCTTGTACCAATTGATGGAGCATGAAGAGAACTGTTACTCATCCTAGAAAATATTTAAAAAAAGAAAAAACGAAAAATGTCTGTTCAAATTCAATTTGGATGTGGAAATATCGGTACACCTCAATTGAGTCCGCACGATTGAGTCCCCACGATTGAGTCCGCACGATTGAGTCCCCACGATTGAGTCCCGGCACGATTGAGTCCCCACGATTGAGTCCGCACGATTGAGTCCCCGTTGTATATACCTCAATTGAGTCCCCTAGATTTAATTATATTAAAAAAGATTAAGAGGGATATTTGGGGATTTGGAGGGATTAATGTTAATATCAGGGGACTTGTATGCGACATCGAGGTATCAAGATGGATATTGGTGAATATCAAGGGATATAAGTAGATTTAAGCGGGGATATCGGTTGAATTAAGGCAGATATCAACAAATTCGGAGAGATTAAGATGGATATTGTGGGTTTGGGGATTAGGAGGGATATCGAGAGATTTTTTGAATGACAGCTCATTCGAAAGTAGTGAGTCGAATGACACCAAAATCAACATTGTTGAACAAGTTCTCGCCGAGATATGGGGCTTGAAATGGTGGATTTTTTGGTGGAATTCCATGGGGAATTTTTGTTGCGAAACATTCGAATAAACAAAAAATAGCTCATTCGAAAGGGATCGACGAGATGAGTTGAATAAGACCAAAATCAAGTTGATTGAATGATTCTGAACAAATTTTGACCAACAGAATCTTCGCTGGAAAAACTTTTTGTGCTGCTATGGAGGGTAGGGGAAACTATCTAAATTACGAACGTAAAAACTCCTTCCTAATTTCCGGACTCCGGCAGAATTTACCTGGATACGGGAGAAAATCAAAATGTGAAAAAAATAAAAAAATATTTTTTAAAAATTTTATCAAAAAAATTAAAAAAAACCAAAGTCTAGCTTCAATTATTGTGCCAAAGAAGGGCCTTTCTTTCGTTTTTTGTTCTCCTAAGTTCACCACCTTCGTTCCTTCAGAAACTGTGAACTTGAAAATCGCCAGTCAGAAACTGACGAAAATCAACTAAAAAATTTTAAAAATAAAAACGAAAAACAAAATAAAAATTCCAAACCTTTTCAAATTTCCCATCGTTGCAGCCGTGGGATGAAGTCCGACACGTGATGAGCAAAGTTAGACCAACCTGAAATATAAAATCTAAAATTAAAAAATAAAAATTAAACTTTTACCTACACAAGATTCTCGTCCTCCCTCTCGTCCTCATTGAGAAAATTCAGTGCTCGGATGGACTTGAGTGGATGCTCGGTCAACTAATTAACAAAATTAGTTGCAAACCCCAAAAGAAAAACAAAAAAATAAAAAAAAACAATAAAAAATCTAGGAAAATAAAAATTCCTACCGGGAATTTTTAACGGGGACTCAATTGAGGTATATACAACGGGGACTCAATCGTGCGGACTCAATCGTGGGGACTCAATCGTGCCGGGACTCAATCGTGGGGACTCAATCGTGCGGACTCAATCGTGGGGACTCAATCGTGCGGACTCAATTGAACTGCTCCGTGGAAATATTACAATTCCTGCGCTGTTTCGGCCTGCGATGTTTTGGTCGCGACGTTTTGGTCCGCGCCGCCCATTTATGGGCCGTCCCACTTAGACGCAAGGCACAGAACCCTTGAAAAAGATAAAGACAATTGGTAACTAAGACAACTGGGCAAAAGATAGTTAAGCAGTGGACAATTGGACCCCTTTTGTTTCGTCCCCTCTCAAAATGTCCAACAGAGTCGACCTCTCCCTGGAGAAGTAAATAATTGAGGTACGGCAACTGATAAAGGGTGCAGTAGGGGCATTTTGGGACGGGAATTATTAAATATCTCACTATAGAGAGGGGTATTGCTTTGCTGCCGTTTCGGTACTAAACAAGGTTGCGTCGCAATTACGAATTACAGCGTTTTTTCAGTTACAAAACGAAAAAACGAAAAACGAAAAAAAATTTCGATAATGCGCAACTCTAGTACTAAACTATATCCAAAATTTTTATACAACATAATATGTATATTAACAGAAAAGTTCACTAAAATATTTTGATTTAAAAAACTTCGAAAATTATAAAATATTTTTTTTGTATTTGAGATAAATAAAAATAATATATAATTAAAATACTATTAATAATTTTTTAAAAAATATTTTTAAATTAATTAATATATTTCTTTTTCTATATTTTTATGAGCAAGATCCTTTTCTCCAAATTTTTAATTTTGTAAATAAATTTAAACATTTTCCAGTCTCTTCTATAGAATTTACATGCATTTGACGTTTCTTTCGTCTAGAAAACCGTCTAATTGCTGCTTGAAAATCTTCATCTTTTTGTAAATTAAATTCTTGTGTTGATAATTTTGCTGATTTTTTCTTTTTCTTTTTTTTTAATTAAAAAAATATTTTTTTGAAATTAAAAATTAAATTTAAAACCGAATTTTCATTTTCTGTTAAAATATTCATTTTAAATGAATCTTTTATTTGAGCAACAATTCCGACAAGTAAATCTTTATGAAAAAAAAGAATTTCTTTTAAAAAATTATTTATTAGTCTTCTAACCGTCAACATCGTGATTTAATGCAACAGAAATTTCAAAGTGGGCAACATCAAAGGTGTACATCTATTTAATTTTTTTTAAAAGATTTAACAAAAATTTAGTTTATAATAATTATTTTTATCGGATATAGTTTAGTATACCGGAGTTTTATTTCCGATACAAAACCCATATCATTCGATTCGTCTCGACATGCTGAGTCGATCGGTACCAATCTTTTTTTCCGGAGATGCCTGTGGACCAAAATATAGGTCCCCGAAAATCGAAAAACCATAGGGGGAATAATCTTTTTTTATCTTTATGTGCTATGTTAGATCGCTTTATTTGTTTGTTAATTTGTTAATTGGACTTGAAGTTACAACTCCCCCAACCTTACAATCCCCCCTTCTCTTTTCCCCCACAAAATCTCCAAATATTTCTTAATCAAAAACTAACAGCATTTTTAACATCATTTTCCATTACGGCCCTTTTTCTTTCCAAATCAGCTTTATTTCCAACTAAAATAATTGGTGAATAACATCCATTAAATCGTAATTGTTCAATTGCTTTTAAGGCAATTTTAAAGCTTGTTTTTCTATCAATTGAATAAACAATTAAAAATAAATGATAATCTCTGTTAGAAAGAAAGGGAGAAGAAGAAGAATCATTCTTTAATTTTAAAAAATAATTTTTTTTTCAAAAACTCTTTTAATTTACAAGTATCTCATTTTGTTGTAAATCAATTTCTAAAAATTTCAATTCACATTCATGTCCACCAATATTAACAGAAACAAAACCTTCTGGACGAGAATCCTGTCCAGAATAATCTTCCAAATCAGAAAAAGCAGAACTCGAAATAAATTGGGCTATTAAAGAACTTTTACCGACACTAATTTCTCCCAAAACACAAATCTAAAAAAGGATAATTTTCTTTAAAAAAATATTTATTTTTTATACTTTATAATTTGATAAAATATTATTTTCTTCATTTCCTTCAGCAAAATAATTTCCAATATTTTGTTCTGGTGATTCCATTCTATTTGTTGAATTTACACCAGAAGCACTACTACTCGATGTTCGTGTAGAACTTCTCTTAAATTTAATTTTTATTCAAAATAATATTTTTCCCCCTTTACTTCATTAGCCATATTTTGTTGTTCTTCATTTTTTTCATTTATTTTTTTATCATTTCCATTTAAATTATCATTATTTATTAAATTATTTCTTTTTCTTCTAAAAGAATCTCCTCTACTTATAACAGCACCTTTAGCATCAATATTAAATTGTCTAACACGTGTATAATCAGCAGAATCAGGTAAACGAAGAAAACGTTCCTCAGCTTCGCTCATCTTTAAATTAAAAATATAATTTTTCTAATTTTAATAATTAAGATTTCCTTGGGGATTTAATTTAATAATTGTATTAAAATAATTAATTTTTATATAATTAAATAATTGGTTGGTTGTTAATTTTATTTTTATATTTAATATACACTAAAATAATTATATAACTTTAAAAAAAGTAAAGAAATATTAGCAGGTAAATGCAGGTAATAGCATTTTAATTAATTAAATTTAGAGGGTTTTTGAATATCTGCAAATTTAGTGAATTAAGAGACACAAAATTTTTAGGAATTATTATAGCCACATTAAAGTCTCCTCTCCCTCCCTTTCCTTTTTCCTTTCCCCACCTAACCTGTTTAGGTTCAGGCCAAGTATCCAATCTTGTATCAAAACGAGATCCTCCACGTAAGGACGCTCGCCGATGAATTGTGGGGGTAGAACGTCGACGTTCAGGGGTGGAATCATTTGTTGCTTCAATTTCAGCTGTGTCAACAATATTTTGCCAATTATTTAAATTTGCTGTTGTTAATCCACAAAAATCTCCTCCTCTCCCTTTAATTAAAGTATTCGGTCTAGGTCTGTGACGAAAAGATTGGGAACGATGTGGAGGTTGTTGTAACATTGAAGAAGAGAAAAGAAGTAAATTATTGTAAATTCTAAAAAAATTTTATTGAAAATTTTTTTGAAAAAATTGATTTTTTGTTAAATAAATATTAAAGATTAAATTTAAATAAAATTAAATAATTATTTATTAAAAATTAATGAGCAGTTTTGGGTTATTAAATTATTTATTGACAGATTTGCTAATTTTAAAAAAAATTCAAATAATTAATTTTAATTTTATAAAATTATTTTTTAGAATTTTTATTGGGAAATAACTTTAATTAATTTATTAATTAAATACATATGTATATGTATTAGTATTCTAAATATATTCAAAACACAATATATGTATAGACAAAACATCTCAAGAGTTTTTTAAAGAAAGTAAAAAAAGGAAAGTATAATAAATTATTCTATAAAAATGTTCTGTTGATCTTTTATATTTTTTGTCAAAAAAAAAATAAATATTTCTTTGTTTATTTTTAGTTTGCAGCTGTTTTAGAAAATAAAAAATAATTTCATTAGGGGCGCAGATGTTAAAAATACTTTGAAAAAAGTTTGGGGGCTATTTACTTTTTAAAAATATTTATCTAATAAAATTCTTTTCTTTTTCTAAATTTAAAAAAATTTTTCAAATATTTTTTAAATTTTAAATAAAATATATGTAAATTAACACTAATTTTTGGATACTTTCAAAACTAAAATTGAGATATGTTTTCTTAATTTGGTTGGTTAAAAAATGGAGAGGCTTCTTAAAAGATACCTCCAATACATACATATAATTAATTCTTTGAACCCAAAAAAATGGATATCTAAAAATATGTAAAGTTTGATTGTTATTAGCAAAAACAGGGTTGTCGGTTCTTTCAAAATCTTCATTTCCAATTCTCAATCAACTACTAAATATTTAGTAAAAATTTTTTGGCAGAATAAAAATAATAAAAGATCTAATATAGAGAAGGAGAGAGGGAATGGTCATTGGATAATTTAAAATAAAAAGATTTATTATTTGTATGGACAGTTGTTCTCCTGTTGCAAAAATAGTAAAAATGAATGGATTTAAAAAAAATTAATTTAAAAAAGGAAATAAAAATAATGAGAAAAAATAAAATCTTTAGCAAAAAAAATTAAATAAGTAATTGTTTGGAGATGGAGAAAACATTTTAATTGAAGTTCTCCAAACTTGAAATGAAATTTTAGCCTTCTAATAAATATATAAAATAACAAAATGTAAACATTAAAACTTGAAAAAACTCGAAAAAATGTGTTAAAGAAAATATTAAGTACTTGAAATAATTTTAAAAAATGTTGAAAAAATTAAAATATTTAGTAAATAATATTTTATTTAAATTTCAAAAAAAGGCCAAAGTTTTTGTTAAAAAGAAATAAAAAAATAAAATCCATTTTAGCTTAAAATGAAGTTTCCCCCCCCCCTTCCTTTCTTATTCTCGCCCTTAAATTCCTCACTTCCCCCTTCTTCTCCCTCATTTTTTCATTCCTTTTATGTCCAAAATCAATTTAATGTTTTTGGTTATTTTATATAAGCAATTTGGGAATTCTAAATAAAAAAAAAGTTTTTGGGGGGAATTCTAAATAACCATTTTTGGATATTCTTTTTTAATTTTAAAAATATAAATTTTAAAAATAAATATTTTATTTATTTATTTTTTAAATTCACCTCAAAGCGAACTTTTGAGGGTAATTTCCAATACCATTAAAAACATAAAAAAATATGGCTATAATTTTAATAAAAAATATTTACAATTTTTCGACCATATTTTTAATTATGTACAGAATATTTCAAAATATTTTTTCTATTATTTTGTAATCAAAATTCATATTTTATTCCAAAATTTAAACAAAACTTGAAACACAAATTAGAAATTGTGTTTATAAAGGTTACAAAAACTTTTCCTTATGCGGATTCAATTTTAAAAAAGAATATTTAATTCTAAAAAAATAAAAATATTAAACGAGAGTGGACAAAAATTGGAAAGAAAATATATACTTATATTTAATGGACAGAGATGAACAAATAAATAAATAAAAATATTTTTCTTTTTTTTTACAAAAATATATCGTCTTTCAGTCTATTTTTCATCTTAGAAAAAATTTTTTCGATAACGGTAAGTGGGAAAACAAAAAGCATTTTTTGTTAGCGCAAGTTTATTAGCATCAACACAAACAATGAAAAAAGAAAAATAAATGAAGTAAATATTTTTTGGTTTGTAGAGGGAGGGGGGAGGGGAATAATTTTTTTGTTAATTTTAAGAGGAAATGTTTGCCAAAATGAACATATGGAATATTTTAAAAAAATATTTTTTTAAAAAAAGAAGAAAATAAAAAAAATATTAAAAAAAAATTAAAATTATTTTTTTGGTTAAAATTAAAAATATTCTTAATATTTTCAATATAATTTTTTAATTTTATATAAAATTTTTAATATTTTCAATATTTTATCAAATAAAAAAACTTTTGTTAGTTTTTTTTATTAATGAAGAAAAATTTATTATTTATTTTACAAAAAAAACTTACTCCTTTTCTTCTTTTGTATTTTCATCATCATCAACAAATCCACCACCACCACTACTATAAGCTTTCCTTACAATTTTTTCACTTGTTGGAATCCAAAAATTCTTTAAAAAAATTAAAATTTAATTATTTATTTAATTAAAATTAACTACTAATTGGTGGCTTTTATTTATTTTTAATTGATTATGTTGCTGTTTTTGCTTTTTTTCTGATTTTTTCTGTTGTCCATGAGAACAGCGGCTAGTTGAACGAGAAGAAGCTCTATTAATATTTTTATTCATTTTTTTAAAAAAGCTTTAAAAAAATTGAAGTTTTTAATTTAAAAAATTAAGGGATTGAGGAGTTTTTAATTATTTAAAAATTATTTTTCTTTAAAGAATATAAGGAATAAATTATTTTTAATTATGTTTATTAATTAGGAAGTAAAAAAATAAATATGTTAATTTTATTTTAATAAAAAATAAAAGAATTTTTTATTTATTTTTCTCCCATAGGATTACAAAAAATATATTTATTTTACATATTTATTTTTTCCTTTTAAAATCAAAAAAAAATAATTATTATTTATTATTTCTAGCTGCCAATTAATTGGACATTTAATTGCTGTGAAAGGCAAACGGAAACAAAACAAATAAGAAAATATTTTTTGAGAATAATTTTAAAAATATACAATTTTCTAAACTTTTTTAAATTTAAAACATTAAAAATTAACATTCTAAAACACAAAATAAGATTGTTAATGTTTAAATTTGTAGAAAATAAAAATTAAAAAAAAATTAAAGATTTAATAAAAGGGGAATAATTATTATTTAATAAATTGTAGGAAGGAGGGGGGTAATTTAAATAATGTTTAAATCGAATAGAAACAAGAGACGCAATTGAGGATTGCGAGTTGCAGAATTTTTTTTAATTGCGTGCAGCCCTGCTACAAGGCGGTTAAAGCAAAGAAGGAATAAGAGGTTTTAAAATTAAGAAAAATTCTATATAATTAAATCTGTGTTTCAATAAATAGGAAGAGATTAGATTGTAAACATTTCCCCCTCAAATTCATTTCCCCCTTCCTTTAAAATATTTTTTTATTTCCTTGTTTTGTCAAAAAATATTTTTATAAAAATTAAGAAAATCATCAAAAAAACATTTTCTTTTTCCTCTCATTTATTTTTTTCTTGGCATCCCCCAAGAGAATGAATTTAAAAAAAGCTTTAAGTCTCCCCCCAAAAATTGCGTGACAGCGCGAAATTTAAAATGATTTTAAAAGAAATTTCAATTTTTAAAAAATAAAAATAATTTTTTAAAGGGAAACACGAAAAGGAAATGGATGGGAAAATTAAGGGAAGGGGAAAGGGGAAGGGGGAAGAGGGAGAGACGGTGATGACGTGTAGAAAACTTAATTAAAGAGACGTTGACATGTAAAAGTCTAAAAATGCGTGTTGAAGAAGAGGAATAAATAAATAAATAAAAATTATTCAGAAACTGACAAAAACATTTAAAATTTTTGTAAATTAAAGAAAAAATAATTATTTTTGGATATTTAAAGTATATAATTAAAGAAATAATTTTTAAAAATTAAAGGCTATGTATAAGCTCTAAACTCCAACTACGAAGTTCTTAGAGAATCCGAACATCTAAAATATCGCGAAGGAGTAATTAATTGAAGGAGTAATTATCCTCCCCCTCTTTTTTAGAGAAATAATATTTTAAATAAATAAATAATTAAGTAGATTTTGAGAAAATAAATAATATTATTAAAATAATAATAATTTAATATACATATATTTATTTTTTTCGGCTCTATGTAGTTTAGGATATACTATTTAATAGGGAAGAGAATTTTGTCATCTAAAATACAACAATCACAATTTTTAATTTAAATTCTAAAAAATAATTTTGTCGGGATTAAATATATTTTAGTAGTAAGTGTAGTTTTACTCAAAAAAATTAAATAAAGTAATATGTAAAAGAATAAATTATCTTTTGAATATTCAATGAACTTTTTAGAGAAAAAAATTAAAAGTGCCCTTTTTCCATGAATTAATCATAAAATAATTTTTTTATTATTATTTTTTGCTTTTAAATTAAAATTTTTTTGGTTAAATTTGGAATATTTTTAAAGTATTTTCTTTTAAAAATTATTTTTTTTAAAATTATTTTGTTGTCAAAGAATTTTATGTAAAAAAGAATTTGTTGGCCTCCTGCAGTGTAAAAAGTGCCAATTCTTTTTTTGTTTGTCGACATGTTTTTCGAAACAAAAGAGCCACCAATTTATTAACAAAAGGTTGAGGTGTATTGAAGCATTAAAATTTGAAAAATAAAAAAGGGAATAAATAAACTTTAAAAATATATTTCCGATAAATTCGAAACGAGAAAAAAATTGAAAAATTAAAATAATTGGCAATAACTAAAATATGTGACGTGATCATATTTTTCCTTACAAGGGAAACCCCAAGGACCAAACCCAAGGACCGAAACTTTGAACGGCCATAACTTGGCCCAAACTAATTTTGCAAGAGAACCCGCATACAACTATAGGAAATCGAGGGTCCTCTATCGAGTGGTACCAAAAAGTACCAAATTCGTGGTGACAGTAAAGAATGTTCCTTTGTTAGCTTGATCGTAATTTGTTTGAGATTTATAGAACTAAATATTGCCGAAATTATTTGATATCAAATATCTGTAGATTCCTTTTTAAAAAGTTTTAAATCTCCTTATAATTGTCAAGGACAGTGTAGACAAATATTCTAATTTAACCTAAACTAATTTACCTACCTAAAAACCTTTCAAAAAACTAAACAAATTTTCAAAATATATTTATTTTAACAGAAGAATAAAAGATTAACACACAACAACCTCTCACAAAAAACATAATTTCTTGTCTTTTATTCAGTTTTAGCGGCCTTTTTCAACTTTCCCATCTCCTCACGAATCAAACGGTTCCGGTGCTGCTTTGCTTTGAACACCTTGAAACGCTCAAAGTCTGTGAGATTTTCACGCTGAAAAATGAAAGGAAATAGAATTTAGGTATTTTTTTAACTTCAAAATTCAGAAATTGGAAAATAAGAAATGTTTTTAATAAAATAACAAAAAATTAAACCAATTTCTTTCGAGCAAGACGTTTAGCCAATTCAGTTTCCCCCCATTTCTTGTTGATCTCAGCGTCATCATAGGCCTTGCCAAGATTTTTTGTGCGCTGGCCAACACGAATATTTATCTTGAATTTCGTCAATTGCATGTCTTTAAAGTTGCAAACACAACGGCGAACACCGGAAGAAGGTCCATCAATAAGAGCCTGAAATTTTGTTTTAACAAAAAATAAAATCAAATAAATCCCTAAAATCTCTATTAGTCATTTAACAACTGTCGTGTTTTTTTGTTTTATTACATTAGAAATTAAGGGGCTTTCAGAAATTCGATTTACTAATTTAAAAAATAATTACAAAAATATCAGTCAAAACGTCAATAGAATTGTAAAGTATGTATCGAATTTTCAAAACATTGATTTCTAATATTGTACACAGAGAAACAGGAGCTTACATTAAATAATTCACAGTCAATTCACAAGAATATTCAAATAATTAAATTCAAACCAATTAAGACCCCCCATATATTTTATTTAAATTTATTTAAAAACCTTATTTCCATCAATAACATTAGCAATAACCGCCAGCTTTCCTTTATCCTTGCCTTTTGTAATATAAACTACTCGGCCAATTTCAACAAATTTGTTGTATATCATTTTATGTTTAAAATAACAATTTAAATATCTAAAACATAAAAGAAATTTACATTAAGCAAGAGATATTCAGTAAATCCAAATATGCAAAAAACAGGAAATCCTTGTTAATCGATATTATGAAAACTCATTAATTTACCATTTTGAAAAGACAAAATGTCATTTATTTAATTGGCATTTTATTTTTAAAATTAATTTTTGTGTTAATTCAAATTAAGTTACAGTATGAGGCTTTCTTAAGAGAACTCGACTTTTGAGAAGGGGGGGGGGGCAATAAACAGGGTAATTTCACTAACAGGGTAATTTATAGAATTTTCTATTCACCCACACTAACTCCCAAATTAAAGTTAAAAGTTTTGAATATCATGTTTAGAAACACATGAAAACCGAAATAGAAAGAATTTCCTAATTTGGGGAAAATTTCGTCTTTGCAAATGATAACTGCTTTGGTTGTGGCAATTAGAATAATTCAATTAACCTCAGAAACGACTAAAAATTAATCGTTGGTAACTTTGCCTAGAAGTTTCTGGTCTTCCACTGTTTTTGAAGAATTCTCGTTCCTGATAGTGACTGACTTTAATTAAAATGACAAAATATTAATTGCCGTGTTTTCCTAATAATTTATTTAAACTTGAAACTTTCTTTGATTTTTCTCTTTTATTAAATTGTTTTTATTTAAACTTGTACTATAATTTAAAAATATTATTTTAATCATTCAAAAAAAACAAGGCTAGATACTTTTTTTTAAATTTTAGAATTGAGAAAATAAATAAGAAGTATATTAGAAAAGAAAATTGAATTTATTTACAAATAAAATGGTTAAATTAAAATACTTATTTTTTCTCTTCTTCAATTTCTGTTCCAATTTTAAAAATTATTTTCTCTTTATTTCCTTTAAATAAAAATGTTTTTATTTTTTATTATTTTAATATTTTCAACATTTTTATTACAAAAAGCTTCTTCAATTAATAAAGAAAAAGTTAATGTACTTTTTCTTTATGATAATCAATTAGAAGAAAATAATAAAAATGAGGAATTATTACAAGTTAAAAATGTTATTAAACAAGTATTAAATGAAGAAGAAAATAATGAAAATAATAGAACATTAATAGATATTCAATTAATTGTTTGGCCTATTGAAAGAATTAAAAATGATAAAAATAATTGTAGAGAAGAAAATTATGGGTAAAATTTCGATATTTTTAAGTTTTAATTATTATTTACTCTCAACACTGATTTTATCTCTAAGTAGTATGTTAAGATAGGACCTAGGAAGATTGTATCAAAACTCATATCTTTATACGAAGTACGAAAAACTCGTACCTTTATACAGAGTAGGAGTACAAAAGCAAAAATAGAGGTGGACTAAGTACGAGTACAACTAAATTTAAAATCCAAAAAAAGATAGGAATGGAAGACAGAGCTGGTACTTGAACGGATAATTTAGTTTTCTTTTAAATTTTCCTTAAAGAAAAATATACCTGAAGAAATAACTGTCAAAGATTTTACTACCCCCTATTTTTTAATTCTAAGGTGTGAGCCAAATCGTCTTTGGATTACCCAAGATTTAGTCTGCACTCGTCTTTTAAATAGTTCATCTTTGGTTGTTCTTACACAGTCAGAAAGAGCTGACATAACTGCTTTCCGTCCAATTAAATCAACATTATCAGCTGTTGCATCAGCTTTGGGGTTTTATCGAGTACCTACTATTGGGGCAAATATTAAAGATACTGAATTTTCTAGAAAGGTAAAATTTGTTTGGAATTTTTTCCCTAATGTCTTTCTGACATTTTCCACAAAAATTGACAAAAAAGGACGTTTTTATCTAAATTTACAGAATTTATATCCAACATTTTTGCGTACTTCACCTCCATATAGTGATGATGCAATTGCAATGGTTCGAGTATTGTCCCATTTAGAATATAGACAAATTGTTCTTATAACAATTGAAGCAGACCAGAATGGAGCAGAATTTGCAGCTGCTTTAGCCGCACATAAAATACATGTTTACATAGAGAAATTTTAGATTTAAAAATTTATTTTTTTTTTGAGATTCAAGCACATATAACTCTAAATTTGGGTTCTAAATCACTTGAAGAATTGAAAAATAATTTACTCGAGGAATTAACAGAATATACAGCAAATACTGTGCTTTTATGTGCAAAGTAAAAATAATAAAAAAAATTTTTTGGGTTTTTCTGTTAATCCAAAAGTCTCATTCTATACAAAAAGAATTATTTGTTGAATGTGTCTCGATCATTCTACAAAAAGTATAATGCTAGAAGACCTCGAAACATTTCTGTAATATTTATGAAACATAATGTTATGCCCCAAAAACATTTCTGAATCCACTCCTATTCACTAACTTTTGGGGATGTATAAAACAGAAAATAACCTTTTTTTAAGAAATATTTCTCTTTTATTATTTCAAAGGCAATCAGATTCTGAAATAATATTTAATGCTTCTACTAAATTTACTGGAGCTGGACGTGTTTGGCTTCTTTCAGAAGCTGCTAGTAATGCAAAAAATATTCCAAAAGGGGCATTAAGTATTCGACTTAAACAGTCAATGATTTCCTCTTTAAGAGATGGTTTGGCTGTTGCTAAAGCTGGAATTAAATCATTTAAACAAAATAATTCTTTAAAATTTAATCCTCCAAAAGGATGTCAACATTCTGTTTCTGAATGGACAAATTTTGCTGAAGAAAAACTTTTCGAGTTTTTTTTCTGTGAAAGATTAAAAAAAAATTTTTTTATAAAGTGAATTAAAACGTCAACCAATTTATGAAACTTTGAGTGGAGAACAAATAAATTTTAATGAAAGAGGCGATAGAAAGGGAATGACATATGAAATATTAAATGCTAAAGAATTTGGTGGACCTCTTGTAGTTGTTGGAAATTTAAATGGACGGGGAGATTTAATTTTGGATGATAGAGCAATTATTTGGCCTGGAGGATTGAGAAGAAAACCCTCAGAATTAACACTTCCAAAACATTTAAGAGTTACTTTAGTTGTTGATCCGCCTTTTGTATATGCATTTAAAGGTAAATAGAGACTAAAAATATTTGGATTATATAAAGTTGAATATCGATATCACTCTCTTTTTTCCCATTACCTATTTACATTCGTATTGGTCCCGAGGCTAATATCTTATCGAAATTCAACTGTGGTTAATAATAAACTTCATTATTTTGACATAACTCTGTTATATATTCTTATAACCTGTGCTTGACTGTTTTGTAGCTCCAACTCCGATCAGAGCTGGACAAAGACTCAATTTTATACATTTATAAGGAAGGGAGATCCCTGAATAGAGGAATCCTTGCTATATATCCATTTTTAATTTTTGTAGTTGATGAATATTCAAGATGTTCCAAACTTCAATTTCTAAATAATCCAACAATAAATGTTGAAGGTTTTCAAGTAGTTAGTCAAATTATTTTTTAAAAACATTAAAATTATTTAATTTTTAAAGTCAGGTCCTTGGTTTCCTTGTGAAAAATTAGAAAATAATAAAAAAGAATTTTATTGTTGTAGTGGAATGGCTGTAGAATTATTGTTTCTTATATCAGAAGGTTCTAAAAGAATTAATGGAGAAGAGAAAGAGGAAAAAGAAGAAGAAGAATTAATAGTAGCAGATAATAGCTTTAGTTTTGAATTAAAATTAAATGATTCTTATGGGGCTGTTTTGCTTGGGGAACAAGAAGGAGAAGGATTTAAATTAACTGGAATGGTTTTAAAAATTAATTTAATTTAAAATATTTTCTTTAAAAAGATTGGAGAATTAGATGCAGATAGGGCAGATATGGCTATTGGGGTTTTGAAGAAAATTTAAAAAAAAATTATTCTCATTTAAAGGCTTTAAGTATTAATCCAGAACGGGACCGTTTTATCGACTTTAGCGAGCCCTGGTTATATCATGGAATTCAAATACTTGAACGTTGGGTAATTAATTTAATAAATATTTAATTTAAATTTATTAAATTCTCAAAAAAATTAATTAATTTTCGCGGCCACAGCGTCCAAAACGTTCTCCAATGGAATCATTTTTACAACCTTTAAAGAATTCTTTATGGCTTTCTTTGGTTATTGCTGTGTTTTTAGTTGCTTTTGTTGTTTATTTTTTGGATTTAAAATCTCCATTTGAACGTTTTTATTCTTCTGGACAAGATCCTTTATTTGAAAAAGCCGAACAAGAAGAAAGGGTTTCTATTGGAGAAGTATGTATAGATTAATTAATTAAATCTTTAAAAGTTATTTTTTAGTCTTTATGGTTTTCTTGGGGTGTTCTTTTAAATTCTGGTGTTTGTGAAAGTAAATAAATTGTAAATTAATATTTAAATATATTTTCTTAAAGAAACTCCGAGAAGTTTTAGTGCTCGAGTTTTAGGATTAGCTTGGTGTGGATTTTGCATGGTTAATAAATAAATTTATTTATATATTTATTTAAAAAAAGATAATGGTAGCCTCCTATACAGCTAATTTGGCTGCTTTTCTTGTTCTTGATCAACCAGAACGTTCACTTTCTGGAGTTAATGATCCAAGGCTTCGAAATCCTTCTGCAAATTTTAGTTTAGCAACAATTACACATTCAGCTACTTATCAATATTTTAAAAGACACGTAGAGTTGTCTACAGTTTTTAGAAAAATGGAAGCAAATAATCAACCAAATGCCCGTTCTGCTATTCAGGCTTTGTTAAATGGGTAGAGGAGACTTTTATTGTAGTCATCGAAAGATTAAAATAATTACTCAAAGTAATTAATAGTAGTAGAGCATTTATGGTATAGTGTAATTGGACAAAAATTGTTGAAAATTGAAAGTTCAAAATTTCCTACAGAGAAGTAATTTCCATTCTTTTTAGTTCAATAAGCGCTTTTGTTTGGGATTCAGTACGTCTCGAATTTGAAGCAGCTAATAATTGTGAATTACGTACTCGTGGGGCCCTTTTTGGCCGTTCAGCATATGGAATTGGACTTAGAAAAGGAAGTGCTTGGACTCCACATATTAGTCAAGCAATTTTACGTTTATCAGAAAGTTTGAAAAAAAATAAAATATTTCCCCCCAAAAAAATATTTAAATTCAGATGGAACTTTGGAACGTTTAGAACAAAAATGGATACGTTCCCCAAATAAAAATTTCCGTCCCTGCTTTCATTTTGAACCAAAAGCTCCTGCACGTCTTGGACTTAGATCAATGAGAGATGGCCTTGTTCTTGTCGCCTCTGGTATTTTATTGGGTGCTGGAATGAGTATATTGGAAAGAAAAAGGGGGAAAAGTTTACAAAAACAAAAGTAAAAAAATAAAAAAATAAATTTATTTTAAAAAAATATTTTTAAAAGAAAAAGGCAACAATTAGCCCGTCAATATGCTGCAAAATGGTTAAAATTATCAAAGAGGAAAAGGGAAGGGACAGATTCATTATTATTGAGATTATCTGCTGCATTATGTGATGAAAAAAGGAAACAAAAAGAGGAAAAGATAAATAAAACAATTTTTATTAAAACAACGCCAATGTTTGTTCCAGAATTAAATTTTGGAACAAAACCATGCAATGTTTATTGCCCTCGTTGTCATGTATGCTAAATAATTTTTATTTAAAAAAATTTATTTTTTTAAAGCATTTTATTCAAACAATTACAAAACCAATTTTTGGTCGTTTTGCTTTAATATGTTCATTTATTTGTATTTTTTTACTTCTTTTCCCTTGTGCATTAGCTCCTATTTTCTTAACTTGTTTTGCAGATTATGAACATTTTTGTTCAAATGAAGAATGTAAACATAAAATTGGAAGGTGTAGACGCTGTTTTAAACCAAAATTTTTTGTTTAATTTTCTTAATTAAAATGTTTTCAAAAAAAATTCTTTTTATTTTTCACAAATTACAAAAATAAAATTTTTAAAATTTAACAAAATAAATAAAAAATTGAGAAAAATTACGTCCGAATAATAACTCTGGGAACATCAAAATCTTCGGCATTCTAAAAAAAGAAAAATTGAGTATTTTAATTTAAATTTGCTTATATTTTTTAAGGAATGATGGGTAAAATAAAATTGGGAGAATTGTGTTCTCCCAAGGAGGCCAAAAAATAACTTTTGTATTTTTATTCCAAATTTTTAAAAAAATTAAAAAATTATTTCTCACAATTTTGGCAAGATAAACATCAAAAACTTCGCCCATAATTTCTCTTGCAACAATCGGACCCGCATGAGTTTCAATAAACCAAAAAAGGAGAATCTATAAATTTAAAAAAATCTTTAAATTAATTTTTAAAAATTACCCCATCATTAATAATTGATTTTTTGGCAAACAATTTAATTAATTTGTAATGAAGTTTATTAGAAGAATACATAATTTGATCAAAACGATTCTTTAAAAAAATTAATTTAAAAAATATTTTTATTTAATTCTCTACCTGCTTTAACAAATGCCTGACAGTATTTTCTCTTGTAAAAGGAAGGCAGGCAAATGCAATTACATAATACAAAAAATTCAAAAAAGTTAAAATAGCCACAAACAAGAATCCCCACCTTAAAATTTTTTAATTAAAAAATTATTTTTAAAAAATTATCCAACCAAATAAAAAGGTAAATCTTTTCATTGTATGTATTTATTCGAAGATGGCATTGAAGTGTGTAGCGAGTAGAACGTTCAACATCTCCCAAACGACGGATAGAGACATCACAAAGCGTTAAACGTGGAAATGTTGGGGAATCCTTTTAAAAGATTTTTTTAATTTTTAAAAATATCTTTTCTCTTTACCTGCCAATTTTTACCAGTAACTAAAGATCTCAAAACATCAAATCCCCACCAGCCATAATTGTGGCCAATAAAAAAGTTAAGAAGGCAGAATTGGACAAAGACGTTGAGCAAATATAACAATTTGATAAATATATACAAACACTTCAAATTAAAACACATAATTTTTTTTAATATTTGTTAATTAATTTAATTATTTTTTGTAAAAAACAAAAAATTAAGATTTTAAAATGAATATTATTCTACTGTAATTTATTCCCCACTTTACCCCTACTTATTTGTTCTCTTCTTTCAATTTCCCTTTTTAACTGAAAAAATCTTCTAAAATAAATTAATTCGTTATTTTTAATTTAAATTAGAGCTGGAAACAATGAATTAAAAAATCTCTCACCGTAACAAAAGAACCAGAGCCGATAGAAAAAGCAGGAATTTTTGTCCGAAAATAATTTTTCCGATTTATAACAGTCTGAAAATTGAATTAAAAATAAAAAAAAACATTAATAAAAACCTCCCCGATTCTTTCCCCCAAAGTTCTCAAAAGAGTTGGCCTTTCAGCATCATTTAACTTCATCTTCTTTAATCTGTTGCACTCTTTAAGAAATTTGATAAATTCGATGCCTGTTAATATTTAAACAATTAAATGGGTTAATTAAAATAAATAGAATTTGAACATATACGAGAGAATAATGAGGGCACACAAAAATGGGAGAAACTTTTGTGGTTTTACGTAATGGAATTAAATCATTTACCGCTATGCTGGTGAAATCCATTCCATAAAAAGTTCGGCAACATAAAAAGCATTGATTGGAGGAATAACATGATAGGCACCCACTAAAATGAAAAAATAAAGATAAAATAAAGCTCACGATAGAGCTTTATGAGTTAAAAAATTTTTCTAAAAATAATATTTTTCTAAACAAACATGATAGTATCCAATTTGACGTTCTCTTCGCCCCTCATTTGACCATGGAATATTTTGCTCCGGCGGAACATAGTAGGTATTCTTTGACTGACAGTAATCTAAAGCAAATTCACGTTCATCCTCATCCAAATCAGGCGTTTTCTTAATTTTAAAATAACTTTAACTTTTAAATAAAAATATACCAAACAACGCATTGGCTCCATCCCAAAAGAACCAAAACTTAAATACAAATACAATTAAGTTTAACAACAAATTAACAAACATATTTGCAGTAACTGACATAACACAAAATAAAAGTAAAATAGGAACAATTTGACAATTAATTCTGTCGATGATATCCGAAAAATTTGCTTTAGGCCGTTCAAACCATGACAAAAATGTTTTGCCTAAAATATAAGTATAATAAAAATAAATTAATTTAAAACCTAAAAGGGGTTGATTCTGCCCAAAGAAAGGAAGATTGTGAACGCCATTTATAACAGTGCCTCTTAAAATAATTAAAATGAAAATTTTTTAACAATTAAAAGTAACTCACGAATTGGGCCAAGAAGAATTTGATGAACTCCAATTACCATTACTATAAGACATTTTAAAGTTAAAGGTATTTCGAATAAATTTGGTTAAAAAATGAAAAATATGTGAAGATATAAATCAAAAAAGAAAGCTAAATAAAAAAAGGTTTTGATTAAAAATTAAAATTCAATTAAAGAAGTTCAACAATTCAACGAACACAATGAAAAAATAAAGGTATCGTCACTTCATATTTTAAATGTCAGCCATAAAAACTCACTTTGGCATTAAAATAAACTTTGGCATTATGTTAAAATTTTTGGCGCGAGGTTTGGTTGCGAGAAGTTCGGCGCGACCGTTCTGGCGTTAGGATAAATTGGTGTAAGGTCGCAATATTTGTACCGGATTGTATTTTTTACAGTTTCTTTGAAGTAGTATGGTTCTACTGTGTCGCCACGCGATTCTATCAATCTTTCATTTTCGCTTTGCTATATTGTTTTTTAATTTTATACTTTAGATTTTCTATTTTTTCATTGAATAATGGGGAAATTGTCCGAAAATACACAAGCTGAAGAAGTACCAGAAAACGGTGCAAATCTTGAGATCATGAAAGAACCTGTGACAGAAAAAGAGGAATATTTATCTCTTTGTCAACTTGTCAATCCAATTTCACAACCTCTCGCGTCTAGAAAATTGGCTAAAAAACTTTATAAGTTGGTGAAGAAATCAGCTAAAGAAAAGGGATCTTTACGGCATGGTCTTTCTGATGTTATGAAGGCTATTAGAAAGAATGAGAAGGGTATACTTATACTTGCAGGTTATTTTCTAAATTTTGAATTCACTTTAACATATTAAGGCTGACATTATTCACTGTAAAAATATTAAATAAATTAATGTCTGACCATTATGAGCCATTAAGTTTGACTATTAATTTCACTGTTCATTCGGGAATATTAATTTTTTCGCCCCTTAAAATTCCCATGATATTTTTTAATGGAACAATAAATTTTTTTAAAAATGGTCCACTGTTTCGCTTCCATGCTCGTTGTGAACTCCTGAATCTTATCCAATGGGATTACTCTCATATTCAATTTAAAATTAATTTAAATTTTTTAAGGAAATGTTTCGCCAATTGATGTATACAGTCACGTTCCAGCACTCTGTGAGGAAAAGGTTTACTAAAATCTAAAGAAATATTTGTTAATTATCACATTTCTAGGAAATTCCGTATGTTTTTACACCTTCCAGAGAGCATTTGGGACTCTGTGCAGGCAATTTTAATTTTTAAAGATAATTTTTCAATATTTTTTCAGGGTACAAGCGTCCAGCAATTGTTTTAATGGTTAAGAAGCATGAATCTTACAGTGAACTTTATGACGATGTTTATTCTCTTGTTAATTCTCTCGTAGTCGAGCCAGTAAATTCGTGAATTTTTTTAATGTTTTGTTTTTGAAATAAATTGTTTTTGTTTTTTAAATCTTTAATTTTATGATGCCCAAATCCATTGAAATATTTTTAATTATTTTATTAAATATTTACTAATCGTTAAGACTTGAGTTTAGTTATGCGCGAACCAGATGAATGTTCAGAATCTAATGTGAGTTTTGGTTCTATATTGCTCGGTGATTTTTTCATTTTAGCGTGGACGTAGCGGGCTTGTTGTACAGATACCTGAAGAACCTTCTGAGCTGGTTTCAGTGAAGGTTTTTATTAAGACCGTAAGTATTTACTTTTGGGCTTTTATTTTTCTAGCAAATATAAAGTTATCTAATTCTTATAATTTAGTCCAATTGTCCAAAACGTGTTGAACTTTGTAGTGGTTGCTCGAATAAAATAAAACAATTCCTTTGCGGTGAATCTCCAGACAACGATCTTAATGAAGAACTTAATGCGTCATTTTGTAATTCGGATCAAAATCATGTCAATGAACGAGTAACTACTAATTCACCTTTAGAAGGAGTAAATGGAGTTTTAAACGGGACTGATTCTTTAAAGGATAACAACAATGAACAAAATTCTATTGAGGACATAAATTCTAATGAAGTTGTTAATGAAACTCAAGGTTTGTTTACAATAATTTTTTTATTTTATTATAAATTAACAGAATTTACTAATTGTGATGGTTGTTTGGTTTCTGATGTGGAAGTTGACTCAATAAATAATTTTGTTGAAACTGAAACAAATAATTTGTTAGAAGAAATTGACCTTGCAAATTCGCCTATTCAAATAACAACATGTGTCCCACCAGCTCTTTCAACGAATGAGGTCAATAACGAACATCAGAAAAATCCAAATAATGAAATTAATATTGATTATGGACACTCTACTTCTATGGAGATTGATAAAATTTTGGACATAGATGGTGGTGTTAGTGAAATTATTTCAAATAATTTAATGAAAGATATAAGCATTGACGGAGCGTTTGAAAATCTTAACTCGGCAATAAGTACCATTAAAGAGCAACAAATAAAAATAATCAATGAAGCTGATGAAGAAGCGATAGAGAAGTGTGGAATGCGGAATTGCGAAGTGATAATTAAAAATTCTGATTTTGATCGGCTTGCAAAAATTATAGAGAGTGTAAGTAATTTTATCCGCTTTATCGCTTTATATATTTTGAACATCAGACTAGTTAATCTTTTGCATTTTCTCTGTCAAAAAATTTTTTAATTTAGGGTCAAAGGCGAAAGAACATTATTAATAGCTCTGTAGAGGATGACGATATCAACGCCGAGTTAGACAGACAAATAAGGAAGGTGGATAATCTTTTACGTGGAGGAAATCGTAAATCAAGGAAGAATGATATCCCTTCCCCTAAAGTTTATGATACTGAATGTGAGGATAGTGAGCACGTAAATGATGAGAACGAAAATCAATCTAGTGCTGCTTCGTTTGTATCAGATTCTCAGAAACCAAAAAATTCTGTTCTAAGAAAGCGTGTAAGTATTTACAAATTATCTAAAGTAAAATATTTTGTAATTTAGAATTTGAGATCACTCCTTGCTAAACAATCAAAAAATTCGAGCGAAAATGGAAGCAATGCAAGTAGTGATTGGCTTTCAAAGAATAATGCTGAAAAAAGTGAGGCTTCTACTGAGAGTCCTGACGAAAGTGATTCTGACACAGATGATACTTTTGTTGAAGCACCGAAGTTGACGCCAGCTCAACGACAGGCTGACGCGGTTAGTTTTAAATGCGAATTTATATTTTTTCAATTTCTCGAGTAAACTTGATATTAATTTTTCTTCTTAAGGAAGTGAGACGTTTACTTCGTGATACTCGCGTTAAAATTTCTGATAGTGATGATTCTGATGCTACTGTAATAAAAACTGATGGAGATGATTCTGATAGCGACTCAGAAAGAAAGAATCGAAGAGCTAAATCCAAAAGGTACATATATTTTACTTCCTTTATCGTTATAATCAAAAAACTTATTATTATAGACTGAAACTCAAGGATCCTAATTCTGATGAAAATAACGTTTCAAATAAACCGTCCTCTTCTAAAATAATTTCACCAGACGAACCAAAAAAACGAATGACTGCCAAAAAAGTTAAATAAATTTTGACTATAATAATTTAAAAAATTTACATTTCAGTCTCATATAGGCAAAAATCGCAAAGGCACAAATTTGGACGGTCCAAATAGGAAGAAAAGGCGGATTATTTATTCTGACGATGATGGAGATGTTCATTCATTAGATGGAGACGAAAATAACAAAATTAGTGATGAGGAGAATTTTCCAAAACAAGTAGGCCGAAGAAAAGTTATTCCGAAGGAAAAATTGGCTCAAGCGACTAAGGACGCGGAGAAAGCTGAAAAGGAGCGACGAAAGCGGTTAGAGGAGAAACAGCGCGAGTTCAATGGGATTGAAATGATCATTGATGAGTCTGGCAATACATCTCTAATCAGTATAGTTATTTTATATTCTTATAATTAGGATGGAGAGAAAATTTTTTGAAAATAGAACGACCATCAAAAATTTAATTTTAAACTTAAAGATGAACAATCTGTTACCAAATTGAAAAATATCATTTTGGACCGAGACAGTGAGAGTGAAGCACCAATTCCCGTTCGAGTACATCCATTTCTCGTCAAAGTGTTAAAGAAACATCAGGCTGAAGGAATTCAATTCCTCTATAATTGTACAATAGAATCACTTTCTAGATTGGATGAACCTGGTGGTGGAGGTAAAAGAATTTTTTACTACTTTAATTTTTCATTTTATAAATTTATAGCAATACTTGGTCATTGTCGCACATAAAATACATGTTTACATAAAGAGAAATTTTGGATTTAAAGAATTTATTTTTTAGATTCAAGCACATATAACTCTAAATTTGGGTTCTAAATCACTTGAAGAATTGAAAAATAATTTACTCGAAGAATTAACAGAATACACAGCAAATACTGTGCTTTTATGTGCAAAGTAAAAATAATTAAAATCTTTTAGGGGTTTTTCTGTTAATCCAAAGTTTATTCTACACAAAAAGAATTATTTGTTGAATATGTCTCGACCATTCTACAAAAAAGACCCAAAAACACTTCTGAATCCTCCCCTTCCCACTAACTTTTGGAGATGTACTTACTTTATAAAACAGAAAATAACCTTTTTTAGCATTTAAAAAATATTTCTCTTTTACTATTTCAAAGGCAATCAGATTCTGAAATAATATTTAATGTTTCTACTAAATTTACTGGAGCTGGACGTGTTTGGCTTCTTTCAGAAGCTGCTAGTAACGCAAAAAATATTCCAAAAGGGGCATTAAGTATTCGACTTAAACAATCAATGATTTCTTCTTTAAGAGATGGTTTGGCTGTTGCTAAAGCTGGAATTAAATCATTTAAACAAAATAATTCTTTAAAATTTAATCCTCCAAAGGGATGTCAACATTCTGTTTCTGAATGGACAAATTTTGCTGAGGAAAAACTTTTCGAGTTTTTTTCTGTGAAAGATTTAAAAAAAATTTTTTTAATAAAGTGAATTAAAACGACAACCAATTTATGAAACTTTGAGTGGAGAACAAATAAATTTTAATGAAAGAGGCGATAGAAAGGGAATGACATATGAAATATTAAATGCTAAAGAGTTTGTTGGACCTCTTGTAGTTGTTGGAAATTTAAATGGACGTGGAGAATTAATTTTGGATGATAGGGCAATTATTTGGCCTGGGGGATTGAGAAGAAAACCTTCGGAATTAACACTTCCAAAACATTTAAGAGTTACTTTAGTTGTTGATCCTCCTTTTGTATATGCATTTAAAGGTAAATAGAGACTAAAAATATTTGGATATATAAAGTTGGATATCGACATCACTCTTCCTTATTACGTTCGTACAATTTGTCCCGCGGGTAACATTTTATCAAAATTCAACTGTTGTTAATATAAACTTCATTATTTTGGCATAACTTTGTTATATACATATGTATGTATGTAGTCTTATGACCTGTGCTGAGCATTTATCTGTTTGTAGCTCCATCTTCGACCAGAGCTAGACAAAGATATTCAATTTTATACATTTATAAAAAAAGGGGGATCCTTGAATAGAGGGATTCCTGCTGTATATCCATTTTTAATTTTTGTAGTTGACGAATATTCAAGATGTTCCAAGCTTCAATTTCTAAATAATCCAACAATAAATGTTGAAGGTTTTCAAGTAGTTAGTCAAATTATTTTTTTAAAAAGTATTTACTAAAATCAATTTTTAAAGTCAGGTCCTTGGTTTCCCTGTGAAAAATTAGAAAATAATAAAAAAGAATTTTATTGTTGTAGTGGAATGGCTGTAGAATTATTGTTTCTTATATCAGAAGGTTCTAAAAGAATTAATGGAGAAGAGAAAGAGGAAAAAGAAGAAGAAGAATTAATAGTAGCAGATAATAGCTTTAGTTTTGAATTAAAATTAAATGATTCTTATGGGGCTGTTTTGCTTGGGGAACAAGAAGGAGAAGGATTTAAATTAACTGGAATGGTTCTAAAATTAATTTAATTTAAAATATTTTCTTTAAAAAGATTGGAGAATTAGATGCAGACAGGGCAGATATGGCTATTGGGGTTTTGAAGAAAATTTTAAGAAAATAATTATTCTCATTTAAAGGCTTTAAGTATTAATCCAGAACGGGACCGTTTTATCGACTTTAGCGAGCCCTGGTTATATCATGGAATTCAAATACTTGAACGTTGGGTAATTAATTTAATAAATATTTAATTTAAATTTATTAAATTCTCAAAAAAATTAATTAATTTTCGCGGCCACAGCGTCCAAAACGTTCTCCAATGGAATCATTTTTACAACCTTTAAAGAATTCTTTATGGCTTTCTTTGGTTATTGCTGTGTTTTTAGTTGCTTTTGTTGTTTATTTTTTGGATTTAAAATCTCCATTTGAACGTTTTTATTCTTCTGGACAAGATCCTTTATTTGAAAAAGCAGAACAAGAAGAAAGGGTTTCTATTGGAGAAGTTTAGATTAACTAAAAAGAGTTTAAGTAGTTATTTTATTTTTAGTCTTTATGGTTTTCTTGGGGTGTTCTTTTAAATTCTGGTGTTTGTGAAAGTAAATAAAAATAAAATTAATATTTTATTTAAAAAATATTCTTTTAAAGAGACTCCGAGAAGTTTTAGTGCTCGAGTTTTGGGATTAGCTTGGTGTGGATTTTGCATGGTTAATAAAAAATAAATTAATTTATTTATATATTAATTTAAAAAAAGATAATGGTAGCCTCGTATACAGCTAATTTGGCTGCTTTTCTTGTTCTTGATCAACCAGAACGATCACTTTCCGGAGTTAATGATCCCAGGCTTCGTAACCCTTCTGCAAATTTCAGTTTAGCAACAATTACACATTCAGCTACTTATCAATATTTTAAAAGACACGTAGAGTTGTCTACAGTTTTTAGAAAAATGGAAGCAAATAATCAACCAAATGCCCGTTCTGCTATTCAGGCTTTGTTAAATGGGTAGAGGAGACTTTTATTATAATCATCTAAAAATTGAAATAATTACTCAGATAATTAATAGTAGTAGAGAATTTATGGTATGTTGTAATTTGACAAAAAGTATTGTCAATTGAAAGAATAATTTTTATTTTTTATTATTTTGAGTGTGTAAGGTCAGAAAACAAACGTTTTCTCACCTTAATTTCCATTTATTCCTTTTTAGTTCAATAAGCGCTTTTGTTTGGGATTCAGTACGTCTCGAATTTGAAGCAGCTAATAATTGTGAATTACGTACTCGTGGCGCTCTTTTTGGTCGTTCAGCATATGGAATTGGACTTAGAAAAGGAAGTGCTTGGACTCCACATATTAGTCAAGCAATTTTACGTTTATCAGAAAGTTTAAGAAAAAATAAAATATTTTCCCCCAAAAATTTATTTAAATTCAGATGGAACTTTAGAACGTTTAGAACAAAAATGGATACGTTCCCCAAATAAAAATTTCCGTCCCTGTTTTCATTTTGAACCAAAGGCCCCTGCACGTCTTGGACTTAGATCAATGAGAGATGGCCTTGTTCTTGTCGCCTCTGGTATTTTATTGGGTGCCGGAATGAGTATATTGGAAAGAAAAAGGGGGAAAAGTTTACAAAAACAAAAGTAAAAAAATCTAAAAAAATTTATTTTTAAAAATATTAAAAAAAGAAAAAGGCAACAATTAGCTCGTCAATATGCTGCAAAATGGTTAGAATTATCAAAGAGAAAAAGGGAAGGCACAGATTCATTATTATTGAGATTATCTGCTGCATTATGTGATGAAAAAAGAAAACAAAAAGAAGAAAGGATAAATAAAAATATTTTTATTAAAACAACGCCAATGTTTGTTCCAGAATTAAATTTTGGAACAAAACCATGCAATGTTTATTGCCCTCGTTGTATTAATCCAGAACGAGACCGTTTTATTGACTTTAGCGAGCCTTGGTTATATCATGGAATTCAAATACTTGAACGTTGGGTAATTAATTTAATAAATATTTAATTTAAATTATTAAATTCTCAAAAAAATTAATTAATTTTCGCGGCCACAGCGTCCAAAACGTTCTCCAATGGAATCATTTTTACAACCTTTAAAGAATTCTTTATGGCTTTCTTTGGTTATTGCTGTGTTTTTAGTTGCTTTTGTTGTTTATTTTTTGGATTTAAAATCTCCATTTGAACGTTTTTATTCTTCTGGACAAGATCCTTTATTTGAAAAAGCAGAACAAGAAGAAAGGGTTTCTATTGGAGAAGTTTAGATTAACTAAAAAGAGTTTAAGTAGTTATTTTATTTTTAGTCTTTATGGTTTTCTTGGGGTGTTCTTTTAAATTCTGGTGTTTGTGAAAGTAAATAAAAATAAAATTAATATTTTATTTAAAAAATATTCTTTTAAAGAGACTCCGAGAAGTTTTAGTGCTCGAGTTTTGGGATTAGCTTGGTGTGGATTTTGCATGGTTAATAAAAAATAAATTAATTTATTTATATATTAATTTAAAAAAAGATAATGGTAGCCTCGTATACAGCTAATTTGGCTGCTTTTCTTGTTCTCGATCAACCAGAACGTTCACTTTCTGGAGTTAATGATCCAAGGCTTCGTAACCCTTCTGCAAATTTCAGTTTAGCAACAATTACACATTCAGCTACTTATCAATATTTTAAAAGACATGTAGAGTTGTCGACAGTTTTTAGAAAAATGGAAGCAAATAATCAACCAAATGCCCGTTCTGCTATTCAGGCTTTGTTAAATGGGTAGAGGAGACTTATTGTAGTCACCTAAAGATTTAAATAATTACTCAAAGTAATTAATAGTAGTAGAGCATTTACGGCATAGTGTAATTAGACAAAAAGTATTGTCATTTGATAGTTCAAAATTTCCTACAGAGAAGTAATTTCCATTTATTCCTTTTTAGTTCAATAAGCGCTTTTGTTTGGGATTCAGTACGTCTCGAATTTGAAGCAGCTAATAATTGTGAATTACGTACTCGTGGCGCTCTTTTTGGTCGTTCAGCATATGGAATTGGACTTAGAAAAGGAAGTGCTTGGACTCCACATATTAGTCAAGCAATTTTACGTTTATCAGAAAGTTTAAGAAAAAATAAAATATTTTCCCCCAAAAATTTATTTAAATTCAGATGGAACTTTAGAACGTTTAGAACAAAAATGGATACGTTCCCCAAATAAAAATTTCCGTCCCTGTTTTCATTTTGAACCAAAAGCTCCTGCACGTCTTGGACTTAGATCAATGAGAGATGGTCTTGTTCTTGTCGCCTCTGGTATTTTATTGGGTGCCGGAATGAGTATATTGGAAAGAAAAAGAGGGAAAAGTTTACAAAAACAAAAGTAAAAAAAAAAAGAAATTTATTTTAAAATATTTTTAAAAGAAAAAGGCAACAATTAGCTCGTCAATATGCTGCAAAATGGTTAGAATTATCAAAGAGAAAAAGGGAAGGCACAGATTCATTATTATTGAGATTATCTGCTGCATTATGTGATGAAAAAAGAAAACAAAAAGAAGAAAGGATAAATAAAAATATTTTTATTAAAACAACGCCAATGTTTGTTCCAGAATTAAATTTTGGAACAAAACCATGCAATGTTTATTGCCCTCGTTGTCATGTATGTTAAATAATTTTTATTAAAAGAAATCGTTTTTTTCTTTAAAGCATTTTATTCAAACAATTACAAAACCAATTTTTGGCCGTTTTGCTTTAATATGTTCATTTATTTGTATTTTTTTACTTCTTTTCCCTTGTGCATTAGCTCCTATTTTCTTAACTTGTTTTGCAGATTATGAACATTTTTGTTCAAATGAAGAATGTAAACATAAAATTGGAAGGTATAGACGCTGTTTTAAACCAAAATTTTTTGTTTAATTTTCTAATTAATGTAAAATGTTTTCAAAAAAAATTCTCTTTATTTTTCACAAATTACAAAAATAAAATTTTTAAAATTTAACAAAATAAATAAAAAATTGAGAAAAATTACGACCGAATAATAACTCTGGGAACATCAAAATCTTCGGCATTCTAAAAAAAGAAAAATTAAGTATTTTAATTTAAATTTGATTATATTTGTTAGGGGATGATCAGAAAAATAAAAAAAGGGAGAATTAGGTACTCCCAAGGGGGCCAAAAATAACTTTTGTATTTTTATTCCAAATTTTCAAAAAAAAAAATAAAAATTATTTCTTACAATTTTGGCAAGATAAACATCAAAAACTTCGCCCATAATTTCTCTTGCAACAATCGGACCCGCATGAGTTTCAATAAACCAAAAAAGGAGAATCTTTAAATTTAAAAAAATCTTTAAATTAATTTTTAAAAATTACCCCATCATTAATAATTGATTTTTTGGCAAACAATTTAATTAATTTGTAATGAAGTTTATTAGAAGAATACATAATTTGATCAAAACGATTCTTAAAAAATAATTTTTAATTAAAAAAAAATATTTTTATTTAATTCTCTACCTGCTTTAACAAATGCCTGACAGTATTTTCTCTCGTAAAAGGAAGGCAGGCAAATGCAATTACATAATACAAAAAATTCAAAAAAGTTAAAATAGCCACAAACAAGAATCCCCACCTAAAATTTTAATTAAAAAATTATTTTTCTTTAAATTGTCCAACCAAATAAAAAGGTAAATCTTTTCATTGTATGTATTTATTCGAAGATGGCATTGAAGTGTGTAGCGAGTAGAACGTTCAACATCTCCCAAACGACGGATAGAGACATCACAAAGCGTTAAACGTGGAAATGTTGGGGAATCCTTTTAAAAAAATTTTTTTCAATTTTTAAAAATATCTTTTTTCTTTACCTGCCAATTTTTACCAGTAACTAAAGATCTCAAAACATCAAATCCCCACCAGCCATAATTGTGCCCAATAAAAAAGTTAAGAAGGCAAAATTGGACAAAGACGTTGAGCAAATATAATAATTTGATAAATATATACAAACACTTAAAATTAAAAAAAACATAATTTTTTTAAAAATATTCTAATAAATTAGCTATTTTTGTAAAAAAACGAAAAATTAAGATTTTAAAATGAATATTATTCTACTCTAATTTATTCCCCCTTTACCCCCACTTATTTGTTTTCCTCTTTCAATCCCCCTTTTTAACTGAAAAAATCACCAAAAATGAAATTAATTCGTGATTTAATTTAAATTAGAGCTGGAAACAATGAATTAAAAAATCTCTCACCGTAACAAAAGAACCAGAGCCGATAGAAAAAGCAGGAATTTTTGTCCGAAAATAATTTTTCCGATTTATAACAGTCTGAAAATTGAATTTAAAATAAAAAACACTAATAAAAACCTCTCCGATTCTTTCCCCCAAAGTTCTCAAAAGAGTTGGCCTTTCAGCATCATTTAACTTCATCTTCTTTAATCTGTTGCACTCTTTAAGAAATTTGATAAATTCGATACCTGTTAATTTAAGCGAATTGAATTTGAACATATACGAGAGAATAATGAGGGCACACAAAAATGGGAGAAACTTTTGGGGTCTCAAAGTAATAGAATTAAATCATTTACCGCTATGCTGGTGAAATCCATTCCATAAAAAGTTCGGCAACATAAAAAGCATTGATTGGAGGAATAACATGATAGGCACCCACTAAAATGAAAAAATAAAGATAAAATAAACTCCCGATAGAGCTTTATAAGTTAAAAAAATTTGTTCTAAAAATAATATTTTTCTAAACAAACATGATAGTATCCAATTTGACGTTCTCTTCGCCCCTCATTTGACCAAGGGATATTTTGCTCCGGCGGAACATAGTAGGTATTCTTTGACTGACAGTAATCTAAAGCAAATTCACGTTCATCATCATCCAAATCAGGCGTTTTCTTAATTTTAAATTAACTTTAAGCTTTTAAATAAAAACATACTAAACAACGCATTGGCTCCATACCAAAAGAACCAAAACTTAAAATATAAATACGATTAAATTTAACAACAAATTAACAAACATATTTGCAGTAACTGACATAACACAAAATAAAAGTAAAATAGGAACAATTTGACAATTAATTCTGTCGATGATATCCGAAAAATTTGCTTTAGGCCGTTCAAACCATGACAAAAATGTTTTGCCTAAAATATAAGTATAATAAAAATAAATTAATTTAAAACCTAAAAGGGGTTGATTCTGCCCAAAGAAAGGAAGATTGTGAACGCCATTTATAACAGTGCCTCTTAAAATAATTAAAATGAAAATTTTTTAACAATTAAAAGTAACTCACGAATTGGGCCAAGAAGAATTTGATGAATTCCAAGCACCACTACTATAAGACATTTTAAAGTTAAAGGTATTTCGAATAAATTTGGTTAAAAAATAAAAAATGTGTGAAGATAAAACCCAAAAAGAACTAAACAAAAAAGTTTCGATAAAAAATGAAAATTCAATTAAAAAAGTTCAACAATTCAACAAATACAATGAAAAAATAAAGGTATTCCGAATTGGCTAGTTTCGGATAAATTAACTTTATTTTCTTTAACTTAATTTACTTCCAAACAATTTTAACACAATAGGAACTTTTATTTCTTTTAATATAAACTAACAATTTATTTATTAACGATTAACTGGGAAACGGAAGAGCGAACTAAAGAAATAGGAATAAACTGAACAATAACTGATTAATGAAAGGAAGCTAATAAAGAACTTGAACGGTTTGTATTGAAAGGGACGCGATATTTATAGAGAAGTGATTAGTAATTGTTTGATAAATTATAGGGAAAGGAAATTGGCTTTTCCCAGATAAATAGGCTGGGAACGATTGAAAATATAAATAAAATTATAAATAAATTACAAAAGCTTGAGAATTATGTTTCGCATTTCGAAAATGCGACAAAGGTATCTCACTTCATCGGAACGCGATCATTGAGTCCCGCCGTTTGAGTCCCGCCGATTGAGTCCCGCCGGTTGAGTCCCGCCGGTTGAGTCCCTGGCCGGTTGAGTCCCGGCCGATTGAGTCCCGCCGGTTGAGTCCCCACCCAAAAGGGGACGTTTGAGTCCCCGTATTTCTTTCTAGGATCTTGATGTATTAAGTGGGATATATGGAGTTTTGAATTGATATAAGAGTATTTGGGGAGATTTTGAGTGATAATGATAAATATGGAGGGATTTAAAGCGATTTGGAGTGATTAAAGTGGATATATGACGGATTTTCAAGACGGAATTATTGCGGGTATGGTACCACTTTGGGGTACATTATATATGAATATAAGGCTGTACTGTAGTGTAGCACCCACTCCAAAAATTTTCAAAACACATATCGTTTGATTCGTCTCGGCGAGCTGAGTCGAATGGTACCACTCTCTTTCTGCGGAAATTCCTACGAGCTGAGATATAGGTCCTTAAATATCGGAAATCCAAAGAGGGGACCAAGCTGATTTTTGGGGTCAAAAATTTGAATATGCAAATGACAGCTCATTCGAAAGAGCTCGTCGAGCTGAGTCGATTGACACAAAAATTAACGAAATCCGACTTGATTTGACAAGTTATGAGTATTTGTTTTAGCTCCTTACCTTTGGTCTAAGTGCAGGTTTTTCTTGCTAAGGAGGAAGCCAGACATGCCGACCGCAGCTAAAATAGGCATAAGTTTATGTTACGAGCCCAGACCCAGCGCCCGTAGACTCCCCGCGAGGCGCGTGCCGCAAAACTCCGCGCGAAGCGCGGAGTTTTGCACAAGCGCCTCGCCGACGCCCCATAGGTTTATGTTGCGATTTATTGTCGTAACTTTGTCTAATCTTGTTCAATCATGGTGATTTTGGTGTCATTCGACTCAGCTCGACGAGCTCTTTCGAATGAGCTATCATTTGCATATTCGAATTTTTGCCCCCAAAAATCAGCTTGGTACCCCCTATGGCTTTTGACCCTTTCGAGCTCTATATCTCAGCTCTTAGGCATTTCCGCAGAAAGAGAGTGGTACCATTCAACTCAGCTCGCCGAGACAAATCGAATGGTATGTGTTTTGAAATTTTTTGGAGTGGGTGCTACACTACAGTATATCCGAATATAATGATGGATTATAGGTACCTACCAAAATATCTGGTACTACCCCCAAATTGGTAACATACCTGTAATACTTCCATCCTGGGAATCATACGTAAACTTGGTGCCTTTATTTAACAAGTCCTAGTTGGGGGATATAATCTATAATCCCTCATATTCCTGTACAATGTACCACAAAGTGGTAACATATCCGCAATAGACCCGTACTGGGAATCATACATACTTGTGTAAATCCTAGAAAGAAATACGGGGACTCAAACGTCCCCTTTTGGGTGGGGACTCAACCGGCGGGACTCAATCGGCCGGGACTCAACCGGCCAGGGACTCAATCGGCGGGACTCAATCGGCGGGACTCAAACGGCGGGACTCAATGGTCCCCTACCGTCACTTCATATTTTAAATGTCAGCCATAAAAATTCACTTTGGCATTAAAATAAACCTTGGCATTATGTTGAATTTTTTGGCGCGAAAAGTTTGGCGCGACCGATCTGGCGCTAGGATAGCTTGGCGCAAGGTCGCAGAATTTGTACCACCCGAATTGTATTTTTTACAGTTTCTTGGAAGTAGTATGGTTCTACTTGTCGCCACGCGATTCTATCAATTTTTCATTTTCGCTTTGCCATATTCTTTTTTATTTTTGAAGTAATTTTATAATTTAGATTTGTTTTTATTTTGTCGTTGAATAATGGGGAAATTGTCGGAGAGTACACAAGCTGAAGAAGTACCAGAAAATGGTGCAAATATTGAGATCATGAAAGAACCTGTAACAGAAAAAGAGGAATATCTATCTCTTTGTCAACTTGTCAATCCAATTTCACAACCTCTAGCGTCTAGAAAATTGGCTAAAAAACTTTATAAGTTGGTGAAGAAATCAGCTAAAGAAAAGGGATCTTTACGGCACGGTCTTTCTGATGTTATGAAGGCTATTAGAAGGAATGAGAAGGGGATACTTATACTTGCAGGTTATTTTTAAAATTTTGAATTCACATCTTTTTCATATTATGGCTGACATTATTTATTGTAAAAAGATTAACTTAATGTCTGACCATTATGAGCCATTAAGTTTGACTATTAATTTTTCTGTTTATTCGGGAATATTAATTTATCTGTCCCTTAAAATTCCCATTACATTTTTTAAATGAATAATAAATTTTTCCAAAAAAGGTTCACTGTGTACTCTCTTTTTAATTTTCTTGAATTTTATCCAATGGGATTACTCTCATATTCGATTTTAACTCTAATTTAAATTTTTCAAGGAAATGTTTCGCCAATTGATGTATACAGTCACATTCCAGCACTTTGTGAGGAAAAGGTTAACTAAAATCTAAAAAAATTATTTGTCTATATTTATTTGTTAATTATCACATTTCTAGGAAATTCCGTATGTTTTTACACCTTCCAGAGAGCATTTGGGACTCTGTGCAGGCAATTTTAATTTTTAAAGATAATTTTTCAATATTTTTTCAGGGTACAAGCGTCCAGCAATTGTTTTAATGGTTAAGAAGCATGAATCTTACAGTGAACTTTATGACGATGTTTATTCTCTTGTTAATTCTCTCGTAGTTGAGCCAGTAAATTCATGAATTTTTTTATTGTTTTGTTTTTGAAATAAATTGTTTTTGTTTTTTAAATTGTTAATTTTATGCTGCCCTAATCCATTGAAATATTTTTAATTAGTTTATTAAATATTTACTAATCGTTAAGACTTGAGCTTAGTTATGCGCGAACCAGATGATAGTTCTGAATCTATTGTGAGTTTTGGTTATATATTGCTCGATGATTTTTTCTTTTTAGCGTGGTCGTAGCGGGCTTGTTGTCCAGATACCTGAAGAACCTTCTGAGCTGGTTTCAGTGAAGGTTTTTATTAAGACCGTAAGTATTTACTCTGCCTTTATTTTTTTAGCGAATATAAAGATTTAATTTTTAATTTTATATTTCAGTCCAATTGTCCAAAACGTGTTGAACTTTGTAGTGGTTGTTCGAATAAAATAAAACAATTCCTTTGCGGAGAATCTTTAGACAATGATCCTAATGATGAACTTAATGTGGCATTGCGTAATTCGGATCAAAATCATGTCAATGAACGAGTAACTACTAATTCAACTGTGGAAGGAGTAAATGGAGTTTTAAACGGGACTGATTCTTTGAAGGATAACAACAATGAACAGAATTCTATTTCGGACATAAATTCTAATGAAGTTGTTAATGAAACTCAAGGTTTGTTTACAATAATTTTTATTTATTCTAAATTAACAGAATTTACTAATTGTGATGGTTGTTTGGTTTCTGATGTAGAAGTAGACTCAATAAATAATGGTTCTGTTGAACTCGAAACGGAAAAGAATAATTTGTTAGAAGAAATTGACCTTGCAAATTCACCTATTCAAATAACAACATGTGTTCCACCAGCTCTTTCAATGAATGAGATCAATATTGAACATCAGAAAAATCCAAATAATGAAATTAATATTGATTATGGACACTCTACTTCTATGGAGATTGATAAAATTTTGGACAAAGATGGTGGTGTTAGTGAAATTATTTCAAATAATTTAATGAAGGATATAAGCATTGACGGAGCCTTTGAAAATCTTAACTCTGCAATAAGTACCATTAAAGAGCAACAAATAAAAATAAATAATGCGGCTGATGAAGAAGCGATAGAGAAGTGTGGAATGGGGAATTGCGAAGTGATAATTAAAAATTCTGATTTTGATCGGCTTGCAAAAATTATCGAGAGTGTAAGTAATTTTATTCGATTTATAATATTTTCAACATCAGACTAGTTAATCTTTTGCATTTTTACTGTCAAAAATTTTTTAATTTAGAGTCAAAGGCGAAAGAACATTATTAATAGCTCTGTAGAGGATGACGACATCAACGCCGAGTTGGACAGGCAAATAAGGAAGGTGGATAATCTTCTACGTGGAGGAAATCGTAAATCAAGGAAGAATGCTATCCCTTCCCCTAAAGTTTATGATACTGAATGTGAGGATAGTGAGCACGTAAATGATGAGAACGAAAATCAATCTAGTGCTGGTTCGACTGTATCAGATTCTCAGAAACCAAAAAATTCTGTTCTAAGAAAGCGTGTAAGTATTTACAAATAATCTAAAGTAAAATATTTTGTAATTTAGAATTTGAGATCACTCCTTGCTAAACAATCAAAAAATTCGAGCGAAAATGGAAGCAATGCAAGTAGTGATTGGCTTTCAAAGAATAATGCTGAAAAAAGTGAGGCTTCTACTGAGAGTCCTGACGAAAGTGATTCTGACACAGATGATACTTTTGTTGAAGCACCGAAGTTGACGCCAGCTCAGCGACAGACTGACGCAGTTAGTTTTAAATGCGAATTTATATTTTTTCAAGTTCTCGAGTAAACTTGATTTTAATTTTTCTACTTAAGGAAGTGAGACGTTTACTTCGTGATACTCGCGTTAAAATTTCTGATAGTGATGATTCTGATGCTACTGTAATAAAAACTGATGGGGATGATTCTGATAGCGACTCAGAAAGAAAGAATCGAAGAGCTAAATCCAAAAGGTAAATTTTACTTCCTTTATCGTTATAATCAAAAAACTTATTATTATAGACTGAAACTCAAGGATCCTAATTCTGATGAAAATGACGTTTCAAATAAACCGTCCTCTTCTAAAATAATTTCACCAGACGAACCAAAAAAACGAATGACTGCCAAAAAAGTTAAATAAATTTTGACTATAATAATTTAAAAATTTACATTTCAGTCTCATATAGGCAAAAATCGCAAAGGCACAAATTTGGACGGTCCAAATAGGAAGAAAAGGCGGATTATTTATTCTGACGATGATGGAGATGTTCATTCATTAGATGGAGACGAAAATAATAAAATTAGTGATGAGGAGAATTTTCAAAAACAAGTAGGCCGAAGGAAAGTTATTCCGAAGGAAAAATTGGCTCAAGCGACTAAAGACGCGGAGAAAGCTGAAAAGGAGCGACGAAAGCGGTTAGAGGAGAAACAGCGCGAGTTCAATGGGATTGAAATGATCATTGATGAGTCTGGCAATACATCTCTAATCAGTATAGTTATTTTATATTCTTATAATTAGGATGGAGAGAAAATTTTTTGAAAATTGAACGACCATCAAAAATTTAATTTTAAACTTAAAGATGAACAATCTGTTCCCAAATTGAAAAATATCATTTTGGACCGAGACAGTGAGAGTAATGCTCCAGTTCCCGTTCGAGTACATCCATTTCTCGTCAAAGTGTTGAAGAAACATCAGGCTGAAGGGATTCAATTCCTCTATAATTGTACAATAGAATCACTTTCTAGATTGGATGAACCTGGTGGTGGAGGTAAAAGAATTTTTTACTACTTTAATTTTTATTTTTAAATTTATAGCAATACTTGGTCATTGTATGGGTCTCGGAAAAACTTTGCAAATTATTGCGTTTCTTCACACTATTTTGACACATGAAAAAATTTCAAAGAAAATTAATAAAGTTTTGGTAGTGGTTCCTAAAAATGTTGTTTTAAATTGGATGAATGAATTTGAAAAATGGCTTTATGGAGAGACTGATTCGATTAATGTATGTTTTCATTTATTTGAACAAACCATTAATGAGTTTTCGCTTTTTGATAACGAGCTCGCTTATTAATTTTCATAAACTTCAAGAAAAGAACTCAATTCTTTTACTATTCTGTGGAAGAAATTCTTAAAATTAGTAGTAATTGCCTGCGTTAATTAATCTATTCGAAAGACAAAACATTTTTTAGGATTTGACACGTTAACTTTTTAATTATTTTAAAGATAGGAGATCTTTTTTTAATATTTTATGTAAAATGAGATTTTTAAATGCAACTTGCATTAAATTAATTTTTAATATTTTCATTTTTGTCAGTATTCGGAATTAGACTCTTGGAGGACTCATGAAGAACGTCTCAAAGCAATTAAACGTTGGATTAATTATGAAGGACCATCAGTGCTTATAATTGGTTATGAATTATTTAGAATTCTAACTTTTACTGATGAGGATAAGGCTAATATGAGTAAAAATCGCAGTAAGAATATACCTTTGAAGAAGAAATTGCCAGCTGCTAAAAAATTGGATAAGCTTAGACCACAGTTTTGCGAATATCTACAAAATGGTGAGAAGATCTACTTTTATATAAATATTTTTATTTAGCTCCACATTTACTTGTTTGTGATGAAGGCCATAAACTCAAATCACCTTCAACTGCGCTTTTCTATACAATTGACAAAATAAAAACGCTGAGGCGAATTTGTATGACTGGAACACCCCTTCAGAATAATTTAGAAGAGTATTATTGGTTTGTTTTAAAATTATCTATAAAAATAGATTTTCTTTTAACTTACATTAAACTGCCTTATTGTAATTTAGTACTAATAGAATTACAAAATAGGGGTTGCAATGATTATCAAATTGTGTTTAGGACGTTCCCGTGAACTGTTCATGAAGAATTTAAACACCTTAATAAAAAATTTTGTTTCATATTTATTCTTTTATTAATATTTAAAATTTAAGTATGGTCAACTTTGTAAAGCCAGATCTTCTTGGTAGTCTTGACGAATTTAAAAGCCGTTTTTCTAATATAATAAAATGTGGAAGATCAAAAGATGCAAGTGCTTACGATGTTCGTCGAATGCGTAGAAGATGCCATGTGCTTTTTGATCGACTTAAATGTGTATTAGATTGGCGGGATTATAGTGTTTTGAGGTTGTTTTGTGAATATTTCTACTTTTATTTGATTTTTAAAAGGAGTTCTCTACCTCCAAAACAAGAATATGTTATAAATATTCGCCTAACTAAAGTTTGTTTTATCAATTTAAATAAAATATTTTATTAAGGTCCAAATTGATTTGTATAAAAAATATTTGGATTTTCGAAATTTAACTGAGGAAAAACGTGGAGCAAATGATGTTGGTGTGAGACTTCTTTATGATCATTTGATGTTTGTTTTTCTAATTTTTTTAAATACTTAAACCTAGCATTTTTCCCTTCTTTTTTTAAAAATATAAAGGGGTTTTTAGGGTTGGAAGGATAGAATTAAAGTTAACAGCTGAACAATAATGAAAAATTTTTGATTTTTAATAATTTATAATTAAGTCTTTATCGCGTTTGGACGCATCCATACCTTTTGGTAGAACATGTGAAACGTGAACAATATAAATCTCAAAATTCTATTGATGACTTCATTGATGATGACTATGATTCAGAGGCAGAAAGTAATGATTCTGATGATATTGTCGCTATGTAAAATTAATTTTAAATGTTTATGTAGCAATTATTTTATTTTTCAGGGATGCATTAAATGATAATCCCTCTACCTCTTCTGCTAACAATAAAAATAACGAGTTTGAAAATCCTTTAGAAAATTGGGCAAAAGATTTAGTTTCTGAAAAGGATCGAAATAATTTTGCTTTGAGCAACAAATTACTACTACTTATTGAAATTATTAAAAAATGTGAAAAGATTGGAGATAAATTGTAAATTTTAAAGAAATTAATCATGATTAACTTGGAATTTAGAAAGAGCCTAGACTACATATCAAAATGGGCTAAAAATATAATAGTTTTTCGAAAAATATTTTTAATTAACAACTTGGTGTAAAGCATTTCAAAACTTATTTTCAATCCCACCAAAAAAGCCTAAAATGATTGAATGTGGCCTGTAAATTATTAAATTTATTTCTTTTCAGACTTGTTTTCTCTCAATTTTTGAGTTCTATTGCTCTTATGGAACGAATGCTAAGATATTTTACTCAAAGTTCTGGATGGTTTGTGGATGGACATCGAGCTTTAATGATGGCAGATGGGGAAAAGTGGGGATGGCATAAAGGCTTAGATTATTCGGTTATTGATGGAAGTGTTTCTATTGTTTTACGTGATCAAATTCAAAAGGATTTTAATGATCCTTTAAATTTAAGGTTAAATTATAAATACAATTTAATTAAATATTAAATTATAGAAATCGTCTTTTGCTTATTTCTACAAAAGCAGGTTCTTTGGGTACTAATTTGATTGGTGCAAATAGAGTTGTTATTTTTGATTGTATGAAATTTATTTTATTTATTTTAAAAATTTAAAAAATTTTTAGGTTCTTGGAATCCATCTCACGATACCCAGAGTTTGTTTAGAGTTTATCGATTTGGACAAGTTAAGCCTGTTTATATATACAGATTTGTTGCTCAGGTTGTAATTTACTTTTGTTTTTAAATTATTTTTTTTCCAATTGTTAGGGAACGATGGAGGAACGTATTTATAATCGACAAGTAACCAAAGAATCAATAGCAAAACGAGTTACTCAAGCTGCCCAAATCCAAAGACATTACACGAGTCAAGAATTAGAAGAAATGTATCTCTTTGAACCAGATACTCTTTCAAATGATAAACTTGATGGGCAAGGACCTCGATTAGACCCTCCAAAAGTTTTTTTCCAAATTTTTTGTAATAAAATGTTTTCTTTTGAGGATCGTCTTTTGGGTGATATTATTTTGGAGAAAACGGATGCAATTGTTAGTTATCATCCACACGACATATTATTCGACGAATTGGAGGATGAAAGACTTAATGACGAGGTATTTATTAAACTTAAATTATCTAAGGGGGGCACTTAACAATTGAATAAAATGTTAATCAATTAAGGAACGGGCCGAGGCTTGGAAAGATTATGAACAAGAACGTGAGGGACGTGCTGCTCGACAACAGCCTAATATAAATGGTGGTTTGAATCCTCAACAGATTCAAATACTCGACAGTTTACAACAGCAATTTCCTGGTCAACCTTTTGGAAGAGGTTAGTTTTTATTAAAAGTTTTACTACCTTCACAATAATTTTTAAAGATTTGCGCATTCTTTTCAATTACTTCCCACATGATGGTGTCTTTAATAAATGCTTAGCTGTGCCAGGAATAACGCGCGATACGGCTTTGCATATATTTCGAATTAAGGCTTTTCTTGGATATTTTATCTATCAAATACCTCAAAATTTGGCTGGTGATGTTAACAACGCTGATAAAGTTAACAGAGTTTTTCTGGGTATTTTGGATGTAAGTCTTTTTTTTCTTGTAATTTTTAATTCGACAAATATGTATAACAAACTCATTAATTTACACCACACTTTTTTATTAGAATGCGTTGCAAAACAATGAGAGCGCACAAACTGTATATCAAAAAGCATTGTTTGCTTTAAGAACAACAGTCAAACTAGTTCGGAATGTGCCTCAATGTTCTATTGGACTTGCCTATGCTGCTGGATTATTTCCAGATTTGAATATTGAAGAAAATACAACCAATGGCTAATAATTTTGATATTTTTATTATATTTTTGAAAGTTTTATTTTTTATGTTTGTAAATTTCGCATAGTACTTTATGTAGACGAGTTTATTGCAAATTGATTCCCTCATTACCTTGACACTTTTGGACATTGATCTTTTATTGATAAACATTCATCTTAAATTCTTTTGGTTTTGCATTGGTTATATGTCCATTGTTATTTTCTGATTAATTTTTGTTCTGATTCTTATTTAGAGTAGCTTTTCTGATTAGCATGAAGCCTTTCCTGTGCTCTTCTCCTTTACAAATAGATAGTGATGACAATGACATAATTGTAGATTACGAAGAAGCGGGTAGTGATAGGTATGTATTTTTTTGTTTCTTTAGATCTTTCCTACACAAATGAATTTTCATCGCATATTTTGTTTTTTAAGGAAATGTGTTGTTCTTTCTGACGACGAGTGCAAGGTCAATTCAAATGGAAATTTTCCTTCTACCTCATTAAAAAAGGTTTGTATTTATGTTGTCAATTTTATTTTTTGTTCAGGATGAGGTGAATGGTTTAGTTTGCGAACCTAGAACAAAAAAGAAGGCAGATATTATTTGTATTGATGACGATGATCTTCTTAAACTTAGTGACGATGATGATTTGCCTGAATATACTGGTAAACACAATATTCCTCTTGTTAGACTGGCACAAGAAACGTTGGATGCTGAGAAATCTGAGAGGGAAAGACGAAAACGATTGGAAGAATCTAAAAGTGTTTTTAATGGTATTGAATTAAATACTGACGATTCGGGATGTAGCACCTTTGAATGTACAGGTATGTTTTTAAATAATTTTTGCTCGCCTTTTAAAAAGTTTTTCTGTTTTAATATTTATATTATAAGATGAACACGGAAATCCAACGTTAAAAAGTGTAATTTTGGACCGAGATAGTGAGAGTGAAGCTCCAATTCCCGTTCGAGTACATCCATTTCTCGTCAAAGTGTTGAAGAAACATCAGGCTGAAGGAATTCAATTCCTCTATAATTGTACAATAGAATCACTTTCTCGATTGGATGAACCTGGTGGTGGAGGTAAAAGAATTTTTTACTACTTTAATTTTTTATTTTATAAATCTATAGCAATACTTGGTCATTGTATGGGTCTCGGAAAAACTTTGCAAATTATTGCGTTTCTTCACACTATTTTGACGCATGAAAAAATTTCAAAGAAAATCAATAAAGTTTTGGTAGTTGTTCCTAAAAATGTTGTTTTAAATTGGATGAATGAATTTGAAAAATGGCTTTATGGAGAGACTGATTCGATTAATGTATGTTTTTGTGTAATTAATTTAGTATTTTTATTTTTGTTAGTATTTGGAATTAGATTCTTGGAAGACTCATGAGGAACGTCTTAAAACAGTTAAACGTTGGATTAATTATGAAAGACCTGCTGTGCTTATAATTGGTTATGAACTATTTAGAATTCTAACTTTTACTGATGAGGATAAGGCTAATATGAATAGGAATCGAAGGAAGAATCTACCCTTGAAGAGGAAATTATTGACTTTAAATGAAGAAAAGTTAGCAAAGCTTCGGCCGCAGTTTTGTGAATATCTACAGAATGGTAAGTACTTTTGTGGGAAAAAGTGATGTCCGCTAACCTAAATTTTGGCTTTTGTTAAGTAAAGCCGTGCTGGGCTATTTATTTCATTTAGTGTAAAATGTTATTCGACGTCTGAGAACGAACCAGCATCAGTTGACCAGACTGATTTGGTATCCATTATACCACGCAGCCTCCTGCACGTCCTTAGGAATTAAATGCTATACTTTACGATGTAGTTTTGTTAATTTAATTAATTTGGCGCATAATTATTTTTTATCGGTTTTAACTAAAAAATTTTTGGTCTAATTGTTGCAAATTTTCAATATGAATAATTTATATATATTTTTGTCATACTATTAAATCGTCAAATATCGGTTTATTATTTGCCAAATTAAAAATCTTAATTGGTGAATAACAACCTAGCAAATCAAAATCCAAAATTCATGTGTAGCGGACATTACTTTTGCACACATTTTTATATTTTTCTAGCTCCACATTTAATTGTTTGTGATGAAGGCCATAAACTCAAATCACCTTCAACAGGGCTTTTCCATACAATTAATAGAATAAAAACGAAGAGAAGAATTTGTATGACTGGAACACCTCTACAGAATAATTTAGAAGAGTATTATTGGTTTGTATTGAATTTACCTTATTTCAGTAAATAAAACCGTACCCTGAATAGGAACCCCACCCTGAAATATAGCCCTTGGATAGTTGAAAAATTGAGCCTCATGGGGGCTTTTTTTCGGAACTATGTTTTCTATAAATACATTTTTTTTCTACTCTTACGAACTGCCTTTTATTCATTCAGACTACTCAAAAAATCTTTAAAGGGAGAAAAATAAGACGGAGCACACCTTAATATGTTCTATATCTTTTTCTACATTTATTCTTAATTAATATTTAAAATTTAAGTATGGTCAACTTTGTAAGGCCAAATCTTCTTGGTAGTCTTGATGAATTTAAAAGCCGTTTTTCTAATATAATAAAATGTGGAAGGGCAAAAGATGCAAGTGCTTACGATGTTCGTCGCATGCGTAGAAGATGTCATGTACTTTTTGATCGACTTAAATGTGTCTTGGATTGGCGGGATTATAGTGTTTTGAGGTTGTTTTGTAAATATTTCTACTTTTATTTGATTTTTAAAAGGAATTCTCTTCCTCCAAAACAAGAATACGTTATAAATATTCGCCTAACTAAAGTTTATTTAATTTATAAATTTAAATAAAGTATTTTAAAGGTCCAAATTGATTTGTATAAAAAATATTTGGATTTTCGAAATTTAATCGAGGAAAGACGTTGTGCAAGCGGTGAAGTCGGTATTAGACTTCTTTATGATCATTTGATGTTTGTTTTTAATTTTTTCCCTAGTATTTTATCCTTTTTTAAAAAATAGAAATGGTTTTTTGGAGTTGGAAGGATAAAATAAAAATTTAGCAACTAAACAATAATGAAAAATTGTTAATTGTTACTTAATAAGTTAATAATTTAAGTCTTTATCGTGTTTGGACGCATCCATATCTTTTGGTAGAAAAAATGAAACTTGAGCAAAATAAATCTTCTCAAACTGCAATTGATGATTTTATTGTTGATGATTATGTATCTGACACAGAAAGTAGTGATGCTGATGATATTGTCGTTATGTAAAATTAGTTTTAAAATTAAAAAAATCTTATTTTATAGGAATAATCCCTCAACTTCTTACAATAAAAATGAGTTCGAAAGGAAATCTTTGAAGAGAATGCATAATGATCTCAAAATAAATAATTCTTCACCTTCTTTAGAAAATTGGGCAAAAGATTTAGTTTCTGAAGATGATCGAGATAATTTTGCTTTAAGCAACAAATTACTACTTCTTATTGAAATTATTAAAAAATGTGAAAAGATTGGAGATAAATTGTAAATTTTAAAGAAATTAATTAAAATTAAACAAGAATAATTCAAAAATCTATCTAACTTATTTGTCAATTAACACTTTTTGATTAAACTATCAGAATGTGCTAAAAATATAATTCGATCCCACCAAGAAAATAAAAGGCCTGTAACTTATAAAATTTATTTCTTTTCAGACTTGTTTTTTCTCAATTTTTGAGTTCTATTGCTCTTATGGAACGAATGCTAAGATATTTTACTCGAAATTCTGGGTGGTTTGTGGATGGACATCGAGCTTTAATGATGGCAGATGGGGAAAAGTGGGGATGGCATAAAAGCTTGGATTATTCGGTTATTGATGGAAGTGTTTCTATTGTTTTACGTGATCAAATTCAAAAGGATTTTAATGATCCTTTAAATTTAAGGTTAAATTATAAATAAAATTTAATTAAATATTAACTACTAAATTATAGAAATCGTCTTTTGCTTATTTCTACAAAAGCAGGCTCTTTGGGTACTAATTTGATTGGGGCAAATAGAGTTGTTATTTTTGATTGTATGAAATTTATTTATTTTAAAAATTAAAAATTTTTTAGGTTCTTGGAATCCATCTCACGATACCCAGAGTTTATTTAGAGTTTATCGGTTTGGACAAGTTAAGCCTGTTTATATATACAGATTTGTTGCTCAGGTTGTAATTTTTATTTTTGTTTTTAAATTATTTTTTTTTCAATTGTTAGGGGACGATGGAGGAACGTATTTACAATCGACAAGTAACCAAGGAATCAATAGCAAAACGAGTTACTCAAGCTGCCCAAATTCAAAGACATTACACGAGTCAGGAATTAGAAGAAATGTATCTATTTGAACCAGATACTCTTTCAAATGATCTTGATGGACAAGGACCTCGATTAGACCCTCCAAAAGATCGTCTTTTGGGTGATATTATTTTGGAGAAAACGGATGCAATTGTTAGTTATCATCCACACGACATATTATTCGACGAATTGGAGGATGAAAGACTTAATGATGAGGTACTGAAATAAATAATTTATTTAAAAAATTTCTTTTAAAATAGGAACGAGCAGAAGCATGGAGGGACTATGAGAGAGAACGTGCAGGAATATCTTATGATGGTGGACCTTTTGGTACTCAAGCACTTCCACCACTCATCCCCGCAACTCAACTTTTTCAACAGCAACAGGCTTATCAATTGGCATTACAACAACAATTCCAGTTTTCTAAATGTGAATTATTTTATCAATACCCTGGGACGTGGGGAAATTTCCGCCCAATTTTAATCACCTTTCGATCACCCTTTTTTTCTTTATATAAAAGGAAGCCTGCTCCTTCCCTCACAAGGGGGAGGATTTATGAATAACACCCTTAAATCTTTATTTTAGCGATGGAACTTCTTTTCCAATTATATCGAAGTGATCGAATTTACAATAGAAGTTTAAAAGTAAATGGAATGACACATCAAATGGCAATGTCAATATTTAAAATAAAGACATTTCTTGCTTATTTTATTTATTTTGTTCCGAAAAATTTGTCAGGCAAAATAAATGATTCTGAGGGAGTTAAAAGATATTTTGTATCTATTGTTGATGTAAGGAATAAAAAAATTTTTTTAGAAAATTTTCTTTAATTTTTAGCAAGCAATGCAACAAAATGAAAGTCCACAAGTTCTCTATGCAAAAGCTTTATTTATTTTAAGCACTACAATTAATTTGGTTAAAGATTTACCCCAATGCAGTATTGGTGTTCGTTATATTTCCAATCTCTTTCCTGATATTGAAAAAATTGGCAGGAATATATTATAAATTATTTGAAAAAAACGTTTTTTTTATTTTATTATTCTTGTGATTTTGCTTAATTAGATGCAATGTTTGAATTTTTAAATGAATGTTTTGTATTTTTGTAAAGCTTGCATCTATTAATTTTTCACACTTTTATATATTTCATTTGTAAATGTGGAAATGAGATAAATTTGTAAGAGATACGTTTGTTCTGCTAATATTTTAGGAAAGAAACTCGTGATTTGAAAATAACAAGTTAGAATGAGGTAGCTTAAGAATGAAATTTTTTGAAATTTTAAGCTTTAGGATGAGTAAATTTACTATCAGATTTCGCTAGGATTCATATCACAATGATGAGCTTTTTGAGAGCTGAAAATGTTTTTATTAAATTAAATCAAATCGTCCATTAGTTCGCCACTAGTTAAATGTGCCGTTTAATTTTGTTACATGAATTGGGTTTATATTTCCATTTTAGTACCAGAACTTTCGGCCCAGTTAGTATAGTGGTTAGTACTTCTCGTTGTGGCCGAGACGACGCAGGTTCGATTCCTGCACTGGGCATCGTTTTTCTTAAAATTATGTTTCTGTCATCAACGGCGTAGCCAGAGCGCCAAAATTTTAAACGTCAAAATTTTGGCACACACCTAATTTTAGCCCCCTTAAATCGCCCTAGCTACGCCCTTGTCTGTCACAACTAAAAAAATTTTTTTTAGAAATTTTTTCAAAATTATGATTATTAAAATTTATAATTAAAGAAATACAATAAATAATGTCAAACAGGAAGTGGCAGTCAATCGCTACAATTAATTCATTTTTTCACGTCTTTTCAAGTCAAATATTTTTCACTGGGTTTCGGCTAATTGCTCTATGATAAGCATAAAATTCCTTAAGTTTTGTTGTCGTCTCAGCAATTGGCTTGAAAATTTTTAATTAAAAAAATTATTTTTAAATTCTAACCAAATTCATTCTATTTTCATCTTTTTCTGCAATTTGAAAAAGCATTTCAATATGAACTAATGGCAATAAAGAAAGCATTTCATCTGGGCCTTCACTACTTTTTGTCAAAGGATTAATAATAATTTGTTGTGCAGTCTTCTCATTTAAATGTTTTTTGATTGTTTCGATTTGTACCAATAAAATTGAAAATGCATCTGACAAATCTCCATAATCAATTAATAAACGAAGTAAATCACCAAAATTAATTTCCTATAAAAATTAAAATTAGTACAGTCGATTTTCTACATGTCACATATCAGAAATGAGAGGACATAAAAGGGAAAATGGGAGGGGAAGGGAAGACGTTATCGAGGGCTTCTATTGTTTTATCTTTATTTATTTATTTATTCAAAAAATTAAAAATATACAACGAAAAAAACATTTTTAAAATTCTCATTATGTCTCTGTTATGTTAATAAAAGAACAAAAGGGGGCTTTAAAAATTAATTTAAATAACTAACAGAATATTTTTGAACAAGCCAAGCAGGCAATTTTATAGAAAATTTAAGAAAAACATTAGCAACTGTCCGAAGAATTGAAGAATCGTGGGGAGATAGTTTAAGAGATAAATCCAAATAGGAAATAACAATACGCCAATGTGGTTTTTGATTTCTAAAATTAAAAAAAAATTATTTAAAAATATTTCCCTATAAATTCAAACCCTCCAATGCTTAAATCTCTAATAAAATTTGAATTACAAAAAACCCATTCAGGCAACTTTTCTTCCTCATCTTGTCTATCACTCTCATTAATTTCTTTTTTAATATATTCATTATTTAATTCATTATCAATTCGAATTGCTTCTTCCGTAATTTGACCTAATAAATCATTTGGCTTTAATCCATATTCTCTATAAAAAATTTTTTTAAAATTATTATGAAATAAGAAAACTTTATTAATAGCCAAGCCATATCATAACGTTTATAACGAAGTGATTCGTATAAAATTCCAGCCTCTTCCAAAGGAGGAACTATTGTTGGGTCAGCATCAATTAATGCAAGTCTAGCTTCTATTTTAAGTAATTCTCTAGAAATGTCTGCTTTTGTAATTAAAAGTTGTTTTTTATTTGGTTCTAAAAAACAAATTATTTATTTTAAAATAAATATTGAAATAACCACTAATATTTCCATCAGTATCAACAAATTCAAATTCTTCATCTATCTCTTCTGGTGATTTCTCTCTGTCAATGTTTTGCTAAAAAATAATCGTGTAATTAAAAACAAACATTTTCCTATATTTTAAATTATTTAGATAACATAAAAACCCCTCCAAAAATCAAAAAATATTCCAAAATTATTTTGTATATACCTTTTCTTCAATATCATCCAAAACAATCAAAACCCCATCATTTTTATTATTTTCAAAAATTTGTATAGTTTGAAAGATTGTCGCTAAAGTATTACATCTTCTTTGTAAAAGTGCTTGGTCCTGAATTTCGCTTCTTAAACGAATTGAAAGTTCATACATTAATTTGGCAGCTTTAAAAAAATAATTTTAATTAAATCTTCACTTATTTAAACCTTTAATATATTCACATCTAGATATGTGAAAAGCATATGCAATATTGTACATACTATAACTTCCAGTTCCACTTCCAACCATTTCTGCCTTACAACGAGCTTCGAGTATTTCAACTACCATTTCTGCCAATTCCCCATAAGGAAGGGCAACAAGAATTTTTGTTTGTTGAGTATCCAATAAATGAGTAATTAATTGATAAAGACAAACAGATTGTCTGTTTTTATTTGGATTTTGAAGAACAGCACGGACAGCTTCCCAATAAGTTTTGGTTAATAAATGTTGAGTAAATAATGTTGCATAAACTTCTGACTAGAAAGAAAAAAAAATAAATTTTTTTAATTAAAAATAATAATTCTTCAACCAAAAGTAATTCATCTCTATCAACATTTGCATGTTTTACAGCCATACTTCCAGCCAAAATAACATATTCAGAATGTTTATGTTCTTTAAATATAAACATAATCTATAAAAAAAAATATTATTTTTTTCAATCAAAAAATATTTCCCTTACTTTATTATAATACTCAACAAGTGAATGTTTATTATTATTATTTTTTATTGTTCTCTCATCAATAGGATAATTATTATTATTTTGTTGTTGTCCATTATTTGTTAATAAATTAATAGATGGTGATGGATATAAATTAAAAAGTAATTTATTCAAAACTTCATCTCCATTTTCAATTCCTTTCGAAATTTCTTGAAATATTGTCCAAGCAGTTTCTGGTTTATTTTGTCCAGAACAAGCTATTGCTTGAAGAAATTGAAAAGAATAATTTAATTCTGATGGAAATGGCTCATTTAAAGAACAATAATTCTAAAAAAATTTTTGTAAAAATAATTTCTAATTATTTTACTTTTAAAGCATCAAAGAAATTGCTTTCTGCCAAAAAACAAGGCAAAGTTAAAGTATGCGATTCTGGCCAAAGAACATTTAACATTCCTTCAATTAAATCAGCAAAGAAACGACCAAAACTACTTTGTTGATTTTGTTGTTGTTGCTCTTGTTTTGTACGAGAGTTTTTAATAACAGTGTCATCCCAACGCGAAGGCGGAGGTAATAAATGCATATTTGGAATCATTGAACTATAGGAAATGTCATCAGAATGAGTTATATATTCTCCATCGTCAAACTAAAAATATACAAAATCATAACATTAAAAGATGAATTGATTTAAGGTTAAATATAAGCCGTAAATGAAGAACCAAAATTCAGAAATTTTAGGAGCAAGGAAATTGAAACTTTTTATCGAAAGTTTTTAGAGTTATGGAATGGATTTCTCAACAATTTTTAAAGTTTCAAAGTTCCCAAATAAACGAAATTAATTGTATTAATTCTCATTTTGACTCTCTCTTCACCTGTTCATCTTCATCTAATCCATCAAATTGGTCATTTTCAATAATTTCCGGGTCTTCCAAGTCATCTTCCATCATTTGATTATCTACAATTCTATTAGCAATTGCTTCATTATCAATTATATCTTCTTCTTCTCTACTCATTAGTCTTTGAGTCATAACAAATTTATCATTTACTCCATATTTTAAAAATGCTTGGGCAACATTTATTTGTTTCGGAATGTTGTCGTGACTTTAATTAATTTTTAATTTAGAATAAATTTTTAGAGAAATTCGTTAAAAACCTAACAAGACGAACAGATAAAGCAATCCACAAAGTAGTGTAATAATTAATTGATTGAGCCACTCGACTATTATATGTACTAATTACCATTGCCAATTTTGGATCTAAACGATCCTCAGACTTAAAAAAGAATTTCTTAATTTATTTTAATTTAAAAAATTTACAGAAATTAGCAATATTTGTGGAATAACATCAACAAGACTATTAATTAAACAAGCAATTTTAAGACGTGCCAAAACTACAGTTCGAAAAGCCATAGCAATTAAAGCAACAGTAAAATTTGATTGAAGAAAATGAGAACGAAACTTTACCACTAAAAATATTTTTTAATGTTTTTAAAGTAAAAATAAGACAAACAGTTGCATGGATTTTTTGTCAATAAAGGAGATGCACGAGAACCAAAACTGCTAATTAAACGACAAACTTCATCTGAATTGTTATTTACTAATTCTGAAGTTTTATTTGGATTGCTTAATTTTGAAGGCTAAAATATTTGTTTAAATAAAAAAAAATATTTTAGATTTATACATTGCTTGGACGAACTATATCAAAGATTAATTTGGCAATTAAATTTGTTGGTTTACAAATTGCTTGCATTTGATCATCTGGAGGTAAATAAGTTGTAAAGCGACACTTGAAAAAATTTAGAAAAATTACTTTAAAATAAAAATTTTATTTTTTACTTTCTGAATGACGCCAATTAAACCAGTAGATCCAGAATGCCAAAAAGCTAAAGGCTCTAAACTTTCTTCTTGAAGTTGGTCACATGTTTTAAGAAAATCTGCCCAAAATTTTTCATATGCTTGTTTAATTTTTGTTTCATCATGTAACAATTCAGTGTCATCAACAGGATCGCCAATATCAAGATAAAGCTGTTTAAGCTTAACAAAAAATAAAAAAATATTTTTATTAAAAAGAAACTTGTCCAGAAGAGAGAAAGTCATCTAGCAAACGACTTAAAGCAATCCAATTTCCATATTCAATTCCATGTTGTGGTTGTTTACAAACAATCTAAAAGTAAAGAAAATATTTAAAAAAGAAAAAATTGTTTAATAAAAATGTTTGTTCATAATTAACGAATTTCTCTATTTTCTAGGTTGATTTTAAGTCTAGAAAAAAGTCGTTTCTCAACTGAGACTTTTATTTGGAGCCAGAATCACCAATAACTGAGACTTTTATCTTTTTTCCTTTGGATAAAAAAAGAATAGGTTTATATAAAATAATATGTATTTTAAAGGTATTAAACAAAAATAAAAACCTGAACAGCTCTACTAACAACATCAAAAGAATAATTATTTCCATCAAAAATTCGATTTTTTATTCCTTCAGAGTTTTGATATTTAAAAAGTCGATTATCAGCAGTACAACTAGAAGAAGCTGGACGAACACTTTCCCACACAAAACTTTGTTGATTTTCTGAAGTAGCCAAATAAGAATTAAATTCACATTTCATTAATGTATATGGCTGTAATTCTTCATCGGAATCCCAAATTTCTGGTGGTTCATTGACAATAACCCAAATACAATAATTCTCTTGTTTATTATTGGAAAGATTTGAGGAAATAATTCTTGCAGTAAAATCTTTAATGTAAATCTTCAAAAAAATAAAAATATATTTAAGAATAATTTTTAAAAAAATTACATAATCAAGTGATGTTGAAAAGCAAACATTTATATTCTTTCCATTTTGTTTTAAAAGAAAGAACTGAAAAAGGAAAATAAATAAAATAATTGTCTTAATAGAATATCGAAAGAAATAATTCCCATGTTCATCATTTGATACAATTAAATATTTTTTCACGAAAAGTTAATTTTTTCGAACAATCTTTTCATAAATTTCCTATGGTTTATGTTAAAATTTTTCTGTTAGATTTTATCTGCTCCCTCCCCTCCCGAAATCCAATATATGGGAACAACTCGAACTTAAAATAAAACGTACATGACTGCCGCCTGAAAGAAGTAAATGAACAAGCAAAAACTCAGATTTTCCTATTTGTCCATGAGAAGGTTGCACAACACGAAGAGAAATGTCTTCAATTTGTCGACAAGTAAACCCTGGAGTTTGTCCAATTAAATCAAAAATTGACAAAATATTTCCAGATGAAGCATCCAAAACTCTAATCTTTCCATCATGTGAAACGCTAAGAATTCGTAATTCACCAGAATCACTAGTCACAACGGCTGCATCAAAAATACCAACCGGTTGTTTTTTAAATAATGATGCAAGCATTCCAACATCTTGAAGTAAATATTCCTCTAAAAATTAATAAAAATTATTTTTTTATTAGCACTAGCTGTTTAATTATATTTGATTAATATTGCGGAAATAACCAAATAAAACCTGCTATAGCCGTTGCCATTGGACTTATAGACGGATAAATAATACGTAAAACAGGTCCATCCAACATCCGAACAACTGCTTTAGTTGAACCATTTTGGTCAGTACCAACAGATAAACTTGTTGCAATTCCAGGACTTTTCCAAGCATTAAAATCGTGAGTGGCATAAAGTTCCCCAGACTGATGCAATCGACATAGAATAGAAAGATTCCCCTGCAATTTTTAAAATAAATACAAAAAATTGTACAAGAATTACTAAAGAATCGTCCTGGTTTCTATCCAAATGAATGTAAAAACGGTGAATACCCGACTGTGTTGGTACAATAATTAAGAAAATTTTATGTCGAACAACAAATAAACGCGTTCCAGGAATAATAAGAGAATGTGAAAAATTAAAACAAAGTGAGGAGTCAATGAGATCTTTGTCAATAGAATACTCATTTAAATAGAGATTTGTTCCATCTGCACGCCTAAATTAAATTTAATTCAAAACTATAAACATTTTCTATGAATTTTACCAAATTATAAATCTATTTTGCAATCCAATCTCGTTAAATGCAAATGAGCCAGCAGATTTCCCTACTTCAGCACTAACAACAGTCTTTACTGGTAAATCTAAATATTTTTGTAAAAAAACAAAAAAATAAAAATTTATAAACCTGTTGTAATTTTAATAATGTTAGGATTCCGAGGTATAAAATAAGATTCGCCAAAAGCTAATTCGGCACCAGAAAAGAGATCCATATGAAACTAAAAGAATAAATCGTCTAAAAAATTTAATATAAATTAAAAACTATAATAAGGCAAAAATAAACTCTAAAAATAAATCCAATATTCTCCAAAAATATTTAAAAATCAGACTAACAAAGTATTTAAAACAATATGTATTTTACGCAATATTAGCAGCGCATGAATATAAATATTTACAAATAACAAAGAAATAAAGGCCGGATAGTGAAAGTATTTATGTGTGTAAGACTGCCGAAATGTCAGAAATTTTTCGATCTTACCACAATTACGAAAGGTCAGAAAAAGTAGATAAACCCGGTTTCTAGCAGCAGGCTTATAAAATATATAAACTCAAAATACAAAACAGATAGCTGAATAATAATAAAAATTCACATCCATAGAAAATCTCCTTTTTTTCATTTTTCTTGTTCCGAATCTGACCCTTCTGTATATTCCCCTTCAGATGAATCCAATTTTTCCTGTAAATCAGCCTCATCTTCCGAATCGTGATATTTAACTTGTGGAGGCTCTCTTGCTGGATGCACTTCCATCTTTTTTTTAATTAATTTTAGAAAAACTATATAATATCAAAAACATACTTTAACATCAACTGAATAATCAAAATCCATATAAGAATCGCATCTGACATGTAAAGTATATAAATGGTTGCCTTTTTGTGAAGGAGCTGCAAAACGTAGATCCAACTAAAAAAAGTAACTGACAAAGAAATATTCAAAAATTAACCGTCTTTTCTTTATCAAGTGTCTTACAAGGAACCAACGTAACAAATTTTCGAGTTTTTCTCTCAAGCAAATATACATACCACCATTCATATTTATCACCAGGATAGTAAGGACAATGAACTTCGTGATAATTTGTTGGTTCACTTTCTAACAAAACTTCCTTTTTTGTTACAAAATCATCATCAAGTTCGTCATTTTCATTCCAATCATCATCGTCACTAGAAGAAGGCCCTCCATATTTACCTCCTTGATGTTCCTAAATTTACTAAACTTTTTTAAAAAATGTTTAGCAAAAAAAAACCGTTGATTCTCTATCACTAGTTTCATTTTCTTCATTCTTACCAGAAACAGTTTCATCATCAGACTCGCTTCCGAAATCATCACTTTGATCAGAATTATTTTGTTTTTTGTCAATAGGTTTGATTTGATTGTTATCTGTTATTTCTTTGTCTGTTTTCTCAACATTTGTATTTGTCTCCTCGCTTGGCTCATTTATTGGCATATTTTGTTTTTGAGGTGGTGCCTTTTTGGACTAAAAAAATTAAATTCAATTAAAACCATAATTACCTTTTGTGTCGGTTTGCCCCCTTTCTTTGGCTTTTTCTTTGGCTGCTTTTCCCAGACTTTTCGTTTATTTTGTTTTTGTCCATCTTCTTCATCTCGATTATCATCAATGGACTTTTCCCACTCCTGTTGAAGTTGTAAAGCTGCTCCTTTCTTTATCCCTTCTGCAATTTCCTCCTTTCGTTTTTCCAAGTCCAAAAGAGGAAATCTAGTAAGTGTAACTTTTAAAGTAACAACAGAGCCAATTGTAACAGTTTCCTTATCATCCTCTCCTTGGACTTAAAAATAAAGAATTTAATTAAAAAAACCTTTTAATAACCTTCAACTTTTGTTTCAATTTCCAATCTTGGCATCATTGAAAGAACATAAATAACCTTCAAAAAATAAAATTATTTCATTTAATTTTTTAGTTAAATTAACATCTTCATATTGATCAGAGGTGATTGTATTGAGCAATGAACGTCTTTTTGATTCATTTAGTTTAGCCAAATCCTGACAAGTATTTACCCGATACTTTAAGAAAATTAATAAATTTACAAAATCAATAAAATACTCTTTTCAGTATGGCCAAATTTCTTTCAGCAAGATGAGGAAGTTGAAGCAAATTACTGTTTCTCGGCCAAAGTGCTTGTACCATCATTGGAAATATTCGTAAGGAATTTTCTAAACAATCGATAGTTGGTGTTCTTTGCATTGGCCATTGCATCATTTGAAGAAGAATGCGAAGAAATTCTTCAGTCAAAATTAAAGATTTGTTTACCATGTAATTTTGGTCTAAAATATTTTTTAAATTAAAGGTTTTAGTGTTTGGTTTTGACGGTATTTTGTCTAATAATTGATTTATTAAATTTCTATAGGGTTGGCCTATATTTTTGACTTAAAATTTAATAAAGATAAAATGGCCCTATGTGAAAGGATGCCGGCATCATATTTTTCCTCATTTCCTTGAAATGGTGATTTTTCCTTAGTTTGTTATTTTTCCTTAATTTATTTTTCCTTAACCAAAGACAATGTTTTTCTTTTAATTTTTTCGGACGGAGTTATGTTTGGACCGAGTTTTGGTAGAACCAGTTATGTCTGGACCGAGTTTTGGAGGACCGTGTCTACCAAAACTCGATCCAAACATAACTCCGTCCGAAAAAATTCAAAGAAAAACATTGTCTTTGGTTAAGGAAAAATAACAAACTAAGGAACATTTCAAGGAAATAAGGAAAAATATGATGCCGGCATTCCTTTCACATAGGGACGATAAAATTATTTAAATATAAATTACCAGTCATTAAATGCTCGGAAGGCAACGTAACTCTAGTCAAATAGGCGTGAAGCAAAGTTCTTGCCTTTATACTCCACGGCAAAGAAAGAATTTGTTCCTTCCTCTTTTCTCCTAAATTTTTCAATTCTCTCATAACAATTGGAATTTCCTTGTCATCACTTTCTCGTTCAACAATTTCTGTATTTAATTTTTTACAAAATTCAAAAGATCCAGCCAAAACCATTATAATTCCTTTTAAAAAAAATTATTTATTTAAATTATAACTAAAAAATACTATTAATTTGCATGTTTGGAGTCTTTTGCAAAAAATGGGCAAAAAGTCTAGATGTTTCTAATAAAACTTTATCAGCACTATATTTTATTGAATTATACCACCACATTCCCTAAAAAATTTTATATAAATTAAAAAAAAAGCAAAGACTAACCACTCCAACTGGAAGAACAATCATAAAAACTAAAGTATACAATGCAAGAACCCAATTCCCGTATTGTTCACTAACAATCCATTTCGGTAAAGCAATTCCAAATGTTGTTGCTTAAAAAATAATAGTACAATTTCGATAAAAAATGCCAAAAATTAAATGACGACTCTACTAAAAACAAAAATAAAGGTTATGGAAATTTGCATTTCAAAACTAGTCGTCTAATCCAGTGACATCCGACTCAATCTTTTGATTGACATATAATTTAGGTTTTTCAAGAATTTTAGAAATTTCAAAGTTCATTGGACCGTCAGAAGGAGAAAACAATTAAAAAACATTTCCCAACCTTTTGGCCCATCAGGATTTCCATAAAGACGCCAATTCTCTCTGGATTCTTCGTCAGTTAATGCTTTATAAGCTTTAACAATTGCATCAAAAGTTACTGGATCGCCACCTAAAATAATTAAATTTAAACTAAAAATTTAATTTAATTAAAAAACCTTTATCTGGATGGTGTGTTTTTGAAAGTTCTCTGTATTTTTTCTTAATTTCTGTCACATCAGAATCCTTTTAAAATTAAATTATTTAACAAAAAAAAACATTTAAAAAACCATACAATATCAATTCCCAAAATTTTATAAGGGTCATATCTAAATTTTAATTATTTTTTTAAATGAATCTTTAAATTAACTCTTCATATTGTTGTTCCAATTGAGAAACTTTATAGGCCAATAAAATAAAAAGTATCCACAAAATAATTAAAATAATTCCTTTAATAACACATTTAGCTTTTTCCCAAGGTTTTATTTGCTCTTTTTTGTAACGTTTTTGTAAATCCCCTTCACATCTACATCCCCTCTTTAAATATTCTATCCTCTTTGCTTTAAAAAATAAAAATTATTTTTAAATAATTTTTAAAAAATATTACGAAGTGACGGCCATAAGAAGTGTGTCAATGGGAGGAGTATAACAGCAAAAAATGAAACAATAACATAATAAAAAGTATTTCCAATTTCATCATACTCAAATTGTGCTCTGGGCATGGCTACCCTAAAAAATTAAAAATCAGAAAAAATCAGAATAAAACAAAATTTCATGACGACGCTTAAAGAAAAAGTAACAACGCGGCGTTAAAATAAAAAAAACAGAATGCCAAAAAATTATTAAAGTTTGCCAATTCAAAATCTTTTATCGCAAAATTAAGAAAAGCTGGTTTGTTCAAATCAAAGAGATTATAAACAATGATTGCTACTATTTATTCCAAAAATCTAAATAAATAATCAATTAAAATTATGTTTATAGTACATTGCAGCCAAATAAGAAAATATTAACAATTTTTATCTGTTTGCATGGAAAAATAGGCTTGTAATTTTTATATGAAAGGGGTTTTGAAGGCAACACAACACTTGTAGCCAGACATTTGCGGGCTGTCACTACTGTAATCTTTGAGAAGGAGCAGAATAAAATAACATCAGAAAATAATTATTAAGTGGTTTTATAACTCTGACAATGAGAGATAATGTTACTACATAAGTACGTCCAAATATGATTAAATTATAATTATCTTTTTACAATTTTTGTTTAGTCCTAAGCCACAGGTGTTGCGTCTCATCTTTGAGGTATACATAAGTGAATTTCCAAATTTAAACATTTAATTTTTTTCTCTTCCTACTAAAAACCTTTTAAGTCCAAACCCGTCTCTTCTTGAATTTTTTTTTCATTCACAATTTAAAAACCTCTCTCTCCTCATCCTTCAGAATCAGTTACATATTCATATGTCCATTCATCTTCGTCTTCCAATTCTTCTTCAACTTCTTTTTTCTTTTCTTCTATTTTCTTTTTTTCTTCCAATTTTTTACTTTCTGTTATGCTTTCACTCTTTTTATTCTAAAAATAAATTTTCATTAAATTTAGAAAAACATTTTTTACCTCTGATTTTTTAGAATCCGGCTTTTCCATAGAATTATTAGCTATTTCTTTCTTTATTGCCGTTTCCAGTTTTTTGGAGTCCTCAGTTTTTGATGTTGGCTTTGTTTTTGGAGGTGAATCTGTTCTCTTTTGTTCTTCCTTTTCTGGTGCCTTTTTAGAGGGAGATTCGGTTCTTTTTTGTGTCTCCTTTTCCGGTATCTTCTTTGGTGGTAATTCATTCTTCTTTGGTGCTTCTGTTACTGGCATCTTCTTAAGTGGCGACACTTCTTTTTTGCTAGGAGTTTCTTGTACCTTGGTTAGAGTTTCTTTTCCTTTTGACACCTCTTTTTCCAACGATTTCTTAGAATTTGATTGCTCGTTCTTGCTTTCTGTTTCTTGAACTTTCTTGGAAGGTGTTTCTGTTCTCTTTGGCAACTCCTTTTCTAACACTTTTTTGGGTGGTGATGCTGCAGGAGTATTTTTTTCAGTTACCTTCTTAGAAAGCGATTCCGTTTTCTTGGGTGCCTCTGGAACCTTTTTCTGAGGCGATTCCTTGGGTAAATCTTTCTTGCTTGTGGATTCTTGTATCTTTTTAGGCGGAGATTCCGTCCTTTTGGGTATTTCCTTTTCTAGTACTTTCTTTGGTGGCGTTTCTTTGTCCTTTGTGGTCTCATTTTTTCTGGGAGGTTCTGATGCCTTATTAGGTGAGGATTCAGTTCTTTTTGATACTTCCTTTTCCGGTGATTTTTTAGGAGGTGGTTTCTCCTTTTCTGGCACTTTTTTCGGGGGCGATTCTGATCTTTTTGATATTTCATTTTTGTTGTTTGGCTGTTCAGTCTTCTTTGGTACCTCCACTTTTTTGGGTGCTTCTACTCTCTTTGGCGCCTCTTTTTCTGAAACCTTCTTAGAAGATGATTCAGTTTTCGCTGGCACCTCCTTTTTACTTGGAGGTTCTAGTGACTTTTTAGATGGTGATTCTGTTCTCTTGGGTACTTCTTTCTTAATAGGAGGAGGTTCTGGTGCCTTTTTAGGAGGTGATTCTGTTCTCTTGGGTACTTCTTTCTTAATAGGAGGAGGTTCTGGTGCCTTTTTAGGAGGTGATTCTGTTCTCTTGGGCACTTCTTTCTTAATAGGAGGAGGTTCTGGTGCCTTTTTAGGAGGTGATTCTGTTCTCTTTGGCACTTCTTTCTTAATAGGAGGAGGTTCTGGTGCCTTTTTAGGAGGTGATTCTGTTCTCTTGGGCACTTCTTTCTTAATAGGAGGAGGTTCTGGTGCCTTTTTAGGAGGTGATTCTGTTCTCTTGGGAACATCTTTGCTTGTTTGTTGTGAACTTATTTTAGCTGGTGATTCTGTTCTCTTGGGTATTTCCTTTTCTGGTACTTTCTTTGGAGATGAATCAGATCTTTTCGGGGATTCATTTCTTGAGTTAATTTTTGTCTTATCCTCTTTTACTTCGACCTGCTTCTTCGACAAATCATTCTGAATTGGAGGGATTCCTTCTTCCTCCCCTTCTTCATCAGTTACATATTCATATGTCCATTCTTCTTCATCTTCCAATTCCTCTTCTTCAAATTTAACTTTCTTTGGTTCATCCTTTTTCTGATTTTCCTTTATATCTTTTTTAGTTTCATTCTTTAATGTTTCTTCCTTCTTTTTAGGTTCTTGTTCTTCCTTCCTAATTTCCTTCTTAGCCTCTTTTTCAACCTTATTTTTAGGCTCTTCTTTTTCTGTTTCTTCCTTTTTAATTTCTTTCTTAGCTTCTTTTATTGGTTCTTGTGATTTTGTCGTTGCATTCGAATCTATTGTCTTAGTTTTCGACTTTTCATTAACTAAACTCTTTTTCGCCAAATCATTTTCTATTGGAGGTATTTCCTCTTCATCTTCTTCGTCTGTTACATATTCATATGTCCATTCCTCCTCATCTTCCAATTCTTCTTCTTCTACTTTTTTGGGTGGTTCTTTCTTTGGGTCCTTTTTAGGTTCTTCCTTCTTTACGTCCTTTTTAGGTTCTTCCTTCTTTACGTCTTTTTTCGGTTCTTCCTTTTTTACGTCCTTTTTGATTTCTTTGCTTGTGTCCTTTTTAGGTTCTTCCTTTACGTTCTTTTTGGGTTCTTCTTTCTTTACCTCTTTTCTGGGTTCTTTCTTTACGTCTTTTTTGGGTTCTTCCTTCTTTACCTCCTTTTTAGATTCCTCCTTCTTTGCGTCCTTTTTAGGTTCTTCTTTCTTAACTTCATTTTTAATTTCCTTCTTTGGTTCTTGTTTCTTGACTTCTTTCTTAGGTTCTTTTTTAATGTCCTTCTGTGTCTCTTGCTTCTTATTTTCATTTTTATCGTCCTTTTTGGGTTCTCCTTTCTTGTTGGCATCCTTTTTAGGTTCTTCCTTCACCAATTCCTTCTTGGGTTCAGACTTCTCATCTTTCTTCACATTCCCTTTCTTTGTCTCTTCCTTTTTGAGTTCCTTCTTTGATTCCTCTTTCTTTTTAGGATCAACCTGCTTTGTTTCATTTCTTTTAACTTCTTTTTTCTCAACTCCATTCATTTTCTTTGAATCTGCTTCAGCCTTTTTATCCTTTATTGGCAGTTTTTCACTCTTTGGCTTGTCAGCTTCCAATGTTTTCTTTGTCGTAACTGAGGGTTGTTTAGTTTCTTTTTTATCTAGAGTTTTCTTTTCTTCATTCTTCTTAACATCCTTTTTTGTATCTTCATTTTCCTTATTTGAAATCTTTTTACGTGGTTCAATACCATTCTCTTGGGATGATTTTTTATTATCTTCAATTTTCTTTTCATCCATTTTAGTCTTCCCAATTTCTTTTTTATTCTTCTCTTTTTCTCTTCCTTTATCATTTTCTTCGTCAGAATCTTTAATTTTCTTTTTCGGTACTTCTACCTCTCCATTCAATTCTTCACTATATTCGATCTCCTCTTCATCTTCATTTTCTAACTCCTCATCCTCATCACTTTCATCATATTCCCCACTTTCATCGCTTACTGACTCTTCTTCGTCTTCTTCCTTTAAAATGTATTTTATTGTTAGTTTTTATCTTTTATTAACAATTCTTCTCACCTCATCATCAGCAACATCCTCCTCTTCAGGGGGTAATAAACGTAAAAATTCTTCTAGTCTGTTATTTTCTACGGCTTCTTCAAAATCGTGATAATTCTAAAATAATAAATTGCTGATATGTATATATTGTTGAAAATTATTTCAATTTTATAAATTGAGCAAAGGCAAGCTTTTAAATAAAAAATTCTCAAAACTTACCCCTAAATATTCAAATTTATAAAATATTTGGGGCGGTAATGGCACATCAGTTCCGTTCCTGGGATTAACTGCTTTTTCGCGCATAAAATCTCTTTCCATTTCATTTCCACGAACTGTAATGTCTACTTGTTGAAAGGGAACACCCATCCCATCTAGGACCATTAATATCTGCCTAATTTGTTGACGAATCTAAATAAATAAGATGCTTTATTTTTAGTAATTAGGTAGCTAAATATTTTTCCTAAAATATTGGTGACATCAGCGAGGAAATTTAGCACTTTAACTTTATCCACATAAAGGGAACTTTAAACTTTTTAACTTTTTTTAATACTTTAACTTTTCCACATAATCTCTGATCCGAAAGCCTAAATATAATAGTTTATTATAATTATATGGAAGTTATATAGAATTACAGGACAATTACCTTAAAGCCCTTGATGATATAAAATGATTTAATTTATTTATTTAAATACGTGAAAAAAAACAAATTAATTAAAATAAATTTCTTAATTTACTCCTTATTAAATTTATTTTTAAAAATTTTAACAACTATTCATAAAAACAAACTTCTGCATTTCCAGTTACTGTAGAAATATAAACTTTAATATCTTGTTGTCCATTTAATTCAGAAGCGTTTGGAGTAAACATTATTTTGTTTGTTTTTTTTTAATTATCAAAACATTTCTTTTTCCTTTCAAAACGTTCAATATTTTAAATAAAAGAACACTAAAAATAAAACGAACAGAAAACAAATGCCAAAAATATTTTTGAAAAACAAATGGAGCTTTTTTTAAATAAGAGCCACATGTAAATACCTCTTTTTTTAAAAAAGTTAAATAAATTAAAAGATCTCCGATCCGATCGATCCAATCTAAAGTCATGGGGACGGCTAATGTAAAGTTGGGGAAAAGTGGGCGGGAAAGTGTAGGTGAAAGGGTATTTATTTAGATTATTTTAAAAGAATTGAAAGGAGAAAAAAGGGAAGGGGGATAAAAAGGAGGTAAAAACAAAAAAGTAATTTTTTTTTGATAGTAGCTGCAACCAGCTGGCGTTTTTTTCTTTTATTTTCTCTGCAAAACTTAATAGTATATGATTATAGCTCATTTTAGTTATAAACCTTCATTTAACCTCTTAAAACAGAAAGATAAAAAATAGGTAGGTTATTTGATTGTACGACACTTGCGGACCGACTTTTGCGGACCGACCTTTGCGGACGGACATTTGCGGATTGCGGATAGAGATTTGCGGATCGGACATTTGCGGACGACATTTGCGGATTGCGGACCGACTTTTGCGGATCGGACATTTGCGGACCGCTTTTGGGAAAAAAATTTAAAAAATTAAATTAAATTTTCAAAAACGAAAAAAATATTTAAGTTTATTTTAATAACTTTTCGATGAGCAAATTTTTTATAAAAATGGTCAACGTAAACCTATGGGGATTAGGCGAGGCGCTTGTGCAAAACCCTGCGCTTCGCGCAGGGTTTTGCGGCACGCGCCTCGCGGGGAGTCAACGGTCGCTGGGTTCTGGGTTCATAACTTAATCCTATTCCTATCATCGATGACTTCGTCATGCCCGGCTTCCCCCGCAGCTGAAAAAACTCCTCGGATGTATTCTAATAGGTAAGGAGCTAAAATAAACGATCATAATTTTGATTAACTTGTTAGATCGAAAAGATATTAAAATAAACTTAAATATAAAATATTTTTTTTCGTTTTGAAAATTAAATTTTTTTAAATTTTTTTTCCCAAAAGCGGTCCGCAAATGTCCGATCCGCAAAAGTCGGTCCGCAATCCGCAAATGTCCGTCCGCAAAAGTCGGTCCGTAAATGTCTATCCGCAATCCGCAAATGTCCGTCCGCAAAAGTCGGTCCGTAAATGTCTATCCGCAATCCGCAAATGTCCGTCCGCAAAGGTCGGTCCGCAAAAGTCGGTCCGCAAGTGTCGCACTACGGGTTATTTAACGGCCAAAATATTGGCTATAAAAATATTTTTTCTAATTCTTTATTATAGAAGCAAGAATAAAAGTTCTTAAAAATAAAAATTTCCTTTTAGCAAATGACCAATAAATATTAAATATATTACTTAATATAATTTTCTAATTTAAAAAATTTTTAATTTTTACGGGTTCGGGATCTATGACCAAGGTAAATAAATATGTTCATTGTCAAGGATGAAAATCAGTTTTCCAAAGGATTTAATTAAATTTGATAAAAAATCTTAAATCATGAAAGTGGAGAAATGAGAAAAAAGAAAAGGAAAAATTAGAGAGATAAAGAAATATTTTTTAAATTTTTCAAAAATATATCATAATTTATTTTCTAAAAACAATTAACAAAGCTAAATAATTATTTATTTATTTAAACCAACTCTTTTCCTTTCATTTTCTTCTTCCTTAATTTCTTCTTTTAATTCCTCAAATTTAATTTTCCATTTTTCAATTAAATGTTGTTCAACAGGATTTTCATAATTATTATATAAAAATGAGTATATACCTTCTCCAATATTTATTTTCATATTTCTTTCTTGAACAAATGAAGGCAAATTTAGACGATTTTGCATATAAAAAATGTCCGGATATTTTTGTGGTTTTAAATGTTGTTCTTTTGATTTTACTAACATTTCTAATTTTTTCTTTTGAACTTCTTTTCGAACAGTTTCTGGATTTCGAAACATTTGGAGATAACTGTTAGAAATTAAAAATAAATTTAAAAAAATTAAAACACAACAAACTGATTAAAAGGCATCGGTTTTAGTGGAAATTCTTTCTGTTCTGATTTAAGAGGTTGATCCCATTCATACCAATAACGAGGAGATTTTACACCTTAAAATATTTTTAAAAATAATTTCCTTTCCAAAAAATACCCAAAGAATGCAAAGCTCTATCACAACTTGGATCCCATTTAATTTGACAAAAACGAAGAGAAGAAGGCGTAATTTTATCTTCAAAATGTTTGTAAAAAGAATTTGTGTTGAATATACGGGAAGGAAAAGAAGAAAAATCATAACTTTAAAAATAAAAAAAATTTTTTAAATTAATTTCTAAAAATTCGTTAATTAATTTTTAGAGAAATAAAAATTCTCTTGTGATTTTTATATTAAAAGATGGCAGATATTGACAGACATTAGATATTAGAAGTAAGGAAATATGTATATGATCCCAAACTCATTTCACCCAGATTAAGCATTGAAGGGCTAGCAAACCATTAAAAATTATTAAAAAAAAATTTTTTTTGTCAACATCCCCTCTCTTTTAATTAAAAAATTAAATTAAAAATTACTTTTCAAAATATTTGTCAAAATTAATAACTTCAGAATGTCGAAACAAAATAAAAACAAAACGATGATATCCAGTTCCATAAAAAGGCATTGGTTGTATATAATTAATTAAAGTATTTCCATCATTAATTTTTCCATTTAAAGGAATATTCCCAACAAACCAATGAATTATTTGTTTATTTTTATTTAAATGGTTAATTAATAATTGGTCTTTTTCGGGGATTTTTAATTGTTTTATATTATTAATTAATTGTTGTTGTTGGTGGTCTTCTTCTTCAATTAAATTATCTTCTTCATTTTGGAGACCTGGACCTTCCAAATTAAGCATCAAAACTAAAAAACATTTTTACTTAAAAATTCGATCTCGAAGAAAAATATTTTTTTTATCACAGATTCATCCAAATTTCAGAAAATTTAAAATTAATAATTGGCAATAGAAGGATTGGACGTCAATAATAGGACGTCGAATCGCCTTTTCCCTATTCTTGATTGAAAAATTCGATATGTAAATTTAAAAGAGCTCGTCGAATGACAGCGAAATCAACGATATCCGACTTAATTGGCAAAATCCATGGTCTAGATGGGTCAAAAAACGGCAATAATTTTCTAAACTTAATTAAATTTAAAAAAAACCACTAAAAGCCCTCAAAAAATTAATTTTTAAAAAATAAAAGTAAACGTGTGTTAAAGCCAGTTTTATCATCTTTTGTGTCTCCATCATTTTTCAAAATATTTCCAATTTCAATATTTGGAGGATTTGTTGTGTCTGCAGCTTTAATTATATTTCCGAAATAAATATTATTTTGGAAATTTTCTTCTTTTTTATTCCAAAAAATATTCAGATTTTGAACATTATAAAAATAAACTCCAGGCATAAATAAATCATCAAAAATATTAAAATGTTGAAAAAGAGCCAATTGGTTTGAAGAATCAATTTTGGTAAAATCAAGAAAAACTGTGAGAAAATTTATTGAGAAATTATATAAAATTAAAAAAATATTTTTTCGAGTAAATGTTCGTTTCGTTCCCTACCTATTCGCAAGGAGAATTCGCATTTTTCTCTTTTCTTGCATTTTTTGTGTTAGGAAAAGTGCTCATCTCCTTGCGGACAGGAAGAGAACGAAACGAACATTTACCACTTTTTAGAATTTAGTTAAAGTCCTTCCAGTAATTATTTTTAAAAAAAAATTACGTTTATTTTTTATAGCCAAATTCTCCAATTTAACCAAATCTTCCGAAGACAATTTTGTTAAATTTTGTTCCAAACGTTTAAATCCAATATTTAATAAATTTTTTTCTTTTTCATTTTCACCTTAAATATTTATTTAAAAAATAATTATTTAATTTAAAAGAAAACCTTTAATTTTTTCTTCAAAAGATTCAAAAATTGTGTCTGGATCAATTAAATGTAAATTCGGTAAAAGTTCTGGTTTGTGAATTCTTGCTTTATACCAATTATCCAATTCATAAAATCTTTTTTTTAATTTTTATTAAAAATAATTTATTAAAAAAAGGCCAACCTATTCCGAATAAAAGCATCCGGCCCAGCCCAAGCAATTACTCTGGGACGCCAAGGACGAGAAACACGGGGAGTATTTCTCGCTCTTCTAGACTGTTTAACATATAATCTAGCATAAATTGAAGGTTTATACATTCTCTAAAAAATAAATAATTAAAAATTTAAGAATAATTTAATAAAAAAATCACTGGAAAGAAACGGACGCTTCGGCGCAGGTTGCTATGGCGCAAGGAAAAAAATTATTACAAATACTAACTGGAATTGAAGTAAAATATTTATGAAAATTTTTAAGTGAATTTGAATTTTATATAAAAAAATTATAAAATTAATTTACTAAATAATCTTCTCTCATTCAAAAAAATTTTTTTTCATTTTTAAATTTAATATAATAATTTCCAAAAAAAAATATTTATTCATTTTCTTTTTAACTACTGTAGGCTTGTGCAATTAATAAATCGTCTTCTTCTTCAATTAAACTTTCTCCTTTTCTAAATCCATGAAATCCAGCATTTCTTCTTTGTTTGTATTTATTTTTTAATTTTGAAAATATATTCCCGATAATAATTAAAATTAATAAAATAATTGCCCCAAACAATAAATATTTGGGGGAAGGTTTTTCTTGAAGTTTTGTTTTTGGTTTTGAAGTAGATTTGACTATTGAAGATTTTGTTGAAGAGTGAATTGAGGCAGCATCTTTTCTTGGATGTTGCTCATATCTTTTTAAAAATAAAAATAAAAGTTTTGGTTAAAAAAGAGATTGTGTCCTCCTTTCTCTTATTCTTCCTCCTATTAATAAAGATAATGAGTTCTCCTTGAACAAATAAATGTGGGTTATTTAGCTACTAATTAGTTTATTTTAATTTATTACTATATTTACTCTAAATGCTCCCTGGGGAATTATTACTTTAATCCTTAAGCTGGATCTGAGGAAAATAGTTGCTGTTGATTTTCTTTCTTCGATCAAATTGGAATTAAGGTACTAACTATGCCTTTCTACACCTACATCTTTCCCTTCAAAAATATTACAAAATGATTAAAGGCAAATAAAGTTAGGATTAAATTACCGTATTATCTCTGCTAGAATGCCCTTAATTTGAAAATCCCTTCCAATAAATACCCTTTTCAGGATAAATAAAACAAAGATGATCCTCTTCATTTGAATGCCTCTTCTAATAAAATGGCCTTTTGTAGTATTTGTGATTGAAGAATAGGATGGACAGCCATTCTATTAGAGATAATACAGTAATTTAATCCTAACTTTATTTGCCTTTAATCATTTGTAATAATTTTGAAAAAGGGGAAATAAGGGAAAACAAATTTGAATAAAAAATATTTTATTAAAAGAAAAACCTATTCCGACAATTATCTTCATCTGATCTGCATAGAAAAAAAAATAAATTTAATTTAAAAATAAAAATTAACCCATCAGGGCATTGTATTATTCCATCACATTGATCATAACGTGCAATACAATTTCCATCTTTACATTCAAATTCCCACTAAAAAATCTTTTTAAAAGAAATCTTTTTTTACATATTACTTACATCATTGCATTGTGATAGCCTTTGTTGTTGTTGTCCTTCTTCTTTAATTAATTGGGAATTTATTTTTATAAAAATTATTGTGAAAATAAATAAAAAAATAAATTTTAATAGAATTTCATTCATTTCTTTCTTTTAATTTATAAATAAAAATAATTTAAATTATTATATTTAATTATAAGTAATTTTAAAAAAATTTTTTAATAAAAAATAATTGAGAGAAAATGCAAAAAACAAAATTAAAATTTACAGGAAAATGCCTAAAGCTTTAACAGCCACAAATTCTATGCCAACAAAAAATATTCGAGAGCCTGACAGAGAATGTGGCATTTATATGTATTAGAGACAGCCCTTTTTCTATGATAATATATTGATTATTATACATATTTTTTAAAATGCAAGTGCCAACCTTTAAAAAATAAACAGAAGGGAAGCTTCCTTCTTTAAAATAGCAACAAAAATTGCAATTAAATTTGAATATTTAAATTAAAAGTTTAGGGAATAATAACAGTTATGTGTTTAAAATATAAGAAGGCATTGAATTCGGGTTCAACCATGAATAAAAATGTAAAAAATGAAAAGAGAAAGAAAGATGCTACAACACAGTCTCTCTGGAGGAATTTTCAATATCAGAAGAATATTCTGGCCTTCTTATCATTTGAACATTGTGATTTTACTTCGTACTAGTAGATCATTCTTTTTTCATCCTCACACATTTTATCGTTCATGATTTGGGTTTTCTACTTTCTTGCATAAAGGAAATTTAATAACATTCAAAATTTTTTGTTGATAAAAAGGAAAGGGTTGATTTTAAACCCAAATATGAAAGAGAGTGGATAATAATATGTAAAGGAAAATAAATTTTATAATTTTAAAATTACTCTTAAAAATATTTTAATTTTTTATATTAAGAAAATAAAGATTTTAATATACAAAATTTAAAAAATATAACAATTAAAGTAGCAAATTAACTACTATAAAAACAGCAACTCTTTTCAATTTAAATGTTTAGAACAACATTTGATAACAACAAAACAACCAAACATATTTCCATCAACCCCGATGTTGTTCTTGTCGTGTTTTACGGATGTTGCTGCTCAACTACTTTTTGCCTCAATGCCGTTCATTCTTGTGTCTTCAACTGTTTTCGTCTTCTGTGCCAAAAAGGTTGTTAATTTAAAAAAATCTAATAATATTTTTATATTTTTCAGAAAGAGAATCAGAAAGAGAAAGAACCCAAACCTGAGCCCCCACCACCTAAATTCCTGAAAGGTTAATTGAATATATTTTTTAACTTTTCTAAAAACAATCCCACAACAGATTGGCCAACAGAGAAAGTTCGGGCAAATGAGGTCGGCTATGGTACGTTGTCAGCAATTAAGCCGGATCAACTCTTCCCTCAGCAAGGCGCGGCGTCGAAAAACAACGTCAGTAGTAATAATAGAATGGTGGCAAACAAAAGCTATTAGGATTGTTCTAAATTGCAAAAGAAAAGGTGCCCCCCTTATATTTTACAAAAAATAATTTTTATTTTTAAGGCTATAATGTGTGACGGTTTGTAAACAAACAAACATTTGTTGAAGTATAATCCAAATGAGGAAAATAAAAAAATAAATATATAATCAATCCTTTAATTAAAATTCCAATTGTTTTGTTGTAATTTTCGTTTGTTTCTTTATGATAAAAATAAATTTGTAATTGTTACTAAATATTTTTTATTCCAAAAATTGTTTGAAAAATTCTTTAATTTTAAGTTTTTTTACCCAAATTCAAAAAACAAAAATTCAAAATTAATTTAATTTAAAATATAAAAGCAATATATAATTAATTAATTAATATATTTTTTGTACGAATTTAATACAAAAAAGAAAACAAAAAACAGCAAACATGAGAGAGCATTTTTAGCAGCAAAAAACAGCTCCAAGCATTAAAGAGAGAGGTGATTTGAGGAAATATAAAAAATGGGTATTTATTTGGGGTAAAATAATCTAAAAATTAAAAATATTATTTTAATATTTATTTTTTTTTTTGTGGTAAAATGCAAAAAAAGAATTAAAGAAAAATTAAAAAATAAAAGGATTGAAAATTTTTAATTAAAAAAAATTAACAGTCCTTTTGCTTTTTAATAAAAAAAAAGAAAGAAATGTTGTAAGAAAGGAAAAGAAGGAAGGAGAATGGAAATTAAAGAGCTAATTGCAAATTAAATTATTTTTTAAATTAAAAATATTTTCAATAAAAACATTTTTAGGAACGGATAAATGCAATAAAGCCCTTTTTAAAAAAGTTAAGGGGAGAGAAAAGAGAAAGGACCCGTTTTAGCAAGCATTTGTAAAATCCATAAGAAAATTGTAAAAATAAAAAATTAATAAAGGGATGAGTTTGAAATGAAGAAACTTGAAAAAGTAGTTTTGAATGTTGGAAGAAATTTAGAGTTAAGTAGTCTGTAATTATCATTTGGGTAATCAAAATACTGCCACCCTAATTCGTAATTTATAAGGTAAAATACATTCAATAATTCCCCCAAGTATCAACATTTCAATAAGAAAAATATTAGTGATTTTTAGCAGTTTTAATAGAACCCTCTCTTTTGTTATAAAAGTTCGTACTGCTTCAAATGGATGCGTTGGATTATGTCTCGGCAGTCATTGAACACCCTGCGGATATTTTCAGTATCCACGGCACACTAAAAAATTATCATAAATATTCAAAAATCAGAATTAATTTATCTCACAGTAAAATGCGGATAGCAAGTATGTGTGTGGCTATTATCTTTGTTGGTCACACCAGCAGATGAGATCTTCTGAAAATATTAAAAGTAATCTTTAAAAAAGCTAAAATAATAAATACTTAAACACTTATAAAACTTAGAGACAACTAGGTTTGTAACATAAAATGCCCAAAATCAGTGTGAAGAAATATCTTCACTATACAGATATTTTATAGTTTTTGAGGGACTGTTTGATTGTCTCAGAAAAAACCGCTTCAAAGCGAAAAGCAAAATTTGCCTCGTCCCTAATAGGAGGAGAAAGCGAAACAAAATATTTGAAAATCTATATAGATAATTAAAATATATAAAAAAAATAATTTCCAGATTTTAAAGAAAGTCCCTCGTAAAAATTCTAGCTAATTTTTTTAATGTCTGTGCGTGTGAGGGTGGAATGTTAGAGAAAAAAGGAAAAAAGAAAGATATTAAGTAAAAAGTGTTGAGCGAGGGTGGATAAAACCCCTCTAAACATACACACAAAAACAAATATTCCTTCTCTCTCCCCCTCCAATCCCCCCATCAATTTTTTTTCATTTTTTTTTCAGTTTCGTTGTTTACCGCAGTCAATGCTCACTAGGGAAGGCTGCCGGATGGTGGAGGTCGTCGCTAAAATAGAAGCGGCTGACTAAAAATAGAATTTAGCAAATGCAATTGATGTTTCTATTTTTAGAAACAAGCTGAAATAGGAGTGGATCGGTGAATTAGAGAGAAATGAAAGGACGGCTGGCAGCAAAAAATAGAAAAAATAAAGAAGAAAATAGTAATAAAATGTTAGGTAATAGAAAAGAAATAGGGAGAAATTTTTTGAAAATTCCTCGAATTTTTTTATCCATTTTACTAAATACATACATAAATACATATGTATATTTTAATTTAAATATTAATCTCGATAGAGTTAATAGGTACATATGTATATGTTTTGTAGAACGAATAAATATCGATAAAGAAATTCCAAATTAGAAACAAAAGAAGCGTTATCTACTTATATGTGGAGGCTTGAAGACGTTATTAAGATTTCCCCACCTGGTAGATTTATTAGGAAGACAATCTCCTATCCCGTTTATCATTCCCAATTTAATAAAGAATTAATTTAGGTATGTATTTTTTTTCAATTTAATTTAAACTTTTCTTCTTTCCATCCAAACTCTTGTACTTAAATTTTTTGAAACTTTCCATTAAGTTTTTATAATCACCCCCTCTTTCCTTTATTTCATTCTTTTTCAGTTGAAATTTAGTAATATTATGTATACTATTGAAAGAAAAAAAAGAGATGGGAGTAAAAAAGAGTAAAGTAGTTAAAGTGAGCCATTCGGGCAAAGCACCAAAGGAAAAAAGAAAAAAAGGACCCCAAAAACAACGTTGTTGTTATTATATATAAAAGCGAGTTTCTAAAAATAGCATCAACAACAGCGTGTTATTTTAGTTCATTTTCATAAAAAGGAGGTTTTTATGTGTGTGCATGTTGAATATTTTGGTGGTGGTGGTGGTGAGTGTTTTTGAGGAAAGAAAAGTGGGAAATGAGGGGAAAAAGAAGAATGATATAGAATAAAAAAAGGCAAAAAAAGCAATGGACAAGACTGGCTGTCGGTATTTTTCTCATATAAAGAATTGAAAAAATCGAAGAAATTTATATACATAAGTGCCGAAATGAAAAAAGAATGTTTCGTTTTAAAACAAAAAAAAATTACGTTGAAATACAGTGGCGGCAATATGTTTACGACCACTTGTTAAAATAAAATAAAACTATTTATAGATCGATTGAATCATCTTAGATGAATTTGGTGTAAATATGTTTTTTGTAGCATTTTTTATTGGCTATCTATTCATACAAGACATTTTTAAAAATCTTTATTTTTTCGAAAGTTGTAACAATATTAACTAAGACAATCGTATTTTAGGGGGGAAAAATGTTTACGACCACTTTGGGTTTTCCGACTTTAATTCGTCTAAAAATTCTGAAAAAATTTCTGTGAACATTTCAATCGATACTGAGTAGAAAAGTAAAAAGAACAAAGTCTGTACCTTTTTCTTCATCGAAATCTCTAGATTCAAAAATCAACGGGAAATGGGGGTACAGTACTTCAAAAATTATTTTAACCCCCTAGAGCTTAATCGAAAAAATTTCTTTTGGGCTCATTTGAAAGCCCATAAAATTTGCTACAAAAAAGTCAATGCTTGATTTTTCTAAAAATATTTCTATTTGAGGTAGATCTACTTTCACATTTCATGTTATCATTTTTGGTGTATTTTAGGGGATTTTTGACCATTTTTATGTGAAAGTGGATGTAAGTCGAACAACTATTTTTTAGAATAAATGAGACAAGGACTATTTTGTAGCAAATTTTATGGGCTTTCAGAATGGCCTAAAAGAAAATTTTTAATTTCAGTTCAAGGGGGTAAAAATATTTTTTAAAGTACTGTACCCCTATTTTCCGTTGATTTTTGAGGTTCGAGATCTTGATGAAGAAAGAAGGTACAGCTTCGTTCTTTTTATTTTTACACTCGGTATTGATGGAAATGTCCACAGAAATTTTTACAGAATTTTTGCACCAATTAAAATAGAAAAAACCAAAGTGGTCGTAAACATTTTTCCCCCCTAAAATACGATTGTCTAGGATTACTTTCGAAAAAAATAAAGATTTTGAAAAATGTTTGGTATCAATCGATAGCCAATAAAAAATGCTACAAAAAATATACTTACAACAAATTCGTCCTAGATAAATTAATCGAGTTATTGGGGGTTTCATTTTTTTAATCCAGTGGTCGTAAACATATTGCCGCCACTGTATGAAAAAGTGGGGAAAAAAGAAGTTAATTAGTTAATATTTAGTTAATCAATCCTAATTTGAATTTAATTTTGGGATCAATTTCCCCTTTTAAAGTAACATCCCCCCTTAATTTATAAAAAAATAAACTCACTAAAAATTCTCCTCGAATGTAGCATTTAGCCCTGTACACATTAGAATCTTCATCAGAAGGCATTCTCTCATCCATTGGCAGTTGATAATTAGCAAAGTCAGGAAAATAAGTTTCCAATTTATGCCGGCCCTCTTTGATTTTCTCAGCAAGCATATCTTGTTTATTGAGGAAAAGAATAACAGAAATACTTTTTAGCCACCGATTGTTCCAAATATTTTTAAAAAGGGCTAAAGATTCCCTCAATCGATTTTGTGTACTATCCTCCAAGAGCACCTAAATTAAAAAAATATTTTTTTTAATAATTCAAAAATCACCAAATTATAAGAAGAGGATGCGCATACAAAAATAATTGCAGTTACATCATTAAAACATTGAATCCATTTTCGACGTTCATCTCTTTGGCCGCCAACATCAAACATACTAAAGACAAAACATTTTTTAAAGAATATTTTATTTTAAACTCACTGAAAGCGCACTTTATCAACTTCAAATTTTGTTTCAAATATTCCAGAAGTCATAACACGACAACGAAGAATATCCTAATATTAAATTAAAAATTAAAAAAATTTTTTCTTTTTTTCTTACTTGTTCAGAGGGATTATATTCTAACTTTCTAACTTCATCAACTTTATCTAAAAAATATTTGGCACAATCAATGAGTTGATATTCGTTAGACCGTTGAAAACAGCTTTGAACACCTTTGTCCGCCCAACAATTAGAAACATGATCGTAAAACTCCTATAAAGGAAAGAGTAAAATTAATTTATCTTCCTCAAATTGTATAATAACTTTTTAGGTATGGCATAAAATATCCTAAAAATGGATAGGTATATTCAATACAAAATAATTAAATTAGGTAAATTAGTGAATTCAAAGATTAATTTTCTTTCTTAAATCTTTCCTTAGAATGCCTCTCGAATATTTTGATTTTGGAACTTTTAAAAAATTCATTTTTTCAATCCAATAAATACTAAGAATTGAAGCCAATTACAAAACAAATTTTTAAGAGAAAAACGAAGCATAAAATCCAAACTTTAAATATACATATCTATATACTAATATATTGTATAATCCAAAGATTACAAGAATTTGTTTGCCTATTTTCCAACAAAAAATATTTTTCTTAAACTGTATCCCCAATAAATGCTTCTAATTTAATTCACCGTTATATTTTGCAATTTATTAAAAACGTTCTTCTCAAAAAATTTTCTTTCTTATTTCTTTTTTTTTTCATTACTTTATCAAAGGCTACCATTTTTGATTTAAAAAGCATAAAAGGTTAAAAGGAGTGGGTGGGAAATGAGAAAAGGGCCCAAAATTTCCAAAAATAGAATAAAACATAATAGGAAAAGTCAAACAACTTTTCTCATCAACAAATTTCAAAAACAAAACTTGGTCATAACCCTTCCCTTTACGAGATTATGAATCATTATTTGCCTAAAAAGACCTTTTTTTAGTTGAACTTGCAAATTTTACCAAAAAAAACAAAATATATTTTTGAGAAAAACTTTTTTGGAAAATATTTTTTAAATGAGAATTTAAGTTTAAAATAATCTACCTGAGTAAGATCATCTGATGGCATTTTTTCCGGAAGTGATAAAATGAAGGAACGACTAGCTTCATTAGCAAGATCACCAATAATAACAGGAGGATCTATCAAATCCATAGCTTTTAGAATAACCTGAGTTGGATATCCTGTTTTTTTTTCAAATTTAAAAAAAAACTTGCCGTAATCGAATCTTTAACATTTTGCCTGATATCTCTAATTTTTTCATGCTTTTCTTCCTCATTGAAACCCTTAAGAATTAATATTTAGGAGAATAAATACAACAAAACACACATTAATGTGAAGAATGCGCATTTGTTTTACAATTGTTGATTTTCCACTTTCTCCAGCTCCTAACAACAAAAGCCTGTGAGTGGCACGCAAAACTTTTTTGTCCTTCTTTAATTCTTTGTTGATTTCTTTATTTACTTGTTTATTAAGTCTTTCACGTTCACGTTCCTCTTCTTCTGCTTCTAAAATTTTTTTTGGATAAACAGGCTTTTTCACCTAAGTTTGTGCGAGGTGTTAAAAAAATTCATTGGTCAATAAATGCCTCACTGGTTCAGGATTTACAAAGAATATAAATTTAATCCCCCTATTCAGGATGTGCCACTTATTGAAATGACATATAATAGAAAAACTAGCCACAATTCCCAGGTCAATCCCTAGATAAACTCCTCACCTGTCCCTCCACCATTACTGCCTAGTACACATCCCATAATACGCATTTTCTTTTTGCTGGCAGTAGAATGGCGCTTCTTCTGATCGCCACCACCAGCAGATGAGGAGGACGATGACTGATGTTGTTGTCCGTTAACGGCGGTTCCAGTCGTCGCCGCTGCACTAAACGAGCCGGCCGACGAGGAACCACCGCCGGACCTGGCGGCGGTTGACCTTCTCTGCCCGTGCTGGTGTGAGCCACTAGCTTCTATTTTTGTGCTGGATATACACTGAAAAAAAGAAACATTGAACAATCTAACAAATATTTGGAAACCTTATCAACAACAATATTTGTATTATCTCCTGTAGTCTCAATAATGTTGTTACTTTGTCCGTTCGTGGTGATAATAATATCGTTTAATTTCAATTTAGGTTGTTTATTTTCTTTAATTGTCCAATTGTTTTCCTTCGTTTTTATTTCGCCCGAATTAATAATTTGAATAACAGAGGTCGTAATTTTGTTTTTAGAACAATAAAAACTATGAAGATATTTGGGATTATTCGCCCTTCACTAAAATCGTTTAAATGAAAATTTTTTGGTTAAACGCTGATTTATTACGTTGAAGTATTTTTTATATATTCGTTACTGCTTCTTTAAGAAGATGTGATTATACAAAAGAAAATTAAAGAGTTAATTGACGGAAAGGATTATGTGATCAGCTGCCGATGTTATTTCCTCTAGGCAGATTGTAGTGACTTTTCATGCACCTCTTTAGGATTGAACAAGAGAGCTGTTTAGGCTGCAAATAATTGTGTAAAAAATGGAAAATGATAAAAATGAAAGAAAAAAATATTTATATATAAATGGAAAAAATAAATAAAAGACTATCAAAAAAAATGACAATGCCTGAAATAAAAACACTAAAAGCGGTGGAAGTTTTGGTTTCTTCGATCGCTTTTTTATTGGGGTTTTGTGATGACAGTTCAAAGTTTATACTCGGTCAAGTTTTGTGCGTGTGTATGAATATGTAAGGAAAAATCATGAATTTAAAAAACGATGTATTATGAGTGATGAAAATATGAAAAATGGGGACTTGTGAAATGCGAGAAGGGCTTGATTTCAAATAGTTATAAAAGAGTAATCTTGTTAGTGATCCGTCTTTGAGTAATTTCGTTCTCATCGGTCCTAAAAGCTTTAACAGCGGGTTGATTAAGAGAATGAAGATTTGAAAGAATATGTTGAAATGAAAATGAGTAGAAAGTGCAATATAAATAAGAAAAGGACAGAGAGCCGCAGAATCCTCCTTAATAAGAGTAAAAACTGAGGGAAATGAATTGGCGATTGTGAAGAGGATGCGTGTGAAGTAAGAATAAAGGAAGGCCTGCGGGTTTTGAGAAGAATAGGAAAGTAAAAAAAGAAGAGGACAGTCTGGACCACAAGCAATTGGCGTTAGCTCTGCCGCCACAAATGGGCCATGGGTGATGGAAAGTGAGGAAGAACGGAGAGAAGGATGGGCAATAGGAGGCGAAAAATGGGAAGAGGAAAAGAAAAAAGGCGGTCCAAGCCAGCCATCCCAATGCAGCAATAGAGGTTCTTTTGATACAGACTTGGTCGGGTGGCCGTTTGTTGGCAATGGCTGTGACAGCCGGTAGGCAGAAAACGGATAGAGTACGGAAAGGCATACAAGCAATAGATATAAAAAGCTGGGTGATGGCTCGACTGCACGACTTTATTAGTTTAAAATAGCCGCAATCAGTAGTGCGAAGAAACAGAAGAGGATCGGGAAATATATATAAAGATGAGCCTAGGCACATGCGCTTCTTTTATTGATAGAAATGAGGGAAAGAATGCCAGAGCTATCGCTAAATTGATGGCAATATCCAGTGACTATTGGGGTATGAGTCTATGAAAGGTTCAGCTGTGTCTAGCATGCTGAATATAGAGCAGACTAAAATATTTGAGGGATATCTATAGGAAAGCGACTTTATGTAGAGAATAAGCACGAGAGAAAGTTAGATAAAATAGCGGTAGTCTGAATGAAAAATGCTTTTGACTGACAATACATACACAAAATACATGTATCTATTTCTAACCACAGGATTTCACCTTCATTATTTATATTGAAAATTTAAAAAATGCTAGAAGCGAGGAAAAAAATTTTTAAGGATACTTATTAGGAGGGAAGGAGGGTACCTATCCCGCCCAGACATAATGGACGAATCCAAAAAATACCAACCTGACCAGCATTGCTTTGTGAATGGAAAACCAACTAACCTAATTGAATGTAGTGCAGTTTGAACAAAATTGACCAAATTATGCCAAAACAAGATCACTTTGTTCTATTAAAATTTAAAAAGAAAGTAATTAAAAATAAAACAATTTTGAAATGAACATTACTGAATGAAATCATTGAAATTTTAAAAATATTGGAAAAATAAAAATTTAATTTAATTTTTATTCTTTTAATGAATAAAAAATCACAAATATAAAATAAATCGAAATAAAATTAGTATAAATTTAAAAAAGAATATTTTTCTTAAATTTTGCACAAAAATATTTATAATTTTTGAGATTTTTCAAAAATTATTGTTAAAAATGTCTATAAATTTAAAACAAAAAAAAATAATTTAAAAAGCTCTGTTCTCAATATTTGTTAACCAAAATCAAGCATAGCTAGTCTTAACAAAATCAGTACAAATACACTGTGGTCGACATTTGCCAGTCTTACGGCGTTGTGGAGTCACCTTTGAATCGGGTGAAGTCTCACTTGTCGAGTAATGAACAGTAATTAAATTCTCCAAATTTTCAAGCATTTCTTCTACTGGTCTGATTAATGCCTCCGCACTAAAAAATTTTTTTAAATAAAATTCAAATATTAAATACACTAATCAAAATTATCAAAAAAATTTTAAAAGAATTTGCTTGGCACTCTAAAAAAAATTCCAATACAAATTTTACTAGTTCTAAAACCCTCAAAAACTCTCATTTCTAAATTATGCCTTAATAATTTAAAAAATAATTCCAAACATTAATGGCGCGTCCTCAATAGGAAAAGTCGATTCCATAGCATGGCATCGTTTCAACTCCAATAATAAACCACTTACACAGCCAATAAAACAAGTAACACATTGACTGAAAGAATTACCTAAATAAAAAATAATTATATTGCAAAAAGTCACTAACCTTCCTTTTTTAATTGTGGCAGCACAGTACCTCTAGTAGATTCACAAGCTTGAAAACATGTCTAAAATAAATTTTTGAATTTAATTTATTTTAATTTAAAACCCTTGCAACTTCTTCAGTCTCCTTTCTCAATGCTAAACCATCACTTGAAGTACCAATTTGTTGGACATGAACTCGAAGCGAAGAAAGACTGAGATTGCAATCACCCAGCAACTAGAAAATAATTATCAAGTCATATTTTCTCCCAAATTAATGCCATGTATGCTTATTAATCTGCTTAAGACCAATGGATAAAAAATAACGGGTAAACAATGGCTTAGTGCCCCATTATTTCTCACAAGTTTTCTCCTGTATATGTAAAAAATCAAGTTTCTTCCACATAAATTATTATTCTCAATGGCATATTGAGAAGAAACTTTGGGGAGAATAAAGGTCCTGGTTTACAATAACTAAAACCAAATAAAACAAAGACAAGTGGAAGTATTTGGGCAAAACTCAAGTCCTTAATAATTACAAAAATTAAAAGAAACCTCATTCAGTTTACGCATACTCAGAACAGAAGCTTGACGCAACTTTGAAGACATTTTTAGCCTGACTTTTATAAATTTAAAAATATTTTTTTCTATTTAAATAAAGTAATGTTAAATATAAACAAAAAGTAACAAAAATTTATGTAATGAATTTGATAAAACAAATATAAAAATATTTTAATCCTAAAGAATTTGATTTAATATTATCCAGTTTGTTTTAAAAATTAAAACAAAAAAAAATTAAAATCTCACCAAACTCATTAGGATTAAAAAAATTCAATGCACGCGTAAATAAACTCGTGCCTATTTTTATATATTTTTAAGTCAATTAATGCATGTGTGTGCGAAAATTGATCAGTTAAGATTGCAAAAATAGAGATGAAAGGAGAAAATATATGCGATGGTTTGTCGCCAATCATGATGACGTAAAAATTAAGCGAGCACATGATGCATGTGGAGAAAATAGTAAAATTTAGATTTTAATTAATGACAAGATTTTTAAACAAATAATTCGAGTTTTACAATTATTTATATTATTATACATAAATTTACAGCCAATTTGCAGTTAAATAAAGGTTAAAAATCATTATAAGAGAATGTCAAATAAAAATTTATTTCCGGTATTAAAAAGTCAATTTTTAACGCAAATTGGCTTGACAAAAAAATAAAGAATTTAAATATTTCAAAATATATAATTATATAAAACTGTGTAAGCAGAATTGACTTTGTTTTAAAGAAAACACTCAACAAATTATTTAAGCGTTTCTAAAAAACATAACCATTAAACCAATCACAAAATAATCTTAAAATAAAATTTTATTTTTGGAAAAATAGAAGTGTTAAAAGGAAGCCACATTAAATACTTCTCTCCATTTCATTAAACAATCTCCAAACCTCATCATTATTATTATTAGCTTTTATCAAAAGAAGCGACAATATCTGTAGCAAGTTGAGGATGTTCTTTAATTATAGCAATCCATCCAGCGGTGTGTACAATTTTTTTCGGATGAAGTTTGATAAAATGTAGCACCTTTTTACGTAAGTTTGAAGCACCATACCTAAAAAATAGGTTAATTAAATATCAACAAAATATTAAATTCACATATCAGCAATAATTAGCAAATGACAAGCATTGTCGAAATTAATAGCTTGTATAAGGCTTTGTTCACAATGATTCTTCAATTCTTCCAATCTATAATTTAAAATTGAAAGGAATAAAATTAAATATTAAAAACCTATATTTGTCAGCAGCAATAAGTAAATCAGAAGCAATCTCGCTCAACTCCCCAGAACTTTTTCCACAGTAGATAAACCGAAGCATTTCCTTTACAACGTTATATTCAACATCCTTTATTTCGAGTATACCCTTAATTTTAGATTCTAAAAATTCGACAAAATTAATTTTAAAACCGTTTTTGATTCACTAGTATCAACATGTTGTAGCATTGCTGAAAAGACAGGTGAGCGAGCAGCAAGTATAGCTTTGTGCACGTGAATCTCTTTGTCTTGGACTTTAATAGTGAAATCGGTAAGCACCATATCACTCAGCAATTTCAAATAATCTTCGCCAAGTTGTCTCTCACAGGTGCAACTTCTACATGGCTGAAAATAAATTACAGATAAAAATTATTAGAGCAAATCTTTACTCCAAACGAATCATCTACAGAAGTAGTGATCGTCTCAACAGCAACGTCAATCTCAACAAAGACAGTAATACTATCAGCAGGTTGAATTTGAGGAAAGAGAACATCTCTCTTTATATAAGAAACATAGTCAGAATGTGAAGGGTTTGGATGAACTCGCATTTCAATATCCTTCCCTTCACTGTTTTTAAGGTAGAATCGAGACCTTAAAGGATTTACAATTAGAAAAATATTTTTTATGAATTTATCAAATTAACCTGAAACCAATCTTGTTATTTTTTACATTTGTGCCAAGAACCCTATTCAGGCAGAGAAAAACAAAATCCTAAAATCTTATAGATAATTTAAAACAAGACCAAATTAACCTTGTTGTTTTCACCATTTCCCTTTGGATAAATTTTAATTGACCAAGTCAAGTCGCTATTCGGCAGATTCACATAATTTTCCAAATATTCCTGATAACAATGAGAGAAATTCTTTACTGTCCAATTGTGCTTTAGATACTAAAAGAGAAATATCATCAAAACATCTTTTAGATTGCTAGCTAGAAACTCCCCCAATTTTTCTACTAACAAACCTCTACTCGTATTTCAGTTTGTGAAGCATTGGTAGTTTGAGAACTGCTACCAGCTGACTCTATAGGCATTGAAAGTTCAACTGATTGGCACGTAGGCTCCATTCAATAAAGAGATAAAATAAAACCTTTTAAATGTTTTTAGCAATTATTAATAATTCGTAAAAATATTTCATGTATGTATAAAGACAATCAAAAAATCATAAATTTATATATAGTATATCTATTTACTCGTTTTCAATAATTGATTGTAAATTTTTAAATTGCGATGATGATTCTTTTTTTTGTTTTTCTCATTTAAACAATTCATCTCATCGTTGTTTTATAAAGAACCAAAAATTAATTGTTGGAGAAAAACGGATACCCTTTTCGGTGAGAATAATCAAGATCTTTCAAAGTTATATGTGCATATAGTACTGAGAAAATGAAAGGCATGGAGAAAGATAAAAAACAAATGAAAACAAATGCAAAACACAATCCTAGAGAATTAATTTGATTTTCATTAGATATATATTTTTTCTCATCTTTTTGGTTAAATATTCTCCAAGATTGCTTGATTAGCGGGAAATATAAATGGTAACAGAAAAAATGTTCTGATAACCTAAGACTAACTAAACTATAAACATGTGGCAATGACACCTGAAAACAAGAATTGGAAAAGTTAAAGGAGGATATATGCTCATGAGATACAGAATAAACAAAAAAGATAATGTTATGGGATTATTCCTATACGGGATTTTAGCACATGATTTTTAAGTATTTGTTGCCCGCCTTTAAATATTTTTAGCAAAATTGAGCATTGTCAATCTTGTTTCTCCTTCTTTTCTTCATGTTTATTGTTAGTTGTTTCAACTACGTTTTTATTGCTATCTAATGACAAAATAGAATTTTGATGACCGCGGCAAGAACCAGAAAGCAATTCTCTCAACCTGTGAATATTGCGTTTTCGTCCACTTAGAAGTTCATCAGTGATAAGCAACGTCAATAATGGACCACAATATAAATTTTTTAAATAAGGAGAGAGTTGACTACAATGGTTGAATGTTGTACCAATTGTTCTAAAAGCGTCATAAAAGGCTTGCCGGATCGTCTTTAAAAGGAAATTATAGAAAAGAGAACAAAAAATTACCAAAATATTATGAGCTGAGCGACCAAGATTGTTGCCTTAAAAATAAAAGGATTCAATTGGCAAAAAACAACTTTTTGAGTTATGAAAAGACAAACCTCTTTCACAAGGATCGCAAATGAAGACTGGACTCGAGTAAAAAATTTCTTCGCCAAGTTCTTCAATCAATTCCTTCTTATGCAAAACTAACGAAGCCGACAGACGATTTCGAACTTTTATGCCCAATTCAGAATAATCAAAACAATAAAAGTAGAAGAAGAAATAGTGAAGTAAAAGGCCTAACGGTTTCCTTCCAATTAGGGTCATGTAGTCATAGGAATCTTTATGAGCAGCATCTGATTTGTTTTTTAAACGAATGTACTGAAAAATTATAATCAACAATAGAAAACCCAAAAAAAAACCTCCAAATAATGAACCAGCATAACAACAAGAGCATATGACGGTAATCCACCCGTATATGGATTATTAAGACCACGCTGTGCAAGGAAAAGCTTCAAAACAAGCAATAAGGGTTCCATATGAGGCATAAAATCTAGTTTGTCTCGAATCCAGCGAACAGTTTTATCAATACGCCCACCAATGTTAAAATTAATATCAATATTTAGTTGTGTTAGCTGATCAGTACATTTGACAAGAGGAAAGGCTAAAAAAATAAATAATCACAAGTGATAAAATAATAATAAAATCAACAAATATTTTTACCAGTTTTGTCCAAAACATGAATATTCTCGAAGTGGAATCCCCTAAAAATTTGAGGAAATGTGAAAAAACTAAAAGAATATTGATAGCTTAATATATAAATATATTTTTACAAAAAAGAACATACTTTAAAACATCTGCTACTTTATGAAGGTCTTCTGGTATTTGAATTGAGTTTGTAGTCCTAACACATATATCAATATCTGATGAAGGGAGAAAGGAATTTGTTGCTAAATAAATAAAATGGATTAATTGTTCATAAATAATTATTCATAGATTTACCCAGAAATAAAAAATTTCGTCACTACGCCGAAATTTTTGTATATTTTCCGAGCCGCCCCTAATGCCAAAACCTCAAAGATGTTTAAGGAAAATTCATTTATTTTCGCTATTACCTATATTTAATCTATCACTGATTGTTTTTCTTCTTTAAACTTTAAGTTTAGATTCGAAAAACTAAGAGTGCTTAAAATTTTCTGTCAGTGTATAATGAATAAGGACAAAAAAACTAATTATCATCAAATTAAATGAATTGACGACATTTTCTAACAATTCAAGGCGCCTTTTATTCGATATAGGGCAAAAACTCATCAATGTTTAAATAAAGCAAAAATAAATTCAAATCATCTTTAACCCCAATTAAAGATAATTAAATAAATGCATACCAACACTTCCAAACATTTGTACATTAGAGTCAGGCCAAATCCCTTTAATTATATCACTTGTTCTATTAAAAAGCAAACGACGGGACCAAATCTCTTCTGCTGTAGGTTTTAGCCAATTATATAGGTCCATAATTTCATCGTGAAGACTTTCAATTGTTGGCTGATATTTTAGTCTTGCCCAGCAAGGACGAGAGCGTGAAAGAACAGGCACTTGGGTAAAATAATTGGCACAAACTAGCTGTCCATGTTCATTTACTGCCACAACCAAGTTATTGTTGTTAGTAGAAGCGCTGCTGGCAGAACTTGTTCCAGCACTCTCATCCATGCAAAAATGCTCAGAGGAAGACGAAGAACTTAAGGAAAGCAGGTAACTTCTTGTTAGTATACGTAAATTTTTAAATGAGTAGATAATTATTGGAAAAAGCTCATAAAGCTGACAATTAGTCGAATAACACAGAATCCATCTGATTCAAGATTGTGAATAAAAAATTAAAACTTTGGCCAATTTTAGCCTTATTCGACTCACATCAGCTCGACAAGTTCATTAACATAGTCACTCCCTAGTAGATTTTTTAAACAATTACTTCTTTTCTTACACACATTTAGTTATCTACGTACAAATAACAAGAGACTACCCAACAAAACATTTAAAGATTAAAAACCTTGTTCTTCCTGAGTTCCCATTAATTCTTTTAGTACTCGTATCATTCGAAGTGTGTCGTTGGAGAGAATTTTGTTGGTCATATCGTTCATCAGCTGTCAGGCACATTTGAGTTCTATTGTTCCTAAAAATAACCAAGAAACTATTTTCGATCATTCTGGCAATAACAATCTCTTAAACTATATCTGAATTCGACAAAATTAATTTTATCTTGTATCAGTTTATCTGCATAATATTATCAAAAAATTGCTTAAAGCTTTAACCTCTTAGAAACCATTTAGTTGAGTTGATGTTTTAAATAATTAGAAAAAGAGTTGAAGTAAGTTCTCAGTTATCAACTAAAACATTAATTTAACTACAAATTAGACAAAGAGGTTATAAAACTAATTGTAAGAAAAATATGGTGTTAAACGTATCAAAAATATTTGCATCAATTTGTGAGGGGATACAGCCCAAAACGGCGCAGGCAAAAACGGCGCAACCGAAACGGGCGACCGATACGTCGCAGGCCAAGACTGCAACCCAAAAATCGAACAACTATCCGAACAACATCCCCCCAATGTCGGAACAACCTTCCCCGTTGCTGGAACAACTTTTCTCAATGTTGGAACGATCTTCCGCTTTGTTGGAACTGCGCAAAACCTTGTTGCAAAAATATGTTAGTAATTCGGAGATCAGTGTACCCGAAAACTGGTTGTGATTTCTGTTCGATCACTAAGGTCAAATCGATCACAGATAGGTTAATCACTCGAAATCAATTGATTACTCTCACGTCATCTGATTGATTAATCCTTCTATCACTGAGCAGTTTTTGGTTTGCGCCGTTTTGGCCCGCGCTGTTTCGGGGTGTCACATTTGTGGGCCGTTCCACTTAGTCGCAAGGCACAAACTTCTGAAAAAAATGGGGGGGGGGGGGGGGGGGGGAATATGAGCAGAAGATAGTTAAGCAGTGGACAATTGGGTAATCGTTGTTTAGATTATTTAAGAGAATATGGTGTTTCGACCTGCGACATACATATGTAGAGGACGACAGGGATTAAATAGAATTAAAAAAATGGACCAAATGATTCCGTACAAGGATCCATTGTAATAAACAGAATGGTTATTCAACGCGCAATTGTCAAGCATTCCTAACACCCAACTTCTATAATGTTATGGGTTGTTATTTGGTTGTTATTTGCAAAAACGTTCAAACGGTACACCTCAATTGAGTCCCGACTCAACTGAGTCCCGGACCCTATAACTTTAGAAGGAATGGTCACAATTTTTTGATCTTGGTACCCCTGGATAGGGCACTAAATAGGCTACAATATACCAAAAAATCAAAATTCCTGACCGACTGGTAAAAAAGTTATGATCGATAAAGTGCCGACAAATCAGATTTTTTTGAAAAAGTTAGTTTTTAGATCATAAAATTTTTACCAGTCAATCGAAAATTTTGATTTTTTGGTATATTGTAGTCCATCTAATGCTCTATCTAATGGTACCAAAAACATTAAAAATTATCAACCCGTACTTGAGTTATAGGGCCGGGACTCAATTGAGCCGGGACTCAGTTGAACTGCTCCGACGTTCAAAATCTCTTTATTTTCGCGAATTCATGGGTCAAAATAAATAAAAACTATTATCTACACGAAATCCTCGAGGGAGTTTTGCAGCACTGGAGCTGACATGAGCCCACTTTTGACATAAGACTGGATCTTTCAGCAGAACATATCCCCTGTGCTTAAGGCAAAAGAAATTGTACATAGGTATTGTGCAGCCAATTTACCCGGTTTTATGTGCCTCAAGTATGATCATCACCGTACTCATCGAATTTGAATCCGATTAATTAACTTTTTGTTCTATTTTAGAGGGCAAGAGTCTGTTCTTAATAACGCTAAAGTTAAAACACTAAAGCAATCACTCGCCCAGGTATGCGACAAAATCTCACTCAAGGAGGTGCGAACTTTTGCCCAAAATTTTCCCACGCGCCTTCGGCTCTGTATCCAAGTATTTGTTGGGTACAAAATTCCTAATTATTTTTGATACTTATTTAGTTTTCTATCATTTAAGCTTTGATCTCATTATCTTCAATTTGAATAAAGTTACGCCATAAAACGTATCCGGTTACTTTTTTGCTACCCTGTAGTTACCGTCGAATTTAACAGATACATTTGTGGATAAAAATTCGTTGTTTAATTTAAATATTTTATGTAAATAATGAGTAACAATTAACTTTTCACCCCATCAGTCCTGCGGCGCGAAACTCAAATTTTTTTTCGGTGCCTGAATTTTATCATATTTATCATACCGATTCGGTTTGTCGGTTCGGTTACCGAAGAATCTGGCGAAGTTAGGACTTTTTTAAATTTACAACGAAAAGATTAACCATTTGCAGAGCCAGTTTTTGAATTTGTTGACCACACAAGAAGGTTCGCTAAGTAATTAGTTGACTTGCGTATCATTCTGAAATCGTTTTAACAGATCGGGATAAGTGATTTTAGGATGGCACAAAGTCTGATGAGTAAGGCGGGTATGTTAGAATTTCTTAATTGGTAGTTGCAATAATGCAGCCAAAGTGAATTTACATTGGGCTGAATAACGTTTTTTTAAAAATAATTTAAAAAAATTTTTTGACAAATTTATTTAGCAATTTTTATTAATACAAGATTTATTTAATATGTATGACGACAACAAAACAAAATACTTTTTTTTATTTTTTCCTTCCTTCTTTTTGAAAAAATTATTTTTTAAATAAATTATTAAATTAAAAATGAGATTGAAGATAAATGGGATACTATATTGTTCTGATCATCTAAAAACGAACAATTGGTGGGGGGGGGGGGGGGGGGGTTAAAAATTAAAAACAAATTTGTAGTTAAAATATTTTTAATAATAAAGTTTAAATCATAATTTAAAAAATAATTTTATATTTTATATGACTCGATGATCATTAATTTAAGAATTAGAATAAAAACAAGCCAATCCCACAACAATAGCAAATTAAAAATTTCTTTTTAAGTTTTTAAAATTTATTTAAAAAACATATAAATAATTAAAAATGAAGTGCTTAAAAAATAAAATAAAACTACAAAATTAACAAAAAAATAATTTTAGATAATGCTAAGAATAATATAAGAGAGAGAGAGGTGCTTTTTATTTTTTATGTGTAACAAGAGGATTTTAGTGACAAGAGAGAAGAAACCCATATTTTTTATTAGGAATTATTGAGGTTTGTGCTGAGACTAAATCTATAGAAATTAGGATTTAAATTAAGGAGGAGGGAGATATAAAAACGAATATTTCAAGTTTTGGAGAGATAGTCCCCTCAGTCTTCTTTTTCAGGCATTGAAACTTTAAGTATTTCATACTCCTACAAATCTCAATGTAACCAAAATATTCGTTCATTTTTTAAATAAAGTTTTACATTTAAGAAGATAAAAACAATTACTTGAAAATATAGATTTATTTAACCATATTAAGTTTTTATTTTAAATTATGGGATTTAATTAATATATTTAATTTCTGAGGAATTAAACTAATTTAAATAGATTTACAACAATTGAGAAAAACAAATAAAGTTTTTAAACAACAAAAAAAGTTATGGAGTAGGGATCGGGATAGATCTGATTTTCCTAGTTCCAGGGCTAATATCAAGGAAGTTTTAAGTTTCTTGATTTTCCCTTGAATGGGCAAGGTTGTTTATTAAAAACAATTCAAAGATGCCGATCTCTAATATATTTAGTAAATAAATAGCAATTTAGACGCTCAAACAGAAAAAATAATAATAATTAAATTCAAAAATAGATTCATTTTTTCGTCTAATTTACAAATGTGGCTATCTATAACCATCAAAAAATAAGTAAATTTGTGTCAAGAAAATTATTTAAAAGTCAAAAAATAACCTAATTAAATATTTAAAAAAAACTAAATTAAATAAATTGGCTAGAAAATTGGAATATATTTTCACCCCGCATATCTATGAGCGATTTCCTATCATGAAAAACAATTTTTTTCTATTTAATATTTAAATGCCGATAAATAAGGTCCAGCAGAACAAGGTGTTTGTTGTTGTTGTTGAGTATTATTATTTCCATTGTTAATCATTTGGGGTGGTGGTGTGTTTACAAAGAAATATTGTTGCTGTTGATGTTGTTGAACCTAAAAATAAATTTTTGAATGAAGAAAAGAGGAAAGGGGGAGGGGAGAGAAGAGGAGATTTAAGAAAAAAATTTTTTCTTAATTATTTTTAAAAATAAATTACTTGATAAAAAGCCCCTCCAATACTACAAGATTGAGTACTTAATGGAGGTGAACATGCAGACATATGTCGAGGACCATGTCTACTAATATTTCCAACACAATCACTTTCAACTTGAAGAGAACGATATTGCTTTTGTTGTCGCCAATTATTAGCTCTATCAATTACTCCCCCTCCTCCTCCAATATTAATTGCTTCTTCTTTTTGCTTTTCTCCTCCTCTAATTTCTGTATTTGTTGTACTAATACATTCATTGTCTGTTATTATATTATTTCCTAGAAAAAATAATTTTAGAAGGAATTTATTTTGTAGAAAATTAACAAAATCTCTTAATGTCTAGGTAAATTTAATTCTGAGTCAAAGAAAAGAAAGGCTAAATATTTTTTTTCTTAAATTAATTGATCAGTCAAAATAAAATATTAGAGCATTCAGTTTTAAATAAAGAAAAATCTCAATAATTTCCTTACCAATATCAGAAAACAATTCACCAAAATAATCAGAATTTATAATATTTGTTTCATTATTCTTTCCATTAATTTCCCCTCCAGTTTCCATATTAGATGTTAAAGAAACAAATGAATTATTTTGTTGATTATTAGCTTCAGGGGAAGATAATTCACTAATTTGTGTTTCTGGTTGATATACTGGAGCTAATAATAATTGTTCCATTCCACAAAGTAATTGCTGTCCATTATTAGTATAAACATTGTTGGCAGTAGAAGAGGAGGAGGAATTAATTGAAGAAGAAGAGTGGTGGATATGTTGTTGATGATCGAGTAATTCAATTTGTTGAGAAGTAGTATTAAATGCTTTAAAAAAATGAAATTAAATTTAGATAAAAATATAAAATTTTTGAGATTTCTTTTTAGAGGAGGGAGGGGGAAGAGAATAAACCGAAGGCGCGTGGAAAAATTCTGGGCAAAAGTTCGCATCTCCTTGGGTGACTTAATTTTTTTACTTAACTTTTTTCAAATTTCTCATAAAATTTTTTAACATCGAAAATTTTTAATTTGTAAAGAATAATTTAATTATTTTTTATTTTAAAAATTTAATTAATTACCATTAGAAAACCCAAAATTATTATTATTTGTTGTTGTTGTTGTTGATCTATTAACACAACTATTACTACTACTACATCCACTACTACTACTAGTGCTGCTACTACTACTACTGCTTGTATTACTTTTACAACTTCCAGAAGAAATTGGTTGACATAATGGAGGGGAATTAATTAAAAAATCTTCATTATTTAATTGTTGTTGCTGCTCTAATAAATAATTATTATTATTATTTCCTCCTCCATTATTATCAAAAATTTCAGACAATAAAGGATTTAATGATTGTTTTCCAAACATTCTAGCTAATTGAACATTTTCCAAATAAAGTGATGAAACTTTAGCTACAGCAGGTAATAATAATAAAATATTTGCAAAACGAGAACTGGCTCTGTTAATTGATTGATCACAACGTTCTCTGACGTGTTGAAATAATGCATTTTGTAATTTATCTTTTATTTGATATAAACCACAATGTTCTCCACTTTCTGGATCTCCTAAAGAACTTCGACTATCTGAAAAAATAAAAGAATGATAAAAAGAAAGATTGGGGTAAAATTAGTGTAAGGTTATCGGTTGGTGTAATTGAGAAAAGAGGAAAGGGGGGGGGAGGGAAGATTATAATTAGAGAAATTACTTTTTCTAATAATTTTGAATTATCAGATTGGGTAAAATAAAAATTAATTTTTATTTAAAATTCAACTACCTCCATCTAATAAAATCAAAGCAGTCAAAGCAACCCTTTCTTGTTCAGATAAACATAATTTTCTGAGAGGAATAACTAAATCATCCAAAACCCTTCCAACTAAATTATTAGCTAAAAGACTTGAATCCCCTCCAATCATCCATTGTTGTTGTTGTTGTTGTTGAGTAGATGTTGATGAGGAAGAAGAAAATTCTCTTGGCAATACAGATCCATTACATAAAAATAACTGATTTAGAGGAGAATTTTGTGTTGAATTATTTAATGAAGCTGTTGTTGCCGCTTGTTCAAATGTACAAAAAGCGGCAAAAGAATTTTTTAAAAGGTCCAACTAAAAATTAAAACAAAAATTATTTATTTATTCAAAAAAACCTTTTCTTTTGGACTATCTAAATTCGCCATAAGGAATATAGCATTTACCCAATCAACACACATTAAAACATATTTTCGCATTGCTGCTGAAAATATTTGTCCACAAGCTAAACGGCCAGGCTCTATTGGAGAAATCTGTTTGAAATTAAAATAATAAATAGATTGGAAAGAAATTAGTCAAAAATCTCAGTTATCGAGATGGCGATTTTTTGATTTATTAAATTTTGATTGATCCTCATGTTTTAATGACATATAAAATATAAAATGTGTTAAGAGGATTAAATTTGAAATTCATAGAAATTATGCAAATTTTGATGGTATTTTGGGGTATTTGAATTTACTAAGACTGTCTGTCTAAAGCGAATTTTTCTATGAAATGAGGTATCTTGATTTTATAAGCTTTCAGACAATCTTAAGAAAAATTTGTAAGTATAGTCTGTTTGTAAAAATATTTTTCAAAGTATTGTACCCCCATTTACTGTTGTTTTTTGGGATTTTTGGCTATAATTTCTTAACCTACTGTAAACCAAATTCAGAAATATTTTACCGGTTCTTCGAGAGAATATTCAGCCAAAGTTTGTGGATTTTGTAATAACATAAATAAAGAAACTTCTGGATCAGGTTTAATATTTCTCCGTAATTGTATTGCTGAAGTATTTGGAACAGAAATTCCAATAGCTAATTCTACAAAAGGAGGAGAGGAATTATTGTTGTTGTTATTTGATGGGGATAATAATAGAGAATTATTGAAAAATCTTTCATTATTTGTTGTTGTTGAAGGAAATAAACTTCCCTCGCCAGCCTTGGAATGTATATCCATAAAAACCCCGAGAAGTAAATCTTCTTGTTGAGAACTATTAGATTCAGCTCCAGGTGAAGGAATACAACAAAAATTATTATTATTATCTCCTCTTTTATTTTTATTTTTTGTTTTTAAATTTTCTGGTTTGTTTTGTTGTAATAAAAGTAATTTCTTTTTTCGAGGATTTTTCTGTTTTCCAATAACATCTCTATCTGGTCTAATTGCCGTTACTTCCATTCCAACTTGTAAACAACGTTGAAAACGACAAAAACGACAAGCATTACGTTGATCTAAATTGTTTAAATTAAATTAAGAGTAATTAATGTGGATTTCGAAAACTTTAGAGGAATTAAAAGGGATATTGATAATTTGGGGGATTAGAAGGGATATAGGTAGGTGAGCTTGGGGATGGATTTAAGGGAATTTTCTGGATTTAAGGGGTTTTATTATTTTTTGTTTAAAACCAATTCCAAATCTTTACCTTTATCTATACTGCAACGTTTCTGAAACCGGCAATTGTAGCTTTGTTTGGATCGAATAGTCCTAAAAAAATTAAAATTATAATCTTCTTATTAAATTCTTCGAATATTTTGGTAAAAGTTTGGAATTCGCCCCCTTTTTTTTCATCGTTTCCCTGACCATTTTGAGCTTTTTTGTGTTATACATAATTTATCATATATCATTGAAAGAGCTCTTCGAGCTTGGTCGAATGATACTATTATTGGGTAGATCTGATGATTCTTACCAGAATTATGAAGCTAAATCCTAGTTGGATGAACTTTTTGTGCCCATGCAAGCGGATAAAATAAGCGATCATAACTTTGTTCACTTTAGTCAGATTTCGTTTATTTTAATGCCATTCGACTCAGCTCGAAGAGCTCTTTCGAATGATATATAATTTGCCATAAAATGAGAAGAAACTAGGAAAAAATAGAAAGGAAAAAAAGGGGGGCGAATTCCAAACTATTACCAATATTTTTATTAAAAAATAAAGAATTTTATATATAGCAGAGGTGGACCGGAATTCCGACTTTTGAGCCATTTCCAATTTCCGACAGTTCCGATTTCCGACACCTTCGTCATTTCCGACCCGCCTTTGATATATAGTACATATAATTATTTTTATATTTTAAAACAAATTCTAAATATTTTTAGAAAATAAAAAACCTTCTAAAAAAGCCTTTACATCCATAACAAGCCATTACCTTTAAAAAAATAAATTTAAAAAATTAAAAAAATAAATTAACTCCATAATGCCTTCCAGCAGATTTATCTCCACAAACAGAACATATTCCACTTTCTAAAATTAAATTATTTGTTGCTGTTGTTGTACTCATTGCAGCCATTGAAATGGCTGAATGCTCCATTTAATAATTTTTTGTGTTAAATTTTTAATGACGAAGATTGAAAGAAGGAAGAAAATAAAAATAAAAAATAAATTTATTTTTTAAAGAAGATAAAAAAGCTTAAAATTTAAAAGTACATTAAAAAAGAAAAGAAAAAAAGTTTTTAAAATATTATAATCTCTCAGAATTGAGGAAGTTTTTATTTAAAAAAATTAATTGAAAATATTAAAAAAATATTTTTTAAAGAATTAAATAAAAATTAAAATAAATAATGATTAAAAGAAGCTTTTAAAAGATTAAAAAATATCAAAAGAAACAATTATAAATAATTTAAACAATAATTACATAGTTTCATTATTTTTTTTTATTCTTATGTATATGTATTTGGGATCAGGTACAAAAAATATTTTTTTTGTAATTAGAAACAATGTATTAAGATTATTTAAATTTTTAAATAATAAAATTAGCGAAAAATAAAATTAATAGAGATTTAACTTTGATATATAGTAGAGAATTGAGATATTTTTAGGTTGATCTTAAATTAAAATTTTGATTAATTAATTAATTTACAAAAAAATATTTTTTTTGTAAAAGTTTAATAAAAGAAAATATTTTTCAAAAAAAATTTATTCTTTTCTTTCAAATTTAAAATAAAAACCGGAACAAAATTAGGAATGCTCTGTTGATTTTTTTATTGAAAAGTTGCGTCTAAAATAGAAATACATACACTACAACTATTTTAACAAAAAAATATTTTTTGTGTTTTCTTTCTTTTTAAAAATAAATTTTAATCTTTTGGCCAATAAATGTTTATTTATTTAAAATACTCTAAAAAATCAATCAATTATTTTTTATTTATGAAAAAAATATATTTGGAAAAAAGGAAAATTTGGATTAAAAAAAAAGAATTAAATTTAAATTAAAAATAAATATTTATCTATTTAAAATATTTAAAATAAAATTATCTGATTAAAAATGAGGAGAGCAAAATAAATATTTATTTTAAAAAAAGATAAAGAGAAGGCAACAATAAAAGAAAGGAAAGTTTGCAACAGAAAAAATAAAAGATTCAAATAAAAATTATAATCATTTTTAAAAATAAATTTAAAAATTTTTGAATTAATTATTTATTAAATAAATGCCAATAATTTATTTATAATTTTTAAAATCCCAATTTGAGATTCTCGAGGAGTTTTATTAAAAGAATGGATATCTTTATCAGTAAAGTTTCCTTAATTTTAATTGTTATAATTTTTTGTATGTGTATGTACAAGGGAGGAGTTAAATTAAAGAAAAAAGATTTTGAATTTAATAATGTTAATAATTAAAAGATTCAAATATTTGGATTGTTAAAAATATATTTTTTAGAATTAATAAATTTAAAAATTAAAAACATTTAATTTACAAAAAATTCGAAATGAGAGTGCAATATACATAAATACATATCTACATACTTTATATCTGTATTTAAAAACCATGTTTGGTAAAAGATAGGGGTGAAGAAAAAAATTTTTTTCTACGTAGGGGAGGAGAAAGAAGATTGTCCTTTCTCCACTATTTTCTACTTAAATTCTCTCTTCTCTCTCTTCTCCTCCTCCTTCTAACTCGGCCATAGTAGATTGTAAAAAAAGTAGAAAGTGAAGGAGAAAAAACGTTGACGGAACGCCCGCCTTTCTACGAGCCACACTGTTCTCATTAAAGCCAGTCCTCCTCCCCCCCCCCCCCTCCTCAATTGTAAAAAAATCCCCCCAAAGCGCCGTCAGTCTCTCTCAAATATTCCGCTCTCCTTTTTCCAATTTCCCATTCCTTTTAGCAACGTCTGGTAGCGAACGGCGTTCAAAATAATTCGAACACCGTTCGAATGAAAAATGTTCGGACAAAAAATATGACTGGGTTTGAGAAAAAAGAAGGGAATTGTGACAGATGACAAAAAAATATATTTTTTGAGAGAAAAAGAAAAAAGAAAATACTTAAAAGTATTTTAATGGATAATAAAAAAAAGAAAAAAAAAGATAAAATAGAAGGCAACATAAAAATAAAATAATTTTTAAAAAGACAGCGGCTGTCAGAAAATTTTGTTTAGAAAAATGGAAAATAAATGCAAAAATAAAAATTAGTCAGTATGGGAATCTGGAAGTATTTTTTGAGGAAAAATAATATTTTGTCTGAAATTTAAAAATTAGTTTATAGTTAAGTGAAAGACGGTAATTTAAAAATTATTCCTTTCGCTTAATTCGATTCAAATTATTTTTTATAAATATTTTACAAACAAAAAATAAATATTACAATTAAATACTTTTAAATTTTTTCATTTAAAATAAAATTTTGGCACATGACTTTAAATATAAAAAATTTTTTCGAAAAAAGTTTTCCTTCTTCCCCTCCTTTTTGCTTAACATTTTTGGCTTCTTTCTTGATATACATATTATTTTTTTTCATTATTTGTGTCCTCTTCTTTTTTGAATATATCTTTCTTTTATTTTTTTTTCTACTTCAATTATTTTTTAGTTCTGTCAGTTTTTGTGGGGGACTGTTTCCTTTTTTGGAATTTTTCTCATTTTTTTCAATAAATATATGCGTGCTTTGTGTTTCAGTCCTTTCTTTCCCTTTTATTTTCTGTCCCCAATTTTGTGCCTATTTCTTTGCATTTTCAATTAATTGTATTGGGGATTTGGTAGAAAAAGAAAAAAACTCTTGGGGGATTTTATTTATTAAAAAAAGTTAATAAATAATTAAAATAAATGAATACAAATATGTACATACATATATTTGTTTAAAAAAAGAGAAAATTATTATATTTAGGTAAATAATTATTTATTTATTTATATTAATATTTAGAGACAGAACTGGAAGAATAAGGGGGGTAATTATACGTGTGACTTACAAAAAATTAAGTTTTTAAAAATAAAATAGAATTCTAGATTTTAACTCCCTTTTTCCCTTTTTTCTTCATATCACCACCCAAAATTTAAGAATTTAAAGGTTGATAAAATATTTATATTTATTTTTTTTCTTCTTTTCCTAATCAATTAAAATATTTTATTTTTTCGTCACAATTTTCTGTAAGCCAAAACGGAAATATTTTAATGAAAATTAGACGGAGAAAATGAGTGAAAAATTTAAAGGAAATATAAAAATAAATTTAAAAAAGAATTTTTTTTAATTGGTTAAAACACAGAAAAATTTTAAAAAAAGAATTTAAATAAAATTTGTAAAAATAATTAAAAAAATAAAAATAATATTTTAATAATTTAAATATTATATTTTGAATTACAAATTTACAGATTACTAAATAATAAATAAAATAATTAAATAAATTATTTTTCTTAACATAAAAATTTAAAAGAGTTGCCTAAATGTTTTTTAAGGCTGATTACCGATAAAATATAAATTATTGTTTTTAATATATGATAAATTGAGGGGTTTTTTGGAAAGAAGAATTTTGTTTTGATATTTTATTTTCTCGATTTTTTAAAATAAATTTTTAAATTCAAGTATTTTTTTGTAAATTACTATAAATTTTTCCATTTAAAGATCCTTCCTAAAAATTTTCGAAATTGATAAAGAAGTTGAAGAAGCAATGGAAAGGTATGTTACTTGTTAAGGAATGATAATTTACTTAAATATGTTAAATAAATAAAATCATAGAGAAATAAGAAATTTTAATAAATAAAATAAAGCAGTTTAGAAAACAATAAATGGAAGGGATTGCCTACCTAATCCTTTCAAGAATTATTTAAATATATTTAATTATTTTTAAAATCTTTTCTTTTATATTTAAATTTAAGAATAAAATACCTAAATAAAATATTCTTTTATATTTAAAAAATATTTATAGCTTCTTTTTTAATTTCTCTCCTCCTTTTAACGTAATAAAATTAAAAGGACAAGTTTTTAAATTTTTCGAGAAATAAATAAAAATATTTTTTCAAAATGATTTAATGCCGACAATTAGATTTAAAAGAAATTTTTAAAAAAGAAAAATTAAAAACGGAAAATAAAAAAAAGAATATACAAAAAAAGTACAAAAACTACTCGGAAAGAAAAAAAATGAAAAATTGTTTGATTGAAAAATGGTAAAGAAAAAAAGTAGGGAATTGAGGGAGTTTTTTATTGAATTTACCTATTTAAATAATTAATAAAAAAATATACAAAAAAATTATAAATAAAAATAGAATTTCAGAAATTTTAAAAATTTATTTACGTTTATTGAGTTTAATATAAATAACTTAATTCGCCCAATGAATTTATTAAAAAAAGATAATTTTTAAATGAAATATATTTTTGATAAATTTAGGATATTTAGGATATTTGGGGATTTATTTACTCAATATATCCTACACAAATATTCCCCATCCCCTTTTTTTAATTTTTAAAATAATTATTTTGTGTTGCTTGAATTTAATTTAAAAAATTTTGCAAATGAGAGTAGGTGGATTGAAGGGAATGGGAATATAACATATAATATATTTTATATTTAAAAAGAACGGAAAACCTGATAAAACTTTTTTTCTTCAAAAAATACGCTGATAAATAAATTTAAGAGAAAAAGAGACAATTTTGACGTTTTAAAATATTTTATTTAAAAGTAATAAATAAATAAATGATGCCGACGAGAATTTTTTATTGAAATGATCAACACGTTAATTATGATAAGTTTTAATTTTTTCTTTATATTTTTGCAAGGCCATTTTCTCTTTATTTTTATTTAAATTTTTCTTATATTTATTTTAATATTACAACAGAAGAAAATAGGCAAAATCTGAAAAAAATAATTTTTTTTTTTAAAATATAAAATAAATATATTCGTCACAAACTTTTTGTATGACAATTTACTATTATAGAGAAATATTAAAAGATTTATTTTTTAATTTTTCTTTTAATTTTATTTTATTTTAGAGCTTCTACTTTAATAAAAAAGTTCATCGGTTTCCAATAAATATTTAAATATTTTTAGAAAAAAAGAAGAAAATATATACTTAAATACTTAAAACCCCCCATAAATATCCATTTAATTTTTAAAAATAGAAAAAATCCCTAGAAAAAACTTTTCACATTTGGCAATTTTCATTTGTAAAATTTAAATAGAGCAACTAAATAAAAAGAAGAGAGAGAAGTATTTAGTTAAAAAAAGAAATGCCTAGAGCTTTTAAAAGAAAATATTTAAATACAGTAGTCGACATAAAGATAGGGACAAGAGTAATTTAAATGTAAATTAACTATTTTTCAGTCAAAAAATACGTTCTATATATCAATCGAAAGCTCTATTCGTATCTCAGTTGACATGTTTCTGCATTTTTCATGAAAATGAAAATTGGCCGAGATAATCCGGATCTACCGGATATACCAAATCCCATAGCCTCGGAAAAAATTTTCGGAAAAAATCTAACAAACCCATTTGATAAAGCATATTTTTGTGAGTAGTTACCAAAAAACAGCTTAGAAATATCTTTTTCCGGGACGGAGATATGATTTTTTGAAAATGGCATTTTTCGCTTGAAAATTCAATTTTTTGCAAAAATAGACGAAAAATGCCATTTTCAAAAAATCATATCTCTGGACCGGAAAAAGATATTTCTAAGCGGTTTTGTGGTAAATACTCACAAAAATATGCTTTATCAACTGGGTTTGTTAAATTTTTTCCGAAAATTTTTTCCGAGGCTATGGGATTTGGTATATCCGGTAGATCCGGATTATCTCGGCCAATTTTCATTTTCATGAAAAATGCAAAAACATGTCAACTGAGATACGAATAGAGCTTTCGATTGATATATAGAACGTATTTTTTGACTGAAAAATAGTTAATTTACATTTAAATTACTCTTGTCCCTATCTTTATGTCGACGACTGTATATTTGGCACAAACAAGTGTAGAAAATAATTAAAATAATTGTGGGAAGGAAGAAAAAAGGAAAATTATTTTTATTTTTATTAAAAGAATTTGAAAATAAATTAGAAATTAATTTAATATTTTTATTTTCCCCCTCAAAAGTTGCAATTTTTGTGTTTTTCAGAAACTTTAATGGAAACGGAAAATATTTGAAGTGGAGAATTTTGAAGACTAAAAAATATGAGAGAATGGCACAAATTGAAAGAGAAGTATTTATATATATGGCACAGATGCCTTAGGACATAAGTTGAGAGAGAGGGGAGAGGAGGGGGAAGGAGGGAAGAGGGGAGGGGAAGACCGTCAAATAATTGTTGAATTGAAGTGAAAACGAATTTACTCAGTCATTCTCGAGGGAGGAAGAAAAAAGGGAAGGGGGAGGGGGGGGGAAGAAGGCTGGCAAGTAATAATGGCCATAGGCTGCCAGCCGTGGCCATAGCCGCTAACAGGCTGACACGGACTGACACGGCCAACCAGCCAAAGCAATGGATGATGATGGAAGGGGTGTAGCGAGAGCAAGGAAAAATAAAAGGGGAAAAGTGAGAACACAAAAACGGCAGCGGCAACAGCAAAGCACACACAAAAATAAATAAAAATACACACAAAAATAGTGCAAAATATATATACAGATAAAATAATAATAGATGATTGCCATTTTTAATAGAAAAATTTTTTTTTGAAATTTTAACTAAAAATATATTTATTTTTAGAATTAAAGTGCAAAATTAATTTTGAAGATTAAGACAAAAAAATAAATAAAATTAATTGAAATAAATATATTTTTATATAAAATTAAATATTTATTAATAATAAAATTAGCACCAAAAACAGGTGAAAATAAATAAATATATTCTTTAATATTGTCATCTTACAAGGAATTAATTAATTTTATATTTTAAAATAAATTATATTATTTTTTTATTTCAATTAAAATATAATTCAAAATAAATATTTTAAAATTAATTACTAATTAATTAATTAAAATAAATAAATATATGTGTGTTCTGATACTTTTAAAGAAAAAAAATAAAATAAAAAATAATTTTCAAATATATTCTTTTTAAATAATTAATTATTTCTTTTGACGTTAAATTTATAAATATATAAGTATAATTTATTTATTTATTTATTTTAATTAATATTTTTTTTTTCATTGAAATGTGATGACCAAAATTATTTTTTTAATGTTAAAATATTTTTATTAAAATTTATGGAAGGACATTTCATCCAAAATATATCCGGTTTTTGAAGAAAAAATAAACGTGCATTTCCACAGAATAAATAAAGAAGTTTGCAGAAATTGCAAAGAATATTTGGGGAAATAAAATTTAAATAAAAAATAAATTTAAAGTTTTTTTTTGTTTAATTTAAAAATAAAATATATAAATTATTTTAGAAAATTAAAATCTCTTTTTTTATTCCTTAAATTATTTTTCTCTAATTTTTTTAGAAATTCTGTTAATGTGAGTGAAATATTATTATTTAAAAAAGAATAATTTTATTTTTAATAATTAATTATTTTAAATATTTTTAATATATAAAATTATTTAAATCTTTTTATTTTATTTAATCCTATTTGAATTTTTTCAGTAAAATTTATAAAAGATTTTTTCTGAATTTTTTATTAAATGAAAGCAGAAAATTTTAAAAAACATTTTTGAATAAAATTGTCAGACTTACCAAAAACTTTTAGCTAAACAAATTTTAATTTTTTATTTGAAAAAATATTTAATATTTGCAAATAAAACAATAAATGTACTTAATTAAAAAAAGGGAATTTTTGAGAGAGAGTAAATTACAAATAAATAATAAGTTTAATTTTGTTGTCGTTTTTAGATGTAAGGTGAAAGTAACCCGAAAAAATGATTTAAATCCCAAAAATCCTTCTCCAAATATTTCTGAAAAATTTTCAACAAAAATTTTCTTCTGGTAAATTTTTAATTTTTCCTTTCTGATTTAAATGTTAAGGGATAAATTATGTACTTTACCTAAATGAATTACTTTTCTGCAGTTAAACCTATAGTCACTTAAAATCTACTAATTCTCAATGATATAAAGAAAAGAAAAACAAAATACATATATTTATTTTCACAAGCCTATTTATATATATACAATATCACAAAATGTGTGAACACCAACAACAATAGAATAGGGGAAATACAATATTATTATTATCACACAAAAATATATATCACAATGTGCTGAGATGGGGGAACATTATTAGGGAGGGGAACATTATTATCATTTAGGCAGAATCCACACAATCCAAGGATGTCACACAGTCATTGGCTCCTCTTCTTCCTTTACTTCTTCTTGCCCTTCTTGGCGCCGCCACTCGCTGCAGTTTCCGCTGAGCCAGACTTCTTGCCAGACTTCGACTCGGCTCCAGGCGCTCCGCCACCCTTCGCTTTGCCCGCTCCTGCGTCCTTCACCTTGCGCAAATACTCAGCTGCACCCTGAAGGATTGAAAAAAATTATTTTTAATTTAATTAAAGAAAAAAGAAGGAAGAAGAAAACTCACAAAGCCGATCGCGCCGAAGAAAAGAACAAGGATGATGTACATCAGGAGCCCCATTGTTCGTTTGTAGTAGACGTGAAGTGTTGTTTTGTGAAGACGGTGTGGAAGAGACAGAAGCACTGACGACGCTTTTTTTGGGTTTTGTAGAATAACGATGTTGAGGATTTTGAATTTTAATGGCTTTTATAGTGATTTTGTATAAATCGGCTTACATATCTACAAGGCTATTGAATGGCCGTCTCGAATACTACAAAAAAATAATTCTATCTAGAGCCATCCTCTCTTGGAACAATTCTTTTGATTTTACTTAATTCAAAAATAATAAAACATGTAATAATTCTCTGCAATCTAAAAAATCAAAAAATTTCTTAAATTCCTTTCACACAAACCCGAGTAAAAAATTGATAATAAAATCTTTTTATTAAAATAAAATTATAGTAAATAAAAATATATGTATTTTATTTTTCCTATTATTTAGTTTTTAAAAATTAATTTGATATTCTGTCTGAAGTAAAAATAAAAAAATTTGAAGAAAAAATGTAGAAAATTATATTAGTTATTTATCTATTTTTATTTATAAATTTATTAAATAATATTTAGTATTTTAATTTTAAAAGAAAGAACATATATTTTGTTGTTGTTGTTGTTGTCCAATTTCATTAATTTCTTCTACTTCCCCCCTTCCTTTTTCTTCTCCAAATTTTTCTTCTTTTCTTTTTTGTGTTGGTGAACAACTTGCAACTAACCGAGCAGCTGCAGCCACCAATAAAAGTTTTAATTGGGCATTTATTTTTAAAGAATTGTCTGGATTAAAACGTAAAAGCATATATAAACAATTGGAATTATTTTGAGGTTGTTGGTGGTGGGAGGAGGAGGAGGAACGATTTCGATGATTAGTAGATGATGATGAAGAACGTCTTGAAGGAAGTTTTAATTCTTCTAAACGTGCAAGTAATTGTCCATCACTTTCAGAAAGGCAATGGAATACACGCAAATAATTGGTACTAAAAATTAAATTAAATTAAATAATCTTTTTAAATAAATTTAAGAAATGAGATTTTAAAAAAATTCAAAAATGATTGATAAATATTTTGAGAGGGGGGGGGGCAATTAAATAACACTGTTTTTAAAAAGTGTAAATAAAACTGAAATATGAGTAAAATTGAAGATATCCTTAGAGTTCCACCCCCCCCTCCCTATGAAATAGCTAATCAACTTCAAAAATTTTAAGTACAATAGAGTGTGTACGTAACAGGGATGTCACGGGTTACCCGAAACCCGATACCCGAAACCCGAAACCCGGCCTTTTTTTCGACCCGATACCCGAAACCCGATCCGAGAAATTTTCTAAAACCCGACCCGAAACCCGACCCGAGAATTTTTATTTTTCAAAACCCGACCCGAAACCCGACCCGAGTTTTTTCAAAATTTTCGCCCGCGTCGCAGAAAAAGAGAAGATTTTTAGCTTAACGATCCTCCAAAATTCTGAAAATTTTCGCCTGCGGCGCTAAAAAAGGGAAGATTTTTAGCTTAATGACCTCCAAAATTCTGAAAATTTTCGCCTGCGGCGCTGAAAAAGGGACTTTTTTTCGACCCGAAACCCGAAACCCGATCCGAAGAAAATTTTGGAAACCCGATCCGAAACCCGACCCGACTTTTTGCTCAACCCGAAACCCGAAACCCGATCCGAGAAAAATTTTGGAAACCCGATCCGAAACCCGACCCGACATTTTTCTCAACCCGTGACATCCCTGGTACGTAAATCTGGGTACGTAATCTAGTATAAAAGCCTAGTTTCGCCAATATTCCCAACAGTTCTACAAAATCCAAAAATCTTCATCGTCCTTCCCAAACTCTTCACATCTCTACAAACAAAAAATGGGGTTCTTGATGTACATCATCTTTGCTCTGATCTTCGGCGCTGCTGGATTTGTGAGTTTTTTGTTTTAATTTAATTTAATTGTCTTTGTTAATTTAAAACAAATAATTTTTGTTTTTTTTTCTTCAGGCCTTAAGCGAGTTTCTGAACAAGAAGAAAGCTGCGGGTGGAGCAGGAGCTGGACCGGATGCGGGATCTGGACCGAGCCCAGCGAAGGGTGCTAAGGGAGGCAAAGGAGGCAAGTCCGCTAAGACGCGCTCAGCGGAGACCGCAGCAAGTCTCGGCAGCAAGAAGGGAAAGAAGAAATGAAGGAAAGAATTGTAAGAAGATTGTGATAATATATTGTATTGTAAGGATTTTTTGGCTGAATAATTAATTGCCTCTCATTGTGTATATCTTTCCCCTATATTCTATTGTTGGTGTTTGTATATATTTTTTGTTTATTGTATGTATAGTGATAGTAAATCCGGTATAAATATAAATATAGGTATTTTGTGTTCATTGTTTAACAAAAATAAGTACTCGAAGTATAATTGTTTTGGAAACAATCTCCATTAATATTTTAATATTGTTCGAAAACTTTGTCGTTTTTACTAAAAATTTTAAAACAACCTTTGTTGTTCTAATCCAAATCTAGCAATATTCATTCTCCTTCTATCTTGTACCAAAAAAGGAATTCCAACCACAAAATGTGCAAAACATTCCCCATCAGGATTATCAACTCTCTGAACATATCCATTCCCTCCACTACTACAATCTGTCCCTCCACCACCCAAAAGTTTTGGCAAAGGAAATATTCTTCTTTCCAAATCACAGAGCGTCAATACTGTTAACCCCAAAGATTCAAACACCCAGGAATGTGAACGAAAACAACTGGCTCTTTGCCATAAATCGAGAAGGGGAAAACCTTCATTATCTGTTATCTTAAAAAGAAATTTGAAAAAGAAAATATTTTTTAAAAATATTTAGCACTTGTAATTCAGTACCAGCCCTCCGAATTTGCAATAATTTAGCATCAACAATAAAACTTAGAGCATAACTAAAAAAATAAATTTTATATTTATTCAAAAATTATTAACTCTTTGCAGGGTTTTGGCTGTCTTCGATTATTATTAATAAAATTTCCATTAAATAATTCTCTATTACTATTAATTTTAGATAAACTTCTTTCATTATTACAATTTCCAATTAATTGATGTGCCCCAGCTAATCTTTTAATTCTTAATTGTATTTCTGTTGCCTCTCTTTCATTAATTACTTCCTCTTCTTCCTCAATTAAATTATTTTGTTGATAAATATCTTCAAAATATTCCCCTCCTTCCCCTTCTTTATTTTCTTGTAATAATAATTGGGATTGTCCAGATAATAAAATATTTTCTTCATTTTGATGAGAGAAATTATTACAACTTTAAAAGAAAGAAAAATATTTTTTAAGGAATTTATTTCAAAAATTTCCCTCAATTCCTCATTTTTTCTAAATTTAAATTTTCTTAAATTTAAAATCAAAACTTTTTTTTACCAAAATTAGGACAAGAAAACAAAAATATTTTTAAATTAAAAAATTATATTTACAAAGACGTTTGTTGTTGTTGTTCGTTATCTTCAATTTCCCCCTCCCCTTCCCCATTTTTTTCTTCTTTAAAATAATTATTTATTTTCGTTAATTCAATTAAATTTTGTCCATTTTCTTCTTTATTATTTAATTGTTTATCTTCACATTTTTGATAATTTTGATGATTAATAATTTCAGAAGAAGAAGAAATACCCCCTACTCCATTAGACATTGTTTTTGTTTGGAATTCTAAAAAGTTTTTTTAATTATTTAAATAAAATAATTAATTAATAGGTTTAAAGATTTTTTACCCAATTTTTTAATAATTAATTCAATTTCATTTTAAATTATTTTACAATTTAATAACCTTGTTTATTATTTAAGTTTTTTTTATTTTAAAGTAAGGGAAATATTAAAGTACTAAATATTTTTATTTTTATATAAATTTAGAAGGAAAATAAACTGAAACGGCACCACCAATTTTCTTTCTCCACATTTTTTTACTTAAAATTGTCCAAATTTTAGAGGCTAATTTAAAGTAAATAGCTTTTTCCCTTTCTTTTTTTATTCCAAAAAGAAATATTTTAAAAAATAATTTAATTTAAGAAAATAATAATATTTTTAGGTATACATAGATACATATTTCTTTTAAACAAAAAATATTCTTTTTTTATTTAAAAATATCAAAACAAAGGAATTGAGTGAAAAATGAGCTTTTCTTCAAATAAAATACTAAAAGGAAATTAACCATAAAAAAGAGAAATATATACGTGTTGGAGAATAATAAATAAATATATTTAAATATAATTTTAGGAAGAAAGAGGAGAAGGGGAAAGTGAATTTCAAAAAAAAAATTGGGGAAAAAAGAGCAGCTAAATTGTTATTTACCGGTTGCCTGACCATTAAAAAAGAAGAAGCAAGGGCTTTTTAAAGAGTTAAATAAATTGGTAAAAAATAAATTATACGAGAAAATGGGTATAAGAAAGAGAAGGGGGAAGAAGGGGGTTATTTAATTTTGAAGAAAGTGAAAATAAATTTAACAAATATATTTTTTATTTTTTGAAAAAAAATTGTTGAGAGATACATATGTATTTTTTAAAATAAATAAATAATAAAATTGAGTTTAAAATAAATAAAAATTTAGAAAACTGGTTTAAAAAAATAATTAAAAAAATTTTTGTTTTTATTTAAATATTTTATTTAAAATAATTATGTATTTATTATTCAACTAAAATAAATTCAATTAAATAGTTATCTAATATATTAATTTATTTACATAAATTTCTTTCTTTTACCCAATAAATTATATTTATTTTTTTAAAGAAAATCTTAACAAAAAAATTAAAAATACCCTCAGAATTATTATTAGCCTTTTTATGCCTCGAATAAAGCCCAAAACCATTACTAGTAGATTGCCTATATTTACAATTATTTAAATTTAAGGAAGGTGAAGAATATAAATGTCCATCAATTCCAATTGAATTTTGTAATGGAATAACTAAAAAAAGAAATAAAATGTATTTTTTAAATTATTAACCATTATTAATTCCATTATTTAAATATTCTTTATTATTTTGTATTTGGGAAAATTTATAAATTAAAAAGGGGGCATTCTAATAGAGATTTTACGGTATATGTATGTATGTATTATTTTCCTTTATTTAATTAAAAAAAATATTTTTAAATATAAATCCCCTTCCCCCTCTTCCAAAAAATTATTTTAATTAATTAATTATAACCATTATTAATTCCATTATTTAAATATTCTTTATTATTTTGTTGATGATATTTTTTAGAAGAAATTAAATTAATAGAAGAATTATTATTGTCTTCTTCTTCCCCAATAAATGTACTCATTTGTTTTTGTTGTAAATTATTATTAAATAAATGAAGTTGTAATGGTTTAATATTTGATAATTGAGAGGAATAATTGGAGGAATTAATATTATTTTTTGTTATTCCATTCATTTTATTTTAAATTAAATTTTCTTTAAAAATTAACAAAATTTTATTTTAATTAATTTTATATTATTTTTCCTTCATTTTCTCTCTTAAAAATACAAATAATTATCAGAATAAGTATTAACCAAAAATTTTACAAAAAAATTAAATTAATCTAAAGTTGGGGGCATTTTTGGTTGTTAAATCTATTTCTTAATTAAATTAAATTCCTGAAAACTCGGCTCTTCTAAAATTGTTATATAAGTCTTTGATCACTTATGCGAGATAGATAAAACAAAATGCTTGAAATTTTAATTTGTCTATTTTCTGCTAAATATTTAATGACAAAAAAAAATAATAAAATTAAATATGTATATTAGAATTTGTAGGCTATATTCAGAAAACGAATAATTTTATAATAAATAAAGCTAAAAATAAATAAAAATAAACACCTGTTTCTAAAAATAAAAATAAATCAATCTCTCAACTCTATTCGGATCAACTAAAATTATATATTATTTTAAAATAGTAGGTGGTTTTTGCTTAATAAAATTTGGTAGTAAAAATAATAAATATATGTATTTTCTTATAATTTAAAAAAATTTATATGAAAGTAACCATTCAACTGAAAGAATATTTGAAAAAAAATTATTCTTTAATATTTTTTTAAAGATTTTTTTATATGACAAGCAATTTATTATTTTAAAATTTATATTTATAAACAAAAAAATATAAAAGTAGTAAACTGCCAATTTTTATTGGGTAAAATATAAGTTTTTTAAAAGCCTAAAGATGTTTATTTAAATTTTTTTGTTTAAATTTAAATTCATTTCACCCAAAAATTCTTGAATTAATTTTCTCAATGATGCTTTATTTACACAAATAATTATTGTTTCAATCGCTAACTGATTATTTAATAATTTTTGAGGCGGGATAATTATGAGTAAATACGGCAATGACAAAAACTGAAGGATTTTTTTAATGATAACAGAAAAATAAAATAAAAATTTAATATCAAATGTTTTTTCTAAATCCGTTAAATTACCTAAAATATATTTTTAAAATTTTGAAACGAGGAAATAAAATTTAAAAATGTGTCTAGAAAATTTTTTGCTAAAATTACCAAGTTTAATAAACAAAGAAAAATTTATTTAAAAAATTTTAGATATATTTATTTATTTACGTAAATATTTCCGCTTATAATGCTCAAAAAGTGCCACCAACATTCCTCTATATAGAGGGGCATTTATATGTTTGGCCAATACTTCTTTTAAATAAAAAGGCTGGAACAAATAAGAATTGAAAAGGGGGAATAAATATATATGGATTTTTGCCATGCGGCTGCCCATGAATGAATGAATAACGACAAAATTGGGGAAAGGAGGACTGGCGGACAATTAGAGTGGGCAATAGTTACGAGAAAAATTTTATTTTTATGTAGCCATTTGTGTCAGCCAAATAATGAGTAAATTTTTGAAATTAAATTTTAAGAAAAAATGGGTTTTGTTTAGAGGCATTATATTTAAAAAATCAGGTCTTTTTTGGGAGTGGGCTCAAAATGGAAGAAAAATTTCGGTAGATTGATAAAGCAGAATTTCTCTACTTGGTAAGTCTACGAGCCCCGGAGAAATTCGAGTTCATTAAGCAGCCCGTCGTTAATTGTCCTTTACTCCGGAAACCTATTTTTGGAGCACAACTTTTAGATTTTTAAAGTTTTTTTTATCAATTTAATATTAAAGAGTCAAGATAATGTTGACGAAAGTCAATATAATAATTTTAATTAATTGTAAGCGATGCAAATTCTTTTTAAAGAAAAAGCTAAAGAAATGGGATAAGGGAACGATAAAATGACAGAAACAAGTAAACGAGTGAACCTTTCTCAACTAAAGGCTCTTGGGAGAATGAATTTGAGAGGGGGACAATGAATTGAAAATAAAGAAAAAATGAGAGGTGCAAAGACAGGAAATTTAATTTACTCCATCACATGTATAAGGCGCAGGGTTTTTTACTTTACGCAGGGCTTTAGAGATGTTGATTAGAAATGATGTCCCAAAATGAATAAAAAAAATATAAAAAAGGAGATTTTGAAGAGAAGTATACAACAAAAAATAAAAAATTTTACTAATAAAACGGCTAATTTTAATGATATAAGTTTGTAAGTTATAAATATAAAATGTGTTATATTTTATGATTCTTGTTGTACTCTTGAAGTTAAAATAGATGCACCCAAGAATGAAATCTAAAAAAATAGAGAGAATTATTAATAAAAATTAATTAATTATTCACCATAATTGGAATAGAAGCAATAATTTGCCAAATATTCGGTGGTTGATTTCGAAAAAAAGAATCGGCTAGCATTGAAAGTGGAACACCTAAAGAGCCTGAAAGTGAAGAAGTTAATGATCCAGTTAGAAGTGTTGCATAAAGCCAAATTGAATCGGCAAAAAGTGTGCCGAGGAATGCATTGGCAATGAGTATAAACATTTGTTTAAATGTTGGAAGTGGTAATTGGGATTCAAATCCAGAAATGTGTGCAATATATATTAATGGAGTACACGCAAATAATGCAAAGAGACCAACAGTTCCTAAAAATATATTTGAGGAAATTTTTGCCAAACACAAAAGTTAAAAGTAATGATAAAGGTGAAGAAGGTATTGTAAAAAATTAACGGATAATTAGGGACTCTCTAAAAGTACCAAAAAAATATATAAAAATTTAGCCAAAAATAAATAACTTACCAAGAAGTAAAGGCATATTAACATTTTTGCCTTTGAAGCTTAAACGAGCAAGTGCAAATAGATATAGGGCATTAGAAAAAGCCGAAAAAAGAGATAGCGAAGTTGTAAATAAATTTCCAGAAAAACGAGAAACAATACAAACCCCCAACATATTCAATAAAACCATTAAAAGCTAAAAGAAATATTTTTAAAAATTATTTTTAAATTTAACAAAACTTACTTTTAACCAACTAAAAGAATCCACAGAATATTTTCCAAAAAATGCTCCAAATATTAAAACAAAAAGTGGAGACGATGCAGAAATTAAATTAACTGTTGAAACTGAGGAATAAGCAAGAGCTGTCTGATAACTGACGGATGAAAGTAACCACTAGAAAAAAATTAAAAAAAGTATTTGAATAAAAGTAAATATTAAATTTAAATGGGATTATTTTAATAAATTATTTCTAAAGTAAATTTAACAAAACTAAAATTTTTTTGTAAAATAATTGAGATAACTAAAGAAGTTAATTAATTAATACCCTCACCCTTATTTGAGTCTCATTGTCAGTTTTTTCCTTTTATTCTTTTCTGCATCGGATTGGTAAAATCCCCGTTTTAGTATAAATGTTGATTTTTGCCGCTGCCGACTTTTCCCTCCTAATTTTTTGTTCACTTACCTTTTACTTAAAAATGCTTGAGATTAAATGATTGACAATAAAAAGAAAATTAATCTGATTGTGAGACTCAAATAGGGGTGGGTCGGGATATTAATAAAATACCCTACAGATTAGCAAAAAAACAAAAACAAATATTTTCTAAATTAAATAACCCACCAAAGGTGCAAAATAAACACAATAAATAAACATATCAGAATTTGGATCCAATTTAAGAGAACCACAAAATTTTGAACAAAAATCACTTTTTGCGACTTCTTTAGCTTTATTATAAGGTAATCTAGCTAATGTTGCAGCTTCACTTAAACTTTCTGGCCAACGACGAACTTCTCTTAATTTATTAAAACGAACTTTTCTTCTCCTTTTTATTCTTTTTGGTTTAGTTAAAGGAGTAGAAGATACAAAATTTTCTTCAATTTCACATTTCTTTTGTTGGTCAGGCGTTGTTTGACTGTTTTGACTTTCCGGTGCTGATAAATCCCCAGTATTTGATTCTACATCTGTTATAGAAATTGGCTCAAATTCAGCTTCCGTCTGTTAAAAGAGAAAATTTAAATATATATTTTAGAAATTTTAAATTAACCAAAGTATTGCAATCTAAAATGTCCTCATCTTCTTCTTCTGTTTCTTCTGCGCTGCTATTACTATTTTCATTTTCAGTTAACCGAGAATAGAAGGCCTACAAAAAGGGGAAAATCAAAAAATTTAAAAGGCAATATGTAGCAGTAATCGAGGGTATCTTGGATAAAAAATTAACCGTAGATTTATAGTAATATACTACATAGATTTAAAAAAATCAAATATTTATTTAAATTAGGTAAATTACTTTTCCGTTTTTTGAAGTAGTTGTAGTTTCTGATTCTGAAGATTTTTTTCTGCAATCACAACAATAAAAAGTCAAAAAAAGAGATAACATGCATGACTTAGCGTAGGTGAAGAAAAGTGGCCTTTTAAAATCGAGATCAATGAATAAATACTTTAAAATGAAAATTGTTTGAATAAAAAGAATAAAAAACCCTCGTTATTTCTGAAGCTGCAACCCATACCTAAAAAATATTAATTTAATTTTTATAGGAAAAGTATAATAAATAAAGGAGATAAAATGGAGATCAAGTTTAAAATTAAATAAAAATTTTGTTTGAAAAACTTCACACAAAGTGTAAACAAAATAAATCAAATATCAAAAAAAAAAACTCACAATGTTTACAAAGACTAGAAGTGCCACGCCATAGAAACGCGAAAAAAACGAATTTTCTGTAGATGTGGTCATAATGATTATGCTTATGTTGTTTCTGTTATTATGCTATACACAAAATAAATTTACAATTATTCTAAAAGCTAAAAAAATAATTAAAATAATTTAAAGTAAAAATAAGAATAAATAAAGAATTAAACTCTTTAATTTTTCAGAATTTTTAAAATATTTATCAAAAAAATTTTATCCGAATCTGAACATACAATATATAATTAATTAACAACTTTTATAGAATTGAAGTAAAAAATGAAGACAATTTGCTTAATAAATTATTTACAAAATTTCAGTATTTAATTAAATTATTTAAGTGTCATATTAAATAAATTTACGTAGAAATAAAAGGAAGTATTTATTAACTATGAGCATATTATTATTAAATTTATTTTTTATTAGCTGCAGAAAAATAAGCACACAACTTGGAAAATATGAGAGGGGAAAGATGATGAAAACTTGGAAATTGAAAGAAAATAGTAAAGTTGACTGCGTGGAATTATTTGGAAAATAAAAATATATTGATTAGATCATTGTAGAATGATTGTCAAAAATACCAGAAAAAAAATATAAAATTTAATTTTCTTTTTGTAAATGCCGTACAAAAATTAAATTTAAAAGTCGAAGTGAATTATTTTTTTATCTAATCGGGATACGCCCATTCTGTCGCAGACTAGTAACTGACAATGTCCTTAATCGAAAATTTTCCATTTTTACTATTGTAACAAATTTTCAGCGCTATGGAATGGTACCACCGATACCCCCACAAGTTTGCAACAGAGTAGCCTAGCGACAGAGTGGGTCGCCCGATTAAACTACAAAAAATTTAAATCTTTTGACCCACATTTCCCATTCTCATCCATTGGATCGAAAAAAACATTTGTTGTTGGATAAGGAATTGGTGGAGAGTCAATCCCAACAATTGCATTTTGTTCGTCAAGTGAAGGATTTCGAAATCTTGAAATAAATTTCTTTATTAATTCCTCTATCCTTTGCAGAGAAGAACGTGAATTCTCAAAACTAGAATATTTTTATCATTTTCGGAGAATATTTTTAAGATAAAATTACTTGTCGGGAGTGAGTAAACCTTTCTGTAAGATTCTTTGGCAAATTGTTTTGTTTAATGATTCATCAAACAATGGAATGCCGAAAACACAGTCGAAGAGAACATAATCATTGAAAGACTCCCCACGACATAAATGTGTTCGACTGGTTGAAACTTTTCTTAAGAAAAGGAATTAGTTTTCTTGAAAAAAACTCTTACTTTGGATCTTTTGTAATTGTATTGCTTAATTGAAAAACACTTAGAGAATAAGCAGAATTTGGTGAGGGTATTAACGTCGATTGATTAGAAGGAGAAAATTCATCATTTTCTGAGGGACGTTGTTGTTCACTTTCATTTTTATCATTATTCTCCTCATCTTCAAATGAAGGTTGAGAAGGATCATCAGTGTTATGCAATTTTAAGAGAACAATATAACCACAAAGATAGTCTAAACCAAGAGAAGATTGCAACCTTTGAACGACTGGATGTCTTGTAAATGGTTGTAGACATTCTATATTCTGAAAATAAAAATATTAATTGAAAATTAAGAAGAGGGTTTATAAAAGAATAAAAAACAGAATTTATAAATTATTGTAAATACTTAAATTCAATTATTTGTTAGTAAGTAGATTATTTTAATTCAATAGTTAAAAATGAAAACAGAAAGAATGTTCGTAAAAAAGAGCGCAAAGAGAAATAAAAAAATAGGCAATAAAAATACTCATTGTCAATACAATAAAAAGACACACCGATTGTTGTTGTTCACATTCATTTGTTTGAATAGATCCATTAATGCCTCTCTCTTCACTTTCTATATCAAAAGGAAATGGAACATTTACAATTTCAGCATCAGATACAAGTTCACTATAAGCCTGAAAATTAAAAAAAAAAAATAATTAAAATATTTATTTAAAATAAATAATTTACTTGTAAAAACACTGGCGCAGAATGCAAAGCATCTCCTACTGGAATAAGCGAACTTTCAATAGGTAGAATAACAGGTTCATGATTGTTTCCTTGAGTAAGCATTAAACGACGACTTTTCCAGAAGAGTTTAGGAAGTTTGGTGATATAAGTGCCCATAGGGAGGAAAATTGAAGGAGGACCACATGTTGCTAATTCGTATATAAAAAGACGAAACCAAGGAGATGTTAGCTAAAATAATTATTTCGAATAGAAAATAATAAAAAAAATACTTCTACTGACGCGGCAGTTCCCAAATGAGGAAGTTTAGCCGAATGTAAACAACACGCTTCAGCACCTATAACAAAGCAAAAAAGTAAAAAATTATTTTTTAGACTTTAATTTTATAAATTAACCGATCGGAGCCATCGAAACGAGCAGTCTAAAATTATAAAATTATTTTAAAAATAAATAAAATATTTACTTGTAAGATTTTTCAATTACTCTAAGACGTGCTGCACTTTCCAAATTTAAAAGACTTTCTCCACGTATAAGGTCCATTTCAGAAACGCTTCTTAATGATTGAATTGTATATAACAAAGTTCTAGCATGCTCTGAATAACGCTGTGCTTCACCTTCAGCAAAGAAATTAACCTAAAATTAATTTATAAGCTAAAAATTTGTCAAAAAAATTAATACATTTTGAAGTTCGTCAATAAAACTATCCATAGCATCCTCACTTAGCTTACCAACCTCAAACAACGTAATTGCATGATTTTTTAGAGTCTACAAAAGAAATATATTTAAAAATAAATTTTAATAAGAAAATTTACAGCAGATAAATTTCCCATCATCAAAAAAGCAGTGAGAGAAGAATCAAAAATGAATGCTATTCTTTTTGCAACAGCTGAAGTGGTTGAACTTGCCGAACTTTCAACAACGAATGGAGAATTTTGCGAAACAGCCTTAAAAATATAAAGAAATATTTCAACAAAAATATCATTATTTAATACATTTTCTACAGCCGAAACAATATCATCATCGTCAAAAAAACCTCCAGAATTTATATTCATTAAAGAAAAGTTGAGATCATTTAATTCTGCGCTAATAGAAGGTTCCGGTGTGGTTGGTGATGAAAGACTAGATAATATTATTTAAATAAATATTTAATTAAATATTTACCAAGAACCAGAAGACGAATTCTCCACACCCCACGAGTTGTGAAGAACAAAATTTTCAATTCCTGTAACTCTTTTACGCGCAAAACCAAGTCGGCAAAAAAGAGAAACAGCGTTACAAATCAGGTCAATATCAATGCCGATTGTTTCGGAGAGCTGAAAATTAAACGATAAAATTAGAAAAAATAATTTTAAAGCCCAAAAGAAAATTTATGCCTAATGGGGAAAAACATTGGTCTGATATTAAAATATTTTTTCCTCTGAATGTCGAAAATTAAATAAAATTGCAATAGAATTAAAACGGGGAGCACTAGTCTTGATTAATTACTAGGGGTATAAATTTAATAAACTTAAAAATAGAATTAGTTTATGCTAAAAAATCTTAAATTAAAACCTCTCGTATAGAAGTCTGCCCATCAATAGCAACAAAAATTTTATAGAGTAATGTCTCAAAAAAATCACCCTGAGTTCGATTCATAACAAATCCGTCAAGAGTAGGAACTAATAAATAAATTAAAAAATGAAACCGTTCCTATATTTACCATAAACACAATCCTCAGGATGTATTGGAACTTCCAAATAAGCAAGGCCACGGCTAAGCAACCTCTGAATAACATTCTTATCCAAAAGGCCACAAAGTTGAGTACCTTCATCCATTAGTTTGTCAATTACTTCTTTCTCCACAGAACTTAATAACTAAAAATTTAATGAAAACAGAACTTTTTTAAATTTAATAAAAATTACCCGAACATCATTTTCCAAAACACAACCATAATTGAATAGAAACCAAGGCTCTACAGTAAAATTATTGACTGGCTTTTGGGGCAGCATTTCCCTAACAGATTTTGAACGGCGAAAAAGACGACGGTTTGCACGGCTCTGGTTCACAAGATCAATATATTGATTGCGGCCAATTCCAAGGATTTGCATCGCATCAACAGCAGTAAAGTTTGGAATAGAATCATAGCTCTTTTCTGCTTGCATTACATCAACAAGCATTTCCCTAAAAATAATATCAACATTTGCTTACTTGGACGGAGAATGTTTTTCTGTATTTCGAATTCAAAAAAAAGGTAAAAAAACTTCGTCAAAACCCTTCAAAGAAAATATTTTAAAAAACAAACGTATAATAAGTGAAAGGAGTTAAACGCAATTCTCGAACCAAAATATCAGAAAGATGGTAAGGGTAAAGCATCATTTTTGCTCTGCTATGATGAAGTAAACAATCATAATATTCCTCTTGAACTCTTTTAACAAATCTAACTAAAAAAAATAATTTTTAAATTTAAAAAATAATTCAAATAAATATTTACCGATATTTTCCTTGTACCTAAGTTGATTTTTAATTGAATATTCCAATATTCTTTTGTCATATTCTCGTTGAGAACCACCCAAAACTGTACGTAAATCATCTGACAATTTTGTCCAAGTAATATTTTTCCTTATCGCTTCATCAACTGCTTCAGATGACATTACTCACTAAAAATACTTAAAATAAAATTAAAAATTAAATAGGCACATTTAGTCTCGCGAAAGAAATATTTCTTTAGATATTAAAAGCAAAGCTGAATTTTATTTGGTATATCTATCACTTCGCTCGTCACGTAAAAAACTATCATTTTGCCTTCCGTGAATGAAAAAATGCGCGCATAATTCAATAGATTATTTGTCTTTTAAAGTACTTTTTTCCCATAAAATGTTATTAAAAGTCAAAGTTTTGCCAATACAACAAACACACACTCCCCCCTATTTTTATTTTAATTCATTTTCGAAGAGGGAAAGTATTGGATTTTTAATTTTAAATAAAAAAAGTATAACAATAACTGTTAATATTTATATTTTTTTAAATCAAAAACAAAAATTTTTCATTTTATTCAAACAATAGAATATATTAAAAAACAAAAAAAATTAAATAAAAAATAAATAAAAATGGAATTGTTTTGGAATTTCTTCAATTTTTAATTTTTAATAAGTGATACAAGGACGGTGAACATTTGGATGTGATTTAATTAGTCCAATACCTGCCATAAAACGGCTATAGGCACTTTCTAGATTCTAAAAAAGTTTTAAAAAATATTTAAAAAAAAAACAAACTTTTCCAGTTTTTGGATCCAAATCAACAATACGTACCTTAAAAAGAAAAAATAATTTTTTTTAAATAAACAAAGAATTTTATACAGAAAAGGCAAAATAAAGAGATTGACCATCCAAAGCACGAACACTTACAAACCCAGAACCTCCCCCAACTGTCCTAACTATATTTTCTCCAATTTTGTCAACAAGTCGAATACTTATCTTTAATTTTAAACAAAATTTAATTTAAAATTATTTTAAATTAAAAAACCATTAAGGAGCAATCTTTCATTGTTGCGGCAAGTAAATATCTTTCAACAAGAGAACGAGCATCCCTTTTGGCTAAAAAGTCAAGTCCCCGTCCCAAAAGATTCGATTTTTTCTGCAATTCTCTCTTAAAATAAAAAAATATTTATTAAGAAAATCAAAGCAAAACCTGTATATTTTGTGGAAGACTTTTATAAAGCTCGTAAGCACGAACAATTCCAATATTGTCAATTTTTTGGGCTTTGAGCAAATCAAAAAGAACGCTGCTTTGTTGTAGAGAAAATGGTTTTTGGTCATCGTTGACACCGGCAAGAATGCAAGTTACCTTTAAAATTAAATTAAAAATAAATTTGAATTGAAAGAATAATTTGAGTAAAAGACGAAAAAGATTTAAAAAAATTAAAAAAGAAAAACAAACAATTTTAATAAATATTTGAATATTAGCATTTGGAGTGCCAGGAAATATTAAGTCAGAAAGAATTTTTTCATCAAAATTTTTTGGAGAATCAGAATCATCATGAACTGAATTTCCGTCAACAAAAATTCGAAGATTTCTATGAGGGTCGTAAATTAAGGAGGCAAGAGCATATTCCATTTTTGAGCGTTCACCGCTGTAAAGTGCCAAAGGGCAGTAGTCATACATTGAAGAAAAACTTGCAGACTTCCATTTTTCTATCTGAAATTTATTTTTCTTATAAATTTGCCGTAATTTTAAGTGTATGTAAGAGTTATTGAAAGGGAAATAATTTTTTGGATTAAAAAAACTCTCGTCCAAAAATATTTTAAATTAACATTAAAATTAATTTATTTAATTTTCCATTCAATATTACCAAATAGTAATATTAAACCTGACAGACCCCATATTTTCATCCCCAACTTTCCTGTATATCTACAGACTGGTGACTTTTTCCTTTCTTCCATTCCAATTGCCTTTCTATATTTTGCCTTCAAACAATCAAAAGAAATTATTTATTTCCCCTTGATGGAAGAAAGGAAAATTGGAATGGAAGAAGGGAAGAAGTCTGACTATTCTGCAAATATTAGGAAGAAACTTAGGGAGGTCAAAAATGGGTCTGTCAGGCTCAATATTACCAAAAAAAAATCTTAAAAATTTTTACAAAATTTAAAAAAACCTGCAGTATGCAATTGTTACAAAAAGGGACATCAACGCCTGGATGAGTTTGAAAAAACCCTAAAAAACATTCAAAAATTATTTAAAATAAAAACAAAATCTAGCCTTGCTTAGGTTTAATTTCTAAAGTAATTGTTGGCCCAAAACAATGAGCATTTGGACGGGGTATTCGAGTAGCATCAGGCATTTCAAGGGCAAGAATTGTTCTCGAACAATTATGGGATTTGTGAGGAAAACGAGAAGAATTTGTTGGATAAGTAGAAATTAATTCATTAAAATCTTCAATTTTGTGATTTTTTGGAAGAGAAGGAATCTTTTTTAAAAAATATTTTTAAATAAAAATTAAAGAAAAACCTTAGCTAAATGATGTAATTCATCAGAATTAATATTTACAAGTTTGGCTTTAATTAAATAATTATCATCTAGAAAAGGAGAAATAAATTGTTCCATATATTTATTTATTATGTCACATCTTTTTTAATTTTAAAAATTATAAAAAATATTTAAAGAGAAACAAACTTTGGTTTAAAATTAATTAAATTAGAACGTCTCTTTTTTGCTAATCTCCAAACAATTCTAAATTTTAGAGAATTTAAAATAAACAAAAATTAAATTTTTTTCAAACCTTAAATTATCTGTCCTCCCTTTTGCACTAATAACTATATTACAACGCCCTTCACCTCTAAAAATTTAATTTTTAAAAAATTTTTCTAAAAATAAACCTAAAACAGAAAGCCCTGTATTCGTGTAAATCAACAGTTTCAAGCATAAATAAAAGAAATAATTAAATAAAAATAATTAAAGTTAATATGTATTGTTTAATAAGTGAAAAATAAAAAAATAATTATCTCATAATTAAAAAAATATTTTTGCTAAAATTAATAAATTAAAAAAGAAAGGAAATTAGGGTTCAACAATATTAGTAGAATTAGAAAAAAAGTTAGAAAAATTTTGACGAGAGATGAATTGACGAGAGACGGATTGGGTATCTTTAGTTTCTTGGGACGAATCGAGGGTTTTGTTCATTGGGACGTGTTGGGATCAGAGCTGCACGAAAATTTTCGTTTCGTTTCGCGTTTCGTAGATTTTCGTGGATTTTTTTTATGAATTTCGTTTTGTTTCGTTTCGTATTTCTTTAAAAATATTTTTTTCGTTTCGTTTCGTACATTGACGAATTTATTTTTTCGTTCTCATTTTCGTGCAGCTTTGGTTGGGATGGAACGAATGAAATCGCGTTTTACATGGCTGACACAATTGAACCATGAAGGATATCGAGGAATTAGGGGGTGATTAGAGGGTATTTGTGGGATTAACAGATATCGAGAGATAAGGGAGGGTTAATAGAGATAATGAGGGTTGGAGAGGTGAGTAAGAAGTATTTCGAGTGATTAAGAGGACTTGGAGAGATACCGAGGGGTTTGGGGATTAAAAGCAATATTTTAAAGGAGGGAGTCGGTATTTCGAATAATTTTGGTTGAGGATAAGAATGAAATTAAAAAAGAATAAACAAAAAATACGAAGAGTTAAGAGACTAACAAAATAAAAAATTTTAAAAATATTAACCAAACTAGAAATAACTGACTTTATTTTTCGAGAAAATTTTATCAGTCATAAGGGAGAATGATAACTTTGAATAACAAATACTACATCATTATAAAGGCCCTTAAAATACATAGAATTAAAAAAATCCCGTCATAAAAAATTTCTATTAATTTTATTTTTATAAAAAAAACAAAAATAGAATTAAATAAAATTCTCAATAAAATTCTCTTCCTCTTTCGTTTTTTAATGGGAAAAATAAGAGAAATGAATCATGGATAAAAAAGATTGATTAGAAAATAAAACTAAAGAATCATTTAGTTATACATTAAACTGATAGTGTATTGAGAGAGAGAGAGAAGAAATAAAATAAAAAAACTTTTTCTTATTAATCAGTGACAGTAATAGTAGTTTCGCTGAATTTATCCTTAAATAGAAAATAATGAAAATAAATTTGAGGATATTGAACTTCGTAGAAAATAAATTAAAAATATATTGCACTATCCCTCCCTTATAAATCTCTTCCACTTGTTAGATTTAAAAAGTCTTTGTGAGTTATTCCAGGTCCGGCGAAATCCCTCTCACAATTCCTGTTAGGAAATTATATCTTCTAGATTAAAATATAATTAATTACTTAATGAAATATAAGGTGAGATTGACGTTTAAAATCATAATTAAAAATTATTCCAACTTCGAAATTATCTCTATGTTTAATTAAAATAATTTATAGGAAACTGGAAATTATTTTATCAAAATTTATCAAATTTTTTTTTATAAAAGTTCACTTAAACCATAAATTTTAAAAAGTTAAAAGGATAAAGAAAATTATTTTAAATATATGGTTATAATATTTTTATATAATATTTTTATGCATATTTTTAATATTAATGTAAATTTTTTTCAAATTGGAACAAAAATATTTTTTTTACAAAAATCGAATAATTACTAAAATTAATCATCAATTCAATTTAAATAATTTCTTAACAGCCAAATTATTAGTAATTTAACCTCCAAATTTAAAATACTTAATTGAAAAAAATTTAACAAGAGCTTTGATTTGTCCAATCACTAAATATATCCACATTTTTTTAAATTTCCATTTACTCCTTTAATTATTGTATACTAAATAGTATTTCTTTTTTAATTTCTTAAATTTATTCAAACATTAATAGCAACTTTTTATGTTCTAATAAATTTCTAAAATAAAACATTTATTCAAAATGACATTTATTTGTTAATTTGGATTTTTTGGAAGAAAAAAGAAAATAATTAACTAACTAAAATTTATTCTAAAAAAATTTTTTTCCTTTAAAAATCCTTAAAATATTTAAAATAAAAAAATTGAAAATAAAATTGTTTTTTCTTTTTTAATTTTATTATTTGGAATTATTGGTGGATTAATAGCTGTAATATGTTCTGTTTATTTTTGGAAATTTTGTTGTCGTAAAATTGAAAAATCTGAAAATATTAGACAAAATAATGGGAATAATAATGGATTTAGGTAGGTTAATTAAATTTATTTAAAATTAATTAGAAATTATGTAGAAATCGTTATTATCAACAAATTCCCTCAATAATTGGAATTGCTGAACTTGAACAAATAAATAAAAGACAAAAAGAGGAGGAGGAGGAGAATAATATTAATTATTATTTTAATCCATTATTTAATCCAAATCAAAGTCAAAAACCTTTAATTACTCATTTTCAAAGACAATTAAGTAAAAATTCACAACAAAATGGGAATTTTTGGGGACAAGAAGAGGATGGACAGGAAGGGCAAACACGTAGTTTATTATTTGAATTGGCTAATGATACGGGGAAATTGGCAAAGCTTTTCCCTAAAATTGGTCCTAAAAGTAGTAAGTTTAATTAAATTTATTTAAGTTTTATTTTAATTGGAGACTTTCAAAGACAATTAAGTAAAATTTTTTAGGAATTGAAGGGAATAAAAATTATAATATTTTAAGAAAAATTTCCTCTTTTATTGGAATATTCTGATATTTAAAAAGTAATCTTTCCTCATTATTATTCCATCGAAAAAGACCAAAATAGACCTGAAAATACTATTTGTAATTTATAATTTTTTAGCACAATTAAACGAATCAACAATTAATCAAGAAAACGAATTTATATTATCAAATAAAAATAGAAGAAGCACAAAACGAAAAAGCGAAACAAAAAGAAGAAATTCAACAATACGTTTACTTTCTGAACCAAAAAAGAATTTTTGTCAAGTTAATTTGAAGGAATGTGGAACACAAGTAAATTATATTTTTAAATCTGGGTTGTTTCTTTTAAATTGACTCACTTAAAGTTGAGAAAGATAATTGGGATTAAAAGGGAATTCTAACTTCTTTGATATTTATTTAAAAAATTCGGGTTAAAAGGGGAAATTTAAAAAATTCTTGCCGCTTATGTCCTCTGAAATTAAACTTTATCAATAAAAATACTTTTTAAATCCTAATTTAAATTCTAAAATATATACTAAATATTTAGACAAGCCCTTTATTACCACCAAATAATTATTTATTAAATAAAAAACAACTAAATAATGAAGAAATAAATACTAATTTAATTGGAAAATCAAAAAGACAATTTTCTGTTATTGGAAGAAAATCAAAAGAAATGGAAGAAAATTCTTTTACAGAAAATGGTTGGAATCGTAGAAGAAGAGCAAATACATTGACACAAAAACAGGTGGGGAAAATTAAGAAAAAAATTTTTTTAATTAAAGAAGTAATTGTTAATAAAAAAATAAAAAAAACAAAAATTATTTAAATTTAAAAATTTTTTTTTGTTAAAATATTAGTTAAAAGGGATTAGAGAAAAAGAGCTCGATCCATGGTATGTACCAGGGATCGCGCCGACAGAAAACTAAATTCACAATTTTCGTGAAACTTGAATTTGAATTCACGATTTTCGGGAATCGTGAATCGGGTCGGCGCGACCCCTGATATGTACAGTGTATCAATTCCTTAGGCCAGTTTCTATTCATCGTATCTACTAGGATTCTAAGTTAGAATTTTAAAATGTATCGATATTTAACAAAAAATTAATTTTATTTTTAATAGAAAATATGTTTTTAAATATTTTTTAATTTTATTTAAATCAAAAGCTATTTTTATTAAAAAAATAAATAAAATATTTAATAAATTTAAATATACCCCATGTTTTAAATAATAACATAAAGTTGTATACACATTAAAAATCTAAAACAGGCGGAAACAATTGTAACCAACCAAATCAAAAAATTTTATCCCACTACGATTTCACCGTTCACTTCCATTTCCAATCCCCCTTTTAAAGGTTCTTCAGGTCTTCAGGATTTTTCTGACTTGGTTTATCACACAATAATAGGACTAATAATATCTACGTATATTTATTAGTCTTATTGTGACAGAAGAAAAATACTTTTTAAATTTAATGCTTTTAAAGTAAAAATATTGCAAAAATAAATTAGAAATAATTAAAATATTTTTAAGACCAGATTATTTAGATTAAATAATTGTAAGAAGGATGGTACTTAGTTGGGAATTAAATGTTGAGATATTAGTGATTGTGGGGGAATAATATTTAATTTATTATATCAAAAATTATTAAATAATCTGGTCTTTAAAAACAATTATTTTTTCTTATCACTACTACTAGTTACTTCCTCCTCAGAAAGTATTGACCTTTTTCTTTGCCTTCTCTTTTTTCCAATATTTTCGTTTAAATTTTTATCTTTATTGTTATCATCTTTTTTAATCAAATTTCTTTTCTTTCCCTTCTTTTCTTCTTCTTCAATAATTAAACATTCTCCTCCTTCTTCCCCCTCTCCTTTTTTATTTTTTATCATTTTCTTTGATTCTAAAACACTTCCCGGATGTAAAAATAAAGAAGAATTATTTACTTCTTCCAAATTCTTTTCTCCACCAATTTCATTAGGAAAACAACTTTTTAAAGTTTCCAACAAAACATCAAAAGCCAAAGAAATACAAAAACAACGTTCTCCGGCCGGGAAATCTGGATGTTCTCTTTTTTGATGTTCTAATTGACTTTTTTCATCATTAGAAGAGAATCGACATTTTTTACATCTAAAATATTTAAATAAAAATATTTTGACAAGATATTTTTGGAAGGATAGAACAAACTCAAAATCAACTCCCCTCTTGTTTAATATTTTATTATCAGTCAATTAGAAAATTCCATTCTTTCCCCCAATTTTAAAATTTTAATTTTTCCTCCACATACTTTATATCTTTTTAAAATTTACTTGTAAGAAGGATGTATACTTAAATGCCCATAAATACAATTTTTCAAAGTCGGAATTATTTGTCCACAAAGATGACAATTAATTTTTGTTTGTTGTTTAGATTCTGTTAAAGATGTTAGTCGACCTATTGCATCAAAAAGAATATCACGAGCTCGACAAAAAACTTTGGGAAAACATTGAGTTAAAATCTCCACCAATAAACCTTTAATTAATTAAATATTAATTTTGTAAATGTATTTCTCTTTTTTTATTTTTAAAGGGACTTTACAAATTAATTAAGGATAATTAAAAAGTCCCCAAAAATTTATTTTCCAAAGAATATTTATATTTAAAAACCTTCTTTCCCCTACTTTAAAAATTTACCCATATCCCTTCTGTCCTCAATATATTTTGTTCCTTTCTGTGCCGGATGTTCTCTATCAATATGTTCAAAAACCAAATGTTGGTCTTGAAATCCTTTTTGACACAATTTACATACAAACATTGATGTTTTACAATGTCCATGAATGTGAGAACGAATTGAAGCATCGTTATTTGGAAGGGAGGCATCACATAATTGACAGTCTAATTGAGGGCCTCGATTGCGAAAACTTTTTAATTTCCTTTAAAAAAAATAAAAATTATTTTTAAATTGCATTCCGAATTTATTCTAGTACTTTTTATAAACAATTTAACAAATATTTTAATACCTATAAAATTCAATATGTGCTTTTCTTTGCATTTTTGGTAAAGAACTTCTAGCTTCTCCATCCCCAACAACATCAACATAAGCATTATCTTCATCTAAATTTTCTTCTTCTTCAAAATCAACAATTTCCACATTCTTCTTATTTATTTCTTCTTCCCCGTCAACAACAATTATTTCCTCCTCCTCTTCTTCCTCTTTTTCTTTTTCAATTACTTCTGATTTTTCAGAATTTTTAATTTCTTTATTATTTTTTATTTCTTCCTTTTCTTCTTCTTCTGGTTGTTGTTGTTGACTACGAAAATATTGTTGCATAGCTAAATGTAATTGTTGGGGGGTTATTTGGAATATTGGAATTGAACGTTTAGAAGTATTTTCTATTTCTTTATTTAATTCTGATATTTGTTTATTTGTTGATGATAAAGAATTATTGTTTTGGGAAGAAAAAGAGGAAGGTGGTTGTTGTTGGGGCTGTTGTTGTTGAGGCTGAGGTAGAGGTAATTGTTGGGGTAATTGTTGGGGTAAATGTTGTTGGGGTTGTTGTTCTATTGACTAAAAAAATATTTTTTTTAATTTTAATACAACAATCGAATTATTATTTATTTATTAATTATTTAATTATAATTATTATTATTAATTATTTATTATTATTATTATCAAATTATTATTTAATACAACAATACCTTTTCTTTTTTATTTTCTTCTTTTCCTTTATTAACTTTTTCAATTAAAGCTTCTTTTAATTTTCTTTTAGATTCTTTATTTTTATTATTTTTATTATTTAATTTTTCAACATCATTATTTTCAATAAAAATAATTTCTTCTGAAAAAGATTTTTTATTTTTATTTTTTTCTTTATTATTTTTTAATGTTTCTGTTGGATATATAAAAAAATTATTTTTTTGTTTTTCTTTTTGATTTAAAGGAATTAAAGTATTTTCTGAAATTAATGAATAAAAAGAAGAGAAATCAGAAGAATTTTCGATATTTTTTGTAATTGAGTGAATTCCTGAAGTAAATTGGGGGAAAGAATTTAATTGAAATATTGTTGGGGTTTGTAATTGTTGTGGTGAAAGTTGTTGAGAAGAAGAATTAATAATAAAAGAAGAAGAAGAATGACCAGAATTCTTAAAAAAAGATTTTTTAATTAAAATTAAATTTTAAAAAATAAACTTGTTGAGGAAGTAAAAAAGAATTATTTTGTAAAGAAGGTAAAGGGAAAAAAGAAGAAGAAGAATGCTGTAGTTGTTGAAGTTGTTGTTGTTGTTGATCAATTGTTGTTGTTATTATATTATTATTAGAATTATTTTTATTATTTTGTTCAAAAATAAATTGTTGTTGTTGATGTTGAAGTTGTAAAAGTCTTTTTTTTTGTTCCTCAAAATCAAAAGAAGGGGATGGAAGAAGGTTAGGAGGGATAGTAGGTGAAGGGGTTATTGGAGATGGAAGAAATTGGGAAGGTATTTGTGGATGTTGTTGTTGTTGTAAAGAAGGTGTTTGTGTTGGAAAAAAAGATAATGGAATTATTTGAGAGGAGGGTAATTGAGTTGACCTTTTTTAAAAAAATATTAGAGTTTTAGAATCACTATCCTTTCTTCATATTCTTGATAATTGCTCAAATATTAGTGTTCGGCAAATGGACTTTTTTAGTATTCGATATACCCGAAAAATATCGCGGTATACCGTGCCGTCCCGAACGCTATTAAATATAATTATATTTAATTAATTATTCATAATTCTCTATAAACATTTATAAAGAGAGATGGAACAATATTTTATGCCACATCCCCACCGTTTTTCATTACTAATATATCCTATATATAATTCCGTAAATACCCATCCTAAATATTTTTTTATTAAAAAAATTATTATTTTACAATTGAAAGCTATTGGATTGATTTTGTGGAATTATTTGTTGTTGTTGTTTTAATAAAGGAGGACTAGTAATAATATTTGTTGTTTGTGTTGTTGTTGCATTATTTGAAAATTGACTAGCTATTTGTAATTGAAGACGAGTAATTTCATCTCTTTCACGTTTTAAAGCAGAAGAACAAAAATCTGCCATATATTTTTAAATTTGGAATGTTTTTTAAATAATAATTAAATATATTTATAACTAAATTTAAAAATAAATTAATTTTAAGAATTAAATAAATTGATTGTGTACAAATATAAAAAGTAAAAAAAATTTTAGAAGAATATGCCTAAAAAGTAAAAAAATAGTCAGGGATATAGTACGTGTGTGTGTGTGTGTTTGAAAAAAAGGAATAATAGCCAAAATTTATAAATATAGTTCGAACAGAATTATGTATAATAATTAATTTTTTTGAAGATTTAATAAGTCTTTGTGAATTTTATAAAACTCAAATTTAAATCTCTCAGATTATATAGATTGGAAAATTAAAAAAATATTAAAGAAATGGCATGTAAAATATTTAGCTGAATAAATAAATAAATAAAATATTAAAAAAAAACTTTTTTAAAAAATTTTTAAAATTAAAATATAAATTAAGAGATTAAAGTAAAAGGATCATTTTTAGTATAAAAATTTATATTTAAATAATTAAATATAAATTTTTAAATATAGTATAATTATTTATTTTTAATTTATTAAATTATTTATTTAAAAAGTTTCTTTATTTTAAGTCAATCTTTGTTTTTAAATGTAAACAAAAAATTTTTTTTGAGTCAACGAGAGCTGTGAAGTATTTAAAATTTTTAAAATATTTTTACTAAATTAATTTTATACAAATTTAGTAAGAGATAAATACTCAAATTTATTTAAAATATTTAAATTGTTTCCAAACTCCATCCATTCCCTCAAATATTTAATTTTGAAAAAAAGAGAATTTGTTAAAAGCTGAATATACAAAAAATATTTTTATTTATTAATCAGCAAAACAAAAATAATTTTTTGGCAGAAATATTTTTAAATGATTAATAAATAAATAAATTGCTACAAAATTTCACCTTTTTAAAAAAAGCAAAAAAAAATTTTTAAAGAAAAAGTTTCATTTTTTTCATATTTTTAGTCTCATGTTTTGCAGTTTTATTAATTATTTGGTATTTTTTGACAAATTTTTCTTTGTAATTTAAAAGAAAAATAATTATTATTTAAATTTTCTTCAAATTACATCATTTTTATTTTTGTAAAAATATTTTTAAAAAATAAAATTAAATAAAAATTGTAAAACTTGTTAAAAATTAATTAATTAATAATTAAAGATGTTTAAGACCGAAAAATTTTCTATAAACTATAAAAAGTATTTGTTTTATTAAGAAATTAAATTTAAATTACTTTTTGAAAAATATAAAAGATTTAAATGGCCAATCAAAATAATATTTATTTTGGGCTATTTGGCTTTCATAATTTTGAAGACCGAAAAATTTCCGAGACTTATTTACTTTAAAAGGTTAAGAAATATTCAAAAAAAAGTTTTAAAAATTATTTAAAATTTCGAAGAAAAAAATAAAAAAAAAGTAAAAGAGATTGAAGGGAGTTAAAGAAAAATACATTTAAGAAGACTGATTGAGAGGGTCTTGGCTGGGGTCTTGGCTATCCATTTTATAGGTAATCGAGAGAGGAGGCATTGGGAAGACGTATAAAAAATTTTTAGACGTGTAAAATAAATAACACACTCATAAAAGGGCATTTTTAAATTCAAAGAAAGAAGAGAGAAAGAAAGAAAGAAAAATTTTATATTTAAAAGAAACATGGAAGAAAATTTAGAGACAAAATGGTAATCAACAAAATGGAACTTTGGGTAAATAACAAATCAAGCCAAAATCTGTAGTATTCAGAAAAATTAGCTACCAACTAAAAATTATCATTAAAAAGCTCAAAAAGTGTCAACACTCAATGAGGCTGAAGGTCTCACAAAAGAACATAATATGGAAGTCAAAACAATGCGAAAGTCACATCATTAGTCCCGATTATCCCAATTAATTATAATTTTGGCTATACTTTTTGCCACTGTCTTTGCTTATTTATAGGGTACTTGAATAAATTTACTGAGGTGAATAATTTTATAATACGGTTTTTGCTAATTTTGGCCTAGGTACCATTTTGTCGAGAATAATTTTGGGGAATATAATTTAGTAATGGCGCCAATGGAGAAGATAAAGATTTTACAAGGCCTAGACTTATTTTTTTATTAATGATGAAAGAGTGAAGAAAAATAAGAGTCGAGTAAATCACATTGCTTTTACTCAATTCTTTTTTGAATATTCAATAAAATCAATCCAAATTTTAAATTAATTAAGGGTTATGGTGGAAAAAGTCCGCAAATTTTGTCCGCAAATATAAATTGCAGAGAATTTATTTTATTAAAAATTTATTAAAATATTTCTAGTGTAAAAATGATTTAGTACATTTTTTTAAACTTTAGATGCTAGTAAAATATGTATATAAAATAATTTCCAATAAACAAACAGCATATCATTTTAGTCAATGCAAATAAATTATTATTAGAAATAAAGTCATCAATTATCTTTGATAAATATAATCATTCCTTAACCTATATAAGTAGTGGACATTTACTTATCTACATATTATAAATTTTCCCAGTCTAAAAGAAAGTTTTACCTAGACATGTTTAGTACCATTTAATGGGTATTAAATAGGGCTACAAAAATACACAAAAATAAACGACTATTCAACATATTGTTGAGTTATTGAAATGTTTCTTTTATTGTGTTGCAATATGCAAGACTTATCAAAGAGAATCTAAAGTTTCAGATAGCAAATTGATATAAGGTTTTATAGTATGAGAAAGATATAAAATTTAACTAAAAATGTTTTTAAGAAGGGGCCGAATTGGTTTAAAAAATAAGTATATTAAATAGTCAGAATTTGTAAATTCAAAATTGAAAATAAAATTTGCGGATTTTAGCAAAATTAATTGCAGTTTTCAAAGATTTTTTGATTATGACATTTTAAACAAATGTTAACTTTAATTAAAATAAAATTAAATAATATTTTTAAATATTTTATTAAGAAAAAGATTTTTGTGGGATTAACTAAAAGGAATTTAAAAATTGGGAATTTACATACAAATAGGGTAAATGTTGATTATTGTTTGTCAACATAATTAAGTAAAGCAGAGCTGGGGTATAGTATAATATAGCTAAAGTAGCTAAAGTAGTAGCTAAAGTAGCTAAAGTAGTAGTAGAAAAAGTAGCTCAATAGCTAAAGCTAGCTATTTCTCTCCTTCTGCTAGTGCAAAAGGTTATTTGGCGGTTGGGGGGCATCTTCAGTAGATCGGATTGATGTTATGCATTTTACACCACGCCGCCTACTACTACACACCTTAGAAATTAAATAGCTACATGCTTTACAATTATAAAATATTTACATAAATTTAAAAAATTTCTTTTTTAAAATTCCCAGTCCAAAGTTTAATGATTTTCTTTAAATGAAGAATAAAATATCTTTATATATACATATTGAGGGAAGTGAAGGACAAACAATGGGAGGATAAAACTAGACAAATAAAAATCATCTAAAAAATCTTCTTCCTCCTCCCTCTTATATCAATCCCAAAAATCTCTTTTTAAAGAAGAATTTATTTAAAGGAGAGAACAAAACTATAAAGATTGTTGGTAAATTTTGTGTTGATGACTGCTGACAATTTAAGGCTTTTATACTACTAGGCCTCCCAACCACTCAATTCTTTTTATACGATTAGAAGCGGAAGAATAAGAGACTTTTCTTTTCCCTTCCCTTCCATTTATTTTCCTTCCACCCAACCACTTTTTACACAAAACTACTAAATGGAAGAAAAGTGAGAGAAAAAGAAAGGTTTTTAGATGAAAAAAAGTATTTATTTATTTAACGCTCGCATCACCACTTAAACAAAAATGCGATCATCGCATTAGGAAAAATCTGAAGAAAAAAGAGCGGAAAAAGTATAAATACCTATATAAATGTAGGGCGATTGCGCGAAGTAATGGTTATATATACCTATATAAGTATTGTTTGTAGCAAAAGAGGGAATCATTTTAACAAATAAAAATTTCCGGCGCAACAAAAGTTTTTTTTAATTTTAAATTCTATGAACTAAGTAATGGAATGGGGGTTTTAAATGAAAAAATTGCAAGAAATACAAACAAAAAAATAAAAATTAATTTTTAAAATTACTTTTTAATTATTAAATAGTAGAATAATAATTTAAATAAGTTGTTTCGACTAAAATTTTTTTAAAAGATTTTGTACAAAAATTTTTGGAAAATAAATTAGTAAATTGAAGAGAGGAATTTTAAAAATTAAAAATTGATTGAGGTTATTTTAAAAAATTAAAGGATTTTTTTTCTAATTTTCCCAAAAAAAGTTTTATAAAGGAAGTAATTAATGTGTAAAAATAAATTTATATGAGCATCAGACATTTTAAATAAATAAATACACATATATGTATATTAATCATCAATTGCAACTTAAATATATAAAAGATTTTTTTATCTTCTCTATTTTCTCAATATATGATAAATATTTATTTAATAATGACCTCCGCTAATATTCTCTCTATATCCGCTTTTGGATTATTTAAAGAGGGTAAACTTGTATATGAATATTTTTAATAATTCTGTTAATTTTTGTATTTTACTTAAACTTACTCGATTATAATTTATTTTTATGTCAAAAATAGCAGGAAATAAATGATCATTGAAATATTAAAAATGATTATCTTTTTTGGTTATTTTAGTGATCATTAAAATGTTTTATAATTACTTTAATATCTACATAATAATTAATTTTTGGATATTTCAGAGAGAAAGGGAAAGGGAGATGATTTAATTAATATTTTTAACATAATTATTATTAATGTGTTGGATAAATATAGGAAATATGCATATACATGTATGTATATTTTTTCAATCCTTCTTTTGGGGTTCAAGCTGGGGTCAATTCTGTAAGCCTTTTATGTGTCTTAGGCCAGCCGTTAGCTTATTCATAGAAATTTTGGTTAGTTATACGGTCGAGTCTCGCTATACTCCAAATGTTTATACAATTAAATTTAGTGAGGAAGCCCCACTTACCGATACTATACCCGAATGTGCCGAAATGAGAAATGGATCAAAATTCTAAACTCGGAAAAAATTTGGAACCTACTAAATCACTTAATTCACTTAATCCATGCATATCAAATGCATAAAAATTTTTATATGTGCAGTTGATAATTTGGCACTATTTTATTTAAAAGAGAGCTTAAAATTGATTGTTTGTTCTCTTCTCATTTCATATTAATTTATTATTTCTAAATAAATTTAAAAAAAATATAAAAAAAGTTTTTCAGCTAATAGCCCTCATCTTAGTTCCACTATGTAGTATACAGATTTTAAATATGAAGATTTTAATCCTCTAGAAAGTATACTATAGTGAGATGTAATTGTCTTTCTAAAATGGTTAAGAAATTTATAATTATCCAAAATTTAAGTTATTTATAAATTAAAATAATCAAACAGTTAAGTATTACAGGGTGACCAAAAAGTCATGGGGCACGGTATTTATGACATACCTTCCTAAACAGCGTACTTTCCTAAACAAATTTTAGAATTTTTTTACCAGAAAATTTCATACCGGAATTTTTAAAAGTGTTTTTGGACATTGCTTTTTTGCACATTGGAGGGAGGTGAAATTTTGCGAACGCCGAATCTCTTGGAAAAGGGTCCAATAATGAAATTAGGCATATATTTAAGTCCTGAAAGACAATAGTTAGGGCTACAAAATGAGTATAAAAATATGAAAATAGTTTAATGAGAAAAAAAGTTTTAATGAAATGAAAAGTGCCCCATAACTTTTTGGTCACCCTGTAAATAAATTCACAAAAAATAATAGAATTTTAAATAAAAAAATTTTTAAATACAAATATAAAAATAAATTTTTTTTTATTAAAAATTAAAATAAAATAATCATTCAAATAAAAATAGATTCTCTAAATATTCTTTTTATTTAAATTACTTTTGATTTTATTTTTAGATTGCTAAATTATTTAAACAGCTTCCAGCACAAACACTAAAAACTATTTTTTTTATTCGGCTTTTCCCCAAAAATTTTCCAAATTTAGAATTTTTTGTTTTTAAAATTTTGTTTCTAAAAATAATTTAAAAAAGAAAAATTAAAATAAGTACAGAAATAAATATTTTTGGGGATAGTTTGTATTAAATTTTGGCAATATTTTTATAAATAAATATAAACTATAAAATACACAAAAAAATAATTAAAATATTGTAAAATCTGCATTAGCCACTTTTTTAAAAGAACTTGTACTTTTTGTGAAAAGGTACAAGAAACGAGAAATTTTGGGGTAATCCTTCTAAAGTTTGTCATTGTAAAAAAGAGAAGGGGGTTTACAGTCTAAAGATTATTTTTGAAGAGATATCTGGCAACAATAATTAATTTAAAAAATATTTTTTAGCTGAAATGATAAAATAGAAAATAAAAAAAAGTAAAGACATTTTTGGAAAATGTTTTAATTGTTAAGTTGGATGTTTAATCAAAAAAGGTGGATTTAAGGAATTTAACAGAATTTTGAATATAATTCTTTAAAAAATACAAAATAAAAATAATTTAAAAAGAAAAAGATTTTTTGGGTGTAAATATATGTAGTATAATTTATATTTATATATATTGGGGTTAGAAATTGTTTTGGAAACATAAAATGATTATAAAAAAATTATTTGCATAAAAAGACTAAAATAAAAACAAAATTAAAACACAAAACAAAAATAAATATTCTTTCTAAAAATATTTAAAAATAAAAAAAATATTATTCGATTTTTATTTTTTGATTGAAAATTGTGATAATATATTCGAGAATTTACGGTAATATATATTTTATATTATAAAATAGTCGATCCAATAAATTCTCTAACTATTTTATATTTAATTATTAGCCAAATTCTCTTTTCTGTTGATTATTTAGATTTATTTTTGGGATTGGCTGTTTATACAAAATTTAATAAAAAAACTTTTTTATTTTAATTTCAAAAAATTTTTTTTGCAAATTAAAATATTATTTTAATTTATTGTTTTTGATTTGTTTTATAAATTTTTAGAAAAATTATCACTTTTCTTACTTTATATTATTTAATTTAATTATTTTTTGAAAGATTTATTCAAATAATCAACAACAACAATATACTAATATACCTACAAAAATTAAAAAAGATTATTCCAAACATTTAAATCATATTTATCGACAAATACATTCTTGGGATTTACCTAATTATTTTAATGAAGAAGAGGAGGAAGAATTAAATAATAATAATTATTTAACAAAAAATGAAATTTGGAGGAATTGGCCTATTAAACAAACAAAGGTTTTCTCAAATAAATTTTTAAGGAAACAATTTAAATAAAAATTTTCTGTAGAAATATTTTAAAGTTAAAACTGTCTGTACAAAATAATTAATTAATTTAAATATATAAACTTGTTTTTAATAATTAATTAATTACTTTTAATTTACTGAAAAATAATTTTAAACATCATAAATCGTTGGACATTTTTTATATTTTGGAAAAAAACTTTTTTTAATTTAATTTTAAGAGATATTTACCAGCAACCCCAACAACAAACAATTCAACAAATAAATATTTAACTAATTCAAAATTAACTTCTAATAATTTTAATTTAATATTACCACCTCAACATTTACCAATTCAAAGACAGGTCTAAAAAACAATATAAATTACTAAAATCTTTTTTAATTTTGTAATTCAAAAAATTTGGATTAGAGCTTTGGGGGAAATAATTCTAAATATTAAAATAATTACCTATAATTATTCCATCCCTCTCTTCTCAAAAAATCTTTAAAGACTTTAAAAAATTTTTTTCATTTTCCAATTCCTCAAACTCAAAATTATTTTTGTATTTTTTATAATTTTCTTTTCCTAAATTACCCTCTCTCCTTTCCAATTACAATTTAAATAATTTAATAAATATATTTTTATATTTATATTTACAACAATTCTCTTTCTAAAATTCTAAACATAAATTACAAAAACTTTTGCAAAAATAAATATTTAGAATATTTATTTATTTATTTCTCTCCCAAAAAATATTTATTTATTTGCAAAAATTAAAAAAAAAAACTTTTTTAAAGGCTCACAGTTTGGATGACAGAAAATTTAATATATTTTATGAACCCAACAGTAAAGGGGGGAGGACTAAAAATAATAAACAATTTTCTTCTTCACATTTTTCTTCATTTATTCCGTTGAAAGAAATGACGAGACAAAATTTTGTAGAAAATAATCAAGAATTTTTATGTCGACAAGAAATGATGGAAAAATTTAAAAATCAGAAGGAGAGAAGGGAAAAAAATAAATTGGAAGAGGAGGAGAGAAATGGAAGGAGGTTTTTGTTTAAATAAATAAAAAATAAATAATTATAAATATTTACATTTATTTTTTGTATTTTTTATTAGTTGAAAATTATTTGGAATTTTTAAGAGAACTATTAGAATCCTAGGAAAACCTTGGATATCCTGATCTCATATACGAAATTTAAATTGAAAAAGTACTTTCCAAAAATTTGCTTTATTGGAGGCAACGGTACTGTAACTGATTAAATATTTTTCTATTACTGAGTATTCCCCATTCTCAACACTGCAGGCAAAAATTAAGTAAAATCTGAATAAGGTACTATATAAAAATTTCGTTTTACATCCAAGAAAGTGAATGGCGAAAGGCGAGCTACCATTTTTTAATTTATTAAAATGTTCAAATAATTTGAATTCCATTAATTTAATCCTTTTCAATAATCAATTAATTAATTAAATTTATTTAGTAAAATTCTGACTGAAAAAAGACGAAATGAATGGCTAAACACAAAAAATATTTTAATTAATAATTATTCTCCTTCCCCTTCCCCTTCTCTTTATTCTTCTAATAATTCAATAATTACATCAAAATCATTAAATAATTTAAGTAGTAATAATTCAAGTACTTCAACAATAACAACATTACCAACTTTAGAAGAAATAAATAAAAATAAATATTTTTTAAATCAAAAAATAAATGAAGAAAAAAATATTTTTAAAAAGTTTTTTTTAATTTTAAATTAATTAATTTATTTTTTAGTTTTCAACACCAAAGAGGAGGTAGTAGAATAATTAATTTTACTAGAACAAATAATAATACAAAGCCTTTTGAATTAATTTAATTTAATTTTTAAATTTTTTTCTTTTAAATTACTTCTTAACCTGTTGTTGACTCAAGGTTATATGTAAAGTAAAAATAAACAATTTATTTTTCTTTAAACTAATTTTTATTGAAAAAAATTGACGCCTAATTGGTAGAGAATTATTTATTTAATTAATAATTATTACAATTTTAAAGAAAAATATTTTTATAAAAATTAATTTAAATTATTATTTATTTTCTTTTACTTATTTTTAGATCAACAAATATAGCCGGTTTTCTTAATTTTATTTTTCTAAAGTCAATCGCGTACAATGTTCACTTTCTCTTTTTTTACTTATATATTCTCGTACTTTTTTAGTAAATTGTAAAAACAAAAAGTCACAATATTTTTAACGAGAATTAATTAAGAAGGCATTTAAATTGTTTTTAAGTTTTTCTAAATATTTTTTTATTTTTTTTAAATTTAAATATCTAAATAAAAAATATTTAAAATTAATTAATTTTTATAATCAAAATTATCCCTATACTTCTACAAAGCAAAATATAGTAAAAAAATCTTTTATTATTTAAATAAATTATATTTAATATTAAAAAACATTCACCATTTATATAATCTCCATTATAAAAAAATATTCTTTTTTCCATATTTTACTATTAAATAGATTAATACAATGCAAGAATAAAAAAAGGATTTCTGAAAAAAAGAGAAAATAAATAAACTTTTCTAAACAAAAATGTTTGAATTTCTTCTTCAAAACCCTCCTAAACCTGTTCAGGTTTATTTTAAATTTTAAAAATTACGGAAAGTTAACTGAATGATGTTAAATAACATCCCACAAACCTCAAAACAAAATTTATCCTTACTAAAATTTTTAAGATTTTCTTTTAAAGAGCATTTAGTATGTTCTACCTTCTCGCCCATAAAATTGTTTTATTAAGATTAGATTATTTGACAGTTTTTACAGAAAACAAAATTTTAAAAGATTGGCATACTCAACTCCAATAATAACCTCAAATAAATATGAAAACATTTCCTTTTAAAATTATATTTTAATTTAAAAGGCTTGGCCTCCAGAGCCACCTCCAATTTCCATCAACTTTACTCGCCCTAATGCGTGGGCAGAAAAGCACTTTGGCCAGTGGTGTCGTAATCTGACCCTAGATAGGCATACACAATGCCCTTCTGGATCTCCCTTCCATTGGTATATTTGCTGTGGGGAAACTATGACAGATTGCTGCTTTGGAATACAAACATGGCTTATTATAATGTCTTTTTCAATTTTTGCGGTAAATTAAATTAAAAAATTTATTTTGAGAAAATATTTAAATTGACAAAGGAGGGTATTTATACATAGATAATACATACATATATACACAATATTTACAAATATACAAAACAAAATTACAATCATTCAAAATAAGTTTGTGTTTATGTACAATAATTGAGAAATGTTTATTCACATTCTTTATTCTTTGCTGCTCTTACTTCTTTGTATAGTTGTTATCTTTATATTTATTTATGTAGTTGATGTTACAATTTGTCTAGTTGAACCATTTCAAGACACGGGAATTGCTCGGTGAGTTGAGACAATAGCAAGAGTTGTCGCTGCGTTAGTTTCCCGCAAAGTTGGGCATAGTCTTCCACTCGGTTTCGTAGTTGATATTGTTGTTCGGCAGTCAGCATTAGATGCTCTTTGCTTAAAAATAAACAAAATTATTTTTTATTTTCAAAATTTATCTAAAAACAAACATTTCTTCTGGCAGAACAAGCGTTTGTGGTGAGCAGCGCACGAACCAGACTTTAGGCATTAGCTGAGCAAGAAAGGCAATGTCTTTTGGTTCGACAACACAACCACGCACGTTCAGCCGTCGAACCTCTGTGAACAGTGATTTCCCGTTGTTGATGGACTGAAAAATTAATAATCTTTGCTTTTCGAAGAAAAATATTTTTAAGAACCTTCAACAGCTCCTCAAAATGCGATTCGCGAAAGGCCAACAACTCAGACAAGTCCACCTCATTGATATTTCCTGATGGATAGGAACGAAGTGCTCGCCGAAGTGGCCTCATTACTTGCAGCATGCCAACACAACTTGTAGTGCTCGGAGAAGGAATTATTGCATCAGGGAAGAGACGACGAAGCAATCCAACGGAGATGTGTTTTCGCGAATATCTTGTCATGTTCTGGACCTAAAATATTTTGAAAATTTTTATTAAACTTAACAATTCAAAAGCAAACTTTATGGAATTTTTTTGATACAAGTCCAATTTTGGCCAAATCATCAAACGGCAAGTAGGCGACAGCGTTTGCAAGTGTGTCAAACGGCAGCACATCCAAAAAGGGCATATTGCGACGAAGAGCGGCAGCGGCCAAAACTGATTGACGTGATGTGGATCCGGTGGTCTTTCGCTTCTGAAAATTAGTGGGTGGAATATTGTAAACCTTTAATTAAGTAAAAAATGTAATCCTCACCCGTTTGTTACAGCTACTTCTCCAGGAGCATTGCCCGATCCCTTTCTGAACGCCCCTAAGTCGCCGACTGCTGCCATTGTCTCTGTCGTTTCTGTCGTTGTTACAGCCATTGTTTTGACTGCTACCGCCGTTGTGAGACATCTGTTGTTGTTCTGCTTTGACGAATATCGTCTATGTGCGCAAAGGAGTCTATGAAGTTTGGTGCCGTTGCTCGACCGCCGACAAAAATGTGCGATGTGGTGACTGATTGGAGATAGCTCTTTGCCGGAAATACTCGAAAATTCATACTTTTATAGGAAAAAATATTGAAATTAATCCGGGTCTATTTTAATTGACATCCTTAATTCAATTGTTCCCTTTCTAGGATGCCCATCCATAGAAAGTGTTCAGTTTAAATTTCTAAAATAAATGTTTTCACTATATTAAATTTAAATTTTTCAGGTAATTTTTGCATTGTTGATTTTTACTTTTTGGCTAGGCCCTTCTCCTCCTCCTTTACAAAAACTTCAAATACCCAGTGATGGAGAAACTCCCATAATTTTATCTACTTCTGGATAAAAAAATTAATTTAGAAAAAATTTTATATTTCAAAATAAAATGTTTTTATTTTTTGTTGACAATTTGTGACAAAAAGGAATGATAAAAAATTAACCGGTAAGGGAGATGGAGTTTAAAAAATAAAAGTTTTTGTACAATTGCTTTTGTAAAATTCTAAAAAATACATATTAACTATAACAGTTTTTTCTGACTTATTTATTAATCGGATATTAATTTATAAATAGCCAGATATCTGTAGAAAATCTAAAAAAGTTTGATGAAGACAGAGACTAGTATAAAAATATAAGGATATTTTAAACAAAATAAAACAATATAAGAAAAAAAGACTTGGCTTTTTAAAACAAATTTTTCTTTTCTCATTTTAGAAAAAGCCAAGAAAATTCAGCATTATCATATGTATAACAAATTATATATTAAAAAATATTTTTTTGGATCACTTTTAAATAAAGAAAACACACGGGATAAAAAATAACTAAAAATAAAAAAATTGTGGTAAATAAAAGGAAAAGCTCTGTATCCTTAATTTGGGGAGAGGAGGGGGGGGGGGCAATTAAAAAAAAATTAGAGGAAGGAAATAAATTTAAGGATGATTATTATTATTTGTTGTTGAAGGATCGCTTGTTCGAGTAACTGCTGTTGGTTCATCAGAACTTGGGACTGGCTCATAACCATGCCTATTTGAATTTAAAAGTTGTAATTGTTGATCATCATTGTGAACCATAAATGCTGAAAAATATATAATTAATAATGGAATGTAAATATGTTATTTAGGTTAGGATAAATAAAGTGTGAATTTAGAATAGAGAGGATCTCCTCCTTCTCCCTAAGAAACTTAACTGCTTCTCCGTCCTTTTTCCCCAGCAATCATTAAAGCATCATTTTGTTCAAGAATTTTTCTCGCATGTTCAGCATCAGCTTTTGCCAAATCTTTTTTTGCAAAATGATAAACAATTCCAGCCCCAAATGCATCGCCCAAAACATTTATTGAAGTTCGAATACGGTCACTAAATAAAATAAATTTTTTGAAAAATTTTTGGAAGAAAAAAACTTACAGAAACCAGTCAACAGCAATAATTAAAGAAACGTCTTTTACAGGTAAACCAACAGCAGTCAAAACAAGTAACATTGTGACAAGACCAGCAGATGGAACAGAAGCTGCCCCAATAGAAGCCTTTTAATGAAAATAAGTATTAAAAACTTATACTAAAAGTTAAAGTAATATAGAGAACACTTAATAATAATAAAATAATAAATTTTTTAAATTTATATTTTGAATTTCAATCTCTGATTTTTTGTCTTAAAAAATATTTTTGATATAAATATCCATAAAATAATACATTTTTGAGGACTAAAAATACTTGGCGATATTTTGTATCGTAATTAATGTTTAAAAAGGTTAAGGTATATAAATATTTTTTTAAATTTTAACCAAAGTAGCTGTTAAGGAGACAGTGACTACTTGGCCAAAAGTTAATTGAACATTATTCATTTGTGCTTAAAAATTTAAAATTTTATAATATATTTATTTTATCTACCAATAAAAATTGTTGCTACAGCCTCATAAAGTGCTGTTCCATCCTTTTAAAATAAAATTTAAAAAAATATACAAAAATTCTTTTACCATATTTATAGTTGCCCCAACAGGCAAAACAAAGCGAGTAACACGTCTGTCAATACCTAAATTCTCTTCTAAACAACGAAACGAAATTGGGAGAGTAGCAGAACTAGAAGCCTTCAATTTAATTTTAGAATTTTTTTGTTAAATTTATTTATTTTCATTTACCGTTCCCAAAGCTGTAACCCAAGCTTGAAGCAATCCACGCATAAAAATAAAAGGATTTTGTCGAGTTAATAGAAAGAAGAGAAGAGGTAATGAAATTAATGAGTGAATAGCTAAACCACTTAGCACTGTTACTGTGTACTAAATTTAAAAAAAATAAAAATAAAATTTAATTTGTAAAGAGAATATTATAGGGTATAATGTTAGGGTAATTACTGATTAGGGTAATTAGGTAATTGGGGCAATTACTGATTGAATTAATATTTAATTTTTTTTATTAATTTTATTGTTTCACTTTTAAAATTAATTTTTCAGAATTTAATGATTGATATAAAATATATTTAATTAAATATTACCATAAATAAAGACCGAAAAGTATTGCTAATATCATCAACTTCAAGAATTTTTCCCATAATTAAGCAAGTAATGCCTAATGGAGAATACCACCTATTTAAAAACAAATTAAAATTAATTTAAATTTATTAATTAATTTACATAATAAGAGAAACAAGTTTCATTATAGCCAAATCCAAAACTCCAAAAAATTCAACCTTAAAAATAAATTTATTAAAAAAATAAACTTAAAAGTCCAAACCATAATACGCCCACGTTCCCCTAATTGACTTATAACAATTCCAAAACTTATACAAAAAACAATAATTCCTTCAAAAAATATTTTTTCTTTTTAAATTAAAAATAATTTATTAAAAACCAAGAATATTCATTCCGTCTTTGTAAACAGGTTTATATCTAATTGGGTCCCTTCCAGGAATTGTTTTATTAACAACTTGAACGGTAGTCTCCATTTGCTGCATTGTTGCCTGTACAATATTTTCTGGGAACATATTTCTTTTTTAATGAAAGAGAGGAAATAATTTTCTTTTATTTAAATTTAAAAACTACCTAATTAAATCAAGTAAAGTATCAACAGTACTAACTCTTTTAATTTCTCTTCCATTACTTAAATCTTTGTGATGTTCTGGATTTCCAGGATGTAAAGCTAAAACCAAAACAATTCCAGTAACAACAGCTATTGCTGTTGTAGCAAAATAATAAATTACAGCCAAACTACCGACCTTTAAAGGAAAATAAAGAAGTATTTCGATTGTTTTTAAATTAACACATACCCGACCAGATTGTTTTGGATCTAATTGGGCAAGACCAGAAATGAGAGAAGAAACTTTAAATTAAATATTTTTAATTTTTTCTCTTTAAAAAAACATACAAATTAAAGGTATTATCATCATTTTCAACATATGCATAAGTAATTCCCCAGGAAAACTTAATAACATAATTGTCTGACTTGAAGGATTTCCTAAACGAATTAAAGAGCCCAATAAAGCACCGAGAAGTACACCTTAATAAATAAATATTTTTTGTAAATTAATAAAAGTTAAATTTATTTAGATTACCTCCAGCAGTAGCACAGACTAAAGCATTTTTCCGTAGCCAATCCAATAAAGAAAAATAACCTCGTCCATTTGAGCCAGCCATTTTTAAATTATTTAGGTATTTTACTTTAAAAATATTAACAAATTAAAATAAAGATTTAAAAAATATATGAAATATGCACTATTAAAAAATAAAAATAAAAATTGTTTTAATCAATTATATTAAGTTAATAAAATGATGAAAATTATTACACAATAAAATTTAAACAATGTTTAAAAAATATATTTATTATTTAAAAAAATAAAATTTAAAAATTAAATAATAACTGATAAGCAGCTGGGTAGAGAGAAGATAATTTTTTATCATTAAACAAAAATTATAATTTCAAAAAAAGGAGGGAAAGGAGTTCTCGATGATTTTTAATAATATTTAAATTAAACTTTGAAAATGATAATATTTTTAAATAAATATTTGATTTTTTGTTTGCTTTTTTCTGGTTTTATTTACATAAATAAAAAGTTAGTCAATTGAAGATTGGTCGATGAAATGGAACAGCTTTAGCCTTTCACTTTTTTTAAGGACAGAAGATGAAAAATCCTAAAAGTGGGTATAGCTATATATTCTTTTTTTAATATTAAAAGTAAAATATATAACCAGCAGGAAAAGAAAAGTTTAAAAAAAGTCCCCCAACCGTTTGTCGAGAAATTCAAGCGGAAAGAGCATTTAAAACGGCATTCCTCACCTATATAAATTTACAATAAAGAAACTTGAATGGAAATTATTTTGAAAAAAAAGCGGAAGAAAAAATTGGGGACATCTACGTAAAAGTACTATTAAAATAAATAAATAGTTGGAAGGTGGTGGTGATGGTCTGGTTGGTTGGTGAATTTAAAAAATAAAATAATTTATGTGGACTTTAATATTTAAATAGAAAATCTGAGAAAAATTAAAAGTTTAAAATTGTGTAAAAAGTTTTTTTAAAAAGACAAAAATTTAAAGAATAAATCGGATCGGAAAATAAAAAATATCATAGAGGATATTAACATAATTAAAAAATTTTCCTGTTAAGGACGAGGCTGAATGAATCATTGACCATTTATTGCTTTTTATTAACAAACAGAATAAATATACAGTGGACAGAATTGTTAAATTAAAAAATATATAAAATACATTTATTTAATTTAAATTGATTAACAAAATTATTTTAATATTTAGCAGAAAATTAAAAAACATGTGATTAACGCCTAAAGTTTTGAACAGAAAGAATAATAAAGTGAATTTTGTTGGGGATCCCGCTGTGTTAAAAATAAAAATGTTCTCCATTATTTTTTGTCGGGGGAACTAAACCAAAAATAAAACTAATAAAAAAATATTTTTTATTAAATAAATTGACAATATAAAAATTTTATTTTAAAAAATTTATTTATTTATTAAAGTGCAAAAATAATAATGAAATATAACTTCCTTAAGAAATGTATTGAGAAATATTCGTGAATCTCCTTTCATTTTACCGTTAGATATAATTTGTAGGTTGGTGAACAGTAAATAATAAATTAACATTTTCCCCTCTCTTTTTAACAATTTAATTGCCAAGAGTTTTTTTTTGTTTTGTTATTGAAAAACTTTAACAAGTAAAAGAGCGTCAAAGACAATTAGCAAGTGCCAAAAGTCTCAAGTTAAATGGCTTTAAAAAAGGAGAGAAATTAAATGAAAAGAGATGAATAAAATAAATATTTTCTGATACAAATTGTCGACAATAAATAATTCTTTTTGAAAAACTTTTTAATTTTAAATTAAACAAAGATTTAATTTAAAATTTTAGTTAGCGGAGATAAAAATATTGTGTTGACTATTTTTTATTTTATTTGGTTAAATATATTGTAGATTTTTACCTAGTTTTAAGCTTTCCTTTTATTGTTTAGTTGGCTCTAAAATGGTTGAGAATAAATCAATCTCCTTGACTTATAATTTCTTTAAAACAAAAATTTATTGGCTTAAAATTTTGATAAAACCAATTAATTTAGAGGAATTGAAGAGAAATATTAAAAATTAAAAGAGAAAAGAGCAGCAAATAAATTATTTTTACAGAATTTTTGTAAAAAAACAGAATTTTATACGTTTAATAATTAAATAAAAAAATATTTATTTTTGGAAATAAAAATAGTAAATCAAGTATGTCATTTGTTTTTATGCTGTTAATTTATATATCTAATGACACAATTCAAAAAATCCCCTGAGAGAGAAAAAGGCAATAAAAGGAAAAAAACTGCAAAAAAATAAACTAATTGGCCAAGTGGAGGAATTCCAACAAAAATATTTTAAAAAACACTGAAAATGGATGAGTGGGTGTAAGTGTTAAAGACTTTTTTTCTTTCATTTTTTACTCATTTACAAATTAAATATAAAGAGGATTTGTTGGGTGACTTTAAGGAAAAAACACTTTTATTTTGAATTTTAAAATTGGCTAAAACAAAAATAAATAAAAATTATATTTTAAATTTCAATCAGTAATTAATTTTTAAAAATTTAAAGACTTTTTAATAATTACTTAAAATAAAATTAAACAAAAGTAGATGGGAAAATTTAATTCTAATTTTTACTGATTTTTAAATTTATTTGCCTGTCGAAAATATATTAAAGAATTTGTTTTTTTTATTTCCAAATTCATAGACAAATTTGGAAATTTAATTGAAAAAAAATAATTAAAGCTAAAAATGTTGTTGATAAAAAAGAAATTTTCAAACATTTTAAATAATAAAATTTAATTTATAAATTGAAATTTAAATATGTATAAATGAAAAAATAAAATTAATAAACGTGAAATTAAAAAAAATTTGAAAACTCAATAAAAAAAATAAAATGATTGTTAAATTAAAAGATATAAGACTGAAGATTAAATTTGCTATTACAAAACTTTAAAATTAAAAATAAAATTGTTAATTTAGAAAGGTTTGCGCAATTCACAATTAAAATGCACATACTAAATAAAAATAAATACCTATATTATTTTAACTTACTATCAACAAAGTATTTTTTATTATTTTTCGTGTAAAAATATAAAGGGAAATGGAGATGAGGATAACCTGTTCGAGAGTAGATCGATTGTTTGAATTTATATTTTTTTAAATAAATTAAATCTGACGCGCACATTTCCACATATATGTATTTATGAGAAATTCACAAAAACATTTGAAAGAATATTTTTAAATTCAAAATATAATTGAGTAAATAATCAAAAAAAATAAAAAAAAATATAGAGAATGTCAAAGAAGAATATAGACAAAAACTTAAAGAAAAATATAAAAGTATGGATGACTGCGCGGTAAAAGTTAGCTAGCTTTTTACTTTAAAAAAATAAGAAGAGCTTTTTAAAAAAATAATTTGTTTGTCCAATGCTTGTGTATATATTACAGCTGGATGAACAATTTATTCAATGACTTGATATTCTTTAATAATTAATTATAATGTCTGTTAAAATAATTATTATAAAAAATTCAAAAGAGCGGAAGAAAAAAATTGAGGAAAAGAATGAGAAAAAATTAAAAAATAAATTTAAAAAATAATTATTTTTACTAACAAGAAAGTAAAGGATCGTTGTCGATTTTTCTTCCAAAAAAACTGAAAAAAATGAAAAACGAATATAGACCAATTTCTACTAATTCTCTCTTTTCTTTATTGCATTTAAAAGTCAGCTGTCAATAAAATTGGAGAAAAGAAAGCTAAAAAACCCCCAAAATGTTGAGATATTTTTGGTTAAACAATTTTTATAAGTATTCTATTTTAAACTAATAAAAATTCAGAAAAAAAAGATTGTGTACATATACAGACGAATTATTAAGTAACAATCACTATATTTTACTTGAAGTAAAAGATACTGAACTCTAACCTTCCAATATAAAAAACAAAAACAAATTTTAGATTTATATTTTTTGAATAACTCAACCCCAAAAGTTCAACGACTATCGAAAATTGACAATGAACCTCGACAAAGGCGGATCCGGCCGGATTCGAAGCTTAATTCAATACCAATGATGGAGTTATCTAGGACAGAAAAAGTAGTATTGGTATTGACCTATTGACTTGGCAAGTCAAAAAATTCGGTTCCAGTAGCCCGAAAGCTATGGGGTTTTTGTTTCCAGTTCCGACCTTTGGGATAAAAAATTAGTCTTGGTCTTGTAAATCTTTGGTCTTGAGACCTAAAACAGTTGCTGTCGAAAAATCAAGTATTTTTCATTTTATTTCATCAAATATTTGTTGATCACTTTAAAAAATTAGATCTTTTGAGATTTTTTAAATCTCAAATAATTTGATCGTTATTTGATTTTGGTATTTAACAGGTCTTTACTTGAGTCTTAGGTAGTGATGTTGCCAAAATTTTCGCCTGGTGCGCCAAATGACAATTTTCAAATTTGTAAAATACGCCAAACGCCAAAATTTTCGGGGATCATTGAGTCCCGGAGGTTGAGTCCCGTAGCCATATTTTGTCGGAGCAGTTCAACTGAGTCCGCACGATTGAGTCCCCACGATTGAGTCCGCACGATTGAGTCCCCACGATTGAGTCCCGGCACAATTGAGTCCCCACGATTGAGTCCGCACGATTGAGTCCCCCTTGTATATACCTCAATTGAGTCCCCGTGGATTTAATAAGTTTAAAATTTCCATATCCGGCATGCGGGATTATTCCAAAGTTTCTATTTTTTAAATATAAATGCCGGACAGACGACCTGTGCACCCCTGCTGCACCCCACATACCCTCCGTAGCAGCACAAAACAGTTTTCCAGCGCAGATTCAGTTGGTCATAACTTTGTTCAGAATCATTGAATCAAGCTGATTTTGATGTCATTCGACTCTGCTCGTCGAGCCCTTTCGAATGAGGTATAATTTAATATTCGAATTTTTTGTCCCCAAAAATTCCCCCGTGGATTTGACCATTTCGAGCCCCATATCTCGGCGAGAACCATGTTGATTTTTGTGTATTCGACTCAGCTCATTCGAACGAGCTGTCATTCAAAAAATCTCTCGATATCCCTCCTAATCCCCAAATCCACAATATCCACCCATATCCCCCTTAATCGCTTAAATCTACTTATATCTCTTAATATTCACCGATATCCAACTTGATCCCTCGATGTCACATACAGGTCCCCTGATGTTCACTTTAATCCCCCAAATCCCCAGATATCCCTCTTAATCCTTTTTAATATAATTAAATCCACGGGGACTCAATTGAGGTATATACAAAGGGGACTCAATCGTGCGGACTCAATCGTGGGGACTCAATTGTGCCGGGACTCAATCGTGGGGACTCAATCGTGCGGACTCAATCGTGGGGACTCAATCGTGCGGACTCAATTGAGGTGTACCGATATTTTGTATATCTTCAATTTAAAAATTTTAGCTTTTAAATTTGTATAAATTTTAGTTTTCGGATTAAAACATCAAATTTCGCATTAAGGTTTAAGTTTTGGGTTTGCGCCGTTTCGGTCGCGCCGTTTTGAGCGTTTCCCCATCTTTGGTCCTGGGTTAAGTCAGTGAATAAATAATTGCTTTTTGCTTGTCAAATTACATTGTTTTAAGTTTTGTATTTTATTTTTCCTTCTCATTCTTTTAAGAAAATCAATTAATTGATCCTTATGTACTGTTTAGTTAACTTTTCAATGCAAAAATATTTCCAAAATTGTAGAATTACTATTATTCTACAAATTAATTTTTAATTTTTAGTTTTATTTTTATGTAATGACTGATAAAAATAAAGAGCACATTCGTGCAGAATTTCAAAAACGTTTACAATCTTCACTAACTGCGTATGGAAGTAATGGAGCTGTTATATTTGAATTTATTAAAGACTTTAAGTGATTTTAAAATTATTTTTTTGAATGTCTTTAAATTTAAAATTTTTAGAGAGGATTGGCAGGCTGATGTTTATAATATTGCTAAACTTCTCGAATATTCTGAGGGTGTTGATGGTCTAATTGCTTTAATGAAATCATTTCCAAATGATGTTGTAGTTGAAGAACTTCCAAGTGGTCTAGTTCGGTTTAAACCAGTTCCAACAGTAACGACTATCGAAAATTTGAATTTGATTGATCAATCAAATAAAGAAATTGCTGAACACAAGTATTGAATATTTTTTTAAAAATTATTTTTGTTTGTTAATTTTTAGGGAAAGAAAAATTAGACTTAATCAACGACAAAATCCAATTCATATTAGACTTTCTTCAGTGCCTCCACCAATTTATCCGCCACAAATATTTAACCAGAGCCATCCAATTCCTCCTCAGAACGGCCAATCAGTACCTCCACATTTACTCCCGCCTTATCATCGAGGATATATTCCATCATCAAAACCGCGGGTTAAACAGCCAATTTCTGAAAATGCGAATTTAATTGATTTGGGTGTTCGAGCACCACTGTCTCAGCGTCAAAATGGTACTGGACATCAATCAAGAAATAAAACTAATTTAATTAATGGAAAAGAAGAAAGGATGAGGGATGGGCGAAGTTCACCTCCAAGTATTTTTTAGAGGAACATTTTTTGATTTAAATATATTTTAGGTTTCTCACGTGCTTCTACTCCACGAGTTATAAGTCTTCATTCTTCAATTAATGATCTAACTGAAATAGAGCAAGCAGAGAGGGAATATTCAATGAAATTGGGAAAAGGCCGACCAATTCTTGGTCAAACATTTGAACCGCTAATTTCTGACGAGTAAGTTTTCTTTTTATTATTTTAACCAAATTTTTTAATTTAAATTATATTCTTTGCTCTAACAAATAAATTTTTTAAACATTTATTTAATTTTTTTATTCTAGTCTATTTTTGAATTTATCGGTTGTTTCTATGGACTTTTTGTCAATTTTTTAAAATCAAAATCCATTTTCTTGCGTCCCGATTTTTTTTTGATTTTTTGCGTCGCAAGTAAACTTTTGTGAATCCTTATCGTCCCCCCCCTTGCCTATATTTCTTATTTAACTTAAAATTTCAGCGAGGACTTTCGTGTACCAGCATCGGATGATGAATCTACTCTTACTGATGCTTCCTCACGTGTTGGATCCGTTTCTAGCCTTGATAATCTTATTGACTCTAATAAACAATCTGGAACTGTTTTAGTTGATGCAAAAGAAGAAACTGAAGTTGATGGAGTTGTTGATGAGTTTGACGATGAAGATGATGAATCTTTTGTTTCTGATGATTCTGAGTTCGATATTCTTTTTGACGAAATTGAGGAGGCTGTGGAAGAGAAAGAGAATATTTCTGTTTGCAAATATATTGATAAATTAAAGAATGAATTCCATCCACCACAGGTATTTTTTTAATTTTAGTTTATGGGTTTGAAATTTTATCTGCTTAATTTTAGGCTGATCTTTCTCGTCTTCTTTATCTTTTCCAATTGAATGATGGCTCTTTGTCTTCGTCAAAAATTGATGATCTTAAAAGGTTTTACGAAAGGGAATTTGGTTGTGCTCTTTCGTCGAAAGAGGTTTTTAATTTAGATTTTTTGAGTAAATTTTATTTATTCTTAGCTAAATAGATTGTTGGGTTGTCCACCAAATATTCGAATTGTTGGAGAATCTTTCAAAAAAGCTTCATATCCAGCTTCCTCTTTCTTTAGAGTTATTCAATCAGATTCATCTTCAAGTCTTTATACGGTTAAATTACGACGATGTTTAACTGGTTTGACTAAATTTCCTTAAACAATTATTATTTTTTTCAAGGAGAATTCATCGATCCTTCTATTTATTTTGCAAAATTGCCATCTCGGGTTGTGTCACGAACTTCTACGTTTTTACCGAAAATTTCTTCCATTTCAACAATTACGAGTAATAATAACGTTCCATCAACTTCAACAAACACCTCCTCATTGCCAATTCAACCCACTGCAGCTGTTAAATCTGTTGACAAGCCAACTTTCAATTCAAAATTAGACTTTCTCAAAATTTCAATTAAAATTTCCACTATTTTTGACAAAAATGCAAATGGGAAAATTCTTTTGGATGAAGTATTTGAACAATTAAATAAGATTTTGCCGCATCCTTTTCTCGAAACAAAAATGGGGCTGCTTGGATATTTGATGGAGTTTCTTTCGGATTTTTGTGAAATTTTAACTGAAGGTTAAACTTTATTCAGTTTCACTCAAATTTAATTTTTAGGAAATAAAATCTACATTGTGGATATCCGTAACTGTCCGAAGGTCAAAAAGAACCAATTAATTTCTACTGCTTCTTTTAATGGTTTCCGTAGTGGAAATAAATTGAAAGTTAAGATATTGGGTGTTGTCTCAAATGGAGATGCTAAATTAGAATTATGCCAACTTTCTTCGAAATTGAGACTTTTATTGAGGTTTTTTTATTTTATACTATTAAATGTTGATGGGAATTGATTTTTAATAAGACACGTATTAACAAAAAACATTCATACTACTAAATTGTTAATTTAAATTCGGGCAAAATTTTTTTTTGTGACCTTGGGCGAAAATTTTTTTATTTTCAGACACCTAGGAAAGACAATTTACTTTTAATCGGAAAAATTTCTTTTCACAATAAATGTCTTGATTAAAATCATTTTTTTAAATGACGAACATCACCCTTGATCAGGCCCGTAGCCAGGGGGGTGAGGGGGGGGGAATTCCCCCCCCCCCGAAATGGGAAAAAGGAAAAAATTTGGGGAAGGGCTGGGGCAAAAAAGTGAATTTTTTTGGCCTACGGCCTTCTAAAATTCTCAAAATTTTCGCCTGCGGCGCTGAAAATAAAAATTTTTGGCGGCTTCGGCGCCAAAAATTTGGCGCAGAAAAAATTTTCCCCCCTTGGCCCCCCCCCCCCCGAAAAAAAATCCTGGCTACGGGCCTGCCCTTGATTTTCTTCCTAAATTAATTTCTTTTTTAGTGATTACTCTGATCTTTTGGAAATTCTTGAAGAACAACCAACTAAATGTTTAACTCCTGATAATAAAAGAATGGTTTTCTTCTATGATCGTTCAAAACGTTTACGTCGTGGTTATATCACAAAAAAAGTAAATGAAAGCAGTGTTTTAATCAAAGACTTTGACGTTCTGGATATCCAAGACTATTTGGTTTTAAACAATCTTGTTTTTGATGTTCCTGAAAATTTTCCAATTTGGCAATTTCCAGCTTGTCAGTTTCCGGCACAGATTGTAAATGCGGATATGGTTAGTTATTTTAAATATTTTTCTTGCCTTTTTATTTTTTCTCCCATAATGTTAATTTCTCCCTCTAATTTTTTTGTTTTTTTCAGATTCAAATTCGCCGTTTCTGGAAGGAAGGAACTGAGTTTTCGGTTATTGTTAATGAGATAATTAATGGCCAGAAATGTTTTTGTCGTCCACTTCCAATTAATTCAATGGATGTTGTTGATTTTTGATTATATTTAAAATATATATTTTATATACAATTTTAAATTACTAATTTGGACAAAATATGGTTTTTAAATTTGATGACAAATTTTATTTATTGTACGTGGTTCTTTTGCTTAATTTATTCCAGAATTTTGGTTATATTCTCATAATTTATTGTTTTTTGAAAAATAGAAAAAAAATTTTATAATTTAATAAATTTGATTATTTTATTTTAATTTTTTAAATAAATAAAGCTGGCATTAATTAGTATATTAAAAATAAATTATTTTATTAACATAAATAAAATTCAGCTTAATAATTCTGCAATAATTCTTAATAATTCTTAATAATTCAGCTTAATAATTCTTAATAATTCTGCAATTTTTATATAATGTTATTTATATATAAACACTTTAATGGATATCCGGGAACAATTTGTCCCTTAGGGAGATAAAAATGCAAAAAAGAATACTTTTTTTTATTAAAGAAGCCAGACAACTTTTTTTATATTTTAAGTGACTTTGAGAATTTAATCTTTTCAATGTTTTTAAAGTAAAACTTTATTTTTTATAATTTATTTGGACACCCATTTAAGGATTCTTCTCTTTCTCCTCAACATCTTTTCATTCACAAAATCATTCATTTCTCCCACTTAAATATGTAAATATTTTATTTACTTTATTTTACTATTTTTATTTTTAAGATAGAAATTAATTTAAAAAATATTTTTTTAATTTTAAAAGATGCGTTTGGATGTAATTAAGCATCGTCGAGTTTCCCTTAAAGTACCGGGAGATAATTTTCAAGAAAATGAGGATGAAACTTCGACTGAAAACGTTGTTACAGTAATCGCTCCAGATGAGATTACGAGTAGTTTACGAGAAAGAAGGAGAGGGAAAGCACAAGGATTACGAATTTCTCTTAGTTTTAAATCAATTTATATTCAAAATTTAATAAATAAATATTAATAGATCCACCTCGTCCTACCCTTCAATCTGGAGGTTCTCTAGATTGGCCCCCAGCAGGCAGTCCATTTAGTGCCGGTCTTGTTGGGGCACGTTGGCGTCCTCCTCCATTGGGAGATAATCTCCGAACTTCTGAACAACTTAATCGTTGGATAGCTAATGGAGATATACAACCATTAGAATCTTTACTTCTGTCAGGCCGTTCAGACCTTTTAATGGGGACGGAATATAAAGAAAATTTTATTTATGGCCATAATCGTTCAAAACAATTTATTGCAGATTTAGCTGAATATAATGTGAGCTTTAAAATTGAATAAAAATTAAATAAAATTAATTTTTATTAAAAAAAATTTTTAAAAAAATTATTTCAAAATTATTCTAACAAAGAAAATATTTTTTTATTTGTTTTCTCCAAATATTTAGGTTAAATATGAACAATTTCTGGAGGCTGTAGTAAATGGAGATGAACATACAGTTCGTCAACTAATTGATTTTCGACATCTCGTACAGTCAAGACATCCAAGAACTCATACAACTACTGTATAACAATTCTATCTCTTTATTATTTACTTTAATTTATTTATTAGATTCATTTATCTGCAATTTTTGAACGGCCAATAATCCTTCGAATTCTTCTTAAAAAAGACCGTAATTTGGTTGATTCTCGTGATGCTGTAATTATTTTTTCTTAAATAATTTTCCCCTTCCATTTAGGAGGGTCGAAGTCCTTTACATTATGCAGCTGCCATAGCTGGGACTTTAGGCCCTAAGGGGTTAAAATTAGAAGAGAATTTAGACGAATCCACAAATATTCAACAATCTGTGGAGGAAGAGGAATGTTTTGATATTTTACTTGATTATGGGGCTAATGAAGCTTTACTTGATGTTGAGGGATATACACCTATGAATTTCCATCGATCCCCTCATTTATTAGATATGCACCAAATACGCGGATTGAATCAATGTTTTTGAAATTCTTAAACAAAATAAAGATTTTAATTTCTTTTAGTTCCGATACGGCCAGGTGATAATATTGATGAATTGATTGCTCAAAGAAATGTAAAAGCTTTGAGAGAAATTGTTTTGGGTAATTAATTAAATTTATTAAAGAAAAAAATTATTCAATTTTCTCTAAATTCTTTTATTATTTAGCTGGCGACTACAAATCACAAATTGAAGGAAGAATATTTCCCCCAGAAAGTCGTGATTTAGCACCAACACTTTTACATCTCCAAACACGAATTTTAGCGATACACGAAGCAATTCGAAATAAAGACCAGAGAACGTTAAAACAATTAGTTGATAGTTGGGATACAGCAACGGGGAAAGACGAATATGGAAGAACCCCTTTACACATTGCTGTTTTGTATGGAAGGGCTAGAATGGCCAGATATTTATTATTATTATTTCCTCGTTGTGTTGATTTAGTGGATAAGGTATTTGGAATATTAAATATTTTATTATTTAGATTTTTAAATTAAACCCCCATTTGGAGGTTAATTGAAAAATTAGAATCTCTGAGAATTATTTTAGTTTAATTATTATTAATCTATTTATTAATCTTCTTTAAAATTATTTATTTAATTTTTCTTTTATCTTTTCAAACATTTAATATCCACAAATATTTTTTTAATAATTTAACAAAAATATAATTTTTAAATAACATCATCATTATTATTATTAAATAGTCACTTTTAAATATTCATTTTTAATAAAAAGAATTTTTATATTTCCATGGGAACTGTCCTTAAAAAATATGTAAAAAATCTTCTTCTCTTTTTTAGGCTCAACGGACATCTTTACATTATGCTAGTTGTTTACCAGATGAGCATCAACGTACACAAATGACAAGAATTCTTTATAGAGCTGGAGCAGAGATTTCATCAAAAATAAATGGAAATAAAATAACAAAAAAGTCAAAGAAAATAAAAGAAAATGATGAAAATGAAGAAGAAGAAAAGGTGCTAAAAATGAATAATTTTTAAAAAATTAAATAAGAGGGGAAAGTAGAAAAGAAAAGATTACTTACTTACCTATTATAATAATTAAATTTTTTCAAAAAAAAAATTAGACACCCTTTGGGACAGAAATTTATTTAGAACAATTAATAGTGTTAATTAGGTAAATAATCTTCTAAAATTAAAATTTAAATATTCTCTCAAAAAAACTTTTAATTTAGATGGATGGACAGAAAGAAGATGAATTTCCAGATATAGAGAAAGTAATATTGTCAGATAGTGATGATGAGGATGAATCGACAGAAGAGGATTTAATAAGGACTAATTGGAGGATAAACAAAAATGATGAAATGGGAGGAAATGAAGGAGGAGGAGAAGGAGAGGGGGAGGAAATGTTTTTAGTTAAAGATAGTGGTTAGTTTTGAAAATTTTTAAAAAAATATTTGTTAGAAAGTTTAGAAGGGAATTATTTTTGAAAATTTAAAAAAATTACCAAAAATTTAGATTTAATCTTTAAAATCATTTTAGGAAAATAATTATCTAAAAAATGCAAAAAGCTAATAATTTACAAAAAATAATTTCTTATTTATCATTTAATAATTCAACAGACGGGGATGAATCTATTGTTGATGAAAATATTGAAAGACGTGTTTTGTCTATAGATTTTAATCAAAAGCAATATCGTCAATTAGAACAATTATATTCTGAAGGATTGGGTGGAAAAGTTTGGCTGGTTGTTAAAAAACATTTGGGAAATGAAAAGTAAAAAATAAATATATATTAATTAAATAATTATTTTTATTTTTTTAAATTAAAAATTAAGATTAGTTAAATATATTTATGCTTATCGTCAAGCACAAAACAGACTTTCTCAAGTATTTGGAGCTATTGAATCAAATGATTTTCGTAAACTTAAAATTTTGTTAGACGAAGAAATTGTTCAAGCTAGGGATTTAAGAGGTAATTTTAATTAATATTTTTAATTAATAAATAAATAAATAGGTTTAACACCTCTTCACATTGCCGTTTTAGAGGAAAGACATGAAATGGTTGAATTTATAGCAAATCAATTTCCAGCACATATAAATATTTCTGATCATGTAAATTTAAAGAAATTAAAGTTTAAATATGTTAATATTGAAAAATAGGGGCGACAATTGAGGATAATAAGAGAAGTATATTGACATTTTCAGCGCCACATTAATTCAGAAATTATTTAGGAAACGTCATTTTACAACCAGTCAATTGTCTTAATTCCAAACATCTGATTATCTTTATTTATTTTTTCTCAATTCCCCTCCCTCTCCCCCCTATTCTTTTACTTATCCTACCCTAATTGAGTAATTTCTTTTAAAATCTTTAAAACTTTTAAAACATTTCAATTTTTAATAAAACATTTATTTTCAAATTTTAAAAACAAAAGAATATTTTTTAGTTAGGCAGAACAGTTGCACATTATGCAGCTCCACAACAAAATGCTATTTATGACACTTTATCAGATCTTGGGGCTGATATAAAAATTCCTGACAAAGTAAATAAATAAATAAATTATTTTAAATATTTTTTATTATTAAATAGAATGGATTTAGTGCAGAGCGTTATAGAGCAAATCCAAAACAAATGGTTCGTCCATTACCTCTTTTAAATATTAATGAAAAGGAAAAAAAATTAATAAATAATAAAATGTCCAAAAATGGATTGCTGTCATTACAAAATATGAGAAATAATAATATATCTATGGATGAAGATGGATATTCTATTTTTGATCCCGGTAAGGGAGTTTGTTTTTAATTTATTCAAATATTTTTTATTCTCTTCCCCTTCTCTCCCCTATCTCTCTCGCTCTCTTTATTTTTTTTTGTACTTTAATAAGCAAAATTTAAACCTTGTTCAATTAATAATTTAAATTAATGTTTTTAGGAAAAAAAGGAAATAAAAATTAAAAAGATTTATTTAGTAAAAAAACATTTTTAATCCAAAATATTGTCGTTTGTTTTTGTATTTTTAAAGCAATTTCAAAACAACTTTTAGTTTCTGTAAAAGTTTTCCTCCTTACAAATTAGTGCTTTTTAATATGTATTTAAGAAGGATTTAATTATAAAATGTTTATCATATTTTAAAAAAAACATTAAAAATATAAAATTATAAATAAAAATAAATATATTTTTATTTTATTTTTATCAAATAATTTTAGTGTATATTTTTAAAAATAATTAATGATGTAGTAATTAATATGTATATATTCCTCATTTATTATTACCGCCTCTTTTATTATTTTTACGTGATGCTTTTGTCGTCGTTCTACATAAATACATACCAACTATTTATAAATTCTTTTGCTTTTTTCTCCAATCAAGCTCTTATTCTTAAATATTTTCTAAAAAAATATTTTTAAAAATTATTTTAGAAAAATATTTTTTTATCCAAGAGTGTCTTTTTTTACCCTTTAAACCCCTTCGATTCTCTTCAGAACCTAAAAAAAGTTTTTTGATAAATAATATTTTTTAGATTTCCTATCCTTCATTATCTCCTTTAAAATACACAAAAGATTATTTTTTCATTCTTTCAACTTCCTAAAATTCTTTTTCCCAAAAATGTATAAATTTTGGTTAGAACGTCGACAAAACCATTTTCATTACCCTTTAATTACCACCCCTTTTAACAACAGAAATACAAATAATAATAATAAATTAATTTCTTGTTCTTCCCCTCATTCATTGGATTCCTCTGCCCCAACAGAAGAAATGATTTTGACAAAATTTGAAGGAGAAAAATTTCGTTTAAATTTGAGTGAATTAAATAGACAAGATACTGAAATGATTTTGGATGAAGGAAGGGAAACTGAAGAGGAGGAGGAGAGCGGAAGCTGCGGTGATTTCCTTGAGGAATCAGTTAATTTTCCTGGTGTGACTAAAAAAATAACTTTGAGTATTCTAATACTTTTTATCACTTTTTATCATTCTCTCACATCTTTTCAGACAATCTTCCAAAAATATTTAATCTTGTTATTTTTAAAAAATATAATTTCTTAGATGCTCCTACTGATGAACAAGTACAAAGATGGATTTCCTTGGGTGATGTACAACAACTTGAACAATTAGTTTTGGATGGAAGGGCGCATTTATTAAAAGATAAATCTTCAACTAATTTAGCTTCAGCAGAATTTCTTCAAGGAGTCTCTCAATATCAATCTAAAGTATTATTAAGAAAGTTACTTAAAAATTCGGAAGGGTCTTATTTTAACTAATTAAATATATTTTGCCCTAATTTTGATAAAAATTTAAATATTTAGCAATAAAAAAGCATTTCAACAGACTTTCTCTTCTTAAATCGTCTTAATAATTTTTCTTTCTATAAATTAAATATATTTTGCCTTAAATATTCTCTAAAAATTAAGGTTGATTCAATACATAAAGCTGTAGAAGAAGGAGATGTTCGTCGAGTAAAATCTTTAATTGACAGAACAATGCTAGCAACTGCTAAAGACAGTCACGGTAATTTTTGGAAAATATCCTTCAAAAATTATTTTTGTAGGAATGACTCCTTTACATAAAGCTCTTCTATATGGACAAACAATTACTGTAATAGATAATACATATTTTTTTAATAAAAATCCTTTTTAGGTTCGATTTCTGTTAACAAAATACCCTCATTGTGTTAACGAACCAGATCATGTTTGTTATAAATATTTTGATTCTTTTAAATAAATAATTTTCTAGGCAGGCAGGACAGCTTTACATTTTGCTGCTGCTGATGCTAATGGAGAACATATGATTAAAGTTTTACAAAAAGCTGGGGGCGATGCTTTTATTGAAGATAAATATGGACATACACCTTTTTATTATCGAACACATGGGAAAAGATTAAATATAAGAACACTTAAGGATAATGCTGTAAGTTTTTCTAAAGGAAAAGTAGTAAAAGAATTTTTAGTTGATAATTTTTAATGAACTTAATATACAATTTAATAAAAATACCGTATTTCCTAAAATAAAGCCCTTGGGGCTCTAAATTTCAACCATCCTCCAGAGTGCGGATCCATTTTAGGTGGGGCTCTAATTTAGCATGGGGCTTTATTAGGAAAAACGTTATATCTAAATCCCCTCTTAATTAAAAAAAATATTTTTAGGTAATAAATCAATTAATTTCTGGTCAATTAAATCGCCCTTTACTTCAAGATTTAGAAGAAGACATCACAGATTGGATACATACAGGAAATATTGGGAAATTGGAAGAATTAGTTTTAAATGGTTATGCTGATTTATTATTAGGAAGAAATCATCAAGTAATTATTTTAAATTTAAAAAATATTTTTTATTATTTTTTTGGTTAATCAGTTGGATGATGCTGATGCAATAAGCTTTTTGGAAGTATTACCTCAATATCAGGCAAAAGTTCAAGCAATACATAAAGCTATAGAACAAGGGAATTTACGTGCTGTTAAATTATTAACTGACAGAAAGAAATTAGCTTTTTGTAGAGATAGTAGAGGACTTGCACCTTTACATAAAGCTGTGGTTTTTGGACAAACAGAAATTGCTAAAGTTTAAAAAAAAATAAAATTTTTTAAATTAAATTTCTAATTTAAAAGTATTTAATTCGTAATTATCCGCAATCTGTTAATTCAATGGATCAAAGTAAAAGAACTCCTTTACATTATTCTGCGGCTTTAAGAGATGGGGGTTATATGTATAAATTAATGAGGAAAGCTGGTGCTGATCCAAATACTTTTGATTGCGTAAGAGAAAAATATATACTATGTTCTTTAAATAATTCTTTTAAAGAATGGAAGATTACCAAAATATTATTTAAAATATCCTGGAGAACTTAATTTGGAAAGAATGAGATTAGATACAAAACAAGCTTTAAAACAAATTTTGCATACAAGAGTGGCGCCCTCCTATTTAGAATCAAAGTAAATAAATAAAATTGAAAAAGATTTTTTATCCAGAAGATCTAAATAAATAGATAATAAATATTTATTTTTCTATCGTTATCCTCTCCTGTTTTATCTAAGAAATTGTGTCATCTGGATTGAAACAAAAAAATTTAAATACAGACATATTTAGCATTCAGCAATGGCTAAGAGAAGGAAATTTAGCAAAATTAGAACAATTAGTAATGTCTGGTTGCGGTGATTTGGTTCTCGATAAAAAATCAAATAATCCGGAAGCTCAAATATTTTTGAAAGAATTACCTTCTCTTTTGTCAAATATAGACTCAATTCACAGAGCAATACGTGAAGGGAGAATTGAATCAATTAAACAATTAATTACAAATAAAAAATTGGTAAAAAATAAATAAAATTTTTTCAAAAAAAATTTTAAATTTAAATTAAAAAGGCATTAGCTAGAGACAAACATGGGTGTACACCTCTACATACAGCAATTATTCATGAAAAAACAGAAATAATTCGTTTTCTTGCTGCTAATTTTCCTTTAGTTCTTAATGCTCCAGATTATAATAAAAGGACAGCAATGCATTATGCAGCAGCTGCACGTGATGGAGGGCATTATTTGAAAATTTTAGGTAAAGCAGGTGCTGATCCTATGGCTGTTGATAATGTAAGTTTCTAATAAAAGAACTAATCTAATACTCGATTAATTGACTTGGTCAGTTAATATTTCAATTAACTGCTGGAAAGGTCAACCAAGCGAACCCTGAACTAGAATCATTCGTTTTGAAACAGGAGGATGCTAATAGGAATATAATCCCTTTTTTATTGCTTTTCCTTGTGGAACTTCCTCCTAACAAAATTCTTTTTAGGAAGGTCGTACACCTGACTATTACCGTCGGAATGCTGTTTTTGATCTTAAATTGCTCAAAGAACGTGATGTGGAAGAATTGGGTGCAGATGCTTTACTCTCCAAATCTGTAGTGAGTAAAGATTTAAAGAAAAACTACAATGAATAATTTAAACAGCAACACGGCGATTTCCCTGACAGTCCGAGCGAATCAGCCGATTTACTTTCTTTACATTCTTCTGGTGTTGATACAGGCAGAAAAGGATTAGAAAAAGGTGGAGGTAGAGAATATATTGATGATGAAGGGGAAATGATAGAATTTGATGGAAATGGGGATGGAGATGGAATTGATGATGGAGAAGATCCAGAGAAGAATAGATTTGAACATTTATTACAAGAAAGATTGGGAATGCCAACGTAAAATTAAATAAAGTTTAAAAAATATTTGGAGACTTTTTAGAAGTGATAACGGCCTTTATTTGGCACGTACTGTAGCCCCTGTTTTAACTAAAGCATTGGCAGAGGTGTTAATTTAAAAATTAAAAAATTTATTTTTAATTCTAAGGTACTTCTTCGACGTCCTGCTAATCCAATCGGATTTATTTCTGATTGGTTAGTTAAATATACTGAAGAAACAGAACAATTTTAAAAATTAAATTTGTTATCTTCTTTTTATTTTAAAAATCTGTCATTTCTTTTTCTTTGTCTTTTTAATGTGTTTCCTATAAAATTTAATTATAAATTAAATATTTAAATATTAATTACCATCATTTGCCTTCCTTTTGTTTCTATTGGTAAAGAAAGTGCTGTTACTAAACCAATTAGGGATGCACAACTATAGGTTCTTTAAAAATTAAAAATATACTTATTCGGATTCAAATAATTTATTTAAACTCCTTACATAATGGGAATTAACAAAGAATTTCCAGAAGCAACTTGTGCAATAAAGGGAGTTACTAAAATTTTAAATAAAAAATTAAATTTCCATTTTTTCTTTACCTATAGCTCCAAGCCTAGCCATAGAACTACTAGCTCCAAGGCCTAAAGCTCTAAGGGTTGTTGGATATACTTCTGGAGTGTAAACGTAAACACATTGAAAAGCACCAGAAATAAATGCACGAGAAATAAAAATAAAAGTAGTTAACCAATACCTTTATTTAAAAATTATTTTTGTCTTTTAACTACCAAAAAAAACCTTTTAACACAAAAAATTAAAAGAAAAGAAAATAAAGCAAAAACGCCAAATTCCATAGCCATTGTTCTTTTCCTTCCTAACCATTCAATTAATATAGCAGTTAAAATTAAACCCGGAAATTCTGAGAAAGTTGTTGATATCTTTTTATTTTTAATTAAAATATTTTGATTAATTTACTAAATAATTACCAAATCTATATAATCTTTTTTGAGAAGAGGTTTACATTCTAAAATTATTGGGGGTTCTGTTACTACTGTTTCATTATTTATTGAATTATTTAGTATTTGTTTTGATATTCCGCCATGACATTCATCCCCAGATTGGAAAAGTACAGTTGTTAGTAGAACAATACCTAAATGGAATAATAAAAGAATAAAAGGATTGATGACAGAATTCCTCAATTTTTTAGATGGAATTAAAGAGATTTAAATTAAATTTAGAATATTCTAAATCTTGTCACCAAGTTGTTTGTATACATAAATAAAAGAATGAGCTTTCACTAACAAGCTAATGTGGTACGCGGAGCGGATAGAATCAATATAATGACGGAACCTGATCAGCAGGAGTTCGCCCCTCCAATAGTCAAACTTCTTAAATATTTGGTGTTTAGCGTGTTTAAAATTTTGAAAAATTAGCAGTTAGAGTGTCACGCTAAATTTTTTGTGTTTTCAATATTTTTTTAAAATTCCAAAATTTTTTGAGTATTTTATTTATTTTCTTTTAACACATATATAATTAAATTAACCATAATAACAAAAAGCATTAACTGTCCACAATATCCAAAGCCTAAAAGTTGTTCCGGCAAGCGTTGGTGAAAATAAATCAGTTAATTTCCCCCGTGCATTTATTGTTGCTTTATTCCCTTCAATTAACCTTCCAGGAGGCAAAGAACGTCCATTTAATTTAGCAATTCTTTGTAAACTCGAAATTGCTAAATCTGGCCTGCCAGCAGCCACAAGATAACGAGCACTTTCTGGCAACCACTTTTCAAAAAAGAAATAATTTTTAAAACAATTCCTTAAAAACTTACAAGACAAGAAATAGAAAAAAGTGCCAAAGGTAAAGAACTCAACAATAAAAGCCACCGCCATCCCCAACCTGCTGACATAACAAAAAATGCTAAAATAGCCTCAAAAGAGGCCCCAATTGCCCAAAATGATTCAATAAAAACAACACATTTAGCTCTTTGTGCCAAGGGTAAAAATTCGGCAAATAAAGTAACACTTTAGAAGAAAATTATTTTATTTTTTAATTTAATTATTACGCTTGAGGAATCCCTCCAATTCCAACTCCAGTAAGTCCTCTAAGCGCTAAAAATAAATGAAAATTTGGGGCTGCTGATGAGAGAACACCCATGGCAAATGTGAGAAGTGCAGCAGATAAAAGACCTTTACGCCGGCCAAAACGATCACAAAATTTACCCCAAGCTGTTGAAGAAAGCATCATTCCAGAGAAAACACAAGTTGTTATTAATGCCTTTTTTTCAAATTAATTATTTTAAATAAAAAGAGGGATAAGGTTAATTGAGAAATTGGTTATTCTAAATATGTATTATCTACTGAATAGAAAAGAAATTTGGTTGCATTACATAATTTTATATTTTATTCCAAACATTTTAAAATTCAATACTTGTTGCATTGGAGTAATTGCCCATTCACAATAAAGTGATGGGGAAAGAATTGATAAAATCATAATTTCCATAGCATCTGCCATCCAAGCTAATCCAGTTAAAAATGCTAGTAAAATTTGGAAACGTCCAAAGCCAAGAAATTCAACAGCATCATCTACAGTATATACATCAGGAACTCCATTTGTTGTTACCTCTTGTTTCTGATTATTTTGTCTTTCAATATTTACATTCACATTGCTTGTGTCTCCTCCTTGACTGTTTGAACCATCTAAACCTTCATAATGTACAGAAGTTGTTGAATGAGAGGAGCTACTTTTACTTTCTTTTAACCTTAATTAATTTTTTATTTAGTTGAGTATGTATGTGGGAGCTCTTTAAAGAAACCTCACAAAATTAAAGACTAAAAATTTGGGTTTGAATTATGAGGACTTTGCAAATTTCCAATCATTTTTCGTAAGTTTATTGAAGGAAAAGGAAAGGAAATATGTAGAAATTAAAAAACATTACTGATCAATGATATTTGAAGCTGTTAAACTAGAATATGTGTCAGTAAGTTTAGATGCTTCTAATACTTCAGTTAAAATTGCTTTGTCTCCCATTTTTATTTTAAAATAATTTTAAATAATAAATACATTAAAATATTTACATTTAAATATTTAAAAAAATATTTTGATCCTTTATTTAAAAAAATTGAATTATAAATTGAATTCATATAAAACGTGGAAATGAAAAAAATATAAATTGAGAATAAAGAATTAAAACATTTTTCTTTCAAATAAGGAATAAATGTTAAACAAACAAGAATTAATAAAAAAAAATTAAAAAAAATATTAATTTTTTCTAAAAAAATTCTGAAAATTATTTAACTATAGGTCAAATACATACGCTCAATTGACACGAGCTTAGTTGAATAATGGTAGATTCAGAAATACAAAAAAATATTAAAAGTACTTAGGATATAATTTTTTGTATATTTTATCATTTAAATTAAGTCAGGTAAAATAAATTTCTATTTAAAAAGAAAATCAAGAAAGAAAAATATTCAGAAAAACTTCATTATAGGAACATAAATAAAATAATATAATTAAATATGGAGAAGGTTGTTTAGCTAATTTTATATATCCAAAAACAAATAACCAGCCTTTAAAGGCAGACAGTTGGCATTTTTTCTTTCCCTTTTTTCCCAAAATACACAATATATATTTCCTTTCATTTTCATTTTTGTCTATTTTCTTGGCTTTAAATAAATGAAAATAGAAAAGAAATTCCAAGTAAAACAACCAAAAATATATTTTTCTCTATATGGAAGTATTTATCTATTTTTTATAGCATACACATAATGCTTACAAACTAGAATAATAAAAATTATGTAGTGGCAGAAACAGAATGAATGGCATTTTATTTTAATTTGAGTGAAAAAGAGGAAAATTTTAAATTAATTTTTATGTACCCAAAAGACCACTAAATTACAATGTGAAAATAATTAAAGAGAAAAATTTAAATAATTTAAATAATTTAATTTAATTTTTAAAATAAATTAAAACAAATCATGTTCCTAAGTATGTAATATTAAACCATTCTTGAGGTCCTAGATGTGATTTATTTCTTTAAATAACTTCTGCTATAGAATAGTATCTAATCTCTCTTCGCCAGATAAAGGTAGTTTGTAGATAATTGTAAAAGGATGATTAAATACGTAGCTTAATATAAATTATAAAGAGAGAGAATTTTAACAATAAAGAGGTAAGTAAAAAATTTTCTTCCGGACTTCCGACGGAATCCAGGTAGGTTTGGGAACGGGATTACCGGGATTAATCCCTCAGGATCCAATCAAGTACGAAATGTTGAGAAAAATCCAGTTATGTAATCCCAGGAATGCGATTTGCCGTCTCACTCATTTTAAATAATATTTTATCATTTTCCTTTTACTTTACTATTTAAGGACTAATTAGTAATTTAGGTTTTAAACAAAATTCAAATTTATGTAGAAAATTATGGGACTTCTCATCTTTTTCTTTTTGTTTGTATTTGTGTCAACAACAACCGCAAATGAAGCAACAATTAATGCGACAACAGAACCTTCCTTAATAGACGTCAATTCAAATCTGGTCGGAAACCCTCTAAAAACACAGAATGGAAGTATCATTAATCTCGTAAGTTTTTTAAAAAAATAAGCAAAGAAATAAATCAAAAAATTTATTTTAGTGTGCTCAACATGAATGTTATGAATTGTTAAAGCGTGAACTCGACTTGGTTGGGAATATTTCAAAAGGAGAAAGGGACTGTAAAGCGGCATTGGTTGAATCAGAAAGTGGCCATGAATTTTGGAAAGTTTTTGGAATTGTGTCTATTATTCTAACGATATTAAGTTGTTGCTGCTGTTATTGTTGTTGCTATTTTTGTTCTTATTTAAATTCTCGTGAGGAATATCGAGTCCGATTTTTCTCCTCAAATTAAGATATTGTAAATTGTTAGGATCTATTGTTTGAGTATGTATTTTATATTGTATTTATGTTATAACTTTGTGTGATAAATCTTTGTATAATGTAAAATGAAAAAAAATTGACTGGACTTTTTTGTAAATTAAGTGAAATAGTAAAGCATACGAAACATGCTAAAAATTAAAAAAAAACAATCTGATGCTTCTACAATTTAAAAAATTCCTGATCCTCCCAAAATAAAGTAATTTTAAACGCATTGAAAATTCCAGCGTTGAAATGGCTAATTAAAATGACATTTGATCCCATTTTTAAATCTTTCTCTCCCTACTTCTTATTATCTCTCGTTTTCTTGACTTGTCAAAGTGTCGGTGATTCATTTGTAGTTTTGTTGATAATTCTTATTTTATAATGTTTTTATAAATTAAATTTACTTAATTTCGATTAAAATTGACTGCCGGAATGGATCCAAATCTGAATGAAATGAATGTGGCTGAAGAGCATTTAAAGGAATCGTTGGAAGTTATGTATAGTGATATCTACAAAAAGTTTGTGTTTTTTATAATTTTATTTTTTTATTATTTAATTTAGATATATTCGAGATATCCAACGGCAAAGTTATTTATGTGCAGCAGATTGTTGTAAAAATTTGATTAATCAAAAAGATGTTGCTAAATGTTCTGAACAATGTCAGGATAAGCTTCGTAAAGTTTTTGACAAATTTGATCAGGAATCTGAGGCTATGAATGTTTGCTTTTAATTTTAAATAATTTAATTTTAAATTATTTTTAGAATCATTTGGCCAGAGGAATTATGTCATGGTAATTTTAATAAAATATTTCTAATTAAAATAGGCGGTAGAAGTTACTGAGATAAAATAAAAATATTCATTTGGGTTAGTAACATTCTAGTAACTTTTTTTGCTTTTGAATTTCTATTAATTAGAAGTTTCTTTTTAAAGTCAGTCATTCTACTGACTTTAAAAATATAATTTTCAATTCCAAATGTAATTATTTTTATAATTAATTTTAACGTTTATTTTTAGTCAAGAAAAGGAACGAAAGAAATATAATCGTGATTATGTTAAATTGAATCCTTCAGAGAAAAAGGAATTTGATGAAGGTTTTACTAAATGTGCTGTTAAATGTTTCGAAGAAAGTACGAGTGATTTGACTAAATTGAAGGAACGTTTATTGGCATTTGTTAAAGATATTTAGATAAAAATTGTTTTAGATAAGGTTGCAGCCTGATCCTTTGGGTTGAGAAGTCGGGAGTTTGACAAAATACTTGGCCAAAATGTGTTTTCTTTTTTTGTCAGGGTTAGTTTGTGTCGGGCTGCAACACTAGTTTTAGTGATTGAAGGTTATTTTTGAGTTTTTTCTTTTGTTATAGACCAATTTATTGTCTTTTTGAATAAAAATATTTTTAAAAAATTGTTAATTTAAATGTTTTTGGAACGTTGAAATATTTTAAAATTTTTTTAATCAATTTTTATTGTATAATTTTAGATAAGAATTTAAATAAACGATCAAAGATGCGACTTTGGCCATCCATTTTTGTTTTTATTTTAATGAGGATTTCACAGTGTTCAATTGTCAACATTGGAGATGACAAACCAATTGACCCCCTTAATGGTCGAATATGCGGTATTGGAGATATGAACAAAGACGGAAATACTGATTTAATTGTACAACAGCGTACTGGAAGTCAAAATAAATTAGTCGTTTATTTACAATCAGAGGGAGCGGAATTTCGAAATGGGACACAGCATATTGATTTGGGGAAAGATGGGAATGATGTTTTTTGTAATGTTGGAGATTTTAACGGAGATTCATGTCCAGACTTGTTTATTGTTTCGGTATGTCTTATATTTTCAATTTTTTCTATTGGGATTTATTGCTAGTTATTTTGTGATCGTTTATTAATTTTTATTATTAATTCGACCCCTATGATTGGCCCAAATTAAGTTTTTTTTGTCTTGTTTTGTAACTTTATTTTTTACAGAAAATCGATGATACAAGTGCCAGTTTTGTCAACAAAATTGCAAGCGTTTTCTCCTCTCGTCCTCCAACTCGTTATCAAGCAAAAGTTTATCTGAATGGAAGAAATGACAATTTTGTTGAACTACCTTTATGTTTTAAAACTACTGATTCTTCAAAATCTGATATTTGTACTCCTTATCAATTTATTGATCACCCAAGTCTTGTTGACATAAATGGAGATGGAATTACTGATATTATTGGATTTCAAGCAATAACGGAAAATTCTGACAAAAATGCCGCTACAAATTCTGAAAATTCTTTTGTTTGTCTTGCTGGAAATTTTCAAGAAGACGTTCATGGATTTGATTTGAAAATATGCAAACAAAATTTTCCTGTTCCAAGACAAGTTTTTACTGGTTTTACACCAATTTTTACTGATTTGGACAGAGATTTGTCTGCAGAATTAATTTTTGTTGATCAAGAAGAGAATAACTCAAGTGGACAGAAAAAACGTTTAGTTGTTTGGAAATACAAAGAATTTACTGATAGGTAAATAATTTTTATTTAGAATAATTTATAAATTAAATTTTTAAGTGATCATTTTAAATGGGAATTAAATAATGAACTTACTGTTGACTTTCCAAATACAGAAAAGTCACAATATTTAGCAAGTCCATTAGTTGCCGACGTTGACTCTGATGGTTTCCAGGAAATTCTCGTTCCCTTATGTGACAGTAAAGAATGCACTTCAGTCTCTACTATTTGGTGTTATAAATTTAATGAAACACTTAACAAAGCACAATGGCGGACAATCGCTTTAGACTTTGGAAATCAGGTTTTCAACAATTCCTAACATTATAATCGTTTTTTATTTAGAAAGCAACCATTTTTCCTGAAGTGGACGGAGATACAAGAGTGCTTTTCCGAATTGGCGATTTTTCTCAAAATGGTTTTCCTGATTTAATTGCAACAATTTCTCTATCTGGTGGAATGAAAGTACCTTTGATTTTGGAGAACGTTATCGATACTAATACAGCTGCAAATTTTAATAGGTTTTATTTCAATTATTAATTTAATATATTCTTCTAATATTTTTTAAAGAAAATATGAACTTTCAAAAAAGCCGCAAAGAATTCTTCAAAAAGATGTGCAAAATGTTCGGCTATCTGCATTTTTTGATTTAAAGGAGGATGGAAATTTGGATATTATGTACGAATATGAGGGACCTAATGGACCAATGATCAATTTTATTAAATGTGACGATAAAGGCGATACAACTTTCTTGAAAGTACAAATCTTTACTGGTCCTGAATGCTCTTCCGGACAATGCTGTGATCCTGAAACTGAATCATCTAGACGAGTGAAAATTGGTTTATTTTAATAAAAAGTTTTATTTATAACTTTGTTTTATTCAAAGGTAGTGGAATTGCTTGGCAAGGTGCTTGTGTAAGTATTCGAATGGCTGATTCTGGCCAAGGTTTAATTGAACAAGGGATGCGTAATGCTCTTCAATGTCAAATTCCTCAAACATCTCACCGCATCTTACACAATCCTTTTGTGCTTTTTGGCCTTAGCCGTTCACCTAATTTTGTTGAAGAAGTTCATTTAGGTGGTCCTCGATGGCCAGAACTAGGCAAACTACAGAAGGACTTTATTAGACAAATTGTGCCTAATTCCCGAGTTATTGTGATTCCCCCTGGACTACAGGACAGAAGCGCAAATTGGACAAGTAGACTTTATGTTACTCCTTCGCGTTTAATTATTCTTTCTATGTTTGTTTTTCAATTAAAAATTTTAGAATTAAAATGAATATTTATTTTTAGATTAGTTATGGTTTCTATGTGCATCATTTTACTAGTTTTAATTGCCGCTCTACATTTGCGTGAACGACAACAAGATAAAAAGGAAAGACAAGCTCAAACTCATCGATTTCACTTTGATGCGATGTGATATAAAAATTATTTTATTAAATTTAAAATGTGTAAATATCCCATTTCCTCAAATTTTTCTATAATTTTTTGCTGTTCATTTCATTCCATGCTAACATGAGAAAATATTTGCCTTATAAAGGATTGTCGCCAGATCTTTAAAGTTACTTTGGGAAATTTTAATTTTATTTATAATTGTGTTATTCTGGCGATTACCCTTTGTATAATTTTAAGGAGTAGACCAATTACCGCAGCACATTGCACCGCATGGATGTAATTTTGTTTAAAATTTGAACCCGGATGCCCTAAATGGGTTGATTCAGCTTGTCGACGAGCATCAACCCTTGATTGTTATTCTGAGATTCCTGCGGTGCATCAGAGTGCCACCGGTTTTTCTCTATTTTTGTGACCTTTCCCGATGGTTAGTCTCATTTTCTAAAATTCTTAAAACCGTTTAAAATCATTTTTTAATTATATAGTTTGCTACATATTCTTATTATTCATCTAAATTGTCCTATTTTCATTGCTTTACATTTAATCTATTTTATAAAAATTTTAGAATTACTTAGTATTCATGCAAATGTTTTTATTCACTTTTATATTTTTTCTTTATTGTTTAATTAAATCTTTAATTTCTTTGAGATGCTCATCTCTCGCCGGTTTCTTCATTCTTCTTTTAATCGTTTGAAAGATTATTATAAAATACTTGGTGTTCCTAAATCAGCAAGTGATTCTGAAGTTAAAAAGGCTTATTATCAGGTTTAAAATTCTTTTTAAATCGGAATATGATTATGTTATATGTTTTTCAGTTGGCCAAGAAGTACCACCCAGACGTCAACAAAGAAAAAGGTGCTAGTGAAAAATTTCAAGAGCTTTCTGAAGCGTATGAGGTTTGTTTTAAAAATTTGATTTTGGATGACGGTAAACTAATCATAAAACACCTTTATTTCAGGTCTTGAGCGATTCGAAGCGGCGTTCTGAATATGATAATTTTGGTTCAGCTGCTTCTGGTGGACCTCGGGCGGGCGCTGGTGGCAGTCCTGGCCAAGGAGGATTTGGCGGGAGTTGGGAATTTCGTTCAGGGCGTTCGGCTGAACAAATGTTTATTATTTTGTTTTTAAGTTTTAATATATTTTTTAAGATTTCGTGAAATCTTCAGAGATTTTGATCCTTTTGGGAAAGGTGGATTCTCTACTAATCCACGCGGTCAATTTGCTGAAAGTGGTTACGGATTTGATGCGGCACAGGAAGCTGCAGGTTTGTAAATATAATTCTAACAATTTTAAAAGATAATACTTTTAGTTAATATCACATTTGAGGAGGCGTGTAGAGGTGTTCGTAAAGATTTGAGAATAAATGTTGTCGACGCTTGTGGCGCATGTAAAGGAACGGGAGTTGAGCCGCCATATAAAAAGGTATTTATCTTAAGCATTTTTTATAATAATTGAAAGATAAAAGTTAAATTACAATATTAGTATTGAAAAATAATGTGAGTGGAAAATTATGTAATGTAAACTCCGAACCGCTTAAAATTAACCGATTGTGTGCTTTAAAATTGACAAAACAAAGCTTCGTATTTCTCAATTATTTCAAAATTATTTTTAGGTTTCTTGTCCTTATTGTAATGGTACTGGAATGGTAACTCAACATACACAAGGATATTTCATTCAAACAACCTGGTATCTATATATCGATCCTATAAATAAAAGCACAAATTATAATTAAGCTCTCGTTGTGGTGGGCATGGATCTTATAATAAAAATCCTTGTATTGAATGTGAGGGGCATGGCCATTCTGTTCAGCAAAAAGCTTTTACAATTGATATACCTGCTGGAATTGATAGTGGACAGATTTTGCGTACACAAGTTGGAAGGGTAAAAAATAATTTTTGTAAAATTAATTTTAAATTTCTATTCTTTCAGTCAACAATTTATGTTGTTGTCAACGTTTCACCTTCACGAATACATCGACGTGAAAGTGAAAACATTTTTACTGATGTTGAGATAACTTTTACTCAGGCAGCATTAGGAGGTACTATCGACGTGCCTGGAATTGTTGGAACATCAAAAGTGCATATTCCGGCTTGTACTAGTTCTCATACACAAATGTGCCTTAAAGGGAAGGGAATTAAACGGCTTGATCAGCCTGGACATGGAGATCAAATTTTGAACATCAAAATTGGAATGCCCAAGTGGGGAAGATTTTTTATAGACAATTATTTTCGTATTATAAATCCCTTGACACTTACTTTAATAATATATGCATATATACTTAGTTTTAAGCAACGAAAATAATTTAAAGAAATTTAGAATTTTATTTTTCGAAATTTGTAATTAAATTTCAAATATTTTCTTTTAATTAAAAAATTTTCTTTAGGAAATTATCATCAAAAGAAAAGCATTTGTTAATGGAAATTGCTAGAAATGAATCAGGTCGTTCAGGATCAGTTGATGGAATGGATACTGAAAGAAGTACTGAAGGAGGAAATACATCTAGTGATAAAAGTGAAGAAGGGGGAAGTGGAGGATCTTCAAAATTTTCTTTTTCACCTGAAAAAATACTTAAAAGTTTTATCAAATAATAATTCATGTTTTACACAAATTTTTGTTTATTTACAAAAATTGTTTGTTTTATTGTTGCTTTTATTTTAATATTTTAGGTTTTGCTCTCTATTTCTTTTTTAATTCGTTTATTGTTTTGATCAAAATATTTTTTAAACGGATTTTTGTTATTTTTTGTTAGAATCAACAAATTATCCAAAAAATAAATTCTATTTTAGAGGGAAAAATATATTGGGGTTTAAATGACGTTTTTTAAAGCCTTCCGGAGGATTATCCGTTATAGAGGGAGGAGGTTGGATATTTCCAAAACAAACTATTATTGTAATTCTTTTGTCATTTTCCCTATCTGCTCCGTTTATATTCACCGTTTTTATTTTAACATTGGTGAATGGGGCGAAACGGTTCCGGTGTTGATTTTGTTGAGACTTTCATTGCCACTTAAGAACAACCGTTTGGCGCCATGAAAGTTTACACAAAAATAATACTTTGCCTTTCATTGCAACCATTTGTGTATATTTATAATGCAATTTACAAGCGTGAGAATTTTAAAAAGTTAAATACACTAATTTCTGTTCACCTTTAAATTAGTTTCTACAAAAATTTCCAAATTTTAATAGATAATCCCCATCATGTATGTATTGATTTTAGCAAATTTTTACAATTAAAATTCCATGTTTTTTTCCTAAATACCGCCTTTTTAAGTTTAGAAATATATTTCATAGATCTGTTCACAAAGATAACAAATGCGGTTGAAAAACTTTTTTGCTTGCTTAAAAGTTTTTTGTTAAATGATCGCTGCTTTGATTTGGCTCAACGGAAATGACTACAATTGTTTATGGGAAGCAATGGAATTAATGAAAAGGGCTTAAATATTTACTTCCGATTTAGAACACCCAGTTTTTTTTCTTCGCATATCTAAAACTACTTTGTATATTTATATATTTAGTCCAAATCAGTTTTAACATTCTATCTAATTTATTTTTTAAATCATTCCGTCACTCCCATTTACACATTTAAGATTGAATGACTAATAAGGGTTTAATACCTATATTTATACCGGATTTACTATCACCATACAATAAACAAAACATATATACAAACACTAACAATAGAATATAGGGGAAAGATATACACAATGAGAGAGGCAATTAATTATTCAGCCAAAAAATCCTTACAATACAATATATTATCACAATCTTCTTACAATTCTTTCCTTCATTTCTTCTTTCCCTTCTTGCTGCCGAGACTTGCTGCGGTCTCCGCTGAGCGCGTCTTAGCGGACTTGCCTCCTTTGCCTCCCTTAGCACCCTTCGCTGGGCTCGGTCCAGATCCCGCATCCGGTCCAGCTCCTGCTCCACCCGCAGCTTTCTTCTTGTTCAGAAACTCGCTTAAGGCCTGAAGAAAAAAAAAACAAAAATTATATGTTTAACTAACTAAGGCAAGGGAATTAAATTAAAACAAAAAACTCACAAATCCAGCAGCGCCGAAGATCAGAGCAAAGATGATGTACATCAAGAACCCCATTTTTGTTTGTAGAGATGTGAAGAGTTTGGTAAGGACGATGAAGATTTTTGGGTTTTGTAGTGTTGTTGAGGATATTGGCGAGACTAGGCTTTTATACTAACTACTCTTATCAAACATTTAACGTCCATTCTACATTTATGACAATTTACTTAATATATTATCAAAATACATTAAATTTTAAGAAAAGTCCCCACATTAATATCCAAAAATATAGACTACTAACAACATATAATTATTACTTTGAATGAGTTTTAAAGAAGAGAACGTCCGCCGGAATTTCTATAAAGAAATAAAAATACTATGTAGAGGTTCTTTTCTTTAATTTTTTTTGCTCTTCTTTGCGGCTTTTTTTAGTCTTTTCTTATTTCAGTTTTTTGTAAGGATGCGCGAAAATAATGAGACAGCATTATGACTTTTTCGATCCAAATAAAAATAAGGAGGAAATTTAACATTTTATTTTTATTTTCAAATTTTTTAACATAATTCTTTTTAAAATAAATATAATCTAATTACTCTAATTATTTTATTTTTCTTTTAAATAATTAAAATATTATATTACTGTATTTTTAAATTAAAAATCTTCAGATATCCTAACCATAACGAAAATATTCGAAAATTACTGCAGTAATATATATTAATTAATATGCCGCTAATAAAAATTACATGGAGAACTGGGGAAAATTCTGCAACGGAGTGAGGCGAAGAGAGGAATTTTCAAAAATGTCTCAAATTCCCCGACTTTCGGGAGCGAGAATTTTCGATTTATTGTTTTTTTAAATTAAAAATATTTTTTTATTAAAAAAATTTATTTTTTAATCTCTCCACATATTTATCATTAACCACAAATTCTTTTATTTTTCATTCAAATCCCAAAAATCATTTTCCCAAGATCCATCGACCATAAAAGTATTAAAAATAAAGAATTGAATGACCGGTCAAAGAAAAATAAATATATTTTCTGTTTGAATTCTTTCTGTAGCATCCGGTCACTTTTCCAAAAAAATTCCCATAGCCGTTCCATTTGGCCGATTCTTTTTTTAATTGTTTTCTTCTTTTTCTATTGTTTATTTTTATTGTTTCACAAATTAATTTAAATAATTATTTAATTTTTATTTTCTTTTTCTTTCTGCCATTCTCTTTAATCATTCAGGCGGCAGACAGAATTTTAATAAAAAATATTTACTTTAATTTAAAACACAAAACACAGCAAGGGGATTGACTCTGGAAATCAAGATTGTTGTTATCCCTTCAACCTTTCCTCGACTGTTAGTTTTCTTTTTGAATTAGACTGGGAAGGAAAATTTACCGGCCTTATAGTACAGTGAATTAATTTATTTTTAAATTTTTTGGGGAATTAGGGCTGTAAACTAGACATGTTGGGACCGGTACCGCAAAAGTCACTACTTTATATTTTTTAACATTTAATTTAAAATTAATTTTAATAAGAATAAATAATTTTTTCCTACATATTAATTTTATAAACTAAATATCCAATCAGAACTCGCGGCCATTCCCTCACCATTATATATTTTCTCTGTTATTATTACTCAAAGACAACCGTAGTTTATTTCTCGATTCTCTGTTATTTTTATATCTAAAAATATTTATTTTCTCTATTTTTAATTAAACTTTTTATTCAAATATTCTTTTTTATTTTAAAAACATTTTTTAATTTTTTAAAAAGAAAATCCTTTTTTACTTTTTTACAAAAAATTACTAAAAGCCTTTTCTCTCTCTAAATTTAATTTAAAAAATGACATTTTGTTAATCTAATTATTTAATCTTTAAAAAAATATTTATTTACTAAAAAACTGTATTTATTTATTTACTATATATATAACCAGTTTTTATATATTCCAACTATCTAGAAATATTTCTACATTGCAACGGATAAATTGAGTGCCTCTGTCCCTCTCTTTCCCGCCCCCTTTTCTCAAATACTTAAAAATAATTGCTGTATTTATTTATTTATTAGCTGGTTGTTGCGCGATTTCTTAAATTTGGAGAAAAGGAAAAAAATATTTTTAAGGATTAAAAATAAATAAAAAGAAAAGTAGTAATTGAGACTAAAAAATTGAGGAGGAGAAAAATGATGTTTAAAAAGAAAATTAATTTTTAAAAATAAATTAAACTTTATTTTTCTTTTAAAATTAACAACAGAAAACTTTAATTTCCTCTAAAAATGCGCGAACAATTATTTTATTGCCCCTAAAATTATTTATTTGACCTTTTTTATATTAACTAAAAGTCTCCCCCCTCAATTAATTACATATTTATTTTCTCTCCCCCCTCAAACTCTTCTTTTTTGATCTTAATTATTTACTTTCTTTTAAGAAGAATATTTCTTTTGTTTTTAGTTCTCTTGACTTTTTTGTTTTTGACTCTTTTGTGCCAATAAGTAAAGAATAGGTATATTTTTTTTAAAAGTAAAAGGATTGGTAAAAAGGTTAAAAATAAATTATTTTTTATTTTTATTTTTTGCCGCTTTTTACTTGGAAATTATTTTCACAAAATTTTTTAAAAGAGGAAATACTTTCAAGTATTTTTTTTTGATTTTTTAAAAATATTCTCTCGAAATATTTTTTATTAACTTCCTTTATTTTTTCTTTTAAATAAAACCGAAATTATTGAATAATAAAGGAAGGAGAGAAGAAAAAACATGGAAATATGTTGTTTAAATAAATAAATAAAATTTGTTAAAATAATTTATGATAGTTGAGATTTTCTGTAATTAATTATCTTTTTTTCTTAAAATAATTAAAAATAAATCTCTAATTTTATTTATTTTTTTTATTTACCTCATAAATATATTTTTAAAAAACTTTATTATTTTATTATTATCAATTAAAATTCCTCACATTTTTCCTCTAATTACAAATTTTCTTAAATTATTTATAAAGGCGCCAACCTGATTTTATAGCTTGTAATTAATGATATTTCGGAATTAATTATGTGTGTATGTATGTATGTAGTTTAAATATATTTTTATTTTCTTTTAAAAATTTTTCTAAAATTATTTTATTTAATATTTTCATTTTTTTGTTTATTTTCTAGTTTTTTAATACCGTTTCCACACAAAAACATTTTACACTTGAAACGGCCTCCTCCTTCCCCTCCTCCCACCCTCCTTCCTCTTTTCTCTCTTTCCTGCCATTAAAAACAGAAAAGAAGGAAGATGCTCGACCTTGAGGTGAAGAAGAAGAATAAAAGGAGGCTATTTACGCGCTCGCCTTTTTTGTTGTCATTCCTTCCCTTCCCTTCCTTTACTTTTCAGGAAAGTTATTTCATCCTTGAAAGGCGGAAGAAGTTTTGTTGAAAATAAAAGAAAATAATCAAACAAAAAAAAAATAATTTTTTTTTGTTAAGGAATGTGCTCATGAAACTTATTTTTAAAAGAAAAGTCTGTAGAGCAATTAAAGATTATAGAGGGAAAAAAAGAAGAAAAGAGTTTCACGAGAAAATAAAAATATAATCGTGCCAGTCCCCTCCTTTTCCGGAAATTTTAAAATAAAATATAAAAAGAAAAGTAAGTAATTATTTCTATTAATTTTCTTCTTCTCTTCACAACACAGTAAATTACTTTGGCGACTTACCGGTTGATGCACACAATTTTTAATTATTTTCTGATTTTGGCCGTCTTTTTAAAGAAAAATAAGGATTTTTTCTTTCAAACTGTCTTTTTATTTCTATCAAAAACATTATTTTTTCTGTTAAAAAACTGTCTAAGACTTGATATATTTTTTAAAATTTATTTATGAAAATTTAGGTATATTTCAGGGGTGTGATATTTCACCGTTCGCCAAAATTCCGCCTTTTTGGACTTTCGCTTTCCGTCTTTCGGTTTTTAAAATCTGTTTCGTCACATCCCTGGTATATATTATATCATTATATTTCGATAATATTTTTAAAAAAATAAAGAAAATTTTTTTATATATTTTTCTGATAATTTTTCATTCTTTTATTTGTTAGAGGTTTGAAAAAAAAGTAAAGTAGAAGAAAAGGCCGTATAGTGTAACTGTGTTTAAGGTCCTTTCTCTTCGTTGATTGGCTGCCGCTAAATTATTTGAGAGAAAGATGTGTTAATTCCCTCCCCTCCCTTCCCCCTTTTTTTCTTTTACTTAGGCCTGGTAACAACTTTTATTTTATTCCAGTTAAATATATGTATTTCTCTCATTCTTCCATCTTTTATTTTCCGTTCTTCAGTCTTTAATCGTTGCTATTCTACAAAAAAATTTTCTTATGGTAATTTTAATTTTTCAAATTTAATTTTTTTTTAATTTTAAAAATAAAAATAAATTTATTAAGTTTTAGTAATTATTTAAAATGTTCCCTCAACTAACCCCACCAATCCTTCCATTTCCAACTTGTTTAATTCCCCCTCATCAATTTATTTTACAAAAAACAAATAATAATTTAATATTTTCACCAACAAAACAACAACAAATAATTAATAATTTAAATAATTATCCGCAAAAATCATTAGAAATAATAAAATTTTTAAATCAAATATATTTTAATAATAACAATACAACAACAAATGAAATTAATAACAAAACAAATTTTATTTATTCTTTACTTTCTTTAAAAGGTTTTTGAAATTTATTTGCCCCCCCCGTTAAATTTTGTTTTTTGGATCTCGAACATTTTTGGGCTTAAACCTTTCCTTTTTTGAGCTTCTATGTTTTTTTGAGTAAATGATGGATTTCTGAAATTCTGAAAAATTGCTGTAATTAGCTAAAAATTAATAAACTGACTCAGACCCAATGGCTATATTTCCTAAACACTAAAAATTGATAAGGAATTCTAAACTAACTACAAAAATAAAGAGAATTCAATACACTCCTTCTCGGAACTCGTGTCATATATTTTTGAAATATTTCGTTTTTTATTCTGTATAATAAAATATTTTTTCTTAACAAAAATATTATTTTAAAGGATTAACAACACCAACATTAGAATTAGCAGAAAATACCTCTATAAATTTACTTCAAAATTCTCTTTTAAAATCAACAAATTCAGAAATCTTAAAATCCACAATTGGGCCAACAAAAACATTAAAAAATGAAAACATAAAGAATTCCCCAGTTATTTCCCCGTCTTCTTCAGCATTTTTTGTTGAACGTTTATTACCCCAAACTCCAACAAAAAATAAAGAAATTAATAGTTTATCGCCAACAGATTCATCATTAGCTACAAATTCTTTTAAAGATAATAATATTCCACCACTTCAGCGTCTTTCCCAACCGTCAGCCATATTTCCTGTAAAATTTTTTTTTGCTAAATTTGAATATATCTTCTTTCTAAGTAATTAAATACTTTTTTTATTTTTAACAATCCAATATCTTTCCTGAATCAGAGTCTAATAATTCCTTTATTTATTTTATTCAGAATCTGCCTTTATTGCCACAAACAACTTTAGTAAATGTAGCAGCTATTGCCGCAAAAAATGCTTCAACATGTAATTGGGAATATGTAAATGGAGGTTATGGGGTTAAAAATCCTTTACTTCAAAATGTACGGATGGAGAACTTTGAGGAGTTAAATAATTCTAAACCTTCAATTAAGTAAGTTTTTTAAAAAACTTCTACCACTTTTACATTATTTTCAAGAAATAGATAAGTTTGTAGTCTTAGAATATGTACTAACCTAATTTGTGAATGTCTTAAAAATTTATAAGACAACCGAAAACAAAACAATAAATAATAGCAAGATTAGATCCGACAATTGATGTATAGACATTGACCTTTAAGCGGGATAACTTCCCTAATCAAAAATCCAAAAAGTCCTCGAAAGAATTTTAAATTAAAACTATAATTGTTTACTTTTCAGTAAAATCTCTTGTGAATCAAAATCTAATAATTCTTCCTCTTTAAGTTGTCATACATGTGGAAAGGTTTTTTGTTAATTTAAAATTATTTTAAAATAATTTTAAATTTTTTAAAAGAAATTCCACTTACAAAGGCTATTAAATAGACATATAAAATGCCATTCTGATCTCAAACGTTATCTTTGTACATTTTGTGGGAAAGGGTTTAATGATACTTTTGATTTAAAAAGACATACAAGAACACATACTGGTTAATTTAAAAAATAAAAAATATTTTTTTAAATTTTCTTATTTTAAAAAGGTGTCCGGCCTTATAAATGTAATTTGTGTGAAAAATCCTTTACTCAACGCTGTTCTTTAGAATCACATTTAAGAAAAGTACATGGCCAAAGTCATTCTTATGGTTATAAAGAAAGAAGAAATAAAGTGTTTGTTTGTGAAGAATGTGGATTTACTGCTCCAAATTATGATGATTTTGTTGGACATACACAAAGATTACACCCTTTAAGTGCTGCGCTAATTAAACTCAAAAATAATAATTTAAATAAAAGAATAGTTAGTAAATGAAAGGAAATAGAGGAGAAAATAAAGATAAATTTAAAAAAAATAGCAAAAATACTTTTATTCACGTTTAGCAATTTTTATTTACAAATTTTTTATTCATTTTGGTTTATTTTGATAATAAATTTTAAAAATTATATTTATGCTTAAGCTTGAGTATTCAAAAATATAAGAGATACAAGCTTGGCGTGGAAAGATTAAGGGATTATAGATTTTTAATAAATTTAAAGTTTTCTTATGTAATTATTTTTAAGGTTTAGGGATACGCAGTTGTGTAGTTGGAAAATAAAAAAAAGTAGATTAAGGTATTAGTTTGGTTTGGACCCCCTTATTTTTCCTGTTTCCCTGGTCATTTGAATGATACAAAGATAGGTTAGATTCGGTGATTCTGAACAAAATTGTAATTTGTGTCTGCAATAGTGATGGTCGGGAGTTAGAAAAGCCGAAAGTCGAGACTGAGAATCAACCCCGAGACCGAGAGATTAAGAGGTATATCATTAGATGCCTCTCATAATCCCCAAAATCCCTTGAATCCCCAAATCAAATACACCTCTTACTCCCTAAATCTCTCGATATCCAGCATAGTCCACTGACACAAACGGCCATAACTTTGTTGATTTACCTAAGCCAGATTTCGTTGGTGTTTGGCTTGCGTATAAATGGATAATTGGCGAATAAATTGGCCAACAATGTCCCGCGAATAAATGGGGTGTCTGCCTAAACTGCGCAAGTTCCAGTTTTTCTTTCACGTTCCTTTTTGTTACATTTGCTAGATTTTTAAAGAAGAATATGTCATATGATATTGAAGAAACCATAAAAAGGATTCAATCACAAAAAGGCGTTGTTGGTGTAATTATTATGGATAATATTGGTAAATTATTTTAAAAATTACAATTTAAAAAATATTTTTTAGGAAGAGCAATTCGTTCAACTTTGGATGATGAAACTACAAATCAACATTCATTATTACTTCATCAATTATGTGATAAATCAAAAAATACTGTGAAAGAAATGGATGCTTCTAATGATTTGACTTTTTTGCGTCTTCGAACGAAGAAAAATGAAATTTTGGTTGCCCCAGATAAAGGTTTTGTTTTGTAAATAAAAAAAAGAAATATTTTTTTATTTTTAAGAGTATATGATTGCGGTTATTTACAAGGCTCCTGCTTAGTTAGAATATTTTAAATTTGCATTTTTTGTTCATATTTTGTTGGATTTTTCCTTTTAAATGATAAAATATAAACAAATAATTTGTTGAATAATTATGTATTAAAATATAAAAGATTAACTGTTGTTTTTGACTATTATCTAATAATTTTTAATTTATTTTTGTTTAGATACTTTTAATTTATTCTTAGAATAAGTTTGACATAATGTCATGGATATTTGGATTTAAGCAACCCCAGCAGGCTTCTGTTCCTCAAGATGGTGCTTCTCTAGAAAATGGTTTGGTTTTTTATTAATTGTCGAATGTTTAAATTGTTAATTTAAACAATTTTTTAGATAATCGTAGTCAAGCTGCCGGGTCAGCTCAACAGCAACAAGAAATAGGTGCAAAAACAGCCTTTTCTTTTGACTCGACAGCTCTCGAAAGAGCAGCCCAGGCAGCAAAGTCGTTGGAAAAATCTTCAAATGCAAAACAGGCTTTGGAACTTAGTCGATTGCAAGAGGTATCAAAACAAAAAGAATATGAACTTCAACAAAAGGTTTTTTTAAAGTTTTTAAATTTTTAAATTTAAATTTAGCAAATTGAATTGCGTATGGCTTCAATACAATCTGAAAACATTCGAGTAGCTGAAGAAGAGAGACGAAAAACACTTATTGAAGAGACAAAACATTCTAGAGCGGTTATTTTTAAATTAATTTAAAATTATTTTTTGTTATTTTTTGTAGCGTGCTGATTATCAAGATCAATTGGCTCGTAAACGACAGGAAGAAGATGCAGCTATTAAAGCTAGATTGCAAGAAGAGTCACTTAGAAAACAGGAGGAATCAATTAAAAAACAGGAGGCGATGCGTAAAGGTTTGCTTTTGGATTAAATTAAAAATTGTTTTTAAATCCTGATAGTTATTTTAACTGTTTTTTCTAGTAAAACTAATTGTTTTATCACTTCATCCTCATCTGCCCAGATATTCCATAAAATTCTGGATTTATTTTTATCTTTTTTTAGCAACAATTGAGCACGAACTTAGCCTCAGACATAAACTCGATTTAGAACGCATTGAAACTGAGGTTAAAGCAAAAACAAAATCAGCGCGTGAAAATCGAGACGTTAATTTGGAGATGATGCGTGCAAGTGAAGAGGAAAGACGTAAGACAATTATGGAACAAATTAGAACTGCAGGAGGTGTTCTTGGCGCTGGTTTTCAAGAATTTATTGGAGATAGGACAAAAATTGCGACAACTGTATGTTTCTTATAATTAAATTGATTTAATTTTTTAAAGCTGTAACATCGTAAAATTAAAAGTACATATCTCTTTAAGTTTACTAGCAGATCCCTATAATTTTAAGATTTTCTGTTTAGATTTTGTTTCAAAAAATGCTAGGAGTCCTTTGCCTGTTTCGAAGTTGTGCCGTTTTCGTCAGAAAATTTTTAACAAAATTCAGCTACCAAATAATTAAATTTAAAAATTAGAATTAATTTTAGGTTGGTGGCCTAACACTTCTTGCTATTGGTTGGTATTCTGCCAAAAGGGGAACAGACGTTGTTGCTCGTTATGTTCAGGCTCGTTTGGGAAAACCTTCCTTAATTCGCGAAACCTCTCGAATGACACCTTTTGAAGTAGCAAAGCATCCTTATTCGGCTTTAAAACAAATTTTTAGACGTGGTGATGATCCTTTAAAAGGAATTATTTTAAGTGTATGTTCTCTAATTTATAATAAAATTAATATATAAATTTTTAAGCCAAAATTAGAGTCTCAATTACGTGATGTAGCAATTACAACAAGCAACACTAAACGAAATTATGGCCTATTCAGGAATGTTCTTTTGCATGGACCACCTGGGACAGGAAAAACTATGTTTGCAAAAGTGGAGTTTAACATTTTGAATTTAATTAAAATATTCTGTCTCATCTATCGGCTTCGTTTTTCCATCCTACAATCGTTTTTGTTACTCATATCCACTAAAGAAATTATTCTCTCAATTTTCCTCTTTAATTTTACAAATGTTTGGATGCTATCTTTATCTTTTTATTCTAGAGTTTAGCACGTCATTCTGGACTTGATTATGCAATAATGACGGGTGGTGATGTTGCACCAATGGGTAGAGATGGTGTTTCTGCAATACATAAAATCTTTGATTGGGCTCAAACTTCAAGAAAAGGCCTTGTTTTATTTATTGATGAAGCTGATGCATTTTTACGTAAACGAAGTACAGAACAAATAAGTGAAGATATGAGAGCTACTTTAAATGCTTTTCTTTTTAGAACTGGAGAACAATCAAGAAAGTAATTTGAAAAATAAATTTTTTTTGAAGAAAAATGTTTTTTTGTTAGGTTTATGTTAGTTGTTGCTAGTAATCAACCAGAACAATTTGATTGGGCAGTTAATGATCGTCTTGATGAACTTGTTGAATTCGATTTACCTGGTTAGTTTAAATTAGAAATGAAACAAAAAATGGGATATCTTTGTTTGATTTTATTAATTCGAATGCGACCAGAAATCTTTTCGAAATTTAATGTTAAAAAATTTTAAATAATTTTTTGTCTAATCTGAATTATCCATGCTCAATATATTTTTGTGCTTATTTTAATTGTAAAGCATATAGCTATTTAATTTCCTAAGGCTGAGCAGTAGGCGGCGTGGTGTAATGGCTAACACATCAGTCCGGTCTACTGAAGATGCTGGTTCGCTCCCAGCCGCCGAATAACCTTTTGCACTAGCTAAAGGAGAGAAATAGCTATAGCCCAGCTGCTTTACTTAATCAACAATTATTTCATCAAAATAAATTAATCAAATAAATAATTTTAATAATTTCAAGGTGATGTCGAAAGAGAAAGACTTTTACTTCAATATTTTAAAGAATATATTGCTGACCCAGCAACATCTGGGTCACGGCGGCAACGTCTTAAACTTGGAAATTTTGAATGGATTCCAAAAATGCAAGAAATTGCTGAAAAAACAAAAGGAATGTCTGGTAGAGAATTGTCAAAATTAGTTTTTGGATGGCAGGTAAAAATATATAATTTAAATTATGGAATTTATTTCAATTTTTAGGCATCTGCATATGCATCAGAAGATGGTATTTTAACTTCAAAAATGATTGACGAATATAGTGATCAAGTAATTAAACAACATAAACGAAAAATGGAATGGTTGGCAGCTGAACGTGGATTAGAACAAAATAATCAAATTTTGCCGGAACAACCAACAATTACGAAGGGAAAGAAGAAAAAAGAGAATTAAATTATTTTAATTTAGCCTTTTGTTGTTGATTTTATTTTATTTATTTGTTACACTTTGACAATTTTTGGGTTTAGATTGATTTTGGAAGTTTGGAAAAAAAATTTTATCTTGATCTCTCCAAGTCTTTGTTTACCCAAAAAAATATTTTTATTGCTCAATTTGTCACATTTAAAAATTAAAAAAAAAATAAATTATCAAAATTAAGTATTTTGTGTTCTTTCAATGTTTAAACAAAAAATTTAGAATCTGAACACTAAGTACTAAAAGAGAAAAGTAAAAAAATGGCAATAAGGAATTTTAAAATAAAAAGGAAAAAGAGATTATTTTTAATAAATGGAATTAATAAAAATTAATTTAAAATTGAAAAAATAAATTGTTTGAGAAAAAAATGTTTATTAAATGAATTGTTTGAAAGACTTAACCATTCTGGTTAGTTGAGACAAAAAAATTAAAAATATATTTAATTATGAATGTTTAAATAATTTAATTAAAAGATTATAATTAAAATTATTAGAGAATAAATACAAATAAATTAATTATTAAATATATAAAGATTGCACATTAGCTCGGCCAATTAAATATAAAAAAATAAATTCAAAAAAGTGTTGAAAGACAAGGGTTTTTATATTTAAGTTGAGAAGGGAATGTTTAGGAAAGAAAGAGGTTATTTTAAGTTTTTTAAATAAAGTGGTAAACAAAATAAATTAAAATTGGCAAATTAAATATATTAAAATTAAAAAAAAAGGCATAATAAATTATAAAAAGGAATGGCAGTGAAATATTATCGACAAATTAAAAATTAAACAAATAAAAAGTGCTGAAGGTTAGGCAGGCAATCAGCTGGTTAAGAATTAAATATAATAAGTAAATTTTGAAAAGGAAATAAGTGGAAGCTCTACATAACGTCGTCCCCTCCCAACGTCACTTCCCTGTTGGCCTGAGTGGTGACGTTACGTATATAGAGATTCCACTGTATTTAAGTTCGGCTTTTAATTGGCAGGGAGGACTTAACTAAAAAAGTAAAAGAGGGATTTAGGTTAGAGTACGGAGAAATCCCCAAAACTTTATAATAAATTCTTGGAATCCTTTCCCTCCCCCTCCTTACAAAAAAGCCGAACCTTTAAATAAATTGAAATTCTTTTAAATAATTTAAATTATTTATTTGTTGTGAAGAAGAAAAATTATTTTTTTGTAATAATTTAATAGCTAAAGTATTTCTAGCAAAATTCGCGGCTTGTAAAAGTTGTTCAATTAATTCTGAATTTTGTTTTAAATTATTATTTAATTGTTTAGGTTGTTGAGGAGAAGGAAGTATTTTTATTGTATTTATTTCTTCCTTTTTATTTTTTTGTTGAAGACTATTAAATAATTCTCCAATTTCTTGTCCAAAATATTTTTGTGAATTATTTGAATATTTTCTTTTTAATGGTACTGGAGAATTTGAAGAATTCTGAAAGAAAAAAATAAATAAAAATTAATTTATTTTTCTAGTCTTAATTGTAAAATCAGGGAGGGATTTTTCTATGTTTAAAGAAAATTAGTGGAGTAAATCTCACTTACTTGTCATTGACTTTTTATCTTAAAAAAGATTCTTTAAAGGCCCCATCCCCTTATAAACCTTTCTAAATCTATTCATTTGGTCTAAACTTTCCCAAAATTAATTTTTAATTCCAAAAAATATATTTATTTATTCCCCCTCCCCCTAAATGTCCACAAATAATTTACTTCAAAATTTCTTTCACAATTTCCTTCTTTAATAATATTTTCTTCGTATTTTAATTGTTTTAAAGGTAAAATGTCTTCAACTTCTTCTTTAATTAATTTTCTTTTTAAATAAATTGTTGAAGAAAGTTTTTTATTCCAATTATCTCTACATTCTTCTTCCCAACGTTGATTGTGTTTTTGAAGTAATTCTTTTGTTAAAATATTTGAAGAAGAATAATCTGTTGTTTTTTGATTACTTGATGTTGAAACATCTTCTTCTGTTTCAACACGAGAATTGCTTTTTTGACTTTTTAATAAACGATGGACATTTTCGAGACAATTTATCTGTTAATTAAAAATAAATTTTTATTTATTTTTTCTCTAAATTAATTTAATAATTTTAAATTAATTTACCTGATTATAAGATAAATTAGTAGTAATTTGTTGATTATCTTGTTGAATAATTAAAGATGAAAGTGTTGGAGGAGTAATTAATTCTGATTGTTCTTTAGTATTATTTACTGGCTAAAATAGATATTTTTTAAATTTTAATTTTAAATTTATTAAATACCTCAGATAAAATAGTTTGTAATATTTTAGTTTGTTTATCACAATTATTATTAGAAGAAGAATAAATTAATTCTTTTGAATTATCTTCAATTTGTGATTGAATATTAAATGTATGTCTTCCAACAACCTTTAAAAATAATTTAAATTAATTTTAAAATTAATCTTCCACCAACCATTTCAATATGTTTAGTCCACGGATTTACAAAAGCCGCCCATTCACTATCAATTACCAAAGAATTGCCCGAATATGTAAGTAAACGAAGACCTGAACTTTTAACAATTTGGGTTCCACCTAGAGAATGTACTAGAAAAAAAGAGAAAAGAATTATTTTAAATTTTAAATTTAAATTTAATACATTTTTGATGTGCTTCTTTAATTATATGGGCATCTTCTGGATGTACAATTGTAAATAATGATTTTCCAGTAACTTCACTTGGAAAATGTCCAAGTAATGGAATTGAACTAGAAAAAGTAAAGTAAAATTAATTTTAAAAGTTTTATTAATTTATTAAAAATTAAAAAAAAATTTGCAAGCCGCAGGATTCGAACCTGCGCCCTCCGAAGAGGACTGCGACCTGAACGCAGCGCCTTAGACCGCTCGGCCAGACTTGCACCGAGGGGAAAAACAAAATAAGTTTATTTAAGTCAAAAGATTTTTTATTTAATATATCGAGAATTTTGATTGAGTAAAAATTATTAATTTATAATTTAAATTTTTAAGAATTGAAGCAAATAAAAGAGAATAAAATATAAATAGTAATTAATTATAATCAGTTTTGACTCGATTATTTATTTAAAAGTTTTGAAAGAAGAATAAAATTAATTTTTAATTTTTTATTTTGTTTCCCTTATTTAAAAAGGAAAATTTAAATTTATTTTGCGTTTCTCCTATTTAAATATTTAATTATTTATTTATTAAAATTGTGGTAAATAAATAAATAAATTCTTTCTCCCTTTTATTTTTCCGTTCATGCTTTACCCCAACTAAAAACAATAATAAATTTAAAAAAGAGTGAGGGGGAAATTAAAGTTCCTTTTGCCTTTTGACAGAAAATTGTTTATTTATTTATTGTCTCCATTCCTCGCTAATTTTCTTCCAAAGCCTCGTGGTTGTTGTCGCCGCTGGCTATTCCATTTTTCAGCTTGTTGCGGACAGTGACCGGCAATGGATGGCAGACCGGTGGAGGCTGGTGCGGAGAGAAGATATTTTAAAGGGAAATGAATAAAGGAGAGTACTAGGTCAGTGACAGTGTCTGTCAGTGGAAGAATGGTGGCGGCTGGCGCTGCTCCCATAAAGTGATGGAAAAAAGGAATTAGGTCAGTCACCTCCCCCTTTTCCTTTGAGAGGGGAGGGGGGATTGAGGGGAAAAAGGGAGGAAACAGTTGAGTGACCAAAACTGACCAAACGAGGATGAAGGAAAGTGAAGGGGAAAGGAGAGGGGGAAGGGAAGAGATGAGGGAAGGAGGGAATGACCAAAATAAATACTGGTTGTTTGGTCAATGACTGCGGCCAATGACCAACAGAAAAAAGAATAGAAAATTGAGTGAACGGATATATTGTTTAAAGAAATATTTAAATTTACAAAATTTATTTTTAGTAAAATAATTTTGAAAAAAAAACTTTTTAAGCGATAAATTAAACAAAATAAATATTAAATTAATAGTTAGTTTCTTTGCATTTATTTTTTAAAAAATGAAAAGAGAATAAGCAGACCGGTTTAGAAAAAAATATTTTTCTGGTAAAAAAAAGTAACCTATAATTTAATTTAAGGGTAATAATGAAAAGACTTCCCCCCACACACACCTACATAAATATATCTATTAATTACCTAAAACATGATGGAGATTAATAAAATAATTTTATTAAAAAAATGAATGACTCAGGAATTAAGGAAGGAACCGATAAAATATTAAAAGGAATTTATGAAAAAGGTGTGAAGAAATAAATAGAATGAATATATAAACTAATTAATTAATTAAATACTAAAAAAACGGCTTAATTAGCAATAATATTTCGTTGTCCTTTTGGAACTCATAATTCTGATTTTTTTAAAAAATTTTAAAAATAAGTAGTAAAATCAAAAAAGTGAATGGACGGGGGTATAAACAAAATATATTTAAATTCAATTATTTAAAAAAAGTAAATAATTATTTTATTTTAATTTAAAAATTCATTTCTTACTTAGAATCCAAATAAATAATTGAACAAAAAGAATTATGTCTTGTAGTAAATACTAAATTTTTGTTTTTAATAAATAAATGTTGTTGTTTAATATCAATATTTTGAACACAAAATAATTGAATATTGGCTAATCGACGAGAAGAATTTTTTGAATCATTAAAAAATTCACAAAGTAATTCACATGCCCGAAGAGTATTATCTCCCCTTTAAATTAAAATTATTATTATCTCCCCTCTTCTTCTCCCTAACCATTTAATTCTAGCATACATTCTTCTACGTGAATGTCCACAAAAAGCATTTAACAACATTGTTTGTGCCCCCTTTCCATATAAATAATTAAATAAAGAATCCCCTATTTTTAAACAAAATTCTGAGGATTGATTCTCTTCTTCAGAAGAAGTTGAGGAAGAAGAAATATTGTTGTTTTGTTGATATTCAAGTATTATACCGTCTGGTAAAGAAATAAATAATGTTCCGAGATATTGACGTCCAAAAATTGAAGAATTTGGTGGTGGTGGGGACTTTAAATTAAAAGAAAATTTATTAAAAAAACTTTAATTTTTATTTAATCCCTAACTACCCAATACTTTCTTTAAAAACAATTTTTTATAAAAATTTTTACACTAAAATTATCAGATCCACTTTGTGGAGAATCACAATCTTTAAATTGTTCATCAATTAAAGATTGTTGTTGTTCTACTAATTTATTTTTATTTAATTCTTCATTTAAAGGAATTGTTGATATTATACAAGTATTTGAATGCATTTTAAAGAGAAAAATAAATAAATTTAAATAAACTAGAATAAAAAATAAATAAATATTTTAATAATTTCTTAAATTTGATATAATTAAAATATATTTTATCCAAATAAAAAAATAAAAAAATTAATTTTAAATAAAGAAAAATTTGCATAAAAATATTTTGGAAAATAGCCAAACATGTGTTGAAAAAAAAAAGAAAAGAGAGAAAGGCTACAAAGCAATGGTCAAATAAATAAAAAAGAATTTAAAAAATAAAAAATATTTAAAATTCAAATATAAATATTAAATTTGGTTTTTTAAATAAAAAATAATAATTTTTAAAATGTGACAAGTAAAAGGAAGGAAAATGGAAGAAGGAAATATTAAAGAATTGAGCGCAGAATTTTAAAAATTGAATAGCCTTAACCTATACAGAGAAAATGTAAAAAAAGAATGAGAACGGGAAAAAGTTTTTTTGAAAATAATTTTAATAAAATATATTTTTGTTTAATTTTTGAATGATGTAAAGTTTATGCAGATAATTAAAAAGATTTAAAAATTATAAAAATAAATTTAAAATAATAAATCATCTCAATAATTATCGTAAAATATTTTAACAAAATTGGCAAATTAACTAAATAAATATTTAAACTGACCACTACATACTATAAAGAATTAAATATATTTATTTTTAGTAAATGTCCGAATGAAGTGATTCTTTTTCTTTTTCTAAATTTTTAGCTCCGGCTGGCTGTAAATTTGATGGAGAAAAGGGGAGGAGAGTAAATTGAAAAGGAGGGTGGGGGGAATGTACTCGCTCCGAGTACTGCCGCCGCCGAATTGCTTTAAAATTAAAAGAGAAGAAGGGGGGAGAGGGGGGGATATTTGTTTATATTTTTAAAATTAAAATGAAAAATTTTTAAATTTATATAATTGCTAAAAATACTTGAGTTAAAAAACTAATAGAATAATTAAAATATTTATTTTATAATTCTTTAATTATTTTAAATATAATTTTTATTCAATTTTAAAAATAATTTAAAATTCAACAAAAAATATTTAAATAACTTTCCCTTCCTTTCCTTTGCTTCGCTTTCTTTTCTAAAAACAAGCAACTTTGCTGTCAACTAACACCAAAATTTATGGTGACAGAGAGAAGTTGTCGCCAGTCGTGATGGGTGAGCAATAAGAAATGACACCGGCTGACCATTTCGAGGGAGTGAAAGAGTTGATCCCGAAATTATTATTGGGGGGGGGGTTATTTTAAATATTAAATTAAAGGAAATAATTTTTTTATTATTCCATGATTTATTCTGATATTTCTATTACATGTTAACAGTTTTTACTTGCTACAATTTAGCTTCAGCTTCATTAATTTAAAATACATATTAATTCGAAATATTCAGCAAATATTTCTATAAATAACCCAAGGCTTTAAAAGCAAGAATATTGACAGCAGAATGCCCATTCCAACCAACAGACCACAACCCAGTCAGAGTTCCTCATTTATTCATAAAGTTTATCCGTTCATAAAGGATCTTCTTCTTTCCCCATTTTCCTTCTTCGGAGTTGGTGCCAGCTCCTGTCCACCAAAATTCAGCACCGCCCACTACCATTCGTTGAAGCGTGCCCAGCAGTGCGAGGCTATTTGCTAGTTAAAAGTAGGGTGGACAGCCGCAAACAACGGGTCATCGGCTGTCAGCTATATGAGCTACTATAATTTTTAAAGGGTGACACAAAAAGAGAAAGAGGAAAATTGTGGGTAGAAGGGTTATTCAAACCATCGACGCTTGTAGGGATAATGGTGTGAAACATCGGAGGATGAAACTGTGGGTAGTAAAGGGCAGAAACGCCAATGATAAAATAAGGAAAAAGCTAATGAAAAAAGATGAAGTCGCCAAAAATCAAAGAAATTTTACAAACTGGCACGGCATGAGGAGATAGGAAAATTCCGTCACAATTAAGTAATTTGCTGCTAAAATATTTTTAAAATAACGTTTTAACTTCTTAAAAAATTATAAACCAAGATAATTTTATTAAAAAATTTTTTTCTTACATTTAACAGTCAAAAAATATTTCTCCGAAATATTCATATCAAAATATATATTTCCCTTCTTCATTTAAAAATATTTACTTAATCCAATTCCATATCATCATCACGCTCACGTGGCGGTTTCTTATCCACTTTAGTCTTCTCAGCTTCATCTTTAATTTTCTTTCGATTTTCTTCTTCTTTTACCAATTCATTTGCAATATTTTGTTCATCATCTGCTTCTTTCTCAATTGATTTGTCAACTAAAAATATTATTTTCTTAATTACAAATATTCTTTCAAACCTTCCTGAGCAGTTAATTTTTCTGCAAATTGTTTCAAATCTCCTTTATTTGCAGCCTCAATAACTGGACGATTTAAATGAAAATGTTCCAAAGCTTGTCCCAATTGACCCATTTGAAGTGCCTGTCCAATAAAATCCGCTGATTGTTGAAATTGTGGAGTGCTAACAGTTTGTGTTAATTCTTCATTAACATTTTGAAGGTCTCCTTGATCAGGCAAATGAGGAGCCAATTGCTCTTTATATTTGTCAACGACCTTTTAAAAATATTTTTTTTATTTGTGTCAATCCTAGAAAGCAAATACGCGCTAGCGATACCAAAAATGAAAAGAGATAAGCGAAACTGACATATCCCTAATAAATATAAATCTATACATAGATATAGTAGGGCCAGTTAAAGATTATGATATAAAATATTTTAAAAGAGGCATATGCTTGAAACTGATTAGACCAACAAAAATAATAAAATTACTTGTTGAGTATTATTTCGAGTAATTATTGTAGACATATCAATTATAGAACGCTTCTTATCTCCATCAGAAGTTCCTTCTCCACTTGGTAATGAACCTATAATTTGGCTGAGAGTTTGAGCATTCACTTTTCCAGCAGTAGAAGCAGCTGCAGCACTAATTTTTGAGGGCCTTGATTGGAGAGGCGTAGAAGTTCCACCTTGGGAAATTAAAGAGGAGAGGTTTCCAATTGGATAACCAGCACTAAAAATTAAATTTATTAAAAATCTATCAACAATAATGTTACTTTGCGGCTGCCGTAGCAAGTTGCGATAATTGAGGCATTAAGTCACTTAGATTTCCTCCACTATTATTGGCCACAGAGAAAAGACGCATTAATTCTAAAAAATTAAATTATTTGAAAATTAAAACTGTCAAATAACGTTGTTGGTCCATATTTGCAAGTGCACCCAAATCCTCCGCATTAATATTAACAAGTGCAGGATGGCCTGATTGAGATGTACGTTCAGTACGTGCAGGTGCACGAGTAGGTGGTGCATTACTCAGCAATTCGTTCATCTTAAAATTAAATTTTTAAGGTAATCTGCCACACACGTCACGGTCGAGTTTGAACGCCTAAATATCTTTCTAACCTTTTTCAAAACTTCAGCATCCTTTTCTTCGTCTGCTCCTTGCATCCAAAAAAGATGACGTTCTTCGCTGTTTTTGAATTTAAGCATAAACACACGTCCATCTTTGCATTCAGTTACGCGAAGAAACTCAGTTTCACCCGGAAAGATAATTAAATCCTAAAAAGTGCTTATTTTAATGTTGAAGAAAATTAAAATAACAAACAAGTTCAGTAGCACTATTTTTACGATTTTTCCAACAAAGATGCAAAAGTTGATCATCTTGCGAGTGCTTGACATAAACTGAACCAGGATCTTGTTTGGCTACAGCTCGACGCTCATCTTTAGTGGAACCAGGTTCAATCATTGTCCTGCCAGCCTAAAATTCGACTCATTAAAAGAATAATCAAAGTATTCAGTATACCTGAAATTCAAGAAGATAGCTCCCTCCAACGGTAGGAGAGCCGGTATTAGCGAACATAATACTCATCTTTACTTTTTTACAATTAAAATTTCACTAAAATTTACTTAAAAAAATTATTAAAAAAATAAATATAATATTGGAATGAAACAAATAAAAAAATAAATTATTGAATAAAAACGAAGGAATTTATCCATTTAGCGAAAGGAATGAGAATAATTAAGATACAAGTGTAAATACAATCAATTTAAAACGTCGATTTTGTTCAACATTAATTAAAATCGTATCCGTCATTTTCCGGCATCATACAACGTCGACGGCTTTTTATGCTGTGCAACACCTGCATAATTCCCATTTTAGCTTCATCTCTTTCATGTTCTTCAAAAAGTCAAAGTTCGGCACCAATATACGCTCCAAATTGTGAATCAGGAGTGGCCGGACGAATTGAAGTGGGACCAGGAGAAGAGTCACACTTTTTAATCTTTTTAATCAAAGGCTTTTGATCCATGTCAACACGCTTCCTCCTGTCAATAGAACTGGGAAGTGTTGATTTTTAAGGAAATGAAAGATATATTTTGAAAAGAAAATAGTTGATTTAATTAATAAAATAATAAACTAAAAATTATATCGTTTTATCCCCATTAGTTTCTCTTTAAATTTTACCCCAAATTTTATTAAATTAACAAAAAAAGAACTTAGGAGTTCCTCTTGTAGCAGTATCCATAAAAGACAAAGCCTCACGATATGGCCACACTCTCTCTTTGCTTCCTTCAGAATCAGAAAGTGGCTTCTTCTTTTTCAATCTTGCATAATAATCAACTAAATATTTCCATTTCTTCTTTGCATCTTCAATATCTATTTAAATAAAAAGTATGTAGTTATATAATAATTATAAAATTAAAGTTATTACCAACTCCAACTTGTTCAGAAATTCTAGTCCATGCATCTTTACATTTTTGTTTATCTTTATGATCTTCTAAGGCCATGTTCCAAAGAAACTCGCATTCACGCACAATTTCAATAAACATATTCCAATCAAAGTCAGACTTGTTCATTTTTAAGAATATGAAAGAACCCTGTAAATTAAAAAAATCATCCAAAAATCCTAAAACTAATCAATACTCTCGATAGGGGTCTATTGAGTCTCACCGGTTGAGTCCCGCTGGTTGACTTTCTCCGACATTGGGAAAACTTTCTATGTAGCATTTTTTTTTCGAAGAAACCCCAATTCCACTATTCCAAACAAGGATCGAGTTATTGTACACCAACTTCAAACAAAAGTTGATTTAACAAAATATGTGGTTAATGAACAATCTAAATTTGACTACACATTTAATGAAAATTCTTCAAATGAACTGGTTTACAAGTTTGTTTTTAAATTCTATTTTACTTTTTCATTTTTATTTATTTTTCTTTAGATTTAGTGCACATACAATTAGCTCTAATAGGCAAACTCGTCTTGAAGGAGCGGAGATTAACAAGTCTTTGTTGGCAGTGAAAGAATGTATTCGGGCTATGGGACGTGATGAACAACATATTCCCTTTTGCGGCTCTAAACTTTAATTCTTCGGGATTCATTTGTGGGGAAATATGCTAAAACCTGCATGGTTAATTTTATTTTTGTATTATACTTATGCTTATTTTTTTTTATTTAAGATTGCCATGATCAGCCCAGGAATTACCTGTGTTGAAAATACCATGAATACACCGATATGCAGATAGGTAATTAAATTCTATGTATTTCTTCATTTTATGTCTAATTCAGAGTTAAAGAACTTGGTGGTGAGAGGGATGATCAAGACGAACAACTAGAGGACGCTGAAAACTTTTTGTTGGGGTGATGACGGATAAAATAAAACATTCCGTGTTTCTATACTTTATTGACTTTTTATGACTCATTGTATCTTTACGGGTAAATTGAATTTTTAGATGGTTAATTTTATTTTTATATGTGCTTATATAAATACTTTAATAAATATTTTAATATTTTGATACTTTAATTAACAAGAAAATAAAAATATTAGAAGAATGAAAGTGTCCGAAAAATTTTATTTCAAAAATTTTTAAAAATTTCTCAAAATTAAATTTGTTTTAAATGAATTTTTTATTGTTAATTCAATTTTTTATTTTAATTGAGTTAAATGTCAGTACATGTATTAATGGTGGCAGAAAAGCCAATATTGGCTGAATCTATTGCAAGAATTCTCTCAGGTGGAAATTGTGAAACTCGAAAAGGTTTTTTTAAATTTCTTTATTTTTAAAAATCCTTATAAAGGTTCGAATGGTGCTTGTTCAATTTCAACGTATAAAGGAAGGTTTAATAATTTATCAGCAATATTTAAAGTTACTTCTACTTGTGGACATGTTATGGGTTTGTTGATTTATTTTTTAAAAATTTGATAATTTATAGGTGTTGATTTTCCTGGTAAATTTAATGCCTGGCACAGAACTGATCCTGCTGAACTTTTTACTTGTCCAATTGAACATATTGAGGCAAACCCAAAATTAAGAATGCCTGCTGTATTTTTTTCATTTTTTGTTTAATATAACTTTTTTTGTTTTAGTTTCTCGCTTCGGTAGCGAAAGGTTGTGATTATTTGGTTCTTTGGCTTGATTGTGACAAAGAAGGTGAAAATATTTGTTTTGAAGTAATTGATGCAGTTCAAAATTCTATGAAGTCTTCAAGATCTAATGATTTTTTAAATGTTGTTTATAGGTAAATAATTTTTTATTTTTAAATGAGAAATTGACTTTTTAAATAAATTTTGAAGAGCTCGTTTTTCTGCAGTCACAGAAAAGGAAATAAGGGATGCAATGAGAAATTTAGTTCGACCCAATCTCAATGAATCACTTTCGGTTGATGCTCGTCAAGAATTAGATCTTCGAATTGGTTGTGCCTTTACACGTTTTCAGACGAAATTTTTCCAGGTTTTAAATTAAGAGAATAAAATTCTTTAAATTTTTCAAAATTAAAGGAAAAGTATGGAGATCTCGACTCAAATTTAATTTCTTTTGGTCCCTGCCAAACCCCAACACTCGCATTTTGTGTTGTTAGACATGATGAAATTGTTAATTTCAAGCCCCAGCCTTATTGGCTTTTACAGGCTGAAATTGAATTGCCTGGAGGAGGGAGAACATTGAAATTGGAATGGGCACGAGATCGTCAATTTGATAAAAATGCTGCTCAATCTTTTCTTAAGAAGATAAAGGTTCTCTTTTATTTTTGATTTTAATTTAATTTGTAAAGTCCTTTATTTCTGTAGAATGCTAAACATGCAACAGTCGTCGAAATTTCTGACAAAGAACATAAAAAAGAAAAGCCAGTAGCTCTTAACACTGTTGAATTATTGAAAGTTGCTTCTAGTTATTTGGGTCTTGGACCTTCTAGTGCAATGTCTGTAGCTGAATTTTTATATACTCGTGGATATACAAGGTAATCTTTTTTAGAAATTATTTTCTTCATTTGATTTTATAGTTACCCACGTACTGAAACTACTGCTTATCCTGAATCTTTTGATTTTACCTCCATTTTAAAACAAATTGCAATTATTCCTGAATTTGCTGCTTTTGCGCTAAAGGTAAATTTATTTTTTCTAATTTTTTTTAAATTAAAAATTTCTTTTAGATTATGCAAAATGGCATCTCCAAACCAAGGGCCGGTGTTAATAAAGGAGACCATCCACCGATTACTCCCCTCAAAGCAAAAGATAGCTGGCTTAGTGGAGGTGATATAAATTATATCCTCGTAATTTGGATACGTTTATCGATAATGGCGTCCAAATATAAGTTTCTTAAAGGGAAATGCTTTTTAAAAATAAAATTTTAATATTTTTTTTTTGTTTTAGATCATCTACGCATATATGAATATATTGTACAACATTTTTTGGCAACTTTAATGCCTTCATGTAAATATTTGACTAAAACTATCAAGTAATCCATTAAATTGTTTTTATTTTAAATAATTTTGTTGTCAGATTTTCTATTGGAGAAGAACAGTTTTTGACTCATTCTCGTGTTGTTACAGAGCCAGGATTTACTGAATTGCTTACTTGGATGGCTGTCTCACAAGATGAAACTTTTGACCAAATAAAGAAAGGACAAAATTTTGAAATAAAGTTTTTAATAAAAATAATTTTTTAAAAAGAAATTTTAATTTTTTTAAAGAGAAGTAAAAATGGTTGAAAGAGTGACAACACCTCCAGAATATTTAACAGAATCAGAACTTATATCTTTAATGGAAAAATATGGAATTGGAACGGATGCTTCAATTCCTACTCACATTAATAATATATGTACTAGAAATTATGTTAAGGTTGGAAATTTTTGAAATTAGTTTTTGAGTGAATTATATAGATGGGATATTTTTTTAACAAAGGAATGATAGTCGAAAAACATTTTTTAATTTTCTTTCGGGAAATGAATATTTTTATTTTTATTTTCTTAAATTTGAAGTAAAATTGTTTAAATTTAGATAGAAACTGGCCGTAAATTAGTTCCAACAAAATTGGGTATTGCCCTAATCCATGGCTATCAAAAAATTGATGCAGATTTAGTTGAGCCAACAACGAGGGCAAATGTTGAGAAACAGTTGAATTTAATTGCAGAGGGAAAAGCAGATTATATTGCAGTTAAAAATAATTATGTTTAAAATTTAAATTTTAAAAATTATTTTTTAGATGAAAAGTCAAACTTTGGATATGTTCAAACAAAAATACGAATATTTTGTAACAAATATTAAATTGGTTGATTCTTTTTTTGAAGGTTTTAATTTTTATTTTTTTCTCTTGTAATTTCGTCAGATTCTTTCAAAACTTTGGTTGAGAGTGGAAAACCTTTCAGTAAATGTGGTAAATGTCGTCGTTATATGAAACTTGTTGAGGCAAAGCCACAACGCCTTTATTGTCCAACCTGCCAGGTTTCTTTATGTAATTTTGGATAAAATTTTAAAAACAATTTGAAGGAGCAATATCCTGTTCCTTCTGCCAAAGATGCTTCTGTCCGCCTCCATGGCGAGCATTTATGTCCAATTGATGGATTTGAGATACTCTATTTTCACCCTGCTGGAGGGAAGCTGGCCAAGTCTTTTGCATTTTGCCCTCATTGTTACAACAATCCACCTTTTGAAGATATGCGTGGAAGGCATCCAGGCTGTAATGAATGTAGTCATCCAGAATGTCAACATTCTTATATGTTTGCTTTTGTTATAAAAATATTTTTTATGTTTTTTAGAACTCAAGGAGTACTCCAATGTTTAACTAGATGTTTTGGTGGTAGAGGAACGCTTGTACTTGATCCTCAATCTGGACCTAAATGGAGGCTCTCGTGCAATAAATGCCCTGCTGTGGTCAGCATTTTTGAAGGTGCTGCGAAATTGAAAGTAATGGATAGATGTGAAAAATGTGGTGCTAGAAAGTTGTCTGTAGAATATAAGGTTTTAAAATCATAATTAAAGAATTACCCATTTTCCTTTAAAGAATGCTAAAACTTCCAAACTCCCAGATCAGGCTTGCAATTTTGTTGGATGTGCATTTTGTGAACAACATAATTTGGGAGAATGCGTTAACTTTCGACACGCTTTTTTAGACAAGGAACCAAATATCGGTGGTAGTCGTGGTACAAGAGGAAATCGAGGAGGGAGGGGGCGAGGAAGAGGTATTACAACCAACAGAAGCAATTCTTCAAATCGTGACGTCTCCTCAAGCCGTGGGGGTGTTAGAGGGAGAGGAACTCGAGGACAAAGTAGAGGAACGAGCCGCGGAAGGGGCATGAGAGGAGGTAGAGGGAATTAATAGTTGCAAATAACTAGAATTTATTGTTAGTTTATTGTTTTTCATTTTCCATATTGAATAAATTTAAAGTTTTGAATAGCACGCATAATTTATTCTTTATTAACTTTGAAAGTGAAAACAATGCAAAAAATGACGCAAATTAAAAAATACGTTAACTTGAATTCGTAGTCGGCACAAAATTAGGGAATATCAAATCAAAAACTTGGTCATAGTGATCAACAAAATGGATGTCAACGTCTTTCTTGATAAAATCTGCCAAATCCTCATAATCCTTTTTGTTTTCCTCTGGGAGCACAACACAATTAACACCCGCCCTTTTTGCAGCAATTATCTTCTCTTTGATTCCACCAACGGGTAGTACTTTTCCAGTCAGTGAAATCTCTCCTGTCATTGAAATGCCTTGAACTGCGGGCTTCCCGGTTGCCAAAGAGAGAAGTGCACTAGTAATTGTACAACCAGCAGAAGGACCGTCTTTTGGTACCGCACCCTAAACGAGAGATTCCAGAATATTCAAATGTGACAACGAACCTCAGGAACGTGGACGTGAATATGAGCCTGTTCTAAGAACTCGTTGTTTGGATCTCTCCTTCCCAAGACATTCTTCGCTACTGTGTATGCTGTTCGCATTGATTCCTTCATAACGTCACCGAGATGTCCAGTTGCTTCCAAACTACCTTGAGGTGGTGATGGTGATGGGGAATTTGTTGTCACGTTGGTGTTGACAATTTGATGAGCATCCAACAGACGGAGTTTTCTCGCCAAAGAAGCTTCAATATAAAGTGCAGAACCACCTTAAACTTTAATTTAAAATAATAAAAACAAAAAACAAACCCATAGCTGTCCAGGCCAACCCCATAATAACTCCTGGTGGTGTAACATCATAAAGTCGTTCACTCGTGAATTTCTCTCGTCCAACAAATTCTTTAAGATTAGAATTGTCAACAATAATTTTCTCATTTTTATTTTCCTCCTTGCTAACAATTCGGAATGCTGCTTTTCGAAAAATCTTTTTAAAAAAGTAATTAAATTAACAAAAATAAAAAAACCTTTTCCAAATGTTTTTCCAAATTTCGAACTCCAGACTCGCGGCAGTATGAACGAATTAATGTATTTATAGCTTCATTAGTTATAACTAAATTTTCTTCAGTCAGAGCACTTTAAAAATATTTTAAATAATTTTTTAAAAACAAAATTAACCATTTTTCCCGACATTTTGGCACAAGAAAATTCTTTGCAATTTCAATTTTTTCTTCTGCAACATAACCAGAAACTTCAATCATTTCCATTCTGTCTTTAACTGGGCCAGGTATTCTATCTGTTTCATTTGCCGTACAAATAAATAAAACTTTGGAAAGGTCAACAGGAACATCAATAAAATGATCGAGAAAATTAGAATTTTGTTCAGGGTCTAAAACTTCAAGTAAAGCTGAAGCTGGATCTCCATGATAACCTTTAAAGAAAAATCATTTTCTTTAAAAAATAATTATTACCTGCTCCCCCAATTTTATCAATTTCGTCAATTAAAATAAGTGGATTTTCTGCCTGTACTTTTTTAAAACATTGAATTATTTTTCCAGGCATTGCCCCAATATAAGTACGTCTATGGCCTTTAATTTCTGCAACATCAGTCATTCCACCAACAGAAAATCGGTAATATTCTCTATTTAATGCTCTAGCAATTGATTTAGCAATACTTGTTTTTCCAACACCTGGAGGGCCGTAAAAACACAAAATCTTTCCATTTGTTTGTTTTTTTAAAATTCCAACAGCTATAAATTCTAATATTCTTTCTTTGATATCTTTCATTCCATAATGATCTTCTTCCAAAATTTTTTGAGCTCGATTAACATCAGTTACTTCTTCAGAAGTTTTACCCCAAGGAATTGATGTTAACCAGTCCAGATAATTTCTATAAAATATTTAAAATTAAAAAATAAATTTTTAGTAAATATCCTTAGGATCATTGTAATTAGATGAAAAAATAAATATACCTTGAAATACTAAATTCACTGCTATGTGGATCCAAAAAAGAAAGTTTTGTTTGTTCTTCTTTTATTACTTTCATTGCATATTCAGGAACATTTAAATTAGCCAAACGTTCATCTAATCTTTCAAGAACTGCTTGTTTATCTTCTTTTTCAATTCCCAATTCTCTTTTTATAGCTTTTAACTTAAAAATAATTTTACAAAAATTCCTTTAAAATTTCAAAAAAAACCTGTTCATTAAGTAAATATTTATGATTTTGTTCCTGAACTTTTTTCTCCACAGATTCTCTTATATTTTTTAACATTTTTACTCTTGCCCTTTCCTTTTCTAATAATTCTAATGCCAAATCAAGTCTCCTCATTATCTAAAATTTTAATTTTAAACATTAATTTTAAATTCCTTTATACATTAATTTCTTCCATAACTGCCTGTAATTCTTCTGTTTCAGCATTTTGAGCAATTGTCCCAACAAAGTCACACAAATAAACAGGATTGTCCACAATGCTATGCTCTGGCTGTAAAAGTAAAGCAACATGCTGTGCCATCATATTATTGTCACGAATAATTTCTCGAATAATGGAAACAATTGCCTGCATTTTTACCTTAAAAAGAAGAGATTTAGTTGAATGTTTGTATTTTTTAATTTGATTTCAAAATAAAAAAATCCGTAATAAAGTGTTAAAGTTAGGAAGAGGACATAAATGTGTCATATTCCGTCCAATATTTAATTTTAAAAGTTAAATATATAAAATCATCGTAAAACACAAAATATTCAATTTTAGTTTTCAATAGTTTTATCACCCTAACCCTATTTGCTTTGTTTTTAAATAATTTTAATTTACAACCTTAATTTCAATAGATATTTGTGAAGGAACATTATCCACAATATTTTCTGTACGTGCATAAATTATTAACTTTTCTTCTGGCGGTTGATCTATTTGTTGTCCTTCTTGTTGCTCTTCTGGTTGTATTTCTTCTTTTTTTGTTTTTAAATTAGCTTTTCTATTTCCACTTAATTTTCGTCTTCCATTTCCCTTTGGAAAATCAATCTGAGGTTCAAGTGGCTGAAGTATTCGAATTCTTCTATGCGAATTTAATATCATTTCCAGCATTCTACCTTCGTGGTCACGCATTTCAAAAATATGAGCAAACGTGCCAACAGTATATAAATGGCTTATTGAAGGAACGGCTTCAGACTTGTCACTAAAATTATTTTAAAAAATAAATTTGCTCATCTAGAAAAATGTTCTACGTACATGGTTAGTATTGGTTTATAATTTTATTAACCATTCTAAATAAATGGAATGGCTTATATTCCAAAACAACCAAAAATATTCAAAAGCCTTGGTTTTAAAAAAGTATGACAAAACGTTTCAAAATAAATAATCAACTCACTCTGGATTTTTCTTAACAAATAAACCAACATAAGGTAACTTCTGTCTAGCTTTGGATTTAATCAAATTCATCAGAGCCTCATTTTGTTTCAACTAAATTAAAAAAAAATACATTTATTTAAAAAATCTAGCAACATACATCCACTTTTTTAATAAATCCAGGAAAGAAGGGATAACGATTAATTGCAATAATTGGCACGTCTGGCAAATTTTCAGGAACTTTAAACTGCATCGGCTAAAAATTCGAACCTTTTTCTGCTATCGATGCCACAAAAGAACTTACAGAAGAATCAGTAAATAATGTGAGTTCATTGCCTTCCAAATCAGGTGAAGGCTGTTCTTCGTCTAAATCTTTGTTTGTTTGATCATCATTATTGTCATTACTTAAATTTATTTATTAAATGTTTTAAAATTAAAAAAAATTAACGGTGATGAAGAACTGCAAAAACGAGAACTTAAATAATTTAATGGCCTTCTTGTCGTGCAGAAAATATCATTTCTAAAATACATAGAACAAGAAGGTCGAGTACGCAATAATAATCCACACAATCTGACAGAAGCATTTAATCCGTAACTTAATGGCATTTTCTAAATAGACAATTTACTAGAAAAATATAAGGAAATTAAATTTAAAATATTAAAAAGTTAATGATCAAACAAAATTAAAACAAAAAAGTACCCAAATAAATTTTATATAAAAAGGAAAGTTAGACAGAAATAAAGGGATTAACAACACAAATTATCTGGAAGGAGGAAATTAATTTTTCAAACACAAAAAATATATTTATAAAAATAATCAAAACTTCTCCATCTAATTAACGCGATTTCTTTGTACTTTTATTATTTCCAGACGAGGAACCCTTCTGTCCATTGTCAACATCCTTTTGAGGATTTGGTTGCCACTAAAAAAATTTTTGTAGAGTATTTTGAAGGAATTAAAAAAACAAACATTTAAAGGATTACGACGATAAAAAGGCCAAGGTGGCAAAACAACCAAACATGAGATAGCAAATCCAATACCAACAGTATAAATTGTAACAGAAAGTTGTTGAACCATATATCCAGCAATAAAACCCAAAACCCCATGAACAACAAGAATTACCTAAAAATAGTGAAGGGAATAAATTTAATAAAATAAACTTGAAATATTCTTTCAGATTTACGTTGCCCTTCGTAGTCGATGTGCTTAAAAATAAATTATTTTTAAAGGAAATTTTCAAAACAAATTTACCGTGCTCAAATTCTGCAACCACTCAGGTAAATAACCAAGTAATGTGTCTAACATTGTTGTAATTAAACAATAAAACAAAATTAATTTAAATGTTGTTTTGCCTTAAAAAATATAACAAAATTTGTAGATAAAGTGAATGTAAAAGAAAATTCTCATGAGTTAAAAATTTTAAAACATCTTTCCAATAAAATTCGAAAATATGACACGCCAGCTAAATAATAAGCACACAACAAAATTTTATAAAAACCAAATAGAACATTTAAGTCCCGTGCAATCTAAAAGCATAGACCGAAATAATTCTACGCAACATAAAAACTTCAATTCAGAATTACTAAAAAGCGAACTCAGATAGGGGCGAAATTGTCTTCAATTTAATTCCGTTGAACTATTAAAACATCACAGTCCGCCAAAACAAGAACACTAACCACTTAACCACAAAACCTCCTCAATAGGTCCTTTAGATTACTTCATTTGAAGTAAAAGGCATAGAATATGAAAATTGAAAAAATATGTAAGTATTGTTATCGCAGAAAACGTTTAGAAAATTTAGATACTTCAGAAAAAATTTATTATTAAAATAATTATTGCATACAGAAAGGTCAAAAAATATTAAACAATTTAAGAGATAATCAAATAAATACAATAAAAAGTCAATTATACATATACAAAAAATACCCGCAATAAAAAGGGTAAGAAATGCATAGAGAATCCCCGATCTCAATATGTCTTAAAAGTATTTAATTATTTAAAAGTTTTTCTTGTTCTAATTCTCCCTTAAAATATTCAATTGTTTTATGCAATCCCTCAATCATTTGTACTTTTGGTTCCCATCCTAAAAATTCTTTTGCTCTAGTAATGTCTGGTCTCCTCTTTTGTGGATCATCTGTCATCTTTTCTGTATGTATTATTTTACTACTCCCTCCTTTTTTTAAAAATTATTAAATTAAGATTACTTTAAGATTATTAAATTATTTATTTATAAACTAAAAAATTACCAATTAAATTTTTAACAATTTTTGCAAATTCCAAAATGCTATATTCTTCTGGATTTCCAATATTTACAGGCAATGTAGTATTTGATTCCATTAAAGAAATTAATCCAGTAATTAAATCAGAAATATATTGAAATGAACGTGTTTGATTTCCATTTCCATAAACCTTTGAATAAAATAAAAAGTAAAATATTTAAAAATATTCTTTTACAGTTATAGGCATTCCTTGAAGTGATTGTGTTATAAAATTACTAACAACTCTTCCATCATTTATATGCATTCGAGGTCCAAAAGTATTAAATATTCTAGCTATTCTAATATCCACATTTTCGTGTTTATAAAAGGCCATTAAAAGAGATTCTCCAACTCTTTTTCCTTCATCTAAAATTAATTTTTAGAAAAAATTTTATTCAAGAAATTGTTTAACTGAACGAAAACCTCATTTTTTAACTTTTCTTTATATTCTTTCGAATTTTAATAATTTTGTCAGCAAATATTATTTTCAAAGAATAAAAAAAACTCCCTTTCAATTAAAAAAAATCACGTACCATAACAAGATCTGGGTCCAATTGTATTTACATAGCCAAAATAGAGTTCAGACTGAATGCTAATAACTTAGAAAGTCATAGAAAAAAATTTAAATTTTACCTGTGGGCTAACTTTTGGATCGCCATAAATTTCAGAAGAAGAGGCAAAAAGAATTCGAGCTTTAACTCTTCTTCAAAAATAAAAATATATTTAAAATATTTTTTAAATAAAAAAACCTTGCCATTCCTAACATATTTAATGTTCCCAATATATTTGTTTTTAAAGTTTTAACTGGATTGTACATATAATGAGGGGGAGATGCTGGACTTGCCAAATGATATATTTGATCAACTAAAAGAAAAGTTTTAATTTCTAATGATGTAACAATTCTTTAAGAATTTTTCAAACAAAATCAGTTCCAAATTCCACAAAATATAAACTCCCATTTTCCTTATATTTAAAATTACCTTCACTATAAAAAGCATTAACAACATCATGATGGACTAATTCAAAATTTGGATGTCCAATCCACCTTTCAATATTCCTTCTCCTTCCAGTAAAAAAATTATCTAAAGCAATAACTTCATGTCCTTCAAGCATTAATCTGTCAACTAAATGAGAACCAACAAAACCAGCTCCCCCAGTAATTAAAATTCTTTTTCTGTTCATTTCATTTCGAAATTTTACTTTTGGATAATTTTTTGGAATAAATTTTTCTCTAAATTAAAAAATAAAATTTAAAATAATTTTTAAAAGAGAAACAAACATTTTATTATTTTCAACACCTTTCCTTGCAATAATCCTCTCCATTCCTTCCAAACGATTTCTTAATTCATTTATTTGCTTCTCAAGAATTTCTATTTGGCGTCTTAATTTAAAAAATTAAAAAAATAAAATTTAATTATTTTATTTACCTATCAGATGAATTTCCAATTTTTGAACTGCTAAACACTTTAAAAAATGAATTTTGAATTTTATTTCCATTTTTTTATATATTATGTAATTATTGAGAGAAAAAAAGTTAGTGGACATAAAATTCAATTATTAAAAAAAAAGAAAATTTACGTGTTATAATTGTGACAATTCCAAAAACAGCGGCTACAGCCCAATAAAGACGGTTCATTCAAAAACCCTTTATTTTTTAAATTTTCATTGGATAAATTAAAATAATATAAAAAAATATTTAAAATTAAATTAAAAATTATGAAAATAAAAATATTTAAATTTAAATATTTATGATATGAAAAATAAAAAATTAATAAAATTATAAAAGGATTGATTGTTTTTGATTCATTTTGACGTTTTGATTTGGCGTTAAGATTTAAAAGTAGAATAGGACACAACGGGTATTAACCGGCACCCCAGGTTTTCTGTTAACACCGGTTTTTGACCCCCAGTTTAAGGTTCGGTTAACTGTTTGTTCCCAGCTTTAAAAAAATTACATATTTGTACAAAAAAGACGTCAAAAGAATATAAGGCTTAAATTAATCAGAAAAACACTACAAAAAATGTAAAAATTAAAAACTTAAATTTTCTTTATTTTTTACTTTGTCATAAACGTATTTACTAAATGTTCGTAAAAACTTTGGATATTCCTTTTTATAAACTTGTCTTACACCAATTTTTGGTACCCAACCACCTGGATGGACTAAAAATAATTTTTTCTTTTTAATTTTTAAAATAAATTTTCAAAAAAACCTTCAGCAACATAGACAATTCTACATTGAACATCATCTCTTGTTAATTGTTCAATTGGTTTATTGGATTTTAAAATTGTTTGGCATAACATTGCTATTGTAAATTTTACCTTTATTTAGAAGAAAAAAGAGAAAAAATTTTTAATTAAAAAACGAAAGAAAATAATTTGCGAGAATTTTAAAAATTACCCGAACAGCCGAAGAAGATGATAACTAAAAATTATTTTTTATATTAAACCTTTTATTGTAAAATTAAAATAAATTTACCTCTACATCCTCTCGATTAGTTGATTTATTACATACCTATAAAAATGAAAAATGAATGTTTGAAAAAACAAGGAACTAAATTTTTTAAAAAAATTTAGAAGGAAATTAAAAATGAACTTAATAGTAATAAATTTAAATTATAATCAAAAATATTTTTAAAAAATTCTAAAAAAACAAACCATCCAAGCATCAAAAGCATCTGAACTTTTCTTTGAAGAAACATTTAAACGTTGTGACCAAAAAAGAGACTCACGTGTGGCAGTTGGCCATATTCTTCTATGAACTTGATGTAAAAATACACTATCAGGTGACAGCTGTTCAATAATTACACAACTTTGGATTGTATCTAATTGAAAAAGAAAATAAATTTTTGTTTATTAATCAGTTAAAAACATCAAAAAATAAAATCAAAGTTTTTTCAAATATTTTTTAAATCAAAACAAAACTTACCATCCCATTCCTGTTTGATAAAAGGATCAAAGAAAATATCAATAAATTCACGTGCAGTCACACCCTAAAATTGAAATAATAAATTAAAATTGAATTTGGAATAAAATAAAAATTAAAGCTTTTTTTGTATATTTTTGGTAAAAAAATATTTATTTAAAAATTGTTTACTCAGATTAATATTAAAAATAAAATACCACCACAAAAATAATTTTTGGTTTCCAACACAAGTGTTACCCAAACTAAAAAATTTAAAATTTACATCAATGCAGTGAAGAGCCTTTAAAGGATCAATAACAATTCCATCAATTTCATTTTCCAATTTATACATTTTTAAATTTCCATCTTCCACAAACAATTCCCATCCTTCCGTATTATTTTTTGAAACATCAGCCAAAGCATGTTGTAATTGTTGATTAGCTACAAGACGAACTTCTTCAAAAAAAGCGGAATTTGGTCCATTAATTGGTTCGTTTGATAAAAGTAAATTTAAAGTATTAATTTGTTTTTCTTTGTTATCTTCAGTTTCCGAGACTTTCTAAAATTAGAATTTATTAAAATTAAAAAAAGAAATGGAATGATAAAATTTAGAATCCAAAAAGGTTAAAATTAATCTCCCAAAGTCAATTCCTACTCTCCAAACTAGAAATCAAGATTTTTGAAAAGCCTGGACCTGTTCCTGGACTGAGTTTGATTTATTGACCTGGGCCGGATCCTGGGCCTGTAGTACAGGAAGAACACAGGAAGGTCAAAAAATGCCTGGGACTGAACTCTGGGTACAGGAAAAACCCATGCCTTGGTTAAAAACCCCAGCTTGATCTCTACTCTAAACATACCTCATCTGTGTTGGAATCACCCATAAATGTAGAAGTAAATGCTTGGGGCTTTATTAGCCAATGAAGTTAGTATTTGAAGAAATTCTCTAAATTTCTAATTAAAAAATTAATTAAAAAAATTAAATATTTAAATGAAAATTAACCAAAACATCTTTTAACATTTAAAAATTTTTTTTTAAATTATTTATTCTTTTTCATTCAAAAATTGTGATAAAATATATTTATCTACATAAATTTGATCTTCCCAAGCTATACTTAAAAATTTATTTAAATTATTATTATCATTTATTGCAAAATCCCAAATTGCCGATGAATGAAATAAATATTCTTTTTCTAACATAAAAATTAATTGAGACAATTCTTCAATTGTTTGAGATAAAAATTGTAAAAATGTTGAAGATTGTTGTGTAAATGAAGATCCTTCAGAAAGTTTTTGAAGGGCCAAAAGCTTTTTTTGATTTTGCCGAATATTTTCAAAAATATTTTTTGATTTAAAAATAATAATTGAAATATCTTCAGATTTTCTCAAAATTTCTTCTGATTTAATTAATAATTCATTTTCAATTAATTCAGAATCTAAGATTATTTTTAAATTTATTTAAATAAAATTTACTTGAATTATCGTCATTTTCCATCTCATTTAATTTCTTCATTTGTAAACGAATATTAATTAATAATTTAAATAATTTACATCCATCATCATTTAAAGATTTCCATTGCCTAACTAATTTAGAAATATTTGTAATTATTTCATTAAATCTATTTTCAAAATCTTGCATCTATTTAAACAAAACTTAATCAAAATTCGTATAATTAAAAAAATAATTTGGTAAAAAATTTCCTTTTTAAAAAAACAATTTTATAAATTAAATTGGAGATCAAAAAATATATTTAAAATAAAATCAAAATGTGTTTGGTTTATAAATTAAAATGTTCTTGACGGTGCGTGTGGAGTTAAATCTTATTAAAAAAAATTTAACCAACATGGCCCAGACTTATCCGACAATAATTAAAGAATAAAAAACTCCACACAACTTTCCGTGAAGATTAAAATCAAAAATGAATTTAACGTACAAAATTATCATTTAAATTATTCCATATCTCCATTTGTATATTTTTCAAATTCCATTCCCCTCGCTTGTATAAAAACTGAAATTAATGCCAAACTTTGAATTCTTTCTGAACATCCAGCAGACAATCTCTGTTCAATTGCAGATAATCCATCATAAAGAATTTGTAATAATTTTGGGTTCCCATCCATTTTACTTATTTTATCAGTTAATTCATCCAGTATATCCATTAAAGCAACTGAATGACGAAGTCTCATTTCAGACAATTCTAAATAAAATTGATATAGAAACAGTTAAAAAAGGACATATCGAGAAATGTCAGTCAATTTAAATAACAAATTTCTGTCTTTTTTAGTGACTTGCCAATTTATTAAAGTCCCATTAAATATTTTTAAAAATTACTTTGATTGGCCACTTCAATTGTACTATCCAACAATATACGCAATATTTTTTCAACAACGTTTGGGCGTGGATACCCTACACAGGAATAAACGGCTTTCTCATCAATCACATCTGATGTCAAGGCAGTACTCTAAAAAATAAAAAAATAATTGTTCGATTACTGTTATCGTATTTAACAATCAGCAAAAAATATTTAAGAAACCTGCAAAACATTAATTATCCGACGCATATCCCCTTTAGATAATTTAAACAAAGCATCTTTTCCATCATCAGTAACATTTAATTCTTCTTTTTCAATAATGTAATCAATTCTTGGCATTACTTGTTCTTGTTTAAGAGGAGCAAAACGAAATCTAGAAATGAAAATTGTGAATTATAAACTGAAAATAAAAGAAGTTTAAACAAAAATGCCCCAAAAAAATAATCGAATTTCTATTTCCTGATAATCCTTTAATAAAAATAAAAAAAATTTCAGACCGAGTGCAACGTGATTGCAATGCAGGTATAATTTTCGAAAGATAATTACAAATTATACAAAAACGTGTGCTATCAGTATATCTTAAATAAATTAATTGAAAAAAATTAAAAAAAAAATAATTTTAACTTTTCAATAATTCTACGTAAAGCATTTTGAGCATCTTTAGTCATTGCATCAGCCTCATCCAAAATAACAAGTTTTATTGGTCTTTTTGAACTAGGTGTATTTGTTGATGAAAAGACATCTTGCAATCCTTGAGAACTTGCAAAACTAACAATTTTGTTTCGAACAACATCAATCCCACGCTCATCAGAAGCATTTAACTTTAAAATTTAATTGTTTGGATGAATTTTTAATTGAATTCTGTGAAAGTAAATATAGTGTTCGGGCTAGAGATGATAATCTCGCAAGATATTTTTCGTTATTATCGAGTCAAGGATCTGTAAAAAAGAGAAGAATACCTCAAGTAACCTAGATTTCATTCCTTTAAGTGGAAACATTTTTCGTGCTGCTGCCAAAATCGTTGTCGTTTTCCCCGTACCTGGTGGTCCATAGAAGAGAAGATGGGGCAATCGATCTTCAGCTATCATTTTTGATACTAAAAATAATAAAATCAGAAAAATAATTATTTTTAAAATCTTACCTGAATTAACAATTTCTTCTTGAGAAACAAGGTCAGACAATGAAGAAGGCCTATACTTTTCAACCCAAGGCAAATTTCCAGAATCAGAAACCATTACGAAATAAAATAAAATTAAAAATAAACAAATTAAAATTTATAAACGAATTTAAAAATATTTTAAAAGATATAAGAACAAAAATAAATAAAACGGAAAATTTATTTAAACCTTTACATTAAAAAAAACAATTATAGATAAACCTCCATATTTATATATAACCATTCAAATTAAACAATACGTTCAAGATGACTTGAATAATTAAAAAGTCGTTTCAAACTTTGTTCAGCATTTAATGGCTAAAAATTAATTTTTTAAAAATATTTAATTAAAAACAAAAATTACTTGAAGAACACGTTCAGCTCCACTAGCTAAAGCTAAAGTTGGCATTTTTTGATCATCAAAGTTTGTTCCCTTTCCAGCAACAAGAAATTCATTACCTTTCAAAATCCATCCTCTCTTATTTCCAAAAGCCAAAGTTTCCTCATTATTTTTTAAGGAAAGTTTTTTCATAGCAATATTAACAGGAATTGCTCGATAACTAATTTCCAAACTTTCAGCAATTTCATTTCTTTAAAAAATTTTTTTGTTTTAATTAAAATTAAAGAAATATTTACTTTATAGATTCCTTCAAAGAATTCATAAAAGGTTTGTAATAAGGAGTTGGAAGGTCATTCTCAGCAAGATTCTTTAAAAAATTGCTAAATTTTAAAAAATAGAAAAAATTTACAATAGAATTATAAGCCCCTTCTGTCAAACAAAGCCCCAAACGTGCAGGGACAGCAAAGAAAGGATTGCCCATTCTTGTCTTATAATCAATTTTCTCAATTTTCTAAATTAAAAAAATAAAATTATTTTTAAATAAATTAATCAAACCAAATTAAATTTTCCAATTTGATTAGTAGCCAATAAATACATTAAATAAAGTCCAAACCTAAAATTAAATGAAAAAATTCGAAATTCTTGTTTAATTTAGATTTAAATAATTCAAAAAACTTTTAAAAAATCCAGTACGTGTCGGTTATCATTACGTGTTTTTTGCAAATGTAGTATGTTTTTATACATACTACATTTAATCTTGATGGTTGACAAGTGCATAGGAGAGAGGGAATGAGAAACTCTGACCAGTCCGTACAATTGTGTCAGCAAAAAACACGTAGGAATAACCGACAAGTATAAAAAACCCCCAAATTCCCAACAACAAAAAATATTTACATTAAATCTTTTTGTTTTGAATCCAAAATTTCCTTTCCATCATTAATCCCAGCTTCATATAAAGCTTCAACATCTTTAATTGCCTGTCCAAATTCAATTAATTTTCCTTCTTTTGCAAGATATATAGCTTTAATTTCATAATAATCCTCTAAAATTTTAATTAAATAATTATTTAAAAAATATTTTTAAATTTACTTAAAATATTTAGAGACGGCCAAACACCTTTTTTAATTTGTATTTCATTAAATTCATTCTAAAAAATTAAAGAAAATATTTTTTAATTAATTTATTTTACTTGTATATCCTCTAAAATACGTCCAATAACGGTAAAATTCTTTTTAGAATATTCATTTAATAATTGTCTGTGTGAAGATTCTATTGTCGGCATTTTTTCGAAATAAAGACTTTAAAAACAAATTCAATTATTTCCAAAATTAATGATAAAAATTATCATCAAAATTTTCAATTAAAATTAAGCAAAACCCAAAAAAGTACCGGTTAAGGACGATTCAGTATCGCCGATTCAGTATAGCCGATTCAGTATCGCCGATTCAGTATATGGCCATAACTTCCCTGATATTCGAACGATTCGAATAATTCTCATATCATTCGAAAGGTCTCGAGATTCGACATCTTTTTCATAATTGGCCCGATCTGATCTGATGATCACAAAAAAAGTTACAGCGTGAAAACCGATTTTTTATGCCTGTGACGTCGTTTATCAGTGATAACTTTTTGTAGAGTGATCAGATCAGGGCAGTCCAATTATGAAAAAGATGCAGCACCCCGAGACCTATCAAATCATATATAATAATTCCTACAATATTGATCGATCAAAAAGTTATGGCCAAAAAGCTCAGATACTGAATCGGCCAATACTGAATCGGCGATACTGAATTGGCGATACTGAATCGGCGATACTGAATCGTCCCCTACCCAAAAAGTACGGTAGAGGTCGATTCAACGCCGCCATTTCAGAGTAGGGCAATAACTACGGTTTTTTCAGATTCGAACAATTTTCATAACGTTGGAAAGGTACGAGATACGACATCTTTGTCATTGGAACGATCTGATCTGAACATTTCACAAAAAGTTATTGTCTGGAAATTTTTTCACAGACCAGGGGTGTGCCGAAACAGCAGATTTTTAAAAGCGAAAGACAAGGCGAAACAGCAAAAAAGGGAAAATTCGGTGAATGGCGAAAGATGATACACCTGACACAGATAATTGTTCATTTCCTAATTAATATAATTAATAATAAATTAATTAGTTTACACCATAAAATATGAAGGAGACTAATACATTAATAACTGTAATAATTACTTAAACTCGCCAAATAGAGAAAATACCTCCCTTCAAGAGAGAATTATACGTAAATAAAAAAATTCTTAAATACGTATATTTATTTTTAATTTGATCATTTATAAAGAATATTTTTCAAATTAATTTTTACTAAATATTTTTCAAAAATGGTTACTATTATTAATTCAATATTTATTAAATTTTTATTAATTTTTCTTTTGGGGATATTTTTGTTTATTAATTTAAATAAAGCATCCCCTCATCATCATCACCATTCTAGTAGTAGTAGCGAAGAATGGCGACATAGAGGTATTTTTACAAAATAAATTAATCTGAAATTCTACAATATGTAAATATGTAGGGTATAATGGTCTACAAAGAAGTATTTAATTCAATACAATTAAAAACCTGGGCTTTCCATCTTATTGTAATCCATGGGAAAAGCCATTTTGCGAGATAAACTTAGATATAAACTAGGTTCGCTCACAATCTTCGAAAGGACTTCTTTTGCAATTTCCCCCTTCCGTGATTCCCCCCTCCCCTCCCCTCGTGACGCTGCCTCAGAAAATTTTCCCAGAGGCCTCTCTCCCCAGCGGGGTTAACTTTAGTACTATATACATTCTAATTTATAGGGCATTATGGATATGGTCATTATGGTTCGCCTTTACGTTCATCATGGCCATGGGGACGTCGATGAAAAATATAAGTAAAAAATTACGAGACAAATGCAAATATGTTATTTGAATTATTACGAACATTTAAAACTAATAACTTTATAATTTTATTTTATAACTTATTTTAAAAACTTTACACATACCATGTTTCGAAATACTAAATACCGTATATCCTTTAATAACTACCCTGGGTAATTATTGTTTCGACCTTCCCCTGGAGGGAGTAATTAATAGAAGGAGGGTAATTATATGAGGTTTTAGATTTGAACGTGTTTTAGGGCATTTGTTGGGGGGTAATTATTGTTTCAACCTCTCGCTAGACGGAGTAACTAATAGAGGTGGGGTAATTATTTGAGGGAGGGCAATTAATACAGGTTATACGGTATCCTAGTAGAATATTTAGTATTCCGAAAATATAAAAATATCCACCTTAAGTGATGAATTTCGAATTCCCCTAGTAACTCCGACATACCGCCCGCCCAACGATCATAACTTTGTCCAAACAAGTCGGATTTCGGTGATTTTGTTGTCATTCGACACAGCTCGTCGAGCTGAGTCGAATAAGCACTATTTGCATTTTCGAATTTTTCACCCCAAAATGAGCTTACTCCCCCTTCTCTTTTTCAAACTTCAGAGGTCTGAAACTCGGTCCCTGATTGTCGGACCGACTTCCCCCATATCTAGCTCGACTCCATTTTCGATACTCTTTCGAATGACACCTCATTTGTCGAAATCGGTCCAGCCAACAAAAACCCACTATAAGTCACAATACCCGTTAATTGATTTGATAATTTTTTTTTCGAAATTTAAAAATGAATAAAGCTTAAAAATCTTACTGCCATTTTTTGTGCAAAATACCTCTAATTTTATTACACCAAAAGAATTATATAAAACGAATGAACGGGGTATTTAATTTGGTGATTCTGCCATATGCCTCGGAAACCGATTAGATATTTCAGGCTGTGAATCGTAAAAAGGAATAGGATTATGTTACTAGTGAGGAACAGGGATGAACTGGATCTAGAAAAACGTGTGTAGGATTTCGGATTGGGGGAATACCGCGCCTGAATTTTTTGATTGTTCTTGGTCAACGCTTTTTTGAACGATGGGAAGAGGTGAAATTTTGCAATTGCTAAATCTTTTGGAAGAAAGTTAAATAATAAAATCTCGTTTAGTAGCCATAAAAGAGAATTGAATGGACTACAGGAGTATAAATATATTTGAGAATGTAAAGCACAATTTTATACTCGGGATAAGTTTAACCATACAATAAAGGAATATACATTCTAATTTATGTACATGCATAATTACCTAATCACATTTAAAAATAGGGACTTATACATATACATACAATAGTTGGTCATATTTACAATCATCTATCCTTCATTTCTTAATTACAGGACATACATCAATTCCTACACATCAGGCTAGTGCATCAACAGAATCAAGCATCATAGAACTCTTCTAAATATGCGAAATTTTTAAAAATATTCCAGTTATTAATTACCCTCTAGGCCAACATCGCCATTATCAGTGCCGCCTTCGTTCTCCGCTTGCTGACGCTTTACTCTAGCCTTGATTACGTACTCCTCCTCAGTTTCAGGTACCTTCACTCCATCTTTAGCAGCCTCCGCCTTCGACTTTTCAACCATTTTCCTGAAACAAAAATATAAATTTTAATCGTTTTTACACTATTTTCATACTTGATTATATCTGGGAACTCTTTGTTGCCATTCTCTGAAAAAATTATTTATTGTTGGAGGCAATTTTTAATGTTTTTATTACCCTTATACTTGCGGTAGCTCACAGAAGCATCCACATTTGCCGGTGAAGAAATGTTAGGCTCATTCAGCATCGATATCACGGAGAGTAGAATACTGCGGACGCCATGAGCAGGGTTCCAACGTTCGGCGGCCGACTAAAAAACAAACGAGATTTTTTAGTAAAATTCATTTTATATCACTTCTCCACTCAGCTTATCCTGGCCAGGCGGATGCAAGATGCTTATGCAAACCCTTCCGTCCTTATACACATTAGGATGAAAGAGTGGATTATCGAAGCGCATGGAAGGAGGCTCGAATGGATATCTGGACGGGAACTTAAGCGTCTGCAAAAATAAATGTTATTGAATTATGTAGAAGCGATAAAGGTAACCAACCGCCTTGAAGTAGCCTCCCTGTAAAATTAAAAATTTCAATATACTTTCAAAAACGTGTAATGTAAAAGGACCTGATAGATCGTTCCAGGCGCACCAAATATGGCAACCTTCCATATGAAGATATTTTCGGCAGCAGAATGAACTTTGATACCCTCGATTGGATTATCAGTCACATCAACAAGCTCCTGTTGCAGACGACGGAGAGCATTTGGAGGAGAATTGCTTAGTTGTTTCGCAGCGGCACGCTTAAAATCATGAATTAGTTTATATAACGTAAAAATTAAATACATACCATAACTCCCTAGCCCTTCGTTATGGAGTTGAGCGTGAGTAGGTACGAGTAGTTGCTGGAGAAGATAGATATTAATTTAAAGATTCTGCTTTTTATATGCGCTTTTTCATATAAGAGCAAAAGATGAATGAACAAATCTAAACTTCAACTTGTCATTAGCGCCTAAAACTACATCATTGGCACAGCAATCTCACATGGCCGGCGAGCTGCATTCTCACATGGCTGGAGTATCCTTGTTGGACAAGCAATATACCTGCGAACGTCAACTGGTTCCTTCGCCCCTAAAGATGATAAGCGGTAGTCCTGCCCAGGCTTCAGATACTCGTCAGTGCGAAGTTGAATTGTTCGTCATTCGGGTTCAACATGAGTTCACCAAAGTAAGTTTATTATACTTTTTTAAACTAAATAATTCAATTGACATAATTTTTATACAGAAAGCTGTTTTGCCTCCATTGGATGTGTGGAAACGTGTCTTGGATCGTGGCTCATTCCGGTTTGCCTCGTTGGATGTGACCATCAAGCGTCGCGGGCTGTTCGGAATTGAACGTGCGGTGTCCTATGGCATACATACATGTGTTCTGAGCAAGCAAGGTCATCTGGTCATCTATACGGACAATTGGAAGCACGAGGGCTTCACCGTTAATCTGAACAAGACTGCAAGAGCGGAATTCAAATGCAAAACTCAGAAGGTAAAAATAAGAAAAGTAATATTTCCTTTTAATTATCAGATGTTTCTATCAACAACAACGCAAAGAATCTGCAATGTTCGTGTGAAATGGAACTTTGGCTCGGTAAAAATCCGTCTTCCAGAGGCCCTAGTCTTAGATTGGGGGCGCGCGATACTTGAAGCGGTACGTGGTAAAGCTGAGGCTTCTTACGAATCTCATCATTATTCACCGACTGTTCATTATCGACCCACTACTCCAATTCTCTTCGAAAATGGCACTCAGACAGATTCTGTGTTTGAGGAGCAGGCAAGCATTCCCTTTTGAGCATGTTTAATGAATTATATGTATTTCAGACTGTCACCTTCGATGGAAATGTTGGCGATATTGCTCCAGTTCCTTCTGTGCGTGCGCCTAAGTCAGACGATGGAATATTCCAACTTCTTGATCCTGATGATTCCTTTGGTGAGTTGGCATGTATTGTTAAATAATGTTTAATGATTTTATTTTTAAGCATATCGTTCGGATGATGAATCTCTCCATCTGGGCCAAATGTTTGGGAGCAATGATCAGAGCATAAACACCGCCAAAGAACAAGAGATGCAACCACATTCTGCTGAAAAGAAGGAAGATGTTGATCACGATGAGAATGAGGAGAAAATCGCGTTTCCTCTTGAAAAGGCGCTGTTGTTGAACTTCCCTTCAGAGAACAAAGAGCAACAGCAAGAAGACTACATTCCTGAAAGTGCCGTCATAAGCTCAGGTTCATTGCGACGACGTGTCACCTTCTCAGACCTGAACACTATCTTCGAGGCACCAGAGAATGAAGATCCAGTGGAAGAAGATGAAACTTCTGAATTGAAGCAAGACGATGTCATTCCTAAAATTGGTTGCAACAACCGGAATGATGTGAAGGACGCAGAGGGAATTGAGGAGCGCAGAAAGGTGATAATTAGTTAGAAAAAATTATCTATATATAATTTTTCCATAGGAACACATTGTTCAATTGGCGCTTGATCAAATGCGCATTGTTGGTCAACACGGAGTGAAGGAAACAACAACAGCTGAGGAGGTTTCCATCAAGGATGAGAACGGCAAAAACGCTAATGAGGATATACAGCATGAATCTGTGGCACTGCAACCTAGTGAGCAGATGACTAAGACCAACGATGGTGACAATTTCGTCTCGACGCAGCAACTGGCTCTTAAAATGCAATTTCCTTCACAATCTGAGCGCTTCGATCGAACTCGTTGTCTCTTCGAGCACGGTGCTGGAGGTGTCAACACCGATGAGGAAGATGATAAAGAAAAGGACAAACAATAGGAAGAGAAATAAAAATTCTCATAATCGTCTATAAATAACGTTATTGTATTCCCACAATGTTCTTTCACCTGACTTAATTTATCCGCATATGTAATAATCTAATTCTACGCATTTTTGTCTTGAAAATTCATTTTTTAAATAGTGTCTTATGTACATATATTCACAAATATGTTTCTGTTGATTATATTCAAATTATAGAATGTAAATAAAATATAAAATCGAGAAATTTGTTTTTTTAATTAAATTTTTAACAACTCGATTACCCACTGGCAACCCTCAAAAATACCGGTAATATTGAAGAGTATGGGCCCCATTTTTTCCTCCCTATTTTTTAGAGTTCGAACCCGGGCCGGGCCCGGACCGGTTTTTTCCGGGCCCGGAACCGGGTATTTTTGTGAAAATCCGGTTTTTCCGGGCTAACCGGTTTTTCCGGTTTTATCCGGAAAAACCGGCCCGGGTGCGATTTTAGTAGTAACCCCCACCCTTTTGTCCCAGTTGTGAGGTGGAAATTTTATGGGTGTATTTCTCCCCACAACCATCTGTCCCATTTGAGAAGTAAATTTCCAACGTGTCCCGATTATAAGGTGCAAAATTTTATTGGTTGCATTTCCCCTACACTCAACTACCCCAATCTAGTAGTAATCCCCCTTTTGTATTGAGGGATGTGTCGGCAAATCAAAGACCACCCTTTTGTCTCACCCTTTTGGCTCATTTAATTTTCCCGCACCACCCTTTTGTCCTAGTTGTGAAGTGGGACAATTTGTACGTGTATTTACCTTACCACCACCATGCCCCAATTGAGAAGTAAATTTTCAACTTGTCTCAGTTGATAATTTTATTTTGTGAATTGTCCGACACCCAACTGTCCCAGTTGAGAATTAAGTTTCCAAGATGTCCCACAACATAACCCACTTGTGATGTAAAATATTTTATGGGTGTATTTCTCCTACACTCACCTACCCCAATCTAGTAGTAAGCCCCTCCCAAACGTTACAAACGTTACACCCATTTGATCACCTGTCAATCAAACCTGAGGCTATAGGGGGTATTTTCTTTTGATCTTTGCCGCAAACCCTTTCCTTTTGGAAGGGTTTGAGGGTAATTAATCATGATTAATTAGGGTAATTAATCATTGATGATTAATTGCTTTTTTGGTTACATTTTGTGGGAAGTGACAGGTTTGATGTTTGTGGTGTCTGGGTGGTCGGTTGCAACATTTGGAGGGTAAAATAAAAATTTTTAAATTATTTTTTGAAAGTGCGGTAAAATAAAAGAGTTGTCAAAAGGTTTTGGATGGGTGAAAATGCGGTAAAATAAAAGAGAGGTAAAAAGAAATGAATTTTTGGGTTTTCAATTATCTGTGTGGGTTGATTTAAGGGAAATATTTAATTGAAATGTTTCGAATGATTGAGAGGTGATTAGGTACATTAATAAGTATAAAGGGCGCGATTGATAAGTGATAGGGGTGGGAATTGATAATTAAAATATGAAAAAGTTTAAAAGGGTAATATTTTTGTTTATTAATAAAAACTTTTATAAAATTAAAAATAAAATCCCCAAGCGGAATCGAACCTTCACCATTGTGGTTTTTTCGTATGCGGGAACTTTATCCATTCGGTCAAAGGGGTGTACTTAAGTTTAATCAAATAATTTGATTTTTTATTTATATTAATATCTCTGTGTATTTTGGGGGAGGGGTGGAGGATTTAAAATTTCAAAATTTCGAAATTTCGCAATTAAAATTTTAAAAAATTAAAATAAATTTAAATATATAAATAATTAAATAAAAATGATAATAAAAAATTTTTTGCAAAATTTTTACAAAAAAAATAAAATGATTTTAAAAAAAGGGCGGAAGTTCAAATGTAAGGGGATTTATTCAAAATGCCAAATTTCAAAATTTGGCGGGAATTTAAAGTTTAAAAATTTGGTGGGAATTTCAAAATTGAAAAATTTAAAAAAATATTAAATTTAAATAAAATTTAAATAATAATCAAATAAAAAATGGAGGAAGAAATAAAATTTTCAAAATTTTACAAAAATTTAAAATGATTTGCAAAAAAGGGTTGAAATACAAATGTAAGGGATAGTACATGAATTAGAAAGAAAACAAATTTAAAAAATATAAGTTAATGTTAATGAGTTCTAAAGGAAATATTATTGTTCTCTAACACATCTCTAACACATCTTATTGTTCTCTAACACAATGAGTTCTAAAGGAAATATTATTGTTCTCTAACACATCTCTAAAACATCTTATTGTTCTCTAACACAATGAGTTCTAAAGGAAATATTATTGTTCTCTAACACATCTCTCCAACCTGTCAAGAAAATTTCGTAATTAGGTTATACTTCTAAAATCTGGAGTATAAAAGGGAAGATTTTTTTTATATTTTTAATCATTTGATATAAAAACAAAAATATTTAAAATTATTATGTCTTTTAATAATGAAGAAAACGGACCTTCTCCAAGCAAACGCCCAAGATTCCTCATCCGGAATCTCTTTCCTCACTTATTCAACGATATACAAAGCGGTGCGGGGACGACAAATTTTAATAATTACTACCGCCAAATCGATTATGAAACGCAGTTTAACAAAAAATTTAAAATGATGGGAACAACTGGAAAGTTTATTATTGAGAAATTACCGGGAAACCCGGAGGAATTATTGAGAAAAATAATTCAAGACTGCATGGATCAAACCGTAGAGGAATCAAAGAATCAGTTAATTAATCCTGACCGACTAGGCGCAATAATTTCTTCACAGTTACTTGATAATGATATTTGGATACCAATTAGAAAGCTAGAAAAAGATACAATAGACAACATATTAACAAGATTTCAACTTGTTTCACAATCAAAGATAGAAAAGGGATCACTTCATGGTCACCCCTTCACAATCAAAATCCAGACACTGGGTATTTCATCACTTCCAACAAATCAATCGATTAGAGGACGTGCACCACAAGACAATGCAACAAATGGTTTTAAACTAAAAGACGAATTATTTATTAAAATAGCTAATCAGAACAACTTATGCTTATTCTATGCCTTGGAAATTACTAAAAAATATGTTATTAAGGAATTGGGAGATAGAAGAAAATTTAATAAATATATGCAATACAATCATCGGCAGATGAAAGATGTTTTCGATCTCCTAAAAGCTGCAAAAATTCCTAACGATCTCTCTGAATATGATGCCGTGGAGTACGTGCCAGTTATTGTAGATTTCTGGAATAATCAATATAAGGATAAAGGATATAAATTCAAAGTATTTGTTTTCGGAAATGTCAATGAAAAACCTATATTCAAATATGGAAATGAAAATTTTAATGTTCCAATTTCCATTTTTCACTCAACTAACCATTTTGATGGATTAAGAAATGTTGGAGGACTGTTTGGTTTTAAACAAAAATATTGCTTTACATGTGAGAAGAAATTCAGAAAATCAACGGAGCATGACTTGAGATGTAAATCTCTCTGCAGATTGTGTGGACGCATTGGAAGTGAACGTCCTTGCTTGGCAACAGTAAACTATTTCAAAAAATGTGATGATTGTGGGAAAAAGTATTTGAATGAAGATTGTTTTAACCACCATAAAAAAAGCAACAATTGTCGGCAAACAAGAATCTGTGAAAAATGCGGTGTGATATGGTCAATGAAAAATTATAAAAGAGAAGAGCAAAAGAAACACATCTGTGGGCAAAAATGGTGTCAAATTTGTCGGCAATATCATAGCATGGATAGAGGATGTTTTATTCGACCTTTGGAACCTAAAAAATCAATACCATACCGTCTAGTAACATTCGATTTTGAAGCAACACAAAATGAAAAGATAAAGAATACAAATGAAGAAAAACGGCTCCACAAAGTAAATTTCATTGCCGCCACAGTAACATGCACAAAATGTATGGAAGACGGAAAAATATGGCGGTCACCCCTCAAACAAAATGGAAAGAGTTGCATGATCTGTGGAAACAACCGCTCAATAACATTTTCACATCGACCATACGCTCAAACAAAAGTTGATAAACAAATTATTACACAAACCCCGCTCAGAGACTTTACTCAATGGATTCTTTTTGAACTTAACCCTCAATATTCAACTATGGCATTTTCACACAATGGGGGGCGTTATGACATGGTGATGGTATTCAGAGAAATATACTTGAAAGGAGTTGTTCCGTCAATGATTCGCCGTGGTAATAAGCTCTATGAATTGAAAATTCCTCGCAACAACAAATGCAATGAGGTTGTATTTCGAGATTCGTATAATCTCTGTCCAGTCGCCTTGGGAAAGCTAATTGGGGCATTTGGACTGCAAGTAACTGAAAAACAATTTTTTCCACATTTGGCAAACATCTCTGAAAATTATGGGAGAACACTACAACAACTACCTCCAAAATCTGATTATTTATATGAAGGAATGCGACCCGATAAACAAAACGAATTTGATAAATGGTATGAAGAAGAAAAAAATCAGCAGTTTAGTTTGGACGAAGCATTGGCCGAATATTGCACAAACGATGTACAGATTCTCACAGAAGCGCTGATTGCTTTTAGAAAAAAATTTATGGAAATTAGCAAAAGGAAAAATACACAACCTCAAGCATCCCAGGAAGGAATTGACATATTACGAGATGCAATGACTATAGCATCAGCCTGTATGAAACATTTTCGACTTAATCATCTGAAACCTGAACACTTGGCAATTGTTCCAGAAAAAGGGTATGAAACATGTGATAATCAAAGCGAACTTGCACTGAAATATTTACAATGGTACGAAGAGACACGAGGAGTTAAAATCCAAAGTGCACATTCAGAAGGTGGAGAATATGTTGTTGCTGGAAGATACAAAATTGATGGATATATTAAAGAAGAGGATAGAGCAATTGAGGTAAATGGATGTGTTTGGCACGCATGCGAAAAATGCTTCGGAAATGATTTGAACAAAATTTTACCAAACGGAAAAACTGTGGGAGAAATACGTGAAGGTGATGGAAATCGTTTGGAAATTATACGAAAACATATAAAAAATGTTGATATAATATGGGAATGTGATATACATAAGATGCTTCGCCGCAGCAGAAATATGCGAAAATCATTTGCAAATTATCATGACAAAGGCCCAATAAAAATTAGGGATTGTTATTTTGGTGGAAGAACAGGCCCTGTACAAATGTACTTTGATGCAGATAAAGAACAACATAAAATGGCTTATTTAGATTTTAATTCGCTATATCCATCAACAATTGCTACAACATCATTTCCGGTTGGGCATCCGAAAATTCATGTTGTACCTTTGGCTGAACAAAATGTTAATTGGAAGAGTGGAGACCAAATTCCATTCAAAGGAATTTTGAAAGTATTTTTAACACCGCCATCATCATTGGATGTTCCTGTTATTCCAGTCAAATTTGATGAAAGATTACTTTTTCCTCTTTGCAGAAAATGCGCACTTGCCTACCCTAATGGAGCAAACATCAAAGGATATCAATGCCCTCACAATGATGAAGATAGGGGTTGGGTCTCAACCTGCACTTCAATAGAATTAGAAGAAGCATTAAAAGTTGGTTATACAGTTACAAAATTCTATAGAGCGCTTCATTATGAAAAATGGGATGAAAATTTATTTAAAAATTATGTGGCAGAATTTATGGCAATGAAAATTCATGCAAGTGGTTTCCCTGAAGGCATAGAAGGAAAAGAAAATGAGGATAAATTTATAAAAGAATGTAAAGATAAATTTGGCATTGAGATAGAAAGAGAAAAAATGGTTCCAGATCAGGCTATGCGCTACATATCAAAATTAATGCTTAATTCTTTATGGGGAAGGTTCAGTCTAAGAAATTCACAATCAAAAAGTGTGGTCATTGACTCACCCACTGAACTTATCGAATATGACAAAAATAACTCAATTGAGATACAATCTATTGATAATTTAACTGAAGAAACTATATTACTAACTTACAAACAAAAAGAAGAATTTATTATCGAACATGATACATCAAACATGGTCGTATCTTTATGGACAACATCAGCAGCAAGAATAAAACTATTGAAAGCAATGCAAAAGGTAGCAGAATCAGAGGGTTGCAATATTCTCTATGGAGACACAGACAGTATACTATTTTCCTATCCAATGGATATGGAATGCCCTCTTAAAACAGGCCCCTATCTGGGTGATTTGGCGAAGGAATATGCAGGTTCTGAAATAAAAGAATATGTTGGAGGGGCGTGCAAGGCTTACGCACTGAGAATGGAAAGCAACAAAAATGCCAAAATTAGTAGTGTTCTGAAAGTACGTGGCATCACTTTAACGGCTGACGTATGCAAAATCTTGCATTTTGACAGTTTTAAGGAGAGTGTACTGAATTATGCAAATGGAGAAGACGACAATGAGGAAGATGATGAGATAGATAAACGATCAATTATGATTGAAAACGCAAACTTTATACGCCGCAGTGTGAAGGAAGGGATGGTTTACTCAACTAAAATGAGAAAAATATTTAGACCAATAATTCAAAAAGGAATAATTTCTAATGACCTCAAAATTGTACATTTCGGGCAAAAATAATTTTTCCAAATGTATAGTAATATTTCACAATATTTTTCAGTTGTACTTTAATATTTTCACAACGTTTTTGAATTGTACTTTGCTATTAAACAACATTTTATTAATTTAATTTAAATTTGCTGATAAAATTGTGATATTATTAAAATTTTTAATTTAATTTTAGGGCTAAAAGATAAGTTTTAATAAAAAGTTAAGGTTTTTAAGATAAAATTGATGCAAAGTTAAGGACTAGAGGATAGAATTGATGTAAACTTAAAGATTTGACGTTAAAAATGATTTAAATTTGAGAGAAATCAATATTTCCAGAAAAATTTTAAAATGGTGGTAAAGATAATGGTACTCGTGTTTATGTGGTGTTTGAGGTTATCTCTGTGTGCGCACAACATGTAAATACGCACACACGTATACACTATTTTGCTGTAAATTTAAGAAAATTTGCAATAATGTTAAGATTGGTAAGATAAAATTGAAGCAAAGTTAAGGATTATGCGATACAATTCTTGTATAGTTAAGAGATATAAGATACAATTCACACAAAGTTAAGCAACGGAAGATGAGATTTTTTGGGTAAAATTCAAAGTTAAGCGTTGGAAGACAAAATTGTTGCAGAGTTAAGGGTAGAAGATAAAATTGATGGAAAGTTAAGGGTTGGAAGATAATAATGATGCAATGTTAAGCTTTGTGGCACGCTATTTTGGTGTAAAGTTAAGAATTTAGGATAATTTGCCGTAAAATTTTTAGTTGTACACTTTGAATAGATGTTTGTATACAAGGTATACTGTATTCATTCATTTGTGTACAAAGGTGTACTTACTATACACATTTCATTATACATTTATGCACACTCAAGCTCAGTATAAAAAAATTCCCAACGATCATTAGATTTCCTAACCTACTCTTTGATATTACTACCATTTTCTTTCAATATCTACATATAACGGGAAAATTTTCTCAGACCTACAGGGAGTGCTTTGAAAACCTTTAGAATTACAATTTACGTAAAGTTAAGCATTAGAAAATACATTTGATGCAAACTTTTCAAAACGTCAATGAAAAAATCTAACCTGAAAAATGTCAAACGACAAAATGTCAACGTTCAAGTTGTCAAGTTCCAGAATGTCAACTTTCAAATGTCAATTATCAAAATGCCAACGTCCAAAATTTCGAACGACAAAATGTCAAATTTCAAAAAGTCAAACGACAAAATGTCAACTTAGCATGTTAAGGCATGCGCATGGGGATGCACTGTTGACAATACTGATGTGCGTACGCACTCTTCTTGGTTAAAGTTAAAAAATTATAGGATAAATTTGCTGTAAGTTTAAGAACAAATATTAAATTTATTAAAATTTAAGAACAAGAAGATACAATTTATGTAAAGTTAAGCATAAGAAGATACAATTTATGTAAAGTTAAGCATAAGAAGATAAAATTTATGTAAAGTTAAGCATAAGAAGATACAATCAGTGTAAAGTTAAGCATTAGAAGATATAATTGATGTAAAGTTAATTAACGGAGAATGCAGATTTTGGGGGTAAAAGTGCAAAGTTAAGAGTTAGAAGATACAATTTATGTAAAGTTAAGCATAAGAAGATAGAATTTATGTTAAGTTAAGCATTAGAAGATATAATTGATGTAAAGTTAAGGGAAATTATGCAAAATTTGAGTAAAATTACAAAAATGTGTTCAACTGAGAATCTGAGGCATAATGAGCCATATGCTTGTCTTGAGGCATCTTATGCACGTGAGTGAACAGTCTAATTTGATGAAAACACGCATGCAAACAGACTTTCTGGTGTAAAGTTAAGAATTATATGATAAATTTGTTGTAAAGTTAAGCGTGATAAGATAATTGTTGCAAATTTAAACATTAGTAGATACAATTGTCAAAATGTTAAGGGATATTTGGATAAAATTGATATAAAGTTGAAGTAATATAACATTTTTTATAAAAGTACGCAAAAATTATGGTACAAACATTAAAGCACGCTTGTATGGAGATTGCGTGTCTCTCTCTAAGCTTTTGGTTTCTTACTAAATATGTCAAAATTTCGCTCATAATTAGTATCAATAGAATTTATTCTTTACACCTTCAGGCTCCTTTTAGTTTGCCATGATTTTCCTACAACTTCGATTGGGAAAATTCCCAGACCTTCAGGTTTTCGTTTAAAACCTTTAGAATTCAAAAGGTACAAAAAGGAATTATATCCAATAGCCTCAAAATTGTCAAATGTGTCCAATTGTACAATTTTGAGGCTATTGGATATAATTCCTTTTTGTACCTTTTGAATTCTAAAGGTTTTAAACGAAAACCTGAAGGTCTGGGAATTTTCCCAATCGAAGTTGTAGGAAAATCATGGCAAACTAAAAGGAGCCTGAAGGTGTAAAGAATAAATTCTATTGATACTAATTATGAGCGAAATTTTGACATATTTAGTAAGAAACCAAAAGCTTAGAGAGAGACACGCAATCTCCATACAAGCGTGCTTTAATGTTTGTACCATAATTTTTGCGTACTTTTATAAAAAATGTTATATTACTTCAACTTTATATCAATTTTATCCAAATATCCCTTAACATTTTGACAATTGTATCTACTAATGTTTAAATTTGCAACAATTATCTTATCACGCTTAACTTTACAACAAATTTATCATATAATTCTTAACTTTACACCAGAAAGTCTGTTTGCATGCGTGTTTTCATCAAATTAGACTGTTCACTCACGTGCATAAGATGCCTCAAGACAAGCATATGGCTCATTATGCCTCAGATTCTCAGTTGAACACATTTTTGTAATTTTACTCAAATTTTGCATAATTTCCCTTAACTTTACATCAATTATATCTTCTAATGCTTAACTTAACATAAATTCTATCTTCTTATGCTTAACTTTACATAAATTGTATCTTCTAACTCTTAACTTTGCACTTTTACCCCCAAAATCTGCATTCTCCGTTAATTAACTTTACATCAATTATATCTTCTAATGCTTAACTTTACACTGATTGTATCTTCTTATGCTTAACTTTACATAAATTTTATCTTCTTATGCTTAACTTTA